CCTCTATAAGACTATAAATACCACTACTTAAACCATTAGTATCTATACCTACAATTTGATATGAAGAACATTTACCATTTACAGATATATAACAACTTTCAGAATTAGGAGATGATTGACTGACAAGTTCTGGGTATCCTTCTGCTGGATAACCATCACTTGAATAAATAAAATTCGATGTAATACCCTCAATATATCCACTAACTACACGGAATGATGTTAATGAAATACCTAATAATGGAATAGAACAGAGTTGTAGAGTTTTTCCATTATGCATCATTGAAACTGCTAATTTATTATTATTTGTAACACCAATAAATACTTGTATAATACCATTGTAATTTAATTCCTTATTTTCTGGTAAATATATGGCATGACTATCTATTAAAACTCCTACACTATTAAATATAGTAATAGATACAGAAGACTGTGCAAATAATACTGCTGCTCTCATATAAATTCCATCTCCCATTGTAATTGCTCCACGTATTCCAGGTATAGTAGGTAATAGTTCCTGAATATATTTAGAACTTTCAGGTGCAAATCTAGTTACAATCTTTATTTGATTACCTGGTTGTAGTGGTGTAGTTAGCCTCATTTCATTACCAGTACAATTAGTTTCATCAACTTTACATTTTGTATGACCAGAAGCTGTTCCTAAAGTAGTAGGTTCAGGATATACTGTTGTTATTATCGATGTGAACCAAACTGGAGCAGAAACACAATGAATACCAAGTCCTTCTACATTAACTCCTATAAAATAATAGTCTTCAAAACCAACTAACAAGTATCCACCAGTTATAAGGAAACTCAGATTATTATAAGTATTGTAATAACCTTGTGATGCCTTTATAGATAAAGACTTAGGTATAGTATAATTAGACTCTTGACCAGTAATTAAATTTTTTAACGTAACTGGCACGTCATTAAAAATATCTCCTGGATAATTGATAGAAAATGTAGCAACAACAGATTGAATATTACTAAACTTGAAAACAAATGGAGTACCGTATAACCCTTGGTCTACAGAAATTTTGTAACCTTCAGAAAATGGACTATTACCAGCTTGAACAATAGATGTATGCATGCATGATCCAAAAATTCCTGAAAAGCATGACCAATCAGATCTCCATAACCCAGAACTCGCATCTACTTTCTGTTGCCATAAATCATATGACATTTGTTGTAATCGTGTAAATTTAGATAAAGAAAAATTAAAGAACTGAGTGAAGGTTACTGCCTTTTGTTGGACTCCAAAATAGGGGATAATTCCACTTATTATAGGATCATCAGGAAGATTAATATATGCCATTTCATATATTGTACCAGATAAATCATAATATAGTGATAATTTTTTATCTTCATATACTAGCCAGACAATATAATTATCATTAGGAGAAACACGATACATATTTCCAATATTCCCTGGATATAAATTACTATTCACAGTAATATACTGATTACTTTGGGTTAGTATCATATTATAATGATTCATTAATGCTAGACCCATTGATTCTTGTCCAATATGAAGTACAATATATGGATTCCCATTTCCATCTAAAATAAGGTATAATACCTGTGTATAATACCATGGTATCTGATAATGTGATGTTAACAATAAATTAGGTCCAGTTGGAATTGTACCATTTATTTGAATTGCATATTTATTTAATAAGCTATTAGAACATAGACCAATAATACCTGCCCCTGTACAAGATACCCCTGACTCACATGATCCTTTAATACTACAATTTTCTTGTAATATTGATGCAGCTAATGGTTGTGCAAATGTCAGTTTGGCTATTGAGGATATAACAATAAATAGAAATAATTGTATTATGCTCATTTATATTAGGAAAATGCCACAAATACACAAATATTATAATTTAACTGAAATTAATAAGATATATTTAATAAATACCATTGAAATGGTTCGCTCAATGAATATGAAAATTGCATGCAACATGGACTGCTTAATGTAACACGACAGGACGTTAATTGAAATAAATATTTCACACTTTAATAATAATCAAATCTAAGACTAACACCAACCTACTTTATATGAGAAAATAACAATAAGCAATTTTAAATATTTTTTAAGTAATTTAAGTAATAAATTTGATATCTCCTAATAGAAGATGAAAACAAAAGTACAGTTGCAACTTTTAACTATAGTATGCGTATATAAGGAATTATTTGATTTTAAAGATAAAATCCAATTACTTCATTTTTTTTTAAATCAAATATTGATAATGTAATATTAAGCACTCATTTTATATTTTTACTTTTATACTATTTAGAGAATTAGTAGATAATATTTTCTCTAAAATTATATATAACTACTTACAATAAATTTTATATCATATTAGATTAGAAAAAATTGACTTTTCTTATATACAAATAAATGAAATATCTCGTAAATATTAAGTAGAAGTTTCTTAATTACTAGGTGTTTGTAAAAAAAGATGTGTTTAAATGTAAATTAATATTCACTAATTATTGAGATTATTCACAAAATTAAATATTTCGATGAAATTTTATAAAATATCTTTTTTTGCGTTAATTATCTATCATGAAACATAATAATCACAATAACTTTCATAATTTCACCAATGTTGTATGATAATATCATGTGTAATAGATAAAAGTACTATTGCAATTTTTTTATTCATGAAATTAATTATTTTATTGTAAAATTCCCACTTTTTTTTTTCTTTTTTTTTTACTGGTGATTATCTTTTAAATTACTAGATACTAATATACAAAATATTTTTCTAATATAATATTATGAAATAACTTTGATTAGGTACTTGAGCAGCATTGACTATATTAAGGTAGTTAATCCTGGGGTAAATCTATTAAATAAATATTATTTACTGGGAATAAGTAGATTTTATTAAAAATTATTTTAGGATAATATTATTATAATTCAGTTAAAATATATTTTGTTACAAAAATTAATATTAGATTTTATATAAATAGCTATTAAAAATTCCGATTATTTTAATTATATCAAATAATTTTCAACTTCTTTTCTTATTTATGAACAATTTTATGAACAATTAAAATCCAGATCTTCATTTTTAAATTTAGAAAGTATATTTAGTCTTTAATATTATTGGTATACTGTTACTTTATTAGTTTGATTTAACAGTGGATGTTATTAGAAGTATTGATTTTCAAAAATTCGGAATAAAGAGTATTTATTAATATCCTATATTCTTAACATTTCAAATAAAATGTTGTCTTTATAAACTGAAATATAAATATGCTAGTAAAAAAAAAAAAAAAAAAAAGCTAATAATTTTTTTTTATATTTTCTAATAAAAAATGTTTTATTATATAATCAAGAAATTACAAAATTAATATTTATGAATATAGTCTTGTAATAATCAATTATTAATTACATCCTTTTACAATAACCTAAATATACTATGATGTTATAGCTAAACTAATTATAATTTAGCTATTAGTGAAGTAAGTAGTAACTACTTCTTAAAATTACATATTTTCAGCCATAACCAATACTTGTTCGAAGATCTTTATTATTTATATTTGTAATGGAGACTGTAAAAATATCAGAATAATATTATTTTGTATTAACTCTATTATTAGAAAAAGTAATATTACTTATATTAAATTCTCCAAATATTTATGTTTCATTTGAAATTATTAGTAAAGTGCTTAATATTGACAATTTAAAAAATGTTCATAATAAAATATTGTATCATTGAGTACTGTATTGAGATAATTAATAATCATTGAGACTAGTTTTAGTAGGAATTTTAAATATTCTTTTATATTCTTAATTAACTTCAATAGTAGATAATTTAACCTAGTAATATATCAAGTACAAAATTGCATGTTTTATAGTTTCAAACACATTATTAGTATTAACACCACAAATATTAATAGTAAAATAAGCTCATGAGTAGAAAATTGTTTATTTTATTTTCGTTAATAGCTAAGTTTATATTATAAAGAAAATGTTGTGAATGCAACAAATTTATAAAAGCTAATATCTTATTTTGAAACTAAATTTATTATAATTAAATATGTAAGTTTATTTATTACTAGCAATAAAGTTTATGTTTTATAGTTAAAGATGTGCTAGCTTCAAATAATAAAAGGTGCCAACTCTATTTGGAGTACTTTCAAATAAATAAGTTTAATAAATTTATTTTCAACGAATTTAGAAACTTAGTACTATTCAAATATAACATTTCCTTTGCAAGCAACTTAGAAACAATAGCTATAATCAATCTTAAACAGCTTAGTAATTTTAATTAATCAATATAATTTGTGCCTCTGATGTACTTATATTAATAATTCATTTAAGAATGAATAGATAACTTTAATAAATTACTATAGACAAACACACACAAGTATTAGTAGTAAATTTAGTAAATGCAAATCCACAAAGATATTTTAAGATTTATTGAAGAATAGTTTTATAATATAATAATTGTGTGTAGTTCAAGATATGAGGTAAGCTTTCCGAAATAGAATTAGGACTTGAAGAAATTATTGTAGTAGATTTAGCTTGGTCATATAATAGCAGCAATATGATTATAGTCATTTATTTAGATAACATACTGAAATCTCATTTATCTTATTTGTAATATCTACTTACTCTCCTTATTTCCTAATTGTAAACAGTTTATCATTGGCTAAACTTTCAACTTTAGCAGCTACCAAGGCTATAACTTTATTCATGTACAATCTCATCAATATAATAGTGTGTTTTTAAGTAGAGCTAAAGGTTACAAGCCATTCTTTCATTAATTCCTAAAACTACTTGTTTAAGATAATATGCTCCCAAAAGGCGCGGATTTTTCTTTATTGAAAAGAACCACATGCATTTTTGTTGATATTTTTTTCTTGCACAACACAAATTCTTAATTTGGAAGTAATATAATTATTTCTGGAAATATATCAAAATAAAAGATTTATTCTAGTATTCACTCTTCATAGCAATTAAATTATTATAAATATATCTAATGAACTTTCAATCCAATATCTCAAGAAATATAATCAGTAGTTTTAACCAGTTATTTTTTAACTGCAATTATATTAAAGCTACAAATAAGTGTATAACTACTAGTAGGCATATTAGTACTGTTGATACTAGAGTTAGTCAAACCTCAGTATATTCACCTCTTCATCAGCCTTCCCAGCCTCACCCAGACAAGTCCATGAATGGAACACATTGTCATATGAACGAGGGTCAGCAATTGTACTCAGCACCTCATTTTAGAAAGGGTATACAGAATCTAAAAAGTGAAGATGAAGGGGAGGTTAAGGAATATTCATTTGAGTCACCTATATGGAATGAAGATGAAGTCAAAAATGTCCAAATAACTCATATAACTCCTGAAACACTTATTGATAGGTTGGCATACAATAGTGTATTATTTTTGCGTAAATCCTTTGATTTACTTACTGGTTATAAGTATGGGCATGATGAAAGAAAATGGTGTAGAAGAATTGTTTTTTTAGAAACAATAGCAGGTGTTCCAGGAATGGTAGGTGCAATGGTAAGGCATTTGCACTCTTTAAGACGGATGGAAAGAGACTATGGATGGATTCATACACTTCTTGAGGAGGCTGAAAATGAGCGTATGCATTTAATGATATCTTTACTTCTAAGACATCCTCCATCACTGTTTGTAAGATTATCTGTTTTAGGTGCTCAATTTGGATTTCTGATATACTATACTTTGTGTTATGCAATATCACCTAAATACTGTCATCGATTTGTTGGATACTTGGAAGAAGAAGCTGTTCGTACCTATACAAGACTCATATCTGATATTGACCTTGGAAAATTACCTGAATTTACTTCTCCTGCACCTAAATATGCAAAATTATACTATGGTTTACCCAAAGATGCAACTTTGAAGGATGTCTTTTTAGCTATGAGACGCGATGAATCTCATCATAGGGATGTTAATCATCATCTAGCTATTTTAAAACCTGGTGATCCTAACCCCTTTGCTTCCAAAGTTTGAGGGACCTTGAGAATAGTAAAATATATTTATGACTATTAGTCTTGTAAGGTGTTGGGTTTGCAAGAATTACAAGCAAGTAATAGCTTACAGATAAGCAACTCCCGCATATGTCAGTTGAGTCTTTTAATATTTGCCAATGGATTTTTTAAAAATATTTCTAGTGTTTCGGTTTAATGCAAAAAAAAGTCAAATCTAAACAATAAAGATATTAAAAAAAAAAAAAAAAAAAATAATTAGTTCATATCTGTAGTGGGTGTATTAGAAAAGATGGATTTAGTAGAAAAGATTGCAGATGTATACAAAAGGAATGAGAGATTTGATAATGATACACTTCTTTATACATGGGAACAAGGTGTTAATAAAACCTGGGAAAAGTTAGTTGAGACTAGTAGTGGTTTGGCATTACTAGATCATAGTCTACAGAGTGACCAGTGGAATATTACAAAACAGGAGCTTGATGATATACTCAAAATCTCAAAATCTTTGAATACTAGACGTGGATTTTTGCGAAATATAGTTATTATACTTGATATGTCATCTAGTATGCTAGAACTAGATTATAAACCAGATCGTCTTCAATGTATGGTGAGATGTATTGATACTTTTATTTGTAACCTTTTGCAGGAGAATCCACTTACTCAGATATCCGTAATATCTATACGAAATGGTTTAACTAGTATAGTTACTACTTATAATTCAAATTATAGAGAAATAGTTAGTGGAATTTTATCTGAAGCAAAAAATGGGTGTAGTGGAGTTATGTCAATTAGAAATGGTCTGGAAAAGGCTAAACAACTCTTGGCTTCTATTCCTCCATATGGAACCAAGGAAATTGTTTTTTTTTTGGGGAGTATGAGAAGTATTGATAATGATTCAATGCTGAACGAGTGGCTTGATGATTTTATTGCTCACAACATAGTTATCAATGCCCTACTTTTTATTCCAGAGTTGTTTATAATAAAAACTATTACCACGAAAACTGGTGGCATATGTTTATGTGCTTTGAATAGTGAACATATGCTGCAACTTTTACTTGAGAACTTTGTTAAACCACCCTCATACAGTCAATTAAATACACCACTACATATAAATTTGGTTCCAATGGGATTTCCTATGTACTTCAATAATTCTGGCTATCCCTTACAATGCTCATGTCACAAGTCAATTACAAGTGATGGTTACTGCTGTCCAAGATGTAAATCCTTGGTATGTTATCTTCCTATTAAATGCCCTATATGCAATTTATACTTAGCTTCAGCAAATCACTTGACTAAGTCATTTGCTTTTTTATTCAAACCACCATCTATGGAAGTTTTACAGCTAAATCCTGGTGAATATAAATCTGATATACCGAGACATTGTAGATTTTGTCAGAATCTATTTACTAGTAAAGCTACTTATAGAAATGGTTTCCCATTCTCCCTTATAAAGTGCACAAATTGCTGCTCTTTTCTTTGTATAGATTGCTGCAAACTTATTTTACTTGCACTACATCAATGTCCAGAATGTTTTAATTCCACAAAATCTTTAGATAATACTTAGAATTTAATTTGGATAAAGAACTTCTATCCTTTTATTTTACTAATACCGTTACAAAAAGTTACATTGTTAAAATATTGGTCTTTTTAAATTGAATCTATATACTAGTTTGTTTTGTAATATATACACTGTATTATATATTTCTTAATCGACCTCTACTTTCTTACTCTTATAGACTTTTTAAAAATGATACAGAAAATCAGATCATGCACCTTTTCCCGCAAATGGAGTTTACATGCATTGAGATTATATAGGAGACAAAACAAGTGCAGTATAAAGTTAATTTAGCTGTAATATAAAGTACTGTGACTATATCTGGATTTTGTGCAGCTTAATAAAAATAATTAGTAATCCAGAGAAACCTAAATGGTAGTATGAATAAGTTAAAAGGTGTAAATAATGAGGAATATCTAAAATCTAAAGGAACTGAGTTTATAAAGAATACACCAAATGAGAATAAACTCAAACAGAAAGTAGCCAGTAGTGTGTTTGCACGTCGTAGCAAACAAGACTCCGACATTTCATTAGGAACTGAATCTTCAACTGATTTCTATGAAACTTCAGAGATATCTAGACTACATAGAATTGCCTTTAGAAGTATTGTTATAATATGTATATCGGCGGCATTGGATGGATGTGATGAGCAACTTTTACCAGCTTCTTTAAGAGCTTTGGAAGTGGACTTATACTTGTCACCAAAAGATTTAGGTAATATTATCTTATTTCAAATTTTATGCCTTGCTTTAAGCTGCCCAATATGGGGTTATCTTGCGGACAGATATTCTAGGAAGTACATTCTAGCTACAGGTGTACTAGTATGGGGATTTGTAACTATACTACTCTCCTTTAGTCAGTACTATTGGGAAATATTGACAACAAGAGCAATAAATGGAGCATTCCTAGGTAGCGTTGGACCTCTTGCTCAAAGTGTCTTAGCTGATACACTAAGTTCAAAATATCGTGGCCTTGGTTTCGGTATGATCCAACTTTCTAGCTGTATTGGTCGTGTATTTGGAGCTGTATTAACAACATCTATATCACAGAAATTAATTGCAGGCTATCAAGGCTGGAGACTTGCATTTCTTTTAGTAGGTACATTAAGTGTTATTCTTGGAATTGTCGTTGTTCTCTTTATGGATGAAATTCCTCACTTGCATATTCATCACTTTATAAGATACAATTCAGAACAAACTCCTTTACGAGAAAATAGTCAAAGGGTCCAGCTTCAAGAAATGCAATCTTATGCTATTTCAGTAATTCGTCCCGATACAGGTGGTATAGATTCTGATGAAGCAGACCTATCAGCTAGTGAATCTCAAACGGACTCTTTATTAACTACAGATAGACTAAGCTTAATTGAAGAAACATCTCTTGAGGATGAACGCAATGATGGAAGTATAGCGGAGGAAAATATGACACCTTGGGAATTCGTTAGACAGGTAATTACTCAGAGCTTGTGTACCAAAAGTGTTATACTTATGATTATTGAGGGACTCTGCGGCACAATTCCCTGGAGTGCTCTTACCTTTATGACTATGTATTTGCAATATTGTGACTTATCAAATTTAGAAGCTGCTTTGGTTATAGCTGCTATGTTGTTAGGTTCAATGATTGGTGGTCCTTTGGGTGGTATTATTGGTGACTATCTTAATGAAAAGCTACCAGACCATGGGAGACCACTTATTGGTCAAGCATCAATGATTTTGAGAATACCTATGTTATGCTTGCTTTTCTTAGCAATTCCCAGAGAATCCTCTTCATTTGTTTTTTTTATAATCATAGCCTTTTTTATGGGTTTATGTGCTATTGCTGGTGCCGCTGCTAATAGACCAATTTTAGCTGATGTAGTTAGAGCATCTCACAGGGCTACTGTGTTCTCGATAGTAGTGTTATTTGAAGGTGTTTCTGCTGCTGCATTTGGTGCACCAGTAGTAGGTATTCTGGCTGAAAATGTCTTTGGTTATAAAGCAACATCTCAGCGTGTAAGTGATATGAATCCTCTAACAAGGTTAACTAATGCTCATGCCTTAGCTAATGCATTGGTATTTTTGACTATACTTCCTTGGTCAATATCTCTCTTGCTATACTCACTTCTTCACCTCACATATGGCAGCGATAAACGACAATTGAGACAAATACTAGTGAACTTATCAGGCTATCAAAGAACTAGCGTTCAGAATGAACAAAATACTAACTTATCTGCCATAGGAAATATTCAACAAGTATAAAACTAAATTATTTACTATTTGTTGCTTGTATAATAATACTAAATATATATTTTCCTTTTGGTATTTGTAAAAGAATCCAATTACTAAATGAATTGTCTATTCATACAACACTTCAGGATTCTTTTTTTTGAATAAGACAGTGCATATAATATTTAGCCTCTTATATATTTATTAGGAAATTTAGAATAAAATGTCAAACTCTCACAAAAGTTCAAATAGGTTACACTGTTTAGTAAATTGGGTATTAAGGTATTTTGTATTATTGTATTTGCTCTTATCTGACTTGTACCTTAGCTTTAAATTCCTAAACTTTTTATTGTATTAGTTTGCCTTCTATTTTGTATAAAAGTCCAAGGAAAGTAGTATTGTTACCAATAAATTTAGTGTATTTATAAAGATAAATATATAACTTCAGGTACAATTAAAACTTAATTTTCACAGATCAGAATCTTCAAAAGGGCTGCAATAGAAAATTGGGTAAATTTTTGTATCAGCAAAATATCCATTCTGTAGGTCTACTGAATATTTCCTTATAAATTACCCGGTAAACACATTAACATCATAGATTATATAGCTCAAAAAAACTAAATAAATATAAGTAATAAATTCAAAAAATCATTTGACAGGATACAAATGTATTATATATAATTAGTCATAGTTCTTTTCCTTTTCAAGATTCCAATTTACATATTTCGATATCAGTTTATTAGATAAAAGAGTTTCTAAGTTATTTTGCACAAAATCTTAATTTAATTGTTAAGATAAGCTAATATTAGATGTTTTGATATAAAAATCACGTTGTGACTATAACTATGCTGTTCATAGTGCTGTTGCTGTAATTCTAATATTATTGAATGACACAGAAATAGGTCAGCTCATTTACTAACAATTACGATCAAACTAATAAATAGAGTATAAATAGATAAAATAGATATAATAACTTAATATTAAGTACTTATAGGCCGCAAATACACTGATTAATTGTGTCTTTCATAAATATTTTTCAAAGTGCATCAAGCACAGTTTGAATTTTTCTCCCTAACGAAAAGATGGAAAGCACACAGAGAACTGTATACATAAGGAAGATTATATTGACTAACAATCAATTTTTCAAGTCAGATTACTGCTTAATATTCCTTCTTTTTCTAATTAACCGTCTTAGTTTATATTAACCTCATTTCAATATATTTATACTTCATTATTACTTTCAGATACTACATTGGATTGTTTCTATTTTTATTCTTAATATAAAATTAATTTTTTAGAATATATCACATAGAGCAATAGTATATAAATTTAAAGAATTACATATTTAGGAAATTATCTCTGACATTACTAATATATTATTTCAATACTATACCAAATACCCTAACATCTTTAAATAATACAAAGATAGTCCTTTACTATAGAAAAGTATCTCAATGGTTAAAATATAATTTAAAAGTAATACGCTAGTACTCTAAATTTAGCAAGAAAAGTATTATTGTTTTTAGTAGATAGATATGTGAGGTTACAATAAAGTTGCATTGAGCTTTTGATAAAATTTCTTAAATCCAAAGCCAAATTAGTTCCAGACTACTTAATATATTTGACCCAAAAAGTATGGAATAAATTAAGAAGAAAAAATTGTGCATAAATATTGAGTTTTCATTGTAATTGTTTGGCAATATTTTTAAAGACCTGCACAGGCTAGTTTGTCTTTAAGTAACTGATTATAGGCAGAAAAGTGGAATATATTATAATACCAATATTTTACCCCAAAATTTATACTTTCACTATAAGTTTCAAATATATAATAATAAGAGTTTTTAAAAGAGAGAATTGGTAGTACTAAAAGAATTGCATAATTGGATATTGAAGATATAAACATTTAAATATACCCTAACTGGGCTTTGAGTCATTACTTCGAGAGTTTTTAGTACAATTAAATAGCTAATCAACATTAATATATCGAAGTATTGATTTTCTTATTCAAATTTATAAATCAGTAGGGTATTTAAGTTATAAAATTAAAAGAATCAAAATAATTCTATCTAGTTCTATTCATTTCTAAATCAACATCTTTCAAAAATCCGAGAATTTGGTCTAAATCCCAACCAAGTTCTCTCTCAATCACTTCTTTTGGTAAACCTATTCTTGAAGAAAGTATATGATCAAATTCGAAAAGAACACTTTCAATAATTATATTTTTAATAGATGAATATATTGAATTGGATATTGATTGTGATTTAAAAAGTTGATCTAATGAAAGTAGGTCTTTGTCTAGAATATCAGATAGATTAGTGTTGTGAATATGTTGACTTTTTCCTACCAAATCTTCAAGTACTTGAGGATCATCTATGCTTGATTCAGGTGAAGAAAAGTCAATTGTTAAATAAAGATCGAGATATACTAAGATATAAGAATTTATATGTACTTTTAAATTGTCCCAGAAATTTGCAATTGAATCTTTGATATAGGTTATATCTGTGCATTGTAACTCTTTAATATCATCCTGTTGTATTTCTGGGTGTACTTGCAAAACAATCTTCGTAAGTGGCAAGCATATAAATGAGCAGATTCCATTAATTAGTTCATCAATATAACGATTCAAAATTGTATCAGTAATTTTTAGGGCATCATAAGTTGTGCTTTTATATTTATATGTATATTTGGAATTACTATTTGTTTCTGACCCATCTAGGGATGTTCTGCGTGTATCTGAACTACTTAAAATCGCATTATTGGAATATTTAAAATTGCAGTGCAATAAATTATATTGATTTAAATCCTGTCGATCAATAAAAATCAACTTAGACATTAAATAAAGCAAATTTCTTATTATAAATAAGTGGCCATGATATAATTTATCAATTTTGTTGTGCTGATACTTATTTGCAATGTAATGATGAGCTTGAATAAGCTTATTGCAGCACTTCTCAACAATTAAGCTACTGATGTGAGTGTATATAGGATAGGGAGTAACATTGTATATATACGAAAGTGCAATAAATGAGTTATTGACAACCCCATAACAATAATTTTTTAGACAAATTACATTATTATCAATATTCACTTGGCCTTGTTGACCGGGTAAATTACTTTCAATTTGATTATTTTTCCCATTATCCTTTACATAAGAAACTTTATAAGTTAAATTTTGTTCAAGATGACTTTTTTCAGAATATTCATCTTCAGCAGTATCGCCGGAATCACTGTTTGTTTGCAATCTAATTGTATTTGGTGGAAAAGAGACATGAGTTAGTATTTCATTATCCTCACATTTTGATATTCTAACACTTTCAAATGTTGAAAAAATATTTTCTTCCTCTAGTGCTTTATCTAAGCAAGTATTATATTCAGTAAATGCTGAATCTTTCGTAACTCTACTTTGAATTCCCATCGAATTTCCATACATATAACTTTGTATCCCCCTGTCTTTGTTATTTAACAGTATATTCGGATAATTTAACTCTACATCTTTTATTTCATAATCTTCAATATTTGCTTGAACGTAATTGTTTAAAGAGCTTAATAATTTTTCAACAAGTAAATTTTGTAATTTAGCTACATAATATAGAAATGAAGATAAGTAGGCGTCTGGGATTAGCAAGTTACTGTGGAATTCACTTGCCAATCCAGCTATATCACGTGATAGATAGAGAATACATTCTCTTAGTGATTTTAGATCATCATGTAATTGTTGAATAAAATAATTTAATTTGTCATAGTATTCAGCTCCAAATCCACTCATTAAAGATGCGAAACTTAATCTATTCATTTCAAACTCGTTGCATGTATCGTAGCTAGACATAGCTAAAGTAGTTGAATAGATATTTTTATTTTTGTTGCTTTCTGCACATTTGTCATTGGTGTTGACTGAATTATGCTGTACTTCGTATCCAAAAAAAGAATTGAATACCAGCCACTCATACTTACAATAATTCAATGCAAGCCTTGTGAAATTTTTTATATGTGGGCTAAAACTTGAATTAGGTTTTGTCCTGCTCATACTATCTTCAATTCGATATTTCTTAAAAGCCATTATCCCAAATACATCATCATTCATTCTATAATTGATATAGATTGTCTCTAGTTGATACAAACAACTTTTATATGATTCATTCTGGTGAGTTGCATTAAATCTATTAACTAGTAAACTAATGTATTCATTAAATGTCTTTCCAATACTTTTCAGTTGTATATAATATAGCAACATATTTTCTTCATTTCGTACATTCTTTTGCATCTTAGATGCATTTACACCCATGCTTATGTTATGCTCTAAATCAGAATCATTGGAAATTTCAGAATTTTCTGTTTTAGTCTCAAGTGATCTATAAAAATCTGTCTTTTGATTTGCACTATTTAAGGTGTTTGAAAGAAGAGACACTATGTGTAAACATAACTTTAGTCTGATTTTCTTAAAGTTATCGAAATAATAATTAGCATTCAAAAGGTCACTATTAACTTGGAAGAAATTAGTCGAATGATCAACAATTTCGAAGTTTTGGTTCATCTCAAAAATATTATTAGATAATTTACCATTCTGTAGTTTGTGAACTAGGACATTATATTGTTGATATGGGTAAACATATTCTTCAATAATTTCCATTTGACTTTCAGATTGTCTTAATATATCTAAAGAATGGTTACATATCTTCTTAAGACTTCCTATATTCTTAATAAATTCCATCTTTTGAGTATCCACTTCCCTAATTGTAGTTCTAATGTTATCCTCAGATTTTAAGACTTTCTCAAAAAATTTCATAACAGTTGAAAATTCATTAGTATACTTCTTTGTACTACTTATGTTATTTAAGCTATAGTTTCTCTCCAAAATATTTGTGTCGTTGATATCTTCGTGGTAACTTTCATATTGGTCCTCCTGTCCTTCGTGTATTGTTGGCAATAGTATCAACCCACTAAAGAATGTATTACCAGTGTATTCTTCGGATATCTCTTTAAGGATATTAATAGTGTAATCTGGAATGAAGATCGGTGATGCTGAAATTGGTATTGTCATATTGGTAATTAGTAATAATCAGGTTTCCAAGATGATAGATAAGCAGTTCGATCACTTAAATATATTGCTAAATTCAGAAGATTAATACATATTATTCGGCTAGTTAATTAATTACTGGCAACTTTAGAATTTATTTGAGTGGGAATTTTAAAGAGTTAATGTTTCCAAACTTGAAGGTAATAGCCGCCCATTATATATTGCTTTATTTCTACCTTAAATTCCCTTCCTTTTACAAACTACATTTTCAATGGCTCTAATTGTAGAAAATGACGTGAGAAATACAAGTATATATAGTTTGACCATTTTCCATAGGCAAATCTGTGTATTCCACATAAATGTTTGTGAGGCTATTAATTCAAACTCATGGAGGTATGCATTATAATAACTTTTTTAAAAAACGAATATTAGTGTTTGTTTAAAAGAACAAGTCTCTATCATGGCAAAATAATTCATTAATATTATCTTTCCAGAAATATGCTACTCAAATCTTCATTAATAAATCAAAGTCCATATTCTGAAGAAAAAAAACTAAGTAGAAAGTACTACAGGCAAATTCGTCTTTTAAATGGCTTGTTATTTTCAATGAAATCTTTTTGCCAAAAATTAGTACCAAATATAACTGACGATAGTAAAAGGTAATTATTGCATGAATATATAGTAATCTAAGTTGTCACTTCCCACACTTTTCTTCTTCAGCTTCAATTTCTATACAACTCCATTATACAAGTTATTTTGCTTTGAAGTTTTCTCTGGTCACAAGGTATGTTATCTCCTTAGTAAATAGTATTCCTTAAAATTACTCTGTACTATCCTGCTGTTCAGTTTATATTAATGACTCACCCGAGTATTGAGAGCGGCGTAGATTTGTTGCAGTAAGTGAGCTATCTTAGAGCCAATAAAATACCAAACTATGTTTTATTCCTTAGATGTATATACTCAACTATATACTTGGAAAAGGTCGTTAAATCTCCTGATTATTTTTTCGGTACTATAATTGACAATATATTTTTTGAGGAATCTCTTTGTTTGTTTATTCTGCAGAATATATAGAGATATAAAAATGTACCTGCCTTAGTAGGAAAATGAATATATTACCCTTACTAATTTTTTTTAAAAGAGATATTGTATTAGTTAAGTGGTATGATAAGTCTTTATTACTTTGATTTGTAAAAGTTATTTAAACTCATTTAATTCGACTTATAGAATACCTAAATTTTGAATTACTTTAAATAGGGAAAGTATAAGTTCTGTCTTTTGCATAGAAATATTACTAAGTTTCAGTAAAGTCATCTCACTAAGTCTTACATTGCAAATTGTCTTTTTTTTAGAAAAGTGCATACAACTAAAGGATATAAATATATTTGGAGAAGATTTATAACTTAAACTTTACCGAGACTAAAGGCCTTCTGTAATTTGAAGATAACCAACTTAGTTTGCTAATATATAACGATATTTATTCATTAGAGAAAATTTGATTTTTTTTCTAATAGGAAGTTAAAATTTAACTATATCTAAAGAGAACACTTTATTAATACATATACACTAGTATACATATAGAAATTTTATTTTAAGGTTTTTTTAGCTTGCACTAAGCCTTAATTATTCCTACTGATCAAATTAGATATCAAATGTTAGTGTGGCTCGATAGATAGATTATTGTGCCTAAATAAATTGATAATGAGAATATTGAAAGTACTAGTCAACTTTAAACTGGGACTTTAGAGAATAGGTACTTGAACTACTTTTAGGTGAAATTTCCCCATATCTAGCTCAAGATATACAAAGAGATCTAGGGCTTGCACAAAATCAAACAATGGACAAAGATCTTAAGTAATACCCTTAATGAGGTTTATGAAATTACTCTATATATATAAAAGAGATAATCAGTTAACAAACAAATAGTACTCTCATAAACTAAAGGTTTGTAAAATTTTCCAAATTACTAGTGTAAAGTTATAGGTTGTATTGGGATCTCAAGCCAAATAGGTTGAATAAAAGAAGTTATAGATACAAAGTTATATAATGTAAAATATATTGGACTTTTATAAAATGAAAACAGTAGAATGGTAAAAGGTTTAATATTAAATATCCTTTATTGGTAAATGACCCATGGAATATTTCCAATATTACTTTCAATAAGTAGCTTAGCAGGATAATTTTTAGCTTGCTAACATTTAAAAAATCGAGTTTTTCGAAAGAGTATCATATTTTATGGTGAAAATTTTAGATACATATATATTAAACACTCCAGCTTATTTCAAGTACAGATTTATCTAGAAATACTAGTAGAAAATGAGCCGTTGCAAGTCACTTTAACTTTAAATAAGCAAAGCCTCTGAAAATTATGAGTTAAAAAATTAATATTTATCAGTACTATGTAGGGTGTATCTTTTGGATTAAAGATTTTTACAATATGTAAAGATCCATCTTTTAAATATTTTCTAGTAACTATAAATTTTAACTATTTGCTTACTGACATGTAGTTTTGATCTCCTTTTGCAAATTATATACATTATACTAAAAAAGTTATAGGATAACAGTACTAATATAACTAGTTTGTAATAAGGACATATCTGTAATGAATCTATATATCTTAATGAGCAAAAAAAAAAAAAAGCAAATTCAGTCTTAATTTTAATAATGTGATCATTAATATCTCATATTCTATTTTCTTATTAAATCCCAATTTTTGTGAAAGGGAATACCTCTTAGTATACTCATTGATTTTAAATTATTTCTAGGTTACCACTAACAAATATTGTAATCCAGATAATTCATAGCTGGTAATTTTACGATAGAATCACAAAACTAGTAGCTAAGAAGTTAGGACTTTTTCACACTATTTTCAACTTCAAACTAACTAATTCCAAACTAATTCTTTCTACAACTAACTTTCTTATGCAAATTATCTTGATAGCTCAAACCCTATACCGGTAATTGTAATTGATTTTAGCTATTTTTAAATGAAAACTAATCTATTTAAGATACAAACTATCAATATTAGTAGTATTAGAGTAGAAAATAAAAAATAAAAAAGTTTATAGGTAACCAAATAGAAGACCTACTTAGATTATGAAAATAATTAATAGATTTTAGAATTAAAGTGAGTGCTGCCACCATAAAATTTGAATTTTATCAGATCAATCAATTTATATTTGTTCCTATAAGGGGAAAAAGTAGTGTTGCTAGATTTATATAACTTACCTAATAACAAAAGGTGAGTAGTTATAATTCTAGTTTGAATAAATTTTTATTATAAAAAAATAATAGTTCAATTATACTTCTATTAATGATCTTGAATTCATCACACTTTTAATACGAGTTTTATAGCACGTATTTGATTGGATTCGTAAATATATTTACAAAAGTTTCATTCTATAATTGAAAATATTAATAAGTGTTTATATATGTTAACGGAAAACTAATTTTAAATAAAGTTAAACCTAATATTCGTTGATTATTTAATAGTTGTAGAAACATGAATTTGTACAACTCTGTAACTAGTTAATATTGGAGTTCTAGCTACTTATGAATGGTTTTATTTACAAGGTTTTACAAGAGATCGGGTTTCTTATAAAAAAAAGTCAGATTTCATTTTTAAAAATATGAACTATCGAGAATATCAAATACTTTAAATTAGCGAAACTTTCTTAGTAGAGATCCCGTTCAAATTTGTCTTAAATGCAAGTCAGCTAAAACTCAATATTATGAATACTTTTCTTCTTTATACCTTGAATCTTTAAACACATATTTTATTTTGCATATAAATTCATCTTCTTTCCAAGTTTAATTAGAATGATTAGTTACGTATTTAGTCATAAGTTTTAAACCTCATAAAGAGTATTTATAGTCATTATTGACTCTCAAGTCCACTTGTAAAATTATGAATCAATATCTATTCTTAGTTATAGGTAGATTAAGATACCAATTATCAGGATTCAGAAGTATTAGTGTGAAATATGTGCACACTGTTAATAATCCACTAGTGAAAGTTTTTTGATCTTTTCCTTAGATATTTCCCGCAATTGCCAGCTGGGAGACCCTAAAGTGACCTGAGTACTAGAACTTATCTAGATCTGATGGAATATTCTGAAGTGTCAAACAACAGCATTATTAGAGTCATACTGCAATTTTTGGCTGAAAATGGTTTGGAAAAATCCTTTCATGTCTTGCAGCAAGAAAGTGGAATTTATTTGAATGGAGTTAACAGTGTTAAACTTATACATGAAAAAATAACTTCTGGAGACTGGGATCACTTCTTTTCACTCACTAAAATTGTAAACTTACCAGTAGATATGTTAGTTAATTGTTATGAACACATTATTACGGAGCTACTAGAAAATATGGAACCCTATGCAGCCAAATTCTTATTAAAAAATACAAAGCCCTGTATATTTAATATGAAAGTTTCTCATCCTTCAAAGTATAACATGCTATTAGAGTTGACTAATAAGGCTATCTGTGTAATTGAAACTGGAAGTAATGAAATTGAACAAAGTAAGAGTTATCAAGTAATTGCTAAACTTGCAAGATCTAATTATATGGAAAGTAATAGTAGAACACTATCACGCTTAAAAGTAGCAGACATGATATGCAACTTTATTGATGAAATTAAACCATCCAAGTTGCTTGAAATTATTGGAATAGCTATTAAAGCAGAAAGTGAAAGATACAGAACACTTGGAAATATAAACTACGACGGTACTATCAATGCATTTGATATTGGTGAAACCAAAACTTCCTCTCAAGATTTTAACAATAGGAAATTGAATGCAAATTTATTTCAAGAGACAGATAATAATCCTAGAAGCATTATATGCGCAATTGATAAATTTGAGAATATAAATTTTAGTACAAAAGAATTCGGAAGAATTAATTGTGTTACCTTTTCACCAGATGAGTCCAATATAATAATTGGTACATCACTGGGTTTCATATGCATATGGAGTTGGATAAGTGACGAATTAAGTAAGAAAATTGATACAGATGACTTTTTTTTCAGTTATAAAAGTGATAAGTGTAGTATTATTTCAGTGTGTTCCTCTATATATAGAAGTGATGTTTATGCTGAACTTAAGATAAGCAATTATGGCGTAGAAGAGAGTCCAAGCTTCTTAATAGCATCTTCTAGTGAAAATTGCGAATTAAAACTCTGGGATAATTTTAAAAATTTAATATACTGCTTACAGAATATTCATGATAAACCTGTGACATGCATGACATTTAACAAGGATGGAAGTTGTATTTTATCTGGATCTTATGATGGAAGTGTTAGAATCCATGGATTAAGATCTAGAAGAATGTTAAAATACTTTAAACATATTAATAATAGCTCTTTCGTTAACACTGCAGTCTATAATAGCACCGAAGCTCTAATTATAAGTGGCTACTCGGATGGCACAATAAATGTCTGGGATACAAGGAATTGTGAATGCATTGCTACCTATCCATTAAATAATAGTTCAATAATTTATTGTAATATAATTGACAAGCCATATTTACTATTCAAACTAGCTGAAGAAGGCTATCCTGAAGTACTCAATAACAAAAAAAAAATAACCAATACTAGCGACATTATAATATTATGTACAAGTTATGAAATTTCCATTCTTAATATCTGCAGTGGGAAAATAAATAACTTATATAATATAGCAGATAAGGGGAATGATGGGATTTTCATAAGATCTATTGCTTTACACCCAAGTTTGCACTGGATCTATATTCTATGTAGTAATAATTGCTTATTTTGTATTAATATAACCAAAACAGAGTCAATTGACTATATACTAATTAGTGAAAATGTTGAAGATATAAAGAATGAAGAAACTAACATTAAGTCCCAAGTTATTACCAATAAAAACTCCAATATTTACTACAGTTTGAAGTATAACACACTTATTTATTATAATAACAATGAAATACAACTATATGGAGTGAGTATACCCTTTAATAAGCAATAAAACTTGTCAATTAAATTAATCTCTTTAGTTAAATAATTAATCAACAATTCAATTTGTTGATATCTCTTTAAAGAATTGAACTTATTCACTCCATTGCATTATATTATTGACAACATTGTATATCTCATCCTTCTCAAGTGAGAAGTGGTATTGAAGCAAACTTAATGATTTAGTATCTTCTTTGCACTTAACAGCTAGGTTAATGATGTTTTGAAGTACACCAAAATTTTTAAGACTGTGCATTGTACTGATAGAACTAAAAAAAGGTGAATATATCTTATTTATAAATGGAAGCTTCAGTTTTGAAGGATAAACTAATTTTCTAGATGTAATACTACATGATAATATACTCTCAATTAATCTCATAAGTTTTTGATCTGGCTCAACTCCACGAAAAATTGACCACTGAATCAAAGAAGTTGGTTGTCTCAAATCACCCCATTCACAAAAGTTAATAAGTGTCCCTGGTGCTAAAGACTTCTCGTATACAAAGCTTAGATTTTTTCTAGAATTTAACTCTTGTGTAGCTAATATAGGCAGAATAGGTTGTAAATACAAATTCCTAAATGGATGATAATATGAATCAATAAACTTTGAATTAATATTGTTGTAGGCAGATATTGATCTAATTGGAAAAGTCAACTGATCATAAACAATAGCTGAAAGGATATATGGATTGTTAAAAAACTGATTATCAGAACAAATTGACTCCAGATATTTAAAATTAGAGAGCCAAATACTGTCTATATAAGAACAATGATCTAGTAGGCCCTTTGCTGTTACCATACCCCAAATTAAAGAATGAGTTGAGTGTTTAACTATGTCTCTACAACTTCTAAGAAAAGTCATAGAGAACTTCGGTACATTTGGTACTTCATCAGTAATATATTCCAGAATATCAGTTGAAATGTGCCCATATAAGTCATTTAATTCATTAATTAAGTGGATATATCGAGTTGAGTCAGAACTTTCAAGTTCATGTCGAATAATATCTTTAAGAGTACTGGGATTATAACTTATATTGTCAGCATTGTTTATATCTGAAAGATAATAATTATTAATAGTTTGTTCTAAAGCATTCTCTGAATCAATAGTTTTGACGCTATTACTGTCATTAGCTTTGTACTTTAGCTCAAGCTTGTATATATTTTTATTTGCAAATATACTCTCAAATATATTTCGGGAGAATATAGAACTCGTACTTCTCTTACATATTTGGTTAATCATAGAAACTTCGTTATCCCAAAGTACGTTTTGTAAATTTCTTACTATATCGCTCCCAGAAAGTGAGTTTGTATAAGGTATCTGACTTTTCAAGCAAGAGCTTGAGTTATACAAGGTGGTAAGTTCATTCATCTGACTAATATTGTAATTACAATCAAATACAGCTATAGATTTCGGTTTTCCATCTAGTTTATATGATGATTTACATATTTCATATGCATATGGGTCATCAACTTTGGCTTCACTGTAATTAGAATTACTAATGGACCAGTAGTAAGATCCAACAATAAATGGTATATTGCCACATAATATATTAATATTTGCCATCTAATACGAATAACTAAGAAAAATAAACTATTTAATGAGCCCCGTTTACTAACTCATTTTTCTGAATTTTTGACAATTTGACCTTATTAGCTGTCATAAAAAGAGCGGGTAGTAGGCAGTTGTTGCTAAGGGGGAGAGGGGTTGCAGAAATTGACTACTCTACAAGGTGCTACCGACTTGTATAAGATACATTATTTGACTCTTGATTTGACAATATTCTAAGACCATATTACTAAATAAAGAGACCCTTTGAAATCTGTACCTAGGGATTTTAGTTCAGGATTGTGCTGGAGGAAGTATTATACAGTTATTGATGTTTATGTAGTTGACAAAAGTGTAGTACTTGAGAAGTAATTATTTTGAATCAATATTGCAACTTTCCAAAAAAGAGATGGATATTTCAGAGTTATTAGATGTAACAAAACCATATGATCTTCAAAAAGTCCAGATGCTTGATGAACTAGTTGGTATCATGTATGGAACTCGATTGGGAGATAGAGTATTAGCTGACAAGATACTAAGCGAACTAAGGCAAAAAACCGAGTCTTGGCGTATTGTAGGTAATATATTACAATTAAGTAGGGACTACAATACTAAATTTTTTGGCTTAAGCATATTGGAGAAGTGTATTCAGTACCAATGGAAAATCTTACCCAATGAGCAAAAGATGGGAATTAAGCAATATATCACGGAACTATGCATTGAATTATGCCAAGATGAGAATATTCTGAATGAAAACAAGTATTTTTTGAACAAAACAAATGAGACGCTAATTATGATTGTTAAACAAGAGTGGCCTGATAATTGGGAAAGCTTTATTGGAGATATATGTAATGCCGCTAGGACAAATCAATACATATGTGAAAATACAATGAAGTTGCTAAGATTATTGAGCGAAGAGGTTTTTGATTTTGGTGAGGATCAAATGATATCTAAAAAGGTCAGCCATTTAATGACTATTTTGAATCAGCAATTTCCTCAAATATTTTCTTTAATCTTATTTGTACTAGTCTCATACATTGAAAATCCTCAAAATCTAAGATCTAGTTTGGTTCTATCTTCTTTGGAGTGTTTATGCCATTATCTGAAGTGGATCCCATTGAGTTATATTTTAGAGTGTGATTTAAGGCCCCAACTCGGCATAAATATATCAAATGATAATGTAAGGTATAATTTGCTTCAGCTACTTCTAGATCACTTTTGGGGAAATTCGTCCTATAGATTAGAAACAATTAGATGTTTAACAGAGATAGCAAATTTAAATTGGGATGATAATAATACATCCAATATAGACAAGGTAAAGTACATGGATGATCAAATGATACGTATCTGGTTGAGTATAGTAAATCACATTAAAGAAGTACCTAAAGAATATGTAGAGTATGAAACTAGAAGAGATATTACAACTGCTATTAAATTATACTATGAGAAATATTACAAAAATATTACTTTACTGCTATCTAGCTTCATTAAAACACATAGGGTGAGAATTTGTGAGAAATTACCAGATACCATTCAAGCTTTGGACTTCGCACTAGATCACATGGTTAGCATAAGCTATATTCAAAATGATGAAATATTTAAAATATGTAGCGATTTCTGGCTTCACTTCACAAAACAATTGGTCTTTGAAATTTTGGATGTATTTAGAAGTAGAAATGAATATAGTGCTAACAATTTGGATCAAAACTTTGACAACCTAGTTAATCAACCATTACTACTCCTTAAAGAATCCACTAACATTAGTGATAAAATTCCATCTACTACTAATAGCCCATTTGATAATCCAGAGGAATACAGTCCAAGATTAGTGCACTACCAAGGACTACTTTGTAGTGTTAGAAAGATGATTATTTGCAGAATGGCGAAACCACAAGAGGTCTACATTGCAATTGATGCTGAGACTGGTGAGGTTTCAAGAGAGAATATACCTGATACAGATGAAATTTCTTTATACAAAATATTGCGCGAAATTTTGATCTATCTTAGTAATCTTGGACAGCAGTATATGGAGAAGATCATTTTAGATACTTTACAAGAGGAATTTGATGTTGTTTGTATTCATTGTGGAATTTCGTGTGTTTGTAATAGTCCTACAGGTAGCCAATGGAACCCTATAAAATTAAACCGTCTATGTTGGGCAGTGGGAAGTATTAGTGGTAGTTTGAATAAGAATAGTGAAAGGAGATTAATAATTGAGGTAATAAAGTCGTTATTGATGCTATGTGAAAGAAAACGTGGTAAGGCAAACAAAGCAGCAGTTGCAAGCTGTGTCATGTACGTTGTAGGGCAATATCCTAGTTTTCTAAAGGATCATTGGAAATTCCTTCAGACAGTTGTAAATAAGCTTTTTGAATTTATGCATGAAACATTTCCAGGAGTTAAAGATATGGCTTGTGAAGCCTTTTTAAAAATATGTATGAAGTGTAAGAAATCCATGTCTATCAATAATTTTATTGATAATACTGCAGGCTCATCTAGCTTTATTTCAGTAAACTCTTCAGGCTCAGAGTCAACTGAATTTCGTTTTTTAAAGTACATGATAAACTATACACAGGAATTAATGCACCATTTAAATGAGAAACAGATGCTGATCTTGATTAATGGGATATCTTTATGTATATCATTATTAAAGGATATTAATGAACAATATTTATACATTACTGAACTACTAAAAGTATTTGACAATGTGTATTGGAATGATATCATGGTAAAACTAGCTAATTTGAAACAAGCAAATTTTGAAAATCAAGAAATGATTGGATCTTTTTGTTCTCTTGAAGTATCTCAGCGAGTAATAACAATTGTTAGAATAATGGAAATGATTGCTTCAAGTAGTGGCATTGGATTTTCAAGAGTTTTAACTGAAAGGAGCCATTCTATTATGGATATCTACAATATATACTCTTCTTATATATTGGAAGAAATTCAGCTCAAAGGGATTTCAATAATTGCATATGTAAATATTAAGCAGTTGCGAAATTCCAAAAAAGAAATAATAAAATTAGTTAATTCATATATTACATGCATTTCACCAAAAAAGAATAAAGATATAAAACATAGTGAAGCTCTTGATATAAATCATTGTAAAGATTTAAATATCGTGAAGTATAGTAATATTACAGGTACTGAACTATGTCACTATGTAATTGGACCACTAGTAATTCCAATATTGGAGGAATACAAGAATTGTGGAATTTATTCTGATGCTAGGGAAGCTCAAGTGCTGAATTTAGCTGCTAATGTTATAATGTGCTTAAGCGAAATCATTGAATCAAATATTGATTTATTTAACTCCATAATATTTTATATATTTGAATGTACTTTATCAATGATTAAAGATAATTTCCATACATACCCTGATCATAGGGAATATTTTTATCAGTTTCTTGCCAACTGTAATGAATTCTGCTTTGTTCAACTTCTGAGGTTACCAACAAATATTTTGACATTGTATATAGAAAGTATTATTTGGGCTATTCGTCATGAGCAACCAAACATGGCAGAAAAAGGCTTGACAATATTGAACAAATTCATTGGAAACTTAATTCAAAGTTCTCATAATGGTGAAGAGAAAGTTTTCAATGATTTCTGTCATGGATTTTATCGATCATTGAATCGTGAAGTTTTAAGTGTCCTAACTGACACTTTACACACAAGTGGTTTTCATTATCAGACACTAATTCTACACCAGTTGGTTAAAATAGTGGAATTTTCACTCATATCGAATAATGGTAATTCAAACAACTGTGTAACCTGTGGAGGAACTTGTTTATTATCGAAAGTTGTTATAATGGAATATATGGTAGATTTACTGCTCAAATCCTTTATAACTGTACAAAAAGAACAAGTAGAGACATTTGTGCTAGAGCTATTTAACTCTGTCCATAATAATACCATTGCGGAATTTCAAACATTAGTGAGAGACTTTCTTATACAATTAAAGGAATTCTCAAGTATTGATTGCAAAGCTATATATCAGATGGAAAAGAACATGGCTATTCAGAGAGCAATGGAAATTGAGAAATCAAAAAAGTGGATGGTACCTGGATTAAGTAAAACTTTTAAAACACGAGAAGTTAGCTTAAGTGACATGGAGATATCTGAACGAGCTTATGTTGATGACAATGATGAATAGGATTTGAGTTCCCTTATTAAATTTATGACAAGGTGTTGCATTCTTACCTTATTTGCTCATTTTAAGTTAAACTAGTAGCGGGCCTAAGTACTATAAGGTGTGGTTTCAAATTTCCGGAAATTTGGTGTTGTATTTGTTAGGATAAGGTAGATAGATGTACTAGACTTAACAATACTTCATTACGACTGTATTTTGAAAAGATTACATAATATTTTGAATAGCTAATTTATACTATTCAATCAAATAACGATCTTTTTAAATTCTGAGTATTTGCAAACTTAAATCTTTAGATGCCTAGACGTAAGGAGAAGCAAGAAATCACGAATGCGGCAACTTTCCCAAACAGAAGAAATACCACTGATGATGATGATGAAGAAAGTGATCTAAGAGATGTGAATCCAATTTTTGGATGTTTAATTCCATGTTTAATGTGCTGTATATACCCTTATCGCGCATTCTTCTTAGTTGGGAGGCACATATTTAGAAGAAAATCCAAAAATAAAAGATTTCAAACAACAAATGATCGTAGAATGGTCGTTGAGGAGCACTTTCAACAGTTAAATTGCTGTGTGTGCAATTGCCAATGTACTACTAAATGCAACAGTGCAAAATTAAGGTCAAATCTAGTAAAGAATCAGAATAATCTCCAACAATATCCAGAGACTTCATTAGGGAACTATTCGTTTAGTCCTGAAATATCCAATTCCAATTATGCAGGTATTCCTTTGTCAAATTCATATGGACCAAGGAGGTATGTTATTGATACAATACATAGAGATAAACATGATAAAAACCAATTTACACACTGTTCTTCAGGATTTGATGTAGAAGTGGAGAGGAAAAGTAAAATAGCCCAGATTTCATCCTCGAAGCACCATTGGCATCTGAGTGATATATATAGTACTGACAAGGGTAAGAGTAATATAAATATAAAACATAATAAGGAATTTATTAATAAAAAGTCTCGATCTGAAAATAGAAGGCAGGTGGATTTTCTTCCAAATTGTACTTCCCTTGCATACAGTGATACAATTATTCTGAAGTATCACCAAGGTATATGTTTTGTGGATGAATAACTGATTTATCTCGTGTAGTTGAGTGATATAGAACATTAAGGTTATAGAATACTATGTTATTAAGGCATTTTTAGGTAGCTAATGCTTGCAAAACTATAATGGTTCTTAGTGTGGTACTTTTTATTCTATAAAGTGGTTGGAGTTCACATCATATTTACCAATCAATAAATGGATCTGCATTTCCAGCTATTACTGCAGGCTGTTCATGGCTATCTGGATATTCCTCGAAGTTAGAAGAGTCTTCATGTGATTTCACCTTTGGGATATATGGAGGTTGTATTTTCTTCTCATAAAGAAGTTCGAAGTCATAACCATAAAACCATTTATGTGTCTTTATATCATTAACCCCTCCCTTAAGATTGCCATAACGTTTTGTAAGATCGGGCGTTAAAAGCCGTTTTACAAGACTTTTGCAATTCTTATCAAAATATTTTGGGAAAAATATCTTACCTGCTAAGATTTTCTGGTATATACCCATAGGCTCGTCATCGTAAAATGGTGGAAAACCTACAACCATTTCGTATATTAATATACCAAGAGTCCACCAATCAACTGGCTTTCCATGTCCCTTATTAAGAAGGACTTCCGGAGCTATATATTCAGGTGTTCCACATAAGGTAAAAGTTCTGTATTCTATTATTTTGGCAAAACCAAAGTCTGTCAATTTCAAGTAACCCTCTTTATCAATTAATATGTTCTCTGGCTTTAGATCTCTATAAATAATATTTTTTGCATGCAAGTATTCGAACATTAGTACTACTTGAGCTGAATAGAAACGTGCAGTGTCATTATCGAAGTGCCTGCATCGCCTTAGATATGTAAAGAATTCTCCACCAATGACGAATTCCATAATTATATATAAATATCTATCATCTTTAAATGTGCCGTACATCTTCACCAAAAATGGATGACTTATTTTCCTCAAAATAGACTTTTCATTTGTAATATGATCCACCTGCTTCTGGCGAATCACAACACTCTTCTTTAATCTCTTAATAGCAAATATACTTCCGTCTTTTTTTAGTTTAGATAAGAATACTCTACCAAATGACCCTGTACCTAATGTTCTAATCAGTTGGAAGTCATCAATTCCATATTTTGAAGTAGTATTTGTTTGCTGATTAGTAGTCATTGCTACTGTACTATGGGTACCATATGTTACTGAAGTATTATTGCTACTTGCTACAGTAGGGGCTTTATAAGTATTCAATGTATCTTTTAATGGTTGGCCTTTCCCTCCCGAAACTAGTCGTTTCCATATGCCTTCCATCTGTTTTTCCTCAAAACCTTTATTTCCTATGTAGTTATTTTCGGTACTCCTTGGCTTTTGTTCTCAAGTGTCACTCAAAGACCCCAGTATTATGCATCATTGGAAATGTTATATTTTGTTAGATAATGCTATGTAGTATACGTAGCTATACGTACGTTTTTCTTTCATTGCACACCAACCCTTTTCTGTAGTGAACGGAGCCAACTGTTATAAAGCTTCACCAGCGTATGCTTGTGTACATGGTAGCGCATGTAGCGACATGACGTTTGCCTAAAAAAGTATTCTGTAGAACTTCTATCGAGTAATTCAAGGGAGTAGAAACAAAACTTTTATTCATATTTAACTAGTTAAATTACTGTAGAATAAGCATAAAGGGAAAATAACTTGACTTCAAATACTGCCTCTATTAATAGATAGGTTAGCTCTCTGCTTTGATATTTATCTCGTAGCTGACAAATCTAAGCAGCTACTCTTGAAGAGCACTATCAAACAAAATAAGACTATTTCCTATTTATAGTAGTATTGTAATTGTGAGGAATAGCTCTTTTCGTGATTCAACTGATAGACTGTGCAAGGCCGACAAACAAATATAAGTACAGTCAGTATCCAATATTAAATAAATAAAGACCTATACTAGTCAATTATTACTTAGCTAAGCTACGCTTTTAAGTCAAAAGTGGGTGATAATACCCCTGGGACCTAGGTTTCAATATTAAACGTCATGTCGTACGCAAGGCGGTGCCTCCACCCACATGTAAATAAACATGTGGGATCATAGCTAAATAAGCAAAATAGAGAGTTTAAAATAAAAAGCACTTAGTGATGTCTTAAAGGGATATGTTAAAAAAAAACTACATATTATGGTAATAATGAGAAGCATAGCGGTGGCAGTGGAGGAGGGTAATGTTTATTTGGTACCAGAGTTTTATAAGTACATTAAAAAAGTTGGCAGTGGCGCTTATGGCTGTGTAGCTTCATTTTATGACAGATCTAAAGGTAAGTATATAGCTGTTAAAAAGATACTTGATGCATTTCAAGATCTAATCGATGCAAAGAGAATTCTACGTGAGATAAAGTTATTAAGACAGTTACATCATGAGAATATACTTAGTATCATTGATTTATTACCACCAGAATCACCATATTTTAATGATATTTACATAGTAACTGAACTTATGGAGACAGATTTACATCGTGTCATATACAGTAAACAAACACTAACAAATGAGCATATTCAGTACTTTATGTATCAAATTTTGCGTGGACTATCATATCTGCACAGTGTAAATATCATCCATCGCGACTTAAAGCCATCTAATATATTGGTAAACTTATCATGTGATTTAAAAATCTGTGACTTTGGACTTGCGCGTGGAAATATCGGGAACTTGGATAGTAATACAGATGATCTAACAGACTATGTAGTTACAAGGTGGTACAGAGCACCCGAGATAATATTGTGTGTTAATAGGTATGACAAGGCTGTTGATGTATGGAGTGCAGGTTGTATATTTGCGGAATTAATAAAACGTAGTGCATTATTTGCAGGTCATGATCACCTTGATCAACTTAAAGAAATCATTTCTTTGTTAGGAACTCCGAATAAAGAAGACCTCGATGAATGGTTACCATGCAAAGGTAATACTGAGAATGCAAGAAAGTATCTTGAAACCTTGCCATATTATAGAGGGAGAACATTTTTCTCATTATTTCCTGATTATAATCATCCTCTAGCAATTGATCTACTAAATAAGATGCTTTGTTTCAACCCAAAGAAGAGAATAACTGTTGATGATGCGTTAATGCATCCATACTTTAATGGTATATATGTGGGTAATAATAAGAGCTGCAATGATACAAAAGATAGTACAGATAATACAGATAAGAAGTGGATTGCCAACAAGGGGAATCTTGTAAGTAATAGTACTATAGACTGGTCATTTGACAAATTTGAGCCTACTAAAAGACTATTACAAAACAAAATATATGAGGAGATAGCAGATCTACATCCGGAAATGTTGATTCGTGATTTTCAACACTTAAATTCCTTAGGAATTAATATTCCAAGGAAGCATTTACCATTACTTCGATCTAAAGGACTAGTTGCAAATACAATTTGCAGTGATAGGATAAATTCTTATGTTCTTGATACACTGCTAAGTACAACATCATCATCTTCATCATCATCTACTCCTGCCAACAGCTTTAGTATTACTAGTCCACTAGATATTGTAAAAAAACTCTCTGTGGTAGGTAAACAAAAAAGATTGGCCAACTCCCAGCCAATTCCCAAAAATCAAAGCGAACAAAGTACTGAAGGACAAAAAAGAAGCATAGCTCGAGATATGTGTTATTCACTACCTACGTCATCTAAAGCTGTATCTGCCTACTGTACTTATCCTGAACTATCATATATGGGAGATCATTCAACAAATGATAAAATAAACCATTCATTTGATGTACTAAGGACTAAAATGGCTTTATATGTTAAGGATCGTAAAAATTCTTACATCTCAAACTGACTTATAAAACAAAATATTCACCAGTATACTGTAATTTTAGCCAAAGCTTTAAGGAAAAGTTGCGAATCTTTAAATAAAGACACTAGTGTCTATATTACACTAGCTATAGGCTACTTCTTAGGCGCTCTATACTGAGCTGAAATATTTGGTAAAGTAGGAAAAGTAGGGAGAATGCAATGCTTTAAATCTTGAAGTAAACTTTAGTTTTTACTACTATACTAAGCACACTATGATGATGGATAATAGCGTGTCAAGTAGTAATAATGTTAATAGACATTATCTACAAAGTGTGTTTAACTGTCCAATTGTTTCGGATTCAGGGAAGAATACTCTGAACTCGTACTTATTAACTACATCCCTAGATCAAGTCCGTATACATCCTGCCATATTACGACTTGGAATGAGAATGAAAGAAAGGTTAGTTATCGGAACAAACGAAAGGAGTCGTAGTTTGCTTGTTGCTATTGGTCAAATGCTAGAGGACTACTTTTGTCCAGCATATAAGAATATTGAAAAACACATCAAGATAGTACTAGATACGCACATAACGTATATAACATCGCAGCGACAACATAATATTGCAATGGGAAATGTCATAAAGTGGTTAAAAAAACAGATTAACAGCATCAATCCATCTTTGGAAACAGGTGTAATTATAAGTCAATTAATCAATAACATTAAATCATATATAGATAGGAGGATAATTATTTCATGTGAACGAATTTCCCAGATAGTATCTAATGAGTATATTTCAAATGGTGACGTCATAATTATTTATTCTTTTTCGAGTGCTGTGAGCAAATCATTGTACAACTCTGCTAAATTAGGTAAAAAATTTCAACTTATTGTTATAGATTCTAAAAATAATCTGGATACTAATTGCCAAAAACTAACAAAGAAGTTATCTTTACTTGGTATAAAAATCACTTATACTTTATTAAATAGTTTGTCGTACCACCTAAAATATGCCAACAAGATACTACTAGGATCATGTGCTGTCTTTTCAAATGGTTATGTGATGAATCGCTCGGGTTCAGCACTAGTAGCACTTTTAGGTAAGACACATCATATACCTGTCTTGGTACTTACTGAATCATACAAACTATGTGAAAGGAATTACATTCAATATTCGACAACTTTTAATGAAATTGTGGAGCAACCACTAGTGAATATTAGTGGAAATACCGTCTCATCAGTTATTTCGTGTTACGACGTCATTCCTCCAAATTTTATAAGTGCCATTATTACTGAGGATGGTATTCACTCAACAACGGCATTTGCCCTGCAGCTAAATAAGGACAGCCATTAACATTATCTGTATATTAAGGATGTAATGTCTTTATTACAATCCGTGAATATTCCTTAAAATGTAGAAGCTAAATAAGTTACTTTTTAATATTTCACCTTCATTTATTTCAAATATAAATGAGATACCGCTTTAAAGCTTCATAACATGAAAATTTCCCCTTCATACAACTAATAGATCCCCGGATGAATTTTTGTCTGTATCTTCTCAGTGGATAATTTTAGTTCTACCATACGCGCTTAATGCATTACGTCTTAACTGTGTCCTTAAATGACTATTTTAGAGACCATTCCAGGAAAGCAGGACTATACGAAGAGATAGAAAATTACAAAAAATCGAACTTATTTGATGTTAAGTACTTCTTATAATAGTCTCTAATATATATTCAGGGAGGCAATGTCACTTATGATTAATTTGATGTATAGTAGTACTAGCATAAATTAATTAATACTGTGAACAATTTATTCGCAAGACGAAATACTAAGAATTCCCAACAACATTTTGCAATTTAGTTTTGCAACTTTGAAATTGTAATATATTCTGAATGGTAAGTACCTTTTAAGTAATGTCACGATAGGTTACCTAAGAAAGTGGTAAATATTCTACTTATTGTGTTGTAATGATGCTCTTATTGGTTTCCGTGTTTCTGAAATGTCTTTTTGAAGATAAATATTAACTTACTGAACTCCCCAATAAGTGAATATATATACTACATATCTATTTTATATTTGGGATAATGTGTGATGTAAATTAAGTTTTTGGCAACAATGATGATTGACAATTTTTTTCCGTATATATCATTTGACGAATCCTATTGTCGCCCCAGTCTGATTATTGCCAATGTGAAGTATTTATATTACCTAAGTGCTAGAAGTTACTTTATTAACTCTTTAGACAAACTGAAAATTTCTCACACCTTTTTTTTTGTCCTTATGTTGACATTAATATTTCAGACTGTAGGTTGTGATATTAAACTGAAGTTACGTGAGAACTTTTATCCTCAAGATAGTTATGTATGTGGAATCAATCTCTTCTATTTCTACTTGTTGGAAAAGCTACTAAATAATGAAGTGAAAGCCCGATATATACTTCAAGATATTAACTTTAATATTCCAGAATATTGGTCTACTATTGTAGAATTTTGTATATCGCAGGGATTTGACACTTGTTTAGTGTCACTTTCACTCGTAACATTTAGTCACGCAAGCTGTGACAAGAATCAACACAAGCTATTTCTAAGAAGATACTTTTATTGTAATAAGAAAAGAGGTATGGTTCATAGCAATCTGCAAGAACCTATTTCTAAATATTGCAGTTTTATTTTATATAGTACACAAGATGTCTTTAAAGAATGTAAGGCTAAACTGAGTGAATGTGACCTCAATGCAGTTTCAGAATATACATCTATTATCCAATGTCTAATAATAGATATTATTGGGTCAAATTGTGAGAAGGAATGTAAAGTTGTCAACAAAAAGATCAGTTCGACATTATTAAATATATTATTAATTCTTCTGAGTACAGTAATTGAGGGGACAAACTTTTACAAATTACAGAAGATATTAACTACCTTACTGAATTTGGTTGTAAAAGTATATCATATGATGGACAATATATACTCTTCTTATGGAATTTTAATAGATAATAATAGTATCCTACATAAAATCACACTACTTCTAAGCTATAAATATGTCTTTATGCTATCTAAAGAAACTATATCTGGATTTGGCCACATTTTAGCTTATTTTCTATATACTTTATATTACTTTGAAGTGTCTTCAACTATAACTAATAGTATAGATATTTCAAGTGGTACAAATAGGGAAGATATTACTGACATTTTATCTAAATATTTGTATAATACATCGAATATAGGACTGATGGCTACTTATAGAGGTTTTGTAATTTTACTATCAAGACTGGGAGCCAGTGATCAATTATACAAGAGTACATTTGAAGCTGCATTTTATCTATTTATTAAGTTTATTACAACAACAGATGAATCTTATGGAACAAATTTGGAGAAGATATATGCTCTTCAATCATTGCTAGTACTACTATCTAGTATTAGATCAATTGCTCATAAAAGCAAGAAGTTCATAGATGTACTATTTTTTACTAAAAACCACATGAAGACTTTAGTCAAAACTATCTTTTATATCTGGGACTACCCTAACAACTATTATACAGCACAGGTATGCCTAATATGGGATGAGTTAGTTAAGCTTCTAGTTATATTAAATGACTTACCTACTATTCATTGGTTAGTGTATCTTGTTTTGAACTACTATTGGTTAGATGCAAAGTATCAATTTTATTCACTTCAGTCTATTTTTAGTTGTTTAATTACCAATAAGGACTTTGTTGAAGAATTGACATCTTCAAATATAAAGGATGAATTCTATAATTTTTCAGTGAAACCATTTTTGAATATATATGAATCCGAACCGAACTCAAAATTTGAAAATCAATTTTTACTCAAGTTACTATTTTCATTATCAGTTAATCATTTGTTCAGCTCTGCCTTAAGACTACTGAAGACTTGGATTAAAATTTGCTTAAAAATGATATCTAACAAAAAAGACGAATATAAAGTATTTACTAATATTTTAAAAGTAAGTTTCAATATATACTATGAAACTAGATACGATAAGGTTGGCGATTTGGATTATCTAAGCTATAGGAACAAAATATCTAACTTTATTTTTTCAATAATGCAAGAGAAATATATTACATGTGACTATGTTGATTTGTACAAGCTATTGTCTAGATATATTACTAAGGATGAAGCAAAGAGGTGTAAATTGGATGCTATCCAAATAATGTTGTTACTACACGCACAAAGATGTGAAAAAGTGGCATGGAAAGATGAATTAGATAAAAGTACTCAGTTTTCTCAACACTTATATAGCAACATAGTATTATTTAATGAAAATCAAACTGTAGAAATCAGTTATAAACAATTCATCAGGACTCTAGTTTCTTCTGAAACAAACAATATTATTAAATTAATTGACTTTTTGGTTCAAAAATTCAAATTTTATTGTACATCCAAAAAATCCTGGAAATTAATAGAGGTGAACAATGTATACTTAATAAGAGAACTAGAATATTTATATCTGCTTATTTATCTTGGAAGAACTACAAATACTGAAGAGTTTAAGTACTTATTGAATTCACTGTATAAGGTATTTAACTTAATTAAGAAGTTATTACCTGATTCTGTCAACTGGGAAGTGAAGGTTGCATTGAATTATTGGCTGTACAAACTTTATAGATATTTGGTTTCATCTATTGGACTATACATGCCATATGATAGATATACAAGATCACTATCAATCCTCAAAATTTACCTCTCATCTGTAGACTTTGGAATATCATGTTCTACATCTTTGATTGATAATAACAAGTGGATTTCTGATAAATACTCTATCAATTTAACTTTATACTATAAATTGTTGAGTCTGACAACTATTACAAGTTTGAACTCTAAAAAGTTTATTGCTTATGAACTTTTATTAAATTACCAATTTTACTTTGGTGACAGTATATATATAGCTGAGACACAGTTAATAGATAAAAACGAATATTATTTAAAAAGGATTCAGATTTTAAGAAAGATGCTGTATAGTAGGAGACCTAAAGATTATAGAGCTTGCTGTATATATATTTGTTGTTTGATCAAGCGTAGCAAAGGTGGAGAGGTACTAGATAATTTGGCCAATGTATTAGATATCCCAATGAACTTCGAAGATATGAGAGGCAAGAGTATTTATTTACAGCTCATTAATGCACTCTTCAATAGTATTAAGGAGAAAGTAGATATTTTAAATTCCAATAATATTTTTGAAGAGTTTAATTCTGTAAAGTTTAATGGACTTATTGTTTTATTAGGGACTTTAACTGATCTTTTTAAAATTGAAATATTTGAAAAAGATAAGAAATATTTTGATTGTAAAATTGATGAATATTGCATTGTACTAGGTTTAATCAAACAATGCCTGGTTTTGCTAATAAACATGACTAAAGTAATATCTACTATTAGGAGATATAATGGTATGGAATCTTTTATTGAAGAACAAGAAATCAGAGTGAAGGATATTGAAGTTGATACCTGGAAAACTTTTGAGGAGTGCTGTAATACAGTGAGAACTTTTTTGCAAAATTACTCACTTGAACAACTATTTTACAATAGTAGATGTATATATAGTCCTTCGAATTCTTCTATTCATGATTACATCTTATATATTGATTTTCTTGACTTATTAGGAATCAGTTATATTAATATTATCTTGCAATGTAATCATACAGGTATGGTAGATAGAGCTTGTGAAATTCTTTTGATAATCTGTAATAGCTTAACAAATAAGAAATTATTAAACAAGAAGGGGGAAATTATAGAGACTCAGGAAGAAGAATATGTTAAAAGTTACGATAACGAAATTTACTTCACTTCTGAAATTACAATTGAGCTTTCAAATGTTTGTAATTTACCCCTATTTTGGCTATTCGATATTATAGATAGGATATTTTATGCAGATTATAAACGGGCAAGAGAATTCAAAACCATTACTTTTGATTTAGATCTGATTAATAATTCATATTCTGAGTATTTAAATGGATGTACTTTTCATAAAGTCAGCGTTGATAATCAGTACACTAAATCTACATGGGAGAGATGTACTAAAAGAGAAGGTTATATTGGGCAAGATAAAGCAGGAATACCTAAGTTACACAGAGAACAAATCTCTGAAATTCCTTCACCAGTTAGAAAGTCAGATCCTCTTTGCAAAATTATTGGTATTCTATTTTCATCGTTGATGGTAGATTCATCAAATATACCCATATTAAGTATTTTAATTAAGATTTTCTTACTTGGGAATGAATTTAGCACTTTACAAGTGACTCCAAACAAGCAAGGCTACTCAAATTTGATTTCTATTAATATGAAATTCACTCCCATTTACTGTAACCATATTATAGCGAGTTTACTATTAGATTCAAATTTGAATAAAATATCTAGCTTTGAACTTTTCGATGCAAACCTAATTTGTGGTATTCTATTAACCACAGGGAGATATATTGACAATAATGTGAATACTAAAGAAGGGAAGTGGTTAGAATGCAATACTGCTGTTAACCTATTATCTTCTTTAATTAAAAAGATTGGTAAAGGGAATAAAGCTGACAAGTATATATTAAACAAGGATTCAAATAAAAGAAATGATCACCTTAAGTTTTGCGAATTTTATTCTTGTAATAAATCAAAGTACCAATGTGGGTTAGATACAGCAAACTGTTTTTCTTACTCCCTCAGTTACTTGAATAGAAGTTTTAAAGGTCTGAAAGTTTTTGTAGAGAATATTTTGAAGAATTCCAGAAATCTGTATTTTATAGGAATGATGCTCATTTTTCTCTCTGAAGTGTCAATTATTTGGAGTGATTGTAGTGTTAGCTTAATAATTACTATAATGAGTCTTATTAATAATAAATCATACTATATCCGTTTATATGCTTCAAGATTATTAACTAACATCATCTTTAATAGCTCAAATAGAAATGAATGCTTTGATATAGAGTATATTTCCAAAAGTAAAGTGACTAGACAACAATATATAGGAACAATAATGAATTACATCCATTTGGAAGATTGGCTATATGAACTATTTGAAATTTTAGTTAATACATCCAAATTGTGCTTGAATATACTAATAACCAAAATAAGACGAATTGTTTGTTTAATTGAAAATCATCTTTCAAATTCTTCTAAATTAAACTATAATCTTATACATGGGATGCTACTACTTTGTATAGAAATAATGAGAAGACCTGGAGTAAGTTGCAACCATAAAGAAACTATTGATGAACAAAATGAAGTTATTTCAGAAGCAAATATTGCACTTCAAGTAATTTGCAACAAGATATTAGGAAGGTACTTTTGTTCTTCTCCAAGTTATAAAGTGGTTAAGACAGTCTTTGTTGAACTATGTGACTTATTGATCCATATTATTTTTGATATATATGGGGATGTTTGTACCAATATTTTGGCTGTAGATTCTGTAATAATATCTCTGAACTTAGCTTTAGCTCCAAATATTCAAAATAATATCTTTGATGTAATTTGTTCAAGGGTATACCTTGTTCATCTTTTAGAAGTGAATAAATATGACGAACTATTGGATAAATTGCAAGCAGACTTTAAAAGAAATCCTAAATGTCTTCATCCAAGTGTACTTTCAGAACTTTACAGAACACTTTACAAATATACAAATAGTGGAATTTATCACCCTATCAATAACAATAGAAATATTTCGAGTGAATTTGCAAACTTTCTTTTGTCACTAATAGAATTTCATATGCAAGAACTTACTTTATTTGACTTAAGTCTACTTCAGATGAATATGGAAGTGAAGATATTGAAATACTACACTGACTTTTTGATATATATAATTAAGTTATTAAATAATGTGCAAAGTTATCTGTCAGATTTTATTACATATTGGGACTTTTCAAGTCGAGAGAAATACTACTATATATTATATTATATTGTAGTTGGTATGACTAAATTATGTGATATTAACTACAATACTAAATACCACACTCCATATTTTGGTATATTGAACATAAACTCTAAGTTACTAATGAATTACCTTTTATTTATTGTGAAGCACTATGATATTATTGAAGAAATATTTAGAAAGAGAGATGAGTCATATATTGTCTTATTTTGGTACGAAGATATACTAATTAGGAAGTTTCTTACATTACTATATTCTAATAATGTAAGTTACAGGAATTTAATAACCAGTATACTTTATTCATCTAAATCTAGATACATCTTATGTATCATTATTGGTGAAATGTTGAATATTGACAAATCTAAAACTAATAAGCTAGTTATAGAAGCAGAAAATAATCAAAGTACTTTTAACAAATTGGTTATAAATCTAATCTTTTTGTTGATGGATGAAATACTTGAAGTTAGATTAAAATCCCTCGAAATAGCTAGAGGGTATTTTGAAATAGAAAGTTGCTCATTGAATAATTTTTCATTTGACAATGCATTTTTATGTATTGAAGAATTATGCTCTAAAAGATTTACCATTAATCTACTTTTAGAGCTGATGGATGCTTTGTTTAATAGAATCTTCTATATTTCAGATTTGGGGTATTCTCATATGACTAAGAGTGATATATTTCCTTTTGAAATTGACAATATATCTAATGAATATATTTATGTATCTGAAATAGTCAGTAGGAAAATTGTCCATAATATCGAGAATAGTATTTCTATTTATAGTATTATGGGTCAGTTGAAAAAGTGTATCTCTAGATGGATAAATGAAATTGGATCTGATACAAAGATAGCAGCAATAATTGAATGTATAAATATAAACAAGAACTGCAAGGAACTTATCATTTTTGAGATATTTGGCACTATATTGTTACAAGATACGGATATTTATTTATTCATGCTTAATTTGAGTAAAATGAGAGTGATTAAAGCATATTTAGATGTTTTAGACAATAATATTCAAGATCATTCTGAAATTATGGAATATACAGTAACTCAAATTATTGAAATAATAGATAATTTAGAATTTGTATTATTACCAATGTATATTAAATAGTTGTAACTAGTTTTGAATGGAACATATTTATTAATTCTATAACATTGTATATGTATATTTAAGGTTTAAATGTAATCACTTGTATCCTTTATTTAACTCCTATTCTTCTACACTATAAATTCGTACCTTATTGCAGTATTAAACATACTAATACATTCAATAAATACTAATATTTATATTTTATAAAAAAAAAAAAAAGTAGCTGAAGCTTTTTGTCTTCCCACTGCAATTTTTGAGTAACTTAGAATCCTTGTATTGTTCAGACAGTAATTTAGTATCATTAAGTGGCGGTATGTTGGAACTGCACATTTTGTTGATGCAAGTTTAGAGGAGACTACTCTTAATTTTTTTTTTCAAATAAAGTGGTTTATAAAATAACATGAATGACATAGAAATCAAGATAGAGAATGAGAAACAGTTTATGCTTTCTGCAAATGACATCAGATCCTTTTATAGTATGCTTACAAACAAAGGTAGATCCCATGGACTAATTAACTATACAGAAAAAGTATGTGCAATGAACCAGATAAATAAATCTGGTGAACCAACTTTTGGAGGCATCAAAAAAAGCCAAGTTTGCACAATGCGTCGGCTGAGATGGCTTTTTTTTTTAAAAATTTTACCAGAGAACCTTCTTGACCTACAATATGATAACTTCTTTGAAAAAGCACTGGAAATTCTGAATATAAGACGAATGGAATATCATGAAGAATATAAAAAGTACCGAATAGATATAAGTAAGATTCTCTCTATGGATCCATCTAAATTTCATCCACTTTCACAATCTGTTGATAATCCATGGACACAGCAGCAAAAGAACGGAGAACTACTTGATGAAATATGGAAAGATATCACACGTACATTTGCTGATAGGGAATTATTTTTAGAAAATAATACTAGACAACTATTGCAAAGGGTGATATTTACATGGACTAGACAAAATACAGATTTTGGATATAAACAAGGTATGAATGAGTTAGCTGCAATATTTTTTTATATAAACTATTGTGAAATACAAATAGATGAAAAAACTGAGGATAGTAATCAAGATCATTCATATTGTGAACTAAAGTTAGATATTAATTATAATACTGGAAGTTTCATGAACCTTCTTTCAAATAAATCAATTGAAGCTGATACGTACATAATGTTCAACCAATTAATGAATAATTTTGGATTAAAATATATGTTTCAGTCAGTTTATAATAGAGCTGGTGAATGTAGAGGAAGTGAGAAACTGGGATTGAAGAACGATGATAACAAGAATACTGAAAAAACACCAATTATTTTTCGCTGTATGCATATATATTCACTAATGGAAAGATATGATAATGAGCTATTTAATAATCTAGTTAGGGAATATCAAATAGAACCACAACTTATCTTCTTAAGATGGTTTAGGCTTTTATTTTCCCGTGAATTTTCGTCACTAAATGATGCTTTGATAATGTGGGACTACTTATTTTTGGATGCATTTCAAAATGGTCAACTAATACAAAATAATTTAAGTGATATAAAATTAGAGTACCCTAATAGTGAATATATCTGTGTTGAGGTAGAAAAATCAATGCCTATTGTCAATTTTGTAGCACTATCACTACTACTCATGAAGCGTAATGAAATTCTTGCATCAGATTATAACAATACTTTGAGGTTGTTAGTCAACCAAACAACTCTTCAAATAAACCCTTCAAATATTTTTATAAAAGCTAGAAAGTACTATTCTATTGAAAATCAGGTGTTAGATAACACAGGCAACTCCAAATTTATACACAATAGTCCTAATTATGACGACTTACTAGTAAATTATACGGATATCAAGTGTAAAGACTCAAGCGAAAAATTTAAAGAGGAAATTAGGAACAGAAAATTTTATTCAAGTAATGAAAATAAAGACAATACTGGTATCTTGAAGCGTGATGACTCCTGCTATGCAAGTAAAAGTTTAGGTAATGGACTTTTAAGCGATTATCTACTAGTTCTTTGTAAAAAACTTAAATTTAATGCAAAATATTCCAATGATATTGATTTCTTAAAGAAGTTGTTACTGGAAACTTTAGAAGATTTGACTAATCTTCGGGCAATTTTATTGGAAAAAAATATGTGAAACTAAGAAACACTATATTAAATAATTGAAAATATTGATGCAGATTTAATTAACTTTATAACATTGATTATAGTTACCTTGTTAATTCATATCAAGAACTTGCATATTTGTATTTATTTCTATTATCCTGGATTTTTATCATTTAATTATATTACTTCTTGAGTATTTTAGGAATTTTGTAGATTTAAGCTACATTATACATCTTTTGCAGTTTTTTATAAGAACCTCGAAGTTAAAAATTTAATTATTTAAGATGTTTTATCTTAGAAAAGGTTCATAAACAATCCCATATAATAAGGTAGCTCTGAGAGTTTGATAGAATTCTTTGACAATCTGGTAGAGATATTGGACTAATTAGGATAAATCTCAAACTTCCTAGATATACTTGAGTAAATCCCTATTAAGTGATTTATTAAGTTCTAAATCCACATTATAGTTATTAAATAAACTAATTATGTACACTTATACAAATCTTGAGCCTTAAGGCACTTCATTAAAAAATATCTTAGTCATTTTGGAACCAATCTAGAAATGTGAACTTAGGCTTAAAAGAATGAGTGAACAATCTGGATCTCAGATTGAGAAAATTAAATAGTTATATATATGAGGAATTTAACCATTACTAAGCCTTGCTCTTATGTGATATCAAGGAACTATAATAAAAATATCTTTTAGATAAGCTATTTAGTATTTACTAGCATTAGATAAATGTAACCTCTATCTGATACTAATACTCAAATATCACTTTCTTTTATCCAAAAGTTACTTTTTAACTTAACATTTATAGGGAGTACAAATAAACTTATGAATATTTTTTATTCCTAGTAAGCTTAAAAAGTATATAAAATACAAATAGGTAGATTAAATTTTGATATTTACCAATAATACTCTCTACATATTACATATTTTAAATAATATATTTATAAAAAAAATTCTTATAATGAGTAAGATAGTTATTATTCAACTCAATAATTAGTTAAATTCCAAAGAGAAGTTATTTATAGTTCTGTATTGAATTAACCTTGTAAATTTCATATTTTAAAATATTTCAATCAGATAATATATATACTTGCCTTTTGTTTTTATTTTGCAAAAATAAAAACTTTAACTTTTGTAAACTACTAAATTTGTAATACTTGTATTTCGTACTAATAAATTAAGCTTTACAACAAAACTACTGGCAGAACAATGAATTCGTATCTAGAAGTAATAACTAGTGAATTATAACTAACCTTACAAATCTCCCGATTATATTGCAAACCAATGTATTATTTGTTAGTAATGAGCATGCTTATTAGTTAAGAGGCTAATTAGTAGCTTTATTTATAAAAATATCACACATATATGATCACACTTCAATACAAAACTAAATTACAAATATCACAAATATTGCGAAGATACATAAGTCTAAGTAAAATTATTCACTTGTACAATTTAATTGTTTTTATTGTATAGCCTTTTGTAATTGCCTTCGCCCATTATCTTCGCAACATTATATTCTTACAATCTAATTCATCTCGTCTACTATTTTTTAAAATTAAATTTATATTATATGAGTTATCTTTATTTAGTACTAAAGATTAACCAATAGCCATAAATTTAGTCTATTAAGAAAAATTTCCACAATCCTAGCTAGCATCTTTAAGCGCTCAAAAATGTGTATCATATTGAAGATGTTAGTTCACTTAATAATATTGGTTAGAAGAAACACTATTTAATACCAATAATAGATGATAAATATCTAAGTGTTTATATAATTAGTCAATATCCTGAAATATTCTAATATTTGTTTGAGGTCAAATGTCGTTCTACTTTGTTAAGGTGAACTACAAGTGCATTTTAACTAAATATACTTACTCAAAGTTGATATGTCATCGGTAATAGTTTAGATATTTCGATTGTTAATTAAGGTCACTTTAAAATTCATTTAAGCTATTTACTTGTCTGCCTATGTTATATATAAGCTACTTCTAATGTGGACAACCAAGATCTGAGAGCAAGAGACAAACGGGAGACCCACTTAGTGTTAAGGCAGGTTGAGTTTAGTATATACAAGTAAAGCTGAAGAGCAAGTAAAATTAATGTAAGCTTGGCTGAAGCTCGTTAATGTTAGATGCTGTTAAAATTTGGAAACTGCTGATATATTTGCTTATTTACCGTTCCTTAGTAAAATGTGAAATACCTGATGTATCACTTCCTGGTAACTCCCGTCTTATTCAGACTAGCTATTTAGCTGCTCAAAAACTAATATCAAACTCAAGGGTAAAGGAACTCAGTGACTTTTTAAGTTTATACTGTAATAATAGGCAGTACTATAATCCTTATTCTCCACAAGTTATACTATCTAAGTGGGAGCTTTTTAGGTCATGGTACAAGGAGCCTAGCACTTTATTAGGTATAATATTTGAAAATTTATTATCAGGTGATAATATAACTAATAATAAAGTAATACTACCACTAGCGTCTAATTATCTATATACCTTAATTAAAAGAGAATTAATCGGTTTTATAGTACTTAGTCTTGCTGTCTTTTTATTTATGGTGATATCATTAATATTTCTACTTTGCAGACATTTCCGTGACAGAGTAATATCATTGGAGGAATCTTTTGAAGGTCTAAATAAAGTAAAGTATGGTTTGATTTTTACAACTATTTGCATATTTCTATTGTGTTCTGGTTATATAATAGCGAATGTATTAACAATTATACGTGTCATTAAGATCCATGATTCGATAACCTCATCATTTTGTTGGGTAGCAGTAGGTATAGATTCACTGACAAATGGAAATGTGAATGTGAATATTACATCTGGGAAATTTAATGTAAAACCGTCATCTGCAATTACGAATGCATCGATTCCATTTTTAGGTGCATTCCCAATACAATGTCTATTAGAACAGATAACTCAACAAGAACAAATAAACAAATTAACTAATTCAAGTTTAAAATTCATTCAGAGTGCAGGATTTGGAACCACTTTAGCCGATAGATTTTTAGATTTAGCTTCATTTTTTAATAATCGAACATTATTTGAACCAGGAGAAACTAACTGGAGTGTACCTGCAGGATTAAAGATACCAATGAAGATGGTCCAATTCAGTGAAACATTGGTTGAAACTAACTCAACTGTTTTTGGAACAATAAATCCCCAAATTAATGAATTAATAGCTGTGTTAAAAAGTGGTCAACAATCAGCAGATATAAAGATAACACTTCAATATTTTGTGGAAATGAAAAAATTTACATTTCAGGCATTATATATATTAGATATTATTAGAACTTCAAATATAATAATATTCTATGTTATTATATCTCTTACAGGAAGTATTATACTATCCTCAGTATTTGCGATTATATTTTCTATTATTCATACTATATTACTGTTATATGGAAGTACTCGATACGGTTGTTTTCAAAGTAGCTCTGCTATTGGTGCAATTGCCTTCTTCATTATAATATTATCTACATGCCTTGCATTTATAATATTTCTACTATCAATTGGTGGCATTATTGGGCAGGACTACTGCTCTTGGATGGCTAAAGACTTGTTCAATACTGCTGGATCAAACTGGATAAAAACTGTTAAATCAGAAATTAGTGAAGTTATAGAAAGTTGTATATTTCCAGTACCTTCTTATTTAAGTGAAGGAACGAATCAAAATTCAACTTCACTTTTGCATAATACAATGCTTAAAGATCAATTACAAACAAATATGCGCTTTGATCATGCAAATGAATATGTGCAAAGTGAAAATAATCAGCTTAAAAGCATCAATATAGATACACATAAAAGTGTCCCTGCAAAGACAGTGAGCAATAAAATTACTAATAGTATAAAGTATAATTGGGAAAGTAATGAAACTGAGTTTATTAATGATATGGTGAAACAATTATCTATGTCTAATGAACGGCTACCACCTTTACAGGATACAACAGAACATATTTTTAATGGTAAATCTTCTAGTCATAATATATTATCTATGGTAACTAAGTCAATTCAGAGTGGACTTACTGAAGAAGTAACTCGTTTAGTATCAATAACTTGGACAAATATAATAAATAGTCAGGATTTAGCGGTACAATGCATTACTTTTATTAATTATACAGATTTTATCAACTATGCAACTAGTTACTTCCCTAACGTTAATACAGGACTTCTGAAGAGACAGCAAGTTCCAGTTTTAATATTAATTACTCAAAGTTCTCCTAATCAGCTGTTATTAAATAAAACAACAATTTTTGGTTTCACAACATATTCGGCTCTATCTGGAAGTAAAAACTATAATGTTAATAGCGCTATTTCGAGTGCAACTTATCCGTATTTATTACCTGGGATGGAGGTATTTCAATCAATAATTATTCCATTTAAATTAGAACCACTACAAAAGGAAAATCCTAGTAATTCAAAAGATCCCCTCATAATCACTTCGACCACTGATTTGTCTATAATAAATGTTGCAGAGTATCTGGCAACTAATCCATACTTCTCAGAATATCCACTAGCTTACTTTGAAAATGCCCTATGGTGGGCTAAAAAGTTAGCAGAATTATATAAGACTTATATTGTTTGCCCATATTTTAGTTGGATAGACTTGGCTAATTCCAATTCTAGTACTAGTGTAAATGACCATCTCTACCAGACTTATTCTGGTAAACCGTGCTTATTTAAAGTGTATGGGGAATATATGCATAGTCTTATTCAAGATTACTTTGTAAATCCTTCTAATCAAGCAACAAGTGAAATTGATCATTATGGTAACCTATTAACTGCTCAATTAGCAGATATATTGGGGAGTGTCACTGCTTTACAGAATGCTGGACAAAGTGCCTATGATTGTGGTCAAATCAGCATTGATTTTACAAATGGCATCACTACAATGTGTGGTCTTGTAAGCGAATTGAGAACAATATTAATTGATATTTTGACTACTGTAACATTTACAGGTTATCTTGTGAGTATCTTCATTTTAATAATTTGGTTAATTGCTATTCGATATGAAACTCGTATTGCAGACTCTATACTTGAGCGTACATACTCTTCCACTATAACAGAAGATAAGATTACTGATAAGTTGAGCATGAATAATCAAGAAGTAAATACAACCTGCAATAACCCAGTTGATCAACCCTTAGAACAGACAAATTTTAATCCTATTGAGGATGTTTCCAATTCACTAGAAAAAGTACAAAGGAAAAGCGACAGAAGCATTTGAAGTAGTAGCAACTTATAAAGATTGGAAGTAAAACTTATATTTCAAGTGCGACTCCAGGAATCAATTGCTGTGCACCAACAATGACACTCTGAAACAGGGCATTCATCAAAATATTCAAACCACTCATTTATATGTTTGAAGCATCCACCATGATGACAGTGCAAACACCATGTATACCACTCATTGAAAGGTGATGGAACTGATTTGAGTTCACTATTGCATGTAGCATCAATGGAGAAACTACTACTAAGTGAAATTTCAGTTAGACAAATAACACATCTTGGTAAGGGTTTACCACAAGACTTGTTTGGACAGGTAATACTTAGTGGGAAATTTCCAACAGGTGTACTAATATTACTAGTGTAGTCACATAATGATAAATTTGAGGTACTTTGTGTAGTATTACCAGCATTCAAACTGTCATCTATTAATTTACGCTTAGAAATAGTAGATCTAATGTTGTTGCAGACAACTACGTTATTCCTATTAGCTCTGTTTATTATGGTGTCTTGCGTATATTTTTTACTTTGGATGTTATCATCAATATCGGAATGGTCACTTAATGTCACTGTCACTTGATTAGATATCTTATTTTTGCCTAAATCGGGATTAGTTCCAATTAATGAATTTCCACAATAATAACAAAATAATATATTTCCTGTAGGAACATTTACTTTGTTACAGTATATGCTGAACCTCGATATATAATTGATACTTAGTATATTTAATATTGAAATTGCCTGAGTTATTGCTTCATTTTTAATTAGGATAGTTCTATTTTTGTAGCCACTAGAACTTATTCCAATATTACACAATATATTGCTTATTATCCCATTGTTTTGTAGGAGATTGTTGTATTTATTGTAGCAGGAGAATATATTAGCAATCCGACGTATATATGATTTAGTGCTAGATTTATCTATAAAGTGAATTAAATGTACTCCAATTAATGAGATTGTTTGGATATCTCCACCTGTTAGATATAGATATCTTCGTAAAATCATTTCAGTGAATTCTGCTGAGAAATTACTAACTTGCAAGTTTCCAATTTGGAAATCCGAGTTTCCATTACCGTTAATTCTTCTGGAATGGAAACATAGTCTACTTTCGCTAGACTCAGATTTAATTTCCGAAGGATTGGGTGAATCTCTAAATATGTGATGCCTTTCATACTCAGCTGGATGATATAAGTTTGCAGCATTTTCATATTTTCTTTCAAAAAATGTCTTAGATTTTCCACTGTCCATATCAGCGCAAATCTCCAAGTTTAAAGTTAATGATGTAGATACTCCTGTTATTATTATACCATCTAGAAAACCTTTTGAAGCCGATACCTGAGCAATTTGGTTAACAAGACTTAACAGTAATCCTATTGGTAAGTAATATAACCCAACGGCTACTAAACAATATGAAGGAGTATAGTATGGTATAGGTAGATTTACATTAGGGAGAAGTAGATTTTCCATAAGGTAGTTTGCAAATGAAGGGAAGTCAGTTGATTCATACAGCTTACAATTGTCAAGATATTTTACTAAAACAACTAGAAAGTTTATTGTAAAAGTTAAAATTGCTTGAATATGTGAATCCGTACTCCATATCTGCTTGTACATGCCATCATTTAGTAATTTTTCACTTGTTGATAAAATACTCGAACAAAAAAAAGCAATTCTTTTTTTAATTTCATCAGAATCCACGTAATTTGTTTCTTTATTGGGTCTATGTACCTCAGATAATATAAAACCAGCTGATGTAAATAAGACATTAATGTCATATATGAATGATGATTTTACATTGCCAAATTCCTGCATGTTATTTCTGTTTAAAATCTTTGATAGAAGGACTGGAAAGTGTAAAAAGTGTTGGTACTGCAGGGTAATACATTTCCAAAATATTGAAAGAATATAACTATTTTGCATTGCTATTTCAGCATCCAAATCTATAGAATCTAGTGAAATATCATCAGATCCCTTAAATCCACAAAGTATAATTAGTTGTTCACGTTCTCTTGATGAATATATTTCAATAGTCAAATTCCTCATCTCACAATATCTAGATAATTCTCATTACAATTGTTTGAATTATGTAATTTATCTCTATTTATATAACTAAAATGATTAAATTCAATATATAGTGAGGGTAACTCCTCTTTATTTATGTTTTCCTGATTCAACTTAATAATTTCATCTCTAATACTAGGCCAACACACTAGACCACTATTATGAGGACTAATTAAAGGTGCTAAGATAGGACAAAATTTATCTTCTACATTTGAATATTTTATATTTCCCATTGCTTTCATGGAGGCAGTTATTTGCAATGGTATCATATCGAGATATTTTTGTAGATGAGAAGCTGATCTCATAATATTAATGGCATCCCATATATTTTCAATCAAAATTGGGAATATACCATTTAAATAAAGAGACTTGCCATTAGATGATTCAAAACTAAGAATAATTTTTTTAGCTTCCAAGTCTAAGATATTTGACCAATGTGACAAAATGGAATTCAGTCTACTAGTATCATTTAAGATAGTACTTAGACCATATGATTTTTTCAACCTCTGAGTAATCAGTCCAAACCCAAAGGTAAATATTTTATTAATTTGAACTTGCGTCTTTTTGTAGCATGCTTCTCTATTATTTAATAGGGACGCAGAGTAATTTAGTTGAATATCAGATCCTAAAACATTAATTAGAGAAAAAAAATTCGGAATTACTGAGCACTTCTTATCTTTAACAACTGCTAAGCTTGGGAGTAATGAATCGTAGGTTTTTAACCTAGCAGATTTTATAGACTTTTTTGTTGGTTTTTGAAGCCAACAAAATTTATCTACAGAAATAGGCCTTTTTCCTATAAAAAAAAAACCAGAAATAGAATCTTTATCAGTAATTATATCGAAATTATTTCTATAATTCAAGTTATCAAAATTGAAATTTGGAGCTGCGCTAAAAGAAGCCTTTGAAGTGCTAATTATATACATGTCACTACCTGTCAAAAGAGATAGGGTAAGTTGTTTATAAGGAAACCATTCCAAAGAATTCATCAGACCACTTTTAATAATCATACTAGCATAAGATGCTTTATTTATTTTGTGACCCTCTAATCTGTTTGAAAACTTCCGATTCTTTTTAATAGAGCGAATATCGTATACTTCAACTAAATGTGTATTATCACTTGCTAGTATATAGTTAGAGTCCAATGGATTCACGGAAATATAGTCTATACAGTTTGTTTCAATTATATTAGAAAATGATGTATATGAGTTGGTTGTTCTAATGTCATATATCATCAATGAGTTTGCTGAGTCTAAAATTTGCCACCCAGAAATAAAACATGTTGAATTAAGCCAAGAAGCAGACTTTGGTATCCCCTCCATTCCATTGGAATAAGATGTATTATTTGAACTATAAATTTTCTGTATTTTCTGTTTCTCTTGTACATCATAAATTACAACTAGACCATTATTATCTGGGTTATTCAGTGAGCTATTACAGAATATAGCAAGATGACTATTAATCTCAGTTGGATTCCAATCTAATGATAGACAACAACATTTTTCATTTTGTAGGTTATCCAACACGACTATATTATCATTGGAACAGTTTATAAGCTGTACAGTATCATTTATTCCGTATGAGAATATTCCAGTATAATTATTTGGACTCCAACTAAAATTTTGATTGGGACTCGTTTTTTTAAGAGTTATCTGTTCGTTCAAATCATATCGATAGTTTCTATATACTTTATCATCTATATTGCAGCTCTTTAAAAAAGTCAAATTTACTTCATCTTCAGTATTTATATCATGTATACGATACAAATTGAGTGTTGGGACTTTACCATCAGTGTATGAATAAAAGAACAGATTGTTATCAACCTTACATTGATAGAATGTAGAAGTTTTCTGCATATCTTATGTCCTTATTTAGGGAAAATTAATACCAAATTCCCTCAATACGCCGTCGCGGTCTTTATTATGTAAGCTTTCAAACAAAACTATCTTCAATTCAAATATTTAAAATAAGTTATTATTAATTTAATATATCTAAGTTTAATATTTGCGAATCTAGATCATTTTGGTGACTACCCAACTGATCTTCAAGTAACGAGACAGTTGTAGGATGTTGTAACCAATTATTTTGATTATCAAAGGAATTGGTTGGAATGCAACTGTCAGAACTTAGATGTTCATCAATACTAACACTAATTTTACTATAGCTACTCCTTAAACTTTCAAACTTATTGTTTATCTTTCTTGACTTATTTTTGTGCATGATAGTACTAGATTCTTGGCGTTGATCTTGAGTAAGCAAGTTAATATTGAAGGGATAACACAATATCCACATAACTTTTGGAAGTGTGTTCTTTCTTCTATTTTTTAAGAATATGTTACGATAGTCAATGGCTGCATTAAATGCCGATATTAATGAACCGTATAATGCAATGCTAAAATGTTGTCCTCTTCCATTGCTGTCTAGTCCATTAGAAGTATAAAATCTCCTCTTTTTATAATACCACGATATTCCAGTAGGTAATGGACGTAGTAGATTTGCTAGATCTTCACTTTCAATGATTGACTCAGCATCTTCTGCATGAATATATACTCTGCATGAAGAAGGGAAGATATTATCAATACATGCTTCAAGTATTTTAATAAGTAAGTAGGCAAGAGAGAAACCCTGTCCAGTTAATGGACATATATTTTCCAGTTTACTCCTGTCTATAGTTTCTATTTCATTGCTATCATCGCACCTATTTAGAATTATCCATGTATTTGCACCACTATGCCACGCAATAATATCATTTCTAATTTCTTCTTCTCCAGTAGAATAAACTATACGCAATCTTATATTTTGAATATTCAAAACTGGTTTGCTTACAAAATCTAAGAAGCTGTTTTGTGACATTAGCATATGAGGTGATACTCTATTTGTAAGGAATTTTGTTTTAATTGATCCATTTATTGAATGATCATATCCTACTATGTCTCTATTTTTTAGTCTTGTAGTGTTTATATTATACCCTGAATTAAATTGACCTTCCTTAGTCTTTAATTTTAGTGCTTTGTGACGTACGTAGTAAACTTCTGCTATCTCGTATGCAATTCGAGCACCATAGTATTTAGCATCCACTTCAATTATACTACTTGAGTTGTTTTCTTGTTGAAGCTGATTCTCAGTATCATCTTCAGTTAATGCTTTCCAAACCATTTTCTCACTATCCCACAATATATCAGGTAAACTTCTTATTAAAGATGCCTGTTCACTAATAGTATGAGGAAGTTTTATACTTTCTGATAGTTTCATAGCTTGTTCTTTAAGATAATTTTCACGAAAATCAAGAGCCTTTAGGAATGCAGTTAATGGACTTCCATACTTCATTGCACCAAAAGTTGTAGATGTTAATCCACCATCTTTATCTCTTCTATAAGGTACTATAAATGCCTTTCTTTCAGCATGCCATGTTATACCACGAACACGCCATTCTGTGGGACATTTGGCAGCATTAGATGTAACAGGTAATGTTGACCGAATTCTTCTTTTTTTATTAATCGGAGAGTAACATAACTTCGAATTATATGAAGTCATGCTAAAGTTGGATAATACATTTTGATTAAAGTTAGTTGAGACACATCTATCTTCCCCAGAGACCACTTCCTGTGAAATATTCGAGATTGTGCTATCACCCACCCTCTTGTACCTAGCCTCTAACTCTTCAGTAGAGTCAATTAATTGTGAATAATCATCTTCTCGTCTAATATTATCACTAAATTTGCAGTCTTGACTAATTGAAAGTTGTATTTGATAATCTGGATGTGAAGCTAAATCAGTTGGCAAATAAGGTGAATGAAACGATGAAGGTGATATTCTTGCTTTAGGTGAAGAGTTAAGCATAGAAGAATTATTTAAAAAGAAATTTGAGCTAGTTCTATTTTTCTCTATTGCTGCTAATATCCCACCTGGTATTATTGTTTCACTAAGACGATTTTGTAACCATAATTCTGCATCATTGAAGCTAGAAATAAATGAATTTACTGAAAAAACTGGAAAAAAGCATTGTAATCCATTAGATCTTAATGATGCAACCCAACCATTCATGTTATAATCCCAAAATATGAAATCTTTCCACCTTGATTTTCTCCATGTATCAAAAATGATGTTTTCTGAAAATATCTTCTTTTCTCTTTCTATATTCAAACCTTTGTTTAATATATAGTTGCTACTTGTTGCAATATTCCCACAGAATTTCGTAATATCTATATTTGATTTTAATTCATTCACCATATTTAACAATATCTTGACTATTTGGTAACAATTCTCAATTAAATTTAAATCTATATCTTCTGAATATTCATCATACATATTATTTTTAGTTGGACTCTGAGCATAAAATACATCTAGTGTATCATCAAATGTATTTTCAGTATCTTTTTCAAAATGATTTTTCATTACTCTACACAAAAAGCTTATTTTTTTATCTGTAAATTTCATCTTTTTATTCCAAATATTATAACAAGAGTTGCATGCCTGTAAAGAACCACTAAAGATATTTGAAATACCTTGTATATTAAAGTTACTTTGATTGACTTCATTAGACTCTCTATTGCTCAAAATTATAGCTTCCTTTCTCTTTCTTAAACCAAAAATAGTAGAAAAAGCTTTTTTTAAACAAGGATGACAACTATAAGAGGCTTCTAAATGACTATGACAATATCCACAATACTCATGGATATAGCAAAGACAGGAAATACATTTTGCTATTTTTGAGTCAGTTTGATTATCAAATTCACTTTTGCATACACAACATAAATCAGATAATTTTCTTACTGGTAAATCTTTTGTCAATAATTTATTATATATATTTTGTTTTGGTAAAGATTTTGAGTTGCCCAAGTTCAGTAGTCTAAGGTCTGCAAATAATTCATCATTTTGATTAATTTTTGTCCCTGGAATAGTCATAACAACAAGATGAGGCCATTCCTCTATAAATAACCATTGTAACTGAACATTGGGCTTAAAGCAATAACCTTCAAATGGGTATGCCATTTGATAATGCTTCAGAAATGCAAACTCATTGCAATAATAGGAATAATCTAAAATAGTTTCCACTTCATTCTTCGATATATTTGGAAGCTCTATTGCCATTTCATATAATTCTTCCTTTTCAAACTTTTGTCTTAATAATCCAGATATCTCCCCAAGTAGCACTGGGTTTGTAGAGTAAAGTGGTTCATTATCCCAAAATAAGGAGTAGCTCTCATCTTCTTCATTGCAATTTGCAAGATTTGACCTGCATAGTTTAATACTACTCGTGGTACTACACGATGAGCAGCTAACAGTTGAATATTGGCTATATATTTTCGAATAAATTTCTTCATAAAATTTAGAACTCTGGCTAACTTGATATGTTATGTTTGGAATATTTAAATCATATGTAATTTCAAAATTTGGATAATTTGCTTCGTGTTTTTCTTTACGAATTATACATGGTTGCATCGAAAAGGGGCTGGTATTTAATTGAAAATCCATGTATACAGAATCTATATCACGACTTTTTAATTCATTAGACTCCAATTCTATTTGGAACTGCTTATATTTACATCCTTCTATAATACTTTCTTTCTTTAAGCTTATATCTTCGCATGATGGTATCTGTCTACTACAATATTTCAGAGCTCGCTTTTTCTGAACTTCACAGAAGTCTAATTTCTTCATCACATGAAACAAATTTTAGTAAAATACAAATTTTCAGATTTACATGTTATGTAAATTTTACATAGTTTCAACTATGCTTACTTGAAGTTAGACTTACTTGACTTGGGTAGTATTGCCATACAGCTAGTAACTGAAAGAATACAGCTGGTTAAGTGCTAAAATTTAGCATACATGTGATCTCAAGTTTTGTTTACTAAAAATCATTTTCAACAATCTAGCTTGTGTTATAGCCTTGCATATCTCCAAGCTTATACTTCGAGTACTGAAGCAATATACTAGAAAGATTTTGTAATATAATCCACCTATTAAAATGACCTTAATTACCTATACAGAATTTTTAAATTATTAATAAATTAGTTGATAAGATATTTAAAATAAATAAGAAAAGAACCACTTTATAACCAAAAAGAATCCCACATGCACCTAGTGTATGGGATCCCTCCATTATTAACCGGACAAAAAAAAAAAAGACAATTTACCTTAAAATTGTTCTAATTTAATGCTTCAAGCTCATTTTAATGAATTTGAAAATACTCCATTCTGTATATTAAATGGCAGGAGCAAGGGATGCAAAGAAGTTATATGTGAAGAATCAAAAATATGTATAATTAGTTCATCATCTCTGAGTGTATATGAAAGGTGCAAATCTTCAAACATAATTAAAGATTCTTTGTTTGATTGGTATATCGATCGTGATTCTGACCCCAGTTATATATTATCTTGCCTATGGCTTGATAAAAATATACTATTTGTAGTGACTAACAGCAAGACAAACTATGTAATTGAAATTAAGCAGAATTTAAAAGAATATTATAATATTATTAGGATACCATTTTACATAGAAGATGGAGTAGATATTATAACAGCTGAAACAATAACTTTCAAGAAAGAGGTGCATAATGCAAATGACATTTCCATAACTATTGGTACACTAATAAACAGTGAACAATTCTACATAATTACAATCAACCACACTGAAAACTCCATTGATTACACATTAGGAGATAATATTAGATTAAATTATCCAATATGTAGGTTGTTAAGATATGGAGAAGGATTTATTGGATGTAGTGAGAAGCATATACAAAAATATATTATAAGCATGAGTAATCAAAAAATAATTTTAGAGGATCTGTATTATTTCGGTGAATTATTTAGTATAAATTCTTTAGATTTGAATGATCTTATCTTCTTATCTGCAACAATCACTTTTGATCAGAGTTTTGGAAATGAATTAAGAATTATTGTGAAAAGTATCTTAGACCAAGGAAAACAGAATTTATATGAACTTGTATTTACATGCACCGATATATATTTGGTCAATTTTAGCAATTTTATCATTGATAATGTGGAGAAGATCTTGAGTATTGAATACTTTAAAACTTCTGATGAGTACAAATTACTTACAACATTTGATGATGTAGTAGAAATAATAGACAATCCAATGAAGAACAATTTTTTGCATAAAAAGAGATATTTTGAAAATATTTCGACGAATTTTCTACCTCACATATACATTGAGAATAGTAATTTCAGCTCATATATTAGTTGTGGTAAGCTGAATGATACAAGTAAGTGGGGTATATTAAGAATTGAACACCAATTAAATAGTTCATCTACTACTACAAATTGTGATTCTTTGGAATATCAAACATTTGATTCACCTGATAACATTGAAAAACTCAAGACTATAATTCAAAAATTTGTAGAAGACTCACCAAAAATTGATACTTTTGTACCAAAACTAATGCAGGTATTTTCTAAGTTACTGAGTATTACAGATGATGAAGCCATTTTTGAATATATCTGCAATATTGTAAAGAAGATAGATATGAATTCATCACAATTGACAAGAGAACTATTATATAGCACACTTGAATTACTCAATTCTTTAAATAATGATGGCACGAATAGAAATACATTTATACTTCAAGAATTGATACATAAATTATCAACATTTGATATTTTGTATGATATAAGTTCCAACTCCCAAGAAATTTTTGATATTATCTTCGAAGTTATTCAAGATTGCAAAATAATAAATAAGAACTCCACTTGGTTTTCAAAATGGTCAAAATTTATGTCAATTAACTTGGTCCATGTTAGCATGTACTATCTTTCACAAAATTTAATAGAAGAATTTTTTACGGTTTATGAACGGCATTGTCACAATTTTGGAAATGGAGATGCTGATAAGAGAAACCAAGAAATACTTGAGTTATTGAACAATATTCCAATAAATTTACCACTGAAATACGAAAGGAAATTACCTCATTGGTTAAGTGAACAGGTAATTCCTTATATTCAAGATAGGGAAAGATTTTTAAATTGGTTGGCAGATCGTGCAATCGCTCTAGAACACCATAAAAATGGAGATCTCAATTCATGTTTATATTTGCTTTCGTGTATATATGAAAATAATGGATACTTGCGCTTTGGGTACAACAAAGATCAAATTTTACTTCCTAAACAAGTTGTAGAAAATGGTATTTTTTGGGCAGGATCTGGTGATAGACGATACTTTATTAAACGATTAGCATCTAATCGTATTAATTATGTAAACTTAGCACTTTTGGAATGTATCGATATTAAAGAGAAATATAACTTAAATATTAGTTTTAATCTAGTTCTTCATAAGCAAATAACACCAATGGATATTGTATATGAATTGTTAAATAGAGTTACTTCGTCCGAATTTTTAAAAGATGAGATAAAATATAATATTAAACCATTTTGCAAACTTCGTGGTATTGATTGTGATAAAATTTTACTAGATTATATACAAGATTTAATCTTGGCAAGTAATAGTGGTGAAAATAGCCTAAACTTGAGTTCTTATGAGTCAAAAGATCATACTAAAGATCAGGAAATTACGAGAAATATATCTTCAAAGATCAAACAAACTCAAAAATACTATGAACCCAGGATTATTACACTCATTGAGTGCCTATCAAATGATGAGTATAAGGCTTGCGCACTTTTACAATACCTAACTATATGTGGTCAATTTGCAGAGAGTGGTATTAGTAGTACCAATAGCAACGTATCAGGTGTTACAAATTCTTCACAATCTAGACTCGAGAAGCTAATTAATGACTCTAAAAGTTGGAGTTTAGATGATAGAAAGGTACTAGAGTTAAAAAATAGAGTCGCATTAAGAGAAGCACAAAATTTACTTTCAAGATATCATCTGGACCAGATGGCATCAATTGTTTTATTTGAAAGAGGTGCACCAAGAAGATTACTTAACCATATATTGGCTCAAATAGACTTCGGTATTGAATCATATAATGATGCAATAAAGCTCATCAAATATTTGGGAAGAGAAACAGGTGTATCCTTTATGACAGTTAATGAAGCGTGCTGTTTAAGACTACGCTTTATTGTATTCAATAATAATAGGATATCACAATGGACAGAAAATAAGAATTCAAATGAACTGCAGCTCAAGAGCGACAAGGACTCACTAGAAAAGGACTTACTTGATCTATTTAATTTAATAAGTAATTTAAATGATAAACTAAATATAACACAACAATTTGTTTGTTTTATTTGGCAATTTTTGGATTTTATATTAGATAAAAGTAATACATCTCAAGCTTTAGTGAAGTGTGAAATTGCTATTTACTCTGGAATATTTTTACTCAGGGTACTCTTAAAAAATTTAAATTCTTCAAATAAGAAATATGATGAAAGTGCCTATTGGGTTTCAAGGGAAGTTTTTAATTCACTAGTTAGACTACAACATTTACATGAAGAATTCAACCTTTATATAAGGCCAAGCGATATAATGATCATGCCTTTTGATCGTGAAATAGAGGGTATATACGATAACAAATTTTTGAACAATCCTAATCAAGATAACGAAGTTGAAATTGAAACATCATTGACAATAAACAGTAATCCCTATTTTGCACGGAAAAATGATAACTTCTCCCAAGAAAAAAATGAAGCAATGAAAACTAAATATAAGAACTGGGAATGGAAAAATAACCTTTATCATTTAAATAGTAATATACGTTACTCTAATTTATGCAGGCTATTCGATAGCTATGCAGAGGAAATAGCCATAAAATATAAGAATAATGGTAGATCAAAGGGAATTCTCACAAGCTTGTTACGCCTAGGTAAACTTATTGGAGTTGGTGAATCCTATGTAAGGAAAAGCCTAATTAGATATTCAGCTGCAGATAATAATTGCTGTATTTTTCAATGTCTTATACAAGAATTAGTTAAGACTCCTTCACCAAAACTGCCCTAATTATTGTTGATGAAGTCCAAAACATTATTTTAAAATTGTCATCCAATTTCAGGAAATTTAACCCAAATATGATAAAAATGTCAATAAACGAAGACTTCAGCAATAGTAACCCCATATATCTAGTATTTACACTAGCAAAGCTGCTTCATATATTGGCAACTTGTATACCTTATTGTGCAACTTCAGTCCTGAGTGTAGTACTGGCCTTCTCAGGAGATATTCTGTGGGTGCAGGATTTTTTGTTGCAAGCCTCAGATTTAATGGACTGCATTCATAAGAATAAAAGCAAATTTTATGAAATGATACATGAAAAACATAATATTTTTTCTCAAATTATATACAATACCCACATAAATAAAAAAAAATTCATTAAGATTTCAGATACAGATTATAATGAAATATGTACTTTATACTCATATTATCAAGCCATAAGTATTTCCTTAAACTTTTTATCAAGTAAAATACAATGTCGTAAGGAATTAGCTAAGAACTTTGCAATTAATCAAACTCATTCATCATCTTTACTACTATTAAATGCTCGTCAAGAGCCGGGTTGGTGGTCTTCTTGTGAGTACAATGAAAGTTACGAATTTTCTGACAATAATTCTGATTATATATTGAGTAATTTGAGCTTACAGTTGAGTGATCTGATAAGTCAACTCTATCAGTTAGAGTGTCTATCTTTAGCAATGAATTTATCATCTAGGCATCCAGCTTTAATAAAAAATATATCAAGTATAACAGCTATAAATGCTGATTATTTTAGGAAAGTTTTGAAAGGCAAAGATCCAATGGATGGACAATTATGTATGACACTTGCATCAACATTAGATAAGAAGGAATCATGGAATGTTTTTGTACAGTCACTAATTCCATCAAATATACTAGATAACTACTTTAGAGCTCAACGCATGGCTAGAATAGGTTGGGATTTGGGTATACTTTTCAATCACTATAGCATGAGAAAAGAGATGGAAGAATTACATAAGCACTCTAAATGGTGCAATTACTTTAGACTTTATGGTATTCAATTTGATCAGTCACTATTTTTCCAAAAGCAAGATCCAAAAAATATTCAGCATATGACATATCAAAAAAGTATCGTACCACTACTAATATACAGGAGCAGTTTTGACTTATTTCTTTGCCTACAATATGCAAGAGACTATATGATACATGATGAATATGTCGTTTCACTATGGATAGAAAAGCTACTCTTATATGTATTTGACGAAAGATACCAAAATATGATGGCAAACCTTGCTTCATGCATTTCTCCCACCATAGGGAAAGAGGTCTTTGATAGATTATTAGGGTTAATATCCTCTTATGATTATGAGAGAATTAACTTCATTCTATCATGGTATAAGGCATACATACTAAATAGTAATTCTATGAGAAAATTTGATATTAATAGCAGGGTAATAAAAGGAATTAACCAAGACTGCAGTGTTAGCAACGATATCATTTCTACAAATACGAAAACTCACTTTTCAATTCCAATTGAAAATCAATATCAAATCCTACAAGCATTAATGGGTTATAATAGAGTAGGTGAAATGGATGAAGAAGAAGAAAGATTAATGATTAGTGAAATAAATAATTTGAAGAAAAAAAATGCTGATTTTTGGGATGAGGGTATTGAAACTACAATAAGGGTTAAGTCTAAAAAGAGACTTCCATTCCACTATTTAATCAATGATCCATGGAAAGTACTGAAAAATGAAATATGTGATAATACAATTTATAACCTAAAAAAACTAGCTACTTATTTAAATATACAGATAGTACACTTCGATATACAGCTTGTATGGAATATTGTATTATATAGAAAAAGTCAACATAAAAAATTAACTGACTTTAATCAGCCTGAAGTATATTCTCTGAATAATCATTTAATAAACTATACAACGGCTAACGATGAAGCTAGTAATACTGATAACATTTTATTAAGTTATATAGATTCAATCGCATCTTTTGATATCGAAATGGGACTAGCAACTGTATTGTTAATTATTGATGAACTTCCCTTAACAATTACTACACTGAAATTATTGGAATGGTGTGAGACCAAGATTAACCTGCTAGATAACGTGGAATTATCAAAAGGCTTACCAAAATCTAGTCCCAGTAATAGTAGTGATTTAAATTATGGCTCTATATCAAATATTGACCATATGATTAAAGACCGTAAAAGCTTAACAAGATCGTTACTTATATTACAAAGGTATTACCTAGATGAAATTTTTGGTAACATACTAATATTAACAAATGATGCAATATTATGTATTCACTGTTTGTATTACTACTTAACTCCTATCATTTCTGAAGGCATACACAAAAGTTTACCATCATATATCCAATTAGCTATTCGTCAAAGTTTCTGTAGTCTATCACCAACTAATCAAAATTCGAAGATAAATGGTGATGATAGTATACTGTCATCAAATTATTCAACAGGATCTCTACTGATGATGGGCTCAAACTTGTCAAATAAATTTCACTCATTTATCGATGAGCTTTGCAATGCATATTGTATTGACGCTAAAAAAACAAGAATAAATCTAGTAAAAAGTATCCTTAATAAACCAAATGAAACACCATATAGTGCAGTTAAGATTAAATATGCACACAATGTGAAGGATTTATTTGAAAAAATAGAAAGTAGTGGTATTATGGAGAGTTTAAATTATTGGTATCCAGATTTAGCGAAAAATAAAAACGAGAATATGCACATTATAGATAAGTCTTGTATAGACAGAATAGCTTTTATCTGCAATGGTATATCACTGAATGATGCAATTTTGCTACTATTATCTATTTCATTTAAAAATTCAACAAATTATAGTTATGCTATAAAGTGCCGTGCTTTAAATGTACTATTTCAAATAGCATCTACAAAAAGTATTCAGAAACGATATCCCAAGTATAGTGACTTGAAAGTTATATGGCTCCATAATTTTTACATGGAGTATTGTCAACAATTACATATACCACAAGATTTTAGCAAATTTTACTTATCTGAGAAGACAGGATTGGCGAGATCTCTATGGCGTGAATATAAAAATCATCAAAAGACAAAATATATTCAAGATATCGGAGATATAGATAATTATATGGAGAATTACTACTATATTGGAAGTAATAAATTACGCTGCATTGATGACAATGAGCATAATTATATCCAACATACCTCAACAGTTGAAGATATTTCAAATTCACTATTATATCTATTGGCACCAATGTGCACTGATTTTAATATTACAGACTCTTCATTATTTGCAAATATTACTGAACAGCTATACTTAAACTCAAAAAGTGACTTATACTCAATGCATGTTTTAAGCAGTTTGTTATCTACAATTTATAATTCTGGATATATTTACAGCTTACCACTTAATGATACTTTAATCTCCACTTGGCAATTGTTAATCTGTAATCCCTACAAACAATTAACAAGTGTAATAAAGGATCATTTAGTGCATTTTTGGCATGGAATAGAAGACAAAAAAACACCAACCTATTTTAAATATGATATTGAGCTATACTTCAAAATTCCTATTCAATGTGAAATTTTATCTATCTTGTCAGAATTTTATCTAAGATGCCCAATAATACCATTTTTGGATATAAACCAAATAATAGATGTTAATTTTGAATTTATGAATATACTAGTGAAGCTAATGAACTTTATTAAAAAAAGTAGATTAAGTGATGTAACTATGAACTACTCAGACCACTTTAACCTTTTAATCTCTAATACAGTGATATTCTTCAAAAATTTGGGAAATATAATTAATAGCAAATTTATAGCTAAGGAAAATGAATCAGAATTATATAATTTGGAGGATTATATAAAGTCTGAAAACAATTGTCCAAATAACAATAGTAAATATTGCTTATCTATTTGTGAAAGTGTACTTTTGATCATCTCTAGTCATCTTATGAAACTTGTTGATATTAAGATGGCTGCATATAAATCAACTCAAAATGATACTTCTAATTATTTTATGAGTAAACTGGACTTTGATAACACTAATTTACTGATTTACTTTACTCTGACTACTAGATCCAATAATCTATTAAGTCTACTGGTTATCCAAATTGTCAATAAAAATCTGATACCAGCATTATTCGAGGTAGAAAATAAGTTCAATAAAGAGTCTAACATTATTGATGTAAATAATTATCAGCAAGCAACTTCACTATATTGTATAGATAAACTGAATTTATATGATTATATTTTTTGTCAATTAATGTATAATGGATGTGATTCATGTGTTAATGAAATTAAAAAGTGCTTAGTACACTATAAAATTGATTCAGTCTTGCCACTTATACTTCAATTCATGCGTGGGGAGACTAAAAGTGAAGATTTAATTTATAAAGAACTTAAATATCTAGATAATAATAATAAAGAATTGGAATCCCAAAGAATCAAAAAAGTTGATGTATATCATCACTTGAAAAATATATTTATTCAATTGAGAAAGCATCCAAAAACCTCAAATCTGGTTAATAAACTTATCACATGTCTTCAAAAAGTCTAAATTATATAATTCTCTGCAGAACTTAAATCTAATTTCACTTTTTTTTTTTTATCGATGTCTTTCTTTGTTATTCTATCTACCACACTTTTTATATCTTCTTTATATTCATCTAAATTTTTCTTGCTATTATCTTGTGGAATAAATAACTTCTCTCTTTCTTTTTTCTTCTGTTCTCTTTTCTCCTTTTGTCTACTAATTCTTTCATTCATCTTAATACTCTTTCTCTCCATTTCATTAGCAAAATATTCACCAGACTCTATTAATATATCCTCCTTTCTTGGTAGCTGCTCTGGTGGGAAAAGTGATTTCTCTTTCTTTATTCTCTTCTTTTCTTTTCTCTTGATACATTTGTTTTTAAACTTAGGTATAAATCTGTCCCAATTTTCATTCCTCAATTTCTCATCTTTCTCTAATTCTCGTTTTATCATTAATTCCTTTATATGATATATTGGATGTATATTATTCATACAATCTTCAACTATACGATAAACTTGTTTCAAACCTTTATATGGCCCAATAACACTTACTGTTTGACCCTGTACCAAAATATAACAGTTAGTTAATAATTCAATTGCTTTAAGTGTTGATCCATTAGGTCCAACCAATCTTTGACGCCTCTTAATAAACTTCTCTTTATTTCTGTGACCTATTTTAATAATATCACATCCCAAATTATTATCATCTTCTCCATATCCCAATATTCTTACTGCCTGATGAAATGGAACACTTCTGGCTAATAATCTTATCAAATCTCTTGCTCTTATAATAATAAATGGATCCCAGGTTTTCCCTGTAGTTCTGACTGTCATTGACCCCTCTACTAAATCTAATTCGCACTTAATTTGGTATTCCTTAAGTGCATTCTTAACATCTGGCCAAATATCTCGCAGGTACTTTTCACGATATTTAGGAAACAAAACAGCAAAACTACTTTCTTCTAGTAATCCATGTGGATTATCTTCAGGACATAATCTTGGAACCTTCCAATGATCAATAGTATCATTATCCCACGGTTTATCTTTCCTATATCTCTTCTTTCTACTTAACTCTTTGTTAATAATTACTGTTTCATTATTAATATCAGGTTTATCTCTTTCCTCCGTCATATTTTAGAAAGTGTTAAATTCTTGAGAATCCAATCTTTATAACACTTGGATATTACAGGTAGTATTTTATTTAGAAGTAAATTAAAACAAAATTGTTCAGCCTTTCTGGTATTAATATTATATATTAAATATTATGTCACACGTTCTTTAAAACAAGCTTTAGTTTCAATTTAAAGAAATGTCAGTTAACATCTGACTGAAATTTTCGCGCTAATAGAAAGTATATCGCCCAATACATATAGCGCTCAAATTGTTTTTGACTTATTGAATGTTAACACTACCGAAGGCAAAGACAAATAAAACAATTTACAAAGTTATATATAACTAATATTATAGGTTATATAACTAGTTCCAAATTCCATTACATAATATATGGTAGCTTGAAAGGTCAATAATTGAACTTCTAATGTAACTCCTTTTACTTTTAGAATTAGAAGGAGATAATCCATCAAGCCAATTCCTACCTAATAATCTAACAACATTATACATAATTTTAGAGATAAACAAACTAAAGTAATGTTGATTGTATAATCCATCATAAGTCAACTCTTCTGACTTCTCTATAGATTTAGTGAACTTATTTTGCATGCTAATTAATTGTTGTGCAATTTGCGGATCAAAAGCTGCAACAGAAACCTCCAAATTTCTCCTTGAAGAAAATCTATCCCAATTAAAACTACCAAATGAAGACCATATACTATCAATAACAATATATTTAGCATGGCAATGAGCATCTTTAGTAAAAAAAAATCTAGCATTTTTCTTTGCAAATAGCTTTTTTAGAAAGTACTTTGTCGCCATCGTATCACCAAGTATATCCGAATTACCAGACAATAATAAAGATACTTCAATATTATTTTTAATTGAATTTTGTATTGCACGACGAAGAAGTCCAGGTGGCATGAAATATGAAGTAGTCAAGAAGACATTCCAATTAGCATTGCTTGTAGCTATCGCTAAGACATTTTGTATACCCTTATTCTGTTTTCTTGTATTACTAAGCAAAACTTGCAAAACACAACCATCTTCATACTCATCTGGACGAATAAATATATCTCGTTTTAAATCAGATCTTGACTCTTTTAAAGAATCCAAAAATACCTTTGCTAAATCATAAGTTGCAGGCCCCTTGATTTTTGCATGAACATCGTAGAACCAAGGTCTCTTATAGATTAAATTCCATGAAAATATCTTACTATATAGAAAACCTGCTATTCTATAACTAAAGTATCTTTTCCTGTTATTAACACTTGAATATTTATCTAAATCTGCTTCTTCGTAAATATATGATTTTAACTTTGAAGTAGCAGATAAGTTTAAAGAACCACAGAATGCAATATTATCAGCTATCAATATCTTTCTATGATCACGAAAGACTATAGGTCCAACAGATTTATTGAATAAAGGATTAAACCATACAATATTTACACCATTTTGTCGTAATTTTTTTAACCATTCATTAGGAATTTTACAGCTCCCAATCCAGTCAACTAATAATATAACGTCACAACCTCTTCTAGATGCATTACATAGTGAATCCACAAATCTTTTTGCTATCTTGCAATTGTCAAATATATAAGTTTCAAGCCAAACTCTTTCTTTTGCTGAATCTATTTCGTTAATCATTGCATTTAATACACTTCTACTATTATCAAATAGTTCTACTTTATTTCCTCTAGTTACTGGACCATATTCCGAAAAAAATAGTAATAGTAGTTTCCACTTCTGTTTGACAATTTCAAAATCTCTATATTTATCATTATCTAATTTATTAAATTGCTTATCAATTTCAGTATCTAACCATTCAAGATTTGCACTTTTAATCTGACCATAGTTTAGAATTTTTTTTTCCAGATCCATATATCTTGCTAATAGTTCACATTACTTATTAAAAAGTTTCTTAGTATGCTACACTTAGTTTGCGCGTCTAAACCTATAGTTTATAGTTGCACTAAATAGCACTAATTTAAGAATTACACTATCACCATATATTAAAGAAGATTCTAGAACTTTGCAACTTTTAAGCTATATAACTAAATATATTCTTTTAATTTTAAGTATCTATTTCCTAGAACTATTCAATTTAAAAAATAAAACGAATCAGAATTTAAGGAGACTAAAATCCGATAAATGTAAGACAAACTAATTTAAAAAATTTATAAACTATTTTCATCAATATATTAGCAGTATAGTATCATGCAATTTTAAACATGTCAGAAAATTTACTAATTAATATATTAAAGTTATAAATCCCAGTAATAAAAATCTACTTTTAAAAAGCATAATGAAATTATAACTTTATGTAACAGTAGACTTTATATCATTATTAACTAAAAATTAATAGAATATTTTACTTTGATTTTATATTAAAACTAGGTAAAAGTATAATTTGCAATATTAGAGTAATGTGAAAAAGGAGTAAAATTAGATATGCATGCATGCATTACGATATTTGGAGGTAATAAAAAACTTAATTAAATATATAGCCAACTTTAATAATATCTAACTATAACTATAATACCTATTATAAGATTGAAAAAGAAATCTAGAATATAAAGAGGAGTAAGGTTCTAAAAATAATAAATTATTAAATAGCTTAAAAATTATACAAGTTTTATTTCCACTATTAGTGTTTTTAATTTAATAAAAAGTGTGTCAATATTCTGGCTTAATATTTATAACTTAAATTGGAATAAAAAATTATATACTTTTTGTATGTAAATGGGTTATTTCATAAAATTCTAGGTTTTAATTCTTAATAGAAAATTTGAAATAAGATATCTCATAAGATTTAGTGTCATTTCGATAATTATATAATCCTTTTGAGAAATTAATTAAAAAAAAGAAATTATAAAGTAAAATTGTTATATACAATTAATTAAAGATCCGAAAGATTTGAAATAAATACCTAGATAATATAAATAAAGTAATTTAAACTCTACAAACTAAAAAAGACACTTTCATTTTAATGTTAGAATTGAATATATAAACAGTGATAAATATTACATTAATACCTAATACTTAATAAAATTTTGATTTTAATATTAGCTGACTATAATAGATAAAAATAAAAAAAAGATAATTAAAAAGGATTTAATATAAAAATAATATTTTTAAATTAATCTGAAAATTTAAATATAATTGTCAATAAGATAATGAAAGTAAGGAGTTCAAATACTTAAGACAATAAAGTGCCGGCATTTTGACAGAAGAAAATGAATTAAAAAAATTAAAAAGAACCAATTTCTTTTTTGTACATTAAATTTAATATAACATTAATATTTTATGTATAGAGAAATATGAAGACTTTAGAGTATTACAGTGTAGTCTTATATCACTACTGTAATATCAAACCTTTTAGTAAATATTGCTGGATTATCTGTAAGCGATTTCATATATATAAACCATATTTTACAAATAATACTGTACTACCTAGTTTAAATTATAAACACAAATTATATACTATTAGAAAAGTAAGTGGGAATAGTTTTATTAACCAAGTAATGGAACAAGTGAAGAAGGAGATTGAAGCAAATCCCGAATTAAGAAGACATATAGATGAATTAAAAACAAGTACCCAAAGAAATAGTGATGATATTTTTTTAAAAATTAGTAATATATCAAAAGATTTAGGTATGAAAGCTGAAGTTTTCTATAGGAATGTTAAGGATGGTATTCTTAATTACTCAGATAAATTCCCAATGATAACTTCATTTGGAAGATATATTAATAATATAGCTTTTAAGTTAAGTGATAAGTTTATATTTGGAGTAAAGTATATTGGAAATATGTTACATGATGATACTGTTAAAAGACGTGCACAGGAGAAGTTAGAAATATGGCGTAAGGCTAATTCCCAAAATATTAAAATGAATGTAATGGATGAAAAAATATATAATTCAGAAGATAGTATATATAGTGGAAATATTAACTCTTTAAATAATATCAAATCATCTAGTAATTTAGTAGAATCTGATCAAAAAGAGAAATTAGCTGAACAATTTGTTTCATCTGAGTATGCTTTGGTTTTATCTCATGACTCTGTTTGGGATAGATTTGGGGCAAGATTAAGAGATATGCCACTGCTTATAAATTTTTTTGAAAATCCTATAATTGAAAAGTTATTTGGTGAGACCGAATTTGCCTTGGCTATAAAAGAGATGCGCAAAGTAGATCCAACATTTAATACTGTAGAATTTATTGAGACTGTTGAAACCGTGATTATACCACATATAATAGATGCATACTTAGTAGGTAATGATGATGTATTAAGATTACACTGTGGAATAACAGCATATGCTGCTTTATCAGCTAGTTGCAAAGAACGGAGATCAATGAAGCTTAAACTTGATCCAACCTTGTTATTAATACGTAATGTTGATTTGAAGGGTGCAAAGAGATGGAATGTAAATTCAAATGACTCGAATGAATATAATAATTTTAATTCATACCCATGGTTTATATTCACATTTTCTACTCAGCAAATAAATTGTTTAAGAGACTATGAAGGTAAGGTTGTATCTGGATCAGTAGATGATATTAGAGAGGTAGTTTATTCAATGGCTATTACTCGCCATCCAAATCCTTCTATAAAAGGACTAGAATATCCTTATTTGATTTCTGAGATAGCAATTATCGGATCTTCAAAGAGCTGGTAAAAGCTATACTTATATTTAATTGATTTTAATACTATATAATAGTGAGATTATCTTGTGTTATAACAACATTTACGTAGAAAAAAACTTATATACTCTCCTATTAATTCACTTTCATTTTAAGGTATTTATCAGTTTAAAAAAGTATATTTTATCAACTTTATATCTGTTAGTAAACAGTCTTTTTTAAACTTGTAGCTTATGATCATATTTATTATATCTGATTTGTTAAAATTTTAGAAATGTATTATTACTAAATAGTTCGTTTTGTAAAGTTTGATTAGAAATTAGCATTTAAAATAATATTGCTTTATAATAAATTATCTTGTAAAAAAAATATATAATTTTAATTTGGAATTAGAAAACAATATTATTAATATGAATAAAGTCCTAAATTACTATGAAGTCATTGTCCCTATCTCGCCTTTCTGTCCAATTTGGTTTCTTAATCTTGTTTGGTAGAATTTCAAAGAGTTGGGGATCAATATTGACTAGACTGTAACACAAATGATTAAAGTCGTCAATATCTGTACAGCAAAATACAAATGATAAAGATGGATTTAAATTTTCCCAAGATATTCTCATCGGTACTTGCTGTATAAATTCTTCTCTATTAAAATTTTTTATTACAAAGGCCTCTTGTAATTTTATGTGAGGATCTAGACAGTAGAGGAATTTCTCACTAGCACCAACAATTAAAAGTGCACTAGAACTGCAATTATGGCCTCCTGCAATACAAATAAGTTGAGGAACATTCTTGAATATAGAAAAAATAGAATCTTTGTATTTTTGAATATTTAGTGCAGAGGATCCGAGCCTTGTACAAAGCCAAACAAAAGTTAATGTATTTTCAGAATATTCTTCATTCTTAAATGATTGAAACAAATTACTTTTATAAATTGTTCCATCTTTAAATAAAATACTCGATATTCTAAAGTTATTAAATAAAAATGGATTATTTTTTACTAAATAGTCAGCAATAGTTGAAGCAGAAGTTGGCCCAAACCAGTCCTTTGGTTTCTTGTTAAATATACTACATCCAACTTTTACAAACTGATGTATTGAAAATAGAGATTCTTCTAAATCTTGAAAATTCTGTAATATATAATCTAAAGAGTAAGTATATTTCTTCATTTTACAATATCTCAATAATCCCAATGCTAAGCTCATTTGGATTACTCTAAGCATACAGCCCCAACCTAAGTCAGTAGTGACAGAAGATCCCGTTTCTATAGAAAAATCCCATTCACTCCTAATAGTGGGGAAATTATATCTATAGCTAAAAAGAATAATTTCATGAAATGACTTCAAAAAGGAATCATATTTGTCTGCATCATATTTATTCCCAAATAAAAATATTAAACTATCATCATGTTGATCAATATTATATATAATGGTTGATATAAAGCTCCTTATAGAATAAATTATTTGCTTGATACCCTCAAAGGTCATCCCTAAAACATATTTATCCCAGAAATTTATATTAATTAATGAAAACCCTAGAAATTGTTATAGTATAGCCTTGTTAATAATCGAGAAGCATGGTTCCAGTTACCATTTAGTTCATACAGCACTTATTATATTGATAAGACCGCCCGTGTAGTTATTTCAACTTTTTCACAATGCGGACAAGATTTGCAGTAAACAGTCAAAGATATTATGGATGGCAGTAACACTGAATCAAAGTCTTATTTAGAATGTAGCATAATTGGAAAAGCTGATAATGAAAACTTAGAAGAGATCGTTTCATTATTGAAATCTATTTGTCAAAATTTAACTCCTATAAAGTGGTGTGATAGTCAATGGTGCCCAACATCTATAATTAACAGTTATAATACTGAGGAGAAATTAAATTTTACTAAAACCCAGATTAATGCACGTCCTGAAGCTGTTTTAAGACAATATTTATATCCTAGGGAATTAATAGATAAGATTGCGATACGTTGCTATGCTCCAATAATAGAGAGTGCTGAAAAGCAACCTAGTGACAAAACATTGTGGATAAGAAAAGTTAATGGGAATCAAAATATTAACATGCAAAATATGAAGTTAAACAGAGTAATAGAATGTTTAGCGTCTCCCTCCTTTTTTGAGATGCTTAGGTTTCTAAATATTGGATCTTATAATAGTCAACCACCAACACTTTATAACACTAATTTTGTTAGCGGATATTTTGGGATTATGAATACTCATGAAAATAATGAAATAATTATTTTTATACAGAGCTACTTCACAGATGGCAACTTTAATAATAAAACATCCAACAAACTAATAGTTGAGATAAAATCTAGGTGCTTAGATATAAATGAGATCAGCAATAATAAACAAACAATTTTGAATACTTGTAAACTATTAGACAAGTTTGTGATCTTCTGAAGATCGTTATCTTTATAATTGAATATCTATTTACAAATTATTAAACTAATTATGCTATGACCTAAAGTCTAAATATTTTGTGTTGAATGAGATTTATTTATTAACAGAATTAAATCACTAATAACATCCATCATGTTTGGTCTATTTAATGGTACTTGATCCCAGCAACTCTGCATAAGTTTGATAATTTCTTGAGGTATATTTTCAATAATATAATCCATGCATGGTCGTGTGCCCTTGATAATTTCACTAACTAAGATATCAGGATCAACATTAACCCCAAATTCAAGAAAAGGTGTCTTGTTAGTTACAAGTTCGTAAATGATCATTCCAAAACTATATACATCAATATATGTGTTGTATATTTGATTTGTGATGACTTCAGGTGCCATCCATTGGTATGTACCAACAACATTTTCTATTTTATTTCCACAATAACTTCCTTCATTACCATTTGAAGCATGTTTACATAGACCTAAATCGCCAACTTTTGCCAATGGGACATCATTTTGATTATCCACAGGATATGCTAAGAGTATATTTAAAGACTTAATATCTCGGTGAACAATAGGTGGATCTGAAGAGTGTAAAAAATAAATCCCTCTTGCAATATCAAGTAAAATTTTTAGTCTTTGATATATAGTCAGCTTAAAAGATGGACCGGTAAATGTTACTTGATCTGACTCTTGATTATGTCGAGACATTCCATACAACAAGTTAAACAAAGAACCACCTGCACAATACTCAGTTACAACGAAAGGTGGATTAGACCTAATATTTCCACCCATATAAAGTATAATATTTGGATGCCTTACATGTTTCATTATATTTACCTCACCTTCAAATTCTTTTAATCGCAGCGAATTTTTTTCATTGCTTATCAGACAAGGTATCTCACTTTCCTTCTCTACATTTTGGAAATCTGCTAAATTTCCCAATAATTTAACAGCTACATCAGTTCCTCTCCATATAGCTAAGTATACTAGACTTGTTGCACCTCTTCCCAGCAACTTTTTCAATTTAATGTCTTGAATGTTAATTTCTACATCTGTTATCTCAAGTATGTAATTTCTCTTATTGACATCTTCAAACCCCCTATATATTAATTTGTTATTTGAAATCAGTGATTTACCATTAATTACATCTAAACTTTGGTTAGGAGTCTCAGAAGATTTAAAAGATGAAGTATATGCAAAATTTGCACTAGATATACCTGCAGATTTATTTACATAAGGAATTGGTAAGTGTTGAGATGAAATACTATGAATATAAGATCGTGATGAAATAGAAGGTAATCGAATAAATGGAATTTTCAAGTTTGCATTATTGTGTTTCGAGCTTATAGGATTTATCTTTGCAGATACAGAGGGCTGACGTGCTGTATATGATATCTGTCTAGGAGGAATTTTCAGTGAAGTATTAGACAAACTAGTTTTATTAGCCGAACCAAAAGTATTATTAATATTTGTAGAACTTGAATTTTGAGTATTAACCCCCTTAATAGAGGGTTGAGAACCCACAGAAGATATAGATGAAGGTATAGGCTTTTCAAGGTAATTCCTGGAATTTTGCACTAATTGACTATTAGCAGATGAAAAGCTCACTGAACGACTCAATACAGGATTAACATGAGATAATATATTTGTTTTTGGGATTCCAATTATAAACCTCTTAGAATTCGAATTTAGAATATTGGGAGTTGAGTATTTGCAGAAATTAGAATTATAGCGAGGAATTGAAGTGCATCTAGCAGAAACTTGTCTATCAACATTTAAAGTATTTCCATTACTGTATGAACCTTTTGGATTTTCTGAAAACTGAATTGTCGAATTTTCCTTATTACGAACCAAATATTCTCTATTCGCTATGAATGAACCATTTGTAGAATTTGCAGACCACGAGATAGAATTTTGTAATATAGGCGAAACTTGGAAGTTCATTATAATTACAGAATGTATTGTAAAATTAGTAAAATATCTATATTTTTAATAAAGGAACACCTTAATATTGGAGTATAATTAATTTCCTTTATATTGTATTATGCCCCAAGAAATAGAAATCATAAAGTTATAAAATCTAAAACTTGCAGAATATAAGTTTATTAGATATTTTTTACCATTTGAATTAAAGAAGTTTCCAGTCCTTCCAAAACAATTTGTTGGCATCAGTAGAATATACGTCACTCTGAAGTAACACACACTTAGCGCCACACATGGTGGGGCAGATATCCCGACAATAAACTGTGGCCTGCATGTGAGTTTCATTGCTAAGGAAGAAATATGTCAGGAAAATCAGAGGAAAGAATCAAGTTATGCTTTAAATAAATACTAGTATAACCCAGAAATTAATTACTTCGCATTTCACTTACTACTGGGACTACCAATAGTAAGAATAAATTGTGAATGACAACAAAATTCACTTGTAAATATAATTAGTCTAGATTCATGAATTTCTTGGTAATCAAAAGTACTAGTAATTTATATTATAGCAGACACTAACTAGAAATAAGGTCTACTCTTTTAATTCTATTCAATGAGCATGTCCATCTCTAGTAAGTTATTCTCGCCATCATCTTTGGCTACATCTAAGTAGGCAAATTGAAGGAAGTGTTGTGGTCTGTGAATTTCGCTATAAAAGTCCTTTGGAATACCAACTTTCAGTGGACATGTAGCAAATGGATTGTGTTTGATTGCCATAGAATTATAGTTCCAAGTTTCATCACTAGGTATAAGAAAAAAGCCATGAAATGCATCAGACAAAAGCAATTGAACTTTCTCCGAAAATGTATGTGGACTGTAACCTGATGGATTTGGATTTTCAATAACAGAAGGGTTATCGATATTCTCTTTAGCCCAATCAATACCCTCTTTTAAAATTTTGAGTGCAGAGAGTGTAGTTGAGCCCGGAGTAAAGCTACAACGAACTACTACAGGATTTGCAGTAGAAACTTCGGGGTTTTCTTGTACTATGCGCGACATATAAACTACATCATAAGGAGTTAAGTATTCACTTTCAATTACCTGAGTATGCATAAATCCCAAAAATTCTAAGTCTGAAAGCATACTATGCTTGGGCAGAAAGTGTGACATGCTCACGGTTGCATGGTTACCTATTTGAGGTAACATGACTAGACAACAAATTTCCTTGACTATCAGTTCATTATCCATATTTATATCTAACTCAATATCTGCCTTATTCTTATTTGGTGTTTTTCCAAATAATAGAGCACCAATTTGTGTTCGTAAATCAGAGATACAAATAAATGTCTTTAATAGATTCTTTGGTAAGATATAAGTGAGCAAAACATCACCCTCAAAACTGTATTTATTTCCAATATTATCAGCTGCAATATATATGTGGTTACTACGTAAGTTAAGTGTTGTCGCAGCCAAGGATCGAGCACGCCAATCAGTTTTTGATGTGAATACTTGCTGTTCATATTGTGTTTGTGTCGTCACTATTATTTCCTCACCATGTACATTAAAAGTCTTTGTCTTGACTAAGGTAAGTTCAGATGGTTCTGATGACTGAATCTTTAAATCCTTCGCCTGTTTCTCAATTTCTGCTATTTGTTGCCTTTGTATTGATGGTGGGGCAATTTCCATCCCCAAAATGATGTCACGGATCTCACTTTGTGTTAGTGCTGACATATGGACATTGTTCTTTTTGGAATAGTCATTTAGAATAACATCTTTTAAAGCTATTTCAATCTTTATCCATTCTTCATCACTGAATGATGGCCAAATATGATGATGTAAGGTTACAACATTTTTATTAGGCCTCAACAAAAACTTGGTTCTTTCAGGATTAACATGTAATGATCGCAACAATAATATTAAGCGACTAAATGCTGTAAATGGAGATACACTTTTTAACCAGTCGTCATAAAGTGTAAACAGTACCATAGATGGTTGGGTGGCTTTGAGTATCAAATCACCAAACTTCTCTAATTTTAATAAAGCTTGAAATGGTAAAGATAAGTCAGATCCTTTAATTACAATATTTGGAAAATCAAGTAGATGCACTTCAAGTGGATCCAGCATTCCTCGACGTGTGACAATAATTTGTTTTGGTTGTTCTTCTATAGGTAATGACCTAATCAAAGCAGCAACCTCCTCAGCTGTTTTCCACTTTGCTAGTTGAGATAGACGCTTTTGACCAGCCCATACAGATGTATGTATGACTTTAAGAAATAATTGACCAGTTGTTGGACTTATTATCAAAATACAGCCATTCACCGGTTTCGTTGTAAGATTTCCTTCAAATGTTCTATGTATTGAAACACGATAAACATTTGTATCATCAACAAACCAAGTCGTTTGATTTCCAAATAGCTCATTGTAATTTTGACTGTTTAAGTAGGGTTCTGTTGGTTCCGAACAATAAAGCTGTAGTCCTTTTCTAATACGCTCGCGTAGTACATATAAAGCAGGATTTGCCTTAATAATTTTCGACATGGCTTTTTGCATCAGAGGTTTCATTCCAGGAATCCAATTACCATATGCAGAAAATAAATTATAGGCTAGATCAATTCCAATAAGTACACCAGTAGGTGATGGATATATAGACATTGCATCGCTTGTATAATCTAAAAACTTTGCACGGCAGTATCTCTCAATATCATGAGAGTCATAATCACCCCAGCGCAACTGTATATCTATCCAATATTTGTTAACTTGTGCTACTGAGTCGCTTTTTTGTTCATCCTGTCTATCAAATAGAAGGGAAGGACTAGTTGCTTGCCATTTGTATGATGAAAATAATAAAATGTCTGCACATGATGAATTCATTTTATAACTTTTTCTTGGGTGGATTGCTTCTTTTTGGACCATTTCAATACCAAGTGTATCTATCTCATTGTCTAAAACTTGACACAGATCCATAACAACTGATTCGTGAATTTTTTGCCATAAATGTGCCCTAAATATTTGTATCAAAGATATCTTCAATGTAGGAAGCTTACCATGCATAAAAATACCTGTCAAATCCAGCTGAACTTGAAAACCAATATATACATTTGCTCTATTGATTGTTGGACTCCACCATAAAGTAAATCTACGATTAGGTATCTGATTCAGACCACTTCTCTGTGCATTTGTAAGTTTTTTGTATTTCATACTCTCTTCAAAACCAGATGACTTCTCCCAAAATAGACCTTCCCAAGTTGGAAAATATGTGCCTTTAAACAAAGTATGTTCCAATATACTTTCAACTCCTCCTAAAGCTTGTATCATATCAGTCCTGTAGTTACTCAAGTTCCACAATTTTCCGTCGTGTTTTTGATGTGTCCACCAAAATGGATTGTAACGTGCAACCTGGTATTGTCTATAGATTTGTCTTATTCTCCAACCTTTGTCATATGCAAGCGTATGGCGATCTTTTTGAAATAAAGTATTAATACGTGGAATACCTTTGTCCCAGCTATCCTCCAAATCTTCTAGAGTAAGTCGCTTATTTTGTAATTGAGCTTGTTGTCGCTTCAGTGAATATTCTGACCAAATGCGCTGTGAATCAACAAATTCACTTTCCCAGGTTTGTATATATCTGTATAAATTAGGGATGAGCTGATCCTCTTCATGTGACATACCAGCTCTAAAGTGTGTTATTGCGCCTGAATCTGTTTGCTTTGAATATCGCAGGTCACTTTGAGGAATTAAAATATGTCCCATAGATAGCATTCCTAGTCCACCTAACTCCTTTGGTGTATAGAAAACTACTGGTGGGAACCTTGTTGGCATTTTTGAATTTAGACCTATTTTTATTCTTGTCTGTATTTTGTTCTCACACTTTACTAATAGATCTAGTAGTGGTTCAGTATAAATTACAGATTCTCTGAAATACGTCATCAATCCAATTAAAGTTGTATTCCATCTATTTGCAATTTTTGTAAAGGTAGCAGAACCTGATGACATTAATATTTGTCTTATACGATTTTCAAAACTACGAATCTCCGAATCATCAACCATTAAATAAACGTTTGCAGTTATCTCTTTTGTCTCAGAGTTTGAAAGTAACCAAGTACTTTCCCTCTGTGAATTAGAAAATACAGTATTTAAATCTGTGCCTGTGTTGGATTCTGTATAAATTCTCGAAGTTACTTGATTTCTACAAGTAGGTAGTATTCTAACTGAAAAACCAACCATAGAAAATAATAGATTAGGGTTGCTTAGAGAATAAATTGAAACAAAAGATTTACTCCATTCGATTGTAGTTAAACTTGGTGGCAAACGATTCTTTAGTTCCCAAAAGACTGCCTTACCAATTAGAACATCATTTTTAATTAATCTCATGCGACAGTCTTTAGGCCAACACTTCTTATTATTGTAGTCAATTACACTTTGATTTGTATTAGCATCTGGATTCTCTGTTAAATATCTTTGAACCAGCTCTCTTACTTCCTCCTTTGTGAGTTTTAGGACAATATGAAGTTTGTCTAAAAATCTACAGTATAAACGGATTGGGTGCTGCATTTCAATATCTCTACTCGAGAATTTCAAAAATTCATTTGGAAGACTTGATGGACCAGCTATTTGATTTGCTCTACTTAATCCAAGTAGTAGTAAATCTATAATTAGTGAATAATACTGACAGACAAAAGATGCAAATTGTAAACCACGAATAAATCCATAAGAGTTTAGATAATTCATATCTTTGTATGATATGTTTATATTACTCTTGCTTGTAACATAGTCAGCTAAATTATGATCCATAATTAATCTAAGTAGTCTATTTAGAAGTGTTAAGTCAACTTTTTCCATTATTTGGTCATACTGAGTCTCGACTAATACCCCAATTGAACCATCATTATATTTCCAAAATTTATGCAAATTGTTTATTCCATTACATAGTTTATATACTAGTAGTGGTGGAGGTTCACTATCTGATGGCTTTACCCAATTAGGAAAAAGTCGTCTATTATCTGATTCATACCACAAATACTGGTCCAAGTATGTATCTGTTATTTTTTCAAGTGGATCAATATCATAAACAGGTATTAAGTGTGAATACATATCCATAAATTCTATCGTTACTTCTTTAAATGTTCTTTGTGTTAAAAGATGTCTTTTTATCCTAGCCAGTGTCTCATGTGGATTGTCATATGCTTGTTCTATTAATGCCAGTTCCTCTCTTTGGGACTGGTTTAGTCTAGACTTTACTGCATATCCCTCTTTAAGTCTCTCGAGTGCCAAAATCAAAATTTTTGTATCATGTTTATAATTTAGTGGAGGGAATTGGATATGAATAAATTTTCTACTTTCTAGCCAATGCACAGCAGTAGTATATATTGCTACTGCTTCTTCACCTGAAATGTATGGACCATCCTTTAAATAGCTCAGTTGTCTTTCCTGTTCAGCTTTCAAGTATAACCTTGTCAACCTTCCAAGATTCTTTTTCGCTACTGATTTATCCACTGTTGCACCACGTCTTATTCGTTCTCTATTGTAATAGGCTGCATTTGTCCACCAATCGGCCTTAAGCTTAATATAACGTAAAATCATGTTTTCCACTGGTATAGGCATCCCAGGAACTTTCCACGGTAAATTTGCCTTCCAGCATCTCCATGCCTCACTCAAATGCTGTAATATTGGACGTGCTTTACTTGCCCTTAGCTGTTCTGGCATCATATCCAAAATATCATGCATTACAGCAGCCCTCAACTCTAAGTCAAAGTGACTCTCAACACGCTGCTTACTAATTGATTTATATGGATTTGCATTTGAACGACCCTCAAATTGTCTTGCAAGTAAATTACTTAACCATCGCTCCAACAATGGTATTATTCCACGAAGAAAATATACCCATACTCTCCAGCTAGGAGCCCAAAATCCAACACCTGGACCTTTACCCACAGATCCTGTATTGAAACGATGATATATTAAATGTTTAATATCCTTGCATAATCTTACTTGTCTCATTACTCTATATTTATATCTATACATCCCTGTTAGTTGTCCAACATGATTAAATATGTATTGTAGTGCATCAGCCAATTGATATGCATCAATATTCCCTAGTCTGTACTGGATATGACAATCTACTACAAGTTTTGTGAGTCTAAGAATTTCTCTACATAAGTGAAAGGCATTGCCAAAACGACTTTTCTTTCTCTCCTTAGTAGTTAAAGTCTTAATAGGTTTTAAATTAAAATTGTAGTCCAAATGAAGATATGTCAAATTCTTCCTATGTATCAGTAAATTCAACATATTGTAGCCTTGTCTACAAACTTGTATTCCTACTTCTACCCAGTCAGTTTCTGTGATTTGAAAGAACTTTGTATTCTGTAATATTTTAAAGAAATTGCGTTTTCTACAGTTTCTTGCAGAACGTGTATGCAAAGAATTTAATATCCAATTTTTAAGTAATTTCTGATATGACACACGGATTTTTACTGGATGTTCATGAGAAGTATTATGTTGTTTGTACCATTCTTGTACTAATGCTATATCATAAGCCCTTCTTCTTTTATCAGTTGTGCAGTTGAAGGGATATGGTGCCCAGTATAACAAAATACCATTCATAGAAGTTTCAGGTTCCAAATCAAGTTTCTCCAGAAATGGTTCTATATCTTTAGGAAGCTTCCATTCAGATACTTCATCTTCTACATGTGTATTATTTTGAAAATATGGTATAGGGTGAATTGATGGATCATAAAAAAAAACAGGGATATCAGGATCTTCTGGCTTGTTGTAAACTAAAATTGGATGATGATAAAGTGGTATATGCACGTACTTTGGTAGTGAATTATATAAAAATGGAAAAGCAATCTTGTATTCAGACCTTATTGGATGTCTAATAATAAGTCTGTTTATATCATTAAACTCATTCCAATCTTCGTCATAGTCAATAATACTTGATACTAGAGGTTCAAACTTGGGTCCACCTGGAATAGCAATGTTTAAAGCTTTAGCTGTAAAAAATGACTTCTTGTCAAATAAATAATAGTAATTTTTATCCAAAATATTGGACAATAGTTGGGTTGATAGCCTATATAATGTACCAAGCTGTTCCAAAGATAAGCACCATGTATGATTTTTATACTGCCCTTGTTTGCTGAGTGTCTCAAATATTTGAGGACTATCTAGATAAAACCAGTCAATTACTGATCTGTCTTCTTCTTCATCTAAACTCATTCTAATAGCTTCAAGTGGTTCAACATCCAAAATATTATCTCCATAATCTAGTGGTGGCTCTTCATCATCAAATGGTGGAAACCTTATTCTTTTAAAGTGGCGTCTATCACGCTTCTCTTTTCGCATCATAACCCACATAGTACACCACTGTGCAATATAAACAGGTTCAATAGTCCATGGTATTTCATTTACAAATGTTATTGCACCTGTAATGTGATATAGACACTTCACATATCTTATTTGTTCCCATGGCATTGGCATATTCTCTAGCAATTTATATATAGAATGTGGAACGTACTTTAGTGCACCTAAATATACACGTTTTTCATGCTGAAACCTTCTCGAAGACATATCCCCATGATCTTTCATCAGTTTTCTCAAATGTTCAGGAGGCATAAGTGGTTTTTTTGATGTATCTACATGGCTATTTCCCCTTTTATAGCTATACCTAGTATTATTCAAAAGGTACCAGTTACGACCTTTGTCTTCTAGACTAGTACTTGTCTGCATATTTTCATCTATAATATTACCACAACTTAATTTCAACATCTAAATCTAGGTAATACAAGCAAAATAATACCAGTTTTCATATATATTTATAGCTATTTATTGGAATTTCCTCCTTTATTTACAAGAGCCTATCTTAATTTTACGGACAGAAGAAAGCGCTAAACTCTTCCTCTGTGGAACTGCAATGCATTTATAAAAGCATATGATGATACCTGTTTTAACTTTATCTTTTAAATTACTAATTCATCAAATAAATATTCATAATATTAAACTCAATTGATACTAGAAGGTAATTATATTAGAAATTTACTTTATTTCAGCACTCTATTAATAACTGTATATAAAACATATATAACTTGTTTATATAATATAGTTATATAGAATCATGTAAAATAATGCTAAAAATCTCACAATATGCCTTAAATAAATGAGTGATTGTTTCATTAGTAGTCTAAAATGTTATTTCAAATAATTGATATTGATTTACAAACAGTAAATTATAGTATAGCAACTGCAATGTTCATTACAACTAAATTCTATCTAGAAAACTAACATACTAAAGGATAGATAGCATCTTATTCCGATATATTCCCAGTAAAATATTAATGATTTCTTTATAATGAAAAGATATGTACTTACCGTTGTTTAAATTTCAGGAAATAGCGGGTAGACTATTGCAGTACCTCTTCGTAACAGATGCACGTTGGCTTTATTAAAAATGGTTACACTGACAGAGCAGATAATAAATGATCGTGGGAAGATATCTTTGGATAAAACTACTGAATTCTACACACTAAGTCTACGTGGTTTAAGTATAACCAAGTTAGAAAGTCTAGGGACAACAAGGAATATATATGAATGTATTGACTTAAGCAATAATTATATTACTGAATTATCATCAATACCATATCTAAGTAATCTTAAATCTTTGATATTATGTAACAACCAAATAGAGATAATTGAGCGTGAATTTATTAGTAGTTTACCTAATCTGGAAAGCTTAGTGCTAACACATAATAATTTGAGTTCGTTAGAATCAATAATTTCAATCATTGGATTAAAGAAAATTAAAAGAATATCAATATCAGATAATCCAGTTTCACTAAACACATACTATAGACTGTTCTTAATCTACTTTTTACCAAGTTTGCGTTATATTGACTTCCAAAAGATCTGTAAAGAAGAAAGAGTTAAAGCTGAAAAGTTTTTCACTGAAAATCCTACCAGGATTGAAATTCTCAATTTAATTACAACAAATAAGATTGATAATGATATGAATCAAAACTTAGCTGTAAATGGTTCGATTAAAGATATTGATAAAAAATCGGTACATCTCAATAGAATGCTCATTAATACTACTAATCCTCTAAATCAACAAACTATAAATAAAATTAAGAATTCTATAGCTAGTTGTACAAGTATTGATGAGCTTAGACAATTGGAACAGGCTCTAATTACAGGCTTAATTCCAATAGAACTAAAAAAGCTAATTGAGAAGTAACCTTGAATGTTAAGTACTTTTTACTAATAATTATATTTATGACTAGTGGACCAATTAAATTTGTGGGTCTGTCTAAGTTTAGCTATACCAATACCTAATGTTTCTTCAATCTTTTGTTTCCACGATTCTTTAAGTTGGTATTCTTCTTTTATCTTATTATATTCTTCTACAATTGCCTCAATATGCTCATTCATATTTTCTATATCAGACTTCTTAGAGATATTTATACCAGCTATACCATGAGATCTTGAATATTGTTCTGAAATTTCTGCAATATGGTCCCTTACATCCTCACAACGATACATCAGATCTATAAGCTTTTTAAGTGCTTCTACGTCACATGAAATATTAGTATTTTCAACTTCATTCAATTTCCCACTCTTTTCTTTCAAACTTTGCACAAGTTTGAGAATTTTCTGGTATTCATTTTCCCAAAAGCAATAATTTTGCATCATTGTGTGTGGATCTGCCCAATTTGAATGTAATATTGAATTGTATAACTTTTTGATTCTTTCAGATACTTTCTGACTTGATAATGTAAAGGCAAATACTGCTCTTTCTATGCATCTTGGTTTAATAAATAGATTCGTTGTTTTACATACTGTCATTTGCATAAGTTTACTCATAGTAGTTCTATATTGAGATTCCCTATTATATATATATATGATTGCACTTTACTATATTCTTTATACTACTTTACTCGAAAATTGCATCTTCAATATTTTTACTGAGACCTGTTGCGCGCAACACAAAATAATAGTAACATTAACTATGATATAATTGAAAAGTATTCTACCCTATCTAGTTACTTTTATCTTCACTCATTTATATTTATCAATAAATATGAGTTGATTTTTGGTTATATTATTTCAGAACCAGATTTATAATAAAGAACTTGTTAGTTGGAAACAATATCTATATTGCAGTTTTATTAAAAAACTATTCGGGATACAGAATGAATAAGATTATTATAAATAATACGTTTGGTTTCCAAATCCTCTTTTTATAATTAGTTATCATAAGTTTCAGTAGCTATTTTCCAGTATACTGAAAATTATGAAAAAAAGTTAATATAATAAGCTATTATTTTCTTGTAATAATATTTGGAAGTATATATTTAAGTATATTTGTATTTTTATATTCTTAGTGTTTAAATTAAAAATAAACCTTTTTATTGCTATTATATATAGTATTAAAGCTATTTGTTACTTATTAAAGATATTTAAATTAGAAAAGATAGCATATACTCTATTAAGTGGAGAAGTGAACTGAAATTTATCCTAAAGTAAATTGTATTATTCACTTTTTTTTTTTTTTTTTTTTTTTTTATAGAAATTATGATTATATAAGATAATATTTTATTTATTATAATAGCAAATATAATACTAATATTACAAATTATTTGCATTTTTATCCTTAAGAAGTAGTTGGGATTCACTATAGTATCGGTTACATGTCATTAAATCTATTATTAAAGATACTCAATCCCCACACTACAATTAAATGACACCAAATTAAGTTCACATTACTATTTTGAAATATAATATTTTCAGAAATTGAGAAAATTTAGTTCGGAAAAAGTAAGAACTGACTTTTTACTTTACTGATTACTTATTGAATGATCTGAGTGTAAAATATTACTGGAAGAATTAGAAATGAGTATAATAGAAAGTAAGAATTCAGTAACAGATAAACAAATTGGCACTTGTAAATCAAGTGATAACAATAGAACAACAGAAGAAATCAGGTCATCTAAAGATTCAGATGTTTATATATGTAATGAGTCCAATTTACAAAGTAAAATAGATACTTGTCAATATCCGAATATTATATATTGGTACAAAGAAGATAATATACAAAAGAAGAAATCATTTTCTAAAGGTGAAGTTATTAAATATTCTGAGATTTGGTTAAGATTGATTGATTATATTATAGTAAATGATGAGAATTTGCAGTTAAAGAGATATAATTCTTATAGCAGTTATATGCAGATATTTATTGGAATATTATGGAGAAACAATAAGATAGAAGATATAACTTTCAGAGAAGCTTGTTATAGAAAAAAAATTTGGGTTCCTGTGATTTTGAATTATTCAAATGATACACCAGAAATAACTGCTTATAAGTTACAAATAAGTTGTAGTAACTTCTTACTATATGATTATGATATATCAGATGATTATATAAATAGAGTGAAGTTTATACTAAAGAGTGATTTTCATAGAGAAATCACATTAATAAATTCTAGAAATTTATTTGACTTTGATAAAATATCAAATATGCAGTTTAATATAGATTCCAATACCAAGGATAAAAAGTGGAAAAACTTAGAAAATACATCAATTTTAAAGAATAGAGTGGATTTAATAGAAAACGGTGCAGTAGATAAAGCAGAAGGTTTTTCACAACGTAATAAAGTAAATAATTTGCAAGATGATTTATCTACAAAAATAACACTAATTGAAATGGAAAAACAAAATTTTATTTCAGATAGTTTTGAGAATTTTGAGCAAGAGGAGATAAGATTTAGGAAATCAGTAGATTTAGGGTTAAATTCAGACAGTAATTGGCTTTCAATGATAAAAACAATTAATTTTACATCAGGAACAACAGGGAAACCTAAAGCTGTAAAATTAAGTTATCAAAGTTATGATGCGATGGTTAAGACATTTAATAGATTTTGGAGATTAAAAAAAGATATGCATAATGTATTACTCGTTACAAATCCACTATATCATATAAATAGCAGTGCTTTGGTTGAATGGTGTATAAGAAATCCATCAATGGATATGATACTGATTGAAAAGTATAGTCGCAATTTTTGGGAAATTTTAGTAAATTCTGTTAGGGAAATTCTGAATACATATAAAGATAACTTTTTATTGATTGTACCTTTAGTCCCAAAACATTTTGAATATTTTTATAATATGATAAGAGAAGAAAGCTATAAAAATGTTGACGAGTCAATTAAATATTTATCTCATCCTTGTATCCAATATTTATTCGGTTCATCTGCAGTTTCTTATGAGTTTATATGCAAATTTCAGAGTATTTTTAGTGGAAAGATTCCAAGAATACGTTTTGGTTCTACAGAAACTTGCCTACAAGTATGTGGTACTGATATGGAGCTTTCTGAAGAGAGAATAGTTCAGTTATTAAAGGAGGGATATAATACAGTTGAAGATAGCAAGACTGGGGTAACTTCAAAGTTACCAACTGGATATTTTATAGGTAGACCAATACACCCATATTCTGAAGTGAAAATAGTAAAATCAATAGATCCGAATTCTATAGAATTTATGGTATCTACTGAAGAACATGAAGTTGGTTATTTTATCTGCCGTGGACCTATAATTATGACTGGATATATGAATTCAACAAGTGATGTATTAGTAGATAAAAAATATTTAAAAAGAATAATTCTAAATAAGCAGATTGGACACTCTCTTGAAAATATGGTACATACTTGTGATGTTCACCCTTGGTATATTGGATTAGGTGATGAAGGATTTTGGCTTAATAGTAAAGGTGATAATAATGTCTATCCCAAATCAATAGAAGGAAGTTTTGATATAAATCCACAAGATATGCTTATAAACAATTGTAAAGATATTGAGAATAATTCCAAACAAAATAAGAGTGTTTTCATGGAATTCCAACTTGACTTATCAAATTCAGGTATTTGTATGTGTTGTAAAGGGGAAATAGAGATACAAAATATTTGGTATTACTGGAAAAGTAGATCAATTGGAATTGTTAAAATTGGAGGTGTCAAATATAGTTGTGAAGAGATGTCTTCTAGAATAAAAGATTCTATTCTTACATTATATAATAATTTGCAGATTCCTAACGATATTTCATTTTTAGTATATGGAATTAAAGGAAATAATACAATATCTGAAGATGATAAGTTGGTATTAATTTATGAACCTTTTGAGGGGAGTTACGAGATTAAGAAGACGTTGATTAATAAACTAAAAAATTTCAATATACTTCATAAAGCTTATATTCCTGAGTTTGTTATTGAGATGCCTATTCCAAGGACATTTAAGGGAACTATAAATTATCTCGAGCTAAAACTACAAGTTGATAGTATGATTAGCTACTGACTTTATACTTACTGAAAGTTATCACTGCTAATATATATATAGTTCTGGATTCATTGGTATATTTCTCAAGTATAAGAAAAAATAAGTTATGTAGTTAGATCTCACTATTAAGATTAATAAACTAAACTATTAATGTGGATCTTTGCTCATTTAGATTTTATTATCTTTATTTAAGGGAATATATATAACAAGTTAAACAATTTATTTACGGTAATAGAAATAATACATTTGTACATCTAGGTAATATTGGTACTTCTATTGAAGTTAATAAAGCCTCATTTCTAGTTCTTGGACGAAGTTTTTGCTATCAGGTTAATATTACCTAGTTTAAATAATCTTAGTAATAATATTATATCTAATTTATATATACTAATTTTTAAGACACTTTATAAAAAATACTTTTTTTTTCTTTTTTAATTAGCTAATACATAGTCTAATTTATAATTTATGCTAATATTTCTTTTAAATTCATTGTTATTTTCTATATAAACATTCAAAATTTTACTATTCTACTGACTTTATAATTATTTGGAAGTACAATATTTTTATAAAGCTATTTACAATTAAGTATTTTTACTATTTAGTTTGAGATTTATAATATTTTTTGATTCAAGTTACTATTATTTCAATAAAATTACTTTAGAGGACAATGTAAAACTCCAGTGCTTGAAGTGCAGCTGAATGCACTAGATGCTTCAATTACTTAATAATTTAGGTGTGACCTTTAATTAGTGTGTTAGTATGCACACATGAATTCATTCATAGCTATAGCGTCTTTTCTTCAATTAAATAGATCAAGTAACAAAATGGAGACTGACTTGGATATCGAAGAGTATGATATAAGGAATTTTATTCCATTGTATCCTGAAACATGCTCCCTTTTATACCCCTCTCCGTTAGTACCAGATTCATATGATATAAAAGATAACTTTGAAACTGAAAAAAAGTCTAATTCAAAATTACACAAGGGAAATTTGGGAGATAAAAATAATCCTAATAATAAATCTGAATGTATAGGTGCAGAGAAATATATGTGTCATAAAGTAGACACGAATGATTATGAGTTACAGGATAAATTGAGGTATAGCTTGTTACATCCAATGTCAAGAAGTTCACAAAATAATCTTCAAGTTGATCTTAAGACAAAAATAAATAGAAATACACTAAACAAAGTATTGGACTCTTGTAATGAAAATAGACAGAAAATATTGACACCTTTGAAAAATTCAAACTTTCTTGAATGTGAACAGTCATTGAAACCCAAGACTAAATTAATAGTAAAAAATCCTTTAAAACAAAATACTACACAACCTGATTATATAGGTAATAAAAAAGAGATTTTAAAGTCTGAAAAGTTACGAAAAAATAAAATAAGTGAGTTAGAAAAAGATAAACAAAGCCTAAAGATCTCGTTAAAAGAAACAGCTATAAATACTCCTAAATCAGCGGAATTAGTTAATTCCAAATCCTCAAAATCAACAACCGTATCATTAGGTTCTATTCATAAAGAAACTCCTTTTTCTAAGCAGATAGTTAAATTGCCTGGGTATTTGCAGTATCATTCAAAACCGGAAAGATCTATTTCAGAATCTGCAGGCAAGAATATTTCTTCAGATACTTTGAAAACAAGTGTATTAGTAAATGGTGTAAAAAATAATGATATTGGTTTATTAAAACAAGGCAATATAAAAACTGAACCAAGGCTTGAGTTAGTTAGAAATCCCAATGAAGATAAAAAAGTAGGTAGTGAGTTAAAGACAAAGCTACAAATGAACGGAACAGTAAGGCATACCACAGGTTTAAAGGAAATTAGCTCATATGAAGATCAAAAGACTTTGAAGAAGCCTTTAGATGTTTCAATAAGAAAAGAACCTATGCAATTTTATAGAGAATATACTGAAGATAAGTTTGAAATAATGCATGGTACACCGGAGGAATTTACTACAAAACTACTACTAAGTCCTAATTTGGTAAAAATTGAGAAAAATTCAAATAATGAAGTTGTAATTTATGTACCTTGTAGACTTAATTCAGATTTAGAATGTATATTCTACTTTTTCTCAGATAATAATATATTTTTGTTCCCTGAACAATTTGCCAAGATGTTACATTGTGCTCATTTATACCATTCAAGTAAACCATTAGATATTTTGGAAAGAATGTTCCCTAGCAACGATGAAACAGAGCCAGGTCTAGTAAAAAAATCTATAAGTTATTCTTCTTTTTTAAAGTTACTTCATAGATTTGCACTTTTCAAATTCAAATCAATGGGAATAAGTGAAGAGGAGAAACTCAATATTGTGATTTCCTTTATAATTAATTCCAAAGATGGTAAAAGAGCGTCAGAAAAATTATTAAAAGTTGGGAGATGTATACAAGTTAATGACCCTACACTACAAAGACAAACTAAAAATATACAGGTAGTAGCTGAAACTAAAGAAAAGAAGATTGGACAAACAATAGAGACAGTTGGAGTAGGAGTTGAAGCTAGAGTAGAAGTTTATGATGTTAGCTGTGAATGTGATTTAGAAAACCAAACAAGTAAGTGTTCAGCATCAGATACATTAGAGATAAATTCTAATAACAGCCTTGAGTCAGAAGATAATTCAAAAGTGGAATCTGATCATATTACTGAAGATGAATCTAGATTACTATGTACAGATACTAAGGATAGTAAAGAAAAAATTGTATATTTTAATCCTGATGAATACAAATCAAAACACTTTATTTCGACAGAAGATAGCGAAAGTTATGGTGATCAGCCTGAATTTCTATCAGATATTGGAAAAGCAATAACTAGTATAGGCTCAGAAGATGATAAAAAGATTTATAGGATATTTATTTACTATGTCGGTCCAAATAAAAGTAAGTTGTCATACCGTCAATTTTATAATATGATGAATGATTCAGGTATATTAGGTGGGTTTATGGAAGATTTCATTACACCTATTCAGCTTGAAAGATGTTATTCAGCAGTTTTAACTGATCCAAAAGGTATTGACTACTGGGAATTTAAGGAGGTACTTTTATATTGTGGAGAAACTGCAAGTTGTGGTGATACCCCATCTACAGCTCTTCAAAATATTGTAAAAAAGTACATATTACCTTTGATACTACCTATATACCAACCAAATAACTTTGAAAAGTGTGAAGATGCTATTACAATAGCAAATTCAAATAAATTAAACTCAAGAACTCTTGAAACACTTCAAACAATGATAAACAAAACAACACTACCTTGGTTTAGATTAGGTAACTGTCCATTCATAAGTAGTGATGAAAGTAATAGTTGTTCATGTGATTACTCATCATATTCTGATTCTACTGATTCCAATGAGTCGAGCTATTCATCCGGAAGCCTTAAGTCATTGTAAATCTTTTAATAAAGTATAAAAATTGAGCAAAAATATTAAGGGGGACATATCTTATTTCTATCTACTATACTTCAAGGATGTCTTAATTTATCTCTTATAAAATAATATGGGTGAACTCTATAGATATTATCTTATCATCAAGTAGATTTCTAAGTATTTTTTTTTATTTCAAGACCGTCCCTAATTTTCTATCTATAAAGTCAAATGGTGGCGCCTTGCATGCATTTGACATATGACATATAGTAGACTGTCACCGGTATAAGTTACCCACAAAGAAAAAAAATAATAAACGGAAGAAAACATGCTCTATACATATAAGTAACTTCAATTTACTTAGCACAGCCAAAGATATGTCAGGATTTAATATTGAAAGACTAATTAAATTAAATACTCTGAGTGAAGATTTTCATGGTGGCGAGATATTTCCTCTCTCGCTACCAACTGGTAAAAGTATTGATTTAGACATTGAAAGTTACTGCTATTATTACAATGATTATTTTGGAAGTGGAAATATTCTGAACACTTCTTTTAACAAGGATTGTCTTGTAAACTCGGATTATTTGGCAGGAATTCATCAGTGGGTAAATTACAACTCAAATGAAGTAATGGAAAGTCAGAGAAATGGAGATGGATATAATGAGAATAAATGCAAACAAATGGTGAAAGATGAAGATATAAAAGAGAATATTGACATTTTGGGTATTAAAAATAAGTCAAGTGATAATATGTTACCAACATTACTCAATTATCCAAGAGTATTTCATAATGAAAAAGCTAAAATTGAGGGAGTGGTAGTAAGTTGTGTGAAGGCAATAGTATTATTTTTACGTGCAAATTTAGGCTCAGAAATATCTAAAACATTTAAGAAGGAAGTCGAATCTCTTGGTACATATATTGTTGAAGTAACCACATGTTCAAAATTACTTCAGATATTTGATGAGCTCGATGGATGTAGGCGATTAATTGTAACATCAGCAGATGCAGCATTAAATGAAAACCTAGCTGAGAGTTTAAATAAAAAAAAATACAGAAACTTTTTGGGAATAACTTTATATTGTGGTCCTCATGCAGATTATCATGTTAAATGGTGCTCAAAAGTACCCTGTATAAAATTTCTATCACAGAATCTAATAGAAGTGAGGCGTGCAATATCTTGGATTTTAGCTGAGTCAGTATCGAATTTGACAGAAATAACATTAAGTACATCAAAGAAAAGTAAAAAGGTCGCTACAAACAACAATAAAAAAATATTGGCCACTAAGGCATTTCCTTCACTTGTAGGTGATTTTCCTTCTTTGAATGCAGTAAAAAGTGTAAACAATGAAAATACATGTCTATTTAATACTAGTCAACTGGAAAACCACCAAATTCATTATTCACCTTTAGGTGTAGGCAAATGTAACAGTGATATTACAACAATGCTTAGAAATATTGCAATTAGCACAGCTTTAGAAAATCAATCGAAATGTAATGAGTTATAACAACTTGTCAAGCTCATTTCTGCAAAGCCTTTAGTTCCAGTCTAGCAAAAGAAGTTTTAATTTAAATTAGCTCTTTCACATGGTTACTTCCAAAGAAACGCTAACAAAATAGAGTATGTTTATGTTATATAATAGAATATATGGCGTCCAGATAATTATTAGAAAGAAGAAAGAGGGTAATATCTGCACAGCATTTATTGAATAACAGCTTATCTTCAAATAAGAATTGGTACTTATATTTATCAGTTTTCCTATAATATTTCACTAAATTGGCTATTACCTTAAGAATAATTAGCTTAGTTGTAGTTGGACTATTCTTCTATTCGACATGTAATATCCAGTGTGGAAAAAAAGTCTCGCATTTTAAAATTTTGCGTTTATGTATGTGGTTATAGGATTATTTGCCTTCTTTTATAAACTTAATTAAAAGGGATATGATATTTACTCTACGTCAAGGTGAGTAATAAAAGATTCTTACTTTTTTTACATGGTAGAAAGTAAATAATTCTTAGCTATACAAAGTTCTGCAAGTACTCAAATTAAATTTGAGAACTTTTTGCACTTTACAGTTTATTCAAAGTCTTCCGTAACATAACGTCTATATATCGATTTTTTTTTAGTCTAGTGTGGATACTATCTGCAATAGTAAACATCCTAAGGAAACATAGAGTAAAAAGTATATGAAATGTGGATATCTATTTGTTCAAAAGCCAAATTTAATATTACCAGATAATATGTATAGAGTAGATATAATTTAGCAACCTAAAACAAATCACTTATATTCAGTATATTGTTAATAGATAATGTGCACTTTTAATGGTGGGGAAGAAGGATTGTATCTAGAGAAATTCATTACAAGTGAAGGTTACAAAAATCTGAAGGGGAGGAGGAAAATATAGAAGTGTCTAATATTATTTATTTGCTCAATTTAATTATATATTGGAGAAAATTCTAGTAGTTCTAAAGTTAACTTTCTTATTTTTCGAAGTTTATGCTATAGTTCTTATTAGTTGTTGAATAATATAATGGCTACTTTATCAAAATAATGAATATTCGATAAACTTACTACTGGAAAGAGTATTGCTACTGAAATAATAAGATGCTAGAATATGTAGGTAATAAAGTTAATACTCAAATTAAAAATCCTCTAGATACTTTACAATTAAAGTTGCTTAACGCTACCGGCAAAGCTGAAATATTGCGCTAATTGACTTTTTAATCTATATATACTGAAATAAGTATTTCTTAAATTAATGGCACAGAAATTAGAGGAAATATCTGTTGGATTTCGTCATAATACGGCAGAAATAGAGATTATAGAGTCATGGGTGAAGGATATTCCAAACAATGTTACAGGCGACAGAAAATCCGAGGATATAAACTTGGATAAAATAATTAATAGGAAGAAGTGGTTGGGTGTAGGAGCTGAGCTATCTATAAAGCAGAAGGAGGAGAAAGAAAAGTTGAGAGAAAGCCTTGTTGGTTCTAATAAGAGGAAGAAGGAATATAGACCTAATTTAAGGAAATTGGATTGTGATAGTGAAGATGAGAGTGATAATTACGGAAGTAGATCATCCACAATTTTAAGGCAGATTGACAAATTAAAAGTTAAGGCAAGAAATAGGGTATGTTCTATTTGAATGAGGGCTCAAAAGTAGTATTTAATAGCACTGGGTTTTAATAATTTACTCAACATTTCTTGAGATAGTCCAAAAATATTACAGGTAAATAAAGGGTCTATGTGACTTTAAAAATATTGTTATACTATTCAGATTATTTAAGCTACTAAACATAAATACTATATTTTAGCTAAGTATTTAGAGTTTTGGAAAAGTACAAACAAATTTTCCTACTACAACTTAATATAATGAGTACTACGGATGGACGACTTTACAAAATCTCAGATAATAAAATACTACTAAATACTTTCCACTTGAGTTCTATAGAGATTCTATTATTCAATCTAATTCCGAGATGTAATAATATACAAGAGATAAATATATTAAAAAACTATATACACAATAAAAGCAAACTTAAGTGTTTTTAAAAATAGAAAGAGGTCTAATTAATAAATTAAGAACCTCACATATATGAATGAATAATGATAATATGATTCATAGGGTTTATATAGGGGGATGTATATTTTAAAGAGTGAATAGATATTTAAAATTTACACTTTACTATTTGAATATAAGTCTTCTACTATGTAATTTATGGCAGCTAATAATTTAGCTTCATATCTCTGTATTTCTGGTGCTAATAGTTTGAGCAGCAGTGGCTGTCTATATCCACCATTTATTGAAAGTTTTTTTTTATCTTGATGCTTATCTTTACATTTGCACTTTGCACTCCTCTTCTTGTTTTTTGCAGGTCTGCACTTTGTACATGTACTATTAAGTTTATTCTCATTTACATGAGGTTTCAAAATTTTCTCAATTGCAGGATAAAATGCTGATCTAATTGGTTCAAATTTCAGTATTTCATTATTGGGATTTACAATTTTTGATCTAAGTAACCTTTCTAAAGCACTCATAGTTTTCAGTTTATTTTTATTTTCTACATTTGAATGTACAATAGGTACCATTTTACCTTCAGTGGATACAATAACTGTATTGTTTCGTGGGCTAGAGTATGGATATAAGAGCTTACGAGCTTCTACCCATTTAGATACCTCTTCAGGCGAGTCTATAATACTTTGTCCTTTAGCATTCTTTATATGTTTAAGCTTATGATACTGAAGAATTTCCAGCGGCGCCGAGTAATTGCAATTCTTTTCATCGCATATAATATGATCTTCCTCTATATGAGAATTGTACTTCTCGAGACTAATAAATCCTTTATCACAAACATTGCAATAATTCAGTTTGTTTTTGTTTTTGTCTTTAGGTCTTTTGATATTAGTGTTCCTCCATCTCTTCAAATAAATATCCTTATTAACTCCTTTAAAATTTTTTATATGATTATTATTCTCAACTTGACTAAGGGTATTATTATTTAAGGGTATATTTGCATATATATACCCATTGTTCATGCTATTTAATGCATAGTTTGGATAGCAATGAATATATGGGATTTCAACTGGGAAATTACATATATAACCCTGAGGATACACATTCGAATAGTCAAATACTTGATAACTTACATATCTATGATTCTGTTCACTCATTCGCTATACTAAATGTTACTTTATATTTTCTGCTATCAGGCTTTAACTCCAACAATGGCGCTCCAAATAAAATATAAATTGGCGGTTTAAGTGTGATGGTATCTTATTAAAGGGTTTCTAATTTTGCTTTCTCCCCTAGTAGATGGACACAAAATTTATCTTTGATTAGTATATTACAATATACTTATATTTGGTATAGATAAGTGCGAATTATTATGTGGAAGTACTTTAGTTTTTCAGAAGTTCAATATACGTAGGTACTATTATAGAATTTCATAGTTTCTATAAATAATGCCACTTGACTATATTTCAGTTATATTTGTATTGAAAGCTTGAAATATGTATATTATTAGTTCTATTTGATAATTAGCTGAATAGACCTTGCCAATAATTGTTTTTTTAGTATAAAGGGGGACGTTGAAAGATTGCATTAGTACTTCATAGTAAATTTGTCGCCATTCCTACAATATACAAGGTATTCACTATCTGAAGTACTTATTAAAGCTCAATTCTAGAGTGTCAGTTAACAAATATACAATATCCTCTATATACCTGGAAACAAAGTAGTTGGTTTAGTAATATTTCCCTAATTAAGATAATAGTATTCAATAAGTAACACTAAATATATCTAAAGTTTAATACAATAAACTTTCTTTGAATTAAAAAAAATTAGAAATACATAGTATTATGGATCTTAAAAATAACTGCACTTTTTTCTACTTTTCCTAAGACGCAATTCATGAGGGCGCAAGGAAGCATAATAAAGACATATTTGCATATTTACCAAGTGGGAATGAGCAGTAAAGTTTCTAGTCATTCTAAGTCCTTGAAAAATAAGATAAACAGTCAAGTATATGACTACTTTAGAAAGAGTCTGCAGGTAACATCAACAAACTTATCTGATACGAATTTACCATTCCCATACAAACATGAGATGTTAAGTGGTTTGAATATATTTTCAGCATTGATATCTGACCCTGATATTATAAATGTGCCGATACCTTTGGATGTGATTATTGGCTACTATCCTAACATTTTTGACAATATATACAAGAATACCATAAATATACTACCTAGACATGATACTGGTTTTAGTATAGACTTGATGAACAGTGAAGCTTACAACATAGATTGGAATAGATTAGATAGAGGATCTGGAGTAAATAGAGATGATATAGATATTGAAGATTTATTACTCGTGGATAATGAATCTAGTAGGATATTTAATCATATTGTACAACATAGAAGAGAAGTGAGTAGTGAAATAGTGGAAGAGAACAATGAATCATCTTCAGTTTCAGAATTGGATATACCAAGGTCATCTACAAATGAACCAATATTAGTTCATCCAAACAAGCCGAATGTGACAGCAGATTTTATATTACCAATCATACCACATATATCAGCAAACACTCCTGAATTATTCCAAGTTACGCTAGATAGCGATATAAATGAGGGAGATTGTATATTAGAACTTGCAGACAAATGGACCTTTCCAACAACTAGATTTTCGCTTTATAAAAAGGACCAAGAATCGACGTATTCTTATGATAGAGATTATTCATGTCAACTGCCACGAGAAAATTATGTTAGTTACATAATTAACCTTCCTAGAGAGTTTCTAAAAGGAGATTCAGTTGATAAAAAAGTAGGCGCATTGGATAGACCTGTTGCTCATATTATGGCAACAAAAGCTCCTAAATTATTGCTAAGAAAAGTTTCTTCTACAAAAAAAAATATAACGTTACAAGTAAAGGATAATAGTCTTGAGAATCAAACCTAATATGGAAGAAACTAGTTAATTCAAAAGTGTGATATATTTTGTTTTAGTTGTTCAATCTCTACGGGAATATAGTGAAGTCCTTTATATCTCATCCAAAATTTAAGTCTCGTTGTTTTCTGACTTTCAGATGACTGCATAAAAGAATAGAGTGAAATATATCCAATGCCAAACCCTCTTCCTTTACTCATAGAATAACCGCCGTTTGTTACAACCCCTACCAGATCCCTTAAAGTTTTTATTTTTATACAACATTGTTTAAACATTACACTCTCATAAGAATCTCTAGGATATTGACATTTGCTTAATTTATAGTTTTTGCATGGCTTTTCAATTAATTCATTGTTATCCTTCAGAAATACTTCGTCACCATCAACCCATAAATATAAATGCGAATTTTTAAGTACTGGTCGGTTAGAATAGACTTTAATTAGGATCATGATATTCGAAATCTTTTCTAAGTTTATTTCGGATGCAGCAATATATTGAAAAATATTGCGAAATTCATTTGTAGCACCTCTATATCCATATCGTGGGACTACAATTTTCCACTTTATAGGAAGTGTTCGCTGTATATTTGTTGATGGCTCATCTATCTGAAATGACTCGAGCATACAACTTAGATTACTTCGAAATGTGATAGAACTCTCATTATTAGTTTCATTTCTGCTAGCATGTCTTTTTGCAAGAGTTTCCCAGTCAGTTATGAAGGGATAGCGAATCTTATTAAAAAGGAAATTGATGCGTTTACTTGGGGGTGTATTTAGATAGGAAGCAAGGGCAATCCTTTCGTTAAAATTACTATACTTTGAATTCACTTTATCAAACTTAATATACTTAGTACATATAGTCTTTGAGTAGCTTAATGTATCTATATAATCAAATGGGAAATATGGCATTTCTAGCTCTAGACTTAAAAATCTGCGCTCTTCAATTCCAATAATTGGCACAGACATAGATTGTAGAAACCTTAGTAAAATTGTTGAGTTTATTCCACGTGGAATTATTAGGTCATATCCAATATGATTTCCTTGGTGACATATTAGCAATATTGGTGTTTGAAAATGGCTTAAATTAGTTATATGTCCACTTTTGTGTTCCTCAAGCTGATTAGATTTAGAATTAGAAGACAATTTTTCACCAGAGGAATTGGCTCTGGATAATATGTGTCCTAAAAGAGTTCTTATATTGCGTCTTTTTCGGCTTCTCCATGTTTCATGTGATATAAGGTTTGATGTTCCAAAAGTACACTTTGAATTCATTTGACCTCTATATTTAGATCTATATTTTAATTCAATAAACTTATTTCTTAAGTGTTTCCTATAATCTGCATCATAAACTGACTCTTTGACATCTTTATAGCTAGTCCACTGATCTGGCCATTTAGTTGAGTACTCTATGTGACTACCACTTGATTTTTTACTATATTTTACTGATCTATATTTCGTAAATACTAGTGGTAAATAAATTAATAAAGATAAGATAGAATCAGGTGGGAAATCTACGATGTTATCAATATCTACAGAATCCCATACTTTAGATTTGTCTAAGCATACATTTAGAAGTTTCTTTAGAACTTGTAGTGATTTAGGGCCAAGAAATTCCAGACGATTTAAATCTTCCAAAAAAGTAATATATACATTTATTTTAAATATTCCAATGCATTCTTTTAGATAATCTAACAGTTGCATTGATGCTAATGGATGTATCCATAACCAAAAACATCCCATAGTTGAACCATCCTCACTTCGCTGCCAAACAAATTCTATTGGGGATATACGCTCCCAATCAAAAAAAGGAACTGAGGAAATATCTTCAAGGTTTAAAGTATCCATATTCCTTAAAATTTCGGTATTTAACTGGAATGCAAATCCAGCACCTCTAAAGTTTCCATCTCTATACTTTTTGCACTCTAAGAGTGCTTTATTAATATTACAGAGTGACAGTAGAAGTATTATATCTTTATCTTCACCTCTTAATTCATATAGGTGAAAATATGACATATCATGAACAATGCAATTGTGAGATAATTGTCTATACAATTTTCTTCTTCTCTTTGCAGTAGAGCATAAAGCCAATTTATAGCCAAATGCTTCAAACATAAAAAATCTCTTTGAAAAATACATATGAGATTCGAGCCATTTGTACTGATTTATTTGGGTATTTATATCCCAATGTTTTGAATATTTTGCATTATCTGTAGTATTGTAGTTAGCTAGATTTACTACTTCCGGAATCCTATCAATATCTAGTCTTAAATTATGATTTCTATTTCTCATTTTATATTTTTCCGAAAAAGTAAAAATTCTTCGTCTATCTTTTTTGGCTCTTCTCGAGGGTTTTGGAGGTGCCTTTTTCATCTCATATATTAATCTTGCCCTAATTCGCTGGGGAGCTCTGTAAGGATTATAGGACATAGCTCTACGTCTTAGATTAGGAGGAAGACGTTGAAAACTTCTCTTAATTGAGTGAGTCTCCTGCACAAAACTCAAGAACTTGCATATTTCTTTTTCTCGTCCTTGTACTAAGTGTGGTATACTGATTATCTGAGGTAAGGATGAAATGTCCTTTGTTCTTAAGGATGATAACTCTGAAAGTAGTGGATTCAACTCATAATCTTGGTCCATTATAAAATGGAGTTCTGGAGTTTAGTTATATTCACTTCCTGATAATAGGTCATTTCAAACATAACTCCGAGTTTTCTTGAGGTAAAAAATTGCACCTTATATCCCGCCTTATAATCTTTTTTGTAGAAATACCTTGTATATTTCTTACATGTTAGTAGTTTTCTACTTAGAGAATCATTCAGATAGATTTAATGTTAAAATATGGTCTAGGTATATGCAGAAGTGTTTTCAATTGGCCACTTAATACTTTGTTATTTAGTAGATTCACCACAAAATACTACTCCTCTAAAAAGATACTAGAAACTCTTTGTTCTAGTTGTGAAGGCAAGTATAAAGTGCTTTATTCTTCTTTAAAACATCTAAATATTAATAAATATGGATGTACAAATTGTAGTAAATTAATAGTACCATTAAAGACATTGGATGCCTTTGAACTATTTGGATTAGACTCAGTATTTGATATAGACAAAGATCTTGTACAGCAAAAATATAGAGACTTGATGAAAATATTTCACCCTGATAAGTCACTTGGTTTTGATGAAAATGTATCTAAACACATAAATGCAAGCTTTAAAATTTTAATGGATCCTTTTGAGCGTGGTATTTTAAAGTTGTATTTACATAATGGTACTACAAGAGGAGCTATTATAGAAAAGTTAGATTCACTACCTATTGACTTAAATTTACTCAATGAAGTTCTTCAAGTGGATGAAAAGGTAAATAACTTGTCAAAAGTAAAAGAGGAAGATAAAAGTGAAGTTAATAAATTAATTAAATCTTATACTGAGCAAGTTAATACATGTATCAACTTGCTCAAAGTTCAATTTACAAATGAACCACTTGATACTAATGCGATTCTTCATGAACTACACAAACTAAGATTTTATCAGAAATTGATCGCAAAGCTAAATAACTGGTATGATCCAATGGAAGTTTAGGATTAAAATATCTCAGTTTATAGCTGTAACGCTTTAAGCTATTTACTAATTTATAAAGGCATTAACTGAGTAGCTATTTTGTCCTTTTTTTTCTTTACAACTTTTTATAAGACCTGATGATTTATAGAGAAATTAGAATATTTAAAGCAGGTACTTTACACTGCAAATTATCTTGTAGACCACCGTAACTACTCTGATATTAGAGGTCTACTTGTATGATACTTTAAGTACCGCCGGTACTAAATTTTTGTAGGTCATATATTTTAGTAAGGACATAAAAAGTTGGGAAAATTAAAGATTTTATTAGCTTATGAAATGATAAAGAGACTCCCATTATACTCAACAGAGCTACTTGAATCCGTATTGAGAGATTCTGAGTCTTACAAGGAGTTTAATAGACAAATTAGAAAGGTATTTGATGAAGATGGGGATGAAGATGATAGTGGACAAGATAACGATACGTTGTTGGATAGTACTATAGATAAAGCTATAGAAATAGAAGAGGAAATATCTGAGACTGATGAAGATAATAGGTTTCCCGGGAAATTTCATTGCAAGCTATGTCCTGAAAAGAGGCTGATAAGTAAGGAGGATTTAGAAAAACATGTTAAATCTAGAATTCATCAAAAACGTGTGAAAATGTGGGAAAGTGACCAAATAAGTGGTGAGAAGTTAAGAAGAAGATTTAATAAATTACACAATCTGGGAGAATATAGTGAAGATTTTGAAAGCGACCCTGAGAGTATTGAAAAACCTAGTTTAGAACAAATAAAAGAGCAAGAGAAAAAAAAACAGTCAATAGGAACAAAAAAGAGACGAATAAAGAGGAAGAAATTAAGGGTAAAGCTGTCAAATGAAAATAAGATACAGAGGAGAAAGATGAGATCTGCAGAAAAGAACAATATTTAGGAGCATAAGCTTGGAGAAATTAAATAAAGGAACTTAGCTATTATAAATTATAAATAGAAATCTTAATATATTCTATTATATAGGTATATATTCAAATATTGTCTTTTGTAGAATTACTATAAAGTATGAATATTAGGTATATTATTTTGTATGTAATTTCAAACCTTCAATGAGTAATTGAATATATTCACTTCTTATGTTTATTGCTTAAAATCTCCGAATTATATACTATCTCATTAAAATTAGCTTAAGGTATATAATTATAGATGTAGGGTGAGTCAGGATTTGTAGCGATAAAGTCTCTCTCAGATAAAGATGTAACTCTAGATAAAATAAAACCTTTGGTAGGTTGAAATACTTCAGTCATAGTCATTACTTTTGATACAATGTCATCAGTATGTAGAGATTTGTGCTTTTTAAGTACTTTTATAATAGCTGAATCAATTAAGTGGCTACGGTCTTCATTAATTCTCTTAGAGAATATATCTTCTGTTTTCTTAGACTCATCGGTCTTGTTTGAAATATATTCAAGAGGTGCTAAGTATATTATATCTTGAGTTTTCTTTTGATATATTTGGTTAATATTTACTTCAAAATAATCATCATAGCTAATTTTTTCAAAGTCTGGTATAAACCACACTTCCTGTAAACTTGAAATATTTTTAGAAGTTAATCTGTCATGTTTACTTGAGTTTCGAAGTATATCTAAGCTTGAGGAAGTAGTATAATTGTGATTTTTATTTTTGTTAGGAATATATCGAAGAGGTGAATTTTCTTTGTCATAGCAAAGACTAGAAAGGTTCATTTTTAAAAAAGATAAATCAGAACACTTAAGTATATCTTGGATTTTTCCAAATGTCATAGAATTAAACTCATTAAAGAGATAATACAAAACAATCATTTGGAGCGTTGTACATTCCAATATACAAGATCTGACTAAATCTTCAGTCTGATAGTTAATGGTAACTTGAGCTTTCCCTATGCTGAAGTTCCACTGTAATTTCCTTCTCTCATGTTTAGTTTCAAAAAAGTACAGAAATTTACTTAACTCAATTTCTATGTCTTCACTAATACAACAATCAACATGTTTATCTATTAACCAGTATCCTGATGTTAGTATATTATATTTAATCTGCTCAGGCTCTATTTTAGATATAATATTTGGAGAATTAAATTGTTTGTATTGACAATTTAATAGTTCAGATTGCATTAAATCAGCTAATACACCTTCCATTTTAACACTATATCCAAAACCACATTCAGATCTAAATTTAACAAGCACATAATGTTCCAAGTCTCTTTTTGCATCAGGAAAATCAAGCATTCTTCTACATAATAATCTGCGGTATATAATTTCAAACATATCCTTATCTGGAATAAATTTAAAGAGCCATAAAAAAGTGTCTAAAACTTTATTTTCTTCCAAAATATTATTGTTAATAAAACTATTCCGTATTATTTTATCAAGCCCATTAGCAATCCAATTATTAATAAAGTCTGAATCACTTTTTTGAAGAAACTCTTCAAAAGCCAAATTTATTGTCTGAGCAAAGTCTGGATATCCTCTAAAGCAGTCATCTAGCAAAAATTTACAACGATTTTTTAAGTTCTCAATATTAAATATATATTCAATACTATTTGATTCTTTATTTAGAATCTTTGTATCAAAATATTTTAGTAATTCTAAGTTGATAAAGTTTCTAAGGGAGTTTTTGAGTGCTAAAAAACATTTCTGAACTCGGCTCATTATACGAAATAGTCTTTGTAGGTCAGTCTGCTCGCCAAATTTAAGTTGTAAATATATACAGCTATCTGAAGTGATGTTTGCCAGAAATTTATCACAAAATGGTACAATCCAAATATGATCTAATGTTGAGATAAGATCTTCCCAAATACTTGTGACCAAATACTTTTCTACTAGACTTTTCTCATTTAAATAATATTCCTCACATGCTTGCAGAAATTCACTTGATTCTTCTAAGTTTAATTGATCATTACTAATATATTTTTCAACAATAGTATTATAATAGCTTATTGTGTAACTCAAAAATTTCTCTTGAAAAAGAGTTTTATATGCTATTCGCTGATCTACTTCTAAATTTGTAGTTGTTCCAAATTTCTTGTAATTTATCAATAATAAAATGAAGTCTGTTTTTAATGATCCCAAATCTCCCCTTGGAACTTTGACTACAAAACTAGGGTAAGAGTAAGGTTCTTTATTTAATTGTATACTATTAGAGTCTTGATATCCAGGGGAATCTAACATTTCTGTAGGCAAAAGCTGGATATCAACAATTTCAGAAGGTAATTCATAAAGCTTCTTAAGGATCTTGTTTACTACAGTTGCTTTTTCGGCACTATACTCTCCTGTAGTGCGATAAATTTCTATAATATATAAGATATTGTTGATCATTCCATCTTCTCTAGTTCTAGTTTCAAGATAGAATTGACGAAACAAACACATTCCAGTCAAGAAAATAGACATTTTAGTATTTGGGAGAACATAATTCTTTTCCAAATACATTAAGACGTCCCTTAAAGTAGACAAATTAATTTCATACTTCTCCCAGGTTTCCAAAATCTTCTCTAGTGTTGCTTCTTCAGTAGATTTAATCCTTAAGTAATTCATCAAGTAGAATAAAATACCTCCATATAGCATACCTCCATATTTATTTAGAGTTAATCTATAACAGCTCCTATATAAAATTTCAAAGCTCAATTTGTGACTTTGTCCTCTTTCTATATATTCCAAGCTATTGTATATAATTGAATATAAAGATATGGCCGTCTCTTCATCTATGTAAGATTCTAGAAGGAACGGACTTAAACCAGCCATCCTAATTTTATTACTCATTAGATATGCACTCAAACATTTATATTACTGAATAATTTGAAATTGAAGTGAAATAGTAGCAAAAGGTAGTATTGAAACTAAATTTTAATAAAGTACCTCTTCCGCCATTACCATTTAAAAAATACGTAGTTAGATCAAATAAAGGAGAAAATTATGTAGGTATAAGCTATGCTAGCTTGAGTTACCTATAACAATATCTAGTCATTAAAGGAGATAAACTCAGCAGTTTGTCCTAAGAAGAGATCACTATGACCTTTTGGCGAAAGAATGACTTCCGGCATAAAGCTGTAACTAAAGAAGAATGCTTAGCAGCCGAAAAATTTTTACAGCAAGAGGATGCTATAATGGATGAAGATGTCTGTAAGCATATACAAAATTTTGTTGCTTATAAGACTTTTATAGAAAGGAATAATCGGGAACCTACTGAGATGACCTCTACAGAGTGTCTTGAGGAAATTGACATTCCCAACCACAAATTACTGATTGAATGCTTCAACATGCTAATTAAAAATTATCAAGGATATGCCTCTATGTGTGAGATTGTATCTGCTTGGATTTGTAATTTGGATGAAATCCCTGACTACAGTAGCAATGAAGATACTTCTCTATATAGACAGAAGATGGCTAACAACTCCCTTCATATTAAAAAATTGAAACCAACAAAATCAAGATCAACTGCTCAAAGTTTAATATACAATAATATGATAGAATCAATGGCTTTGCTAATTGAAAGATATTTTGATACTGAAGCTCTACGAAGATATATGGACGAAAATCGTGAACTACTGGGGCAGGGAGGGTGGCAGCCTCCTCCTTGTTATTGGAGCCTAATGAAACATCCTGCAACAGTAAATGCTATTCAGAAGCTGTTTACAAGGAATCGTAAATCTGAATTTCTGCTTGCATTTTTGCAGGACTTGCAGAATTTTTCAAAGATAAATCCTAGTATTGATTGTATGCCAAAAAACATGGGTTTTTCTTCTACCAGTAACTTCAGTGTCTTTACTAGAAATGTGACTGAGCTTTTAGCTGATTTTTTACTGACAGATGAGACTGTAGAAGCTGCGTTACAAGGGGTTCAATCTTTACCATTAAGTGGAGGAATAAACAATCCTTTGTTACATAAAGTTGAGAAATATGAAAAGAGGGGTAAAACAACTCCTAACACATTGCAAAATATATGCTCAGTATTTAGCCAATCAGAAAATGCGTACTTTTATGCTCAGGCCTTACTACATTACATGATAATTTGGCGAGGAGATTATTCTGGTTGCAGAAGATTGAGTCAGATGCTTTATCACTATGTACGTGTAACACTTCAAGAGCCCCGAGTTGCCCAATTGAATCTTCTATTTACAAATATTACTCATTTCCCTGAGCTTTATAAATTATGCAAGTCTATTTTTAGAATGGACCCCTCTGTACATGACAAAGATTTTGTTGTAGAGAGTTTAGGAGGTTTTGAATTTGCTACCAAGTTTATAATGAACCCTAGTCAAATTTGTACTTTACATGATATTTTAAAGAATATAGTAGAAAGGTTTGAAGCTCTGCAAGTTTTGTTACATGAAAGAATACCTACTAAAGTTCAATCAAATTCTAATTTTGGCGATAAGATACAAAATAATTCTACCGATGAATTGGCAGATGTAGATGATTCCAGTGAAATTCTTTATGATAGTTCAAGTGAGAATGAGAACTCAACTTGTAGTGAATCTAGTACAAATGAGTGGGCATCTTTGGGATCTTTGCAATTTTCTCTTAAAGATCTTGAAATGAATGTTTTACAGGGTCAACTTTCTCCTGTAGCTCATTTACGTTTTAGTGACCAGGAATTAAGTAATTCTGAGAACAGCCAAGAAATTAAAAATGAAAATCTTATGGATAAAGAGGTAACCAACAACTCCAAGTCCAAAGATTATAATTTCAATTCTAAAAGATATAAGCCTGTTATAAATAATATAGAGGATACAACAAATAAAGGGGTTAATGAAAGCAAATTTCATGATGAAACAATTTTTGATATGCCCTCAGTTAGTAGGATGGGTGATATCCCTGGAAGTGATAATATTCAAAGACTTAAGATCGGACCTGAGCGACCCCCTATGGATGCTTTGAGAGAAAGTGCATTGTTAGATACATTGATTGACATTTTGGTTGACACTAGAATATGGTTAACCCCTGAAGAGCAAAGTAAAACAATTGATTTGTTGTTAATATTGTCTGTATATTCACCATACGAACTTCTTTTATTTTTAGAAGAACAAAAAGAATGGGACAATATTAAATATGATAATGAATACAACGTAGACTATAACCAAGATATCTGGAGTAACTCTGAGGATGAAATGAATGAAGCATTAGAAACTGGTCAAAGGGGGGAGAGTTTATCTGATTTTGTTTCCTCAGGTTCCTCCTCAATAACATCCAATATTATAGTGAAATCTGAAGACAAACTTAATAATACAGTTGAAATCTCTTCATGGGTAAAGTGCAAGAGAAAGCGTATAAATTGCATCTCAGCACCTTCTTCTCCTAAAACTTTGTCAAGTGGTTCTTCTTTCTTATCTAATAATATTAAGATCTCAGAGTCCAGTGTTGGGTGTAAGAGTACAATTGACTCTTGTATTTACCGAAATGTTCATAGTCAGAAAATCCTAGGTTCTTTAAAAGGTATGTCTGAAAGTAAAGTTCAGAAAATGAAAGAACAATTTCGTAGGCTGCGTGAATTATGTGATCGCTTCAAGAACCAAGCTAGAAAGGAACTCTTTAGAATATATATGGTAATACACGACAATCTTATTAAAGAAAACTTAAAATGGGCATATTTTGATCAATTGATAAAAACTCCTATAGGAGCCAGTGTAGTCCTACGTTATATCGAGGTATTTTTACTTTCAATGGAATCCAAATCTAGCCCTTTGGTAAGATTATCTTCGAGCATTGTTGCACTATTGAAACACATTACACAGTGGCATCCTAAAAAGAGAATTTGTGTATTTCATCTTTTACGACTATGCTTGGAAAATGACCTTTTAGAAACAAATGGTGGCAACAACAGGAGTGGAGGTACTGGTCCAGAAAACACAGCATCCACAAAATCCGAAAAAAGACGATGGATTATTGACTTTTATGTATATCTTGTTGGAGGAGGTCTTTTCGGAGCTGTTTTTGCATATATGGGACAGGCAGGTGTAAGGTATTTAGACAAATCGCTAATTAGGGATTTTACCATTAAATTGGCAGAATACTGTGGTCCTCCATATAGTGGTGAATTTTCGATTGCATTTATGGGATACTTGGTCAGTGCACATAATATTGGAGCTTTAGATTTATCTGCATTTTATGACGGTACATTATCCAAGACTAATCCAAAAGTGAAAGTAGCTTTGTGTGAAATAGTTGCAGTTGTTGAACACATTGAAAGAAATAACAGTGTACATCAAAATATCCCGAACACTTCATGTCAAACATCTAGAATAAATGAACCACTTAGACCTGCGAGACTTGATCCTCAAATTGTGATTGATCAATACAACTTCCTTAAACAGTTTGTTGGAAAAAGTATAAAACAGCAGACTTTTAGAGGTAAAGGACTTGGAAAGGCTTGGTACCAAACTATTTGACAACTTAAAGTTTCATTTAGAATAGTTATATTTAGTAAATTCAGCTTTTTATTAGATAATAAACCTTTTATAAGAACCTCTTCAATTGATCTAGTCTTTATATTCAAGTCCAGATGCCAGGTATTCTTCTATTTCAACTACACAAGAGTGAATACTAGAGCAAGGTTTACCTATAATTTTTGACAAATGTTCTAATAGTAAAATATATGCTAAAGGAAGAGAACTTTCTACCTTTGTATGTTTTTGTTTCGAGTGAAAATATTGTGGAAGAGGTATTATAATTGAAGTAAATATACCCGGATTTTGAAATAAAGTTTGGATAATATTAAGCTTATGACGGTATAAATGATCAAGGAACAGGTCAAGTCTTTCGTTTGAGATTCTCATAATAGATGGGTCATTAATCATAGGATTATGATTTTTAGAGAATGTATCTTGAAGATCTTTGTGTTGTTCAAGACTAATGCTCTCAACCAAATGTTGAAGAATTCGAGATGTTTCAGTACAAGAGTGATTTGAAGATAATACAAACTTCCAGCTGTTAAGAAGTTGACTTCTTTTTTCTCTATCACAGTACTGCCATGAGTTTAATAAATTATTATCAGATAAAATTGAAAGTTCGTTCTCTTTTTGTTCAAACAACAATGAAGAGAACACCTCTCTATTAGATGGTAAGTACTTTGAAAGTGAGAGCAATTTCGCGAATACATCACCTATTAAGAATTCAAAGCTTGGAAATATAGGACAAGTTCCTGACCAATTGTTTGCTCCATATTCCTTTTTGGCATTTTTCCTGTTCTTCCTTGTTTGTATATAAAAATCTCCTCTTGTACTTTTGGTTGGTCTCCCAATATTTTCTTTGTTCTTCGTCGTCTTTGAGCCCTTTAGTAGCAAAGTATTAACTAATTCCTTTATGCCCTCTTTATTGATAAATTCAGAATGACTTAAGGACTCAACTAGCCAAGCTATTGCAGATACTCCACTCCATTCAATTCCATGACGTTTAGAATAAAAGTATTTCTCATCTATACTTTTAGTTTTCTCATTTATTATTTTTGCAAGCCATCGAGAGTTAGCTACTTCATAATAAATACTTGCTGAAAAAGGTTCTACTTTTGATTCTAAAGCTTCAGGATATTTCGATATATCTTCTTGATTGTACTCTTGACAAACAGGTACAGGGTGATATACAAAGATTGGCCATACAATTCTTGCAATTATAATAATAACAGAAGCAGCTATAATTTCAGCCTGAGTTCCCTTTAATAGATATTGCATCTTTTCTTGAGAATAAAGGTTTTCCCAAAAGGAGATAACTAATGGTTGGATTGCAGAATTACCACTATAACTAAAGCATCTACACTGTGATAATATCCTATGTATTAGTAATGGAATATTAATACTAGGAATTTTTATATTGATAATATCTCGGAAAAATTTTAGTAGTTTATCTAATTCAGATGAACTTGGAATACGTGAAATTTGAGTCACCGATCTCATATTTGTTGAAGCATTCATATCACTATCCCACTTAAATCCTGCATCTTTTAGCCATGAGGGTAGCAAGCTATCAGACTTTAAAATATCAATTTTACCAGTTCTAACCCATTCTACAATATCACTTGATGTTACAGGGTATCCACATTTTAAAAGGCCTATCCATATAATAGTTATAATCAAACTAAAGTCCAGTTTGGGATATTCCAACATTGTATCTTCAGATCGTTCATTTTGATTATCTCTGCTATTGTCGCCATAATTACCACTTTCTTCTTCCTCCATTTCAAGATCACAATTTTGACTATATTGAGTCAGTCCAGTACTTGATACTATTTGCACCAATTGTATATCAGATATATCTTGAATCAATCGATGTATCTTATGAATTCTCTTAAACTGATAGTCTATATCAATATTATCTGAGGAAACATTGTAGCAACTATCATTCACAAAGGTCACATTATCTTCACCAATATTTCTATTATGGGTTTCATTGTTGTTAGTATTTAATTGATGAGGGTTCAAGCAGTCCTGGTTTCTATTTGAGTTATTCACTATAACTCCGTAATTACTCCTTTGAGATATGGTATCATATTGTAATATCGGTGTATTTACACTATCTATAGAAGGATTTAAAGTTTCAACCTGTATATTAATGTCGGATAAATTCGATTCTGTATTTAAATTGTCACTTTGTACACAATATTCCCCTAAAATCCATTGATTGAAGTCATCCAAGTGGGTAATACTACCAAATATTCCACCATCATCTTTACGTATAACTTCCCAATAATATAATTCTAAAAAGTCATGTTCATATATCATGTCAATCACACTTTCAATAATATCAGTCCTAGAGTTTGTATGTTTGCTTTTCCAGCTAGTATAAGGTATATTTCTGTAGTTAGCAAGAATTTGAAGTTTTCTTGCTGATATTTCCCATTCTTCATAATTTCTGTTTGGGGTTATTCGCCTATCTTTAGAACCCTTTCTACTTGTTGAATTAGATGAGCTTGTAATTAATGTATTAGAAAAGTTTTTAAGTATATTATTGCATAGCTTTATAATATATCCAAGACGATCAAAACCCATCCTCTGCTCTACTAACTTAAGAAAGTCATTGTTCTCAATATATTCTCTATATTGTAAGTTAATAGAGTTGTCTTCACATCTTTTTTCATATTCTCCATTACTCTTTAGGGTTCCATCTTTTATTGAAAATGTCTCATTAAATGGAACCTTTAGTACTGATCTTCTCAAATCTGCAAAGAAAGTACGAATAGGAATCTTTGCTCTACACATATGACTTAAGTATTCAAACCATATTTTATGGGTAACTTTAAGAATCTCCTTCTTCACACCTCTTTTAATAACCAAATCCTTTAGAATATACTGGATCATAAGTTGGACTCCAATAAAGAAATCTTCATTCTTAATAATACTAGGCTTATTATTGAACCATATGTCTATGAGAGTTTGATGAATCCTGGAATTATCACTTTGAGAAAGCAAAGAATAGTTTTGGCTATTTTGAGAAGCAGCAACTTGCTCAGCATCTTGGGACTGAGATAACTCAGATTGCGTTGCTCTTGCAGTTGTTTGACTTGCACGTCTCACAATATTCCTTGAGCCATCTCCACCTCCAGTTAGCTCAAAGTAAATATCATCTAAGTCCCTATCAAGACCACGGATTTCTTGTTGTTGAATTCCACAATCTTCACAATAGTATTCTCCAGTATTTGAGTCTGCAACAACTCTATTACTTCCACAACTTTCACATATGAATGAACAATCATCACAAGGATATTCCATAGAATATTTGGTAGTATATCATCAGAAACAAAAGATAATTATTAAAGAGGAATGTGACTTAAATTTAGCGGGTACTCATCTAGTCATACCTGGGGACTATTTTCCAGCATCTTTGATAATTCGGATATATCTCTAGAAATTTCTTGAAGAAAAGTTGGTAATATGAAATTTCTAGATTTAAATAATCTACAATCAGGATCGAAACATTTTTGATAAAATATGCCCCTTTTATTATTTATAATTAGCTTAATACTATTAGATTGATGCTCTCTTTCAATATTCATGCAGAATTTATTATTCTTGTTCAATGATAATATTAAAAGATCTGATTCAGCTATATAGATAGATGATGATATATATGGATGAAGATTTAACACTGAAGATGTTGGAAAGAGATACTTAATATTAACCATATCATTTATATCACTAATAGCAGATTTCATTATTAGATCCAAGTCTAAATCAGTTAATGTAATATTAATTTTTGAATTCTGAACAATTTGATTCCAAAATATGATTGTAAAATCAACTATTAATGTTAAATGTTCAGGTATGTTGTGCTGTTTCTTTGAAGTATTGAATAAAGTCCCAGTATTTCTACTTTTATCACTGTAAGTGTCTTTTTGGTTCTTATATTTACTACTTTCTATTATGTACAAATTAGGATGACTTATGCACCATTTATTTTTGAGTTGGTGAATATTTATTACAGAGTGACTGTTTGGAATATTATAAAATGTTACCATTGACCTAAGAAATTGAACTGAAGGGGTATTAGATATACAGTATTCATTATAATTTTCATCTAATTCTAAAGATTTAAGCTTACCATACTTCGTTGAAAATAATAATCTGAAGCAGCGATTTTTACTATATACTCCAACATCTATTAAGCTGTGCAATTTCGGAGTTTCTTGACTAGAGATTATTTCTAATTTTCCGGTAACATCCTCTGACTTAATATAATCGATAAATTTTTCCACAAATAGACCCATTATAGCATTATTTGGAAATAAAGTGGAAATATTTTTGTTATTTTCTAGATATTTTACAATAATATGATATGAAAACTTAGCATCCGTAGTTGAATCTAAGTAAATAATATCCTTGCTAGTTAAATGAATATCAAATTCAGTTTTTATCCAGTATATAAGATGACGAATTATTTTTCTTAAGAGTTTATGGCCTGATAAATCTTGTGGGTATGCTTGCTTGTTATATTCAATATCAAAATATAACCAGCATGGGAAATCATGTATAATAATTTCATAGAGGTGTCTTTGAGAGGAATATAATGAATTACTGTAGTTCCAGAGTTTCTGGTATGAACTTACAATATATCTTCTTCTTCCCTGTTCATTTAGTTCTTCTGCAAATATACTAAATGGCATCAAAGGAATTTGATTCAAGGAATTTGACTCACACTTTAGGGGGAAAAAGTGGTAGATTAAAGAACTATAATACTCAAAAGCATCTGAAAGAGTATTGAAAGATTTAAACAGATTTTTTAATAATTCCAAATTCTGAGAGGTACAATTGTAATACCCACATCGTTCAAGTTCACTTTCCAGTTTCTCATTATTGGTCTTGAACTCCAAGTCTTCATTGTATAACTTAGTAAATATTGTTTCAGATTCCTTTTTGCCATAAAAGGATGTTGGAATCATTAGAATCTTAAAGTTCACTTATAAACATTCCCATACATAAGATTAAAAAATAATTGTATACGATCTTAACTATTTCTTAATTTATTATTTGTTGAATAAAAAGTTTATGAGAAGATTTATTAATATGAAAAATAATCTGGTGTTAAATCAAAGATTACAGTAGTCCATAAACTTTGGAATTTTGGTCTTCAAGTTATTAGATGTAACATGAGTTGTAACCCTTTAAATTTCAAGGATCACATGTCTTTATAAAAAGATAAAAGTCTACAATATGTTTATGTTAGATATAGGCGAAGTTTAATATTATAGATAAGCAATATTCTAAACCCCACAAGGATCAGTTATACTTTTTATAAGGCTCATTATTTGAGGTGACATATGTAGCGCTTGAGACAAGACGAATTTGCAACATGCAAATTCGTCTGCAATTTTAGATTGAGGCTTATATGCTTCATTCTAGAGCGTTACATAGTAAAGATAATTAGGCTACAAAAGTTTATTGGATATATAAAAAAAAGATTTTTGGGGCTTTTATTTCCAAATATAAAGATAAGTACCTTTTATAAATCGAATTGGAATATATTGTTATAAACTATTATACATAATCTTTTTTTTTCGCAAATATACTTGTGAATTTGATTATAATCGTTTTAGAACTATGAATTAATGAAGTTCTAGGTGTTACCTGTAGATAAACCTTATTGGAAAGTTGCAAGAAATATAGAAGATGAATACTTGTATGTTTGATTTTTTTTTTTTTAGTACTTTTCGCAATAATCTAAAATAAATCTTGTATATAATTTATATCTTTGGTAACTGTTGTTACTTAATCTATGAGAGTGTCACTAGAGTCCATAGTCAATAATGAATTGCTTTCCAAAATTTCAATTCGAATTAAAAGGCTGTAATATTTCTTTTTTTTTTTTTTTAGGAATGTTTAATTTTTGCAGTGCTTACAGCTACTTTCTTTCCAGTAATTATGATAACTAAAATAGTGTTTTAGACATCACTTTCATGTATATGTTGAAGTTTTAGATTCAAAAGTATATATAAATGGTAAATTATTAAAGTAATTAGATTAACTTTCAAAATAATTATCATTTAATTTGAAGTATATCATTCAATCTATATTTATTATACCGAAGTATTTGAAATTGTAAGTTAATAGTATAAATCTTGCGACAATTGTATCATCATTTTTTATTAATATTTTATAAAACTAAAATTATGTTAATTTTGAAAATGTCTAGTTTGAATCTGTTAACTAGTACTTGAAAGGTACCAAAGAAATTATCAATCTGGATAGGTAATTTGAAAGTAATAAGCCATTGAAATACAAATAATACTTTTACTGAAATAGCAATTTACTCACAAAAACAAATTAATTCAATTAATTTTCAATAGGATTAAAAAATAAACCACTTAATATGCCCTAAATTGTTAGGTCAAAATGATTTTATAGTATTTCATTATTGTCAATATCTTGCTTCTAGTTAGCTACTTTTTTACATTATACTTGAGGTACTTTTAATTGAAACTTCTTCATTTCCAGTTGTAGACTTTTTTTAGTTTTATTTTGCTTAAATCTGATTTTTCAAAGTTATCTATAATTTTTTCGGACCTATTTTATTTTTAGTATCAGTAGCTTCACTTGTGAGTTCAGAGGATTCTATTTTTTTTTGGTTTAATGGGTTTTCCAGTTATCTTTAGAGCTCTTCTCTTTCATTGTATTATCAGACTTTGTGGATGTTTTACCTTCAGTATTCATATCAGCTCCATGTTTTTTAATTCCCGATAATTTACTACTTTTTATGCCATTTCCATTGCTCTACATCTTCTTTAAGTTCTTATATTTTATATATTGCATGAACTTACTCTGCACTAGAGCTTGAGTTACTATTATTATTTCCCTCAGTTTCATGAGATTTTTCAAGCCATAGCTGAATAGTTTTCCAAGGCCTAAATCCCAAACACACTGTACACGAAAAAAGTTCGCTAGATGAGTCCAATGATTCAGTAAATTGTTCAGATAAGTAGCTAATATAATCATTGACTGCTTCAGAGACATCTAATGGGGTTCCCAAATTCTTTGATTCTTGTTTTATATAAGAATATGGAAATTCAGCAGCATCCTGTACATCTAATATATCTTTATTATCATCAGAAGATAAGGATTTTTCCTTATTTTTCACTTTTTTAACTTGAGTTTCTGTAAATTCACTCTGTTTTTTTATTTCCTTAGTATTTGTCTTTTTCTTAATCTCTAATTCTGAATTAGATGGCATTGTAGAGTCTGAGATTTTTGAACTCTCAGTTGCTTTCGTTGTAACAGTTGATTTCTCATTATTAGGAGATAATTTTTGAGAGTTTGTTGTATGAGCTTTAGAAGATTCTCTAATGCGTCCTATATATTTTTGAAGATCAAAGGTTTTACGATCTATGCCCTCAACTAATTTTTCGATGTTTCTCTCAGGTACCTTCACACTATTCTTTTGATTTTTACTTGAAAAAGACTCAATAGACTTAATCTGTTTCATCTTCTCACCTGCAGACTTTAAAATATTGTTCTGTAAAGTGGTTATTAATTCCCTAGTAGTATCTTCAGAAGATAATTTCGATTCTGTTTTATAAGTTTGTAAAGAATGAGATATGTGGTTTTGATTAATTTTAGAGTCTTGAGAATCTGATTGTGAGGTTTTCTCATGTAATTTATTTGGAGTTCTGTTTGTAGATATAGTATTACTAGTCTGATTCTTGTCAGAACTCTTAGATCTTGGAAATTTAGCCTCCCTAGGACTAGTTTTAATAGAGATATTTTTATCAACATTGTTAGTATCTAATTTAGATTCTTTTGAAGAATATAAGTTCATATTCTTCGTATTGTCACTGCTAGTAGTAGATTCTAAATTTGTTATGTTTTCTGAGTATCGTTTTGGCTCTCCCAAAATATTTGATTTGTATTCTTCATTTATTTTACCTTCTTTATCCCGGATACTTTTAGTTAAATTGGTATCTGGAGAGTCTTTAATTTCTTTTTTATCTATCTCACTACTGTTTTTTGGACTCCTTAAATCTCCCAAATTTTTTGAACTCTTCTCATGTAACTCAGAATCGTCATTATCAACTATATTGCTCTTGATATTATCTTGCATATTTATACCTGATCTCTTCATAGTATCTAATTCGTCCTTAGAAACTGTTGCTATATGTTTCAGAGTTGCACCATCTTTATCTGTAGTTGCACTTTTTTTCCGCTGCAAAGCACGAGATAATTCTGAATAACCTTCCCATTTTGGATCAGCATAATCGAGTAATGACGATTCTGTTGATTCCTTCGGTAATGTTGGTACTACTCCCTTTTTGAAAAGGTTCAATAATATTCTTGTGGCAACTTTTGTTTGAATAGCCGTAATTAACGAGTTTTCACCTTTTGAATTCTTTGCATTTACATCTAGTGATCTCTGATTTAGCAGAAAGTCAATAATTCTAGTGCTTTTACATATCATTGCTGCTTGTAAGGGTGTGTAAGATGTTCCCTTAATATCTACACATGAAGAGTTCCACAGATTCTTACAATTAGCAATAGTTGTAACATCATCTATTCTAAAGGTCCTTTCCAAAATATGATCAGAGTCCGGAGTACCTGGTAGCTTCCTCAGTACCATTTTACTAACTATTTTGTTGCATGCAGTGGCACATCTTCTATTAATTTTAGATTTGCCTAGTTAGAAGGTATTCCGAGACACATTGCCACGTTTCGATACCTGGCGCGAAGATTTTATTGAAGACTTGGAATCAGGCCTTTAAAAAACTCATACTATGTGAGCCAATAGGAAACTTGAGTTAAAATGACTTATTAATTAAATCACATAATTAAAACTAGTACAAGTGCAAATATTTTCGATGGGAAATAATAGTAGTTCAAATGCAACTCGCCTTAAGTCAAAGGATAAACTGGAATGGTGTGAATTAAGTAATAATGAGATTGAAAATTTTTGCAGAAAATTTAACATCCCATATGTATTAACAGAAGATAATTTGAATGGAAGTAAAATTAGGATTTCAGATATATTAAAGTCTTTTGCTCCCCAATTAAGGGATCTATACAAGAAAATTATAATGGAATCAGTTAATATAAATAGTGGTGAATTAACCTTACAACAAGTATTAAAGTGCATAGACAATCTGCTCTATTCAAATAAAAAGGGAATATGCAATACCTTGCTTGAACAAGCTGAGAAAATAATATCGAATGAAACAGATATATTGAGGATATCACTTACAGTGTTATTAACCGAAATGGACTTTCTTTTAAGAGAAGATGGCGATAATTGGAGTGACAGTATCAATGACAATGGAATACATTCAAAGGATGATTTAATTTCAGTGATTAAAGATGTAAAATTTGAATTTGTTGTGAGGGAATACCACCGTTACAGAAGCTCATCAGAAGGTACAAATTCATCGAAAATTGGGGAATTCCTCTACTCATACTTTCCATTATTTTCTACTTTAATAAAGTTAGCATTTAGGGTACATTTAGGACTAATTAGTCATCCGCACAATATTCAAGGTGCATTTCAAGATAAAAGGAGGAGTATGGTAACTTTAGACAATGAAATGCATACTAAGTACCTAGAAACTTCAGATCAAAATTGGAGCACACCAGATAAATTAGCTGATTCTTTAATTAACACAAACAAACTATCTAATTGGTTAGATATAAGTAGCAGAATTTTATCTCCTGAAAATTGTTGTGTCATTAGATCTCAATATTATGGTGACATATCAAGTGGTGAATTTATGACAATGTTTCAGCCTTGGAATTTGTTATATGCTAGCTGGAAACATGGTCTAAGTTTGCAGCGTTTGATATCCAACATTCAGGGATATTCTGCTCATGTTTTATTTATTATAAGAACAATTGATGATTGTATATTTGGAGCTCTTTGTCCAGGAAATTGGAAAGAAGGTAATGGAAAATATGAGGGAGATGAGACATGTTTCTTACTTTGTTTTAAACCTACCTTGTCTATTTTGAGACAGACAGGGATTGAACGTAATTTTATGTATTTAAATACTAAATATGGGTTTTCTCCAAAAGGGATTGGATTTGGAGGTGAACCCCAGTATGCACGAATATGGCTTGACCCTAGCTTAGTTAATGGGACATGCATGAGGTCTGATTTAACATACAAATCTGGAATGCTTTACTTACCTAGTCGTAAAAATAGTAAAAGAAGAAGTAGTTGTTTATTATTAGGAACTGCTGAATATGCAGGAAATGATGAGGCTTTAACAGATATAAGACCATTCAAGGTGGCAGAAATAGAAGTTTGGGGTCTAGGAGATTCTAATATATATAAGGATTATATAGAGAACAAAGCAACTGATCATTATTTTAGACAAGAGAGAAAGGCTATTGATAAATCAAAATTCCTCAAAAATGAATTTGATAAAGAATTTCTCTTATCGAAAACCTTCTCGAAAGGTACTTCAAATATATAAAAATAACTAGATTATATAAAATTTATCTTAATCCTCTTTGCTCTATTTAATTTATTAAACTATTTAAAGTCAATCTAGAAATAATGAATTTAACACTTTATTATGTAGTTTAGAAGTAAAATTGTTGGATTTACACTAGTAAAGAATAGTATTTTAGATGCTTTAAAGACTATATTTAGCTAGTTTAAACTGTGTTGAAAAGATATACTTACAATAAAGAAGAATTTATAAGATACACATAATAAATTAGGCTCTTAAAAGTGTAAAAGATCATGATCTATATATTTGTTTGAATCATGTCTATTTGAAAGAAGTAGTTGACCAACATTATTATCTGGTGAATTAAATGCATATCCAATAATTTCGGATGATCTTCTATGTATATTAAGTGAGATTAAGCTTGAAGATTTTTTTTTAATAATATGCCTCATTGATTCTAGCCAATAAGATGATACTTGTGCAAGTAAGAGTCTCCTATGCTGATAATATTTTTTGGAAAAAAATTGATACCACTTATTTTGTATCAAGTGAAAATATTCTGGATATAGACTCCTCTTATATACTTTGAAAATCCAATCCATAGATAAAGATAATGTAACTGAAATAATTATTGTAATAGTAAACATAGGTGTGAATAAGGCTCTCTCTGCGGCTGCAGATAACTCAGGTAGTGGAAATATTATTGGGAATATAAATAATGAAATTATATAAAAGCTAATACATAATAATATTGATGCAAATAAAAATTTCCAAGCTGTATATGTTTCTAAAGATATCTTGACATTTACAATTATTATAATGTTTGTATAAATAGCAAGTCCAGTAAACCAAAATTCTGGAACGAAACCATCTTTACTCACAGGATTATTACCACCTAATAAAATAAATGGTATGTAAAAAGCTATTGCAGCATGATAAATAGCAATTGCTATCCATTCAAAAAATCTTCTAAATGACATATATGGTTTTTTAATTCCTAATAAATAAAGTGGTTCGTGATAGTTGTAAGGTAGTGTAATTGGTACATCAGAATCAAATGTAGAAAATAATAAAGGAGGAATTGACGTATATATAAAGTTGTATAACTGAAATAATAATTCAAAAAATATTTTAGAACCTGTAAATAAAGATACAAAACCAAAATATACACTAACCATATTTAATGTAAAACATTTATACATATTATATAATATCAAAATAGATATTCTTCTATTACATAAACGACCATGTATAAGAACTAGAGGCCGAAGGCATGAAAATTGAGAAATACCATAATCTGATACATTAAAAGCTTGCATACCCTCTGATCCATGAATACCAACACCTACATTTGCGGTTTGAATCATTGTACAATCATTCCCACCATCCCCAATTGCTAAAACTCTCAATTTAGTATATTCTTGAATAAGTTTTACAATATTAGCTTTTTGTTGTGGAGTAACACGAGCACAAACAACTGATATACAACGTGTTGCAATATTGGCAAATTTTTCACGATCCATATCTAAAGCCCTTTCTAACATTGGTGAATCTACAACTAAAACTGCATTTGGCCAAGTATTATCTTCATTATTAAATTCTGAATTAATATCTTTATAATGATCAATAATAAAGTTTAAAGTTGATTCATCGAAAACTATAACTTCCATATCAGGTTTAATAAGACCAACTCTAGCTGCAATATTTATAGCAGTTTCTAATCTATCACCTGTCAACATCCATAATTTTATTCCTGAATTTATAAAAGATTCAATTGTATTCTTTACATCATATTGAAGTAGATCCTCAATTCCTGAACAACCTTGTAATGTTAAGTCAGATTCTAAAAGTCTTATTGTTTCTTGTAAATATAATGACTTGTTATCCCTAAAATTCTCAATTATATTAGCAATCTCCTCATATTTAAATTCCCTTCTTGCAAAACATAAAGTTCTATAACCTTTTGTAGCAAATTCAAGAGAATTATCTAAACTTATTATATATGAATTAGATTTCTTATTTGTTGAAGAACAACATTCTTTTATAGCAGAATCTGATCCCTTACAAAATAATATATAACGATATTCTGTTTCATTCTTATAATCACATAATGATTTTGATAAAAATTTTACTAATACAGAGCTTCGATTTCTATAGTGATCAAAATCAAGTCTCAATATTGTTTCAAATTCTACAATTTTTGAATTACTCATAACATTTGCAAACTTTATAAAGTTACTTGAACCCTTTTGTTTATATAGTGAAATTCCAAAGTGATGAGCAGTTAAAACTAAAGCTTCTTCATCAGTTGAACTTGCAGAATATAATGGGGTCTCATCACTATCTTCAACAAAATCTTGTATTAAAACAGTATTATTTAAAGCTAGATTTAATAAAAATTCAATTTCCTCTATACTTCCATCCTTTAATTTATTTCTTAAATATTCATCTTTCATATCTACATGGGGTGTATATTTTATATTAGTAAAATGATTATCTTCAGATATTTCAGTTAAATCTAATTTCTCATTATCACTATTTCCTCCATATATTATTCCATTTATACAAATGACTTTTAATTCCATATAATTCCGTGTTAAAGTTCCAGTTTTATCGGTACATATATATGATATTTGACCTAACTCATCATTTAAATCAGAATTTCTAACAACTGTTGGATGCTCTTGTCGAGATAATCTAGGATCACTAGTAATTACCCAAGATTGAGTTACTTTTACTACTACAAGGTAAAAAAACATTCCAATTGGTATTAAATTAGCTAATATAATTACCCATGTGAAAAATGTTAAAAAAATTACTTTCATTATATTCTTTTCATCTGTATACTTCCCTATAGGAATATATCTACTTTTCCATTTAATATCTCCAAAAAAATCTATATATGCAGTTATAAGTGCAAAAAATAAACATACAAATATCAAAAATATAAATGACAGAATTGTAACATTATTATATACTTGTTTTACAAGACTCATCTTATGAGGAGCTGAACGTATACTATTCATATATATTTTCGTTTCATGACCTGTATAAATAACTACTCCTAAAGCCCAAGCTGTATTTCTTAATCTACAACCTCGTAATAACATATTTGCTGGATTACATGAAAAATATAATTCTCTAGTAGATTTATTTTCACTCTTAATATTAATTTTAGCTGTTATATTAACTTCATTAGGATGTTCATTTGGTTTCTTACAATAAAATAGACCATTTATATTTAATATATCATTTATATTGCAAATATCATTCTTATATAATGTTCTTGGACTCTCATGTAATTTTAAATTTGTCTCACCATCCATAGAAGTTGTTTCTACAAATACCCTATTATCATATTGGCTTGATGCTAATAAGATCATATCTGCTGGAAATACTTCCCGATTTCTAACAACTACAAGATCCCCTGTAGCTATATTTCCCCATTTACTCATTATAAATTTATTACTGGTAGTATTAAAGATATATGTTGGTATATTATTAATTTCTAGATCACATTTATATCGTTTCCAATCTTCATATGCAGCTTGAATTGCTGTAAATCCTAGCATACAAATTAATGGTAATGCAATTGTTGGAATACCTCCAGATGTAGATATTGATGGAATCATTTGGAGTATTGCAATGATTAAAAAATAAATATTAGCCACATTATTAAATTGGTCATATAAATTTCTTGGTAAAAATGTATAGAGGGTATATCTAGTTGTTTGGATATTATTTAACTGATAATATCCATTATTTGTTTTACTGTCTTTCTTATTACCTAATACAACTATTCTATCAAAAGTTTTTAAATCCAGAATTTCCATTATTTTAGCTCATTTATTATGTTTCACATTAAATTTTATTTATAAGATTTTATTGTCAAATTTAAGTATTGCCAAATTAACCATGGGTATTACTTTTTAGTAATATTATTTGGGCGCTATAAAATTGTTTATAGATGCAGAAGTCTAAATTACCATTATTTAAATTGAGACAAATTGTCATATTTTTATTAATTACACTATGTGTTAGTAATATCCATTAGTAGAATTGTATATAGTGATAATAATATCTAAACTCAGAAATATTTTGTATATATTTCTTTCTTTGATTATCCTTATTTTCTCTTTTTTGTCATAATTCTAAAGAGTTCAATTTCTTTTTTTATATATATTTTAATGTTAATTTTAACAATTTACTGTAAGTAATTTTTTTTATATTAAACATAATATTCCAAAATATTTTTGAATATTTTTAGATATAGGTAATATTAGACTCCCCACATGTATTTTATTCCTGTAATAAGAAATTTTCATATTTTATTAATAAAATAATTTTGAAATGGAATACCTTGAAGATCTTGTTTTACAAAGTATTGGACAGCTTACTGATATTAATATTAATCCTTGGTTACATAATATCTCAAGAAATAATGAAATTATTAGTAATAAGAATTCAATAACCCTACGTTATATAGCAAAAGGTAATTTGCATGACAATTTGAATTATTTAGTTTAAAAATTCTTTTAACAATATTAAAAGCTATTATATCATAATTTAGTGATTTGTGTTGCGAATACACTACATAATGTAATCCAACAAGGAAGAAGGATGTCGTTACGAGAGCTGTACTATCATAATACTTGGCTATTTGATGTAAGTTACTTTAAAGATAAAAAAAAAAAAAAACTATTCAAAAGTAAAATTCTAATTATATTTTTTTTTTCAGAATCAAAATCAGGCTACAGTTATAGTTAGAAGTAAGTTGTAAATGATTAGTAAAAGTGTTTAAAATTAGACATCATATTTTATTGCAAATTTTAATAAATATTAATTTTCTTAATATTTAATAGAAATTTCAATAATGCTTAGAATTCCTCGGAGGACCTTGGGATTATTTCCTTCTCCCAAAGGGATGATTGGAGGACGAATAACATTTAGATACAAGGTATTTTAAATAACAAATTTCAATAGTTTAAAAAGATATATTGATATATATATATAGGATATAGAAGTTTTAAATATATATAATATGGGTATTACAGGAGCTATAATAGGAGATAACTTTGAAGATATTGGAGAGCAAAGTAATATTGAGGTAGAATCAGATGCACAATATATAATAATTATTGAGAAGGCATCAATCTTTCAATATTTAATGGAACGTAAGATTTCTGATCGTTTTTCATGCATACTTATAACAGGTATAGTTTTTTTTTTTCTTAACGAATAATAATATTTAATATTTATTTAATTTATAGGTAAAGGATTTCCAGATATAGCTACAAGGAAACTAATTTCATATCTTGTATATAAACTAAAAATTACAGTAAGTAGTGATAAAGATTGATATATATATTACTTTATTTAATTTTAATTTTTTTTTTTTTTGAAGACTTTGTACCTTGGTGACTATGATCCACCTGGAATAAATATATACTTAACATATGTTCGTGGATCAGATAACTATGAATCATTAATAGTTGGTAAGTTATTTGTCGTTTAATTAAATTGAATTAAAATATGTTTAAATAAATTTTTATTTATATTTAAGCTTGTCCTCATATATATTTTATGGGAATTCATTATGAAGATACGTTTGATTTGCCTTGTACGGTAAGTTAATTTTGAAATAAATATAAATAAATCTTGACATTATTTATTATGTTATTTATTATATTATTTAGACTCAAATACCATTAACAAAAAATGATAAGACAGTATTAAGTAATTTGCTAAGTGATCCAATTGTAAAGGTAATATTATTAGATTTAATTATAAATATAAATTAAATAAGATTTTGGAATAATCTAATTATAGGCTTGTAACAAACTCCATGGTCAATGCAAGATGATGTTTAAAAGTGGTTATAAATGTGAATTAGAAGCATTTCAAGCTATATCAAGTGACTTTTTAGTAAATTCATATTTACCGAATAAGCTACTTAAAAGATCATGGATATGAAATTAATTAGGTAATATAATAAAGTGAAAAATGATGTGATTATATAATACTAAGATTTATTCAAACTTATTTTTTTATACTATAATAGTCTATACTTGAATTTATTCGATATCTTTAATAACATATAGTGATATAAATATATCAGAATAAGTTGAAGTATTATTAAAATTGTAGTGAGTGTGATCAGGAATAAGGAACCAATCTCCATGTCCAATATTATACAAATTATTATCGCTAATCATAATTTGTAATGATTTATCATCAGGAGCTGTATGTACATGACCAAGTATATAATTATCTTGACTTTCATCTAAACCTTTTTCTGTTTGTGGTGGTAGACATACTTCACAGCATGTTGCTTGGCTTGATATAAATGAAAGAGCAACATTATAAGGTTTGCCAATAGTATATTCTACATCAGCCCAACACAAATCTTTTCTATTAAATACAGTAATCATATTATAATTTTTGCCAATATCTTGATCATATAAAGTGACTGCATTTGCAGAATCCTCAGAAATATTCTCATTAGAATTAATTTTAGTAGTTTTTTTAGTTTTTTGTGATTTACTAGTATTATTATGATAGTTAGTACTGGAATTTTTTAGTGAATTAGATGACTTCATTACATTTTCTTTATTTTTTTTATTTATCTTTTTAGGTTTATGATTATGATCAATAATATTATCCTCAATTACTTCTGGTAGACTTAAGTCTGAAGTTACATCACTAATATTATTTTGTTTCTCATATTCAGTATCTCCAAACTCATCAGCTGAATAAGAATGACTAGTTTTCTTTTCCTCCATTTCATTATTTCTTAATAAAGGAGATGAGGTTGTGGTTGCCATTGAAGCAACACTTAATCTACCATTACCATTTGGATATATACTTCCACGTTCATTTGGTATCATTTTAGGATTAGCAACTTTATGTATTGCTGCAATTGTATATCCTAATTCACTTTTTTCATCACGTTGATATTCAAGCCTCTCACCTAAATACCACTTTAGTGGTGCCGTACGTACACGACGTGGATAACGACGATTAAGATTTTCTCTAGAAGTTTCATCTTCTTTTTCTGGTAATGATATTTCACCAATTTTTGGATTAACTTGATTTAATGGAATATGATAATCAATATGCTTACGACGGCTATATTGACGTCCTTGACGTCCACTTTTAGACTTATTAGAAGTTTCTTTGGTTTTTTTAATTTTACTTCTATTTAACTTTTTTTTATTATTATTAGGATTAATTGTATCATTTGTATGATTATTATCCAAAGCTAATGATTGGTCTTCAATATTATATTCTATACCACTATCATTCCCTATATTATCATTTTCAATAAAATTATCCAAAATATCACCATTAATATCTTGATCAATACTATTTTCATTTAAACCTTTCAGTTTATCATAAACATTTATATCACCTGTATTTATATCAATTTGTTTAGTTCTATCTTTTTTTCGAAATGTACTCTTACTTATTGGATGTGGTATATCATCAAGACTACTATTACTTAAATTCTCAGATGGTATATCACCAGATTCTTCAATTGAAGTACAGTTATTAAATTGTTTATTAGATATTTCAATTGTTTGATTATATTCTTGTTCATTTAATATTGTAAAAGTCTCAATATTTACTGCAGAATTTTCACAAGTATCTTCAACATCATATACATTTGATATAGACTGGTTAAAGTTAAGATCCATGTTAACTTCATTAGAGTACAAATTCTCTTCAATACTAGATAATCTATTCTTATTATTAGTAGACTTTTCTTTAGAATGGCTCTTTCGGTCAAATACAGACTTAGATCTCCTCCTTATTAAAGATGAGGATCTTCTATCAGATCTATCTATTCGTCTCATTGAATAATTTTCAATATCAACATCTTGTAGATTTTCTATTTTTCGCCTTCTATCATCTAATTTAATATCACTTTCTATAATCTCTCCATTATAGGATCTTGATCTATTGTAATGATCAATAGAATGTGTAACATCCCTAAATTTTGGAGTTAATTTCTTCTGTTTGTAATCATCTTCATTATTCATAGATGAAGTCCTTCTATAGATGTCTTTACTCTTATATTCAGGTGAGTCAAACATACGATTTAATTCATAATCATCATCTGAATGTGTATGATTATTATCTAGAGATTTATCAAGTAGTTGCAAATGTTGTTGCAATAGGTGATCATCAGGATTAATATTATAACTTCCAATTCTTCTTCTTTTAATATTTGTCAAAATCGAATTTCTTGATAAAGAGTGACAATTTTGAATTGATGCTATTGAGTTACTTCTATGAGTAGCAACTGGTGATGGCAGAGTAGATGTTGATACTGAATAATTAATTCCATAATATGATGCTAGTGAACGACTTCTACCATTTCCTTGATTAAATGAAGGTACGTAGCTCTCAGATCTTGAGTAAATACTAGGTTTTAAATTATATTTATTTCTTAATAATTCCCCATGATAGAGTACATAGTCATGATCATCTATATAATCTATATATTTTGCGGTAGGTGATGTTTTATATGTGTGATCCATTTGATATAAAGTGTGATCTATCTCTTTTCTTAGGAGTATATTATTTGAAGCCTTCATATTTGGCGAAATATATCTATAATTTTTTTTTTTTCCATATAAATCTTTTTCATTTTGTATCTCTTTAGCTCTCATAGCAAGTTTATCTCCCATATATACTGACCTATCCTCGGCATTTGCAATTACAATTGGTAGAGGTGATTTCCTTAACAAATCACGACTATTTAAAGGAGTTTGTGATGGAATACCTAACCTTGGTGGCATTGTAATATGTACAGTATCCTTTTTGCAATTATCTAAGGATTCATAATTGTCACTATCAATATTACTAATCTTAGTATTGCTTATATAGTCTGAATCTCTTGAACAACGGGTATTCATAGATTTCCCATAACCTTTTCTTCTTGAATTACTGCTAGGAAGATCTGGTATCAAAAAACCTTCATGATCATGATTATGAGATCTTGATGATGAACTTATTAATATAGGAGTACCAGTAGATGTGCATCTTCTATGTGCTCTTTGTCTTATAACTGGAGTATTTTCCTGCAAATTTTCTCCGTTACTGAGTGAATTACTAGTAATTTTCCTTTCATCTCTATTTATATAAGGTGATTCATAAATAAAAGTCCTAGATGAAGTTGGAGTGTCACCAATATATATTGGAGATGATGATAAAGAATCATTCTCATCGATATAAGAAGGTGATAATAACCCATCATTAAAGTGATTACTCCTAAGATCAGATTTCCAGCGAATATTCTTTGTATACTTCAGGTTATCATTGTAATCATTTATATATGTTTCATAGGGTTGTCTAATCGGTGAGACCGATGAATTACTCTAAAAATAAACAATATATTTGTTGAAATACTTTAAAAAATTATTCGTATAAAAAGATAACTTACCGAAAAAACTGTACGGTGCATGAATTTACATCATTATTATATAATACTCATAATTTTTTAAAAGATAAGGATTCAATTTCCTTTTTAAAAAAAAAACCTACTAAATAGCTCCACTTATTGCCGCAAAAAATACATGAGGCGCTAAAAGACATGCCCCCACCCTTCCACATTATAATATTAAATAAGGGAGTAGAGAGGGGGAGAAGAGAAGTACAAATATCCTATTTTGAATAAAAAATGAATTCTATAGTCACAATACATCAAAAAGTCATTCAAAGGCATGTAAAGAAGTATATAAATAATACAATTTTATCTATATTTATTCTTTTTATTAAAAAATTAGCTATTATATTTTGAAGGCGCATAGACCTTTATTTGAAAAGTGCCTGAAAGATTAGGTTTTGCAGATTTGTAAAGCCAATGTATGACATCATAAAACTTACATGATGGTAATTTGCTTACTTCTGCAGCCACTGAACAAGTCAAACCAAGGTGTTGTAATGCACCCCTAATTATTCCACATACTAAGATTACATTTATAGCCGGTTCAAGTTGTATCTTTGCATTATTCCTAGAAATGTTAGGTAAGAGTTTTAGCCATGAAAAATTATTGTCTAAAATAGCATATCCTCCCTGAAGATAGATATTTCAAATATTTAAAGGTGAATTCCTCAACTTATATTAGTTGTTTCATACCCGTCTATTAGTTTGTAATCTATCTGCCTGCTTAAGAAAAATATAGTTCCATAAATCCTTACACATGAATTTTATAATCTCCTTCTGATCTGTTATACGTGATCTTTCTAATGATAATCTAATTTTCAATAGATTTAAGATGAGGTATATAGTAATTATATTGCAATAAGATATTAACCTACCTTTCAACAAAACGAATACCTAGGTAGAAACCATTTTCTTCCAAGGTGGACATCGCAGCTTCTCTTATTATAGAGTTAATAGATATAGGTAATCCCTTTTCATCAATTATATCATTACCATTTTCGTCTTCTTGAAACTGAGCTTTAGATGAGACTTCACGAGCCACTTCTACACAGTAGTTAAGATATTCATATCGAAGTAAAGTTACTAGAGTTAAAGACACCTGCTTCTTATCTTTCATAGAACCTAATTCATGTAACTTCAGTATTATTGTACTATCAGCTATATACTTCTATAACAAACTGAAGCGGGGGCTAAAGAAGTATTTAATGGAGCTAATTCTTTGTTACTAACATGATCCTAAATACAATTTATGGAAATTTCACTGTTTAGCTATGAAGAAAGGTAGATCTCAAAAAAGTAATGGCTCTTTAATATCTTCGAGATCTTTGGCAAAACAGAATACAAATAATATGGTGGATACCATAGTTACACCAAAATCAGATTTAAACTTTATTAAAAAATTTAAATTTTCATCTGTGAAAGAAAAAGTGATTGACTTTTCTGTATTTTTTTTAATAGGTTTTGTTCTTATTTTGATTATAATATTAAAAGCTGGTGAGGAGCAATACAACATAAATGGAATGGTTAATAAAAGTGAAACACATCTTGATTACTATGATATACTAGGAGTATCAAAGAAGGCAACAAATATGGAGATTAGGAAGTCATTTAGAAAATTGAGTTTGAGATGGCACCCAGATAAAAATCATGGTTGTGAACCTTGCCTGGAAAAATTTCGTGAAATATCTAAGGCATATGAAGTACTTGGAGATGCAGATAAACGATCTATTTATGATAGTAATTATGGAGGGAAAATAGAAGTTATTCCTTCTGAGGCTGTAACTTTAACTAGTGAGAATTTCCATACTTTAGTTAGATCTCAGAATAAAGAATCATGGGTAATTCAAGTTTATACAGATAAAGATGAACTGTGCCACTACTTTTCACCAATATGGGAGGAATCTATTGAGAAAATGGGAAATTATTATAGATTTGGACGTATAAATGCACATAAAGAGAAAAGTTTACTGAAATATCTTCCATTAAATGTAAAAGTATTTCCTGCAATTTTTATATTAACAAATGGGTATCAGTATGAAATGTACTCTCAGATTCTTGATTCTACAGTTGAGAGTTTCACAGATTTTTTATTTGACTCCTTTCCTCAAACTTTACATATAATAACATGCCAAAAGAGTGCCTATAATTGGCTCATCAAAAAATCACAGGAAAATTATAGAGGTAAAATTATTTATATTTCTGAAAAACAGGAACCTTCACTTATTATCAAGTCTGTAGCCTTAAAATGGAGTACTATTTTTGATTTTGCCTTTGTATCTACGAAGATCGGAAGGGATTTTCTAAAAAGTTGGAATGTGGATATTAAAGGACCCACTTTAGCTTTATTTCCAGCAATAAATTCAAATATTAAAGTGAATGAAGTGTCATCTATATTTCATTTATCGGTAAATAATAAAGAAATCGATCAGTTTTTGAAGCAAAGTGAAAAAATTAGTGAAGAAAAGAATAATTTATTTGAAAGCCCACAATTATTATCTCTAAAAATAGAATCTTCTTTATATATAATTCAGCAGCACTATTATCCATTTTTAGATGCCGAAAATGTTCAATTTCTTTGCGAATCTAATATTTTGAATAGAATAATTTGCTTAGTTATAATTCATGAGGAATATAACCAGAGTGATGATGAATTAGATAAAATGAAGTTGGAAGTATTGGAACCTTTAGAAAACTCCAGAAAACGTTATCAAAGAGCAATGGCGAATCAAAAAAGTAGAAATTCTCATGAAGAAACTAATAACTCAAATTCTGAAGAATTTGACGAATATTTTGGTGAGTCAGAAGTTTTTGAAGATGAGGAGCTATTCATTCAACCAGTACAACTATCTATATCAAGTTATAAAAATAAGGTTGGGTCAATGAAGAAAATTGCAGATTTTATGGAGTTTTGGAAAACTAATTTAAGGAGTAGTCATATATTTTTACTAGACGTTGAGGGTGATAGGTATGCAATTATTAATGAAACTAAGCACTTATATGAAAAATTTACACAAGATGAAATCTTTTGGATGCGTCTACCTTTAAAATGTACTACTTTCCACGAAAAAGAGTTTTACTCAAATTGTCTTTTTAATAGCTCAGCTCATGGATATTCTATTTCATCTCTCTTTAGATATAAGATTTCTTTCAAATCTATTATTGCAACTGTTTTGATAATTACTGTCTCTTCATATTTACTTTCATCAATATCGACACAACAAAAGTTGGGGTTACTTGTAATATTTCCAATTTTAATTGCAGTATTTTCACATCCATCATTGGATATACTTTGGAATTTATTTTATTAATATGCGGATTTCTTTAATATGAATGAATATACTTTGTGTATTTTATATTAATTAATTATAGTTGGTAATTTTTGCTCGTACCTCTTAATTTAAAAAGTGGATTTTTTAGTAGACATCTTAATAGATGAGTTAGGAGATAATCTTTCGTAAATATTGTCAAAATTATAAGATTAATTATTCATATTTCCTAAATTTTCATCAATATTATAGTTAAGATATTGTAAAATAACGAGATAACTTGCTAAGTAATAGTTATAAACTACTACAATTAGAAGTATTTTGTTTAAAACCCTTTCCACCTTGTAAAATTTACTGATAATCACTATTTGGTAGCATCTGAAGTATTAACTGTAAAGTCAATGTTTATATTATTTATGCTTAAAGCTGTAGATAAAATATAACTTTAAATTGAGAGTATCAATATTTGTAAGTGGTATATATATGAAAATTTAGAATATTAACCCTATTTTTTTAATAGCTATTGTATTAGGTAGCAATATTATTAATTTATATTTATTTAAAGATGAAAAAATAAGAATGTAAGACCTTATTTTGCACTTATTTTTCTTTTCTTAGTTAGAAGACAACTAAATTTGGAGTTACTATAATAATATATATGGCAGTTTTTTTTTCTTTTAAATATAAATTATACTCTTGTAAATTTAAATAGAATAAATAAATATTAAAAAGAAGGCTAGCATCTAGAAATAAATTATTTCAGCTCACTTTATGTATCGAAGTCTATTATTTTAAGCTGTTCATTATTATTCAATTTAATTATCCATACTTAGAACTATAAATAGATATTATACAGTAGTAACACCATAATAGTGTAGGTTAGATAACATTAATTCGCAGTAATATAAATCATATTAAACTATGTTTTTTAAAAAGTGAAAAGTAAAAAATCTCAGATATTCATAAGGAATATAATTAAACTTTTTTATTACATTTTGGAAATTTTTTGATTGTATTGAAAATAATGACTTGGTAATTTGGCCATTTTAGAGGTGCCAAGTTGCTTATAATGTATAAATCCAACAATAGGCATGTAACAATAAGCAATATTCAACTTGAATTTTTGATTCCTCAAATGACGTCCTATATCACGAATTGGATACTCATTAATTATACCAATTAAATCAGAATTAGCATCTAATTTAGGATTTGAAATAATATGATCCCATATAATTACATTGTTAATAGGTGTATCCTGATTTTGATATGTGGCATATACATACACAAATAGTTGATTAGTATTCCATTGAAAAATATCTTTTAGAGATATCTTCATATTAAATGCTATATTAGCTTGGTCATTTCTTAAATATGGGCTTATTCCTATGTCCAAAACTGAGTGGAATTCAACAACCCCAGAAGGGTTTGGTTTATAAAATAAAGATGTTACAAAATTTCCTGCTGCGCAGGTTGCTAAAGCTGCTACAAAAGTACACACCAAAATATTTATACGGGAAAGAGTAGATTCCATTTATTTTCAAATATACGAATTAGATCTCGGATTGTGAGGTCCTAGCTTAAGTATACAATGGAAACCAATTCGAGAATATATTAAGCGGGGATTTGAGGCAGAAAGTTGTTAAGCAGCTAAGATAAACTATTCAGTTTATACTATTTTATTGGATAATGCATTCCCAAGCGGTATGTTAATAACTATAAGCTTATTTATTATCACTATATTATGAATTTTATACTTTAGAGACGACGTATATTGAGGGATTTCACTAAATTAAGTTCAGATCCACCTGAAGGCATTTGTGGAACTCCACTAAATGGAGACCTAATGCACTGGGATGCAGTAATATTTGGGTAAGTCATGTGTGATTTTGCAATATATATTTTACACTTTTGAATTGTTAAAAGTCCTGAAGGAACTATTTGGGAAGGTGGTATATTCAAGCTTGATATTAAGTTCTCTGAAGAATATCCAAATAAGGCTCCAGATATCAAGTTTATAACGAAAGTATTTCATCCAAATGTATATATAAATGGAAATATTTGCTTGGATATCTTACAACAACAATGGAGTCCTGTATTTGATATATGTGCTATTTTAACATGCATTCAATCTTTGTTAAATGATCCTAATCCGAACTCTCCAGCCAATGCTGAAGCTGCTCAAATGTATACTGAAAACCGTCTTGAATATTACGAAAAAGTACAACAATGTGTTAAAGCTTCCTGGGAAGAAGCTGAAGATTCATCAAATGAAGAAGATAAAGCTAAAGTTCTATAATATAACGAAGATAATGTCCAAATAATGTTTTAGTACATTTCAGTTATATAAGATTATCTAAACAAAGTGTTAGAAAAAATCTATAAAGCCTAAAATGAAATCTCAAATATTCAAATACTCTCTAGAGATAATTTCATATGTTGAATAACGGGTATCTGGCTAGTTTTATTTGCAATACTACCTAATACTTCATTAAGAAATTTATCTCGAGAATCTTCAACAATTTTAAATCTAGACCATATTCTCTTATTTTCCTTTGTCACTTCAGCTCCTCTACTTATCAATTCAAAACCTCTGGATAATTCAACCTGTAGCTTTCCTCCATAGTCAGTTTTTATGGACAGCATGGAAGGAAAGAATGGATATATAGATTCTACTGTAATCGAGTACAGTATCAATATATTTTTCAATGGAGGTATCTCCGATGAATTGGATCTTATTAAAGATTTCGGGAGATATATATGTAGTTCAAGCCACTCATTCATTTGTCTCAGTATATTTATAATAGAATAAATTGTTACAGAGCCACTTTCTGAAATCATATCCTTCAAAGAACTAGTTAATACTATTGTTGATAAATGTGTTGACTTTTGAAGTGACAATGCTAATAAGTCTCCATTATTCCAGAATATTAAGGACCAGAAAGCTTCACCAGATATTAAACTACAATTCTTAATGATTAAAATTGCAATAGACCTCATATTTCGTGATATTATAGAGTCGGCTAGCTTTATGTCTATACTTATCCTATTATTCTTGCAATTATCCACTAAATATTTATCTGTAATATCTTCAATATTTAGATGAGATTCAGCTATGATATCTTCCACTTTTTCATCATTGTTACTTATATTACTCATTTACAGAATAATTCCTAGTACAAAGAGACTCGAGATTCGACTGTCTATAACTTGCGAGACACAGCGCCGATTTCATTATTTGCACCTAGTTGCTACAATAGTATGGTTATAATTAAATTAAACTTGGAATATGATATACTATTAGATTAATATTAACAATAACTAAATTAGAATAATAGAAAAGTATTTAGTATGTATATATTAAGTAGAATATATATTATAGAAATAGTGTCATCATGTATATATTAAATATTTAAAATGTACTTAAACAACATGATATTATAGAAATGATAAATTGGTCAGGTAATCCTTATTTCTGATGAGATGTATAGTTATAAACTTTTAATATTGAAGAACTAATAGCTGATTACATATATACCAACTTTAATGATATGTTTGTACTGAATTACAGTAATATTATAATATAAGCAACGGTAAATACTGTACTGCAGTGGGTTTGGAGCCTAATGGTTTGATATCCCCCGTTAAGGGATGTTAATAAATTACTGAACAAAAATTTAGTATTTAATAGATATACTGAAATGAAATAAATATTGTATACTTTTGTAATATATATGGAACTACTTAGTGAGGCTGCTTGCGCAGCTGCAGGATGCAATATACAGTATTTAGAAAACCTTCTAAGTAATAATGATATAATTAAAAAATATTGGAGCATTATATTAAATTCTATACCTGAATCTTTTCATGTTAAATATTATGATTTTCTTTTACCAATTCCAATAGTTGATAATAAGCTTATTGAAACTATACCTGGATGTTCTAAAAGTGAAATTCTATCTTGTAACAATAGGGATGAAGGTGATAACGTATCATATAAGCCACTTGAAGTTGAAATCGAACTTATTTGTGAATGGTCAATTAATCGTTGTTTAGATATTGTAGAAAGAACCTTAGATATCAAAGGGTTAGCAATTCCATTTATTATAAAAGTAATTAATAGAGTGATTATTACCTATGATGAGATGGCAACGATAAATGGTGATTTACTCATTTCAAATAATTTGAATATTCTAAACAATGAATTTATACTTTATCTGTACTCATTTTACTGTATTCTTGAACAATTTTGTATTTTCCTGGATAATGTAAAAGTTTATAGCTCAGAGTCTATACTTTCAATTTGGACCAAGTTTATAATGTATGACCCTGTATCAAGAATAAATTTTGTAATTGACCAGATAGATGAATCTACTTATAACTCTAAGTTATCTGAATTAATATCTCTTTATCATGGAACATATAGCCACATTCAATCAATTCAATTGGCAAATATAAAGAATACGAGAAAGAATAGAAATGGATTAGGTTTAAAATTGGCTAAAAGTAGCAATATTTCATATTGTGAACCTTTCATTATTAAGACTGGTTTACATGGACGCTATGAATTTATAGAAACAAGTATAATGGCTGATAAATACATAAATTTTGACGTCGAAATTAATTATAATTCACTAAAAGAAAGTATAGTGGGAAATATAATAATGCCATTTGAGCGTGTTTTGATTGACTATATATGTAAATATTTACCTCTTAAAAAGAAAACAAGTTCTTGTATCTTTTTAGTATCTTATTTAGTATGTCAGAGTAAGACTACAATAAGTATTAAGGATCGTATAATTCTTTGCCCTATTCAAGTCTTGCAACTTATTTTATGGTCAATACACAGCATATCATCTCCTTTATATGATTTAGATGCACTATCATTGCAAGAATTCGTGGATGAGCTTTATGAATGTATCCCTACTAGGGATATTATGCTTAACTACTTTAGTGAACCACTGATAGTACAAAAAGATAAGTCAGATATTATAAAAAACTCGGATAATAATGAATTAGATTACTTAATGATTTATTGCCCATGTTGCAAACGTCCTGCTATAAAAACTAAAGACAAAATTTACACAACAATATACAAAGAATGGCTTCTAGAAGTATATAATTCAGTTGATATGATTGAGAAAGAGTTACTTATTGTAGATTTAATGAGGGAATTACCACCACTACCGAAATTCACTTTTTCTGATATCCTAAAATCAATAGTAAACTCTAATATACTAGAATGCTTTATACTCCGTCTTCTATATTCTATCAACAAGCAAAAAGAGAGGTTAGAGCCTGGTATAATTCGCAAAATCCTTCTTATATATAAAAATACAAATATATTAGCAAAGTTACCAAATAAACCTCTAGGCAGTGAGATAAACATACTAATTTTATTTGTAGAGATATATATAACAAGTAATAAATTGGAGCGTTGCTCTGATAATATTTTAGAAGAGGTCGTTCTTTGCTTATTTCAAGGAATAGATAGCTCAAGTTCTTTGAGTATTACAGATTTTACCAATTCTTTATCTTGCTTCATAAAGTCCATTTTTACTTCAAATAGCAAGCTGCATAATTCTACTATTTTAAATGTACAAGATTTCATTGAAAAACTTCTGGAATACAAATATCCAAACAGTATAAACTACAGAAAAAAAAGTTTAATGGTTACTAAAAATTTTTTGAAAAAAGTTAAATACTCAATAAAATTATTCACTCATATAGAGATTTTATTGAGTTATGAAGCAACTTTGATTAAGACTGAATTTGTAGATGAACGTCTAAGCAAAATACCTGGTATAAATGAAGTTCTAGAAGTCTCTTTTAATGATATAGATATATATAAATTTAACTATAATAATCCTTTGGATATTATAAGTGAAAATGAACCTATGAAGGTGATTTCTGACTTGTTTCTTGCAAATCCAAATTTATGTTTACTATCTTTGAATAATTCTTTGATTTCCAATATTTTAGAAATAATTAAAAGCTTGGATATTACTAACACAAATAACTTGTGCTGCAGATTTCTTATAAATAGGTTTAGAATAACTACTCTAATACACTATGGATTAATTAATCATGCTATGGTCATTATAATCTCCATTTTAATGGAATACAGTCTTAAAAATAAGCTGCACGAAAATTTGGACTCTTACTTATTTGAAATAGCTTTGAATGTAATTATGGACCACTCAGAAAAATGTACTGATCATGAATATAGCTCATTGACTCAGTGTAAACTTGCGGATTTACTGAGAACATATTTCCTTGCACTCTCACCTCCAAAAATACTCTTACCTTTACTACACAAAGAAGCAAGGCTATTTCTTGACCAAGAAGAAATTAATCTATCACTTAAAGAAATACCTACAACACCAGTTGAATGGATAAATCCAGAAATAGAAATGAGAAATAGTAATTTATACTGCACTGAGCTTCAGTATATAAGTTCTGCTATCAAGGCATTGCAAGAAAATGAGAACATAAACACTTTAAAAGATGATTTTGGTGAAAACTACTTGTTGTCTAACAACTGCATACGATTTTTGAAAGAAAAATTTGCACTGTATGACTCAAACACTAGTTATTTAGAGAAAATATCGCAAATAGTTGAACTATATGATAAAGATAGTATTCTAGGAATTTCAGTTGATTTGTTAGTATTTAATGGAACTATCTCAATATTAATGTTAAGAGATTTAAAGATAAATTCTTACAGGAAGTTAGAAATAGTGAGAGGTATTCAGGATTTTATGACACTTATCTGTAAACCAAATGATGCAACTTTAATAACAGTAAATAAATTGGTACTTTTTTTTCAAATTTACAATAATTTATATAATATAATATCTAATAAAGAAAAGGCCAAATATAATAAACATCTAGAAATTTTATTAAAGTTAGAAGAACAGCACCCGATATATACAATAAGTGAAAGTTCTGCTGAATGGCAGGAACGATGGATTTATTGGATTAAAGCTGTTGAGCCGAAGAGCCTTTTTACACTTGGACAAGCTCTAGACAGTTTTAAGGAAAGTCAAAATGAAGATCAAAATAGTCCTGCTGTTGTGATGTTGCACATTTACATGCTGTTAGAATCTATATCAACATATAAGAGTGCAAACTTGGCGAAAATTCAAGATGTTCAGTTAAGCTTGAATATATTGCACTTGAAGATTTTTGAGGAATTTCCTTTTGAGTGTTTGAACTTACTCTGTGAAAGGTACTACAATTTGAATAAGGGAAATTCTTTCGAATTTTTATATCTCAGAATGTTAATACTAATAATATCTAATTTAACAGATTTAAAAATTAAATTGAATAGCTTCAATAATAAATTGAAATATTCTTTACCCTATCGTTATGATAGTATTGAAGTATTTAGACTTCTCTTATATCTTTACAGAATGTGGCCAAAGTTTGATCTGACCACCATTGACCACCGAAATCTTAAGGATACTGATACAAATACTAACGAATATGGAAGACTAAAGATACCAACTACCGATATAGACTATTTTTTAGAAGAAATTCTAATTTGGTGCAATTGGGATAATTTTTGGACCTTTAAGAAACTAATATATAGCATTGATACTTCAGAAAGATTGAGATTGAGAATTACTTTATGTGATATTAGTTATAACATACTGATTAAAGCCTTTGAAGTTGAAAATAGATTTCCAACTACATGCTTTTCAAATTTACGCTTTGGACCAGGAATATCTGCTTCTACTATATTACTTGACCTACTGAAGGAACTTACATTTGATTATATCAAGACCCTCAAGTTTTTGTGTGCACTTTCTCATTTGAAAAATCATCAAATTGATGTTGTATTACTAATTTTGGATATGGAAGATGAGCTATATTCTAACTCACTTGTTAATTCAAATAATCTATCTAGATTACTTATAGAGCTTAGAGCCTTTTTGGCTTTATCTGAAATATATAAATTAGACCAGAAAGACAATACAGTTGGATATATATCTCTAAATGGTAACTCTTTTGAAATATTAAAAAGCTATTGCTTTGAACAATTTTTGGAAGAATCAGTATCTAGTTCGCTTATTGAGAATATTGTTTTAAATTTAGGCTTTAAATATTCACAATTAATAGTTGAAGGTTTTAAGTGTGTTACTGCTTCACTTTCCAATAAAGATTCTATGTATATATGGAAGTATTTGAGTATGACATGTAAAATTTTTATTGAAAAAGGGGAGAGATATCAAGAGAATATAGTCTTAGACTTTATTAAAGCTTGTATAGACATTATTCAGATCTTTTCTAATTTTAAACTGAAATCCTCACTACCATACATCCTAATTGATGTCCTTAAAACCAATAATCTGATCAATTCTGAGATTTTACCTCATTGTATTTTCTGGTGTTGTTCACAAATGTGTCATTTCAGTATGGTAGTATCGGAATCTTTACTACAGTTAGAATTAGAGAGTATTAAGGATGATATTATTGAGAATATGATTAGAGATTGGACGGAATCTTATGAAGAGAATAGGAATATAAGTTTTACTAAACTTACTTTTGGAAATATTCTCAAATTATTCAGTGGACTGGAACTTTTGAAGATACTATTTTCTGTAGATAATGAAGATGAAGATGATAAATTCAGAGCTTTTACACCTTTATTATGGGTTCATCACTATGATGAATGGAATGTGTCGAATATCAGTGGTTTGTGTCAGGGATATACTAATGAAGAGAATAAGTCTATAATTCATGTCATATTTTCAGGATTTGTTTTTAAAATACTAAAGATATGTATTGATAATGACTTACTTTACTTTTCAGAATTTATACTCCTGTGGACGTCCTTTGGAAGATCTTTGTTATTGGATCAAGATGAAATATTATTCTTGAATTATTTAAATACACTCAAGTCTCATTTTGAATTGGGATTATTATCCTCAAATAGAGCATATTTGCAGTCAACACTTACTTATATTCGCACGGAAGAGGTTTTAAAATATAAAAATAACGCAGTTTGGAACCCTCAAGTTAACGATATTATTAAAGGCATATTGATCATTCTTAATGGGAGTACTTACTTATTTTCTGGAACTGCATTTCTCGATTATATTTTAATTCCTATACTAACATTTGAAAGTCCTGATAATGAAAACTTACTAGAGATTGGACAAAGTCTGTTAAATAATTTTAGTATAGATTATGAATCAGTAAGATATGTTGACCTAATAGCTGTTGGTTTAATGCTAAAAGTTATAATGAATTACAGAAGAAGTCTCATTCAGTTTATTTCTTCACAATTTGTTGCTATGAAGTGTGTAAATTGTGCAATTAAACTGATTTCATCAGATATTGGTATTACAAATGCTTGTCAAAATGCTTTATCTTGTGTATATATCATACTAAGTAATTATTTAAATCTCAAACCAGATAATTTTAATTTAACAGAGTTTAATCTAATGCATTTTGACAAGAACTACTTAGAATTTCTAAGTAATTCAAGTGATAATTATTCTAATTATAAATGGTTTAGACTTTATCTTATGGATACCCAATATTTGGATTCAGATTCGACACAAATTATTAATAAAGTATCTGAATACATTCTTCTTCTACTCAATACTTATTATTGTGGGTTCTTAAATGGGCAATATATCTCTTATTTTGAATATTTATTCTCACCAAAACTTATCAAGAAAGTTCTGGTATCTCATGAAAAATTATCAGGGATGTATAGTCACATTAATAAACAAGCTCAAGATATATTAAATAAAAAAGATAAATATTTACAAAAAAATATCAATATAGTTTAAATATAAAATAACCTTAGTCTTAAATAAACTTAATTTTATTGCGGAATTTTTGTTCAATTATTTTTAATTTAAGTCTTATATATTTCTTATAGGATTTAATCCAAATATCACTTTTCTTCCTTTTTAATACTAGGATCCCATAAAATAAAACACATTTTCTGATGTGTATGAATCTTCTTTATCATTCTCCTTTTTGTCAAATCATATATATAAATAAATCTACCAGGACCTGTAATTGCAACCAAAACCTTTGTAGAGTCACTCTTACAATATTTGAGCCTCAAACAGCTTATACAGGATATACCCCCCATTATTCCCTTGAGGCTCCCCATTACAGAATATTCAATAATAATACTATTCTCTCTTGAGTATTTTGGAACTATTGCTTTGATTTTATTCTCTTCACCCTTTTGTATACACTGCCTTTTATGTTGTTTGAATGATATATTAGCTAAAGCTGAAGGCCTTTTTGTTGGAGTAACATAAAAGTCGATGGGGGACTTATCAGATTCCTTTGCACTTAATTTAATAATACTTACTGAACCAATATTATTCCCAACAATTGCTACGCATCCAAAGGTATTATTTATATCTTTAAATAAACTCCATTGCTTGGCAATAGCTATTGAAGTTACTGGTGACTTATCTTCCCAAATTTGCTTACTAAATATTGGCTTTCGTTGAGCTGTAGGACTGTATAATCTAATATCACCTGTACCTGTACCACATAATAATAATTGAGGATCTAACTGAACAAATGCAAGGCATCTAATATAAACTGGGATTCTGTGTTTAAGAGCATTTGAACTGACATTTCTACATTTCCAAGTAATCTTCATTAATTTTAATGAATAAATTTTTAAATTATTTTCATAACCTCCGAAAGCAACAGAATTGTTTACACTATTATATGTAGCAGCTAAAATATTTGAGCCAGGTAAAATTGTAGAATGTACTAGCCAATCAGGAGTACTTCCCCTTTCTTCAAAAAACCAAGTGTCAACCTTTATAAATTCATTATCTTCATTATACATATGTTTAACTGCACAATTCCACTTGAAAATACATAGATGACACTTTGAATCAATTACTAATAAAAATAATTCATCTTTATTATCACTATATTTTATATATTGCTTTGTTACATCTTGAATCAAAATAATGCTCGATGGAAATATAAATTTAGTTCTAAAGGATAATTTATTATCCAGTAGTGATATATGAAGTAACTCAACAATACCATTCTTGCGTCCGATAATTAATTCGTTCAATATAGTACTGGAATCATTATCCAATATTATTCTTTCTATACAGTTTCCACTTAGTAAGGATAGTCCATCGGACTCCTTTTCACGCCATGCTATATATGTAATACGATTATTCAAAGAGTTATTTACTTCTGTAGACTTTGTATTAACACTTGTTTTGGTTTTTAAATCTATTTCAGACTTGTCAAAGATTACTTCCTTAATAGTCCCAAATATATCCCCAGAAAATAAGCGGATATATTCGGATGAATTGTCCATTATAGCTAGATAGTACTCAGTAGAGTTGTTTTTTTAGGTTTCTCAAGCTTTTAAAAGAGAGTAATCCAGTTTTAGATTAATTGTCAAGAGAGGACCAAATACAAAGGGCGGGTAAATCCGTGGCATCGTGAAACTAAAATGTAAATCTTATACTTTGAAGTGTTTAATAGTTCTTTCAAAATATATTGAACGACCTCATCATTAACTATTCTTATTGAATATATTTAGGTATATTTTAAGATATATGTTGTTATAAATTAGATGGCTTAAACTCAAGATATATAATACTATTCGGTACTTTAATATATCTTACATTTATAGAAAATACCAATACTATATTATTAGTCAAACTTCTGTAACATAATCAATTAATGATTTTAATATTAATATACTTCATATTATGAATCCTAGGGTATTATTCTAAAAGTTTTGATAAAGTCATATATATTGTATATAATTTTCTTTGAAATTTATGATCAAAATATAAATTCTTTGTAAATAATAGAAACTTATTGGTATATAGATAATAGTTATTAGCTATTTGATTTTAAATAAACAATAAGATTGTAATTAAAAAAGTTTAAACATCTATATTTAGTCAGCATAATTCTTTTGAAAAAATTTTATTTATTAAGAAATGATAGGTATTATTTTAAATAGCCCTTAATTTCTACTCAAATAATCTTATAAATCCGGAACTTCTTAATTAACTCTTATAAATATTGCAAATAATACATTATTACTTTTAAGGTTCAAATTTTTATATTGATATTTTAAAAGTTAAGACTTAAGGTATGGTTTTAAATAAAGTCATAAGATAAAAAGATATGTTGGATTCATTTGATTTAATTTATAAATTCTATATATTAACTGTAGTTATATTTCTATTAAGGAGTTCCTAAAAAAAACGCTCTTTACAGAGTTCTAATTATAATAAAGTAATATTATAGAAAGATATTTGTGAAATAACTACTTCGTGTTTATCACTAGAATATTATAAAATAGTAATTTATATGATAAAATAACAGATTATATTATGGATTTGGTAATAATAAATGGCGCAAAAAAACCTAAGGGTTTTGTGCAGGCTAGAGAAAAATGTAACTTTTGGGATCTCCATAATAGTTTTTAATAATTAAAAATGACTAGTTATGTAGGAGATAACTATGAACTTCCTTTATTTATGCATATCTTGGACTTTATTGTACCTATTCGAGAATTATTCAATGTGACGAAGATTGCAATGCTAAGTGTGAGATCTCATGTAATACTACTTACAGCCAAACACTGGTTCCTCTTATCTTGTGTATTGTTTATTGTTTGTTTTGGAATAATTTTTGGACTTTTTTATATACAAAGTAACCATGAATATAGTATTCTCAGACATATTAAACTAAAGCATCACTGGATATTATATGAAACTTCTAGTCATCCAAGGTATTGTACATACTGCTGTGGAATGATTAGAAGGCAGTTTCTATGGATGGAAAGATATAGAGGATGGGAATGTTGTATTTGCAAAAGAATATCTCATACTCACTGTTTAATGGCTTCAGATTCTAGTTTTTGTAAGGAGACAAGTACATTAGATAAAAAATACTTAACTATAGATAATTTAACATCTAACAATGATGATGACTTAACAGCTGAAGAAGAAGATAATTTAAGTGGTAATAATTCAAATCTTATAGAAGATGATAAAGAATCTTTAGATCTATTGCATACTTTAATTCCAGGGAATTTACAATCAGGGGCATTATGCTCGGTATGTAGAACTGTTTGTTTTTCTCCTTTTGGATTATTTGGTAAAAGATGTATTTGGTGTAATAGAACATTTCACGATGACTGTATAATATTATGTGGTATTGATGAAAATGTATGCGATCTTGGGAGACTAAAATCAATAATACTAGCTCCTAATTCATTTCATATTGAAATGAGAAGATTTCCAAAGATCCACAGCCAGTCAAGTAGTCCAAGGTCAAAGTTAGATATTAGAAATAGAAATACTTCAAAAACTTGTGTACCTAGTCCAAGAGATGAAGTCAAGGGTTTAAAAGTTAAAATTAAGGATTATACTTCGGATAAGAATTTATCTAAACACACTCAGCGTAGAAGGATATCAGATTTAATTCAAATATTTCCTCAATTCAATATATATGAAAGAAAAATGGTTCTTAATGATAGATTTTTTCATAGACCGATAGGCAAACCATTGTTAGTCTTTGTAAATACCAAATCTGGAGGTCATGTTGGAATACAGCTTATTCGGGATTTATACTTATATTTAAATCCTTTGCAGATAGTAGATTTACTACAATCTAAAGGACCTGATGAGGCACTAAATATGTTTAAGCCTTTAGCTCAACTTAATAGACTTTTAATTTTGGTTTGTGGTGGAGATGGGACAGTTCGATGGATATTAGACCGTTGTCGTGTAATTTATGGTAGTGAGGTGGATATGTTACCTCCTGTTGCAATTCTTCCATTGGGAACTGGAAACGACTTGAGCCGTATTTTAGGTTGGGGAGTAAGTTTTGATGGAAATATTTTACAAGTACTGAAGAAAATTTGTATAGCAACTGTTAAAAATTTGGATGTATGGACTTGTTCAGCATGGGATATTGTAAAAAGTGATAATGAAGTTGATCCTTTTAAATGTACAGAATATAAAACAGACCCAAATAAAATTGAAAAAAATATGCTAGATATGACAAATTCAAGGCTTTTGTACTCTTCTACTTTTTTTAATTATTTGGATATAGGAATTGCAGCTAGAATTGCTTTGAAATTCCACAATTTAAGGGAGAAATATCCTCAACATTTTAGGAGTAGACTTGGAAATCAACTAGTTTACGGTGAGGTTGGATTGAGAGACTTTTTGGCAGATAAAAATATTCAATTAAATGGAATTAAAATATGGTGTGATGGAAATCCTGTATGTATTGCTGATGAGATAAACTCTACTTATACAAACTCTAACGATCTTTCTCAATTCAATTCTTCCAAATCCCTTTCTCCTATATGTCTTAATACTCAAAATTTATCAAAATTAAAATATTTTGGTTTTTCCCCAGAAAAATGGACAATAATGAAAATTATTTTTTTATTTTTGGAACCATCTTGTACATTCAAGTTGATAAAGAATACTTTTTCCAAGTTTTTAGGTTACAAAGTTCCTTTAATTATTAATGAAAATAATATGTCAAATAATAATGAACAATTAGTATATGGCAGTTCTCCAAAAGACTTTAAATTAGAGGGCCTTATTATATGCAATATTCCCAGCTTTGCAGGGGGTATAAAATTATGGAAACTGCCAAAAGAATATGGAATACTTAAAGATTATCAAGAAGCAAAAATTAGGAAACCTCTTAGGAGAACTGTTACATCTATTGGAAATAAGCTTAATAATACCATTTATGATCGTTCATTATCTTTATCTATTGAAAAATTAAGTAACTTTGTAGATCTAGATGACTTAGATGATGATCCAATGCAAGATAACAACTTTTCTTCAAGCAGTGATCCTGAACCTTTTCCAAATGAACGGTATGCAACAGTGGATACTTTTAAAAGATGGTTTGGTTCTATATTTAAAGGTAATAGTAATATAAATACATCTAGAATATCTAAATCACTTGAATACAATAGTTATCCATTTCCTTTATCAGTTAGCAGTAGCTCTCAAGACAATAGTACTGATCAGAAAAGTAGCTTTAAACATCAGAAAATTGATGATGGGCTTATTGAGGTTTGTGGAGTTAGATCAATACTACACTTAACTCAACTGCAAGTTGGTCTTGCAGAGCCTATAAAACTATGTCAAGGAAAACAGATAGTTGTTGAGATTCCTAGACCCGTTCCTTTCCAAGTTGATGGAGAACCAAGAATTATTGAGAAGTGTCGTTTGGTAGTTGAATATTCAGGACTCACACCTGTTTTATGCCCTGAACATTCCGAAAAAGCAATAACTCTTCCTATAAGAAACGCCTTAGATTTGGCAGTTGATAAGCAAGTGATTACAGATGAACAAAAACGTTGGATAACACGGCAGATTGTACGTGAAAGTAAAATTCTTATTTCCTAATATAAATTGCAAAAATACAATATAGCAGATATAATAAATAAATTAGGTAGGTTTATTAACTTTCTGTATAAAATAAAATAGAATTTAAATATCACTTTATTAATTTCATGTGAGAGTTAGTATATAAAATTTTGGGTTATATAGAAATCTGATTTTAAATATGGCTAAATAATACCCAACAAGATGAGTACTGAAGTAAAATCCCAGTAAATTTACAATGCAATAAATTAAAAGTAATAATTGCTAATAAGTGTATATTTAGTCAGTAGTTTCAAGATTTGTCTCTACATAATAAGTAACATTAAAGTGCAAGTTTTATAATCTCAAGTTTATATTCTCATGTATTCTATCTATAATTTTCATTCTATAAATATACAAAATACATATCTAATTTTATTATATTAAATAATAAATCTCTTTATTACTGTTCTTATACCTACTTTTAAGGATAGATCCATATTTTATTTCAAAAGTAGTTATACCGGTATTATATAATTTAGGGTTCAAAGTACTTCTTTGCCAAGTAAGTCTCAGATACTGTAGATTTAGTTATTAATTAGTAAACTTTCAATAGATTCTATTTCATTCTAATTAATCAGTTGGAGACTTAGTAGTTCCTCCTAAGGGAGATGTTGGTGAATATTCAGCTTCTTCAGCAGCCATATTTGTGCTGGTATATGATGGTGAAGTCGGATGATATGCAGCAACTGATTGATCATAATGAGGTGAAGATGGTGAGTATTGGGGTGAATCAATATTTCCATTTGACAAAACATAGTTAGGTGAAGAAGGGGAATAATTTGGAGATGTAGGATTATACTGAGGAGAAGATGGAGAGTAGTTTGGGAGTGCAGGATTATACTGAGGAGAAGATGGAGAATAGTTTGGAGATGCTGGATTATAATGAGGAGATGAAGGTGAATAATTAGGAGATGCTGGATTGTAACTTGGTGAGGTTGGTGAATAATGGGGGGAAGAAGGAGAATAATTGGGGGATGTTGGTGAATAATGAGGAGATGTTGGGGAATAATTGGGGGATGTTGGCGAATAATGAGGAGATGTTGGGGAATAATTGGGGGATGTTGGCGAATAATGGGGAGATGTTGGGGAATAATTGGGGGATGTTGGCGAATAATGAGGAGATGTTGGAGAATAATGAGGAGATGTTGGAGAATAATGAGGAGATGTTGGTGAGTAATGAGGAGATGTTGGTGAGTAATTAGGAGATGTTGGTGAATAATTAGGAGATGTTGGTGAATAATTAGGAGATGTTGGTGAATAATTAGGAGATAAAGGCTCCACTCCTGGAGAAGTAGGTGACATGAAAGGACTCGAGCTATCGCCATCTTTATCACCAGAGTATACGGGTGAAGTAGGTGAGTAGGCACTTGTTGCTATATTTGCTTTGTATCGTTTTTTTGTTCTCTCTTCAGTTTCATGTCCATAAGCTGGGCTTCTTACTGCATATATTGGAGATGTCGGTGTATAATCAATTAGTGGAGAAGTGGGACTTGCAGGTGAATAAGGCATGGGACTAAGAATTCCACTAGGTGATACAGGACTCATTGGAGACCTTGGGGTCATTTGAACTGGAGAAAACTGCCCAGATATCATAGGTGACATGGGTTCATGTGTTGAATAGAGAGGTGACATTGGTGAAAGAGGTGACATTGGTGAATCAAATGTCCCACTATTATATCCCTTGTTAGTAGAAAATACTCCAGTTGAAGCCTGAGATATATCTGAAATAAAACCACTCTTTTGGGAATTCCCATGAATATCTAAATGTGTAGCAGTGTCTCTAAGTTTATCAGAGTCTACCAATAAATCGAAACAGGCTGTACCATAAGGTGAAAGTTGCCCAACCATTACATTCTCACTTACTCCATTTAAGTAATCTGTCTCGCCAAACATAGCAGCATCCATGAGTATTTCTACAGTCTCCTCAAAACTGCACTTTTGTAAAGGACCCCTGTCAACTCTATTCATCCCATGTCTTGTAATACTCATTAGGTGACCTTTCTGCGTCATATTGTCGCATAGTAGAGCTAGATGACGATAGTTTACGTAACTTCCATCAAAAGAGATGACAGTCCTCAACTCTTTAAGCAAGGCTCTACGAACAGCCTCAATTCCCAAAACACTGAATACCTCAGTAATATCATTAGATATAGTTCTAGTGCTATCTATTGCCTCATGACATAATACAGCTTCTAAATTGCATCCATCAGTATCAAGAACCCACTGGTTATCTCTAACTATCTTTTGACTTAGTATATCATATCTAGTTACTTGCTCTTCTTTCATATATACTTTCTTAATATTAGATATCCCACGCAATGTTATTTGTGAAAGGCATTCTGTCATCAGTTTTTCAAGGAACTTATGCTCCTCTACCACGGGAGGAGTAGGAGGTTGATAATGTCCGTCATCTATTTGGAATTCAGAGTTCATAACAGTATCTTGAGTTCCAGAATTAGTAGGTTCAAGATTTTTAATTCTTAAGCGTAAAACCAATTCATCTGAATTGTCATCTGTCCATATACAGTCTAATTCATCATTACTAAATTCCATTAAAATCTTATCTCCTATTTCCTTCATAGAAAGTTTTTTATCAGTTACAAGTTTGCTATTTAACTGTATCCTGAGTAGCCAAGTACCTAATCGGCTTTTTATATCAACATCATCTGGAAATTCATAGTAATCACTAACCCATTGTTTATCTGCCTCTACAATAGTTTCATCAAATTTAGGATCATAAAGAATATGGGCCATAGTTGTAATATTTTCCAAAGTAGTGTGCTCCAAAAGTGTTAATACATCCTTAGCATGTTCTTGATCATTAGCAATACTATTTTCAAGATAAATAGTTAGAGTAGGAGTACGTACATTTTTAGCAACATTTATAAGCTCTCTTAGTCTCGGGACACCCAATGTTACATTTTTCGAGCCTACACCAGCAAAGTGAAAAGTATTAAGAGTCATCTGTGTTGCAGGTTCTCCAATAGATTGAGCTGCTATTGTTCCAACCATTTCTCCGGAATGTGCTAAACTTCGATAAAATTGATGTTGAATTTCACCTATAACCCATTCAAAAGCAGTAGGACCCAGTCTATCAATTTCTAAAATCTTCTTACTAGCTAAAGCACTTCTAATATGAATTCCTAAAAGAGTAGTAGCATTCTTTTGAACTTCAGCTATAATGTTATCAAATGTTGGAGGTAACTTAGGATTATCCAAGTTGTCTTTTGTAGACATATTCTTCCATAAGAGTAACTTATCCAATAATCCTTCTACTTGCTTAATTATAGTTACAGGTCCCCATTCAAATCTGCCAGAATCATCATCAACATTATACCTTGGAAATTTTTGTTGAGCCATTTGTATAATTCTTCCAATATTTATTGGTAGATGTTGCCTGGTTTCACCATCTGGAAAAATATCTTGTCCTAGTAGTTCTCTATCTAAAACGAGTTGCTTATATTCTGTGTTAAGTATATTCTGAGACTCAAGATCAAACTGTAAATTCTTTATTGTATTTGAAGACACTCCTTGCCAGTTAGAGCCCCAACGGGGGTGTTCCATATTGTGCCTGTACTTATGTTGAAATACAGAAGGGTCCATTTGTAATAGCTCTATTACCTGGTCCTCAATAAATTCTCCTGCCATACCATCTTCTCCATATAAAAATTGAATGATATCACCACAGCAATTTCGAACTGTACGATCATACTGAACCATACAATCTTCCATAGCTTTAATAAGTCTCCTCTGAATATAACCAGTCTCAGATGTCTTACAAGCTGTATCAATAATACCCTCTCTACCTCCCATAGCATGAAAGAATACTTCCTGAGGTGTCAAACCAGATAAATAAGAGTTAGATACAAATCCTCTACTTTCTGGGCCATAGTCATATTTGAGGAAATGAGGTAAACTCCTGTCCCTAAAACCAAAAGGAATTCGTTTGCCCTCTACATTTTGCTGACCCACACAGGCCATAATCTGAGATATATTAATAGTAGAACCTTTACTTCCACATTGTACCATGGCAATCATATTATTTTTAGATGGATCCAAATTCTCAGTTGCAATTATTCCTGACATTTCACGAGCACTGTTAAGTTCTTGATTGACCTGAGCTTCAAAAGATTCAACCAAACTTTTACCAGGTTGACAGTCTAACTGACCTTTTTGAGCCCTTCTAATTATCTGCTGTACATGGAGTTTGGAATTTTCCAGGGATGTCATAATCTTCTCTAAAGTAAAGTTTAAGGGTTGGATATCTTGACATCCAACAGTGAAACCATGTTCTAGAAGCCAAGTATTTACAACCATTTGAGTATAAGTTAAGAAAAGTCCCGTCTTTTCAGGCCCTATCTCATTCCACAAAATATGAATTAGTGATCCAGAGGAAGATCCAGCAATCTTCTTAGTTATAATACCGCAGATATGTTCTCCTTGTTGGATGAGAACCTGATTATCATATTCCGAAATCCAAGGATTATTTATAATGGTTTCTTTGGCTTCATCTTTGTTCTCGCTCTTGTTTCCAGAAGTATTTGATGATCTAATATTAACAATACTACCATCCCTCATTAAATTTAGTTCTATTGGTTCTCCTAAGTCTGTAGTAAAAGTTAAGAGTACGGTGATGATTTGCTTACCAGTCCATAGTGGTTGAGGCCTTAAAATTGCAGGTGGAGGAATAATACCATTCCAGTATGGAATACAGAGCAATAACTGCAAAAATCTATCTTTTGTTAAAAATGTAGACTTTCTAGTTAATAGAAAAAGTCCCAATAAAGAATCCTGAACTATACCGATGACTGGTCGATTTCCTTGAGGAGAAACAATTTGTTTGGGAACCATCATTAGATGCTTAATTTCAGAACGCGTCTCATAGGATTGAGCTAAATGCAAGTTCATCTCATCACCATCGAAATCTGCATTATAAGGTGATGTAACTGAAAGATTTAATCTAAAGGTTGAATATGGCAAGATCTTCACCCTATGCCCCATAATACTCATCTTATGTAAACTTGGTTGTCTATTAAATAAAACCAAGTCATCATTTTTCATATGACGTTCAACTTTCCAACCATATTGTAAAACACAATTTGCATTATTATTGCTTCTGTTGCAGAATCGTAAGTCTATTTTTGTCCCATCATCTTGAACAATACTTGTTGCTCCTGGCCATTCATATGGCCCTCTTTCAACTAATTCCTTCAGCTCTTCAATGTTGTAAGGAGTTACAATTTCGGGATATGTCAATGTCATAGCTATTGAATATGGGACTCCTACCTGATCCACAGATAAGTTTGGATCTCCAGTAATAACAGTTCTAGCAGAAAAATCCACCCTTTTACCCATCAGATTACCTCTAATTCTACCATCTTTTCCTTTTAGCCTAGCTCTAAGAGATTTTATAGGTCTATTACTTCGTGTCCTAGATTGAGGTAAACCTGGTAGATCGTTGTTTACGAGAGTTACCAGATGGTATTGTAATACTGCAATCATTTCATTTAAAATATGATCTGGAGATCCTAGCCTAATTTGTCTTTTCAAATTCTCATTAAGCTTCACGATTTGCTGTAATTTGAGAGTCAAGTCATCTTCACTTCTATCACTTCCAAACTGCACGTAGGGTCGTACTGCTGGTGGAGGAATAGGTAGTATAGTAGTAACAAACCAGCATGGATTACAACGTTTTGGATCAAACCCAAGTAACTTCATATCTTCATCTGTTATCCTCTTAAATATATTTAAGACTTCTTCGGCGCTGAGCATTCTGCGAGAGTCAGTAGATTCATCATCCATATTGCGACTTTCTTCGTGTTGTCTAATGTACAAATTATATCCATCCTTGGATATCTGTGGTTGAACAAATCCACATCCAGAACCATCACTAGATATGACACATCTTGAATATGTTTTACTAATTTCTACAAGCCTCTGGAGTCGCAAGTGAGGATTTCGTGTCTTCTGTATAACCTTGAATTTAGGATCCATAGGATCTATAAATAATTTGGAACACGCAAAACATACACAGCGCAGAATCTTCAATACTACACTTACAAAGCCAATATGAAACATTGGTTTGCCCAGTTCTATGTGAGCAAAGTGACCTGGGCACGTTTTTATATCCATATGGCATGTCTCACACAAAACGTGATAATCAATAGTTCCCATCAAAGGATCATTTAGACCCCCAGATTTAGGTTTCCCATTCTCATATAAATCTGATATAGTTACCTCCAAAACTGAATAGCGACGGATCAAATCAGGAGATAGTACTCCAAATTCTATACTGTATATTTTTTTCAGTTCCTTATTACTGAATGGATTGTTCAACTCCAAAGCAGTCGACATTTTCAGTACGAGAACATGCAGAATATACCAGTTATTTTATCATAAACAGTCTGTCCGATCTCTCCGTATTTAAGGCTTCCTTGTTAAATAAGTTTTGTTATTAGTGGGTACGCTTCACGTCTAGCCTTGCCACTTTCAGCGCCAGGTACCCACTTAAAATCTTATCAATACTGCATCTAGTAAGTATTCATAAGATTATCTATGTAAATTACAAATTTACATAGTATATATACTATATATATATATAATAAAAAAGCTGATATCTGGTCACATATATTTACAATTTAATGAAAGAGTATAACGACTGAAATATTAAAATTCTAATTTACTAATTGGGAAGTTAAAGTGTAGAAATTTGCATTGAGTCTGCTTAAACTAAAAGCTCATAATAAATGCAAGCTATGAAATATAACTAGTTTAACTGGGTTATAAACATAACTTAAAAAAGTGTGATGATATATATAATAATAGATCAGATTTATAGATAATAAACTTCATTATCTACTGAATCCAATTTACTATGTTCTCGCCAAAATAGTTTGTATCTGTAGTACTTCATGCTAATAAACTTCCTTAGAATATCTCTTAATAACGAAACAATGTCACCTTCCATTTATTTCCAAGTTCCTCCATGTTTATTGGTTTTAGCTTGCTTGCTTCACATCTTCATCAATTTTTCTCTGGGCAAGTAGTTGTTGTCTACGCAGTAAGGTAGCATTACGTTTAAGTTCTAATTGTGACAAAGATAAGCTAGATACATTATGTTTCTCATTATTTTTTAAATAGTTAAAATTTGTTCCATCTATACTATTATTTTTATCTTGAATAAGCAAGCTAGAATACTCATGTTCATTATCAAAATCTAATTCTTGGTTCTTAAATTGTTTACTACTTGTTTCTATATTTAATCCATCTAATTTTGTCTCTACTTCTGACTGCTCTTGGTTATTGTATGGAAGATTCTTACTCTGCTTGTACTTATATATAAGCTCTAATCTATAATCCTGCATATCACCACTTAGAGAAGCTTTTTCTACTAGTTTGGCAAAGTCATCCAAACATAAGTTGAAAGGATATACAGAGAAACTCCATTGTTCAAATATCTTAAGTAAGTGCTGTAGACTATTCAGTTCATGATATTCATCGTAAATTTGCGGGTAATATTTAAAGTTTAAAAAGGTACTTGAAAATAAAGAAAATAGTATGTCTTGATCACTTTCTGGACAGAAAAATAATCTTTCAATCTTTGGCCTTTTACATCTATTTATACTCAAATTATTTTCACTTTTTATGTCCCCTAAAACTTCTTTAATTAAGTCATCTTTTGAATCACTTAATTTATGAGGCTCCTCTGAATCAAAGTTCCCAGTGTAATATTCATTGTCATTGTCATTATCACTCCCAAAAATATAATCACATTCCTCATCGTCAAATAATCCAACTATATCTTTGGAGTGTCTGGAATTCCCTTTCATATTGTATTAGGCATGCATAATATTAAGAGTAAATAATATTTACTTTCTTTAAAATAAGCGGTAAAAATAAGCGCGTGGGCTCGTTTATATGCACTTATGCATGTATTGTTTCTATTTTAGCTCTGCAAAACTGAAGAAATATGCTTCATATTTATACTCTCATGTAATGTTGACGGTAATCTAGCATTATTATGAAGAAAAAAGTACTGGTAATATCTTTGCAAAAGTGGATTCTTTGGGTCAGTAAAGAAATTTAAAAAAATATTTTGCAAATTTAAGTGGTTTTCTTGATCCTTTATTCTAACTTTAACGATTGTCATTACAAAACTTGGATTTAACCTATATAGGTTGATCAGTATTCTAAAACCTACAATTTTCCAGTTATCAGACAGATAAATAGATAAAGAATCTAGAGCCACAGATAAAAGTGTGTAAAGTATATTAAAAGATACTGTAAGAGGTATATTTGAGTGATGATAATTAAAAGTAATAATTTGCAACAATTCCATAGTAGAAATACCCAGCTTATATAGTGGAATGTTTTGAATAGCATCCTTATCATCCAAAAAATATGTTTTGCCTCTATTATGAAGAATATTTTTAATGAAATTCAAAATATGAATAAGGAGATGTTCTTCTACTCTTTTAGTAACAAAACTACCACCAAATAAAATTAAACGTTTGATAATTGCATTAACTAATAATAATTCACGAAGTTTGATTGATAATGTTTCATTATATTCTTTTGAAGTATAGAAACCAGATGATGCTAAAGATATCCAAGGTGCTATGATGTATGACCATACCTCATGTATACAAGGGAGCAAGCTTTTAGTATTTGATGAAAGAATAATCAGGGAATGTAGTATAGTATACAATGAATAATATTGCCTTCGGTTAATATAATGTTTATCAAAATTTGTATTTGTTGCATCGTAGCGTATTTGTAAAAGAATCATCTGAGCTATATTTCTATAAGCCTCATATTTATTATTTTGGTCTTCATTTAAAAATCCATAGTAGTTATTACTTATTGGATTTTCTTCTTTGGATGGTGGAGATATGTATTTATGATTGTCACCTCTGGTTATATATATATTTTCGAGTTTACTTTGCAAATACAGTAAATTGGAGGTTTTGAAAGTATTTAATATATCATCTGATATATCAGAAGAAATTAAATTAGGTTTTGTTTGATTACTAAGTTGATTATCGAATTGACTACTTAATAATGATATTACTATATCATAATTTACAGAAGTAAGGGATTTTTGGAGATATTTACTTTCATGAGCTAGTGAATTGTTAATATCATCAAAAAAAACTCGAAATTTATGCTCACAACTATTAGTCCATAATTCAAAGGAAATTTTTCTATCATTGTGTATCTTCATTGAAAGAACTTGAGAAATCAATGCAAAACAGTGATAGACCCAAACATTCTTTGTAAATGTTGATTCGCACATTTCCAAGATTATATCATCTATTTGTAAAACAAAATCTACGCTACAGTGTGAAAGTACAACAAGGAATAATTGACTAGTTTCTTCTTTAAATTCTTCTTTTAAAATTAAATGAAGTGAATCTACTATAATATCACAATAACTTTCCAATATAATGCAAATAGTTGAAGTATTTTCTTTATATATATCCAATCCAGTAGCTAATTTATTCAATGCATCTAAAGCACATAGACTCTCGACATAATATTTGCTACCATAGTTTTGCAATAGTGGTACAATGACTTTAATCGCTATATTGCGAATATCTTTACGAAAAGTATCCAACTTATTTGAAAGTTGTATTACACATCCAATTATTAATAAACATAATGATTTTTTTAATTGGGTAAGTTCCCTTGTTTTGGAACAATTAATAGAAATATTATTATTCTTAAGTATATCTAAAATTTCATCTAGCCAAGTATAAAGTATTATAGATAATTGTTTCTCATCTTTATGATAATTAGTACTAAGTGAGTTGCAATAATCCAATTTATTTAGTATATTATCCAAAAATTTGTAGATAGATGCCAATATTATGCATGTAGATTCTAACTTATTCCCTATTTTCGAATTCTTTGATAGTTTATCAATTAAAGTATTAATGAAATCCATCTCTATTATTTCATTGCTCGTATAAAGCAACAAATGGGTAGAAATATTCCATAAAAGTGTAGCTTGAGATTTTGAATCTTGAATGTCCCTAGTTGTATCTCCAACTGGGCTGATTATACTAAAATAAGCTAAAATAGTATCCAAGATTCCACTTATGTCAATATCCCTAGATAAATTTAGATAATTAATTTCTCCAAATTTATTTTTATTAAGATTCTTATCGCTCAAAAACATATCAGAAAATCCTAGAAGCTCAAATTCACCATAGTCGATTAAAAAATTTTCATCTAGTACAATTGTAGACGAAAATGTTGATAGTAAAACTTTTCTATTATCCATTAGCAACTTTTTGGTTGAGTTATTTTGGGTATATTCTTGATAAGAAATTATAAAAAGTCTTTGTATAATCAGAAGTAAATTATCATCATAGAATATAGTTGTAGGACCTATACCAAGTTTTTCATTTTTTAGTGATATTATACCTAGTGTTTTAGTTATTTCCAAAGATAAATTTCCCAAAGAAGCTTCTTTAGAGTTACCTAGTTGTATACATTCTCTATAGTAGGAATTTAAGAAATTATGTAGATCAGTATATAAATCTGTTGAAAGATAATTTTGTAAATATACTGATTGAGTAGTATTTGAAAAAAATTCCAGTTGATCCTTAAAGTAAGAATCTGCTGCATCTCTAGTGTCTCTATCTCTATCAAGAGTAGCTGATATTAAGAAATTCATACATAACTTTAGTGTTGACTCAGAATATTCTTTAAATGCATTGAATGCACTTGTTAAGCAGCAATTAGCTAAATTTATAAATGCAATACGTACATTAGGTGGATAAAGTGTTAGTTCGTAATTACAACAAATATTCTGTGAGGAGTTTACATTAATATCCAAAGTATTCCTAAGTATAATTGAACGTAATATAATTCCTGTATTAATTGTAGCTTGTTTAAGCCACTTTTCATCTTCTATATATTTACTCATATCTCCATTTATTGGTGTAAAATTTGTTGATCTTATACTAATTAAAGTCCATTCAATCCATTGTTTCAAACAATAAATAAGTTGACTCATTATCTCTTCTGAGTAAAAATTAATTTTTTCCTTTAATATTTCTATTCCAAATGCCTGAACAGTACCAGGGAATACTTCGTATAAAATCTTACTATTATTCACTAATCTTGGAATATCAAATAGTATATTAAGAGCTAATAATCTTAAATGCTTGTTAGTTGAAGATTTAAGATATGTTGAATCCTTTAGCCTATAATTTGGGGCTGATATTGCAACTAAATTATGAACAATTATTGGAATTACAATTTGAGGAGTTACTTTATTTGATTCATCTGGTATCCATGCATTCCAAAATAATAAAAAATTTATATGTAGAATTCTTAAACATCCAGCTATTACTCTTTCATTTTTAGCAAATTCCTTTTTCTGTAAAACCACTAATATTGGGTTTAGTATATCAAAAAAAATAGTAGTTAAGCGATTACTTGAAATTTTACTAGACTCATCTTGAATCTTCAACATTATTATTTCTAGACAATCTATAAGTTTTTCAGTAGCTGTGCATACAATCTCTAATGAATATTTATTTTCCCTAGTCTTGTTTACTTTCTCAGTTTCTGATATGCTAGATACTGGTTCCAATCTCTTGATATTTAAATGAATAACTGTAATTATAGGAATAACTATATAATCAAAACATAAAACTATACCTTTTCCACTACATGCTGAAATAGATTCTTCCACTTTAGTCACTTTATCTAAGTAATATGAAGACTCTAAATTTAAAATATCAGATATTGGTTGTTTAACTAGTCTTATGGTTCTTCGTACTAAATCCTCATCTAAACCTTTAGTACTTCTCTCTACCATAGTATATATGTATCAATTCTCCTTATATTTGTAATGCCGTCTTCCTTACATCTAAGTAAATACAATGCAGATAAGTCTTTTATTTACAAATAATTATGGCGCTATCTATCGTTACTATTTTTCCTCTGCAATATTATATTTACTAACGGTCCTTATTTTAGGCATATATTAATTGGTATTGTTTCAAAGCTAATAATTTACTGTTATTATACAGCTTCCTAAAACAAGGGTGTAGTTGAAAAGTATAACTTATGCATATTTTTTTGTCCTCTGTGATCAAAAGTGCCAATTAACATGTATTTCATTATATATGTATATATATACCATTAGAACTATACTGATAAAAGTGATTTTCTACATTATAATAATACTAGTCCTAATTAGCTTCTTAGAAAGAAAAAAAGCCCAAACTACTTCTAGCGCCATATTGTAGATAAGAAAGTGGGGAAGTGGCATGCACTTCTGGACTTTTTCATTGAAATTCAATACTTTTGTAAATAGAGTATTTGTCATTATGTATGGTAAATATGTGGATAAAATTGGACTTAAATCTTCTGTTGTGAATCATGGAAGTCCGGGATTAAGCTATGAAAGCTATCAGGAGATAATTGAGAATTTGGAAAAAGAACAGAAGCTTGTCTCAAACAAAATAGAAGAACTTGAAAATAACTCTAAGCAATTAAGTGAAGAGTGTTCTATCTTAAATAAAAAGACTGAATTAGTAAGAGAAAAAGAGAAGGAAGATAATGAAACTTTGATTAAGATTATGGAAGAGAGTGAAGAATCAGAAAGACTCTATGAAAATCTACAAGTGGAACTTAAAAATAAGATTAACGAACTGGAAACAAGGATCGAACAGTTATCCAATGATTTGGAGTATGAGAAGTCAGTAGGCGACAATTTGAAGTCTCAATGTAAAGATCTGGAGTCTATTAAACTGAATACTCAAGCGAACCTTAATATATTAACTGAGAAGCTGAAGATAAAATATTGGGCAAATAGCGCAAGACTTTCTTTAGCACAGCAAATAGAATTGGCAAATCAAGAGATACTATCTTGGAAATATAGATTACAGAGATGTGCTGCTAACATAAATAATGAAAGGAAGAAACTGTTTAATATGGTACAAGAAATAAGAGGTAATATTCGGGTATTTTGTAGAATAAGACCATTATTACCATCTGAAAACAAAGATTCTTGCATACAATATGATATATCTGAAGATGACTCAACAATAACAATAAAAAATAATGGTAACCGTGGTTCTAGTATATCAGCATTTTCATTTGATCGTATATTCCTTCCTAAGTGCTCACAACAAGATGTATTTGAAGAAGTATCACAACTCATTCAATCAGCTTTAGATGGATATAATGTCTGTATATTCTCATATGGACAAACTGGCAGTGGAAAGACACATACAATGTTAGGTACACCTAAAGATGAAGATATTGGAATGATTCCAAGAGCATTGAATTTAATTTTTTCAACAATTAAGGATATGAAAACTAAAGGGTGGAATTATAGGAGTGAGCTAAGTGCAATGGAAGTTTACAATGAAAATGTTCGTGATCTTTTACAGGAAAGTAAGGGTAAACAGGCTCCAGAATTGCGATTGGATCAGAAAGGTGGCATATCTATAACTGGTCTATATATAAAAGAAGTAACAAATGCAGAACAAGTAAATAAGATGTTGAGCATAGCACAAGGAAATAGGGCAGCTGCTTCAACTGACAGTAACGAGAGAAGTTCAAGATCACATAGCATTATCCAATTAAAATTAATAGGGGAATTTACTTCACCTACTCAGAGTGAAAATGAAAATGAGAATTTCCTATACTCAGGTCAGAAAACTAATTATAAAGTAACATCGACACTATCACTTGTAGATTTAGCTGGATCAGAGAGAGTAAATAAGAGTAATGTTACTGGAGATAGACTAAAGGAGACACAATATATTAATAGGTCTTTAAGCTCATTAAGGGATGTCATTTTAGCTATAGCCCTAAAAAAAGATCATATACCATATAGAAATAGCAAGTTAACAATGTTACTAAAAGATTCATTGGGTGGTAATAGTAAAACGGCGATGTTTGTTCATATTTCACCGGTATTATCTTCATATAGTGAATCTTTAAGCTCACTTAGATTTGCTACAACTGTTCAAACATGTGAAATAAATTGCCCAAAACGCCAACATATACAAAATCAAGATAGCTAATATCTGAATTATACTATATATACAAATATAAATGTCTTTGATAAAATAAAATTTAATGACATTGAGTAGATATAGTTTACTACTTCTGGGATATTATAAAATCAAGAAGATTTAATAATAGTAATATGGAATCTACCAAGTAACTGATAAAATAAATAAACAGTGACATTGGATAAGTATTTATAATATTGACATTACTTAAGAACTGTTATTTAATTTATCTAATTTCCAATTGATAATAATACCCAGATTTCATGCTTTTTGTGGTACATAAACGTCATTAAAATCCATCGCGCTCAGTAGACAAAAATTTTCCGCTCGTGGGTGGCGTCATCAAATTTGCTATTTCCAGTGTAGGTGACAATTTACAAAGGAGAGTTAGCAGCCACAATTAAACTTTAGTACTGCCATACAGGTTGTTTTAAATTTTGATGTTCCGGTCAGGTCCATATGATCGTAATTATGAATCTAGAGGAGGTCCATATCCGCATTCTGTTACATATCCTCCATCTCATATACATTCTAGTTTAGACAGTTATAGTAACTCTAGTAATGGGTATCGTGCTCATCCTGGTTCACTCGATGATCCTACTGCAGAGGCATATGTATCAAGGACATTATATCTGTGTAAACTGCCGTATGATATGACAGAAGAGGCAGTTCGCGAATTATGTGAACCTTTTGGTGACTTAAAGAAAGTAGCAGTATATCCTCAAAAAGGCATAGCTTTTGTCGAATACTTTGATATAAGAAAGGCTGAGGTTGCGAGAAATACACTAAAGAATTCCCAGGTTCAGGGTCGTATCATAGACGTTCAATATTCCAGAGGAAGAGATGATAGACCTTCTAGAGATACAAATACGGGTACATTATATGTTCGACCTGTAGTTAATGACAAAGGTTTTGTAGATCCTAATACAGTTGATGACTACAAACAATTGTTTGGTGCTTACGGAGATGTTAAGAAGGTCAGTAGTAATCGGAAGAGAGAAGCTGAGAAATTTGTTGAATTCTATGATACACGGGGAGCAGAAGCTTCTCAAAAAGCATTGAATGGTTACGATTTCAATGGTGTAGTATTGGAAATTCAGTTTGCCAATACTCATAGTCGTACTATTAATGCTGACTCTAAGGTTATGTCAAAAAATTATCACCCATCGGGTGGACATCAAACACAACAAAATCATGATTGCTATCGTTCACAAGCACTCTCTGGACCAATAAGACAAACCAGATTCACTAGGAATGCGAGCCCTGATATATATGGTGATTCTTTTAGTAGAAGAATTCCACAGCAATCACCTAATGTTCCAGTGTATACTGGAACGAGACCACCACGTCGTTATGATAATATCCGTGTCCCTACTACAGACTATAACAATAATGCAACAACACAACATTATAACGATAATTTGTCATATCAACATACTTCAACAATATCTTCTTATCCCTCACAACCACAAGTGAATAATAATAGTAGTACAGCATCTGGTACACCAGCACTTGCATCACTACTTGCTAAAAATCCAAGTGCAAGTGGCAACTTAGCTGCATCACTCAAGACACTGTTATCAACTCTACAAGGATCTGGCAGTAATACCACTAGTACCACATGTAGTACTGGTGCTAATGATAGCACTGGTAATAGTTGTGAGATTGATACTCAAACCACAATTAGTAGAAATAATTCCACGACTCCTAATAATGGACAAGCAAAAGTTGCTCATAATCCTCCAATCCAAGCACTAAAGCCTACCTTATCATCGATATGTCCGAATAATATGGCTAACTTCGATATTAACACTTCCCCAAACACACCTCAAAATCATTGGTATAAGTAAACAACAATGGTTGTTTATTATTAATTAATTTGTGATATGTATAAAGACGAGTTTTATCTTAACTAAGGGTAAGGAATATATATCTCAGTGATAAATACAGGTTTATTTGGAATTATATAATGAATTGGAATAGAGGTCGGATTCAAAACTATAAGATGACCTCTTATACCAAATATTAAGATTAAATTGACGACATTTCTGAATCGAGAGAACTCAACTCTAGAATTTGACCTTACCCAGTTGAACCCGAATTTTAATTATATTTTCCCTTGTATTTCAACTGTAAAAAAAGTACTGAACTAGGCCCGCTAACATGGGGTTCCTTCTTATAAGAGAAAGTCTCAATATATTTGGATAGTCAATCCCTAAAAAGTAGTAAGGTAACACAGAATTATCTTGAATCACATGTAGAGAATACATAGTCGAGTGATTTCTCAGAGTTATTATAGTCATATTTGGTATTCAAGATGATACTGGAAATATAACTTTTATTTTGTAGTTTAAGTTGCAATTAATGAAAGTCTTCACTACTGCAATGAATATTCCTTATAAATCTTGAAACTTAGGGATTTATAATATTGAATAATAATATGATACTAAATATATGAAGTTACTTAATACTATTGAGATATTCTTCACTCTTCTCTAATAAACGTAATTTTTGGGTGTACACTTTAAAATATAGTTGGATTATCTTGTTGACTTTAATATATTACCAGATAATTATATAATCTCAAAATATAGGGTGAATAGAAAAACTGAAATAATTGGATGTTAGTTATATATATATATATATATATATTTTGAGAGTTTATATACAATTAATATCTTACTATTCCAAAATAATTGCAAGAAAAAGACTCTTTAGGAATTAGTGATAAAGCTTAGTTTATCTACTAACTTAAGTAAATGAAAATATGCTTTAGATATATGAGAAATAAAGAAATTCTAATATATTTTAAGAGCTTACTATAAGCCTTTAATTCACTTGGAAATTAGTGTATAAATATATATATATATACTAAAATATCATATATCAATTCTTAGTTTGAAATTCCGAAATTTTTGACAATTCCTTTATCTTACCGAAGTTAATATATAAAGTCCTATCATTAAATAGATAAAATTAAATTTATTGGAATTATTAATATTCTAAATATGAATAATTTCCTGTTTCTAGAATTCTATAAATTCATTATATTTTTTATTGAAACTGTAATTAACTAAAATTTTTTAGAAAATATACACTTTTGTATTATATAATAGTTTATAATTTCTATTTTGAATGAATTATTATATAATATTTAAAACTTGTGTAATATATATCAATTTTACTAATAATTATTTCCTTAATTGAGATTAAGATTTTTTTTATTACTTTAAAGCAATAATTAATTACTTATTACTGAAATATCAAATATTTATTTATTTAGTTAATTTTTAATAATAAATACTGTGAAACATAATTATTTATAATAATATAACTTCAATATTTTAATGAAAATTGCATCTCAGGTTATTAACTTAATTAGAAAATAAATCACTTAAAATATAAATAAAAATTGAATAAAGTCTTAATTTAGTCAATATTCACTTTTAATAATTTACAATAAATTATTACATAAAATTCCCCATTGAATAGATAATCATCTATAATATTCCAATGTTTCTAATATATTATAAATATATACTTTTTTTGTTACTTAATTTACTTGTTAATATTTATTGTGACTATTATTAACTAAGATTATACAATCTTTTTAAGTTTCAACTTTTAATAATTTCTTTCAAATAAACTTTTAGGCCTCTGTAAATACTACTGAGTATTGTAAAAGAAAAAAAATTATTACATTATCTCTTTTTATAATATAATTAATATTTAATTATTATAAATAATAAAAGTAATAATAGTATCTATATCTACTTCATAATAAAATAATCTTGGTATAGTAATTGGATCTCTACAAACTGTCAAACCATTCCTATAACATTTATCAACAAAATCTTGTAATGTATCTTCACAACGAATAGCATTTATTATCATACAATATGGATTTGCTTTTGAATAATCTACAAGAGGTAAATCCGTCCATATTAAGGAATCACTTTTAATATTAGAAATAGATTTATCATATTTAGGACTTTCAGAATCAAATATATTATTAGAGAAATTGTTCAAAGATAAAGATGGAGGATTACACCCATATAAAATTTTAAACCCAGTACTTAAAAATATTTGGATAGTCTTAACAAGTAAACTATTTAATTTTTTATCATATATTACATCTGATGCCATTATAAGAGGTCTTATACGACTCTTTAATATATTTGCAGCTATCTTTTCATTAAAAGTCTCCCAGTCTAAATATATAGAAGAAAATTTTAAATTGATATCATCTTCTTTTGTATAATTATTTGTAAATGTATTATCAGAAATTTCATTATTAATATTTCCTAAATTCTTATTCAAAATCCCTTCACTTTCATCTTTATTTATCATATTAAATTTTATTTCTGTGTTATATTTATTATCATCTTCATCATTCCATTTATACCATTCCACTTCTTTATTTCTATATATTTGTATATTAGGATCTTCTAAAATCCCATTAATTGAAAAGTTATATTTTAAATTATTAATAATCGTGAAATTATAGTCAGATGTGCAAATACTACGGATAGAACAAAGTTTAGATGCAATAATTGCTGCTACACCAATACCACTCCCTAATTCAATAATATCTTTACCTATCACAGATCTCTCAGGATCATTTATTGTAGATATAAGCCTCTCTGCAAGGAATATCCCTGCATCCCAAGGTCTCATTCCTAATTCATTTGTTTCTTGGTATTTAAAAATAAAACTTAAAACTTTTTCTTTTAAATCATAATTTGGAAGACGATCATATATACTAGAGTAAAATTTAGAATCTAATCCTTTATTTATCATATAATCCTTATTTAGATCTTTATATTTATCTTCTTGTTTTAATTTATTATTCCCTTTATATATTAGAAATTCCAATTTATAATCTATAAATTCCAATATTATATGATTATTTATAGAATTATCTATACTGTATTTAATCAATTCCTTTCCAGAAATAAGTTTTGTAAATACTCCCAATAATTCATTAGATATTTGGTATCTATTATCTTCAATTTTTGAAATCAAAATTTTTATGAGTCTGATTATATATTTTTGAGAAATGGGAAACTTTAGAAATAAATGATAATTTAGAATTTCATCTACAAATAAAATTTGCAGATTTTCAGATTTATGTAGTCCTAATTTTATACAGTTATCAATAACTTTGTCTATAGGATATAAAGCACCAATCTGTGATCTTAATTGTATTATATTGTAAAAATCAACTAACATCCCATTATTACTTTTATATGATATCATCTTAATGTTACTATTAATGTTAATAATAATAAGTTAATAAAATAAAGAAAAAGTAAGAAAGAAGGGAAGAAAAGATCTCCAACAACTTTTTTTTTTTTTTTTTTACTGCGGGATAGTATTACTTTTACTATAATCCAATAAATGTCTTGGTGAACAATGAAATAAAGTCTGGAGTACATAGGCTTGAGCTAAAAGTGCATCAATATCACGCTCTGTCCAATTTTCAGTGGGTAAATTCTGTAAAAATAACATAATATTTGCAAAATCCATAGATCTTAAATTATTTGTCCAATATAATAAAAAAGCTGAGCATACATAAACATGAAAAGCATTAAAATATGATATTGATGTATTGCTATTACTATTAGTTGGCGTTATAGCTATTGATGAAGAAACTGAACCTGACCTATTATATTTATTAATTTTTATTAGTGTATTCTCAGCAATATACGTATCCCATAAACGTACAACACAATTTAAAGGAAATTCTCTCGTTAATAAACAATTCATCCAACGAAAAGCAAATTGAAGAAAATCTACACCCTCATCTTTTAAATGATTATAAAGTACATTATCAATTCTTCTTATTATATCACGTAGATATAATATAAGTTTGTGAATACCTGGTTGTTCAGAGACATAATTTTCTTGTAATGAATCTAATAATCTTGTTAAACACCAATAGATTTCAGCTTCTACTTGTTGAACTTTTTCAGAAGAAATTTCATTTATATTAAATAATTCCATATTTCCATCTGGACAAAAAGGGAGAAAAAATACAATTAAAAAAGGACATAATAAATCATTTATACCTTGAACATAACCACTTGCAGGATTTCTAATTGCCCAAAGAAATAAAACTCTTTCCATTAAGCCTAATATTATATCATTCTTTAAACTTTTATATTCTAGAGATGTACGAGGTAAATCAACTTTAATTTGTCTCAATAATTTTCTTTCTTGTTCAGATAAATTATCACGTTGTATATACTCTTTGACTAATAACTTATATTCAGCAATCTTTTTTTGTTGACAGCTTAAATGTCTATCTCTTCTTGGTGGTAAATATCCAAGCATAATTTGCCAGGCATCCCTACGCATTTCAGGAGGTGCTGATATAGGAACTCCAGACCATAATAAGTTTTGTAATTGTTCTAAATCGATACAATCTTGTCCTAAGACAGATGTAAAACGTTCTAATCTAACAGTACCTACTTTACTTGTTGTCAAGTCAGTAGACATGAACTCATAATAATAAAAAAAAGAGAAAAAGAAAAAAAGAAATCAAATCTTTTGATCAGGAATATAATATAAAGTAACCTCACCACTAGTAGTTAGTAGTTATATAGTTTAAACAGTAAAATTACACAAGCGCAACTTGGCACACAATAATGTCATACCGCATAGACAATTTCTCAATATATTCTATAAATTCGTAATTAATTTAAAATGTTAATAAATAATGGGAAATGAGAAAAAAGTAAGTTTGAATAGAATAATATAAATATACTGTCTCTATAATAAATCTATAATAAATATAAATATATATAGTATAGTGTATTGGGAAAAGAAAGAAAAAACGAGTAACAAATCAAATAATACTCATTTCAAGAAATTTATTTATTATAATTTTGAGACATTTAATTATTTACTACTCTACGATAATGACATTTACAGCATTCATACATAACTGTAGTACCTTCATCTGCTGAACGAGCTTGGAATTGAGTAAAGAATGCTTCATTATGAGAACATTTTGGACAAATTTCCTTAATTTTAGGAGCTTTAGCTTTTTCCATAGCATCTAAAGTTCTTAATATTACATCTGAATCCACTTTTCCTTTTTCTTTAGTATTTTTAAGATTTTTCTTTATATTCTCTTTATTTTGCCACCATTTACCAGTTATATCAAAATTTTGATATTGTCTAAAACCACAGATATAAATTTCTTTATTAGGTTCATATATATCTGAATCTTTTGTAGTTGTAGATTTTTCTAGGAAATCTAAAATAGAATCACTTTCATTAGGTGAATGTAATTTTGTTGCTTTATAATTACATACTTTACATTCTAAATACCCCTCTACTTTTTTATTAGATTTGTCCATTAATAGTTGTTTATGATATTTAGAAATACAATAGGATATATCATATGCAGAACCACAATTTGGACAACCTCTAGTAAGTAATGTATCAAAATTATCTGTTAATCTATAATTATATTGAAATCTTGGGGGTCCAAACTTATTATAACTAGTACTAAGTAATTCTGTAAGGTAATTAAAAAAAACAATATATCGATTATATATATAAATAGTGATACTTTTATACTATAATAACTTTCAAAAGAAACTAACCTCCATTATATATGTACATATCCACTATATCTTGTAACATATTAAGGTCAAGGTTAATAAGTTCCTGTGATGTCTGATTATCTTTAACATTACGTATCTGTCAAAATACTAGATGATTAAAGACAATTATGATAAAGTCTAATTATATTACTTACAATATCGTTTGGGAATTGTAAGAAATCTTTATCAAAGGTATTCATTATATTGATAATATCAGGATGCACAAGAATAACAGGAAAATGCAGTACATTAGACGCGCCTTATAATATTAAAATAATAAAAATAATTTTTGGCGCTCTTTTTTATTGAATATTCCTATTTATGTTAGTATTAAATTATTAACTATAACTATGACTTTTTTTGATTTTATAGTGGGTTATTAAGTGTTATGATTTATTATTAATTTGGATTTAATTAAGTCAATTTTAATATTTATTCTACTTCTTTATTCTTGTTCATAGGTTTAGGCTTTTTTTTTTTTAATTCTTAAGTTAATATATTGAGGTAACTTTCTTATTTAATATTTAAGGATTTAGATAGGAATATAATAAATTCCTAATAGATGATATTACTGATCAATAGTATATGTTTCCACGAAATTAGTTATTTAATAAAGACTAAAGAAACTAGAACAAGATCTTAGTTCTCCGTAATTATAAATTGTCCATTTAATATAAAAAAATATAAACATTTAATATATAATAATTACAAATTAAAATAATATTTATAAAGTTGATTATATAACTAAATAGTAACATTATATAAATATATATATATATATATATATATATATTATATAGTAATTAGATACTCTAATATTAAAATATATAAATAATATTATAAGATATTGTCAAAATATATTGAATTAATAAATTTAAGGTTAATTGCACATTTCTATATAATCTCAGCAATACAATAACCTAATATAGTTGGATATTGGGGATTTTCAACACCAGTTACAAAACCAACTTTGAGCTGTGTTATACTTTTTATTATATCAAATTCAGGATAACCCTTGAAATATACCAAAGTAAAAATTCAAATTAAATAATAAAAATGAATTAATATTATAATCATACCTGTGTTATTAAATTTTGAGGACACCCATTTAATAACTCAGAATATGTTCCACCGAAGTGATTTTGCATAATAGTTGTAACCTCAGATACCTTTTGCTTAGTATTATAACTATTAGCAAAATATCTAATACACGAATTATTTGGAGATATCTTTAATCCACTATAATAACTTGTAATAAATTTGAATGTCCTAAATAACTTCATATTGTTAAAAATATTTTAGGTTAATAATATAAGAGTGTATGCACTTTTAATTATTTACAAAAAAATATTCAAAACCCGCCCATTTTTGGCGCTTAATAAATTTGCTCGCTGTTCAGTATTTGAATTAATAAGCACGTGTCCACTTTAGTTTTCATATTTTTATTATATTATGGCAAGAACAAAACAAACAGCAAGAAAATCAACTGGTGGTAAGGCACCTCGTAAACAATTAGCTTCTAAGGGAGCAAGGAAGTCGGCTCCAGTAACTGGTGGAGTGAAAAAGCCTCGACGTTATCGTCCTGGGACAGTTGCATTGCGTGAGATTCGTCGTTTTCAACGTTCTACTGAATTATTGATTAGAAAACTTCCATTCCAACGTTTAGTTCGTGAGATTGCACAAGATTTTAAGACTGACTTGAGATTTCAGTCACAAGCAGTAATGGCTTTACAGGAAGCTGCTGAAGCTTACTTAGTTGGACTCTTTGAAGATACGAACCTTTGTGCAATTCATGCTCATCGTGTTACTATAATGCCAAAGGATATTCAATTGGCAAGGAGAATAAGAGGTGAAAGATAAGTTACTAATATATTTTCCTTTTAGTAACAAGCTCCATATTTTTCCCTAAACAGTAAAGTGAATAGAAAAAGAAAAAAAAAGTCCAGGTGGTACTAGCCACCATTCTTGAATGATTATAGATAATTTGATTTGGGTAATTAAGATATATTATATTATATAAGTTTATATATTTTCTCCAAATTTAAAGTTAGATATTACTTAAATCTTATTGAAAATAAATTAAAGATAATAAATATTATTCAGCTAAATTACTCTTAATTTAACTCAATTTCTTTGTTCTATTTATTTACTTTTATTTAATTATTAATAAGTTTCTTATCTTAAATAAGTGTCTTTTTTTTTTCTTTTTATCTTTAAGCATTTGTTCTTTATATATAATATAAATATCTTAATAACTTCTATATTATATATTATTTTTTACAAAATAGTTGAAACTTTACAATTTATATTGTTAAAGAAGCTATAATTAAGTATTAAACCTAATTAGCTAATCACTCTATATCTATGATATTTTCTATTGGATATGTATATTTACTTACACAAACAAAAAGATAAAAAGATCCCTAATATCAAATTCTTAATTCCCCATATATTTATTAGTAATCTTTCCAATATATATAGTTTATTTAATATCAATTATACAAAGTATAAAGAATGACTTTTATAAGATAATATTATGTTTATCTCTTATATTAATATTATTAAATTACCCAATTAAGGTTATTCAATAATATATTAATCACAATATTATCTAAATATAATAATTTTCTATGCCATTACAACATCAGATATATCTTGTACTGTAGTGTCTTCTATTAATAAAACTTTTAATTCCTCAATTTTTTCCATTAATTGTGGTGTAGTTCCTTTAGGAAAAACTGTAAGTTTAGGCTGTCGATAAAGTCTTGTAGCTGCAGTAGTATCAAAATATCTAAAATGGTGGACATCTTTAGAAGTAATAATAAGTATATTAACATTACTACCACTATATAAATCATTGTAAATACCGGCTCTAATTGCAGAAGCTACAAGTTCAGTTCCTTCATCTTGATTTAATCCATCACGATATCCTGATTCAAGAACAGTAGTTGCACTTAAAGAACCACTACCCATTGATACATAAGGGTGTTGCATAATACTTCCATAATTAGAAACTTGGTATATATAATTCCCAGTTATATCAGATCCTGCAACAATTAAGTGTGCACCAATATATCCCTGATAAGGGTATAAATGCCTACTAAACATAGAGACAGCATTTGATACTCTTGGTTGACGATTCATTTGTAATCTTAATAGTTCAAGTTTACCCTCAATCATAGATGTAACATGATCCAAATCTGCAGCTGTACCTGCTCCAGCAGCATATATATTATCTGCCAATCTATGAATCTTATCACAATCTTTATCTGCAACAATAGGACCATTAGTAGCCCGAGTATCAGCACCTAATACTACACATTCTTTACATACAACTCCAACAATTGTTGTTCCAGTCTTAACAGCAGGTAATTCTTTAATTCCATCTTTAATTAATTTTTCATTTCTTAGGGAATTATCGAAATTAAATCCAAGTGAAGACTTTTCTTGAAAATATGCTTGCAGAAATGTATCCATCCTTTAAATTGTAAGAAAAGTAGATTATCTTAATAAATTATTAATCTTAAATCCTCTCAAATACTGAAACTTAAAATTCTTGTGGGGGAATTAAAAGAAAAAAAAGTTATAGCGCTAAATATAATTAACCTAAAGGATTTGTAATTGCAACTAGTTTTATATTTAATCTTGTATAGCGCCTTTTCTAAAGATACTTTATAACTCATAGCGCCACAACTATACTTAATATTTGGCAATAATTTTAGTTATTTTTTAAAATTATAATAAAATATAAAATTCACAAACTTAAATAATGTTCAAATCGAATAATATTAAATATATATATTTAATATATTACATTATATAATTACTTTAAATTGACATAATCTTAAATTTAAGATATATTACAATCTATACACATTGAGTGTAATAATTGTAGTAATTGAGAATTAAAATATTGTTCAGACATTAAAGAAAGGTATAATTTACTAGCTTCTTCGAAATATGCACGTAGATGTAATGATATAGCAAGTCCTAGTTTAATTGAAGGACTCGTCTTTAAGTGGTGAACTTTAATATAACGATTTAAACAATTAATTGCTTCATCTAAAATATTATCTTCAGTACAACTAGATGTATATATATAAGACCATACTAATGATAGTCCAAGATTAGCTTGTATTTTGTAATATAAATCTCTTTTAGTAAAATGATCTGTATCACAATTTTGTAAAGCCTGTCTAAAAATAGAAGAAGCCTCAACAAAGTTCTTATTATTAAATAATAAAATTCCATATTCATTTAATACATATGGATCATAAGGAGCTAATTGATAAGATTTTTTTAGAAATTCATAAGCTAAATCAAGTTTTTTATTTCTCATATACTCAATTCCTTGATAAAAAACCCCTAAATAACTCCCCTTCCAATTTTTTTGTAAAGATTCATATATTGCTAATGCTTGATCATAATTATTATCCATTGCTAAAGAATGTCCTAATGCTAAATAAGCTTCAAAAAATCCAGGCTCTTTTTCTATAGTTTTTCTATATAAATGAATTGCTTTTGAGTATAAATTTTGATTAAAATAATAACATCCCATAATAAAAAGTGAAATAGCTGATAATGGAGCTTTTTTATTTACTATCTGTGAAAGTTTTAAAATAGATCCAGTATCTTTACATTCTGTTAAAGCACATGCATAAATTACAATAATTTTGTCTTGAGAAATAAGATTAATAGGATTTAATTGGCTTAATTCATTAATAAGAGTGGATAATTTTCCAATATTCCATAATAGGCATATTCTATGTTCTCTAAAAAAACAAGTATTAAACACATATTGTGGAATATTTCCAAGTATTTCATATAATAATGATTTATTTATTTCTTCAAAATTTATTTCTTTTTTATTAAAAAAAAGATCCTCAAATTTTCTATCCTGATTCCAATGATCATATAAGATTCTAAGAGAAACTATATCTGATATCCAACGAAAATTATTAGGAATATTGACAATCCATTTATTAAATATATTGATTTTTTGTTGTTTTGTTAAAAAATATGTACAAAATATTTTTTTAATTGTTTGTATGTTTAAATAGTCATATTTTAATAAGATATATTCTAGAGTAGTAATAACTTTAGATATCATATTATTTAACTCATAAATACGAGATTGTAAAAGTAATATACGAGTTGTATACTGTTTTAATAGTAATTCTTCTTTATATTCTAAATTTTGTAATATTTCTAAATGTTTAATATACTTCAAAGTTGAATTCAAGGTTTCAGCACATAAAGTATGTTGACCAATATTAAATTCACTATCAGCTTTAAATATTAATAAAGGAATTTTTATCCAAATTTTATTATCTAATTTTTCAATATATTCTTCATTAACAATTCTTAAAACTGCATGATAATCACCTAATTGAAATAAGCACTCACACCATTTAACAGAACATTCATCATGATCAGGATTTATTGAACGTAAGATAGTACAAAATTTTTCACCACGATGCCAATTTCTTAATTCCATAGATCCATTAATTAGTTTTAAGAGATGCCTTGAGTAAGTATATTTTTCTTCACTACTTAAATGACGTTCTAATAGAAAATCATTATTTTCCAATACATTAGACATAGATAAATAATAAAACACTGGTATATAATACTCTGTAATAATACTATAAATCCTATTTTTGACTTTTTATCTTGCAAATATATATTGGATCAAGTAAAATTTTTTTTTTTTAGCGGCTTTATTTGACACAATTAGGCGGTATATCATTGAATACCTTTACCTGTAATTGACCCTATACTAAAAAAAGGGAAATAAATCTTCAATTTAAATTAATGAAGAGTTACGTAGATACTCTCTTATTTAGTCGTCACTGGAATGACCATTTAAATAGGTCAAGTATTTTGAAGGGTAAATTTAGTGCTGCAGAAAGAGAAATGATAAATAAAACAGTAAAGAGTTATATACAATCCCAGGGGTGGAGCTTAGAAGATGGATTAATAAATTTATTTTGTTCCAAAGGTGGTAAAAGAGATAGACATTGGCCAATAATAGGTGAATGTCTTCCTAATCGTTCATTACAATCAATATATTATTGTGCAAAACGTATGATGGGAAGTGGTAAACGAGGGAAATGGACTAAAGAAGAAGAAAATGAACTAGTTGAATTAGTAAGACAATATGGAACGCAATGGAGTAAATTTTCAGAAATCATAGGTAGATCTGCAGCTACTATTAGAGATAAATGGAGAGATTTAGCTCCTAGATTAGAATATCTAACAGATAACAAATTAGATAAAGTTGAAAATATAACTAATAAAGAAGATGATATACAAACAATATTTTCAAAATCTAGATTCCCATTAATTGTAGATGTATTTATGATTTATTGTATTGAATATTATACAGGGAAATTTCTACCTCATAGAGGGATACCTTGGAAAACAATTTTATCTTATTTCAATACTCCTAATTTTCCTATAAAATTTTTAAAATTCTGGAAAAAATGTATTAAATATTTAAAACATAAATATAATATTCGTATAAAAAGTTTTGATGATAATGATCTAAGTTATTATAGTTGTAAATTAAGTGAAGGTCAAATTAGACTTAGATATGTCTCAACCTTATATCCTAAATTATTTTCAATAAATAATGGAGAAGATAATTGTAAATTTGTCAATTTATTTAGTAGAGCAGTCAAATATATATATGAAACACGTGAACATTATACAGAATTGAATGATATTAAGCATATAGATTGGAATAAAGTTTTACCAAGTAAATTTCCATTAACAAATCTTTGGTCAAGGATACGTTTAGCAATTAGACGAACAACTAATAAGAATCAACCAATACAGGATAGGATTATCACTTTATATGAGAAATTACAAAATAAAAAAAGTTTAGATAATGAAATGGAATTACTTGATTTATCACAAAGTACAGTTGAGGATGAGGAAGAATATGAAGAAAATGAGAAAGAACATCATAATGTTGATACAAAAAGGCTTAGAAGAGTTATAACAAAACTTGTTCAATTAACAGAAAAAAATGAAAGGAATAAAGAAAATATTTTTTGTTCAAGTAATTTTAATAATTATAGTTCTTTACAAAAAGTAAGATTAATTAGTGGTAATAAAAGAAGCCGTGATTTTTTAGAAAATCCCGATAGTGGTGAATCTAGAAGTGATCATTTTTAAATATATTTAAGAAAACATACTCAATATATGTCATTTATTATATATATCTGGTATTATTTTTATTTTAATTTAATATATTAATCAGCTATATTAAATATAAAGAAAAGTACATGTTATGAACTTTAGGTATTATATTTATATTTATTTTTTTCCCACTAATATACTATCTAATAGTTTTGTAATATTTATAATAAATTTGATAATAAGTAAGATTCTTACTAATAATAATTTATAATAAGAATTTCTTTACCTTATTTATTTTAAATATTTAAAATAGGGATATACTTTGTATTGAGATCTGAGGTCAAAAACGACCCCGATGGGACTCGAACCCACGACCTTTGGTTCCGAAGACCAACGTCATATCCATTAGACGACGAGGCCCTATCACTTCGAGTTCCCATCAGGATTATATTAAAGACTTTGTGAATAAAATATTAAGGGATATAAGACTTTCTATTGTATTTCTATATAATTTAATAATTGATTATTTAGGATAATGTTGTTATCTTTACAATTATCATAATTTTTATTTGTATCTTTATTTGGTGTTCTTTTCTATTGTAAAAGTATTAACAAATGTTATTATGGTATTGAATTGTCACAATTACAGATATCGTCCCTTAATAACTTTAGTTTTGAATTTGAATGGGACATTAATATATACAACAAAAGTTCGAGTATCTGATTATCAATTTTACTGTAAACATTAATTTAAGCAGATATAGTAAATATTCTACACTATATATATTTAAAAGGCCACATGTTGATATATTTTTATTGAAACTATATCCAATATATGAAATAGTTATATATACAACTAGTAAGAAGGAATATGCAAGTAATATTATGAATTTTACATGTATTGGTAGTTATGTAGATCGTAAATTATGTATAGATTATTGTGAAGCTGTAAATAACAATCAATATATTAAGAATTTAAATATTATGCCTGATTTACCTGAGATATTATTTACTGGTTATTTCTATACTAATACTCCAGATAATATCAATAACTTTATATTTGTAAAAGCTTGGCGTGGTGCACCAGATGAGACAGCTCTCATTGATATACTTCCATTTTTATTTACTTTAAGCTATTGTTAAGGATGTTCAGTCTCTACTTAAATTCCACAATATATATACTAAAGATTTGAATAAGATATTTAGGAAATATTCAAATATATCAATCTCTTCCTCAAGAAAATCACAGAATATCAAACATTTAAGTGGTTATTACCTTTTTATATTTTTAATTCCCTAATTAGTAATGTATTGGAATTTATTAAAAGAGAATTCTATATAACTCGTAGAAAATTCATTTCATAATTTCATAATAAAGTAGAGTAATATCAATCAAGATAAATGTATTACTAATTTTATTATATATATTTAACTAAATTCTAGATAGTGAGGAAATAGGAGGGGGGAAGGTATTTTTACCAGAGCCCTTCTTTTAATGGAGACAAGAAAAAAAAAAAATTAATAATTAATAAAATTGTTACATTGCACCTTAAGTTTGAATAAATAGATATTCTTAAAATGGATGATCCATTAGCTTTACCTAGAAATGAAGATCCCCAAGATTACTACATAGACTCACATGTATTAGCTACTACAGAAAAGAATTTATATCCTATTGAAATGAAAAATAAGTGGGTTATTATTACTGGATTCTCTAGACATCTAATCAGTATAATGAGACCTCATTTAGAAATAGAAATTGGACCAATAGATAAATGGATCAATCATAATTGTGAAAATGAGGTGAGTTCTTATTATGTTTGTTTTAGAAATGAAAAATTAGCACTTAAAGCTTTACAATATAATAAAGAAAAGATTAATGGAATAAATTTAACAGTTACTCCATGCTATGATCATATTTTTAAAAATATTGAAGTTATTTCTGAAAATCAAATACCACCTCCAGAATACTTCCGACATTCAAAAATACCTTTGGAACTTTATTAGTAAAAAGTTAATAGTGGAGATATTTTCTTTATTATTATTATTATTTTTTAATATTATAGAAGTTCTAGCTTTTATAAAATATATTATTAAGATAATCTAATTTATATGTCTAAAAAATAATCTACAAAATTTAGTCAAAAAACAAAATTAATTTAATGAAGTAATTTTAAATATTAAATTAAGTATTGATTAACATATCTGCTAAAATCTTTGAATCTTTCATCAGGGATTTTATTTCAGATTTGAGATATTCTATATTTTCTTCCAATGTATCTATTCTCATCATATCCAAACTTATTAAACTATCAAATGTCTTTTTAAATTCTTCATCATCATAATTGAAATCTAGATTAGTACTAATATCTTCAGAATTTTGCACTTCTTCTTTTATAATATTTTGGTCATCCATATATGATTTCTTCATAGTATCTGGTTCAACTTTGCTATTATTTGGTTGTTCAGAATATTCTAAATACTCTTTACCACGATTATATAAGTCATTGAATTGTTTTAATAGAATATCATTTCTTTTTTGTTTGTTAGTATTAATATTTTGATCACTAAGTAATATTGCATCTTGTAAATTCTTGAGCTGTATAGTCCATAAAATAAGTATTCCAAATAGTTGAAATCTTTTATATAAAGAATCATGTTCCAATTTAAAAAGATAATCTAATGAATTAACTTCATTTACATTTTGTACTTTTAATTGACTCTTAAGTTTTTCTAATAAATCTCTTGGTTTAAATTCATCCCATTTTAAATATAATTGATTATGATCCCCTGTATATAATATAAAGGTTGGTGTTCCTCTAGAAATAGGACAATTTTTCGGAAAATCATTTAGGTCTATATTTAACTTTTTAAATGAAAAAGGAATATGTTTCTCTCTAAATAATTTTGCAATTGAATTCATAAAAGGTCTCATAAGGAAACATAAGAAACAAGAATCTTCATACAACATTAATAATATTGGATTCTCTTTGCTTGCTTTAAGTATTACTTCTTTATCGAAATCTTTAAGGGTTACATTAGGTATCCAAATATTCTTTGGTTTATCTGATCTTTCTTCAGATATAGGATAATAAAAATTAATTAATTCTTCTGAAGTTGATAATAACTCTGATTTATCTTTTAATGATAGTATTTTATGCCTTTGCCCTTTAAAAGCTAATATATTTATATTATTATATATATCTTTAGAGTCTTTTGAATAGCAAATTTTTACATTATTATAAGAATGATTAATAGTATTAATTAAACGCTTAAAATTCTCATCTCTCTTAATTTCCTGCCATTGTTCTTCATTATTTACAGTAAATACTAAAATATCATCAAAATTTTCAAATATTGAATCATCCATTAGTTGAATTTTAGTTTGATTATCTTCAAATTTCATTTTAGTTAAATTATATCCTTTAAATAATATAGTAGCATTAGAAATACCTAAAACTCCAAATATTATAGCTTTTTTGGTTTGACACTTTGATAGTAAAGAAGATCTTGGAGAACATTTAATTATATGTCTAATATTTGAAAGATTAACAAATATTTGCTTGTTGAAACTTCCATTTTTTACAAATGAAGAAAGTTTTAATAAAATATTAAAACTTTTATTCATACAAAGTTTAAAATTATAAGTTGAATATAATAGAATATCAGATATATTTGTACTTTTCTTCAAGATTAAGACTAATCTAAGTGTGATTATCTAATAATGCGCTCTACAGGTTTAGAGGATTATAAATATAATGTAAATAGTAATTTTAAAAGTGAGAAATAAAGTAAATACCAATATAGACCTTAACAATTTAGTTCATTTATCTTATTTAAAAAAAAAGAGAATATTTGGTTATATTATATAAGGGAAGATCTAGATATTATATTAGTTTGAAAAAGAAATGACAATAAAAAGTGATATACCTAGAAATATTGTACTTGTATACTCATACAAAATATCATCACTTTTATATAGTTCAACTAGTAATATACTTTTATTGGATACATACCTAAATAAAATAAGTAGCGAAATACCCTTTATTGGTTTTATTTGTATATCTTCAGCATTGGGAATCTTCACTGGAACTTTATTTGCAGTAATAATTAATGATACAGATTTAGATTCAAAATGTTTAAATTTAATATTAAAATTATGTGGTTGTTTTTTATTGTTAGCTACTATATTATTATACTTTTCAATAGATCTAAATAGTGTTATACTATTATGTGTGGCATCTTTCTTATCTAAATGTGTTGGGGAATTGATTGATATAATAATTGAGTCTATATTTACCAATTGTATTAATCAGGGTGATAGGAGTTTATATTTTATAAGAATAAAAATTTTAAGTGATTTAACTTCAATTTTTGGTCCTTTTATATCGCTAATTTTATTTTTAATATATGGTGATAGTTGGGAAATAAGACCACTAAAAAATATATTAAAAACAAACTTAATTTTATCAATACCACAATCATTAATTTTAATTTTTTGGGATTTATTAGATGATAAGAATTGGAGATATAAATTTATTTTAAATTATAATAAAAAATCAGAATTTAAACCAAATATTAAATTGGGATTTTTAAATAGTTCAAATGTACCCCATTTAATACTTATTTCACAATTTATAACTACAAGTGGTGCTGGTATATCAATGAAGACATTTTCTTTATTCCTTAATAGTGTATTTAAATTAACTCCTATTAATATTTGCTTATTAAATATTGTTGGTAGCTTAACATCGTTAATTTTTTCTATAATAATACATAAATTATGTAAATATAGTGGCAGAGCAACTATTTCATTGATTTTTTGTTTTTTTACTTCATTTATATTGCTAATAATGAGTGAAGTAGAATCTACAAGCTTTCTTGTAGGCCTTTATATTCTTAGAGCTGGATTTCAAAATGCATGTATACCTATAGATCATTCTATTATAATGGACTTTACCCCATCAGATAAAGTTTTCCAGTGGAGAACTTTATACTCTTTTTTAAAATTTGTTTGGCTATGTATTACAATATTTACTGGAAGTACAAAAGATACAAATTTGGAGAGTTACAAGCAGATATTTGTTAAATGTGCCTTTCTATATTTTTTAGCAAATTTAATATATGCTCCATCAATATTTTTAGTTCCTTCCGTAGAATCTTTTGAAGAATTTCGAAGTAACTTTAAAATTACAAAAACTTTAAAAGTAAAAAATTTATTATCTGAAGAAAATTTTAATTTGGATGAATTAGAAATAATCACTAACTTTGATAATGAGCAATACAGTGAATATCAATTAGAAGATGGAAAAATTGAAGATTCTCAATATAAAAATATTATTAATAAAGATGAAGAGGCTTTAAATGATATTAGTAAAAGTTATTATGAAGTTAAATTAGATAATTGTTTAAATAATGATTTAAATTGGTATTATATAAGTAATATAGAAACTGATGATACACCAACAAATTCGAATATATCAATGGAATTATCACGTAGAAAATTAAATACTTTACAAACACTTATTAATGAAGACGATCATAAAGGTTAGCAATGGAATATTTAAGATATTTAAATGAAGAATAACAATATCTTTTACAAAGTATATAAATTTAGAAATTATATTAATAAATATATTAAACATTACTAAGATTTTGTTTTAAATTATATCTTAAATTTTATATTAATTAGATAAAAAATTATTCAGTATTCTTATAAAAAAAATATTGATAATAAATGATATTAAATCCTAATTCAAAGTAATTAAACTTACGTTATAATTATTTGTAATTATATATTAATCTATATATATATTTAAATAAATACTTATTTACTTCTAAGTATAATGATCTAAACATATTGTTTCATATATATTTCCTTGTTTAGAATTTTATATAAATGGAAGTTTTATAATGTATCAAATAAAGTAATTTATAAATATAAACTTCTTATTTATCTTCTTTATAATATATATGACTTATAAATAAATATTTCAAATCATCCATTAAATTTTTAATCTGTAATGTACCAAATATATTTCTTTAAAGTAAAATTAAGCTTTAAGTATATATATTATTAAAAAATTGGAATAAAATATACATTCTGTTTGAAATAATCTAGTCAATATATAGGCTGTTTTCTTTTTTTTTATTTAAGTACAAAAAATCAAAAAATAAATTTATAGGTATTTTAAATAAATGATCTTGTAATTTGATACTATTCAAGTTACTAATATCTCCACTAAATATTTATATCTAAATTCCCTTAAATCTTGTTTGATTTCATGAGCTTATTTAGAAAAAAAAGAGTTCTACTTGTATTTGATTGAAGATTATTTTCATATAAAAAAATATTGTATTTAATGAAGTAATTAATATTATTTTCCTTATTTCGAAGTTTTAAATCTGCCTCATCAATTATTGTGATTTACAAATCCTAATACTTAAAGGTCCAATCTATAATTTTAAAAAATTTGAGTTATTAAAATATTATGCACATTTATTGCTTATTTAACTAGTTACTAATCTTACTTTCTAAACTATTATATTTATTATTATTTGGGCCTTCATTCTTTACTATGCATATTGATGGTAGGGAAGTACTCGAAGAATGAGATATACAATTATCTGTTGAGTTTTTCATATATGTCAAATTATTACCAGAATCTATAAATCTGCAATATTCAAAGCTTTCAAATTTATCTAGTGAGTTATTAGATAGAGTTGAATAACATCTAGACTTTCCCAAATTTATAATATAATTTGAATTTATCTGTATATTATCTTGTAATTGATTTATTTTATTCAAGTTTGTTCTAATATATTTTTGGTTATGTTTTATATTAAACTCTTCAGTTTTTAAACATTCTATCTTATTTGTATATTCTTTATTAGTAAGATTCTTAATACCCATACCTTTATCTATATTTAAATAAGACTTATTTTCTATATATTCAATATTTGACAAATTTTGTATATTATAATTTCCGATAATTTCAGATAAATCTGTTAATTTCTTATTATTTTTCAAATTAATATCTTGTCTTAAATAACTTTCAATATAAAGATTTTTATCTTTTTCTATTAATATATCGTTATTATATTCCCCATGAAAAATATTAAAATTATCCATTATTTTATGCTGACTATATAACTCGTCTACATTCTTGTTTAATTCTATCATATTTTTATAACAATTCTTTTCTAATTCATTATTATTTCCTCTCTTAAAATAATCACTATCTATTATAATGAAATCTGTAAGATCAGCCAATTTTATTAAATACATTATATCTACATTTTTAAGTGTAAATCTCTTTAACCAAAGTTCTCTAAGCTCGTCTACTGAAGGAAAGCAATACCCTGATTTATTTAATATATATTGTTGTATAAGTTCTCGAAAAATTACACGTAATGTCTGTTTTATAGTATCAGAATTTCTCAAATAAGTATCATTCTTTAAATAAAAATTATTTCCTCTATTAAATTTATTTCTGAGATATTCAAATTTTATAGTTTCTTCATTAATTAAATTATTTCCATAAATTTCTTTATATTGTAACTTATCTTTATCACTTTTAAAATTCTCAAGTTTTAAAGTTTTTAATGTATTATTTGGTAACCATGATTTTAGAAATACTGGCATTTGATATAAATTACTTCTGACTGCTAACATAAAAATATATTATATTTTAATAATTTGGATTTATTATCATCTATTATCCTTGTATATTGTAAATTTTTCTCTTCTATGTTATTATCATCCCTATTTAATACTGTTCTACAACATCTTGATAATAGTAATAATCTCTGTTGGAAGTTATTATGTGTAGATATATGTAATTCAAAACCATCTATATTGCATTCCTTGCAATTCAGAATTGTAGCTTTTCTCATACCAAATAACTTAATAAGTAATCTTTCTGATACTATATCATTATCAACTAATTTATAATCTTGCTCACATAAATTTAAAAGTTGTACCACATCAAAAAAGCTTCTATCATACATTATCTCTATAATCTCCCATCTTTTATGTCTTATCCTACAAATCACAGATTCTTTTGCATAAATGCCATGAACTGCAATCCAAATGTGATCTCTATTACAAACAAAAAAAGAAACATCTCCTAATTTCTCAGGAAATATAGACTTTAATAAATCTGATGAGTTATAACCTTTTATTTTTAAAAGAGACCATCCTGAAACTGTAGCTACAGCAATATTCTTTAATTCAAAAAACCAGGCAGCCATTGTAGCTATATATGCTGTTGAATAATAAAATATAAAATATCCAGTACATAAAATTTCAGATCTTTCAGGAATATATCCACTAGATGCAATAATATCAAATAATTCTTCCATATCCTTATAATGTTCCATAATTACCAATTTAGATTGAAAATCACTATTAGTCATTTTATTCACATTATTACAGTTCCCTTTCTCAATCATACTGCTTAAAAGCCAATTTTATTACCTTTATCTTTATGAAAAATCTTCTAGAAATATTTCTATCTATATATAAGTAAAGTTCCTAATATCAACTTTTTCTTTATTTTCTTTGCAACATGGGGTCTGACTCTTCTTTTATAAAAAAGCCTATAAATACATTTATTTCAAAACTTCTAAATTTAAATTTGGCTTATTAGAAAAAAAGTATACAATTTATAGCTCTCTTACGAGACTCTGCATGTAAGTAAAACCCTAATTTTTAGAGCCTCAAATTTAAGGTTTAAAGTTTAAAGCTTAAAGTTTAAGTAATAGGGTTATCTAAAGTCCTTGTTATATAACTAATCCAGTTTGAAAATAAAGTTTTAGATTGATTTATATATAAATTTAAATTAGTCTCAGTTATTAGATCTAAATTAATTAAACTAGATGATATTGAAGTTTGCCATTTCTGTATAAATAATTCTCGGATCTTCGATATAACTTTATATTCTTGTTTTGTAATTAATTCTGTAAGGTCATCATTTAATTGTCTTGTTTCTGGTATATAATAAATTTTTATTATAGTATCTAATGGCCATGAATTCTCTATAGTCCTATTAAAAAATTCCAAACATGTAGATGTTAATACAAATGATATAGAATTAGAATCTGCTTCAACTATATGAATAAATATACTTTGTGATTCCCTATATTTTGCAATTTCATGTATTAATATTGTGAAAATTGCTCTATCTATTAATATCCAATGTGCATAATGAAGTTGAGAATGTATTTCTTGAGCTAATTTATGGGTCAAAAAGTCTGGTATAGTAACTTCGGGTAATGAATTATTCCTATTTAAATATATAGGTTTTAAATTAGAATTCTTTATATTTTTAAATATAACTCTTATATGATATTTATTTTTAATTAAATGAGATGGTATATCAAATATTTGAATATGACTATATATAGAATTTTTTGTAGTATTATCAATTTCTTCTATTTCTAATGATTTATTATCGTTATTCTCTTGAGTATAATATTTCTTAGGTTTATAGAAATCAAGTTGAATATTAACATCACTAAAACACCATAAATTAGATATTGGTAACCATGTCTGAGATAATTGGAGTTCTTCATTTTGTTTTAAAAATATTCTCCAAGGAGGAAGTGGAATAATTATGTTTAAAGATGCTTTATATTGATTATTTATAGTTATTGAATATTCATTAGATACGAATTTGCTACATTTAATATTCCAAATTGGTAAAAGTTGTGATACTATATCAAGTACTTCAAAATGATCTCTTAAATTAGATTCTATTGAATGTTTAATATCAAAAGATAATGATGCTAAAGGTTTTAAGGTTTCTTGTTTTTTTAATAAAGCTAATAAAAGTTCATTTTTAGAGGCTTCACTAAGTGATAAGGAATTTTGGGAATTCTTTAAATTATTCATAGATGTTTTATATGAAATACGATATGAAGGGTGAATATCAAGATATTGTACATTATCTCCAAATCCTTTTTGTAAGCATGATATGATGGTATCTAAAGTATCCAAATTTTCAATAGCAATTTGACGATGCTTATTTACTTGTTCCCAAATCTCTGCTTGACTTAAATATATATCTTCAGATTTCCTCCTCTCATTTTCTTCATGAGATGTTGTTAAAAAGTATCTTTCAGCTTGAGTCTTAATATCTCCAAGTTCATTAGCATATATTGGGATTCCTGTTGGAGTAATTCTTTCTATACATTCAGATACATTTCTAATAGATGGTTCTATACAAACTTTACATTTCGATATTTCTTCAGAAATTAGAGTACTATTCATTTATTATTAAGTTCAAGTTTTATTAAAACTTTTTTCTACTATTAATGATATTACCAGACAGTAAAATATTTTAAATTACGTGCGGCACTTTTTAGAAATGTCATTAAGGTATTTCTTGTAAAATGGTCTTATAAACTAGTAATAGTTAAGGTAGTATACCAATTTTTAAAATATAGGCGCCTAATTGTGTGTGGCAGAAACCGCCAAAAAAATTTGTCAGTTTACAAGTAATAGTTAAAAAAAGAAATTTACAAAGTATAAATTTTATTAGAAATATTATAAAGTACACTGTACTATATAATAAAAAAGAAATTATTTAAATTTTGGAATATTCTTCTATTAATTATTAAAAGTTGATAATTTCAATGTAAATCTTTTAAATATATACATTACATCATTTTAAAATAATTCTTAATTTCTCCTTTTTTTCTCTTTAAGTTTAATATTCATCAGACTCTTCATCTAATAAATCTATACCATCAAATATATCCAACTCTTCTTTATAATTCCTAGATAAAGTAGATATATCACTTGGTTTTTTTTTTTGTTGACTTTTAGATATATCTTTTTCTTTTATTTGAATTTGTTGATCTACTTTTTTTTTTAATGTCTTAAGATCTTTAAGATCCATTTTAGGGAATATTTCATTTAAACATATATCAATAAATCTAAGCCATGCTGGACTTTTAGCTAGAGCTGGACGAATTTTATCTGCAAATTTTAAAGCAATAGCCTCAACTTTTCCATAAGAACTTAAATTTATAGAAATAAATGGATCACTAGATACATTCAATGTAGAAGATAATAATTTAGTATTACTTATAGATTTTTGATCTTGGAATTTATTTGGAATAGTAATAAAACCATCAAATAAATCATCCATTGCACTTTCATCCATTTCTTCTGTTAATTTTTGACATCGCATTTCCTCACTTAGTTCATCTATTAAATTCGGATTTTGATCTTTTATTATATTATTATTCGTTATATTTGAAGATTTTAAATCTGGACATTTTTGAAGTGAATTTATAGGACTATTTTTATCTTCTTCATTATCACTATCAAGTAAATCTTCCCAATTGTCTACAACAGGTACCTCATAACTATATTGATGATTTTTAGCTAAACATAAGAGGAAAGTTATACATTACAGGTAATTAGTTAAAATATATATAGATAACTTACTACAACGATCCATGTTTCAATACTTATGAAACAAAGAGTTTTAAATAACTCGATATACAAGAAATCTTGAATTAACAAATAATAGCTTTTATCAAGAGACACGTGCGCAATATCATAAAAAACTAAAATTTTAAAGCTAATTAAATTAGTTTATGCAATAAAGTAATAAATTAGAAATGTTCTATTTAAAGTTGTTAAATTTAAGACAAAATCTATAGATATTCTTTCTTAAATAGGAATTATTTAGAAAAGTAGTAATATATATAATAGTAATTATATGTAGTTTAATTATTTAGATTTGAAACTCTAATAAGATAATTATACATAAACATTTATAATTGTTAATTATATTAAGAATATTACTAAATAATATAATAACAATTTCTTTTTTGTGGTTCTTATTTCAATAATAAACTTATTGTAATATAAAGTAGATGAGTTTTAAGATTTTTTTAAATATTTAATGTATTATATTTTTGAATATTAAAATAAAAGGAATAAAATACAAGTAATAAATAGTTTTTCTAAATAAAAGAAGAAATATAATATTTGAACTAGATTCATAATATCTAAATTTAACTAATATTAAATTATTTATTTATGCTGCATATTATTCAATATTAAGAGTTTCATTAGAATTATCTTTATTAGATAAATATTTTGAAGTAAGAATTCCAAAAAGTAATATTGTACTTAAATATTTATTTTGAGAAAAGGCATTCTGACATTGCTCAGGAGAATTAAAATTGACTTGTTTACTCTGATATAGTAAGGATTTAACAAACATTAAAACTGAACAGTAATATGTGATCTGAAATAAAATATTGTAAATGAATTTCATAAGACTTTAAATATTAAAATAAAGAGATTAGTTGAACTTTACCTGCATATTATTAGCAATGCCTGCAGTTACCAATAAAAGACCAATTAATAGTGAATTTTTATTTAATATATCTCTTGTATTATCACCCCTAATATAATAAAGAATTAGTAAAAAATGAGATATTTTCATTTTCAATATATAATAGGAGAATTCTTACCAATGTAATGCTGTTGAATATACACCAACTTGCTTATCATATAATTTATCTTGATGTGCATATATAGTATCATAATGGACACTCCAACATGCTGCAGCTAAATAAAGAGCAATCGGTGATATAAAGCTATATGGAAATGGGTTTAAACAACCATAAACAGATGTCCATCCAAGCAAAACACCCCAATTAAATGTTAAACCTAGAAAAAGTTGAGGATAATGTGTAATTCTTTTCATTAAAGGATATAAAGGAACCATTACAACACTAGGGAGAGCCAAATATATTGTATAAGTATTTAGCTGAGTCAAAATTTTGTAAGATAATGCTAAAGATCCAGATAATAAGATAGAAGCTAAAAAAAATATTTATATAATTATAATATTCTTTTTTCTTAATTATTTGGATAATATTTGCCTACCTTTAAATAATGATAGCTCTTTACATGCTAATGGTCTTGTTTTAGTTCTTTCTACCTAAAATAATAAAGTTTATATAATCTAAAATATATTATAAAACAAAGACAATCAATTATTATTACCTTATTATCAATATTTCTATCAATTATATCATTAATAATACAACCAGAACTCCTCATAGCAAATGAACCAATAGAAAATAATTCGAGTAATTTTAGATTAGGGATCCATGTAGAAGATGCCATGGCTATACTCCAGGTAGTTGGAATATATAATAGCCAATATCCTGTTCTTTGCTGTAATCGAAATAACTTAATATATGGTTGCATTTTTTGTGTAACATTAATTCCTAAAACTTTCATATTAAGTTGGGTTAAAATTGGTGTGTTAACATTTTTCTTATTTAGATATTTTGAAATGTAATTTTGACCAGATATTTGGGTTTGAATATACTTTTGTATTATATATTTATTCATAATGTACTTATTCTTACAACTTTTTTAATTCCATTTATACCCGCGATACTATGAGATATTTTAGTTCTTGTTCTACTTCTTATTTTAGCCACTAATTTGTCTTTAAATTATCAATATACTACTAATTTAATCAATTTTGTTACTAAAAAGATTTTTTTAATTAAATTTAATTATTAGTAATAAATAACTAATCCTTATTATTTACTGAAAGTATTACTAGATAATGAAAATATAAATTGGAATATTACTTTATACTCAATTCAAAAGGAAAAAAAAGAGAAAAAAAGTACTATACTTGTTTTTTTCTTAAATAATTGCGATATGCTGATTGAATACGAATTACACAAGCTTCAATCACCATTCTAGAACCATATTTAACACACCATTGTTTAATGACCTCATTATTACTCCTATCGAAAATTGACTTTTCAATATCTTCTATTATAGGATCATCTACTTTATTTAAATTAACTCTATTCAAATTTATATTTGAAAAAATATTTATATCTTGTTCTTTTACAAAATTTCCTGTATTATCTGAAACAAATTCTTTATTATGGTTATCCTTAAATTGTTTAAATGATTCTGAAGTTATCCTCTCAATTTTATTTTTTAAAAGTTTAATAGCTTCAATAAATTCTGGAGTATTTCTTTTTAAGTGAAATTTGCTATATAATTCATCATTTGAATCTAAAAAATTAAAATTAGTATTTATTGTATCTTTTTCATTTTTTTGAAAATGATTTAATGAAGGTTTAAGATCATCATTAATGATCTTGTTTTTGTATCTTATTTGAATATCTGATTTAATTTGTTCTTCACTTATATTATTATTTTCTTTATAAAGATTTTTCTCTTCAAAATTATTTTTCATTGAAATACTTGCATATTTATTAGGAATTGGGAACATTCGTATTACATCAGCCTTAATAATATCAATATATTCTGATAGTTTTGCCCAATTATTTTCATATTTTATACTTTCAAAAGATATATGTGATGTATATGGATGATCTTCGTGTGTATTAACACATAATCTAAAAAGTCTATCTTCTTCAAAATAATCTTTGATTATCCAACTCATTATCACTATACTATTATAAGGTCCTTGTATATTCCCATCATCATCAATATATTCCCACATTAAAGGAATACAATGGTATATACTATAATCTTCAGTATATATATTACTAGTTGAATTCATATTGTAACTTAAATTATCTTTCATAAGCTCATTAATAGACCTTTTCAATTTCTCTTTTATTTTATGTTTTTTACTAGTTGATATTATATTTTGTTTATCACTTCTCATATTGTTTATTTTCGATTGGTTATTTGGAATATTCATGAAATACTTCTCCTTAGTATTATTAAATTTTCTATTATTATGAATAATCCTTGGATAATATGTTAACATTCCCCTAATTATTCCATTTGTACATTTATCATTTATACTCATTAAGTTTTGGTCTAAATATAAAAAATTATCATCTTGTGTACTAGTTAAAAAATAAAATGCATTTGGAGATAACATTAGTGGATCTGATAGACAAATACTACAATAACCAATCTCTTTTGCTGAAATTGAAGATATCTCTTTTTCTTTATTATTATACCACACAGTAATTACCATTCTTAGATTTGATAATAAAAATTCATTGAAATCTTCCTTTTTTTCTAATTTACTATAAATAGCTTTAGCTGTTTTAGTAATCCATTGAGGGAGAATTATTGAACATTTCATTTTAAAATTCATTGCACATTCTTTTATATTACCAGATACATCAGAATAAAATAAATCTAGAGATTCAAAAGTAGGTTTTTCTAATGAATCAAACCAGTCAGTTTTAAATTGGATATTTGATTTATTATCATCATTACTATCTATATAACTTTCTTCAAAGAGTTCTTTGGCATCCTCTGAATTAAAATTAATGTTTGAATATAAATTTTCATTAAAAAAACCCGGTTCTATATTTATTTCTACTAAAAATTGACTTTTAATTTTCGAGGTTTCTTCTTTAATACAAATGGCAATAGACTTAATTATAAATTCCACATCAATAATATCACCATATGTATAATCCTCACTCATGCTAGATAAATTAGTATATAAATAATTAAAGTTATTAAAGTAATTTTTCTTATAACATGAAAATTAAGCTAACTATATAAATATCTAAAAAAAAAAAAAATATTCTCATAGGCGGGAAATATTTGCATGCATTCAATATTAATAATATGAACAAAAAGTAATTTAACTTATAGCTTATAAACAAGTAATAATAAATTAAATATTTGTATATAAACGAACTATTGGCATAACTTTTAATATGTTAAGTAGTTTATAACCTGATGGAATATCGTTTACTTTTCAAATTATAAAAAAAAAATAGATTATTTAGAGGATTACTTAAAGTATTAGTTATATACTCTGAAAATTCTAATAATATATAGTAAGTAACCCGAAAATTAATGATATAAACTTATTGAGACCACTTTTTTTTCTTTCTTAGTAAGAACCAGAAATATTATATACTATTTATTACTATGTTACAGGTTTTAATTACAATAACATAACATGAAATTCTAATTTATACAATTCATTTAATCAATTATTTTATATTTTTTTTCAAGTATTTAAGAGTAAGTTTATGTATGTCTATTATAAGTAGTAGTAACAATAAAATATATAAGGTACTAAAATATTCATTTTCTTTTTTTTATTTCTATTTTTATTTTTATCTCTTTTCTATAATAAAACTTTCTTTTTGAAAAAAAAAGTTAATAATTATAGAGATAATTTCTCAGTTTATTTTACTGTCATCATAGTTACAAATAAATACAGGTATGTCATTTTTAATAGTGTATAATGTCCAACATCACAACATTATAACTACTAAACTAAGAATTAATTAAAATTAGGTTAATCAAAAATATACTAAAATACAAGCACTAAACACTACATACCAAGCAAATATATTTTAAACAAGCTAAGTAATAAATAAGACAACTTCACAACAATTTTATTAATGTTGATGAATTGGATACATCTTATTTCACTAATATATTTCTATGTGATATCAATAATAGTATATTTAATAGACAATTTAAAATATCCCTTTATAAAAAGAAGTTATATATTTAGTTATTTAGTAATTAGATAAACCTAATTCCTTGTAAGACCATTAAGAAATTACAATATCAGGCACAGAGAAATTTGTGATTGGTATATAATATTGCAATTTAAAATTAACTAGTATATATTCTCTTTAGTATAGATATATTAATTTATATAAATATTTATTGATAACTTTATTAAGTTATATTTTGAGGACACTTATTACAATATAATTTCCTCACTAAATATCTCACATAGTCAAAACAATATATTCCTTAAGATGCACTTTATAAGGTACCCATAAATAGCGCGCGAGACGTATACTTAAATTTTGTCTCTCAAAGAATTTTCCTGTAAAGACAAAGAGACCTAATAAACTTCTGTGAACAAAAGAAAAAAGAAAACGGATTTTCTCTATTCTAATTAGAAAGTAAAGGATGACTCTCCAAGTAATGGATCAAGAATTTCAGCATATTCTCCGTATTATGAATACTAATGTCGATGGTCGTCAAAAGGTTATGTATGCTTTAACTGCTATAAAAGGTATTGGTAGACGTTTTTCAAACATTGTATGCAAGAAAGCTGATGTTGATTTAAGGAAACGTGCAGGTCAATTGACGCAAGATGAGGTCAATCGTATTGTAGCTATTGTAACAAATCCATTACAATTTAATATTCCTTCATACATGCTAAATCGCCAAAGGGATTTAAAAGATGGTAAATATAAGCATATGACTTCTAATAATTTGGAAGCATCTTTACGTGAGGATTTAGAACGTCTTAAGAAAATTAGAAGTCATAGAGGTCTTCGTCATCACTGGGGTATTCGTGTACGTGGCCAACATACGAAGACAACTGGTCGTGGTTGTCGTGTTGCAAGCTCTGGAAAGAAGAAGTAAATATACTTCCAGCATTAATACTATCTGAAATATAATGTTGTAGAGAAGGGAGGATTTACTGCAATATATTGAAGTTTAAATCAAATCAAATCAAATCAAATCAAATCAAATATTGAGAGATGTCTAATATTTACAATCCAAGATTATCTATGTAAAGTAGTATTCTTATTTTACTATAAGTTTTATTCCACTATCAGATATTCTTAATCTGAGTTGAGATTAGCTTGTAGATAATAATTACCTACCAAATATTTTCACATATTTATTACATATTAAATCTATAAATATTTCTGTATCTATTTTATCTAAATTCTTAATCTAACATCTTTGTTATCTAAATAGCTGTAAATTCGTTATATTTCATTTATTCCATCTGTATAGATATATCTGTAATGTCATGTTTACAAAGTGTCCCTGTAAACCATCCTGCTACACCCCACAACATTATTGGTATTATTATTCCAAATGTAACAATATACCATGCAATAGGGTCTTGTTCAAGTCCAGTTAAAAGATTCATTCCAAAAAGACCTGATAAAAATAGAAATAATCATTAAAAGGAATTATTAATATATTTGACTTTTAAACTAATTATTAAATATATTTAGGCTCTAAAAAGATTTAGATATTATTTATAATCAATTTCAACTTACCAGTTATAACTGATGCAATAGAGCAGGCTAAAGTAATTAAGGAAATTCTTAGGGCTGTGTACATGTATTCATTTCTTTTAAAATTTAAATAAAGATTCGATAATTGTTCATTCACATTTATTGAACTTTTTACTCTGCTTAATTGTATTGTATAACCATTAAATTTTGTTATATAATGTAAAATAATTTCTTCCCACTCATCTGAACTTAAAACAAATTTTTTTTTCTTTTGATAAGATTTCTCAATTTGTGATTGAATATTTTTTAGACAATTTTGTAAGCTAGTAATACTTCTTTCTAGAGTCTAGATAATATACAAATTACATTTATTTAGTGAATTATTCAAATATATATAAAAAAAAAAAGTTCAACTTACATCAACATCTCTTTTTAGGCACATTTTCTTTGAGAATGAAGAAAAAGTAAAACGCCATGGGTAAAGGTACCACTTATTATACTTAACTCCATGTCTTAATCCCTGAAAAAATTCACTTTTTATTTGAGTTAAGTAATTATGAATTTTTTCACAACACTTTTCTAAAATAACATAAAGGCATATTGCAGCAAATGATTTCTTTATATATTTTGATTCATCTTTTTGATTAAACCTATTTAAATGTGAGTTTGTATTATTTTCTATTAAAAAAAATTTTTCACATATAATACATCCAATTGTATAATGAATTTTTTCATTAATAGATTTAATAGACTTTATATTATCATAATTAATCTTATCATTTTCTAAAGATGTAGGTTGTTTTTCTTTTCTATTAATCATATTTCCATATCTGGTAATATTTGAATAATGCTTGTTTTCATTATTATTTTCTGTATCTATATAAATATTTGAATTTCTTATTTTACATTCATAACATAAGATATTACAAATATTTGATAGTGATGAAGATTCCCTAGTTGGATTATTAAAATCTGAGTCTGATGAGCAATCACTATGAATAAATGCCTTGTCACAATACGTACTTGTTACAATATTTTCACATATGGATATTACACATGAATTATCAGGATTAAATATCCAGAGATGTGTTGCTGTTATAATTGCATTTATATCATCAAATTTAATGATAATATATCCATTACAATATATGATAGGTGTATTATCACTAGATAATGGATCTACTTTTAGATAATCACTTAAGGATATACCAATATACATGAAGCAATCTTTTCTGTTATAATAAATCCTTCTGGGAATTTGATAAAGTAAAGGATGACAAATTACATAAAAAAGTATCCGATCACTACTAGTACATGAAACCTGAAAGTTAGCATTAGAAATAGAATGGTCACAAAGTATTTCCGAGTTTATTGAAAATTCATTGTTAAGTAATCCCATATGACCTATATTATTTATATCAACATATTCAGTAGATTGGAGGTTACTATCATATATATTACTGGACGACTCTTCAACTTCATGTAGTTTAAATGTATGGTTCTCAATTACATTGTGTATTTGTTTCATAAGAAATTGATTTGTTTCAGTAAGAGATCAAAGTTATGAAGATCCGTACATTGTACTGGATAAAAATTAAGACTTCAAGTAAATAGATCTATATAATAAATATATAGTTAAAATTATAAATAAATAAAATATTTCTCACGAGTTAGATTCTACCTATTTCTTAAGTCAAAATCCTTTTTATCTAAAGAGGCGGTATATCATCTATTTTAATATTTATAACTTTGTAATATAATATTAAATACATTAACATGTGAATATTATATAAAAAAAACTTTTTTTTTACTATATATATCAGTATCTTAATATTATATTCTAGATATGTATAGTCATAAATAATTAATAAGGTCTACACAATTTTTTTAAGAATCACAAAATATATTTAGCAAATAATCCCACCCTTGTCAAAAGATTTCCTTTAAATAAGATTAAAGACAACTTAAGTACTTTTTTTTTTATTTTTGTCCCAGTATGTAATTTCAATTATTTATATATTGAAATTAACAAAAACTAAAAATAATGACCAAAAAAAGGATTATATAGATAAGTGCCACATAAAATTAATAAATATTGTTCAGGCTAACTTCCAAATAAAGTATTTTCTCTGAGAATTAAGAATAAAAAAGTAGATGAAGTTATAAAAAAAATTTGTGGGTAATTAATTAAAAATGATGTGTTAAAGATCATAAATATAAAGGATATAAAAGGTATTAGGTAGACATGTTTTTGATTAAACAACCCGCATATGCAATTTTAACCGGTATATGCTCATTGTTAAAAATTGTGCGCTTAAAGTACCAGGTATTACAAAGCGGGTAAATTTAAAAAGTATTCTAGCTCACAGTTTCATCCTTTGTTAGATATTAGTAAAAGTAAGCTTTATGGCAAGCATAGTTGAAGAAAAGGAAAGTTTATTGATAAGTAATCTTTTACGTATTAGCTTACAGTCAAATTTACAGGTACAGAAAAGTTTAAGTGGTTATCCTTTTGTGTACCTTGAGGATTATTTTGAAGAACTTGAGAAATCTGGGAAACCTTTAAATTTAAGGTTTACAGATATTGATGATATAATTTACTATCGTCTAAAGACTTTTTTTAAATATGGAGATTGGAAGGAAGGAGTATCAGCACTACAATTTTTAGTAGAATCTTATGGTAGATTTCGTAATGAATTATCATCTACAAGACTTTGTAATGAAGTAAAAAATAAAATTTCTGACTGTATTGATTTACTACCAAAATATGGTGCACTTTTAATTCAATGTCCTGAACTTTTTGAAGTTGATAATAATGTAGACATTAAACTAAGGATTTTAAAATTTTTAGAAATGGCAATTCCAACTATATTTATGGCAAGTATGTTAGATAAATTAGAGGCAAATGATCCAAATTGTATTGAGTCTATATGGGGACCTGTAATAGATAAGTTAATAGAGAAGATTTTAGGAAGGACATTCATGGATTTACATATGTCAATAGCTAAAAATATTATGTTTTTATCTCAATTTAAACAATTAGTAAATGTTTTAACAAATAGACCTTTATTTTTACCATCAAATAATATTAATAATAATTCAGTTTTTGGTACATCTCCAGGATTTACTTTACAAACTGGTTCTTTATTTGGAGGTTTCATTAGTCCAAATCCTATAGATAAAAGTTTGCAATCTAAAGATAATTTAAATCCAATAATTCAGAAGTATTTTAGTGGAATACTAATGAAGACTCAGACTCAAATTACACAATGTAAATTATCTATTAAAAATGAACTTTCACTAATTCATGAACAATCTCTTATTTTATTTAGAAATATATTAAAATCTAATATTAATAATAGAAGAAAAGTTCTTAAATGGATAGGGTTAGTATGTTGTTCTAATGAAGGAAGAACTAAACTATTTAATGCTATTTCTAGTCTATCATCACTTAGAAATAATTCAAATACTAGATCATTACAATCAAGTATACAATCTTTAATTTTAAGAACATCTGGACAGACTACAAATGGTTTTTCATTAAATGTTTTAGAGCTTATATTAAAGCTTTTGGAACCAGTTAAAATAGAAAAAGTTCTAGATTTGGATTATTTTTATATTTTATGGGGGAAATTGGATGAAAATGGAGATATTGGTAATGAGGTTAAGAGTATTCTTGGTGATTTAATTAATGAAGCTACTCTTGGAGATAAAGAAAAGATAAAACAATGGACAGATATTATAGAAGCTAAAAAGATTGATATTGAAAATAAGAAACTTGAATATAATGATATTATACGCTTTCCTACTCAAATATTTTGGCTTTCTTGTAAAGCAATAATAGTTTTTATGCACCCAATCTTATCAGAATATGAAAATAAAATACATGAACTTAATGAATATAGAAATAATTCTACTTCAATGGGACTTCTAAGACAAGATACTGAATTTGAACGTCTTACTGCAGAATTATTACTTTATGACTGTACATTATTTCATACAAATATAATGACTACATATTGGCATTTTTTGAGTATATTTTGCCATTTTATTATAAGAAGTATTTATAATTTTGATGAATATGGTAACAAAATAAAGGAATGGGATGATTTAATACATTCAAAACAGGGTAAATTATTAAATGCAATGAGAAATTTTGGTCAACCATCATCAAGTTTGTCACCTCAATTTTCAGTTTTACCCAGTAGAATAGTAGATGATATTATGACTACAACTGAATTAATATTAAGAATTAAAGGAAATGATGAATCTATAATTGGATTTGATTTCGATTCTTATATTTCATTATGCATTTCACTTATAAGTTTTGGAAATTATTTTAATAATCCTCACTCACGCTGCCAAAAAGGTGTTGGGAGTATTCATTATTTATTACAATTACCTCAGTATCGGCAAAAGATTGAAACTAATGAAGATTGTATAGAATTTATCCTTCCAAATTTAATATCTTTATTCAATGATGTTCAGAAATCTCCATATTTCGATAGATTTTCCCTACGTTTACCAATTATTATTTTACTTGAAAACCTTATTGGGATTGAATCTCATAGAAATCGTTTATATTCCTTTGTTAAAGATCGTGATGAAGCATTTACAAAATTTATTCACTTATTGGTAAGTGACCTAAATTATTTATTAGAAGAAGGAATGTCAATGCTCGCAGAAATTAAAAAACGTGAGATTTCAAATAATGCAAATAGAGATAATTTACAGACAAATAATAATATATATAATGATTCAAATAATAATATAAATATTACAAATCAGTCATCTAATCAAAATAATGAAGATTTAGAACATGAATCGGCATATCAAAATTCTGATATACAAAGTTCTATTGAAGAGATGCCATTAGAACGTTTAAATCAATCCTGTAAGGGCTATATGCAACTTTCTCATACATCTGCTAGTCTTCTACAAAAAATAACTCAATACTACCCTGAAGAAATAATTGATTCACCTCTAATTCTTCCTCAAATAGTTACATGTCTTAATAGTACTTTAGATAGATTAGTTGGTCCGAAATGTCTTGAATTGAAAGTGAGTAACTTTGAGAGCTATAACTTTAATCCTCGTCAACTATTGGCAAATATATGTTTGACCTATATCAAGTTATCTTTTAAAAATATAAGTACTATGACTAATTCAGTCAATTTATCTACAAATTCTGAACAAGAAATTTGTAGTCAGTTAATTTCAGAAATTATAGAAGAACAAAGATTTTTTAAAGTTGCAACTTTTGCTAAAGCATATCATATAGTAAGAAGAGAAGGGTTACTCAATTTAGTTCAGCTTAAACAATTTGGACAACTAGTTAAGATTATACAGGAAAGAGCAACTGAGCATACACAAGGAAATCAAGACATACTAAATATAGATGCAATGGATATACCTGAAGAGTTCTTGGATCCAATAATGCAAGATATTATGATTGATCCTGTAATGTTACCTACTTCATCTAAAATTATGGATAGACGTATTATTGAGCGTATATTAATGTCTGATGGTTTAGATCCATTTAATAGATTTCCACTATCAAAATCAGAATTGATTCCTCAGCCCGAATTAAAGCAACAAATTCAGGAATTTATATCTAAATATAAAAAAACATGAAGTCATTAAAACATACTTTTAAGTCTTAGTTTAATAGAATTCTGAATATTCCTTTTATCACCTAAAATCTAATACTTTATTAAATTAATATAGTCTACTCATTTAAAGATTTTTCTAACTTATTATTTTTTTATATCATCTGTTTATTTAAGTTACTAGTACAATTAAGTTAGTTATTACCTCTATTTACTTAAATAAATTCTCTACATTAATATATTCATATGTTCAAACTAAGTTTCTAATATTAGAAAAATTACTATATTGCCAAATTATTTTATCTTTTAAATAATCTATAAATGCCTCATCCTGCTGTATTTTGTCATTCCTTAAGTATATATTAAATCATAATGGCGCAAACTATTTGATATTTAGATCTATAAATCCAATATTTGGTTATAAAGTTAGAAGAAAGAAGTGTGATATTTTATTATTTAAATATGCAGAATTCTAAGATTTTGACTAGAATATTTATATTAACTTGTTTGTTTGTATTGAGTAAATCAAAAGATGTGAATAGTAATGATGTAATTAATATACTGGAGCTGCTTAACCCTACATCAGGAACAAATAGTATATATGAAGATCCAATACCAAAAATAATAATACCGGAAACATCATTAAGTACATTTCCTAATACTTATAATCCAAAAGGTACTATAAAAACATTCAAATATTATCCTCAAAGTAACTTAAAAAGTGGTCAATCAAAAGTCCAGAATATAACATTAAACAGTATTCCTACAACTCGTAGTAAAGATATTAATGTCATTTCATTAATAACTCCAAAACTTTCAGAATTAGGTGTATCCAGTTTAAATTTTAGTAATGAAGGAGATCAGATTGAAGATATAGATGAAGGAAGTCTATCTAAATACAATGAAACCCATTTATTAGATAATTTATTTACTTCTGGACAATCAGAATATCAAAATATCTATGATTTTGATGTAATTCCAATAAAATATAATGATGAAGAATCTAATATGGTTAAATTAGATCCCTTATTTACTCACTTAGATTCAAATAATGATGAAATTTTACTCTATAAAATATCAGATATCCCATCTTCGTCAAGTCTAGGATCGCCAAGCAAATTAAGGGATAACTCAATTGAAATATCTGAAGATAATTTGACTACTCTAGAACCTTCTATATCTCCATATATGGAGGAATCTAAACATATTTCTTTTAAAAATGTTGATATATTTGATAAGGTATCTGAAAAAGTAAAAGTGGGATTCTTAAGAGGATTACGTAAGAAATATTCTAATTTAGACTACAAAATATCAGTAGATCCTATCAAGATAGATATTAATATGAAGATCCCACTAGAAGTTACTTTTGAGCCATCTAGTAATAAATTGATAAATAATGAAATTAACGAAGGGGCGGATAAGTAAATGAGGCAAAAAATTAGGACTTAAATAGGCTCCCGGAATTAATTTCACACACAACCGACACTGCGAAATTAAAGTAAAATTTGAATGCTGTAATTTTTAAGCTTTTAATGAGCTTGATGGTTACACAAAATTCAGTAGATAATGAGGAATCTACGGATTTTTCTTCTCAGGATTTTAATAATTGGCCTCTGGAACTTAGACGAGTTAAGTTATATGAAGTAGATCCAGATAATGGGAACTGGATAGACTGTGGAACAGGTTATTTAAATATTGAAAAATACAAAAGTCAAATTTATATCATTGTAAGTTTAGACATGTAATTTAGAATTTTTTAGGTTATCTTTTGGTATTTTAGGTACATAGTGATGATCCAGTAAATGTCATACCCTGTGATAATTCTCTCAACAATACTTCGATACATCATAGTTCTAATAATACTTCAAATATATTATCTTATATTGTAGATACTCCTATTATGAATAATCGAGAATATTGTCGTCAGAAAGAAACAATTATAACATGGCAGGATGGGAATAATCCTGATTTATATAGGGCCTTAAGCTTCCAACATTCAGAAAGTTGCAATACAACTTGGGAATTTATACTGGCAATAGCTCCTCATCTATGTGTAGACTTAACAGGTGATGAAAATACAATAGATAATAATAATAACTTTTTAATACTAGAGAGGCCCCGGATATATAATTTAGATCGAATAATAGAAGAATTAGAGTTAGAGGCTCAACAGCATAGTTCTGATAACATAGTTACTGACATTTTACATAAAGGTTTTTTATCTCAAATATTCGATTTAATGGAAGAATTGGAAGATCGAAAAGATATGAGATCATTATATAAAATATTTGAGATAATCCGTAGAATTGTAGTTCTTTATGGGCATCATCCTGAAATATATGAAACTCTTTTAAGTGATGAGTATTATCTTAAATTTTTCAGAGCATGTGAATATGATGAGGCATTAGAGAGTTATAAAGCGAGATTTCCTCATAAATCTTTTTTACAGAATGTAAAGTTTCATAATGTGGTTCCTTTACCTGATGTTCAAACAATTCATATGAATTATCGTTTAATGTATCTCAGAGATGTTGTAATGCCTAGGCATTTAGATGAACAAAGCTTACAGAGGATATCATCTTTAATCAATTCCAATTTTTCATCTATATTAAACATGATTGTTACTACAAGTGAAATATGGAGTTATTTGAAAGATCATATTCAGAAGGATTTTTTAGCTGCAAAATTTGTACATGCAGTTTTAACAGTCTTGAAACAACATCCAATGCTATCTATTTATGAGAGGCATCAGGTATTTATGAACATTAAATTGCACAATATTTTAAGGGAATTTGAGGGGTATTTGAGAAGAGATTGCATTGGTGCTATAGAATTGGATAATTTATCAAGAGCAAGGAACATTGATGAAATCGACCAATTAGTAACAGATAAAGATTCATATACTAATAATAAGAATAAATTAAAAAGAAAATCAAGTTTAGGATTAGGAATTTCAAATGATGAAGATTTGGAAATTAATGATGATTTTAAAATTCAACCTAGTATTCATCATAAAAATAAATCTCAAATATTATCTCAATCTTCTATTACAATTCAAAGTAATTACATTAGTCCTGTAGATTTGGCAATTGAAACTTTTTCTTTAGTTTGTGATATAAATCCTGGATTATTAAGACATGCAATACAAGAATCTACTAATACAACCCAATATCAAAAACCCTTAGTAAATAAACCAAAGGATGAATTTGTAGATGATAATGTACTTCATGAATCTAATGAGATAAACATAAATTCTTGTTCAGGGGATATTCTATTAAGAAGAAGTTATTCAGAAACTCATGATGTTTACTCTAATATTCCAACATTGTGGTATCTTTTGTGTGATATATTTGTAAAATCTCCAAATGAAAGTGCTCAAGTCCAGATATGCTCTATATTTAGAAGAATTTTAGATCCTAAAAATATGGATGCACCTGAACGTGATGATTCTTTATCTTTATTTTATGATGTTGGAGTACTTGATAGACTAATTGACAATCTTTTAGTAAATTCTCCTTCAGAACATATTTATAATGGAGTTACAGAAGCTCTTTATTCAGCAAGAGTTTTATTCTGTGATATTCTAATAACTTGTGTTCAAGAACACAATTATAGAATAAAATATAAAGTCTTACAAAATCAACTACCTTATAGAATAATCCACTTGGCCACTAATCCATTTCATAAGCTATTTTGTATAGCAGCAATTAAATTTTTAAGGACATGTTTGGGAATTAGAGATGAATTTTATTATCGACTATTTGCTAAACATGATATTTTAAGAGATGTTATGTATATATTAGATAATATAAAAGTTTCACGAAGTCGTGGGGAAGGCTGTGTACTAGAAAGTGTGATACTTGAAATGTTAGATTTTATCTGTCGCAATAATATACAGGTACTTGTAAATTATTTAATGGAAAATTATGGCAAATTAATAAGATATTTAGATAAAAAGTCTTCTTTAGGATCTGGTTGTAAAGTTTATGCTAGAATTATTGAATCTTATAGGCTCTCACAATATTCTTCATCTAAAGATAATTTTGAGAACATATGTAATAGTACTGAGATTGACAATAATATAAATGGATCTAATACAAAATTAAATCCTATTAAGTGCAGGTACAATTATAATGAGGAATCTAAAAATGATTACGTTTCAAAATCTTTACAATTACCTCCATCATCTCCTATCTTATCTAAATCATGTACATATTGGGATGATGAATCAGAATTATCAAGTGAGAATTCACACAACACTAATGAAGATACAATATATAATTTTATTAATAGTAGGAATATAGATTCTGAAAAACCAGATATTTCAGATAAATTAAATCATGTAGGTGATTTCTGTAATACTAATGCATCGAGAGAGAAACAGATCGTGAATGTTGATAATGTATGTACTAATAGAACAAGGTTTCAAACGGATATTAAAAATAAGCATCTAAATTATAATGATCAATATCAGGAAAATTATTTATCTATAAAATATTTGGATAATTTATCATTGTTAGGATACTCTACTACAGATGAAGATGTTAGTCCTGTTTTACATCCTCCTGGAGAAAAATATAGTATAGCAAATAACTCCAGCACAATTACATCAAATATTAATAAAAAAGTTGAGTTAAAAATTAAATGGATACAAGATGGAAATTCTAATAATGATCACCAATTTGAAGAAAAAGTTGAATCTTTAAATAAAATCACAATGAATACTAATGATAAAGACTCACTTTCTATAGAAGATAATAGTGATGTACATAATAATACAATAATATCAGAAACTCCAGTAATAGAACAAAAGATAAGTAATACATCAAATAAATACCACATTGGTTATTCTACAGATGATAGTGTAATATTTAATGAAATTGAACATGAATCTTCACAGATGCATGATGAAACCACTAGTACTACTGATGACTTACTAGGAACTATTCAATCTAGTAGTTATAAAAGATCTAAACATGATAACAATAACTAGTCACATAAATCCAAGTTATAAGTAATAGTTAGGTGTAGTTCAGGCTGTAACGTTTATTTGTAACAATATGTTAATACCATGCTGTTTAGCGCTATAGATTCAGCTCATTTGTGTACACTAAGTTATTTTTTTTTTCTTTAATATAATGCAATATTAACTCATTTCTCATAATTTTATGAAGAGAAAGCGTTGCAAGGATATATCTCCTAGATCTAATCTAAAGTCTTCAAAATCTTCCGACTTAATACTTAGTGAAACTAAGCCTTTAACATGTAGTGATCCTACTGGTTATAAAATTAAAATTTCAACTTCTTTTAAACGTCTTCTTCGAAATGAATACTGTTTTAAACGTTACGTAAATAAAAGATTAGCACAAGATTTGGGAAGATGTTCATGTACAAAGTCTTGTGATCAATATTGTACAAATAAATCTATTTATATAGAATGTAATAAGGATACTTGCCAAATCTGCAAACAAGGCAGTAAAGATTGTGGAAATTGTAGATTTACACTAAGACAGTATAAACTTGTAACTTTATTTGATACAAAATCTAAAGGTATTGGGTTAAGAACAGCAGAGGATATAAAATTAGGGGAATTTGTTATTGAATATGTGGGCGAAATTATTAATTTAAAACAACTTGAAGAGAGAAAAAAAATGACAAGTAAGCTAACAAAGCATATTTACGTGTTTAGTTTGGGAAATGAAACATATATTGATGCCACATATAAAGGGAATTTAGCAAGATTTATTAATCACTCTTGTGAACCAAATTTAGTTGCTCAAAAGTGGTTTGTAGGATCTGATATAAAAGTTGGATTATTTTCTTTAAAGGATATTAAAGCTGGAGATGAATTAACATTTGATTATAGGTATGCCAACTATTGAGATGTATATTATAATAGAAGTAATACAAATAAATAGTAGTCTATACAAAAGTACTTATAACCAATGGATTATAAATATTAATAGAATTAAAATAATTTGTTATTATATTTCAATAGTATTAATTCTTCAATACTATTACTTATTGTGGCTTATTATTTTAATATATATTGAATTTATAAATAAGTACTCTTTATTTTGATGAATAAGTCATGAATATATTTTATAATAATTCTGCATCTCAAAATATTATTATAGTTTTAAAATATATCAAATTTGATTTTTTATTTTAGATTTGGGACCTCAATTTCTGGTGATCAACCTTTTGAGTGTATGTGTGGAAGTAAATTATGTGAAAAGCGGATCTCAAATACAAAAGATTCTAGGATATATAATGAAATAACAAATCAATATAAAATGACTATATCTAATTTCTTGAATGTAAAAAGTTTAAGTAAACCTATGCAGAGATTTAAACATCTAGTTTATATTTTAGGTAATGTTTAATATAATAAAATTCAAAGATTTATAATTGTTATATTGGTTTTGATTATTATAGATTTAGAGTATCCTATGGTAACTAAATATAAAGATTTAAATTTTAATAACAAAAGTAACAAATCATATTGCAAATCTTTAAATCTATCGGAAAATCTTTATAAGAAATATCAATCACATAATTTAAATAACTTAAAAATAAAGTTAAATTACCAAAATTATGGTAAGTAAATTATTATTATTCTTCAGTAATATTCATTAAAAGTTACATTATTTAATGGCAATATAATAAATAATAAGTCTAGATCTTAAACAAATATCTAACTTATTAAAGGTAGCAGATAGTTTATTATTTTGTCTTAATATAAATTAATGTCATAATTAAGATTCTAATTGCAATGTCTTTTGAATCTAATAAGAGCAAAAATATTCAAGTTATTTCGTCTCAAATCCTAAAATAACATCTCAATATTCATTTATTAAATTTATTTTAGATATAAAATTATATTTAAATAATATTTTAGAGTCATCATGCATAATTATGGACATATTCTATATATCATTATCTTGGGTTATATGGTCATCCTTTAATCAGTTTAATATTAGCCACTATAACTTCAAACCTATATATGAAAGTTTTCCTTGGGCACTTTTTCCTTGGAACACTAATAAATATATAATTCAAGAGGTAAGCTAAATATATATAATATCTCAGGTTCATACATTTATATCATATAACGATCTTAATATATACTCAAATCTATGGTCTAAATAAGCATCTATAATAAATCTTTAAATATATCCTATATATATTATTTTTATAATATTTATTTCTATGGTTTCTTTTTAGATAGAAAACTATTCTCTATTTATATATAATCGTTCACAATTAACAAGAAATCTTAGTGCTCGTGAACTTCAGATCCGTCTACGTCAAATTCTTAATAATAAACAAAGTAACATTTTAGATATAATTGAAACATGGTCAAATGACGAAGTATGCCAAGATTGTGGTTCAGCTGGTAATTTGATCAGTTGTGATAATTGTTGGTCATCTTATCATATTTCCTGTGCAAAGTTAATAATGTCCCCTTCATCTTTAAAGCAATGGGTTTGTATATTATGCAGGAAATATAAAACTAGGTGAGTTTATATATTCCATATTTTAGAAAGATAATTAAATAATGAAATACCTCTAAAATTTAGAAGAAGTTGGTTTATGTTGCCCAAAAGGAAACGTTTAAAATTTCAACAAGAGCGTGCAGATGCAACATGGTATTCTTTTTTAAGCGGTTAACTTTTATTGAGACGAGTTAACAAGTTTACACCTTGTTGCTTTACACTTTTCCATTATCTAAATATCAAAATCTCTAGCTTATTTGTTGTATCTCCATATTAATGTCAAAGTCTCAAGGTGAAGTGGGCAATTTAAGCGAAGAGGAAATATCAGGAGGTTTATCTTGTCCTGATGTTATTACTAAATATCATACTGGTGCAGAAATTCTAAACTCTACTTTACAGCATATTATACAAGAATGTAAGCCAGAAGCTGATATTTCATTATTATGTAAGACTGGAGATATGCTCATTGAGGAGAAGACTAGCAATGTTTATAATAAGAAAGAAAATGGTAAAAGAATTGATAAGGGAATAGCATTTCCAACTTGTATTTCAGTAAATGAAATATGTGGAAATTATTCACCTATTGAGGGCGAAAGTATGAAGTTGAAATCAGGAGACTTGGTTAAAATAGATATGGGCGTACATATTGATGGATATATTTGTGTTGTTACTCACACAATTGTAATTGATACTGATAAGATTACTGGTAAAAAAGCTGATGTATTAAAAGCAGCCCATGTAGCATTAGAAGCAGCTATTAGGACAATGAAGCCAGGTAATACAAATACTCAAGTTACTTCTGTCATGAATTCAGTTGTAAAAGAATTTGGATGCTCAATGATACAAGGTGTATTATCTCACCAATTAAAACAACATATAATTGATGGTAATAAAGTTATTATTTCACATGAGACCCTTGATGAAAAAGTAGATGAATTTGAATTTGAAGTTAATGAAGTTTATGGCTTAGATGTAATTGTTAGTTCGGGGGATGGTAAAACACGTGAATCTGACTATAGAACAACCGTTTACAAACGAGCAATTGAAACAAATTACAACTTAAAGAGCCCAATTCCAAGACAATTTCTAGCAGAAGTTAATAGAAGATTTCCAACATTACCCTTTTCACTAAATATGATATCTGATCAGAAAGTAGCAAGATTAGGAATATTAGAGTGTCTACGTCACAATCTACTTTATCCATATCCTGTAATAGTTGAAAGATCGGGAGGATTTGTAGCTGCATTTAAATGCACTATTCTGATATTATCATCGGGAGTTAAACGTATTACTGGATTGCCATTTTCACAAGAAAGTATATGTGAAACAGAATATAAGGTTATTAATGAGGATTTAAGAGCACTATTAGCTACTTCTTTATCTTTAAAAAAGAAGAAGAAAAAACCAAAACAGCCTTCTCAAGAGTGAAATTTTCTGATTTGAGAATATAAATATTAGAGTTATAAAAAGTGTGATATATTTAGTATATAATGAATTTGTAGCATATAAACTTGGAGTAATAATGAGTACTTTTTTTCTTTATCCACTAAATTACTTCCAGAAAATCATTTCGAATCTTACCAAATCTTGATACGTATAATACTTCGAGCCTAAACCCTAATTCCCAGTCTAGAGAGACTCCCTTCTCCTTTCCATCTAGTCTATAAATTGATGTAGCGCCATGGATGTTGAGCATTTTATGTTAATTTAGGAAATAAGTAGAAAATGGATATAAATGATAATTTCACATCTGAACATGAGATATATTTATATTGTCGTTCAATAGTATCTTGTGGGGAATGTCAACTTTCAAAATATTGCAGACCATGTAAACAAATAGATAATCCAGACTTTTTTTGTACTTCTAAATTGGATTACTCGTCATCATGTACAAACCATAATTTCTTAAATATATGTGCTTCAGCATGGCCCTGGTGGAGTATATTATGCATTATTTCGATTTGTTTAATCATATTTGGAATTATAACTTATTTGTTATATAGATGCTGTACATGCTTCTTTTCTCAACTAACTGAAATTGAACTACAGGAATTAAGGTATGTTCTTTACACTGAGAGGCTAATATTTATTTATTTTTTCCATACTTTTGTATTTACCTATGACTTAATAATTCTTGAATTGACTTTCTTTTTCAATTTAGATCTAAGAATGTCTCACATTCAAATTCTGACAAAATTTAATGATTGATAATTTATAAGGAGCCATATTATTGCAATAAATCATAAATATTAACGCTATTTATATTAGAAGTGCTTTTATATCTGCTTCTATTTAATCTTAAATAATAGATTTTAATTCTGCGCGAGATATATGTTGGGATTTTCTAGAATTCTTACATCACAGCGCTTTTGCTTCACTTTGCTCACAAATATACAATACAACTTACTTTCTACGGGATGATAAGTAATATATTCACTTTAATTGGTCAGATATCAATTTTTCAGTATGTATATGCTCTCTTCACTTCGCTATATACTTCCGCATTTAGATCTAGTAAGAAACCTAGAGATTTCGGAAAATGGGCTATTGTAACAGGAGCTACTGATGGAATTGGGAAGGCTATGGCTATTGAACTATATAAACATGGGTTAAACTTGATGATTATTGGAAGAAATAAGGGTAAACTTAGTAATACTGCACTTGAGGTTAGTTTCTTTTTTTTCTCAAAAAAAAACTTGATTTTTTTTTTAAATATATAACGTAATTTACTCATTTAATACTTCTGTAGATGAGGAATTTACAAATTTATCCTGAACCTGAAATAAAGGAAGTTGTAATGGATTTTTCTGATCCTAGTGGATATGATCAGTTAAATGAAGAAATTAAGAAGTTGGATGATATTGGAATTTTGGTTAATAATGCAGGAGTTGGATATCCATATCCTCAATATTTCGATGAACTAGATGTTAGCCTTATTAATGAAATAATAGATGTTAATATTAGAGGTGTATTTATGATGACTAAAATGGTTTATGGTAAAATGAAAGAACAGTAAGTAAAATAATCTATTTATTTACATTAAGGGCTAAGATTTATTCAAATGACTATCTTTATTTAGAAGACGAGGGGCTATCCTTTGTATTGGTAGTGGATTTTCTGAATTAACTTCAGCTCCACTTTATTCAATTTATGCATCAAGCAAGAAAGCTATACAAAACTTCTGCAATAACCTTCAAATTGAATCCTCTGCTTACAACATTGTTGTCCAGTGTCAAATTTTGTTTATTGTTATGACTAAGTTGTCTAAGATGAAGAAAGAGACTCTATTTGTAATTCCACCACAGAAGTAAGTTGATTATTTATTTTATATATTACATATAATTAATTAAGCTAATATTGAATTATAGAATGGCTCAAGAGTCAATAAGAGAGTTATGTAAAGGTGGATTAATATGGTCAACTATATGTCCATATTGGGCACACAAGCTACAGTTAATATTTGTAAGTTTATTTGGATTTTTTGATTTAAATGCAATTTTTAGTATATTTCTTATTTTCATCTTTCTTTTCTCTTTCTTTTAGGCTAACTTAATACCTACATTCATATGGAATAGCTTAATTTTGTGGAAGTTAAGATCAATAAGGGATAGAGCACTAAAAAAAAAAGTAGCCTAGAATTAATAATTTAAATTTTTAGAATAAAAGAAAAATTTAAAAATAATCTTTAGTATCTATTTGTAATCTTAGATATTGCCCAGTTATTTTAGGCGCTTTTGGGCGCCTATATTGTCTGGTGGGGCTTTATATTGCAACTGCGTCGCGTGTGTACTTTAACTCTTTTTTCATAATTATTAAGTATAGAATGCTCGGAGGAGGTACTTTTGGTTCAAATCTAGGTCAACAATCTACGGGTGGTTTATTTGGTCAGTCTACAACTTTTGGAAGTGGCCTTGGACAACCTGCAGGAGCCTCTATAGGTCAGAATACATCGGGTATAACTCAACCGTCTTCAGCAGGGTTATTTAACTCTTCAACCTCCGTTTTTGGAGGTGGAGCATCTAATACTAGTTTATTTGGTAATAATAACCCTTCAAATATAGGTAGGCCTTATTTATTTCTTAAAAAAATATTTTCTACTGATTAAACATTGATATTACTTTGTAGGTTTTGGTCAAGTTAACACATCATCAACATTTGGACAACCTTCAACTGGTTTATTTGGTCAGTCAGTTGGTTCTTTTGGTAACACAACTCCAGCTACATCCCAACCAAGCATATTTGGGGCACCTTCAGCAGTTAATACTGCAACGTCTGGTATATTTGGTTCTAGCACTCCTAGTACAAACTTATTTGGATCATTTCAGAATTCATTTGGGACTTCTACTGGATTTGGGAGTCAAAATCAACAACAATCCCAACAATCAAGTACAACAGGATTTTTTGGACAACCTAGTAATACTAATGCAAGTATATTCGGATCCTCTACTACTCAAACTTTTGGTAATTCAAATACCTCACCTTTTGGAGGTTCTTTGACTCAAAATTCAAGTGTATTTGGTACTGAGAAGCGAGGAACGAAAGGTATTACATTTCAACCAGTTGTAGATAGTGATAGCCAAGCAAGGATTATGAGTATTGTATACCAAAAAGATATTGATCAGAAGAAATCTGTAGAGGAAATAAGATGGGAAGATTATCAGGAAAAACGAGGTCCTCCAGGTAGTATATCTAGCGTGGAGACTACTACAAGTACTCCTTTGACATCAACTAGTCCTTTTAGTATGAATACATTTGGTACATCTAATAGTGGTGGGTTTTTTGGTTCTACAACAGGTACTACTACTACAACAAATAATTCTATATTTGGACAACCTACAACTGGATCTTTAGGAAGTACAGGAATGGCTACTTCTGGATCACTTTTTGGTTCATCTGCACAAACTACAAACTCAACAGGAATATTTGGAGGGTCATCACTATTTGGATCTGCTGGCCTTAATACTCAGAATACTACACAAGGTTTTGGTATGTCAACAACTCCAGCTACAGCTAACTCAGGTTTATTTTCATCCTCTCTAGGAACAACTAATTCTGGAGGATTATTAGGTACAAGTACCAGTAATACAGGCTTGTTTGGTCAGCCAACAATATCTACTTCTAATTCTGGTCTTTTTGCCCAGACAACAACAACAAGTAGTTTTGGTGACTTCAGTAACTCTTTATCTAACAAGCTTACTGGAACATCTAATTCATTTGGGCAAACAACTACAGGAATTGGTTCTACTAGTTCCTTTGGGACGGGAATATTACAGAACCAGGGAAATACATTTGGAACAGCAAATACAGGACTTGGAACCTCACTTTTTAGTCAGCCAAACAGTTCTGGATTATCTACAGGAAATAATCTACTTCAAACATCTGGAAGTTCTAATAATAGTTCCTTAACAACGAATTTATTTGGCTCTACCCAACCAGTAGGAACTGGCTTATTTGGAAATACAAGTACTTCCAGTGGTTTTACATTTGGAAATATTGGAACTAATTCTCAACCTTTAGCATCAAATCTAGGTATTTCTGGATTATCAAATACAAATTCTGGTCTATCAGGGCAAACAACTCTTAACCCTTCACAGCCTTCTTTAGGATCTAGCATAGGCCAGACTAGTCTTTTTGGATCTCAAAATACTTTATCTTCTACCCCATCTTTATTTAATAATACTAGTTTAACAAATATGACGAACTCAAATTTATTTGGTATGACCAATAATACCTCAAGTCAAAATCAGAATTCTCTAGGACTTCCTACACTAAGAACTATTTCAAATTCACAATTAACAACTATGAATTCTACAATAAACTCAATTAATTCTACATCAAGTATTAGTTTAAATAAACTCAATTCACAAAATAACTTTTCTCTTCAGAATTCTTCTGATAGAAACAAATCATTGTGGCTTTGGAAGCCATTACCACAATGTATAACAAGGTCTGGAAAATATCGTTTTGAATCCTCACCACAGACCCATTCTAATGAGGGGAGTAATACATATCAGAACAGAATAAATTTAGAATTAGCTTTGCCAGCATTAGCTGCTGAAAGTGCTAAACATACTAATTCACTATTGACATCTGTTCGCAGAGTAGAGAGAGGTGCGGATTCTCAAACTCCAGCCACATTTTTGAACTTGTTAGAACGTCAACAGCAATTCTATGACGCTATTCAATCTCCAGAAGGTACAAATTCTCCAATTAGTAATACACAAAAATCAATGGTATTTAGTACAGTTCATAGAACTTCCCAGCCACATTTCTCTTCAATAGATGAAGCATTCGAGGATGCAGTTGATGATGCAAATCTTGTGAAATCACCTAGGCAATTAAGAAATATTTCAGATAGAGAGCCCACATCAGTTTCTGGTCTACTTAATTTGGAGTCTATATCTAGAATGTCTAAAGATATACAATTTTCTAAGGATCATACTAGGACATCTATAGGAAGAGCAAGTATTGAAAGTATAGGGTCATCTCGTACTCCTCATATAGCAGCACCAAGGATTTCAGGTACTAATTCTATGAGTTCTGAGAGACCAATAAGAACATCTATTGGACTTACAACGCCTCGTCCAATACTTAGGAAGGCTGAAGTAAGTAAATATGATATTACAGGGACTTCTAATACTACTCTTAACCTTATTGAACAAAAGGAATCATATTCAAGAAGAGAACAATTTATTGCTTCACTTACTCCAATATTAACTAAACCTTCTTACTATTGTATTCCTTCAATTGAAGCTTTAAGTACTTTTACCGAAGATAGATTAGCTGCTGTAGAAGATTTCAGAGTAATAAGGGAGGGAGTCGGAGAAATAATGTGGCCTGGATTGACAGATTTGCGTGGATTAAATCTTGACCACATTATATCTATTGAGCCTTTATGTGTTTCAGTTTATGGGGAAGATGATTCGACAATTCCCGTAGGGGAGGGTTTAAATAAAAAGGCAATAATACTCCTCAAAAATTGTAAACCTAAGAATATATCAACTAGTGGTAACATTGAAGAGTTCAATGCAAAAAGAATATCTCAAATAAAATCTTATACTGAACAAATGGGAGCTACATTCATATCATTGGATACTGTAACTTGGGACTGGCGTTTTGAAGTTGTTCACTTTTCAAGATATAAATTCCCAGATATAGAATCTTTTGAGAATCAGGAACCACAAAGGAATCTAAACGAACTAAGTAAAGATATGATATTTCCAAATAATATTACAAAATCTCCAACAAGTTCAAATAATGAAGAATTAGTTCAGAGTGTTAAAATTAATAATATAGAAAGTAAGAAGGCTACTCTTCAATCCAATAGGCAGAAGATTTTACAAACAGGAAATAATCAACTAACTTCTCTATATTTCCAACTAACTAAAGATTGCCATAAATTTGGAAGTCGTTGTTTATTATCATTAAATACAGTCAGTTCTAGAAGTTCCATTAACATTAGTTCAAATGGTATTATTGTAATTCCTCATTGTACTAATAATCGTTCTAAGTACTCTATCTGTTCTAGTCGTACTTTGGTAACATTTTATAAACTCTCTATAATTAATATGAATCCTCAAAACCAAACAATAAATATGGGGACAACTAAATGTAATCTAAATGAAATTCAAAAATTAAAAAAAAATTATCTTAATAATAAAAATATACCAAAAAGAATAATTAGAGCATGGTTAAAGGTCTACTTTAACTTGATTGGAGATCGAGAAACAACAATTAGTAATGGTACTGTTTCACTTCACACTTTAATTAAGTTGACTTTTTTGTTATGGAATATAAGTAAACAGGAATTAATGATCTCAGAACATCTTAGAGATCATGAAGATATTTATTATCTTGCTTCTTACACAGAAGAAACCTTATGTCTTTTATGTAGCTTGCTATTTTTTCATATTAAATCTGAAATATCAAGTAGCAATTCTCAGACACCAAATCAAACTTCTCAAATGATATTTGAGTTTGTTAGCTGGTGGTTACAGAAGGTGAATAGTAAATTAAATAAAGATTTCAATAAAGATTATAAACCTAAAACAAATACTCTTTCTGACTATGTCAATAATATTATGCTGAATATGATGAAATATATTAGTTCTGGACTTATACCAGAAGGTATCTTAGAAAGTATAAATGATATGGGATCTTTAATACTTCCTCGTCTTACTGCTTTATGTGCTGCTAATGGTTATGGAGTAAATATAAATATTTCTCAAGCTGTAGCAGATACTTTACTTTGGTGGAAATATACAGGTTTGGAGATAAGTATTAGTGATACTACTCTTTTATTAACCAAACTTTTAGCAGGATACATAGATCCCTCAGTTGCTTCCATAGCATTTAATTGGCGTATAATATTTGGAATGCTTTTGTGGCATCCTCCCGTATCAGAAAATAAAATTTTAGAATCCAATAATGGTCTAGTTTATAATGCAATGGAAGCTTATGAATTAAATATGGATGGTAAATTTTCATTCCTTACTTCAAAAAATTCTAATAAACAAAAAATCACATATGTAAGTCATCAAATAGCCAAACAAGATCAATCTCCTTACAGGTATCATTCTGATCTTCAGTTTTGGTTATTAAAGTTTTTTAGTTTTTTAGACTATAATCAGACACAACAAGAAGCAGATCAGTGTATACCAAAATTATCTAATATATTTGAATCAAATTCAAACATGTTATCAATGGATTTTTCTTTAGTATGGATTGTAAGCAATATATTGGATATGTATCTTCAAATTTCCCGTAGAAACCAATATATAGAAGATATATCTTCTAATTATATGAACAAATTACACCTCAATTTTATACAGCAATTAGAATTTATAGGTCTTTGGGAGTGGTCTCTATTTGTTGCACTCCATTTACAAAAAACAACTGATACTTCTATATATTCACATATTTTCCACGACATACTTCTTAGAAATATACCAAATTCTTTCCCTATTCACTCAGAATTCTCAGAAGAAAAATTTGAAAATTTACATTTATGGAAATTTCTTATCAAAACTCTAGGATTACCGAAAACTTGGCTTCTTGAAACTTTATCATGGAACTTTGCCTATAATGGGAATTTTGAAGCTGCAGCTTCTTCTTTACTTTTACTATATAAAACTTATTACAAATCAGATGAATATAATTCTGAAGGAAATATTTTACTCTTTTCTCGCTTTATAAATAATTCAGTAAATTCTCAATCCGAGATTATTATAAATGTAGTTGAATATTTATTTGATATTCATGTTCTACCTAAATTATTAATGGAACTATCTACAATATATTCTACAGAACTTAAAGAACAAGGCAATAAACATTTACAATATGCTAATCTATCTAATAATCAAAATATTGTTAAATTACTTTTACAAACTTATTCATATTTTGAAGATATACATAACCCTGATTGTACTATATATACTAGATGGAATATATGTAAATTATTAGTAGAAACTACAATTTGTTTCCTTAAAATAATTGGTCTTTGTGATCTCAATACATCTGAAAATTGTGAAATAAATAAATCTACCACAGCTCAAGTAAAAGAAAATCTTACTCAAATATTACATAAGCAGTTTGAAGTACCCCCATTATTAGAATCTACACTACTGTATGTAATAAACCATGATTGTTGGAGACTTATGAATAGTTTATTAGATAATTACTAAATGATATATATAGCTAAATTATATCTTATTTAAATATTTTAAAGTATAAAGTGAGTTGGTATCTATAAGTTATACATTGAATTCATCATTATTACCCTTCAAACCACGCATAACTATATCAAACCTGTTACTCTTCTGTAAAACTTGGTTATTATTAGCTTCATTATTTGAGTCCACTATATTTTGGTTAGCTATCTTATTTCTTATATCTCTTTTAACTTTTTTTAGTACCTTCTTTTTATCACTAGAACCTGTTTCATTACACTGATTATTTCCATTGTACTTTATAATCATGTTAAGTAATTTTACTACACCTCTTGTTGCGAGTGTCCTCAAACTCTTCTCAATTTCCTGTTTCGTGGTATCTGGTTTGCAATGTACAATTTGTTTCCTTTGCAAATAATCCTGGATTAAATAAAGTTAAATTAAAAAAAAGTCAATGTTAAATATCTTATTAAAAATGAAAAAGGTACGAAACTTGCTTTAAAAAAACTTACATTTATGTGCTTTGACTTCTTTTTTGTACTTTTTTTACTTGGCCTTTTTAATAAAGAAGTTTTCTTTTCAGCAAAAATAGGATCTTCCTTATCCAAATTTCTAGAAAGTATGCTTGAAGCAACTAAAATTATATTTATCAAGTTAACAATAAATTATATTAAAATTTAAATTGATAATTTAACATACCTGTAGAAATTGTCTTTATAGATGCCATTTCTTAATTTTCTCAATATAATACATCTAATCATTAAAAGCTTGAACCACTGAAGGAGCAACCAAGGCGGTAGTGCAATTCTGCAAATAAGATATCAAATACTGAAAAAGAAGGAAAGAGAGTAGACTGAAATTAATGAAAGGTAATTAGATTGAAGAGATCTACAATATATATCAAGGTTAATCTAATAAAAACTTTTTATATAATTTAGTTCATTTTGTAGAATTCCAACTAATTTAAACCTTTTAGGGTTTACTAGGGTTTACTAGGATTTACTATTGACTTCTCTTGTATGAATTATAAGCTTATAATTTAGTTTAAATAGATTATACATCTATTTGTGAAATTACTCAAATTACCAATATGATTTTTTTGGAGTTCCTTCAAGATATTAGGGAGCTCAATCAACTTTCTTTTTAATCTGTTTTTGATTTCTAATTATTGGAGCGCTTTTGACTTTATATATTCACACCATAGGGGTAGGAATATATTTGTTGTTCTATTTAAGTTTTAAACCTTTTTCCGCTCAATTTGTTATGTACTAATTAATATACAGTTCATTTTAGAAATTTACTACTCCTTGTAAAATTGTAATACTATGATTAAACTCTTTATTAAGTAATATATTGGTTTTTTTTCTTTTCAATTTGTTTTGAATGTTTTGGTTTTGATATTATCAAATAACTAATATATTACATACGAAATAATAATAAATTGTAAACTTCTTCTACTAATATATATTTAGAGTCTAATATAACAAGAAAACAATATCCTAATTGCAAATTAATTATTGGGGGGGGGGGAGTATAATACTGAATTAACCAAGTAAATGAATAATAAGTGTTTACAACTTTAAATATTTAAATAACTTGGTGAATTCACTGTAACTCTTGCAAATACTAATATCTAATATACAATATTTGTAGAACTTACCACTTTTGAATTTAAAAATAATAGAATCTGTTTATGGCCTTTTTTTTAATTGACCAAAATTAGATTTTATAGATGGTTTGTAAATTCTGAATTGAGAATAAAGATATCTTTAATCTTGATAGTTACTAAATTTAATCAGGCATAATTATATAATAAATACATAACTTCAATACAGTGGGAATCCAAACATAATTGAGCTATGTACAATAACAATAGAGAATTGATTTTTAATATGTCAATTCATGAAGAATATTTAAAAAATCTTTTTAGGGAATCAGTAAAAGAATTAAAATATTTTAATACACAAACAAATTCAATCTTTTTATGTGGTTTGTATTGGTTTTTGAGTTCATATACATTGATAAACATGAATATAAAGGATAATGAAATTATTATAAAGTATATAATTGATATTCTTACTAAATGTGAGATTAAAATAGATGAGGATTTAATAAATCAAGAAATAAATGGATATTTGATGAGTCCAAATCTTCCAACATCACCAAATATACTAGCAACATTAAGTGGTTTACAGGTTATTCACTTACTCAAAATATTAGGTGTGAATAACTATGTAAGTAATTTGGATAAAGATAAAATTATACTTTTTATTTCATCTCTTTGCCACTTTAGAGGAAAGTATTGCTTTTATTCTAATTCATTAGACTCAATTAAAACAGAAGATATTCGTTTTACATACTCATCATTAGCTTCGCTACATTTACTATTTATATATGGAAAGGAATTTTCAATATCTAAAATACAAATTTCGAAATTAGTGACATTTTTAAGTGATTTACAGAATCCTGATGGTGGATTTGGACGACGTCCAAATGAGGAATCTCATGCTGGACATACATTTTGTGCTGTGGCTTCTATAGCAATTATTTCATATCATTTTAGTATAGAATTATTTTCTAATATAAAATTTAAACGTTTAGAAAGATGGTTACTACAAAGAATTAACTATTTCCCTACCCACTTTAGCAACAAACATATTAACCCAAATACTCAGAATGAAGTGAATAGATCAATTTGTTTTAGTGGTAGGCCAGGAAAGGAATGTGATATATGCTATTCATGGTGGATTATGAGTTGTTTTAAAATACTTAGTCAAATAACAAACTCTAGATTTTTTTCAGTTGCTAGCTTACCAACTAATGGCAAGAGAATAATACAAGGTATTATTGAACATCAAAATACAAGGACAGGTGGATTTCAGAGAATACCTTTTGATCTCAATGGAGTTTCCCTTGTTGATCCTTTGCATACCTTTCTTTCAATAGCTACAATATCACTATTAAAAGGATCTATGACTACTTCATATACATATGAATGTAATAAGGTATCTATAAATCCATCCACGTCACAAAATCGTTACTTCATATGTCCAATACTGGTATTGCCATTTTATGAACTATGGAATTTGAATGAATGTCAAAGTAAATTAAGAGACTAGTTAAGTAGTATAGTAAATTGCACCATGGACTGAAGTTTACAAGCGGTAAAATGTCTCCGCTTTCCCTAAGAAGCTAGTCAAATCCAGTATTCTTGTAAATTTTCAAGATGAATAATCTTTTTGGAATTATTTGGAAAGAAATAAAACTTTTAGATATGAAGTGGTTTGACTACAAAATGGAGACTCTCTCATATGATTGTTCTTGTGGAGATATATTTTTAGTAAAAATCCAGGATTTAGAGATGACTATTGCAGATCCGAACTCAAAAACACAAGTATATAGTATTATTCTACAATGTGAAAGTTGCTCCTTGAAATTAAGACTTATATTTGACAAGGAGTCACTTGAGTTATTAAGGAAAACACCACCTTTAGAATGGAGAACTTATTCTGTGAATAGCCTTGAATCAGTTCAAGTATAAATTAGTGTAAATATACTTTGTATAAAAAATATTAAATACTACTTAGTTATGACTGTATAATTTGAACTATATATGACAAATTGTAGTCCTTAATTACATAAATTATAGATATGTACAAGTATGGCTGTATCTAATGTATCTTTCTAACACTTTTTATGGTCTGGCTTTTATTCACTTTTTGTCTTACTAATAAGATACTTCTATTTGGTCTCCCCTTTTGAGTAATTTTCACAGAATTTTTTTCATGGAACTCCTTATTGGATATAATTGAATTTTTGCGTCTTAATAATGGATTATTTTTAAGTTTATTCTTAAATTGTTGTCTGCGGCTTTTCAATATTTGTTGAGGAGTTCTTAGTTCTGAATATTGTTTCACTTCTAAACTATTTTTAGAAGAGGATATAAGTTCTAAACGTTTTGCAGTTCTTGTCTGCTTATGCGTCAATTTTATACCTTTATTTATGGCTTCAACCAAACCTTTATGTTTATCTCCTACTATAGGTAATACATTATTTTCTGAAATATCTTCAAATTCAGGTTCAGAAAGTTGAGATTTCTTCATTCTTTTTGCAGGAAATTTGACATCTTCTAATTCTCCTACAGATTGAATTTTCATATTACTATTTGCCATCCACTTTTTGTATTGACCCTGACATTTCAATTTTCCACGAACAATCACACCACTTTCATTGTGTTTCTTAATTGAACCTGGTTCTGGCTTTTGTATTAACTGATAACGTTTCTTAGCTGCATTCCACTTCCTAACATATTTAGTTTTTCTTAGGTCAGCATCTTCATCAGGATTAATATCAAAAGAGCTTGCTTCTATTGATAATGCAGATTCTTTTATATCTGATATTTTGTCGACTTTATATGGAATAAAAAACTGCTTATTTTCTTCTTTACTTTTACTAGATTGACCAGATCTACAAGGATTACGGCGTTTATGAATTGCAAGAGATTGTTTAGGAATATCCAATTCCTTATTTTGATTTATTTTTTCCTCCTCAAGGATTTCTGATAAATTTCTATAATCTAAATCTTCAGTTAATGACAAATCTCTTCCAATTTGAGAAGATATTTTAAGTTTTTCCATTTTAATAGCAGATTGTAGTGTTACTTTTCCAATATTTTTGTCTGGAATTAATAATTTATTACTAGGACAAACCTTGGAATGAGTTGGTCTAAACTTTTTAAGATGAAATAGCATAGGATCTTCAGTATTTAAATTACTTAAAATATCTCCACTATTTGTATCTCTAGTTAAATCAGGATGTACAGTCATTAGAAGCCTGGATGCTCCTCCGCACTCATCTAATAATTGCTTAGAGCGTTTAACACTTTCTCTTGAAGATGATGGTCTAGATTTTAAATATAAGGCATATGCAGCAGTCATAGATCTTCTATTTCGTTCAATTTCTGCATTTTCAGTAAGAATTCTATCTATAGTTTCAATTTCCATAGTTAAATCTGGTGTACCTGCAATTAATACAATGTCTTTTGAGTTCATTTTTTTAGACTCTTCATTCTTCTTAGTCTGTTCAGTTTGTATCTTAAGTGTATCTGTAATATAAGGTTGACTCTTAGATTTAAAGTCAGATTTATCACACATATCTCCTGTATTCAAAGAATATGTCTTTACAAAATTATATTCTGACTGCTCATATATTTTATTGCATAAATCTTCACTTATTGACTTGAAATTAAGTTCAGTATCTTTTAATAAATTTTCTTCCACTTTTTCAGATTCCAAAGTTATATTGTTGTCTTTATCTCCAATATTAGAGATATCTGTAGCTTGTATATTTGGGTCCTTTGTTTTATTAGTTAAAGTAGATACTCTGAGACCTAGGAATAGCATCAAATCAACAGTATATGGTAAATCTCTAGCAGTTACTAATGAAAAAGCTTTACCCATCTTTCCAGCTCTTCCAGTTCTACCAGTTCTATGAACAAATAATTTAGCACTTAAGGGATAATCGAAATTTATTACGTTCTCCAATAATGGTATATCAAGTCCTCTGGCTGCTATGTCTGTAACTATCATAACACGAGTCTTATTTCTTCTAAATGAATTCAGTTGAGCATTCCTCGCATCTTGATCCATATTTCCATATATTGAGCCTATATTTATATTGCATTCTGTTAAAATCTTAGCTAGATATTCAACATGGTGTTTTGTTGCACAAAATACCATAACACGTTCATTATGTGGTATTGTAACTCTCAAAAGATATAGTAATGTTGCTAATTTATCATCTTCTCTTGTAAATATAAATATAAGTTTGAGAGTATCACTGATCAAATGATCAGAATCAAGCCTAATAAACTCTGGTTCAACAAGCTTTGCACGAGAAAAAGATACTAAACCTGTAGGCATTGTTGCAGATACTAAGATACATTGTCTACTAGCTGGTATAATCTTCATTATATCATCTATTTGTGGCATTAAACCTGTTTCAAACAGTCTATCGGCTTCATCTAAAACTATCATACAAATTGCAGAGAGAGATAGCTTTGCTTCAACAATATGGTGACAAAGACGTCCAGGGGTTGCAATAACAATATCTGGATTACCAGACAAGTTTTCAAATTGCCTATCCAAAGATGATCCACCTGTTAAAGTACAAATTCTAATATCTGTCTTAATGGCAAATTTACGAACCACTCTATAGGTTTGTAAAACCAATTCTCTTGTTGGAGATAATATCAAACCCCTAATGCCAACAATAGTTGAATGTTTACAACCCAATCTCTGTAACATTGGTAGGACAAAAGCTATTGTCTTTCCAGATCCTGTTCTAGCCATAGCAACGACATCACGACCTGCTAAAATTGCTGGGAAGCATCTTCTCTGAATAGGAGTAGGAAGAGAATATCCAATATGTCTTACAGCTTCAATTATTGGACTTGAAAATCCAAAAGTATGAAATGCTCCACCTTTTGCCATTTTCAGATAACTATTCACTAACAAGTCAACTATTAACCCCTTAGTAATGTCATTGGCGCTTAATAGCGCTATAGATGATACCACGCTTGTTGATTGAGTATAAACTTCCTCTAGATGCCAAATTTTAAAAATATTAGTCTTCACACTTAAAGTGAAAAGAGATTATCATTAGTTAATATGAGTATCCTATGGGGAGATTTGTCCACAGAACTTTATTAACAGGTCGGATTCCTTCAATATTCTTGATATTATCTAGACTTTTTTTCTGAATTTCCCAAATACCTAGAAAATAACTTATTATTTGGTTGAATTAAGCTCATATAGTATACAGGGAATCTATCCAAATCCGGCTCAAAGATTTCTGGGTTTTTTCCAAGAGCCATTAGTAAAACCTCTTTCATAAGAATATACTTCGGGATATTACGTAAAGGTTCCCATTGTGAAATAAGAGAGAAATTTGTATATCGACTTTTGGAATGAGTGAGAGCTGGAGCTTCAGATATAGATTCAAATACTTTTAAATACCTTATAGTCCTATTTAAGTGTTTACTAATAGAAGAATATTTTGTCATTGCCATTAACGTTACACAATCTGCCTTGTAAACGGTGATAATAATGGCTATTACAAAATGCTAAACAACGCCCAACTCAAAATTCAATAGATTATAGCTACTTATTAGAGGTTTACTTTATATATTAAAACTTTAGTAAGAAATTCGTAATGAGATGTTGATATTTACTCATACCGCTTGATACCCTCTTCTTGCATCTTGTTTAGTTTATATTAATTATTTTAACTTTTTTATCACAGCTAAATCATTACTTATTGTAAATTCATATTGTAATTTATTAAACTTCGATTATAAATTAGAATTATGTGCCAATTATATTCATCACAATTGTATTGAGCTTAGCTTATTTAATATTTCAAATTGTTATCAGACGCCTTAGTAATATATTCCAATTTTTATATATACAAATATCTTGTAGATCGTATACTTTATTAAGTTTATATTTATTATCCTCAATATCTCAAATAATTTACTTTGATAATTATCATAGTCCTAATAGCTTATTAAGTTTGTGCTCAATATAACATCATCTTTGTCTAAATATACTGAAATAATTGCATTTTTACCAAAATAGATCGTAAGGTAAAATTTTATCTATAAATTCTCCCATAAAATTATAATCGAGAGGCAATTCAATACTTAATAGATGTTTATTAAGAATTCTCATTATATTTAGCATAATTTCTCGTTTTTATCTCTAATGTTTTAACATAAATTGGAATACTTTCATAAGAATGAGCTACTGGATATTACTTAATTATTAAAAAATACTCGCTATTAAGATCTAAGTTTAGTTTATGATCAGTTAAACCAATTTATATTTCATATAATACATATACACAACATATATATATGAAAAAGAATAGTGAGAAATACTTTATAATTATGCCCTTGATATACTTCTATATGTATACAAAAATATTTCTATAGCTTCAAATAGTCTAAGACTTTAAAAATGAAAAGGTTGGATGTAAATTATCTACTTTTTTCAAGTCTTCTAGACGCTAAAAAATAAAAGTTTCTTAATAAATTTGGTATTATCACCACATAATACGTATAGTTTAATAAGGTTGCACTGTTGCGGTACAGCATGAAGAAATAATTTACTCTGGACTATAGTAAAAAGAAATACCTAACTAATCACTAAACCATATGAGAGCTGATAAAAGATTAGTCTTCATATTGAACTTTATTTCGTGAGTTTGAGCCTTGAAAATAGTATCTCTTTGAGTATTTCAACTCAACTTATTTTTCCTATTATTTTTACTTGAGTACTTTTTTATTTTAGGATTTGTACACTTATTTTGGGTATAATAGGTTTAATTTATCTCCCATATTTTGATAGCTCTACTATTATAGAAGAACATGCTTTTTCAGAAGGCAACTCCAACTCTTTATTTCCAGATAAATGGCTTTTGGAAGCTAAAAAAGCTACTCACAATTTACTTATAGCTCAAAGTAATATTAAAAATAGTAGTAATAAAATGTCAGAAATTTTAGTAGAAGTTTTAAGAAGAGAAATACCTCATTCTTTTTCAGATATTGCGGACTTAAAAGTGACGAAAAGACAATTTTCAGTTAATTCATTGTTTGATGAAGAATCTACAGTCAACAGATTTTCTGAGTATGTATCAGCATTTGTACCTGCAAGACGTGGAGATAGTTTTGAATCTATTTTATTTGTAGTAAATTTCCCATGGTCAATAGAAAATAATTTTGGTGTAGCTGATGCTGCTGGAATAGCTATTGCCTTAGCAAAATATATGATTACTGTAGAATGGCTTTCTAAAAATATACACTTCTTATTTACCGATAGCAGATTATCATATTCAGCAGGAATTAGAGCTTTCTTAAAGGACTACTCTTCTGAATTACCAAATTTAATATATACTGGTATAATTCGTACTGCTCTTGTTTTACAAATATTAAATTCAACCCCTTCAAGAATTTTAATTGATATAGGTAGGTATAAATAATACTGGGTATTTAATACTTTGCAACACTGGTGTTTATTTAATTTGTCACTTTAATATCATTAACTTAATAGAGTCTCAAGATGGGATGATCCCTAATCAAGATCTTGTTAATGCTGTTATAAAGGAATTTCAAAGTAAATTACCACGTCCACTTGCGTCAATTGATCCTAGAATAATATGGAATTCAATTATTAGGTAAGAGTGACTAATAAAAATACTAAAATATGATAATAATATAAATTTAAGAAAGATTTTAATAGTAGAATTTTTCATATAAAGAGAACTAATTTTAAAACTATTTCATTATATTAAAATCATTTGATATTGCTTTTTTTTTTTTTTAGGCAGGCTACTAATGGTGGTTCTGAAAAAGCTCATACACCACTTTTACAATATTCGATTCCTGCATATACTATTATTTTAACAGATGATGAAACTCTTAAGGAATACGAATTAAAGTCTACTGATAAGCCAATATCTTTTGGTATTCTTGAAGATTCTGAAGATCCATCAACTAACTTTATTACTAGTCCTATTATTCAGTTAAGTGACTTAGTAAAAGCCCTTGAGGGAATAATAAGAATTCAGAGTAATCTCCATGAAGAGCTTCATCATTCTTTCAATTTCTACTTATTTACTTCTTATATATCCCATATAAGTTCTGGAGTTTATATTTATCCAATAATATTTTTATGTACCTCAGTAGTATTTCAAATAATATCTTTACTTCAAAGATCCAGTAGCCCTCTTTATTTTTTAATAAGCTTGGGATGCCTTGGATATTTTATATTGACTATGTTTCCTATATACTGGCTTATAAATAATGCATTAAAACTGACTTTATTACATAAGTTATTTGATTTATTATATAATAGTAAGTTTTAACTTGAAATTATTAGTTTCCGAATAAAATCTAATTTAACACTTTTTGAAAAGTGAACTCCAAAAAAGGTCTAACTAGCTTGAACCAAAAAGGAAATTTATTAAATTATAATATTGATTTTATATTTACTGAAATATAATGATAAAGCTACAATAATTTAGTATTTCCTTTAACAACTAAACCTTTTTGCAAGTTTACATTTTCAAATAGTTGTACCTTTCAACTATTCTTAGAGGGGTTTCCCTTAATATTCTTCTCTAAGTAGCAATAATCCCAACTTTTTAATTTCTTATAACACTTTTCAGGTCCATTACCAAAGTTTCTTTTCTTCAAATACTCGACTCCTACTTGTACTCAAGATATCAAAATATATGAAGTACAAGGATTTATACTACTTTGGACAGTAATTACATTAATGACTGGCTATTTTTCCATTATACTTTTTGTATACATCATGAATAATATATTACCAAAAATATTTGGAAACTCCACAAAGCCAACAAATTGGAAATATAACATTAAATGTATGACTAAAATTTTAATTCGTTTATACATTGTTATATTTATTTTTTTGATGTCAATCTACAACTTTAGTCTTTCTTTTATATTAACACCCTTGATCATAATTTTAATAAATACTAAAATAAGTAACTTTTGGAGTTTCATAATCAGTTTTTTCAAATTTACTATATTTGAACAACTTACAAACTCTAATAAAGCTCGAAATTCTAAAGTTAATGTATTGGAATTTCTTAATTCAAACTATATATACTGGGTGTGTATAATACTAATTTTTATTCTCACAATCTTATTTATGATTTCTTATTTCCTAGACATTTGGTTAATATATATTCAAGAATTTATTCTCACTTCATTGCAGTTTCTGCATATCTTCTTCATATATATTTCCAATATGATCGTACAAATATTAGGGGTATCCAGTAATTCTATACCTAGAACAGATTTTGATAACTTCGATTCTTTATGGCATTCTGTATTGGGACATATTTTTATTGCTAGTACTAAGAATAGATTACTTAGCAAGCTACTTGGAAGATCTAAAACTTTAGAGCACATTTACAGATTGCAAATGAGCCATAATAATACAATTGAATATACTCAAGAGGCCTATTTTAAAGTTTACAGAATGCTTAAAGTGTTCCCCCCACTACAATTAAGTTCTTGGCTTATATATCAAAGTTCTACTTATGAACTTCCTAATGTTTCCTCTTATAAATATATATTTGGTAAAAGTGCTCTAAAAATATGGAATAACTTTATTTTAATATTATATAGACTTATTAGGGATGCAAAGTGCTCACAATCTAAAATATTTCATTTTCTGTGGTTTGGTACACTACCTCAGATCTTTCTAGCAATAGGAGTATCACTTATATAGTATTTAAAAAAAATACCTAGCTAAAAATTAAAATATAAAGGAAAATTTATATTATTTCGATAATATAAAGTATAAAATCTTGTATCTTACTAAATAGATGTTTTATTGTCTTTGATTAGGTGATTTCTTTGAAAGAATTCACGACTTTTCTTTATCTGGATGCTTGAGATTTATAGGTATTTTGTTATCAATGAAATTTACTTATTCTCTAGATATCCCTCGCTGTTTACTCCCAAGACTTCAGTAATATATAATTCCCAGTTTATAATTGCAACTACCTTATATTAACTCTTTTAGTTGCAAAGTTCTGGCTCAGAAAGCTTAATATTTAAGTGTTAAATATTACTTTTCAATATAAAAGTTATAATTATTATATTCCATAGTAATAAAATTTTTTATGAAGTTTAAAACTTAAAGATTCAATTTGTTAAAATATAATTTATTATATTTGTAAAAATTTAATCTTAAAGAGTGTGATGCTATATTAAACATTACGACTATTTGGGCTTAGAGATACAGCCTCATCACTATCCCATTGAATTTCTGCTTCAGCCATATCTTCCCAATAATTAATATTTTCCAAAATTCGACCAATGCACTTTCTAACGCCCCCATCAACGTCAGCATAGCAAAGCTCCTGAAATAGTGGTAAACATACAAAGTTCAAAAATCCCACTTGAGACTTTGGAACATCTGTAGATTCCCTATCACAAATTGGTGATATAGGTAATGCAAGAGCTTTTTCTTCATCTCCTTGGATAAAAAACTCTTCGATAACTGCACGACACCACTTATAATGTTGTGCCCATTCAAGAGCTCCATGTCCAATATCAGCTGCTTTCAAACAAGTCCTAGCAAGCATTAAGCGATCCTGAACATCACCATAAGGATCCCAATCAGAAGCTTGTCTACGAACTCTAAACCTAGATACGCATTCAAAATGCCGGTGCATATCTGTTTCCAAAATAAATTCTATAACCATTCTTCTAAAATCTCTATGCACATCTGCATCCCAACTTTGTATAAAATCTGCAGCTCCTCCATCATAATAGTAGATTATACGAAATGTTAGGGAAGCATGGAACATCTCCAGAACTGATCTATCATTATAATTAATAGCCAACATATGCCTTGAATTTACTAAAAAACTGCTTGTACGTCCTACATGACCAACATCATGACCTAATGCCGCTATTACTATAGCCAAACGTTCAACAGTATCTAAATGATTCCATAGGCCTGTAGCTTTTGTTAGACATACCGTATGATGACAGACATTAGTTCCATGAAGTTCATTATGATATTTATTATTGAGATATCGAATATTTACCTCTCTAATAAATACAGCAAATTTAGATATATCTTTAATGAGCCTAGAAGGAGCAGTAATAGATGAAGGATGGGCTGCTGCAATACCTCTAGGAAGGGTAGAAGTGTCATTTCTAAGGAGAGAATTTCTTTCTTCTGCAATAATGACAAATATCATGAATAACCCTGCTACAGTTAAACAATTCCCATATGTAAGAGCTTTTAAATTCCACATATCTAAGTCCCAGTCAGACCCATATTGAACCTCCATTAATTGTAAAGCCTTTTCAATATCCTCATATAAAGTGTTTTTTACTCTACTAGGTTTTTCAGGAAGTATAAAATCACATGCATTTTCGACACCATTAAAGAGTTTAGAACAAATATTCTTAACAGTTCCAGAAGAGTCTCTAAGTGATAAAAGTTTCGCGGTAGCCATTGTAGTATACTGAGCTATCTTACGTTTCTCTTTAAGAGCCATTCTCCATTTATTAGGAGATGATTCTGAAGATATTTTTATATCCCTTGGAGATAAACATTTTTGTGAAGTATCTTTTATAATATTTTCACCTATTAAGTTATTTCTCGGGCTCTTATCAGATATACAAGATGTTATATCTAAATCCCTAACTAAACCAGGCTCTTTATCACCAAATATTCTTGATGAATAAATACCTTCACGCCTGGAAACTGAAGATTTCGTAAATTCAGCAGTTATATACTCACGGACTCTCTCAGCTGACGGATCAATCAAGGAAGAAGAGTTTTCACCTACACCTGCAATCATCATAGAAAGTCTACGACGTGAAGGACCTGGAATACCACCACTTCCCATCCTTGATTCTGTATTTCGACGCAAGCTATCAGGCATTATATTATTATCATTACTAAAATTCATAGGAGAAAGTAATCCACTTGCTCCTTGAGGAGTTTGAGAATTAATTGGAATACTAATACTGTCTTGTAAATTTGTTTCAGATTTCGTAGTAACAGGAGGTGATAAGTTCCCTGACCGTATATTTCTAGAATCTGATGACCCCATTACATATGGTTTTGATGATAAAGATTTACTCAATGTTAATTTACTTTTCAAAGAAAAAGGTGATGATGCGATATTTATCTGGGATTGTGCAGGCATAAAAATTGAAGCTGGATCAACTGCATATATATCCTCTGTTCTACTAAGATTTACTTGGGCTGCAGTTAATTCACTCATTGTTTCATGTAACATCTTCTTATTTATACCTTTTACCTTAGTTGTATTAAGATAGCGTAAAAAAAGCTGAACCTTATTAATCTTAGCTAAGGTACCTTCAATTACTGTAGATTTAGGAGCTTGATTTATAGATTTCTCAAGAATTTGAATTTCAGTTTTGATTAAATTCATATTATAAAAATCTTTCTTAGCTGATATAACATTCAAACGCTTTGCTATTATACATACTAAAGAAAATATAATAAGATATATAATTGTTGATATATATACTGGCTCATTTGGTATAGGTTGTAAAATTGATGGAACCAATATAATATAGCTTCCAATACTAAAAGTTACATAGAGTAAAATTGGAAGAAAAGAGGTTGGAAGTAAAAAGTGGAGCATACAGATAAATGTTATTACTACAAGAGATCTTGAATGATGAACAGTAGGATCATAACTCTTCTCTACTTCAGGACTAATTTCTATTAATAGATTGCTAGAAATAATATTTAAAATAGTTGCTATGATAGAAGTGAAAGTGAATAGAAGTTCTATATTTCGAGTGAGAAAATTCATAAAATAGGATGCTATTAATAATAAAGCAAATCCTGCCACAGTACCCGTAACTGCAAAATATACTGTTAAAGATCTCCTAGTTGCCCCTGATATCTGCAAATGATAAATCCCTAATATTATATCTATTATTGTCAAAATTAAAGCCAAAATACCTATCCAAAATACTCCAGTTTCCATTCTTTTACGTAATCCAGTGAGAAAATTCCTTTCGAGCATTTCACTTCTAAAAGTAAGAGAAAAAGGATATAGAAATTCATTTGTCAATGAAGGTTTCAACGTAGAAACTATTGGGGTTATTAGGTCCTTTAATCTATCTTTAGTACATTTGCTATTTTTTAAATTATCACAAGGCTCAAGCTTCTCTTCCCAATTAGAACCCCCCTCTTCTGCTGATCCTAGATTCTCCATGAGTTCAACAGTCATATTACCATTGTTCCTTGCCATAGATCGACGAAAATATAGAAGGAGAAGATCGATAGTGCGACATTCCGTATTTAATATAATTTTCCCTAAAGGCGCGCAAACATTCTAGCTCAAAATATAGTGTGCAATTAAAGCGCTTTATCTTAGTTGTAATTGCAACATCTCCACTTGCAATTTATTAAAATAACTCAAGTACCAATAAGTATAAGTATCTGATATATATTCTTCTTGATTTTGTATACTATTATATCTAGCCCTTTTAATCTCAAATTTACTATCTCCTTATTGAAGATACAAAATTCTAAGATTATATAACCTATTTCAAATCCTAAAGTAATTACAATATTAATTATTCTGAAATTTTATTTGTTAGTATAATAATTATTATACTGAAACAACTTTTCTCTTTATTTATTTAAAAAGATAATGCATGCATGCAATAAAATTTTAAGACGTCTCATTATAGGCGCCTTAACAATTACGAATAACTTTATTACTTTTATTTAAAAGGAAAAATGCTCAAAAATGATTCGAAAATAACAAGAATATCCCCAGAAGTTAGTAGGATTCTATATATTAGGTAATTTATTTAAATAAAAGTAGTGAAATCACTTATATAACCATCATTTATTATATTCTTTTTAGACAACTTCCATATAAAATAACTGCAGATGAATTATATGATATATTTGGAAAATATGGAACTATAAAGCAAATTAGAAGGTTAGTTGTATTATTTATATATAATTAGCCGATTTTTTTTATAAATCATGACAAATCGGAATTATTTACAGAGGAACAAGTTTATCTACTAGGGGAACAGCTTTTGTTGTTTATGATGATATTTATGATGCGAAAAATGCACTGGAACACCTTTCTGGATTTCAAGTTGCTGGGAGGTAAGTATTATAATAAGGAATATTTATTCTAATTAATTTGTAAGATTTATACTTTTTTATTGTACTTTAATATTTAGATATATAGTTGTATTATACTTTAATCAAAGCAAAGTGAAAAGTCCCAATGATAATTAATTTATTATATGTAATATTTATTATTTATTAATTAATCTATCTCTTATTAGTTATTTAAAAGACATTTAAGTAATTATTGTATGATTAGAGGAAATTAACAATATATATTGGGTAGATTTATAAACCCATGAATCTCTTATATATTACAATGTTAAGATTTTACTATATTGTGTAATATACTAGATAGTTCCAAACTATTATATAAGAATCCTTATTAATATTATATACCATTTCTTTCTCAGCATCTTATGTTATCAAAAAGATACTAAACCCCAAAACTAGAGTCTCATCATAGTACCGCCTATTATGTAGCGCCAATAATTATATAAGACAGATTGTAACTAGTTATAGACAACATTTAATACTACAAAGAATGGAAGTAATACTTTTTATATGAAACGTGTGTTGTATATATAAGACATAAATATTTGTTTTAAGATTTTATTTATAAACTATTTTGGTATATTTAATGTGATTCTATTGAATAGTGACTATGTCTTAATGTAATATTTTAATTAGCCAATAATCATACAACTCTATTATTTATTAATTTATTCGTGATAATCTATGAAGAATCTTAGATACGATTTAAATAGAGTATATGATTCCTCTTTACATTTAAAATTGGGTACTTTTCTTAGGGAATGGAAGTCGGAATTCCAAAAAGTCTTTATTGGTAAAGATCATTTGATTAATGAAGTATTTGAGATAATATCAGCAAATTTACTGCAAATTTATCTTTCTAGCACTATGGTTATTTATAATCAATTGAAATATGTTGACAACTTTTTGAAAATTATATCATTTGATGCTATATCTAACTATTATATTATACAAGGATATAAAGGTTCAGGTAAATCACATTTTATAAAATCTCTTATAAATACATGTAACAAGGAATTATTTGTAAATTCTCTTGATAATGTTGATAGGTGTTTTTCAATAGATCTATTAAATTTTCTAAATGGAAGTAAACCTATATTGATGAGTAATTTTGATGGGTTATCTGATATATCTTTGGAAGGAATATTGAAATCTATTATTACTGTAACTTTAGATATAAAAACTAAAATCTTATTTTGTAAAAATTTTGAGAATCACGATTTTTTCTGCCCTATAAGCTTTGTTAATTTGATAAATTTTACAGCTTTAATAGAGACATATGATTTATATGTAAATGGAGGCCAAGTCTATACATTTGCTGGAATTGCAACTCCATTATTAATATCATATGTAATTGGAAATTTTATTTATAATGTAAGCATTGATAAACTTCCTATAATAATCCTTGGAGAGTATGATATTATTAAGAATCCTAAAAATAGTTATGTTCCTGAAACTTTTCTTGATGAGTTTATATATGGAAATGAAATATTTAACAGATATGAATCAGAAAAATTGTCCATGTTAATGAGAAATTATATGAATATGTTTTCTTTAATTAATTTTTCAAATTTACAATTTGATAATTTCTCTTATAATAAAGAAATTCTCATTTATCAATTAGCTAAGAAGTTCCAATTTCAAGATAATGATAATAGAGTTCAGATATTAAAAGATATAATAGTGGAATTTGAAGACTTTTTGAAATTTTTTACAACTGGAGATATTAATTTATTATGTAATGAAATAAATTCAATGAGAATTCAAGATTTAATTTCAAGTTCAAATACTTCTCGCATTGTGTGCTCTGGAAATCTTATCTTTACCTCTGAAGATGAAGATATTATATGTCCTTTAGAAGCTATATCTGTTAAACTTAGAAAATATTTTATTTTATGTTTTAAATATATTACTCCTGACTTAACACGTGAACTTTCTAGAAGCTTCTCAATCATACAATATCTAAAAAATAGAGTTTTTGAAGATAATAATTTTACAGGTTTAGATAAGGTTATAGGATTTCAAGAAATTATAAAAGATATAAAGAATGAAATTTATTCATTAGGATTTAATAAGGAATTCTATAATTTACCTGTTGTATTTAAGGGAATTATTGGCTTTGTTATATCTGGTGATAAGGGAAGTGGTAAGTTAAATATTGATTACATATAAAGTAGATGATGTTTTTTTCCGAATGATAGGCCTGAAGATTCTATGATGAAGTTTTTTGAGCCTTGTACAAATATCTGATACTTTATATATATAATCTAATCTAATTTATTATTCTTTTAATTTTAGGTAAGACATTTTTGACGAAATGCTTAGCTGAAGAACTAAAGTCAGATCTGATAATTATTAATACAGCAGATATATTTAACAAAAGGTTAGGAGGTACTGAAGAAGCTATTGAAGAATTAATACAAGGTGCTCAAAATTATAACCGAATTACTTTACTTTTTGAAGATATAGATATTCTTTTAAGTACAGATTTACATTACTTAGATTTAAGATCTTCATTTATTTATCTTTTGGACTCATTATCTAGATGTAATAAATGGTTAGGATCGAAAATCCTTGTTATTGGGACAACTAGTTTACCCCATAAGATAGATCCTTATGTATTTCAGGTAAGTAACATTTTGCATATGATGATACAAGATGACGAGTATGAATATCGAATAAACTACATTAGAGAAACAAGATATGACTTGTTTTAAGTTATCTCTTGATATTTTCAATGTTTTATATTTCGATTTACACCTAAATATTCTTGGTGTTGATTACACTCGAGGCATTTGTCTGATGTAGTCACTTTTTGACATATGCACCCAATATTTTAATATTTCTTTTATAGCCTTATAGATTTTCTAAATTATTAAAATTACCCAAATCTTCTGAATGGAATTTAGAATCTAGATTTAAACTTTTCAAGATACATCTAGAACCTGTATGGAATAGAATTAGAGATATGATTATTTTTGATATTGGGAAAATTGAAATAGATGATGTTATTAGATTAATAAATAAAAGACTATTAAATACATTTTCTCCAGCTAAGGCTGAAATTATCTCCAAAAATTTGGGTCTCTTAGCTATTGATTTTATTTTAAAAATTAATGGAAATTCAAAGAATATGAAATCATTGGAAATTCCCCATACCATATTAATGCACCAATTTTCAACAGTAGATAGTATTGTTGATGCAATATTATCACGTTAAATTAATGCTAGTTGTTTATGAATTAATAAATTTTAATTATTAAATATAATATTAATAAACTCATACTTTTAATATATATAAAATTCACATTTTAATTAAAGTATTCTTAATATAATAGACTTAGTATATAATGAGTGAATATTTTAATATTGGTTAATTAATATTTCAATAGAATACACTAAGTTCAATTATAAATTATACTAAGAATATACTTTATATTCTTAATTCAAAACATCTTATATTATGCTGAAATTCCATTGTTAGAATTGTTATTTTATTTTATGAATTTAAATATTTATTTATCTTCATTTGTATTAACATCAATTATTAAATATCTTAGAAATTGCTTCAATAAATACTTTTTTGAGTTCTATATAATATATAATATTTATTTAAAATAGTAAAAATTCTAAATAACTTCTTAGTAGAATTTTAATGTTATATAATTTATTTCTAGAAACTATAATAAAATGTTAAATATTTCAAATATTTATTATTATTATTATAACTAATTATTAAAATATAAAGATTTTTTTAGAATTAAATCTAGTTAAACATTTCTAAAATATTAATATTGAATTCACTTTTCTTCAGCTAGTATTGCAATCAAAATTTTCACCTTTACAAGTTTATTATTTTAGCTATTCATGAATTTATATTTATTTTAAAATTAGATCTAACATGGTTCTATTCATAATGTTAAAACTATTAACTTTAGATTTTTTTTAATTATAGGATATTGACTACTTATTAATAGAAATGTAAATATCAATTATTAAAATTTCACTCAATTTTTAGTCAACAAGATAATATTAATTAGATAAAAATAAAAATATTAACTTTTTCTTCTTTTCTATATTTTGTAAACAGATTATTAGTTAATATTTAGTTCTGAAATATTTAACACTGTAATATTAATTTTAAAAATTTCTACTTATTATTATTGGTATATAAGTTACAGAATATATTGTTATACTAAAGATACAAATAAATTAGTCTTAATGTTTCAAATACATAAAATATAATTTAATATTTTAATTTCTCTAAATCTTTTTAATTAAATTAATTATTTGAAGTAACATAAAATTATAATGCATACTAATTCAGTCTTATTATAGGTCAATTCTTGAATTTATAGTTACTAATATTATAGCTGATTAAATTATCAAAACTTCCTTAATAAGTTACAGATAAAATATCATCTTACATTTTTTTTCTAATAATTGATATTATTCATTTTTTTAATTTGGATTCTTAATTTAAATTATTTTATAAACATTAAAATCTTTTAGTCAAATTTCATTTATAAATAGTTAAAATCCATTATCTACTTTTTTTTTTTTTTATAATTTATAAAGTGATTTCTTAAAACTTAATTATCTTCTGTTTACTATGTAGTCTTATTAGAGATTTTCCAAGTTATTTGGAATTTTCTAAGAAGCTCTATCTTGTATATTTTTGAGTACCATCATTCACATTACATATTTTGCTACTATTAAAGACTTGAATAAATAATTAACAAGTAATAAGGATATCTAAAAAAAGTATATTTCTATAATTAATAGAATTTTATTTAAAATATTCAAAAATTTTTGAATAGTTGCAATTTCTTAAAAAAAAAAAAACTACAAAAATATTCAAATGAGTATAATTTTGTTAAAATAAGTAATACATACCTGATACTTAATTCATAGTAATTTTTATGGACTAATTACCTAATATTATCCTATTTAAATAATTAACAATAAATTAAGAATAAAGAGACTTTAGTACCCAAAATTAATTATTTGCATGTTTTAGCCGCCTAACACAAAATTAGACATTTTTCTTTTTTAAGAAAACGAAAAAGAAAGAACTCCGCCATTTCTTAAAGTAAACAAAAATGTCAAAAAATAGCGAAAATGATCTACCATATAGTCGAAATATTTATAATGAGCCCTTAAGTAATTTAAAGAAGTTATGCCTAAATTATAGAAGCACATGTATGTTAGTAATTTAGCATCTATATTTCATTTATTTTTATATCTTATTTATGGCTGAATTTCAGGTTCTGTAAAAGATATTGATAGATTAAGGATATCTGTTTTACAAAAAACTCTACTTGATTCCATTTTGTCATTGGAAATTTCTCGTGCTATACTACTTTTAAAGATTATCGGGAGACGGATGTGCATGATTCAGACATTAAGACAGATGGTTTTTCATATTAAGAGTTTTGTAATATATACACTTGAAAGAGATTTTAGATATAGTGATCAGTTAGAAAAAGATGATTTAATATCACTATATAATTGGTTATGTAAATTATATGGATAATATACAATAAATATAAATAGTGGTAATAAACTAAAATTTGAAAATAATTTTATATTGAATAGATATAATCTAAGGTTTATTGATTAAATTAGAAGATTGTAAGATGAATATATTCTAAATAATAAAATATAATATTTGAAGAATCAAGAAAATTTTAATTATGTACAATGTTTGATTTTTTAATATTATATTATATATATATATTAATTTAATTGTTTAATTAAAATAAAAATTTACTATATAATTTTGTATAAATTTAAAATTTAATTTAATGAACCAAATTTAACCTCAGAAGTATATTGATTACTATATTCAAAATATTCAAGCTCTACATCACTAATTTGGCGTCTATCTGTGCTACTTACTGATTCAAAATCATCTTCTGAATCTACTAAATCATGTACAAGTACTGGAGTAGTCGATGGGACATAAACTATATTCAACCTTCTATTAAGAGGAACTTCATGATAATCTGATACTAAAGAATGTTGTGAAGGAAGTACATTATGAGCACGGATTCTAGGAGAACATATTGGGCTTGATTCCTTAATTGTTTGAGGATAAATATTTGTATGCAAATTATTATCTATTGGAGCCATAATAGAATTATTTTCTGAATATAAAGAATATGGATTATTATCACTTAAAGATTTTGGAGTCCCATGATCAATATTATTACTTTTAGGTAATAGTGATGAACCTAAAATTAAATTATAATTTGATTTCACTTCCCCAATTGAAGAACAAGGTTCTACAGTTCTAGTAGTTTTAGTTGTATAAATATCTTTATCTTTATTAAAGTTATAAGAATTAATTTCTTTATAGGTACTTAGTTCAGATTCTAAAGATGTATAATTAGTTGATTGTTGCATTAGTTGTGTAGTTAAAACTGTATCTGTAGTTATTTCTTTAAATAAAAGTTGATTTTTATTATTATCAGAAAGTTTTATTGATATACCTTGACGATAATTTCCACGAGGGTCTAGATTTAGATATTGTTGAGTACTAGCATGAAGTAAATTAAGGAATGATTCAGTATAATCTTCCATGTTATTGTTAAACAAAGTAAGATTTTGTTTATGTAATTTATTAGAATAAAATACAGTTTCATAAGAATCCTCTTTACTTTGTAAACAAACAAATAAACCATCATCATTAGCTATTAGAGAATATCCCTTAAATCTTGTATTTGGTCCTATATATTTTAAATTTATAGCTTCCCATTCTTTTTCATATTCTGTAGAATTAGGGGGATTCGGTAAAAATGACCAATAACTTAGTGTTTTTAAAAGACCCTTGTTAATAACTGAAGAAACAATATTTGATAATCCTAACCAAAATTGGGGTAGCTTATGTATTTTCCAAAAAGATGGTGTTCTAAGTAGAACTACTCTAGCAGCATTAGATTTTGATGTTGGTTCTAATCCTAAGTAATATTCTTCACCATATATATTTACTGATAAAGCTATTTCAGTCCTTTCACCCAATGCTCTATTTATTGTTTCTTTAATATTTTTAGCTAGTGGATTTGTTATTGTATCCCTTGACGTTAAAGAACTAAATTGATTAGTTCGAATAACTTGAAATGTATTATTTTGAAGTAATAATGGTTTCATAGTATTATTTCTAAAGGATAAAGATCTAGTAGTCATACTAAGAGTACGAGATAATTGTTCATTGACCTCTCTTAGTCTGACATTTTCTTCTTCAATTTCTTTTAAACGTTCAACCCAATTTGTTTCACTACTTTTTGATTTACAATTTGATATATAATCTATATTTGGATATTCATTCAATTTTTCTAGATCCAATTTGAATACAGGTTTAGATTGATTGTTTAACTGCATTTTCCATATATTATATATAGAATATTTTATTAACTAAATTACATATTCAATTTTATACGATTTTTTAAACATATATTATCTTTATAGGTACTAGTTTTTACTTTTTTTTAGGTAAAGAAAGAAAAAAAAAAGGAAATCTAAATCTTAGACTGTGTGCATTGTGTGTTAATAAAAGGGCGCCACTTAAAAATGTCATCCTATGTTTTAACCGCTTTTAATACGTGAAGTCTGGTATAATTTATAAATTATTATTAAAAATGGGAGATTTTGTGCCATTGGAAGTACATTCTGTGAATGTCAGTTTTGAATCTGAATATTCAAAAGAGAATAAATATAAATTTATTTATGGAGAGAAAGAAGATTGGAGAATTTCAGGTGTAGGTTTTGTAATTTGTCAAGAAGAAAAATTAGTAGTTGCATCAGGTTACCATATAAAGATATTCTCTATTAATTCTATTAAAGATGAATTAGTTAAACCTATTAACTTAGGAAATTTTAGAAATGAGATCAATTGTTTTTCTTTTAGAAGTGATGGTAAACTTATAGCAGTAGCTACTAAAGGAGGAGAATGTGATATCATAGATATACAGACACGTTCAACTCTTCGACGTCTTATTTTTGAAGGAGAATCTTTAACAGCTATTACTTTTTCTAAAGATAAATCTAAGATTATAGGTGGTACTACTAATGGTAAATTAATTGTATGGGATATTGCAACAGGGGATAAACTTATTATTAAGGATATTCATAATGATATTATTAAATCAATAATTTTTATAGACTATGAATATAATTTAGATAATGATGTAATAAATAATAATTCTAGTATAGATTTATCAATAGATACCTTTGCAACATGTAGTTATGATGGTACTATACGATTATGGTGTATAACCAAAATATCAAATTCATCTCTAAATAAACTTTCTGAGGATAAATTTGAATTAGAATTTATAAAGGAATATAAACATGAAGCTCCCGTAGAATGTTTAAAATATATAACTCCAGGAATTTTAGTTTCTGCTGGTGGTACCTCTGTTAAATTATGGAATATTAAAGATAAAGAAGAAAATCAATCTCCTATATTAATGAATTTTTGTAATTTTGGTCGTACAGTTACTTCATTAGATATTAATGGAGATATTATTCTTGCTGGTTCTTTAGATCGTAATTTGAGTTTTTTAGATATTAAATCTTTTGAAGTTTTGAATTCTTTTCATTTCCTAAGTGGAATTCAAGGGGTAGCAATTTCAAAAAATGCAAGATATATTTTAATAGCTTTAGAAGATGGAAATTGGATATGTAGACAAAAATCTGTAACTTTATCAAATAATTTAAAAAAACAAGATAAATATGGACGTACCAAAAATATAATTCGTACTGGTACTTTAAGATATTTTAGAAGAGGGAGAAATTCAAAACCTGATATTTCACATATCAAGATTAATGCACCAAAAAAGAAGATTACTCAACTAGATCGTCTTCTTAAAGCATATGCTTATGGTAAAGCATTAGATTTAGCATTAAATATAAGTTGGTTACATGTTTTGACAGTTTTAGAAACTCTTTCATCTAGAGGAGCTCTTCATATTGTATTTAAAGATATATCAAAGGATAAGTTACTAATTATACTCAAAATGTTATCACGAAGTATTGGACGTTGTAATCCTTCTCATTATTGTATAATTACTGAAGCAATTCAACATATTTTAAATGAAAGTAATTGGCAAAAATTATTTCCATTAAATTCAGATATATCGAAATCTATTACCGAAATTACAGATGCAGTGAAAAGATTAATTCATAAAGTTACATTAGAGATTCAACAGCATAATATACTTAAAGAATTAGATGGAATGATTGAATTAATATTATCAAATTACAATGACACTTGAATCATATATAGATAATTTTAAGTTTATATTAACTAATAGATTTTATTTTAGGTAATTTTGAAGTTTATATATATCAAAGACTATATTTATTGAATATCTTAGTATTTTTATTTTAAGTAAAGTATGTAGAGTTAAAGTTATATATTAAGCATGCCAAATTATAATCGATTTTATTATTCACTCGAATTTGTTTATTGATTCTAAGTCCACCAGGAACTTCTGAATACAAACAATCAACAACAGTTTGTGAATCATCTAAGGCTGTTAAAAAGTCCTTTTTAACAAATCTATTTATACTTGATAATTTTGTTGGAACCTTTGTATTACGAAGTTTTGCAACTGTTGAAAAAACTGAAAGACATGAATTAATCTATTTAATCAAAAACGAGAAAAAGATGAAATGAAATATAAATTAAAATATCATTAATATTGTATATAAACTTACATGTAATTTTACAAAAATATAACTCATTTGATTTTTTTTTCTACTATTAATTTATTAGTTTGGGAATAACTAATTTAGGGCGCAGTTAACATCATAAAGTGTGATAATCAAAGTACAATTACTGTATTTATTACTAATATCTCTAATTTATACTTTGATAAGTCTCTAAATATGAAATATATTGGAAGATGTACGAAATTCTGCCCTTTAGAAGAAGAAAAAAGTAGAATATATCTTAAAAGGTTAAGTATATTTGAACAAAAGGATAATTTTCCAGGAGAAATGATCTTTATAGTTAAGGTAAATTTTAAATATTCTTATTTGTTTATTTTTAAAATCAGACTGTCATCTATTATTTAGGAATATATCAGATTATCTACATCAACAATTAATCTAAATAATATTAGAGATATTGACACTCTAAAGTCTGTCTCTAATTATCTACTTATTCAATTATTTCCCAAAGTTATAATTAAAGGTTCTAATGAAATGAAATCTCAAATATTTGAATTTATAAATAATCGATTAAGAGCAATTCGTCAAGATGCCACAGTTCAACATTGTATTTCTATAGAATTTCTTAAAATCCTTGTACAATCTATAAGATTTCATCTTTTAACTGAATATCTTGCTTGCAATAAAATAATATATTTATCAAGCTTCAATTGGAATCGTTTCCTTTTGGGACTATGCTTAATGCAAGCATTACAAATATATTTAAAAGTTAATAAATATACTTGTTATAAACAAAATCCTCAATTATATGAACTTTCGTCTGAAATTATATCTTATGTTGTATTAATTTCACTAAGTAATCGTCAAAAACCTTTAAATATATTGGATTATTTATATTTTTATGTGAAACATGAATTAATATCTCATCCAATTTGTAATATTACTCTAAATATTGCTAAAGAAGTTTTAGATGGTAATATTACACGTGTCTTACATCTTATCACTAAACTTCCTTTTTTTGGAAAGTGTGCTATTATTTCTTCAATAACATATCTTCGAAATTTATATTTAGATACATTTACTACAGCTAATAGTAATGGGAAAGGGCTTAAAGTTACATTATCATCTTTAAAAACTCTTCTTTCTTTTCAAAATGAAGATGCATTAATAGAATATATCAAACCAACAGGTCTAATTATTTCAGAAGATTTAATTAAAATATATAGAAATCAAAAATATATCTTTGTAAATAATATTGAAATGATTCCTGATATCAAATTTCTTTTTTCTAAATCAAATTTCCTAACTACAGAACAAGATATAGCTTATCTATTTAAAATCTAATATTTAGTGAAATATAAAGTATTTACTAGACTATTTACTCCTATATTTAATAAAATTAAGTAATTTTGGATTTTTCTTTTTTTTTTTTTTTTTTTAACAACATACTCCAAATACATGTCGTCTTCTACGAGCTCTAGCTTGTTGAGCATCCATTTGCGTTCCATCTGGGAATGTAGCTGTTGATTGCATCATTACAAATGCAGTAGGACCAATGGATGTATTATATGGTGTTAACCAATAAGCATAATCTACAGGTAATAATCCAGTTGCTTGATATTGATCAAAAGGCCACGATTCACCAATAGTCTCTTGCATACGGGTTGCATTGACAACATTAGCACCAATAAAAGAATTTGCAAACATATCTTGTAGATTTACATTTAGTAATTCTATTGCTGCATTATTATCAACTGAAATTGCATTTTGATCTTCTATATGATCCTCTTGAGATACCTTTTCTTCCTCAACTTCTTGATTTCCAATTCTATTGTCTATATCTTTGTTCTCAATGTTGTGATCCCCTAGTTCACTCATCTTTGTAATCTCTTTTTTTTTTTTTTAAGAATAATTCAAGTATAGAATTTAATTACAACTTAATCTAAGTGTATAAGAATACTAAAGTAAAACAGATTGTAGCATGCGACACGCACGTGTGTAAAATTAGGCGGTAACTGTAATACTTGTCTAACAGATTTATCTAAATACTAAAAAAGTATAATTTTACAATTTCGTGATAATTATTTATTAGTAATATTATGAAATTTAAAGAGTATTTATATTTTTTATTTAGTATTTAATAATATATTCACTTTAATTCTAGGTAAGTTAAAATATATTACGAGAATCTAAAAAAAGATTGGATTACATTTTATATTTATATGATTATTTAATAAGATAATAATTGCATTATTTATAATATTAGTCTAGACAATAATATACAAATATATAGAGTTATCTACTATATAAATTAGATTTCTGAAAGATAATGGAAGTTCCTTTCTATTTACAATAAAGTCATTTATATTATTATTTCAATAATATAATATTTAATTAAATATAAAGTGAATAGATCATCCTCAGTAGTTAATTATATAAATTTCAAATTTAGAGAATAATCTATATTAAATTTCTGCTTGTTAATTAATCAAGAAGAAAGTAATTATGTTAGTTTATATTAGGACTAATATCTTTAATATAATAATTTATATATATCTACCCAAGATCACATTAACTATTAAAAATAACCTATAAATTACTTATTATATCTTATAATTCATAAAATAAAAGGAAAGAATTATTATAATATCAACATATCTCCAATTATAAAAAGTTTTTTTTAGGGGATGCAATATAATAATCTATTAATGTTGTAGACAAAAAATCATAAATATATTTACCGCTATAAAAAGTCGAGACGGCGCGCGTATTGAATTGTCTCGTATAACGAATATTGATTGAAATAAATTGAAATTTTATCACACTTTATCTATTAAAATATGGGTAAGAGAACAAAGAAGGTAAGTTTATAAAATAGATTATACCGTGTATTTGTATTAATATTGATGAGTTGATACACAAATATAATATATTGATTTCAATTGGAGACATGATTGACTTTTAAATAAATTTTAGGTCGGAATTACTGGTAAATTTGGTACTAGATATGGTGCTTCCCTACGTAAACAAGTAAAAAAGACGGAGTTATTACAACGTGAGACTTATGGTTGTCCATTTTGTGGAAAAACTACTACAAAGCGCACAGCTTGTGGTATATGGGAATGCAGAGGATGTAAGAAGATTTTAGCAGGAGGTGCTTGGCAATTAAGTACTGCAGCTGCTATCACAGCTAGATCTACAATTTCTCGTCTTAGAAAGCAAAGAGAAGAAGCTGAATAATCTCCATTAGATATTTATTAAGTAAATCGATCTTCTAAATATTAATAGAATCTTGAAATTTTATGTTAGATAGACCTATTAGTTACTAAGGATCTTAATTATGGAATTACTTTTAATTAAGAAAACAAGATAAGATTTATAATTAGAATATTATATATTGATAATGTTATTTTATTATTAAATTATATAATATTAAGATAACTAAATTTGAGAGTTACTAGAAAAAAGAGTTTATTTAATCATTTATTCCTATGTATTGTATTTAATAAGAGAAAATCACTTTTATCAACTCTATATGCCAAATCTAGCCTCTAATGCACTATTTATTGATATCTTACCAAGGGGATCTAAAGGTGACTCAATATTTAAATAATCACCAATATCTAAAGAATCGTCACATCCCATTACTAAGTCTAAGCTTAAATGAGAACTTGGTAGACCTGGGTGACGTTGAGTTTTAGAAACAATATCTTGCTCCATCCTAGCTCTTAAACTAGAATGATATCCATAAACAATAGAATTCATTTGTAGCCTCATTTCTTGTTGTTTCACAAATCCCTAAAATAAAAGAAATTATACAAAGTAGTTCAATTTTATTTAATATTTATTATTAATATATAATCATGAATACAATTTAACTACTTACTTTTTCTTGTACTTTTTGAGGTAAAGATCCTTGATTAGTTCCTAAATCAATAGGAGCAAACCCATTTATTAATGAATTATTGGGATATGTTGTGCAATGAGTTAAATCATATTTACTCTCCATTTTAAATATTTTGATTATTCAATGTGTTCAATGTGGGCGTGATTTTGAGGTTTATTATCATAACCGCTTAGGAAACTATAAAGCGAAAATTAGGTTTAATACATATGAAAAAACCAGATAATTCTATTATTACTAATTCTGAAGTAATATGTAGAGATTTAAACAAATATAATCATATTAAAATATCAGAAATTTCAAAAGATTGGGATACTCTTGTTAAATGGTTACAGTATAGAACTAATATTAGAAAGGAAACACCATTAGATCCTTCAATAATATGGAATTTTGGAATAAATTCCAGTATGGAACATTATTTTATAGAATCTAAAGATAAATATACTAAATTTGAAGTTAAATCAGTAAGAAGTCCTTCACTTGAACGAGAATTTATACCAGAAGATTATAAAGATATTCAAGAAATAGATACAACTAAAAGGAACAATTCTATTAATATAAGTGAAAGTGACATTGATAATGAGTTAGATAATAACTTATTAAACACTGGTAGTAATAATATAGGTGATTTAGATATATCTAAGCAGGATATTGAATTTGGACCTCAACCTGATGAAATGAATCTAATTGTATCAAATAAAAATGTTAATTATGGTTCAGCATTATTAGCAGGAGAAGGTAAGGCTATGGCTCAATATGTACAATCTGGTAAACGTATTCCAAGAAGAGGAGAAATTGGATATACTGCTGAAGAGATTGAGAGATTTGAGAAATTAGGTTATGTTATGAGTGGTGATTTACATAAACGGATGAATGCAGTTAGAATAAGAAAGGAGTCTCAAGTATATTCTGCTGAAGAGAGAAGAGCTATGATTCTAAGAAATGAGGAAAATAGAGCTCAAAGAGAATCTCATTTAGTTGGAAAATTACGTGAATTACTTAAAGAACAGAAAAAGAAATTATAAAAAAAATTTTATATAATAGAATTATATAGGAAATTCTTAAGATATTTTATATCTTTTTTTTTATAGTAAATAAATGATTACATTTTATTAAGTATAAATATAAGAAAAAGAACAAAGAACAAAAAAAAAAAATATTTTAAACTTTATATTATAATAACATTTCTTTTAAAAGAAAATTAAATACATATTCAATTAATAAATGTCATAATATCTATATCAAATAATTTCAAAATATGAAATAAACTAAACATAACTTTATATTTACTACATTAAATATATATTGAATATTTTATCTATAAAAAAAATGACTTAACTTAAATATTGTAAAATATTGATGAAATTTATTACTCTGTTATAATAAAAAGATCATAAATCTAGATATCTTATTATATATAATAAATTGTTAATAATATAGTACTTCAGAATTTCTTATATAAATATGCAAATTTTTACTCATTCAATAAAAATGTCAGTTAAGTGGGAGTATCCACTTTTCAAAATATTTAGAATTTAGAAATTGATTAATATCTTCCTACTTTAATTCTTAATAATAAAGATCCTACTTTCATACATTTAAAGCAAGAAAATAATATTATAAATAAAATGATCTTGCTTCAAGTATTAATATGATTTAATAAGATTAAACTGAGGACTTTGCATAAGTTGAATTCCATTGTCTTGCTGTTTTTTCTGCTTCAGTAGGATTATTTTTAAAATGGTCAGCTACAGTTGTATCTAAAGGATCATCTGGTTCAGGAGAGCTTAATAAAGCTTGAATACTTAATAAGACTGTTCTTATTTGTAAAGCAGGACTCCATTTATCTTTAAGAATATCTAAACAAATCCTTCCAAGTTTATCAATATTAGGATGATATATTTTTGTTAAAAATCTAACTTTAGGAGGTTCCATTGGGTATTGTTCTGGTAAAAATAATTCCAATTTATAATAACCACCTTCATATGGTGTTCCTTCAGGTCCAGACATTAAAATTTTAAAATATCTATAATTTTGAGGATCAGGTTGTGCATTTATACCTGGAGGGGGATCACTAGCTAAATTTAAAGTTTCTTTTTGTATTCTCTTAGAAATTGACATTTCTTTTTTCAATTAAATAGTTAGAAAATATTGTCAGTTCAAATATAACACTAAATTTTCCACCACATTGCTAACAGTAATAATTGCGCCCAATATTTAATATAAATAGCCCACATATAGATAAATAAGGCTCTAATAAATACTTAAATATATATATATATATATAAGAATTAATCATTATTTTAATATATCATAAAAAAAATTAAGAATATCAATAAACTAAGCAACAAATATTATTATATCAAATAATAAAATTAGAATATTTCACTTAAACTGTGGAATGGTTTCTTAGTTACATTATGATCTAAATATTCAAAAGGTGAGTCACGCTTAATAGATATCCCAAGCTTATTTTTAAGATTCACAAGCATTTTATTTGTAATTAAATCAAAGTCTATAATTTCAGCAGATTGTATTATAGCCTGAGTCTTTTTTTGATTATTATATTCTTCCATTCTTAAAGTAATACGAAGATTTAAATATTGCCATAGATATTTGAAACCTAAAAGAAAATTTAATTTAACATCATTTCGTAATTCCATTTGTTTACATTCTGATGATTCTAAACCAGATAAAACAATTGATCCTATATTATGAAAACATCTAACCGACAAAGAACTTGTATAATCTTCAATAGTCACTGGAAACATATACTTTGTATCCGCAATAACAGACTCATCACATTTTTCACAATAAGAATTATTTAAAACTTTTTTCTTACATTTCGGACATGCATCATATGTTAATGAAGGTTTCTTTTCAGATATATTTTGACCAATTGAATTAGGGAAACCAATTCTCGATATTCTAGCTAAAACAGAATATGTCTGATTAGAGGAATAAGAATTTTCATCCATTAAAATTCTTACTTCTTTTAAAGACTTTTCTAAAGTTAACTTGTCCATCGGAAAATTACTAGATTGAATTACTGTTGTATTAATAGATTGGAATTTAGTAGTTTGACCATATTCTATAAACCATGACTTAACCTTATTCATACGATCATTTTTAAGATTAAAATCTATCATACTACGACCATTTAATGTTGAACCTTGTTTACCTTGGAAATCACGGATCTGAAGATTTTTGAACGCTACTACAGGATTATTTGATAATATTTCATCATCAATTGAAGCAAGATCACCCCATAATGTTACATTTAATTGATATTCAGAATCATCTACAATTACTATATTACGTCTTGGAATTTCTTCATTATTTCTTCTAGAAATAACCTTAGAAAGTGGTGAAGAGCTCTTAATTATACCAATAATATCTACAGTACATGGTGTATTCATATTACGAATATCTTTAATAGATAGAAATCTGTATTGGGGATCTTTACTAATTGTTTCATCATGCTCAACTTTAGTTATCTTACAGCGTTCAGAAAAGTTTATCTCATATGGATTTGAAGTATTATTAAATCTAGCATTAGAAACAGCTACATCACTTCCTGTACATTTAAAAATATAAACATCTCCTTGTTCAATCTTATTATAATATTCTTCAGCTTTATTACGCCAAAACTTCACTTTTATAGTATCTCCATCTTTATCAATGAGATCTATATGGAAGAATTTTAGATCATTCCTCAAAGTTTGCAATGTTCTACTTTTTTCTATTACTCTCCCTTTTAAAGTAATAATCTGTCTATTAACATTAACTTCACGAATTGGCATATAAGGACTAAAAAAAGGAAGTTTAAATAGACACTTTGATTAAGTATACATCCTATTTAGACCCTTTAAAAGATATCATACACGTTAATGTTCTTAATAAGGTCTAAATAAAGAAAAGATAGTTATATAACTTACTCAGCCATTTTGAAAATAATTAAATAGGTATAACATAGGAAGTGATATTCTATAATAAATATTAGAGAATGTGGGGAAAAGAGGGATAGTAAACTAGTATGTAATTTCAGACCCCACAAACTTAACTTTTTTTTAACTAGTTTATTGTATAAAATTATGAATATTTAACATTAAATAGATTAGGGATATAGAAGATAAAGATATATATATATATTATATAATTAGAAATTATTTTGTGATTCTTATTTTTTTAAGATATTATTTCCAAAATATTTTTATAGACAAATTTACCGCCAAAATATAGATTTTATTGAAAGGTTCCATTTAAAGGGAATTTCCTATATTATTTGTTTCTTATAAATAAATTAACTATATAATATTATAAATATTAACAAAGTACAACGGGGAAATTTTTAAAGAATTGAATTGTTGCATATTGATTAAAGAAAAAGTTCTAACTTGAATAAATTAAGAATACAAAGGTCATTTATTAAATATTCCAAGAAATATTTATTATATGTAGGAAATGTTTGTTTACATAATTTGATATATATAAAATATAAACCTTCTAACAAATCCAGAAGAGAAAAAAAGTGTGGATTATCTCCTTAATAAGAATAGAGTAATATATAATAGCAAGCGCCAAATTCTGGAGTAATATTTAGCTAGGTGCAACTTTTAACTTCTGTGGGGTCTCTAGATTATTTTTGACTTTCTTCTTCTCTCTACTCTAAAGATCTAAGTTTAAATTTTCAACACTATTATTTGAAAGATGGCAAGTACAGGAGCAGGTTATGATGTGTCAGTCTCAACTTTTTCTCCAGATGGACGAGTATTCCAAGTAGAATATGCTAATAAAGCCGTTGATAATAGTGGTACAGCTATAGCCCTTATTTTTAACTCTGGTATTCTTTTTGCTGTCGATAAATATGTAGTTAATAAGATGGCAGTCTCTGGAACTAATAGACGTGTATTCTCTTTAGGTCGTGGTATTGGCTGCTGCATTGCGGGTTTTGTTACAGATTCTCATCGTATTGTAAATATTGGTCGTTCAGAAGCTGCAAATTATCAAAAATTTTATGGTGAAACAATCCCTATAAAGGTATTAGCTGAACGTATAGCAATGTATATGCATGCATTTACACTATATGGATCTGTAAGACCTTTTGGTTGCTCTATTTTAATAGGGGGTATTGATCCTAATCATGGGACAGAATTATATTGTGTTTCTCCATCTGGTTCATGCTATAAATATAAGGCTATGGCAATAGGAAAGGGACGTCAAATAGCTCGTAATGATCTAGAAAAACTTATTGATAGTAACTTAGATGAGAATGAAGCAATGTATGAATGTGCAAAGATTATTAAACAATCCCGTGATGAAGGTGGCAATTTGAATGTAGAACTAGAATTGGCTTTAATTGGGCCTAGCTCTAATTCACAATTTTCAATTGTATCTAATTCAGTAACTAGAGAAGTTGAAGAGAGAGTAGATAAATATTTGGATGAGTTAACTTGTGCTGAATGAACATATTTAATTATTTTTATTAAAATTTTTCACCTATAACTTTAAGGAAATTGAATAGATAACTTTAGAATATTTACTATGAAAAGTTGAAGTTAAGATTAGATTTTTTTTTTTAACTTTTGAGTGTATCTTTATCTTTAAATATGTAATTTTCTTTTTTCTTTTTAATTTTAGAATTTTGAATATGTAAATAAGAATGGTTTGAAATTATTAGATAATTAGCTAGATAAATATTCAGTATACTTCTAGACATTTAGAATAAATAATATTAGTCAGTAGTTTGGTCTAGTAAATTAATATATTTCAATACACAATTAAAATATTCAGATGGAAATTTAACTTTCTAATTTAACTTATAATTGGGAATGTTACAAGTTATACTATTATATGAGCTTTATTAGCGCTAAAATAAGTTTGGAAATCTTTTGAATAGATTTCAGTAATTCTAATTTACTCAATATGCTCATAAATATACTTAATAATATATCAGGGGCTATTGTATCCCTTGATTTATCTAGTGATACAACTATAGGAATATTAAAATCTTTAGTGGCTTGTGAACTTAAAATATCAGCTTCCTCTTTACAAATAATTTATAATGGCAGAAATCTGACAAATGAACAATATACTTTGGAAAATTACTCAATAGAGAGTGGTGATATTCTTGTTGTAAATTCAACTGGAGAATTTTTGGGAGAAACTCAAAGTAATACAAGTCAAGTTTCTCATGAGACTCTCGCTTCAAATTTATTAGATCATGCCAGATTAGATGAATCAATTGCTCGTACTCTAATCAATGCTAATCCTGAATTCCAGAGTGCTATAGAAACTAATAATACTGAAGGATTTCTTATACTATTACAGAATGAATTTCAGAAACGAGTTCAACCATTGAATTCTAATTCTTCAATTATAAATACTCCTTTAGATCCTCTAAGCCCGGAATTTCAAAGACTAGTTGAGGAAGAAGTAAGAATGAGAAATGTTAATGAAACCTTAGAAATGGCCCAAGAACATTTACCAGAAAGTTTTGCTCAAGTTCATATGCTCTATGTTAATATTGAAGTTAATGGAATATTAATTAGAGCTTTTGTAGATAGTGGTGCACAAACTACTATTATGTCAAAAAAATGTGCTGAAAAGTGTAATCTAGTTCGTTTAATAGATAATAGATTTCAAGGTATTGCTCATGGTATTGGAACAAGCAAAATACTTGGTAAAATTCATATGGCTCAGATGAAAGTAGGTCAGACTTTCTTTTCTGTATCTTTTACAATTTTAGAAGGTGGAATAGATTTTTTATTTGGTTTAGATCTTTTAAGACGTCATCAGTGTTGTATAGATTTGAAGAAGGGAATATTATCTATTGGAAATGAACAAGTTCCATTTCTTTCTGAATCTGAAACTAAAGATATAGATATATTTTCTAGAAATAGGCTACAGACAAATATTCAAGAAATAAATAGTCCATTAGAAGATGAGAAACTTCAACAACTTATGTCACTTGGATTCAGTGAAGAAGAATCAAAAGTAGCCTTACAGGAATGTAATGGAAATGCAAATCTAGCAGCTTCAAAATTGCTCTTTAAGCATTGAGAATGATTACTATTCAGGTTTAAATTTATTTTCTTGAAACTATTTTAGAAAGACATTAAAGTGTAATTTCATAGATTTAATAGAAAATAATCTTGTGCAATATGTATCTTGAATGAAGAAAATTTAATATTTTAAGAAATTTACTTTTATTAAAAATATCTTTAAGATTACTTGGTTTATCCTACTTCTTTATTTCCTAATTTTTATGTTTACTTTATTATTTTAAAATAATTTCTATTTTTCAGTTAAAAATTAAAAATCTAATTGACGGGTAAAAAAAAAAAAAGAAATTAAAAACTCCATTATTGAGTTTTAATATAAAATATACTTTTGTTTACTTCTTAGCCTGTATAATATTATTTTTGGTTTCATCATTATTAATATTGAAATATTTTCTTTTTTCTTTATTAAAATTAATTGTATATGATTATATTTATTCAGTATAGATATAGATAATAAATTAACTTATTATCCCTTCACAAAAAGAGAGTAAAGTTGATTCTAATTTAAGATCACTTTGCATGTCCTCGTTAGATAAAACTAAAACTCTATCTTTTGATTGAATAGATTTATTCTGTTCTCTGTTTAAAATTAAATCAAATATATCATTTATTTTTTTTGAAGTAATAGAATTGGATTTCCCAAAGTACTTTTTGGCCTTTGTATGAATTTCAGTTTCCCATTGTTTTATTATCAGGCTTCTATTATTAGATTCAGTATTGTAATTTTCTTGATGTTCATAATCTTGTTTATTTAAGACTACGACTATCTTGCAATTTTCAAATATGCTAAGGATTTCATTAATACATCCAAGGTGGAATGGAGAACTTAATATAAGAGGGTCATTATAATTATATTTAGCTGCAATTTTACTAATATAATACTTGTAACTTGAATAGATCTCCTGAAGTTTGGATGGCTGCAATAGCTGAGTTTGATAATCCTGTAAATATTCACCATATATTAAAGGAGTACTAAATGGGGACATAAGCAATATTTCTAAGATTAATGCATCATCTTCCACTACAGATTGTTCATCTAATTGAACTTCGTCTAGATTTAGAAGGCAACAAATCTGAGACATCTTCATTCTATTGATCATGAATTTTTTACTAAAGGAGTTTGGATTATAGGGGCAAACAATATCAACAAATTTAAGTTCAGAAACACGTCCAAGAATGCGTTTAATATGATTTCTTACGTTCTTGTTAACATCATATGAAAGTCCAGTGACAAATATACATTGAGGGGTATTTTGAGGTATCTTCATGTTGTGTAAAATATATTGATTTATTAAAGACTGCTTAATTAACAAATAGCTAGAATATTTACCAAAAAATGTTAAGTCACACTTTTTAGTAGCATGTTGGATTTGTTTCGCAGCACTGATTACATTATGATTATCTGCTTTAAATTCATCAACATTAATAAATTCAGTTTTCATCTCAAAAAGTGCATCATCTATGCAATCTGTTATCTCATATCTGATAGCTTTAGATTTAGCAGGGAAATATCCATGTCTAGTTGCATATAAAAATGAATTACAAAAAGTTTCTCTAAGAGATGGCCACTTAATTTCAGGAATATCTTCAAGTATATTTGAAGAGTTGACTGGGAATAGTTCTGTTCTCTCTTTATTATCAAACCAATAATGACGCCAATATTGCATTAAAGGTACAAATTTAAAAATAGGACTTTCTGGACCTCGTTCCTTTATAGCAGTTAAAAATTTATCAATATTAACTCCATAATAAACTAGACCAAGTTCACGAGCCCAATTCTCAATATCTGAGCGAGTAAGAATTCTTGTATCTATTAAGTTGTATCTCCAATATTTTCTATTACTCCTAAAGGATGCTAAAACAATCATATCACAAATTGTATTTACTGGAGTTAATGGAGCTGTTGTAGAACCAATAGGGAATATTCCTTCACATATTGATGCTATTAATAGAGATGTAGCATAATCTGTTTTGTTTGTAAAACCGGTATCTGATGCTACATAGGTATTTGGGAGTCTGTAAATAGTTACAGGTAGTCCCTTTGATCTTGCAAATTCCAAAATTTGTTCAGCTGCCCATTTGCTCCAAGGATATCCCTGTCTAGATGGTGGGAATAATCTATTCATTTCTTTAGTATTAGGTCCATCAAATTCAGAAACAATGGAATCCGAGAATTCTCTTGTAAACATTGCAAAAAAGGCTGGGAATTGTCCTAAAGTGGAAGAAAAGTGCAAATGTTTGATTTTTACTTTAGAACAGAACTCTATAATTCCAGATATTGATAATGAGTTCGTTTTCCGGAGTCTTTTGTAGTTACTGAGTAAGTTTACATCTCCTCCAATATGATATACAATATCAACTTGTTTGCATAATTCATTGTACCTTTCTTCAGAAAGACCTAAAAAGTTCTGTTCAAAATCACCACATTCTACTATTATTTTAGAAATAAATTTAGGATCCCAGATTTCTGCCTCTGAGCAAGCAGTGATAATTCTCTCAAGACCAGCTTTGGGTGAACTTGAACGTACCAAACAAATCACATTTAGATGTGGCATATATTCCAGTAATTTAACTAGTAAAATTCTGCCCACAAACCCTGTAACACCTGTCAATAAAGCTAATTGAATATTCTCAGGAGCAGTGGCTGGTTCAATATTTTCTAGATTAATGTTTAGATTGGAAATTACATTTGCTACATCATCTGAAGGATTATAAAAATCTACTACTTTTACTTCAGAAGATTCCTCATTTATTGGTTTTTTTGTGTTTTCCTCAATTGTAATTATTTCATTCCAAGATACATAAAGAAGATCAAAATCTTCATGGTTCTCCACTCCAATATCTTCTAAAGCAGTAATAATATCTGTTTCAGCTATCAACTCAGTAAAATTAGAATATCGTTTGTTAAATGACTCAAGATATAGTAAATAACGTTCGGACTGCTTGAGTGAACTCAATAACCATTGTTCAATACTTCCATGGGAATTAGATATATTAGATTGGAGCTGGGGATTATTTGTATACTGATCTTTTGAAGAGTTTTCATCAAAATTATTTTGCCTTACATAATGGGCAATTGTTGCAATGGTTGGGTTTTCAAATACCAATGTTTGAGGTAATTTAACTGCAGTAAGATCTAATATTGTATTTCTGAATTCCACAGCTCCCAGAGAATCTAGACCTAAGTCTAATAGTACAGTTTCCGGAGTTGGTAGTGTAGCAGAGCCTGCGCACTGCTGTGCTATATGAGATATTAAGTCGATTAATTCTTCATCTGTCATATTTTGGATATCAATATGCTTACTGACCTTTTTATGTGAGCTATAATCTATTTCGTTAAAGAATGTCGGAATAGAACTATACCTGCGCATAAATGCATCCCATTTAAGAGCCTGACACCCTATTACACTTTCACTATGTAAATAACACATCGTATCATTTAGTATTCTAATACCAAGCTCATTAGATATGCCATACATTCCAACTTTCTCAAGATGTTGTTTTAAGTCTGCTGCCATACCTTGGTCAATCCATGGACCCCATTGTATACTAAGACAATTCAAACCATGTTTTTGCCTGTGATTTGCCAAAGAATCCAAACAAGCATTTGCTGCAGAATAGTTTGTTTGACCAAAATTTCCAAGGAGAGATGCAACTGATGAAAATAAAACAAAATGATTTAGATTTTTGTTCAAATCTAATTCATAACATATCTCATGTAAATTCCATGCTCCATAAACCTTAGGGGCATATACAGTTTCAAGTGATTCTATATTTTGAGATAGAATAGCACCATCCATTAATACACCTGCTATATGGAATATACCATATATTGGTTCATTATCAAACATCCTTTGGATCTCAGTAAATGCAGCTCGAACACTTTGTTTATTCGAGACATCACAAGCAATACACTCTATCCTAATAATACTAGAATTCAAAAATCCTTCTATTTCAGATATATTTTTTAGATTCTGATTATTTGCACTTCTAGATAATATTACAATATTCCTAATACCCTCTTCTAGTAGCCAATGGATTACAACACGACCCAAACCTCCTAAACCACCTGTTATTATATAAACACCATATTGATATTTTGAAAAATTATTGTATCTTTTAATTTGACAATAATTCGATTTATTAACACATTGTTGTTCAATTGTATCTTCAGAAATTATTTCTGAACATTTCCTTATTGAAAATGGGCTAGGAATATTTATAATAACTTTTCCAATATGTTGAGCTCTTTGCATAAATCTAAATGCTGCAATACCATCATTTTCACCTTTGTAATTTCTCATATTAAATATTTTCATTGGTAATGGTTGTATCTTTTTCTCATTTGCTAAATTTCTAATACGATCTAACATACTTCTAAACCAAATAGGTTTTTCTTCCATCATTACATCAATAGCAACTTTAGTATAATTGATATTTGGCCTTATTTTAGCAACATCTTCATCACTCCATATACCACGCTTACCTAATTCAATAAAATGACCATTTGGTTTTAATAATTCTAAAGAGGCAGGAATAAAATCTTCAATTAATGAATTGACTACAATATCTAATTTTCCAATATATTGTTCCATATCTTTAGTAAATTTGGATGAATCCCTTGAACTACTAACAACTTCAACTCCAATTGATTTTGCATATTCAATCTTTGTATCATTACCTGCAGTTCCATATACTTTTGCACCTATAGTCTTACAATATTGAACAATCATTAATCCAATTCCACCAGTTACTGCATGAACTAATACATGATCTCCAGATTTAATATTTGCAATATCTTTCAAAACTAATTCAACAGTAGTAGTAACTACTGGTAAGGTAGCAGCCTCTTCAAATGAAAATCCATCTGGTATTTTACACATAAGATTAGCATCGGTAGTAACATATGTTTTTAGGCAACCGGGGGCTACACCAAATACATAATCACCAACTTGAAGATGAGAAACACCTTCTCCAACTGCAACTACTATACCAGAGCAATCTCCTCCTGGAGGACCTGGATCTCCTGGATATAATCCCATAACATTTAATACATCTCTAAAGTTTAATCCAATAGATCTTACACGAATTTCCACTGTATTTTGCATAGGTTTGGATCTTTCTGCTAAAGCTAGAGGCTTTAATTTAAGATTAGTGATAGCACCTCGACTGTTCATAACCATCTTAAGTGAACCCAATATCGGGAAGTTGATATTTTCTAGCCTTGGAGCTAAGACATCACTTTTACAGAGAATAAGATCAGTCTCATTTTTAAGAGCATCGTTTGAGCAATTTATGACAGTTCTAGCAATAAATTCCAAACAACCCAGCAGTTTATATGGATCATCCACTAGTTCAGAGCAGCATTTCACATGTGAAATATGAATAAATTTACCTATAACATTTTCAAGCTCAACTCTTGCTGTTTTAACGAATCCACTAATCCCAGAATGCCTTGGTACGTCAAGTATACTGGGTGAGTCCTTAGTTTTCTGATTATCAGGAATACTTGTTTGGTTTTCATCTTTTTCAATAAGTATAGTTTCATTGCCTTCATTGTCACATCTCGATAGACATATAAATGGAGGTGTACTTGTTGACATAGCTAATGATGACATTACCTGTACAATCTTTAATATATCCCCCATAGTTTGACAAGCTGGCAGATCAGGTAGTAGAGCTCCAAGATAAAACATTAAGTCCCAGTTCTCTTCCTGAATAGTTTGTTCAAGAAAATCTGTTGTTAACTTTGTATTTATATCAATAAATGTAAATAAATATTGATTAAATTTGTTGAGATATTCACTTAACAATTTTTGAATTACTTTTGGTACCCCAAATACAACAATATAAGTCTTAGAGCATGACTCCTCATTATATTCCTTAGTATCAGTAAGAGATTCAGTGTGAGCTTCACTACTTAGTAATTGTAAATCAGCAAGCCTTTTTAATTTTGTCCTCCACAAAACTTGATGGGGTATCCTCAAATCTTGAGCAAAGAGAGCTGCTGCATTCTGAAATCTTTTTAATGTAACATCTTCAAAAAATGCAATAAATTCATTAGTACTAGAATCCCAAAGGGTAACATCTATAAAAGCTATATCTCCAGTTTTTTCTAACTTCTTAAGTTCAACTAAAGACCATACACCTTTCGTTGCAACATGACGGCCATAGATACATCTCTTGAACCCAATTGGAACAAGAGCACTCAAAATATTAGTTGATTTGGAGTTCTTTATATTTGAGATATCAAAATCTTCTGTAGTATTTAATAGAGAATTCGCAAAAAATGCAGAAGATGCTTGGAAAGCTGCATCAACCATACTTGGATGTATTCTTACTTCAAAATTATTACTTGAATTAGGGTACTTGATATAACAAAATATTTGGGTTATTTTTTGTTTATTTAATTGTGGATTTTCTTGTTTTGAGTTGTTGAGCTCTGTATTTTTATAAGTTTCCTCTTGTTTCTCTAGCTTATCTCTATTATAGTTTTCTTTTTCAATCTGATAACGTGCAGAAGTTAAGCATTTATACATGGGGCCATATTGAAGTCCAATTTCATTCATTATGGCATACATCAAGTCAACAGGAAATTCCTTTACTGTATCTTTACTAAGATCAAATTCCTTTAACAGAGAATCCAGACTAGTCGAAGGAACTTGAATATCTTCCTTCTCTAATATTCTAGAAGAAGATATTGAAGCATGTAAAATTGATTTCTGATCTTCAGTTTCATACTCAGTATCATAGACATCAAATGAGTCTAATTTCTTTTTGATCTTCATATTCCCATTAATATCGGATATAATGACCTCCATTTCAGAGATGGTTTCATTTGAGGAATATACTAAAGGCTTTTCAATATCCATAGAATTTAATTCAATAAAACTAGAAGGTAACTTTTTTGATCTTAGAATCTTGAAAGCTGTCACAGCAAAGATCTCAATAAGTGCAGCAGCTGGAACAACTTGCATATTAAATATCACATGGTCACAAACCATTGAATTGAATTCTTTAGAGTTGATCATATCAGTAGTATATAAATATGAGTTTCCATTTCCTTGAGGACCGTTGTACTTGTTTAATAAAGGATGGAAGTTTGTAAGATCTTCCCAATGGAATCTATGTTTATTCCATTTAGGACGAATATGATCTAAAGAGACAAATTCAGAATATTTATTTAGTGCTTGTACAGCGTTTTTAAAAGTTACTCCACTAACATTATCTACAGAAGCTATCCAAAATATATCTTGTATATCCATGTAATCTGGAATAGTAGGGGTCAAAAATACCCCACCAATTGTCTGCTTTGCCATGTTTGATAAAACTGCCTTGGGTCCAATTTCTAACATTATAATAGACTTTTCGTCTACAGATGTTGCAGTCTGAATGCTGTCATAGAATCTAACAGGATGTAAAATATGTCGTGTCCAATATTTCTTTTTTGTTATAAAGGAAGTCTCTGCATTCCCAGTCATGCAAGATATGAAACGTACTTTGGGAGTTTTTAGATCTAAACAGTCCAGAAATTTCTCAAATTCAGTCTCAGCTTCACTAACCAAAGGTGAATGGAATGCATGTGAAACATCCAAAAGTTTATATCGATTTTCCATACCAATATCTGAAATAACTTTCATTACAGAACTTCTTGATCCTGAAATTGTAACATTTTTAGGCCCGTTAATAGCTGCAACCGCTACAGTGGATTCTAATTCAAGGTTCTTGATAGATTTTAAAACTTGTTCCTCGGAAGCCCTACAAGCAGCCATCACACCATCTTTAGTTGGCAAAGAAGACATTATTGCAGCTCTACGAGCCACTAATGTCGCACCTTCTTCTATAGTCATAACACCACTAACCACAGCTGCTGCAAATTCTCCTAAACTATGACCCATAACAGCTGAGGGCTGTATTCCTATAGATTCCCATAATTTAGTTAAAGAATATTCAATTGCAAATATTGCAGGCTGTGCAAATGATGTTTCGCTTAATACATCATTATTTCCTTGAGTAGTATCTTTTGGATATATGATATCAATGAGTGATTGGTTCAAAGTAGAACTAAACAGTTCATCACATAGATTCATTGCATCTCTAAACACAGGTTCAGATTCATATAAATCCTTGCACATGTCCACATATTGAGATCCTTGTCCATTATACATAAAGACAATATATGGCTCGTTAACTTCAGTATGAGAAGTCTTTTCTTCACTGTATTTAGGAGCCTGAATTACTACATGGGCATTACAGCCACCAAATCCAAAGCCACTTACGCCACCAATATGTCTTGATTTTGATTTCTCTAAAGGAATTATTTCTCTCGGAAATATAACATCAAAACCTTCGGCATCAATATGGGGATTTATATTTTTAAGATGAAGTATTTTAGGAGCTTTTTGATATTGCAAAACCAAAATAAGTTTAACTACCCCAGCAATTCCTGCAGCACCTTCCAGATGTCCTATATTCGTCTTTAGTGCTCCCAAAATTAAAGAGTGAGATCTAGCTGAAGTTCCAACATTAGTTTCTGTTCCAGATCCAAAGATAGTCTTTAAAGCTCCAAATTCAATTGGATCTCCTAGTGCAGTCCCTGTGCCATGAGCTTCTATATAATCAATATCATTTGGTGTTATACGTGAATGGAGAAGAGCAGTTTTAATAACCTCTACTTGAGCAGGCCCATTTGGAGCAGTCAAACTAGCACTACGGCCATTATGATTCGTTGCAGCTCCTAAAATATAAGCTAAAGGTATTATTGGTTTTCCATTTATCTGGGTTTTGGAAGTTATATACACTGATGCACACCCCTCACCACGAGCATACCCATTCGCTGCAGCATCAAAAGTCTTGCACATACAGTCAGGAGAGAGCATTCTAGCTCTACAAAAGGCAACAAATAGGTGGGGACTTAGCATAAGATTGACACCTCCTACTATTGCACTATGGCAAAGACCACTTTTTATTGCAGTAACTGCTGCATCCATTGCAACAAGAGAAGATGAACAAGCAGTATCTATTGTTTGAGAGGGGCCTCTAAAACCAAATGAATAAGATATTCTATTTGAAACTAGTGACCCAGCACCACCTGATCCTGTATAAGAGGTAAAATTATCTAATCCAAATTTGGTCTGTAAAAAGTGCCAATCTGAGTTGCAACATCCAACAAAGACTCCTGTCATTGAAGGATCATCTATTGTACCTTGTACAGAACGTTTAACAGATGATAAACCTCTTTTGGTTATTCCACAACTATACATAGCTTCGTAAGATATTTCTAACATCAGCTTTTGTTGAGGATCTACATTCATTGCTTCTGTGGGAGACATTCCAAAAAATGTATTATCAAATAAATCAATATCTCTTATAAAGGCTCCCTTATTTACATAAGATTTACTCCTATTATCAGGGTCAGGGTCATAGAAGTAATCAACAACCCATCTATCCAAAGGAATTTCTCCAATACAGTAATTTCCACTTAATACAACTTTATCCCATAGATCATCTGATGACATGACATCTCCTGGTAGGCGACAGGATATACCAACAACAGCAATAGGTGTGTTCTGGCTATTAATAATATAAGGGGTTTCTAAAGGAGACTTTTTGGTGTCCTCTACAAATAAAGAATCTGTTAAATATTCCACAATATCCTTTAGAGTTGGATAATCGAACAGTGCTGTAGATGGTATTTTAATACCAAATTTTGAAATTAAAGCATTTTTAAATTCAATAGCAGATAGTGAATCCATTCCAATTTCTGAAAATGGAGTATCTAGTCTCATTGAACTTTGTGAAGTTCCTATGATTTGTTCAATGACTGCTAAAACATTATTTAGTACGAAATCATAAACTTCTTCATGAGTCATTCCACTAGTATCAATAGCATTTCTAGAAGTAAGCTCAAATTCAGAAAATTCTGCTACTTTAGAAAAAAGAGAACAGTGATTTCCTGATATTATATAAGTCTTGAGGTATTTCTCCCAGTTAAATATCTGGCAGGCGATTGTAGATGATATATTGAAACATAGTAAATCATTTAGAGCTCTGATTCCTAATTCATTAGAAATTCCATAAAGGCCTACTTTTTCAAGGTGTTGTTTTAAATCTACTGCCATACCTTGGTCAATCCATGGACCCCATTGTATACTAAGACAATTCAAACCATGTTTTTGCCTGTGATTTGCCAAAGAATCCAAACAAGCATTTGCTGCAGAATAGTTTGTTTGACCAAAATTTCCAAGGAGAGATGCAACTGATGAAAATAAAACAAAATGATTTAGATTTTTGTTCAAATCTAATTCATAACATATCTCATGTAAATTCCATGCTCCATAAACCTTAGGTTTGAAAACTACCTCAAATGATTCTATATTTTGAGATAGAATAGCACCATCCATTAATACACCTGCTATATGGAATATACCATATATTGGTTCATTATCAAACATCCTTTGGATCTCAGTAAATGCAGCTCGAACACTTTGTTTATTCGAGACATCACAAGCAATACACTCTATCCTAATAATACTAGAATTCAAAAATCCTTCTATTTCAGATATATTTTTTAGATTCTGATTATTTGCACTTCTAGATAATATTACAATATTCCTAATACCCTCTTCTAGTAGCCAATGGATTACAACACGACCCAAACCTCCTAAACCACCTGTTATTATATAAACACCATATTGATATTTTGAAAAATTATTGTATCTTTTAATTTGACAATAATTCGATTTATTAACACATTGTTGTTCAATTGTATCTTCAGAAATTATTTCTGAACATTTCCTTATTGAAAATGGGCTAGGAATATTTATAATAACTTTTCCAATATGTTGAGCTCTTTGCATAAATCTAAATGCTGCAATACCATCATTTTCACCTTTGTAATTTCTCATATTAAATATTTTCATTGGTAATGGTTGTATCTTTTTCTCATTTGCTAAATTTCTAATACGATCTAACATACTTCTAAACCAAATAGGTTTTTCTTCCATCATTACATCAATAGCAACTTTAGTATAATTGATATTTGGCCTTATTTTAGCAACATCTTCATCACTCCATATACCACGCTTACCTAATTCAATAAAATGACCATTTGGTTTTAATAATTCTAAAGAGGCAGGAATAAAATCTTCAATTAATGAATTGACTACAATATCTAATTTTCCAATATATTGTTCCATATCTTTAGTAAATTTGGATGAATCCCTTGAACTACTAACAACTTCAACTCCAATTGATTTTGCATATTCAATCTTTGTATCATTACCTGCAGTTCCATATACTTTTGCACCTATAGTCTTACAATATTGAACAATCATTAATCCAATTCCACCAGTTACTGCATGAACTAATACATGATCTCCAGATTTAATATTTGCAATATCTTTCAAAACTAATTCAACAGTAGTAGTAACTACTGGTAAGGTAGCAGCCTCTTCAAATGAAAATCCATCTGGTATTTTACACATAAGATTAGCATCGGTAGTAACATATGTTTTTAGGCAACCGGGGGCTACACCAAATACATAATCACCAACTTGAAGATGAGAAACACCTTCTCCAACTGCAACTACTATACCAGAGCAATCTCCTCCTGGAGGACCTGGATCTCCTGGATATAATCCCATAACATTTAATACATCTCTAAAGTTTAATCCAATAGATCTTACACGTATTTCTATTTGCCCATGTTGAGTTGGTTTAGCTCTTTCCATTGAATACAAAGGTAATAGATCCAGGTTATTAAGGGATCCTCTATTTGACATATAGAGCTTCATAGATCCAATGATCCTATCGGGGTCTTTAAATTTATTTATTATAGGCAAGAATACCATGAACTTCGTCGATTCCTTAGTATTTGATTTAAGTGAATTCTGATCAGATATTCTAATAGCATATTCAGGTTCATATTCTGAGACAAATAAACCTGGATTCTTTTTTTTGGGACTTTGAAGAGTATAATCTTCACTTTCATTATTTATTCTAATATCCCTAAATAGTACAAATAATATTGCATCTATTAGCTCCATATTTCTTTCAATATCTAAAAATCCGATTTTCACAATCTTATCGTAGGATAACTCCAATTCTTGCCGTGCACTTCTTAAAAGGGATATCAAACCTGAATCTATTTTTGGAAATTCCGAAGGTTGATCGTCATTAGTATAAATAAGATTTATTGTAATGATTCTGATAGGTGGCATGGAATATCCACTAAGTTCCAACATTTGCTTAGTTATTTTACAAATGTTAAGAGTTAATTCATAGTATTTGAGGCTATAGCTTAAATCATCTTGAGGTGGTATGTATATACAAATGAGATCCCAATTATGATTATAAGATGATTCAGAAACACTTGGAGATTCTTTTCCAATCATTAGATTTTGCAAATCTTCAAATTTCATTTGTGAAAAGTTAGCAGTTGTAACCGTTATGTTCTCTGGATATTTTGACATTCCCTGAGAATAATCTAAGCAAGTTAGCAATAGGATTTTTAAGTTTTTACTCATTGGAGACTTTATCTTCAATGAGCTAGTTGGAGTTTTTGTTTCTAGAGCAAGGAGTAGTTCATTACGGGTATAGAGTAATTCTGATTTTACCCAGTCAATTTTCCACAAAATCTCTTTAGGAATATTTTGGAATTTTATAACTTGATTAGATACAATGTCATGCTTTACTGAACGCAAAGTCACACCAATTAAAAAGACAACTGGTTCCAAGTTTGAATTTTTAATGATAACATTCACGGATGCACTTTCTTTGTCAAACCCAACAAGTTGGATATAAGCCCAAAGCTTCTCCCCTTTTAAGAAGCTAAGTTGATCTGTTTTTGTAGGGATATAGCCCACATTTAGGCTCACAGGAACCATAGTGACGCGTCTATTTAACTCAGGATCCTCTGATTTACTTAAATCTCCTAACAGTGAAGCACACATATGCAAAGCTCCATCTAATATTGTAGGATGTAGTACAAAGCCTCTTTCATTATTAAAAGCCTCATAGAATGCCAGTGGATCATTATTCATATACTTAAGATTCTCAAAATCAATTTGCAAAACACCAAAAGCAGTGTTTTCACTAATTTTCCACATTTGTTTAAGAGTTTTAAATCTAGAGCCATATTGTAACCCTGCATCATACATTCCAGAATATACTGCATCTACAGAAAATGAATTTTTGCTAGAGATTGACTCTAAATCTGGCCAACTAGATAAGAATGAAGAATTTTTTTGTTTTGCTTCATTATTATTTAAAAATTCAATACCTGAACAAACTGCATACTCCACTAAATCCTTTCCTTCCGAAATATCAGATTGGATACTAATTTGGTAACCATTGAGATTAGAAATAGTAATATAGAAATCACTATTATCTATTATTTCATTATCTTCACAATATTCAATTGTTCCTTGAGAATTTTTTAGCAGAGGATATTTGGAAGCAGAAGATAATGGGAAAGGTTGTAAGAAAGCCACATGCTTAATACAAACCCAATCTGGCATAGATTCCCTAACTCCCAGTGCAACTTGGGATGATGCAAGTTGCACAGCAGCATTAGCTAAAAGATCTACATATGCAGCACCTGGGAGAATCGATTTACCTAAAACTTTGTGATTTTCAAAAAGTTCAAGAATATCTAAATTTAGTCTGCAGCAAAATTCAAGTCTCTGTAGTAAATCTGAGGCATTACTTTGACCAAGTGGTAGATTTTCGGATATCCATTCATTATCTGATAAGTCCTGTAGAGGTATTACAATAGGATGTACTGTTTTAATCCATGGAATTTCTCTTCTTTGCAATAATTGACTACGCCACAAATCTGAATTAGTACTATTGGGAGTTTTGTTATTGCTACCATACTTACTTACAAGATTTGCAATTGCTTTATCTAAAGCTTCCTTAAATACATATTTAGAATCTTTAATCAAGGCTGTACAAAGGATATTTGCAGAACTATGAGATGGAATAGAAGCTTTAATAAGCTGTGTTAGTACTGGGCGTGATGCAATTTCTACAAAAACATTTGGTTTTTCAAGGGACTCTTCTAACCTAAATACTACTGCATCATGAAGACGAACTGGATTTAAAATATGCCTAGACCAATATTCTGGAGTTGCAAGAAATTCCTGTTCACTTCTACCTGAAACTGTAGAAATAAAATTCAAAACTGGTTTTTTTAAATTTACAGACTTCAGATATTCTGAAAATAGAGGTTCAGCTTCACTAACTAGAGGTGAATGAAAAGCATGTGATACATCCAACTGTTTGAAGCGATTCTCCATACCCAGGTATTTCAGCATTTTCATAACGGACTCCCTAGACCCTGATATAGTCACACTGTTAGGTCCATTTATAGCTGCAACTGCAACTGAAGATTCAAAATTTAATTTCTTAATAGCATTCAGAACTTTTTCTTCTGTTAATCTACATGCAACCATTATTCCATCATAAAGTGGGAGAGATGCCATGATTTCAGCTCTACGGGCTACTAATACAATAGCATCTTCAAGAGACATTACTTGACTTATTACAGCCGCAACAAATTCGCCTAGACTATGACCCATAACAGAAGATGGTATAATTCCCTTTGATATCCACAATCTCGCAAGAGAATACTCTACAGAGAATATTGCAGGTTGAGCAAATGATGTGTGGTTCAATATCAAGCTAACATCTTCCTCATATTCATTTTGTTTACTGCAATTGTTTGTCTTTGTTAAATTGTTATATTTAACTTCCTCATGGGTGTTATCCTTACTTTTTGATGGATATAGATCTGGATATATTATGCTTAAAAGAGGCCTTTTAAGAATAGGATGCAGAAGCTGATTACATAAATCCATAGAAGACTTAAATATTGGCTCAGTATCGTAAAATTCTCTACACATATTTACATATTGTGATCCTTGCCCAGTAAATACAAATGTGATATTTGGTTTATTCAAATCAGGATCTACAGACTTCTCCAGTTCATCTTTCGTTGGAGCTTCTACAATCACGTGAGCATTACATCCTCCAAATCCAAATCCACTAACACCACCAACCAACTTCTTTTTTGCGTTGCTTAGTGAAAGTAAATTTTGCGGTAGTAATACATTAAACCCCTCAATATCTATATGTGGATTTAAGTTTTTTAGATGGGCAATCTTCGGAGCTTTGCGATGTTGTAAAACTAAAATTAGTTTAATAAGTCCTGATATCCCTGCAGCTCCTTCAAGATGCCCAATATTTGTCTTTAGGGCTCCTAAAACCAATGGTGAATCTCTATTTGAGCCACCAAAGATATTTTTCAAAGCCCCTATTTCTATTGGATCTCCCAAAGATGTTCCAGTTCCATGAGTTTCAATATAGTCAATTTGATTAGGTTGCAATTTTGCTTTACTTAGAGCAGAGCTAATCACATTACTTTGCGAAGGCCCATTGGGAGCTGTAAGGCTGACACTTCGTCCTACATGATTACATGCCCATCCCTTTATAACTCCTAATATTGGTGTCTTTCTTTTGGCATATTCTGAAGCTTTAAGCATAACTATAGTTCCACAACCTTCACCACGTACATATCCATTTGCACTTGAATCAAATGTCTTACAAAATCCGTTAGGGGAAAGCATTCTAGCTTTCGAAAATGCTATAAATAGATTTGGAGAAAGTAGATTGTGAACTCCTCCTACAATAGCCCCGTTACATTCATCATTTTTAAAGCAGTCCATTGCAACACACATAGCAGTAAGGGAAGACGCGCATGCGGTATCTACAGTCATACTTGGCCCTTTAAGGCCAAATACAAATGAAACACGATTAGAAATCGTTGTATTTGCGGCACCTGTTCCAGTGAAAGGGGCCATAATTCTTCTGTTTTGTAAAAATGACCAGTCATTTGAGCAACATCCAACAAACACTCCTATATTTGCCCCTAATAGAGTCTCTTCAGAATAAGAGGCATCTACTAAAGCTTCATAGCTTATTTCAAGTAAAATTCTTTGTTGAGGATCCATATAGTTAGCCTCTATATTGGGAATTTTGAATTTTTGGTTATCGAAAAGTTCCACAGCATCCATAAAACAACCCTTATTTGTGTAGCTCTTCCCAGCCATATCTGGATCTGAGTTATAAAATAACAAATTATTCCATCTACTTAGTGGAATATCTCTTACTGCACAAAATGTTCCATCTATTGAGTTTATATGACGATTTGTTAATGGATTTACAGAATATCCATTTATCAAAGAAGTCCACAATCCCTGAGGAGTGTTAGCCCCCCCAGGTAGACGGCAAGCCATTCCAACAATAATTCCTACATTTTCTGAGCTATCGGCTCTTGTTATATCACTAATATCCTGAGAAATTGCACTTGTAGATGCTTTAAAACTTTTATCTTCTACTTTTTCACAAATATGAGTTACAATACTCCTCAAGGTTGGATAGTCAAAAAGTATTGTTGCTGACAATTTTATCTTAAATTTTTGACAAAGAGAATTCCTGAATTCAAGTGCTGCCAAAGAATCTATCCCAATATTTTGTAAAGGTGCATCTAATGAATCTACAGTAATACCAAGTATACTAGTAGCTAATGAACGAATCTCAGCTTCAACATATTCAAATCTTTGTACGGGTGATAAATTAACTAGTGAATTGACTATTGATGATTCATGAAATTGTTCCCTTATTTTCATCATAGAAAGAAATGCTGGTGATTGGCCTAAATAAACTCTCACAATATATGTTTCCCACTTTATAGAAAGACATGAAACCACTTCTAGTAAATTTGGATACAACATTACATCACTTAAAACCTTCAACCCGATTTCATTCGTAATTCCATTTATTCCAACTCTCTCTATATCTTTTTTCAAATTTATTGCCATTCCTTGCTCAATCCAAGGTCCCCACTGAATACTTTGGCCACAGTATCCCAATTTATTACGATAGCTAGCAAGTGCATCTAAACATGCATTTGCAGCTGAGTAGTTTAATTGGCCAAAGTTACCAAGTACTGCAGAAACAGATGAAAACATTACAAAAGATTTCAAGTTATTATCTATACCAAGCTCTTGGCATATATTATGTAAATTCCAAGCTCCAATAGCCTTTGGCTGATATGCAGCCAAAATTTGTGATAAGTCTTGATCCTTTATCTGTGCATCAGAGATAGCCCCTGCAATATGGAAAATATGTTGGATATTCTTTAATTTGCTCATTATATTATACAAATCTTGTTTTTTACTTATATCACATTGTATATGTTCTACAGATATTTCTGGATTATTAATTAGTATAGTCTTAATATCATCCCATTGTGAATTAGATCCTTTTATAGGTTCGCATTTTCTACGGGACAAAATAACAATATCTGTCACTCCTTCACTTATTAACCAAGAAATAGTAATTAAACCCAGAGAACCAAAGCCTCCAGTGATTAAGCACTTCCCTGGAGTAATCTTGGATACAACATACCCTAAAGAGTTTTTACAATTGTCTACAATATTGCATGAAAATGGGCTGGGAATATTTATAATAACTTTTCCAATATGTTGAGCTCTTTGCATAAATCTAAATGCTGCAATACCATCATTTTCACCTTTGTAATTTCTCATATTAAATATTTTCATTGGTAATGGTTGTATCTTTTTCTCATTTGCTAAATTTCTAATACGATCTAACATACTTCTAAACCAAATAGGTTTTTCTTCCATCATTACATCAATAGCAACTTTAGTATAATTGATATTTGGCCTTATTTTAGCAACATCTTCATCACTCCATATACCACGCTTACCTAATTCAATAAAATGACCATTTGGTTTTAATAATTCTAAAGAGGCAGGAATAAAATCTTCAATTAATGAATTGACTACAATATCTAATTTTCCAATATATTGTTCCATATCTTTAGTAAATTTGGATGAATCCCTTGAACTACTAACAACTTCAACTCCAATTGATTTTGCATATTCAATCTTTGTATCATTACCTGCAGTTCCATATACTTTTGCACCTATAGTCTTACAATATTGAACAATCATTAATCCAATTCCACCAGTTACTGCATGAACTAATACATGATCTCCAGATTTAATATTTGCAATATCTTTCAAAACTAATTCAACAGTAGTAGTAACTACTGGTAAGGTAGCAGCCTCTTCAAATGAAAATCCATCTGGTATTTTACACATAAGATTAGCATCGGTAGTAACATATGTTTTTAGGCAACCGGGGGCTACACCAAATACATAATCACCAACTTGAAGATGAGAAACACCTTCTCCAACTGCAACTACTATACCAGAGCAATCTCCTCCTGGAGGACCTGGATCTCCTGGATATAATCCCATAACATTTAATACATCTCTAAAGTTTAATCCAATAGATCTTACACGGATCTCTACTTCTCCTTTTTTTGGGCTTGCTCTTTGGGAAGATGACATACCTCTTAATTTCAAATTTGTTAAGGATCCCCTTCCAATCATACAAAGCTCTAGTGGTCCCTTTATAGCTACATCAAGACACTTCTTTAAACGGTTGACGCAGATAACTCTAGATCTTATGCAAAATTCGTACTCAGTATCAAGCCTTGATATACTTGACATGCTATTTATCCAATTGAAAGTACTAAGTATTTCAGCCTGATTTCTCCTATATTCAACTTTTTTATTCAATAGAAATTCTACGTCAAGACATTTTATAGGAGATAGAATAGAATATATCATTTTCATTTCAATTCTTGCTGATCTTGCCATGGCCCATAAACCAGCGTGAATTGGCAATTCTTCTTTTATAACTTCGGTATTCTGTAAATTTTGAGTTTTATATGTTAATATCCAAATAGTTGGAATACTAGGTTGAAGATTTTGAAGTTCCTTAGAATGCTTATACTTTGGGGAACTCTGTGACTGCTCATACTCCAAACTATCTTGTATAATTTGTGATTCACTTGATTTCTTTGTGTAGATTTGAATGATTGCCTTACAAATGCTGAGACCTGCATTTAAAACATGTATAGCATCTTCATTTCCAAGTTCACCAGTACTATTCTCTTCTACTTCAATAGCAGGTAAAAATACAACACAGTTATAATTCTGAGAAAAGTATTTTACAAGCTCTTCAGTCCATGAGTTACTTTTTATTTTTGTTAGATTCAGGTATTGGAAATTGGTAGACTGATCTTGAATTTCATTTAAAACTTGAGGTATATGTTCTCCAAAGTGCAAAACTAAGATGGAGCATATACTTTGTAAACTATCCTTTATAAATTCAGATCCTTCTGCTTTATTATCTATTTCCTCATTAGACGCTACTTCTGTACAGTTTTGAACTTGCAATTGCCCATAGGTAATCCACTCATTAGTCCACAGTAAATCTTTTGTTTGTCTCTCAAAAGAAAAAGATGATATGGATGTAGAATCTAGCTGACAAAGGACAACTTTGGAAAGCTCTACTACTAAATACCCTTTTGAATCATACAGTTCAACATTAATAGTTGCAGTCTTTCTATCTTGGTTGCAGATTAAAACATTTGCCCAAAAGGTATCACAATCCGTACTTTTAATAAGTGTTGCACGATCAATGGATACAGGAATCATAGCCTTAGCCTTACTAGGTTGTTGCTTTTCTTCGTTTTTATTATCCTTTTGAATAGATGAACCAGGAATATCAAGTTCATTATTTCCTTCACTGAGATTGCCCACTAAAATAGATGCAACATGTAAGGAACCATCAATAATTGTTGGATGAATAAAGAAGCCTTTTTCAAAGGAATCTAGCTTACTGAATTTAGATAAACTCAATTTTCCAAGAGCTCGTTGCGCATCTTTACTTTTATATAATTCCTTCAATGTCCTAAATCTGTTCCCATATTTCAAGCCAACTCTAGAAAGTTCTCTATAGATATTATTAACATCAAATTCAATAGGATAAGTAGCTCTAAGATCTTCAAGAGATATAGGTTTTTTAGGAAGGACACCCCCACTTTCTATTAAACAACTAAAATTTTGAGTGAAAACTTCATCGTCCATGTTGCTACTACTAATTATTAGTTCTTGAGAACCACTAATAATACACTCCACTTGTATATTCCCTTGCTTTTCAGTTTTATCGGAATTCTCTAGGTTTAAGGAACTTCTATTTAAAACATTTGGGATATTTTCTAAAACTGTAGAATATTCAATATCGCTCTTATCACTACCAATAACCATCGGAGACTCAAATATAGCACTTTTTAGGGTAACTATACAACGTTCTGTTAATCCAAGAGATGTAGATAAAGCAGCAGCTGCAATGTCCACAAAACCAGCTGCAGGCATAACTATATGCCCATAGACTATGTGATCAGATAGTAAACGAACAGAAGCTGACGATAAATAAGATAATGATTTAAACTCGTATTCAGCACTTGTCTTGTTATCGCTTTTTAAGAATGGATGAGGAATTCCAACCCATGGAAAAGCCTCTCTTGGAAATAAACCATCCTGTTTTGGGAGCTTTTTCTCAAGATAAGTTCTGGGAGTGATTTTTGTTATCTTTATAACTTGTTGGACATAATTAGTTAAGTCATTAAATTTTGGTAAACTATAACCTTCAGAAGTGAAAGAGGAAATCCAAGTTGTATTGTTAGGTACTTCACTGTCCAATAGTACAGTAGAACTCAGTCTTGATTGACCTATTAGCATATCATCTTCAGTTATAGTTCTTAATACATTTCCTGTTATATTTCTGATTGTCTCAAAATTATCACTTTCTTTATTGAGACTTTGCATTAGCTCAATATCTATTGGAGATGTAACAGATGTAGGGCCAACATCTATAAAGACTCTACATCCTGCAGAAATAGCTGTCTTAATTGCATCATATGCTTTTATTTTATCAACTATTTGCCACGCCCAATATCTTGGGTTTGTAATTTCCTTTGATACAAAGTTCCCAGTTTTACCACTAATAAAAGGTAATTCAGGTTTTAAGAGTATATTGCCACCTAAAAGTTGAGCAATTGGTTCAACTGCATCCTTAAGTACTGGAGTATGCAGAGCATGGGATACTCCCAGCATTCTTGAAGAAGTATGCATTAATTCACTTTCTGCAGATGTAGATTTGAGAGCCACTAAAATAGATTCAATTTCTGAGGTCTTTCCAGATAATAAGATCTCATTTAGACCTAAATTAGCAGCAACCACTACAGAACTATTGTCACCAGAACTAACATCTGCAATGATCATCTCCATATCTTCCTCACTTGAATTGCACAAAACAAGAGTTCCCTCATTTTCAGAAGAAAAAGCTGAAATAATAGAGGCTCTGAGAAGACATATTTTGAGACCATCTTCTAAAGAGAGTGATCCTGCAAAAGTTGCAGCTACTAGTTCACCATCTCCAAAACCTATAACTACTTCAGGAGTAACTCCTTTAGAAACCCATAGCTTAGCCATAGAATATTGAACTGCAAATAGAGCACAATGACAAAGTACAAGTTGATCTAGTTTAGATTGTGCTACACTAAGTTGCACAGGATCTGTTCCTTGAGGATATATTATTGATAATAACGATTGACTTAAAAGAGGATCCAAAATTTGGCAACAAGCTAAAAATGACTCCTTATATACAGCTTCTGTTTCAAATAGGTTGCGTGCCATATTAACAAACTGGAAACCTTGAAATCCAAATATAAATGCTGTGGTTGGAGTTTCAAATATTTCAATGCCATCCACAGACTCACTAGTTTCTTGAATAGTTGGAGGTTCTTCAATAATTACATGACTATTTGTACCTCCAAATCCAAAAGATGAAATACCAGCTAGCCTCTTACAATTATCATAAGAATTAATAGGTGTATGTATTACAGGGATAACTACAGGGAATCCTTTTAGATCAATATGTGGGTTAAGAGATTTAAAATGAATATTCGGAGGCACAATTTGGTGTTTAATAGCTAGCATAGCCTTAAAAAGTCCTGCCATACCTGCAGCTCCTTCCAGATGGCCTACATTGGTTTTTACAGCTCCCACAATTAAGGGCTTTCCAGAATCTCTACCATGACTAAATATAGCCTTAAGAGCTGACATTTCAATTGGATCTCCTAGAGAAGTACCTGTACCATGAGCTTCTATATATTGAATAGAAGATGGGGCTACTTGAGCTTCTATTAAGGCAGCTCGAATTACTTTTTGCTGAGAAATCCCATTAGGAGCTGTCAAAGATGCAGCACGTCCACTATGATTTACAGCAGTACCCTTCACTACTGAAATTATTGTATTACCACTTTTAGTGGCTTTCTGTAAAGATTTTAGTACCAAGACTCCAACACCCTCTCCTCTAGCATATCCATTTGCACTTGCATCAAATACCTTACATCTGCAGTCCACAGATAACATTCGGGTTTTACAAAGCGCTATAGTAATTTGGGGTGATAACATTAGATTTATACCTCCTACAACAGCAGCTTCACACAAAGATGAGGTTAATTCATGAATTGAAACATGTAAAGCTACCAGTGACGCACTGCAAGCTGAATCCACAGTTACGGATGATCCTGTAAGACCTAAAGTATAAGAGACACGATTAGCAATAATTGAGGCTGCATGACTTGTTGCAGCGTATGTTCCAACTGATTGAGTAATTTCTTCAGATTTACAAATTTGATTCCAATCATTACTACAACATCCAACAAATACAGAAATAGGTTGTTTGCTAAGGTTTTCACGACTATATCCAGATCTACTTAATGCTTCATAAGCTGTATCCAAAAAGATACGTTGTTGGGGGTCCATGGCTCGTGCTTCAGCTGGTGATATACGAAAGAATGATGCTCCAAACATATCAGCATCTTCAATAAAACCACCCTCACGTACGTACATTTTATTTTCTGCATCCATATCTGCAGAGTAAAATTCATCTATATCCCAACGAGAACGTGGAATTTCCACAATTGCATCAGTACATGATTGTAACATTTCCCAAAATAGTTCAGGAGTAGTTGAACCTCCTGGGAAGTTACAGGACGCTCCAATTATTGCTATCTCATTCTTAGCATGCTTTAAATTACTATCTCGTCTTAATATGATATCTTGGGGTTGGCACTTTCCAGTAAGCTCAGCTATGATAAATTCTATTATTTCATGAGCGGTAGGATAGTTAAATAGAATAGTAGGTTCTATTTCCAAACCCAATTCCTCACTAATTAACTCTGAGAAGCGTACATATCCCATGCTATCGACACCATATTCATGTAATGGAGCATTTAAATCTAAAGATGAAGCTGGAATATTGAGAACTTCTGAAGCACAATATATAACCTTTTCCTTAATATCTTCAGGAGTTTCAGAAGTAGTAAAGCAAGTTCCAGAACGGTTATCTCTCTTAGGAACAGTAACTTGACCTTCACAAGTCTCACCTTGCTGGTTATAAGGATTGGAATTAGATGATCTAGAAATTATAACTGAAGTAGGGCTAATGAACTGAGAAGAGCGTTCAACATATGTTGGTAAACTAGAAGTCTGTTCACATATCCACTCAAATAGTGGAGTAATTTGTTTAGATATAATTTTATCTCTAGCCATAAAACGTCTGACTTTACCACTGCTAGTTTTAGGTACAGTTCTAGGTGCTAAAAGCCAAATATAATGGACTGGTAAACCACATCTTGAGAAAATAGCTTTTGAAATTGCTCTTACAATAGTATCATAAGCAGGCTTTTCAAAAAATCTTCTTACACGGCTTAGTAGATTTGTTTCCATCCGAACTTCCACTACTAATCCAACAACCTCCTCACCATTTTGTTGAGTAATAGCAAATGCTGCACTAGATCCTGGACGTATACCTGGTACTGAATCCACAGCCTCTTCAATATCTTGTGGATAATAGTTACGTCCTCTTATAATAATAAGATCTTTGATTCTACCTACAACAAATAACATATCTTTGTAAAGAAATCCACTATCACCAGTTCTAAGATAAGAAGCTGGAGATAATGAACCATCAAGTCGAGTGAAGGCAATATTAAATGCCTTAGTAGTTACTTCATAATTTTGATAGTATCCTGATGTTACACATACACTAGATATCCAGATTTCTCCAACTCCCCCACAAGGTACCTCTGTAAATGTATCAGGATTTACAATTCTAACATCAACATTAGGAAATACATGACCACTAGAAACTAAAGTAATATAATCTGCATTCTGTTGATATTTGGCATCTCCATCTTTACAAACAACATCTACCAATTTTTTTTCCCTTAGAGTTTGGCTTTTAACTGTCAAACTTGAAATTTGAGCCCTAAATCGTGGATTTCCTGATACAATCAATGTATGTTCTGCCAAACCATAAGCTGGATGGATTGCAGAAGGTTTTAAGCCACAATTTTTGAAGTGGCTTAGAAAATTTGTAACTGTGCTATGTCTAACTGGTTCAGCTCCAGTAAGAATACCTAAAATTCTGCTTAAATTAAGTTTTGACATTATTTCTGGAGGAGTCTTTCGTATTGTAACTTCAAAAGCAAAATTAGGAGCTCCACTGCAGCAACAATCATACTTATCCATGGCTTGAAGCCATATATAAGGTCTCCGGATAAAATCTAAAGGTGACATATGAATTACAGTACAACCAAAAACGATAGGAGCACAGACGAAACCAATAAGACCCATATCATGATATAATGGTAACCAACTAAAAGCTCTAACATTATGACCTGTGCTTATTTTAAATATATTATTTATAACTGACATGTAAGTATAGTATTTATCATATGTAAGTTGATCAAGAGAAATAAGTCCACCATCTTTGAAGTTTTGTTTCAAGAAATTCCAATTATCTACACTCAAAGGTGTATCATTAAAAATAACCGGTACTCCATCAAGATCATAGCCATAATCACTTTTATGCTGTGAACTAGTACCAGGGCTTATACAACTACTATATTCCGTTCTATTATTTTTATCTGTAAAGTTAACATTTACATTTTGCCTATTTTCCTGAAGTGTTTTAAGATTGCAATTTACTGTGGAATTCATCTTATTTGAAGTATCCCAAAATACTGGGATGCAAAAGCTTCGGATACACAAGTGTACATTAAACAAAAGACATCCATAAGTAACTACAACTCCCTTTGGTTGAGATGTAGACCCAGAAGTAAACTGTAAAAAAGCTACTGAATCAGATCTAACTTTAATTCCAATATAAGAAGCTCGCTTTGATTCATCTGTGATAGTAAGATCTTCAATTGCATCCATTACATTTATCTGATTGATTTCTGATGTATCTGTAGCAATAAAATCAACATCACAGAATCTGCTATCATTTGAGATAGTTCTTAATACATTTACAACCCTGTAGTACTGATTATTTGTAAGCGATAGTGAAGCTCCTGCAATATCTTTTATATCACAAAATCTTTGAATGTCACTTTGTCCCTTAGATGGATCTGGAGGATAAACCGGGACAGCTACAATACCTGCTGATAAGCAAGCTAAAAATGTGACTACAAAATCTGTTCCTGGTGGATAACAAAGCATGACTCTATCACCAGTTTGAAGCTTTAGATTTACTCTAAGATGGTAACAAAGCTTAGAAACACACACATAAATGTCATGAAAGCTCAGTTCCAATTTTATATCACCCATAGAATTGAGCCACATCAGAAACTGCTCAGATTTCTTCTGTTTAGCCCATCTCTTCAAACATGTATAGAAAGGATTTTCCCCAAATTGTAAAAACAGATCTTCGAACATTGATTGTTGCGTTGAAACTTGTACGAATTCTTGAGATTTCTTGAGATCCTCAGAAGAGGTATGTAGCATTATAGGTATAATAGGTGATACATTTGGCTGAGAGCCTTGTTCTTTATTTACTTGCATCCCAGGTCTATCTAGGAGTAGTTTTGTAAACTCAACAAGAGTTTAGGTTATAGGATAATATATAAAAATAATTAGATAGTAGATAATCTGAAACTAAAAAGAAGAATGAACCAGTTTTATTAGATAGATATTAAGTTTTAAGTTTTTGAAGTTATTTGGATCTACTGGATTTTTTTTAAATTTAATGTTGAACAAAGTATAAAAACAAAGCCACTAGATTTCAGTCTTGAGAGCCCCCAAAATGGTTAAATTGAGAAAAAAAGAAGTAAATAAAAAGTAGGAAATAAACAAAATTATAATTAAAATCTTTATCCAATTATTTTTATTAGTTCTAGGAGAGACATTATATTGCTGTATTACAAGCATGCATAACTTTATAGCCAGTACTTTTAATACTAGATAAGAGGGCCCCCTTTTTTTATAGTTTATCCCACCAATATATTTATATATATATGGTTTATTAAATAGGTTAGTGTACTATTCATACTTTATTATAGGTCTATCTATATAGGCAAATTATACTGACAAGTATCACAAATAGACAGCGCTTCACACGTTTTCGCAATCACTCCAGCTGTTACGGACTGAATAAAGTGAATCTACCAGCTACCTATAATGAAAATTCCACGAAAATAAAAGCGCCACAGTTGCCAAGTATTTTCTTACAAACTATAAAAAAGGTCAAATATTAGACAGAAGCATTCTTAGAACAAAAAGTGATCTTGTAGATTCTAATTTATCAAATAAAGATAGGATCACAAATGTTATAGAGTTATTTAGATAGTATCAAAGTGTTACTTCCTACTATCCTAGATGTGGTACATAAATCTGTGGGAAATAAAGTAGGCTGATAAATTTAATAAAATAATTCTTTTTACCATTTTCTCTACATCATGTCTCGCTTGTTAAGAGTCAATTATCTAAGAAGTTAGTTTAAATATTACTTTAATCCTTCTCAGCAATAGTTGTTAAACATTCATCTATTTCAATTTCAGAGAGTAGCCTAAACATCGGTTGATTAACCGTAACAACTCCAACTTCAATATCTCCACACTTAAAGTCAACACCTAAAGTACTTTGTAGAGATTCAATAGTTGCATTAATTACGTCTATTGAAGAAGATAATTGTGTCTTTTTAAGAATCTTCTCCAAAATATTGGTTCCCTCTCGTTCTTTGGATCCAATGGCACATGCTTTGTAAGATGCAAAGTACCCTGCTGGATCTACCTTATAAATAGAAGGCCCATCTTCATCATCTATAGATACAAACATTGCAGAGGCTCCTAAAAGCCTCATAGATGCATGTTGGGTATACATTTGATTTACATCTGCTGCTTTATGGCATAGATATGATACAGGCATCTCCATACCATTATTAAAAGCAAAATCACTTGCTATTTCTCTACATCTATAAAAAAAAAAAGATATCAAAAATATTGGAAATAAAGGAGACATTGATTCGTAGATAGATTGTATTATATAGATTACCAGGAATATCTATTACAATCTACTTTCTCACTTGAAAATAAAATATACTATCTTACTAATATAATTAGTTATAAAAACTTACTTTGATATCATGGCTTTACAGTCAGGTCCTATCCCTAAAGCTACAGCTCCAATACCCTTTCGAATACGGAACATGGATGTTACATAAGAAGTATCCAATAGCTTATCCTGTTGTCCCTGTTGATTAGGTACCTTCTTCTGGCAAGCAATACAAACAGTATCTGTCCCCTTAATTGCTATTGCTGTTAAATTAGAATTTTTAACTGCTCTAAAAGCATATTCAATTTGGTACAATTTGCCCTCTGGAGAAAAAATTGTAATATGACGATCATGCAAAGATTGAGATGCACGAGACATTTCTCAATATTATAATGTTAAGTACTTGTAAAATGTAAAGAAACACTACAGTCTATCTTATCACACCCCCCTACCATTTCATAAGAAAACTCATCTGCACAAATGGCGCCTGATAAAATTGTTTGGCCTTTTTGGCGCTATTTCTGTGAATTTTTACTACAATTATGATCTAGACTCACTGTTAAAATATTTGTAGTTGTCTACACAAATGAGTCTACAAGCGCTATAAATAAACCACTTAATTTGTGAACATAGCATTGTGAAACATAGTAGAGTAGTGCTATAGCGATGTTATTGGTACATTAGGAAGTAAGAATATAACCCAACAATACCTGAATTAGTAATAATATATCAGAGTCATTAAATAATTAGTGAAATTGACTATATATAGTAGAAATTAGTTTAACTAGACAATACTAATCACTAATTTCAACAATTTGTATTGCCTCTACATCAGAATCTGAGCTCAAATCAATACTTATCTTTTGAGTCTCCTCTTTATAGGCATATGAGTTACTTATTTGCTTGTTAATTACACTATAATTCCTAGTTTTATCTGAATCTGAAATCTTTGTGAATTTACCACCACATTTAGAAAGATGTAGATTCCACCATGAATCATTTGGACCTGGAGTACGATTAATGGAACGTTTTACAAAACCATAATATGGAGCTTCTAATCTACAAGGACCATTGCAACGCCATATATTCGTACGATAAAAATTGACTTCATTAATAAATGAATGATATATTGTTATATTCAAACCTGTTTTCATATTAATTCTATTCATATGAAATATGAATTCTGGTCCATGAGCTGATCTATCTTTACAATTATTTGTAACAAATAAATAAGCATGTATTAATTCATGCAATAATGTTTCTTTAAGTTCTTTAACTGATCTATATTTTAGTAAAGGTTCCGACAAACTAATGACACATCTTCCACCAATTTCATAGGTACATGTTCCAGCACAAAGCTTCATTCTTGAGCTCCATCTAACTATCACAGAACCTAAATTACCACCAAAATATAAATCATTATAGTAAAGAAATAACTCGTGGATATCAGGAAATTCCCCTTTATCTTCTTCAATTAAAAGATCACTCAACTTGGAAATTTTTACTTTTCTGAAAAAATCCTAGATTTCACCTTTTTTAAAAGATAAATTTAAGGCGCCTAGAAATGGTGCATCACGTGGTATTGGCTCTATACTGATCATCCTAATAAGTGAGGGGCGTATGGTAAATAAATGAGCTATTGATAAGTCAGATTAATTAACTCCATATTCAAAACTATAATCATATTGATTAGTAGAAATTGAGGAGATGACTTTTATTTTTACTAAAAGTTGGTATTTAGTAACCTATGGTATCTTAGTCACTACTACTTGGACTATTACACTTTTAGCTGTAATACTTGGTAATATTCGTGATAAAGATTCTGCATTTTCACTTTTTATACTACCGTTACAAATATCGCAAACTATAGCAGTTTTCGATATTCTAAATTCTTTATTTGGTCTGGTGTCATCCCCTATATTTCCAACATCAGTTCAGGTTTTATCTCGTCTTCATATTGTATGGATTATTTTTTTCCTTTCTCCTGAAAACTCTCCTCAGATTACAACTATATTTTCAAGCATACTAGTAATAGCTTGGAGCTTATCTGAGCTAATTCGATACCCTTATTATATAGTCTTAAAATTATCAAATATTTATCCCAATATAAAGATGCCAGTATTTCTCAAATGGCTAAGATATACTGCCTTTATTATATTGTATCCTATAGGGATACTTTCCGAAGTTGTGATCTGTTCAAATTTTATCTATGATATTCGAAGTCACTCTTCTATTAAAGATTCAATATATTTAAAATTGATTCATTTTCCTCAGGAAATGCCAAACAAGTTTAACTTTGAAGTAAATCTTGCACACATATATATATCTATACTATGCCTCTATATACCAGGATCTATATATATGTATAGTTATATGCTATATCAACGTAAGAAATCTTTAACAAATTTATGGAGAACAGATTCTGATTATTTAAAAAGTGAATAATTTGGTTAAAATTAGGGATTTAATAATGGGATATAGTGGTTTATCGACAAACTTTTATAAAGCCTTTCAATTTCAATTTTAGTATATAATAACTAATAACACTAATATAATGTCACTCTATTTAATCATTGATATTATTTGGCAATTTTCTTATTATTTGCTATTGTTATATAATAGTGTGGGATTTTGTATAATGATTTATAATTTTTCAAAAACTGTCTAATCCTAATATTTCTAAAATGTATATCCTAATTTTGCAATTAATATAAGTACATTAATTAAAGTTTCTTTATAGATGACTTTTAATTCTATCAAAGATTTGAATAATGAAACTATGGAAACTGAGCTTAACAATTCATATGACTTTGAATTAAAAATCTTGAAATGTAATAGGAGACTTGAAAAGATTCAAAAATATATTAAAGAGAAATCTCTAAGGAAAAAGCAGTTAATAAATAAAATTAAAAGTCCTGAACCAAAGAATATGGTTAAGTTTGACAAATACTCTCGGGAAATTTCAGATAGTTCTTGTGATGAAGGTCTTGTTGAAGAATTACTTACAAAGTACACTGAACAATCTTTAAACAACATTATCAATTGTAATCCAAATATTTATGGAGATAATAATATTTTATGTAAACATAATAAGCTCTTGAATTCTTTAGGAAAGAGCTTTGAAGATAATCAGAACTGTATCATAGACTGCTGTGGAAATGTGGAGATAAACAACTGCAATACATCATATAGAGATAATATTCCATGTCAATATATTAAAAGTGAAGAATGTGACATGAAATCTCCTTGTATACAAAATAAAATATTTAATTTTAAAGTAGATAACTTAGAAAAACTTCAGTCTATACAAGACCAATATTGTACTAATTTATTATGTCCTAAAGGAAAGGATCTAGTCAAACCATGTGAAGTATGTTTAGAAGATATAGAAAAAGTTCATAGATGCAAATGCAAATTTGATAATATAAGAAATAGTTCAGCTAGAACAATAGATAATTTGGAATTTAAAGATATTAAAGATTCTAATAACTGTAAAGATTCAATGATTTCAAAATCAACTTTGACGAATTACAGAGTTTTTTCAGATAAGCTTTCAGAGATAGTTCCTGAATATAAGTTATTCTGTTGGAATAATCATCTCTTTAGGAAAGATAATACTAAAGAAATCAATTTTGATAAAAAATATAATGAGGCTGAGTATATTCTACTTTCTTTGTCTATAAATCCTCCATTTGGAATTAATAGTGAAGATAGTTCACTTTTACCTCATTTATGTAGTGATAGAGAAGTTGATGCACTAATAAAATTTTTGGACCTGAAGTCAATCCCCAATGTTGGGAAATTATATTGTTACTTTGCAAGGAAAAGATTAATAAGATCAATTAGATTAATGAGCAAAGATGAAAATATAAGCCCAACAATTAAAATGTGTATTTATATCGATGAACCGGAAAATTTAATGCTCTATACTATTGGCTCAGCACCAGTTGCTACTAAACAGTCTTTCAACTTTATTCTCAGAAATTATATTACAAAAATTAGAATATCAAGATTTCTGGTTTGTTTAATTCTTGTATACCCATTTGATTTATACAAGGATATCATTACATTAACTACTACAGATAGAGTTTTACCTATTTATTTAGTAGAATTAACCTGAAGCTACTCTATTACCCAGATTTGTTCTTAGTATAACCAAACTTATTTGTAGTGCAACTTTATTAAAGTCTTCTTCTATATTTAGTATGAACTACAAATAAATTATATCAATTCAGAGAATCAGCAACTAGCCATGGTAACAAGCTTGCTACCTGTTTTACATTAAATATGAAATATTACAATTATAAACCAGATGTTGATTTTGAAATAGAATAGCAAAGAGAAAAAAAAAAAGAAATAAGAGTTAAATTATCTACAAATTAGCAATACTAAATTAAATATTAAGTGAACTGACTTTGGAAATTAATATCCAAGGAGAATTTAACCTAAAGAGACTTTATGTAATATTTCATTCTATATTCACCCCTATATATAGAATATAGATCTAATAAAATATTCAATTTAATTTAAAAGATAAATATTGAATATTCTAAGTAATTCCGAAGTATTTAAGAGTCCTCAAAAATAAGTATTAGACTAAAGAAGTATTTACTTAGAGAGACTAGAATAAATAATAAGTTATAGTCACTTTTTTTTTCCTTTTTTTTCTCTTTATTTAGATCAATTAAATTTTGAAAGTTACTACTCATTAATGTGGGTATAAATCTCCAATAATGAAGTGATCACCTATTTCTTCAGTAAATTTAATCTTATTTTATTAGTAAAGTCAAACAAGGGTTAATTATGTATGTTTACCGACAGATTCCATTGTTAATTCCCCAGATCTCCTTATTTTACCTATCTGCCATATATAAGTGATTCTTGACTATGTTCAATATTTCTACTAAACTACTCCTTTTAAAACAAAAAAAGATGTTTAACTTCAAAAATCTCATTTAAGGTCCTTGGATGATTTAAATTGTAAATTTATTAACTCCTGACTTTAAAAAATCCCTTAATTATTTATATTGAAAACCTCAAATATCCAATTACTTTATATACTTTGTTAAAAGATTCAGATATATTTTGTTTGATACGGCACTAAATTATAGTATCTAAATATTTAAAGGTAATGTAGATAACTACTTTTTCTTTTGGAAATTTTATTTGACAAACTAAATTACAGACTAAAATTAATACTTGAGCAAATCTTTGACGTTATTTAATACAAGTCCAAATAACTGAGGCTATTTAATATATTTCATTCTCTGCGATGTACAATGTAAATATAAATTTAATACTCAAATAGAGTCAACTTTTAATTTTTCGAAAGCTAAGTTATCATAAAAAGCTTTAGATACTGGATCCAGTCTGTTATAATTGGACCCTATAAACATAGGAATTCCCAAGGCATCAGCTTTAATTGGATCTACTTTTCTAATAGTTATCTGATATGGAAGAAAAACCAACAAGTCACTTCTTAATTTCTTCGCTGAATTATAAAAAGTGAAAATCTCCTTATTATTAAATTTTCTAATATTAGATATATTAGGATCTTTTAGTAATTGCAAAAAAAAATTCTGTACCCTTATCAATTCCAATAAATAATCTTTCCCAATAATGGTAGTCTTTCTACACATATTTTTTAAACGGTTATCAATCTTTCTACACAAAGACAATAATCTTGGAATCATTACTTTGAAATATTCTGAAAATTCTTGAAATTCTGCTGACCAAGTATTCATTGCTAATTCCATTTTGAATTTACGTAAAGTTGGATCTAAAGTCTCATCTGGATAAATTGGTAAATTATAATTTTCAGCATTAATTGGTGCTAAAGTATGTGCTGCAATAGAAATTAGGGGACTTAAGGTGATCTCATCACGATATCTCTTGTACATAGGCTTAAATTCTTGTTCATATATAATTAGTTCATCTACAGACCCTTTATTAAGGAGAAATTTCTTATAAATATCGTTCATTACCTCAGTCCTTGTTGCTAAATTCATAATTTCATTGCTATAAGTAATTAATAAGCCTTCTTCAGACAGATCTGTATAATTTAGTAAATTTACAAAGGAGTTTGCAATCACGTTCCATATATAATTTAAAAAAGGTAAATCATTGTCTCTCCACCTTAACTCCTCATTTAGGAAGTAAAATATCCCAGGTTTATGACTATATCCATTAATCATTACACCCCCTGAGGGTGAACGACTATCTATAATTTCCTTTTGTAAAGAATCTTTCACCAGTAATACTACATATAAAATTGTTAACGTGATTAAAGTCATTCAAATTTAAGTTATGATTAACCTCTTATATTAAGAATTAGAAATATAACCTTAGTAAAGACCATTACTTAGAATTTCGTTTAAACTTATCAAAACTAAACCTTAGTACAGGAGCTATTAATAAGTTAAAAATAATTTTTTTGGCGGTATTAGGCATGTCTTTTTGAGACACTTATGCAAGTGGACAAGAAGGCTTAAGTATAAATTTGGTCGGTAGTATCAAATTACATGGAAACATCTTAAAGGGCGAAAATTCAGGAATTAAAAAGTAGTCTACAAATATTTTCATATGTTATTAGTCAAATTAAGTAAAAAAAATGTCGTTTCAAAATACTGGGGTGTTACAAGAAATTGATACAACGCATAATAATGAAGTCTCTCGTGATCTGAATATGATATATGGAACCCCAGTATGGATTTTAGACTATTATAAGGGAAAGCTAAAGTATTTACGTGGGAACTTAAGAGATACAAATTTGGGTAAAAATGTAATGGTTGAATTTATACCAGATAGTTCCAAAAACATCATAAAAATAAAAAGCTATCCAAAAGAGAATATCAACCTAATTGAAGATAATCCAATAAAAAGTCCAGATTTAGTTTTTTTAGATACAACAACATCTCATGGAATAGCTCATATACTTGGTGATAGATGTACAGCTGGTTTTTATTACACATTTAGTGGTAAAGTGCTAATTTTTGTACTTCCTAAAGGGATATCAATTTCACGACTAATGCAAACTTATGATAATGTTCAAGTTCAAAAGTTTTGGATGGAAATGACTACTAGATATGAACCTCATATTTTTTCAGTTACTAGACAATCTTTAATATCATTTAATGAAAAATATATGGACCAAGCATTGATAGCTATGGGAACTGAGGGCACAGGTAAATGTCTAAATATTCACATGATAGTTCGATTCTTGGCTAAGAACTTAAGTTTATACAAGCACTTAAGAAGTTCTATTACTATTTCTGAAAAAGTAGCTGCAATTACTCATTTAATAAGATCTTTAATACAATTCCCTGGTGAATTAATCGTTAGTCAAGATAGGCTATCACAATTTGGAACGAGTGCTGCAGGTCAAATCTGGAGAATTTACATTGATAAAGAATCTTGCTTTTGTGGAATTAATATATTTGTGTGGGGCCTAAATACAAATAGCTTAACATACTGGAGTCGACATACTGGTCAGCCTTTATTTAATATCTTTTATCAGGTTGCTCATGGTATTATTTTAGAAAAAGATAACCCTTTAATAAAAGGATTAGAAATAACAGATTCAGAGAGGGATTTATATTTGATTCAAGTATCTCCACATTTAAGATCAAATATATCAGACCATCTAAAAAACTTTAGAATGACAATAGGATCTTTACACTCACTAGGATTAAGTGATGAACAAAAGATTGAATTTCTTAAGATATTGGTTTCTGTGGTAGTATCCGATGCATATGTATCTCTTTTGATAAATGCTGCAGATGATAACATATCATCTATAAAAATTGTGGTTATTCCAATGTTATCTCGTTTATTAGGTGTGTCAGTTGAGCAGTTAAGTAAAGCAGCAACTACTATTTATTCATTTATACAACTCAGTGTAGGTTTATATTGTAGGCTGGTAGACTGGATCACAGATGCTGTAAATAAGAATATCAGACCTCCACCTAACTATGATATACATACTCTAAATTCAGTATTTTTAATCCATGGTCCGGGTATAGCAGTAAATGGGTATTCTTTATCAAATGCTCTCCAAAATTATTTTGAGGAACATATTAAAAAACTTTATATATATGATACATTTACACGTGAGAGACAGGTTTATAGCTCTGAAGATATACCATTACCTCCAGTAAACTATAGAGATGTGCATCAATCTTTAGATATTTTTGATTCAGAGGATTTTGGGTTATTAAAGGCACTTAGAACAGTCTCAAGGCGTCAGAGAAAATTATATGAATTTTTAGAAGAATTAGAAAAAGATTGTGAAGCAGCAACCCCCGTAATGTACAAATCAACTCCTTCTGATGAATTTGGAAGAATAGATTTGGAACCTTCACGAGAAATATTCAATAAATTACTTAAAAATAAGCCAAATGATAAATTAAAATATATTAGTGAATTAACTAAGGATAATAAGCCGTTAAATAAGAAGGGTGGAGAATTAATCTCCAAGAAATTTTCTAGCAAAAAATTAAATAAAAACCCAACTGAAAATGAAATTTCTGACCAAGAAGAATGGGTAAAAGTGATTCAAAATCGTCAATGTAAAATTTCCACGAGTTATCATCAAGATATTAGGGATCGGATTATTAATTTAAGAAGACCTAGAATGAATAAAAATAACTATACAGATGCAAAAGGGAATGATTTATTTAGTGTTGTAGCTGATAATTTTAAAATTGACGGAGTTGAATCATTAAACCAATCAACTGTATATATTGAAAATGAATCACAAGATGATATACCCGAATTTTTACCAGTAGAAATATCTATTGAGCACTCATTTGGTCAATATAATTATAATATTTTAGGTATGGCTGATGAAGATATTATGAACCAAGTTAGTCCAGCTATTGCAAAATTGTTTAGAAAATCTAAAAATTCGATAATTAAGAATTGTTGGAGTACTTTAGAAAAGAGTGAACAAAAAAAATCTCAAGATAAAAATGTAAATAAAGCAAATAAAAAAAGAAATAACGAAAATATTGAAGAAGATGTAGATATTATACAATTTGAAGAAGCATGGAATAAGGCAAATTTAGATATGGATATGAACTGGCTACGCCTTAGTGCATTACCAGGATGTCCATCAATGTCGCAAATTGCCTATACATCATCAATATTACTAGGTAAATTTTTAAAAGAATCTGAAAATAGATATATAATTTGTTGTAAAAGCTTTAAACCTCACATAACTCTCCCAGATAAAGAAAACGAATTAAATAATGAATTAGATACTGTAGACGAAGGAGTTATAGCTGAGGAGATTGTTAGATATGATGTAACGGCACAAGTAATACATCAACAATATGGCTACACAGTTCGTATACCCCTAAGGATTTTCTTATATAACTTTAGTCAAATATTTATACCTCGTATTTATAAGCAAGGGATAGAGCAAATAAAAAATAATGATAATTTAGGGGATGCAGTTAGGATATTAATGGAAGGAATGGATGTTCCTCCTACAGAATATTTTATTGGTAAATATAGCATTTTTATTCGTAATAAAATGATTTTAGTTTTAGAAAAAAGGCGTGAAGAATATCTTAAAGCTATGTTACCAGCAGCCATTAAACTCCAACAAGCATGGAGAACTTTAAGACCAAGACTGTTTTTAGCACAACTACACTCTTTTAGTGTTAGAATTCAAGCTTTGGCAAGAAGAAGATTTGTAAAGATTTGGTGTAAGTCAGTAGCTATATTACGTAATTTACTATGCGGAATATCATTATTAATCCATTTAACTATTCCATGGGTTAAAACTTCAACAATCTTTGATAAATTGGAGGAATTGGCTTATAAACGTGAAGAAGAACACCAATTCTTTAGAAATACAGCAGCTACAGCTATTCAAACATGGTGGAGAGGAGAAATGGTTCGGCGTAAAATTTTGATACTTCATTATAATCAATTCAGAGAATTTTCTATTCTTGTTATACAATCCACATGGCGTACATTTAAAGCCCAAGCAACTTTAGTTGAAAAATTAGCATTTGCAAAAACTCCAAATTACAAGGCTACGAAAATTCAAGCTGTATTTCGTGGCTGGAGAGAACGTAAACGTTTTGGAAAACTATTTAAACTGAATCGATGCTTATTAGCTCTAAAACGTAAATCCTGTATTCGAATAGGTATTGCAAAACACATTGAATATAGAGGAATGTTAAGACGTAGTCATATATCTAGAGAACAAATACGGTCTCATAGAGAAATAGTCAATAAAGCTATTATAATCCAAAGAGTTTTTAGGATGGCATTTTATAGAAAACAATATTTAACTTTGATACATGCAGCACGAGTTGTGCAATGCCGTGCATATACTTGCTTAGAAGTTTATAGATATTTTAAAGTGCTAAAATCTGCATCAATGATTCAACATTGGTGGCGTGCATTATATAAATTCAAAATATTATTAAATTCAGGTGATATATTAATGAAAAGATTAAAACAATTCCCAGTTCGCATAAAATTAAGTCATGATCCTGTAAAACGTAATGAAGAATTTCAAAATCTATTAAATAGAGAATTTATACAATTCGATATGATGAGATATCCCTTGTTGAAAATGCAAGGATTATTTCAACCTTTGGCAAGAATTGTTGAAAGTAATACAGTCTTTTTAAATCCAGTTGAACTTAAAATATCACATGATATACGTGAATCTTATCCTAGTACATGGGGCAGATGCTTTGTAACTTTATGTAGACGATTATGTGCAGCTATTTTTGATATAGCTCCAACTAAACAATTTCCACCACTTAAAATTATTCAATTCTCAATTGGCCAGAATCATTCTTTAGCTTTAATAGCCGAAAGAGTTTTAGCTGGACAAGATAATAGTGAATCTGCAACATTTGACACAACTTCAATGAATAAGAACAATTCTAAAAGACTCAATAATGATAATCATCCAGATAATGAAAATTTTAAACAAAATCATGCATTAATTGGACAACAATCTGGCAAATTATTAAATTTTGAGTATAAAAATCATGTCTATGCGTGGGGGTTGAATAATGCTGGGCAGTTAGGATCTTGTGAAATTGATCGTTCTTCTACAAATATCAAAGAACCTGTCCAATTTATTGATTCGGAATATCGTTATACAAAGTGTTCAGATACTGGTAATAGGATTCGTTATTTATTAAGACAAGTGGATTATACAAGAAAAATACGTTGGGTTGGATGTGGAACTGATTACTCTGCAGCTATAACATATGATGGTAAATTATTTACCTGGGGTGATAATACTTTTGGACAATGTGGACATGGTCATGATATAGATTATGTTTCAAGCCCCGAAGTACTTAAGGCTTTAAAAGAGGAACAAATATATATGGCATCATGCGGATCAAGACATTGTGCTGTAGTTACCCAGAATGGAGCTGTTTATATTTGGGGTGCAGGTAGTCATGTATGCCTTGAAGATAACCGATTTGAAAAATTATGTAACAAAATGAAAGATTATGACTTAGTAAAAGTGAGTTCAAATTTTTATGAGCCATATAGAATAGATCTTGGTAATTTAGAAGATCATAATCAAAAATATGGAACTAAAAATCAAGATAAAGGAAGTTGTTATTCTACAAATGGATGTCTAAAAGCTTCATCTAATAGTTTTATGTATGGAGGAATAAGACATTTAATATGTGGGAATGGTTTTAACATTATATGTGGTCAAGATTTATATATCTGGGGTAGAAATGATAAGGGACAATTAGGTAATAGTAATAGAAAGCATGTATTAAAACCCCAAATATTGAAGTTACCCACATTAGAGTCTTTGAATTTAAAATTTTTTGGAAACATAAAAAAAAAGACAAGAAGGAGAAGCCTAATTGCATTATCTTTGGGTAACAGGACTATCATATCATCAATAAGTGCAGGTTCTGACTTTGTTGCTGCTACAATAGAAAATGGTGTTAATATTATGTATATATGGGGTCACTTTTCAGTTTTTGATCATGTTAGCTCTAGTAATAATTTACTTAGCTCTTCCAATTTTATATTCCAAAACCAGATACTTGCTTCCAAATCTTCTTTAAAATCAATGAGTGAGTCCTGTATAGTAGATAAAGCTATACATTGTCCCACTATAGTTAGACATCCTTTATGGGAAAATAAAATATTAACACAAGTAGCTTGTACAATCAGATCTGTTGCAGTGATAACAGAGGATAGTGAATTATATGGTTTTGATGCCGTTGAATTATTTAAAACAGAATCTGGAAAACTTGTTAATATTACAAAATTTGTTGAGAGGAATACTTCTGAAATAGATGAAAGTTTACTCAAATGGAAAATCCCCAATATATCAAAAAAGGATGCAAAACCTGAAAAAAAAAAAGTAAATATTCCAGATAGTTGTAAAGATTTACCAATTCTCTATATACCAGAAAATTATAGTAGAAGTACTCATTCAAAACATGATCATAATGAAGTTCAAGTTAATACCTTATTTTATTTTGAGCCTATGTTATATCAGTATAGATGTGTTAGAAATACTCAAAAGGTAGGTTTATTAACAGAAAAAGTTTGTTCTAGTATTAGTTCTACAATGAGTATATTGTGGGTTCAACATAGACGTCAAGCATTATCTCAATCTATTCAAAAATCAGTAGAAAATACTGATTTTAATTCAAATAAAATAGATACAAATCGTAAACTTATTACTCAATACAGTAAAAATATAGAAAGTAATAAATCTATTGAAATAAAACCCACAGAATTGAAAAACATAAATTCTAGTAATAATACTGAAATAGATTTACAAGCTAAATTACGATCATCTATTTATGATATAAGTGGTAAATCATTGGGTCCAAATAATAACTTCAAATTAGATACTTCAATATCTTCAAATTCAAACCAATCTAATAATTCTAAACCAGCTATTTCAACTCCAAGTTATAATTTATTGTATAGAGTTCAACCGAAAGATTATATTCCTTCATATTTATATAAGGATACACATAAAACTAGAGGAATTGATAATATTGGTGGTAGTACACTTAATGGCTTATTAAATAAACTAGGAAGTAATTTATATCTCGATCATGAATTGAATGATATTTCATAAAAATGTATTTTTATAATTGGTTTATATTATAACTTGAAATTATTCAAGTTTTATATCTTTATAAGTACTTAAAATTAATCGAATTGTGCTAGTGATATATATATAAAAATATTTCATTATTATTATACTCTAATATTTATAAGTATATAATATATATATACTCAATACAATTTTATAATGATAGATATTATACTCGGATTTTTAGATTTAAATTGCATGAAAATTATCGAGTATGGCACTTTTTTCAAATATATATCGTCTTAATAATAGTAACGACCCTTTTCCGATCTTCTTTTTATCGTTAATTATTAGTATTTGTCTTGCATCACGTATGTTTGGTGTCCCTCATATATAGTTATACAAAAAATGCCAGTATTTAAAATCTTGTAAGTGTAAATTATTACACCTGATTCTATAGAGGAAGTAATACTCATAGTACAAATTTTCTAAGAGATATCAAATTGTACTTTGATTGTAATAATCTAAATACTAATATTGATATTTTATTTTTTTTTTTTTTTTTTTTAATATTAAGTCTGTATACATTTTTACATATCTACAACTTGTAAATTTGTAATATTTAATACTTGAGAATTTGATACTATTTTGATTAACAAGATTCATTCATTACTATTATTATAATATTAAAGATTTTGTATGTTCTTTTAAATTTGATATAAGTTATGTCAATAAGTTTACCAATTGGAAGAGATCCACAAATAGAACTTGAGAATGATCCCAGAGTATTACTGGGATTAGCAGGGATAATTGGATGTGATGAAAACACGGGTAATACCACAAATAATGAGATAAATGAGAGAATAGAACATATTGGGAATACAATAAAGAGAAAACAAGATTATGGATCTGGATCAGTTGGAGAGGGAGATTTCAAACAATATCAACAAGGTGAACAATTAAAAGGTAATGATTTGAGAGTAAGTGATAATATTTTGGATAATTTTTTTATTTCAAACTCGTCTTCTATTATAAACACACCTAGCACAACTTTAAGCCCATTAACTAATCATAATCAAGCTCAAAATTTAGGTATAAATAAAATGACTAGTTTGCCAATGGAAAATTATGGATTATATATGAATAGGATGGACTTAATAGATATAGTATTTGATGAAGAACTAAGTGCAAGAGGAGCAAATCTTGCAGGTCCATTGGTTTATCCAAACTCAGTTAGTTTAATTACACTACAAAAGTTATGGCAGAATTTATTGTTAATAAATAATGTTTTGCAACAACAACCTTCGCCTTCACTTTATCAATCTCTGTTGTCACATATTAATAATGCCGCAGTTACAGCAGCGAATTTGTTTCCAACTCAAATACCATCTTCATATGTAGATATTCAGTCTTGTCACCTGTCCCCTTTGTTGACTTCAATTTGTAATGATAAAACAAATTCTAGTATATACTCTGAAATTTTACAATTTTTAGCTTCACAATGTACACAATTAGTTAGTGGTCAAATTGTAGAATCTGGTGAAATTAGAGTCTCTGGTACAGGAATAAATGACAGCATTAGTACCTTTGGTAATGATAATAGAGAACTTTTTGGAACTCAAGAATGTAATGCAAATATTGTAGATAGTATTGTTAGAGCTCCACAAATAATTGTATCTAATTCCAGCAGTAGTGGTAATACAGTTACAAATAGCCTTGCTAGATCAAATACTAATGGTGTTTCAGAAGATACTTCAAATAATTTCCCTAATTTTACAGCTAGTGAAGATTTAAAAAATAAATCTTTACCCATAGAGCTTACACATTCTTTCACTTGTAATTCTGAATCTAAAAATCTAAAACCAAAACTCATAGGCAACATGAGATTGTCCGGAATACTAAAACATGACCAAATACGAGAGTTATATGATACGAGTACAATACCTAAAGATCTTACTATTCCTCAATATTCTCCAGGTATTAAGTTAGTTTTAGGAGAAGCAGGAAGAGAACTTTTAAGAGCGTGTATAAGAAATAAGGGAATGAAAGGTAAGGATTTACAAAATACATCAATTACTGATTTACTTAAAGCGGCCCACGAAAATGACTTGTGGTTAGTAGCTATTAAGATACATTTGGAGCATCGTGGAGTCATCCCAATGAGTGCTATACACTCAAAGTGGAGGAAGCACAAGTCTATACAAAATAAAGTTAGGCGACAAAAACGTGAAAGAGCATCTGAATTACTTTCATTAGCATCTTGTGTAAATATAAGTAGTGTTGAAATCAATGATATAAATGAAAAGAGAATAAAAGTAGAAAAACATAATGATGAAAAACTAGAATGTGATAGTTCTTTGGAATATTACCCAGGAATAGTTTTAAAGTTAGGACATGAAGGTAGAAAAGCACTTATTAAGGCCATAAGAGGCTGTCATGAACAATCCCCTGAATCTGTTAATCTTGCATTCCAAAAAAATGGAATTTCCTACAGTCAAATTAGAAATGCCACAGTTTCTTTACTACTAAAAATGTCCTATTTATGTGGATTATGGGATGTAGCTGTGAAGTTACATCATCAGCATATGAATAAGAAAAAGAGGTACAATTTTAAATATATTTATGAATTTAACGTAAATGAAAATAAAAGTAAGTCTGAAATATTAAATCATAGTGTTTTAGGTAGACATACGGATTTTATAAAAGATGATCAAGATGAAAAATATAAATATGAGAGTGTTAATGAAGAAAATTCTGAAGTTACTAAAGAAAATAAAAAGAGTGCTCATATATATTTGGATAATAATAACTCAAATGAACTCTGCGCAGATCTTAGAATGATCTCAAACCCTAAAATAGATATTACTTTTTCTCCTCAGCATGAAAATTTTTGTCAAGGTTCAGATTCTGTTGTTCCCTATACAGCCGCATGCTTATCCTCACAAAGTAAACTATAAATAGATTTGTACTCTATTATTTGAATATTATAGTATATATTTCATTCAATTTCAAACTATTGATAAGGAAACTAATAATACCGAATAGATAGGACTGTTAAATGTAGATTTACTAAGAAGATTAAATAGTTATTTTAAAGAAATTCAGTTTTCTATATTCCCTAATATTAAATTATTCTGAAATATTTTACTATATAAAAGATTATAGTTGAGACATCTTATCTACTTAAATATATAGCATCACTTGTTTCAGTTGCAAAAGATGTGATCCGAAATATAGAAACCTCAAAGTTTTTTATAGAGTGAGTTGATCTGACAAGTAACCCTTAAATTTAAGGATATTGGGGATTTAAGGTAGATTAAGTTATAATACAGGTAAACTACTCTATTAATTATATTTTTTTTAACTTATAATCAATATAACTCGAATATATTAACAAAACTATGCCCTATTTCCACTATCAATTTAACTTATGATGTGTGAATCTAGAAAATGATGCAATGCTAATCTTAAAAATATACCCGTAAATCTTAAGGAATGTTTCTTGTACCCCCTAAGAGCGGTAAACAATTATTTTTGAAGCGCTCTATAGAGACGTAAGACTGGATTGTCAGTTTATGACGAGACCTATTCAGTCTCAAAGTTAGGAATTCTGTAGACTTCCTGGGATTTTTTTAAGACTTAATAACATTATGTTAATTCTTCTTGAGACTCCAGCAGGCTATGGCCTGTTTAGAGTCACTAATTCTAAGATTCTGAATATGGATACTGAGGAAATTACAAATTACTTTCAATCAGCAGAGAAGATTCATAAATCCGTTGCTCTAGAGGCATTCCAACGTTTTAAAGATACAAAGTCTGCTCTTTTGGAGACAACAGCTCTGGTAGAGTCACGTATGAGTAAAAGTTTATCAAAGTTCCTCAAAAAGAATATTGAAAGTCCTGCATCGGAATCTTTAGCAGTAGTTGACAAGACTCTTGGTGGTATAATTAAACAGAAATTTGGAATTGATATTATTTATAACCCAAAGATGCAGGAAATAATACGTGGTATAAGGGGTCAACTTACTGATCTTGTGTCTGGTTTAAGTGAGAAGGATATGAAGACTATGGCTCTTTCATTATCCCATTCCTTGAGTCGTTTTAAACTTAAGTTTAGCCCTGAAAAAATTGATACTATGATAATTCAGGCTGTAGCTTTATTGGATGATTTAGATCGAGAACTAAATAATTATGCAATGAGATTACGTGAGTGGTACGGGTGGCATTTTCCTGAACTTGGAAAGATCATTGCTGATCGTGATATTTATGCCAACTGTGTGAAAATCATTGGATTTAGACATAATACTCGTAATGTAGATTTTCAACAGCCTCCTTGTAATATTCCAAGCGATATAGAGGTGGAAATAAAGCAAGCTGCTGAGATATCAATGGGTACAGATATTACGGATGAAGATTTAGAAAATATCATTGAATTATGTGACAGAGTCTTGGAACTTTCCGAATATAGATCATCACTCTCGACTTATCTTAAAGCTAGAATGTCTACTATTGCACCAAACCTCACTTATATGGTTGGTGAGTTGATTGGAGCTCGTTTAATAGCTCATGCTGGAAGTTTGATGAATTTGGCTAAACATCCCTCTAGTACTGTCCAGATTCTAGGTGCAGAGAAGGCTCTATTTAGAGCTCTAAAAACAAAAAAAAGCACACCAAAATATGGTCTTATATATCATGCTGCAGTTGTAGGACAATCAGCTCCTAAACTTAAAGGTAAAATTAGTAGAATCTTGGCAGCAAAGCTTTCTCTATGTGTCCGTGTTGATGCCCTTAACGACCAAATTGAGCCCTCAGTAGCTATTGAAAATAAGAAGTATGTGGAACGTCGTCTGGAGGAACTTAGTAATCAACTAAGTTCTGGGAGACTAGCTTCTTCTGGAAGTAATCGCAGACCTTCTACAACACCATATTATAGTCCAGTAAAGATTCAAGCTGTTGGTAGCTATGATACAGGAGCAGATGTATCAAATTTAAAACGTAAGTCGCATGATCAGGATATTAAGACTCCAACTAAAAAGTCCAAGTATTAAATTTAGAAAAGTAGCTTATTGATATTGAAATTATAATTAAGGACTTTTATACAGCTATCAAGTTGATTTATAATGAATTATAAAAGATATTTAGAATCAAATTAGAAAATGAAGTTTAAGCCCCAACTTTACTAATATCACCTTTATCTTCCACTTTCCCTAATAATGATCCTACTGAGACGTAATCCTCTTTATTTACTACAAATCTAAAGTTTTTACTAGTTCGAAATAATAGTATTATTGTACTTCCCAGTCTAAATTCTCCAATCTCTTCACCCTTCTTAAACTTAATGTTAACTTTATAAATATCCTCAGAATGTGCAGCACAGCTCTCTCCTATATATACAGGAACAGTCTTAGGTGAATTGGTTCTAAGATCAGGAAAATTTTTTAGACGTATATCTGCTACTCCATAAGCAGCTATAGCTACATAGTAAATTTCTCCTTCACTCCAGGTGCCTTTTAAAACAACCCTTTCATTCACTGAGAATAAATCGTTAAGCCGTGACGCGAGACCTTTAAATACAGGAAGACATTCTCCAGTAATATGTTTTACTTCGTAAACTTTGAAGTCAGAAGGAGCATGGAAGTGGTGATAGTTGTGTGGACTCAGATATAAGGTAATAAAAACTAATTTTGAATTACTCTTATTTTCTGGCAATTTGTCTTTAATAACTGCAGATATGCTGAATGTTGCATGTTTAGCCTGAATACACTGATCAGACAAGACATCTCCTAATTCAACAACTTTCCCTTCACAAGGGCTCACAATGGAAGATAGTGAGTAGTCCTTAATTGATATATCAGATAATCTTTTAGATCTTGAGAATAATTCACCAAGTGATTTGTAGTTCTCTAGAGGTTGTGGTAACGTTTCTTCAAAGTATTCCACTTTTTCGGAATATCCAAATTCCTTTAACTTTGTTCCATCTTTATTTCTATAAAGTCCCCAAGGGTTCCAAAATTGACCAATTAAAAGCTTATATATTGGTCTCCTATATGAAATTGGGATTTCAGTATTTAGTATATGTCCCAAGATTCTTGAACGTACTTTTCCAAATATAGTTTTAGCAAGGAAGATCTAAAAAAAGCAAATAATTAGTTTTAGTATTTTGATTTCTATATAATTTTGATAACTTATTTCCAGTACTTCTACTAGATAGTTATAATATTGAATATCTTACTACCAGAAAGTAATATATCAAATTTCGTATTGATTTATTCTCAGAAATCTGATAGTACTTATTAAGTTCATTTTTTATCAAATCAGTACATACCTTACTAGGATTTTGTAAATGATATGTATTTTCAGCCCTATCTATGGTATTTAGGAACTTCTTTTCACAAATTAAATAAGACCCTAACAGACAGCAACCCAATAGTAGTCCTCTTGAAGATGATTTTCCGGTCAATAGCATAGTGCCTTTAGTCAGAAAAACTAAGGAACAGATTTACTTTTCAAAGCTTAAGTCTAATCTCAACCGTATGAATAATAATAACAATATATATCTCTTAATCTTCTGTTAAGCACTATATAGTAAAAAATATCAGACTAATTATTCTATTATTATTTCCAATAAAATGATATGTTATTTAATAAAATTCTTGAGTTCAAGATTGTATAGTAAAGTTACATGGTACTTTTCATTAATTACAAGTTGGATTAGACCATTAATATATATATGTGTACAAGATCTTCCAGAAATGACTATTTTAATTTATACAATTTTCTAAAGTTTTCTTTTTGGTCTTAAAAATTTATTACCCTCAGTATTCTAGCCGTATAATAAAAAGATGTATTGCACTATCTGGCGCAGCTTTATCAAATTATAGGTTTTCCCTAATATGGTACTTATAATATTAGTTGATATTAGATTCTACTCAAATTTTGTGTAATTAGGTAACTTTCGCATATATATCAGGACTTATATGCTATTAGGACTATTTAATAGAATATTGAAGCTGCATTGATACAAAAGTGTATCGTACATAGCTCTATGAAAAGGAACTATAATAAAGCTAAATAGTTTTATATAGATATTAAAAAGTAAATATATATTTTATATGTAATTATTTGATTCAACACTTAGTTTTAAATAGTGAATTTTAATTTGATAATAATATATACCATCTACAAAAATCAATGTACCAGTTTGTAAATATGGATGTTTTTTTCCCAATAAATATTTTGAATAGATAAATAGTTACTTTGAAACTATTTTATTTTACAAACTGAAATATTTAGAATATTTGGATTTTATAAAAAAAAAAATTTAAAAATCTTAGTTTTTTATTTTTTAATACTAATTTAATAAAATAATGAGATAAGAAATAATTCTGAACAGAATATATATTTAGAGATAAATTATATACATAGATTTGTCTATACTAGTAAATTATTAAATAAAACTTAGAAATTCTCTCTACTATAACTTTTTTTTTTGTTTTACTACAGTAATATACTAGCTTGAGGTTTATACAAAGCCTTAGAATCTTAATAAAAAGCCATAATTTGTTTATTGAAAGTAAATTATAATTATCTGTTAGAGTCAAATTATAAATGATTTAAGGTTGCAAATAATGAATATATTTAATACTTCCTTTCAGTGTGTAACTTAGTAACAGCTGAATATGAATGGATAGTCTTAAATAGCTGTAGAATGGATAATAAATAAAATATCGATAGGTTTTCACACTAGAGTTTAGAGCTAATTATAGTGCTTTGTTTTCCTCTCAGAGAATGACTTAAGAAATCAAATTTAGTAGTGTATATTAGGTTTGTTATTTCTTAAATTTAAAATGTAGGACTAATTTCTTTTTTAGAACTCATTTCAGATATTTTAATAATACCATAATAAATATTTTGATAGATGAAAAGTAATCATATATATGATTCAGTACAAATTCTTTATTAATAACCAGTATTATATATTTAAACAGTATATAAAAGAGTTACTGTTTGAGATATTATATGGTCTTTAGTTTTATAGTTAGATTCATAGTAGTATCTTCTTTAGAGTTGAGTACTTTATAGAACATTTACATAGATGAAATATTGAATAAATTACTTTGAAATACTACGATTCAATCACTAATTTTATTATTAATTAATATATTTTTATACTAGACTTTAGATAATATATTGAATATTTCTACTTGATTAGTATATAAAACTTGGAATAATTAGTGATCCTTAATTATTGAGATATAAAGACAACAATATATCCGAGAGATACATCAGTCACCAATATAATTATTTCATATGTTTAATATTAATTGGTTACTAATTATACTTAAAGAAGAAGTACGAACTAGATTTTTAATAGTAGTCAAAGTCTAAATAATACCAAGCAGTAAATATAATCATTCACACATCAAATAAGAAATTGATTCCTATAATGTAAACGGCATCTGAATGAATTAACAAAACAAGTACTTCATATAATTTATTGTCTAGGTTTGACTAAAAACTTGTATTTAACAAGAATATATCTCGTCACTACTTGACACAGATTAATAGTAATATAAGATATTCTGGGAGTTATAAGAGCACAATAATAAAATTTGATACATACTTCTATGTAAATATAAAGTAATCTTATTAAGTAAACATTTAAATGATATCTTTTTGAATAATAAAGATAATTAAGTTTAAGAGAGTTGTATATTATTGAGGATCTAAAAATATTTTGGCGCAATATAGAGACAGCGTGGATTATTTAACGAGACAGGAAGACAATATTTTCTGTCTCGCGGGACCAGCTTTCTAAAAAAATTTGCTTTAAGCAAGCTGAAGAAGGTTATAATAAAGAGCTAACTGTAGGAGTCCAAGTTTACCTAATTTGAATCAATATAAAGTTATTGTTAATAGGGGTCAGAAATAAACATGCCATCAGCGGAAACACGCAAGCTTGATGATATTGCAAAGATGATTGTCTGCAAAACTCATATTGGTACAAAGAATGTTGAAGATAAGATGTTATCATATGTTTATAAGAGAACTCATGAGGGGATCTTTTTGATAAATTTAGCGAAGACTTGGGAGAAAATTCAATTGGCAGCTCGTATCATTGTTACTATTGACAATCTTGCAGACGTTGTTGTGGTGTCCCAAAGACCCTATGGATCTAGACCAGCACTGAAATTTGCTCAGCACACAGGAGCCCATGCTATGGTTGGACGATTTACACCTGGTACACTAACTAATCAGATTACCCAGAAATTTATGGAACCTCGTCTATTAATTGTTACAGACCCACGTGTAGACTCTCAAGCTGTAATTGAAAGCTCCTATGCAAATATCCCCGTAATTGCCTTATGTGATACTGACTCTCCATTACAATATGTAGATGTTGCTATTCCATGTAATAATAAGGGTAAGGAGTCTATTGCCTTGATGTACTATCTATTAGCTCGTGAAGTTAATTTCTTAAGAGGTAAAACTGACAAATGGGAAGTAATAGTTGATGTATTCTTTTGGAGAGATCCTGAGGAATATGATAATAATTCTGCAGCAGTTGCAGATTTGGAATTAGCTGATGGTATAGGAGCTGACATTGAAGGTCCTAATGTAGAAGCTGGAGCATCTGCAGTAGAATGGAGTGGAGCAACTGGCAATTGGAGTGCTGCAGCTGCAGATGAATGGAGAAATGCACCATAATTACTTAGATATCGGAATATTTTAAGGACTCAGAATTTAAGAAGTTCAGTTTTTTTGAAAATTTAATAAATACATTTGATACTTAACAACTAGTTTGTTGTAATATTTAAATACATAAATAACTTGAATTATCACTTAGCTCATTAGCTTAATTATTGGCTAGCTTGTTAATATTCTCTCTATCATATACTTTTCCATTAGCTTATAATTAGATATAAGTGTAGTCTTCTTATTTTGTTTTACTTAGAATATTTAATCAATTTATTCTCCAGCATGTGGTACACCTAGCAATTCTTGGGATGCAAACCTAGTATCCTCAATTTGTGTCTTTAGTTTCTTTACTAACCTATTTAGTATACTCACTGATTTAATACAAATAGATGAGATCGCATGTGTTAATCCTAAAGTGGTTTAATTGTAATTTAATTCATATTATTAGTAATAGATCCTAATAAGATAATAGAATATATACCGCCTTATATATACCCGCCTTAAGCTCAGGCAATTTTTGTAATGGAGTAGTTGAGAGAAATAAACCATTACTAGATAATGCTTCTAAGGAACTAAATTTGAAACTTTTGTAGATAATGGGAAGCTATTCCTTAAGCTTGATAGCCTGTATTTTAATATCTTATTCTATTGCTATCATTGTATGTCACGGTCTCTTATTCCCCAATATAACAGCTCTCTACTCATTATTAATTTTTTTGGGCCTATACTTATCTACTTTGATTTTCGTTGGAATATGCCATGAACTATCCAGGCCATATATGGCTATTCGTAAAATTCGACGAATTATAATTTGTGTGAAGAGGAGATTTCGTAAATATAGAAGAAGACGTCATACCAAAGCCCATCGTATATTGCCTTCAATAAAGTATAATAATCAACCTCTTAAGACAACTGATAGTATTTTGAGTAATTTAGAAAGTACTGAAAAATATGAAGCAGATTTTTCCAAAGAGAGGTACTCTATAAAGATAGTTGATATGGAGGAAGGAAATAACAATGTACTTAAACGTAGGGAACAAGTTATTAATAACTTGAATAGTGTAAAATTTAAAGATACCATTAATCCTGAATCTAAGCATGAGAAAAGTACTATTCATTTACAAGACAAAGAGAGTTCACAAAGTCAACCAGGAAAAATTGACAACCTAGTTCCTGATAATGGTATAAATAATTCAATATTTTCTGACAATATGAATAATGACTTTGTTAGTAGGGATATGAATGAAGGTGTGATTGAGTTTAGTCATCTTACTAATCTCGGAGGGTTTAAATTTAGAAATACTGGGAATTCAAAGAACTTAGTTTCATATAAAGTTACTGAACCATCTTTAGAGGTGACACATAAAGTAATTAAAAGTAATAATAATATTGAAAATAAACAGGAAACTATTAAGATAATGTCCAAATATCCTAAAGAAGACTTGTCATGGGTAGATTACCTAAAATATAAGATATCCCTGTTAAAAGTATTCTCATTCTTTTCAACAAAAAAAGATACCTTTAAATCTGTAGATTTTGTATCTACCGATCTTGATGAACAAAAGCCTATATCTACTTTGCAATATTTGGTAAAATTAGTTAGTGATCTACACTCCAGGATAGTGAGGAAATTTGACAAGATATTCGTGAGATATGCATCACGTCATTTGTCAGTAAACCTGTCAATTGTGGTAGTATTCATGATAAATCTAACTTGGGCACTATTATGGACAGCAGATACTCAGTATCTATATCGTCAAAGCCCTTTTGAGGAGTGGAAGTTGAGATCTGATAGTCTCCATATCGAATTAATTGAACAATCTTTCCTATGGTTTGCAGACATACTTCTCTTCTTTAAAGCTATAATTGAGACGTCACATCACCGTAGAGGTTTGAGGAGATTATTCTCATTCAAGTGTATTTTAAGCTCAGAGATTTTTGCTCCATTGTTTGAACTAGTTACTACATCTCCATTTCTTATTATTATTAAAACAGCAACAGGTTGGTCAGCTACTACAACTCTTTACACTCTTGGATTTCTGCGATACTTTCGTCTATTAAATATTAAACCAGTTTTAGATATAATATTATATTGGTCATCAGAAATTATGAGGATTGGTTTTGTAATTGTTTGGACTATTTTAATTGTACTAGTTGGTTTCTCTGGTGCAATAATGATTATCGAGTCACCATATCCAAATTTTACTACTCTTTTTGATTATTTTTATTTTACCATTATAACGATAGCAACCGTAGGTTATGGGGATTTTGCTCCACATTATTTTTTATCGCGTTTCATTTGCATTGTATTGATTTTATTCACTCTAATTTATATTCCCAATCAGATCAGTAACTTAGTACAACTTACACAAGCGCCCCCTGACACTCTTGGAGGAGGTATGATTGCTTCTTATCAGAATGGTTTATTTGATAAAGAGCATGTACAAACTCTACTAATACTTGTTTGTGGAAGCCCATCAGTCAAACATCTGTCATATTTGATATTGGAACTAGATACTTTAGCTACAGCACAAAATGAAAATAAGGAATTTCGAGATTCTAAAGATCCTATTCGCCATCAGCCTCTTGTCATTCTTTTTACAACAGATGACCTTAGGCGTTATGGAAGTTTGGTGAAAAAATGTGAACAATCTTTTAATACACAACTTTATGTGAAACGATTGAGAGATTTTGAGACTTTAAGGGAGGATCTTGAGAAAGTGAAAGGAATAGTTGAAGCTCTATATATTTGGAGCGACAGTATAACTCCATGTCCATCAGAAAGATATAAAAGTGAATTTTTTTCTCAAATAGATGCGGAAAGTAATTTTCTGAGATGTATACAAAATATACAAGTATCAGTGTCAGATGCTTTTTTAAAAGATAAGTTGACTATTATGCGATGGTATGCTATTAGAAAGTTCTTAACATCTCCATCTTATGAAGAATATGGATACAAAAAGAAGCCTTTAAAGGAAAATAAATTGAGCTTTTTTGAATCTAAATCTTCACATATTAAACTAAAAAAAAGCCAATTTTACCCTGTGCTATTATTCAATGTTAAAATTGAGGACTATCAACAGGAGACATATATCTCCCACTCTAACTTTGTAAATATCAAAACAGCAAACTTCCTTCGAGGTTCTATGTTAATAAATAGGCCACTGTTGCAAGCTCCAAGTAATCCTGAAGATATCAAGAAGTACCTTAAATTTCTTTCAACCTTAGCCCGTTCACAAAGTAATCCTGAGGTTCTTGATCTTTATAAACCAACAATGGCATCTTCCTATATCCCAGTTTATGTATCAGAAGTCCGCTCAAGACTTCTTGCTAAATCAGCCTTATGTCCTGGTTTCTCTTCTTTAGCATGCAATATGTATCATGCAATAAATTTAGTGGATGATGAAAGTTGTCAGGAATCTTTGCTTACATCACTCAAAAACTCTTTAGAACAATATGGAACTAATATCCAAAATGAATTATATTACGATTCTGACTTTGAATTAGATGAATACGAAGAGGAAGATACTGAAAGAAGTGGTCTTTCACCTGTTGAACTACTTACTCATGATTACTTGCAAGGTTCTTCTGCAGAACTTCTTGAAGTTGCAGTACCAGTCTACTTATCACAAATGCAGTTTATGCAAGTTTCTGCATTTTTATTTCGTGAGTTTTCTATATATTGTATAGGAATAACTGTACAAATAAATGAGGAGACTTCTATTAATATTTTAGATAATAATGAAAATGAAGAGGAAACTGGGGAATCAAGCCTTGTTTTATCAGATGGGTATATATCCACTGAAGAAGATTTCCATTTTACTTTAGATATAAGCAATAGTTTCAAAGATTCAGAGAGTTCTTTACAAAATGAAAATGTAATTGATACTACTAGACGTAAAGTTCTCTTTAATCCTTATGATTATATTTTTGGTGAATCATATGTATGTGGGGATATTCTTATTAATGCAGAATCAAATGTTTGTTTACTTGTACTAAGTAAATCACGGCAAGTTGAGAAAATTTTTAATCAGGAGGTACCCACAATAAGAAAATACAAAAATCCTATACAATTTCAGTTAAATCAAACATTAAACTATCTTGGAATTTGCCAACACAGTAAGTGCAACAAATTTCTAGATGTTCCTTCATGGAAAGTGAAGATATCAAAACTTCATTCAGGAAAAAAGTCAACTCAAGAAGATATGTCTCCATCAAATAAAAGCATCAATAAAAACCTTACAAATGAAGATCATACATCAACTAAATATGCAACAGCTCATATTTCATTTTCAGATAATAATGAAAGATCTGAATACACAATTTCAAATTTGGATTCTAATATGAACAAAATAAATAGTTCTTCTGAAGAATTATCTAAACCCTTAGAAAAGTGTACTGAAAAGTTTTATACTGATAATTTAAATAAAAGAAACATTACTAGAGGAGTTCCTCCAATGCCAACTCCTCGTTTTGATATATTTTCAGTTTATTCCCTTATTAAGACAACAGACATGGTCCGTCCTTCAGAGATAGATGGCTATATTTATGGTACTACCTTTGTGTTATTAGTGTGTGGATGGCCAGAATGTATTTCAGAATTTTTAGAAGGTATAGTAGCAAATCGTAAAATTCCTGTTGGTTGGGATTCTCTACGGTATCATAGGCATATGGAAACCTCCTTACCCATTATAAATAAATCATTAATCCTTGCCACACTTATTATATTTTTATCTCCTATTGCTAGTGATATATATTTAGAAAAGCCAATAATCCCACCAGGTTGTAGAGGTCTCTATGTGGAGGGATCTTGTTGTAAAGATGAGGACTTGATTCGCTCTGGACTTTTTTATGCCCATTCCATTGTTGTCTGTGCTTCTGGAAACCAGGTTAATAATACTAATGATCTACAGGTTAATAATGATGGACAGGTTGTGGAAACTTGTTGGAAAGTTGCATCTCTTATAAATATGAAAATTCAAGCTGAAGTTGCTCTTCTTATAAATAAAAAATCTAATAGTCAAGATAAGTATATAAATTCTAGACATAATTTGCAACTGTATGATAAAGTACCTGAAAGATCTAACCAGAGGAATATTAATGAAAATGATATATATTCATTCGATTTTAAAGCTCCTACAAGGGTGAATATGAAGGTGCAGAGATTAAAACCCTTAGATATAAAATGGAATACTTGGCAATGGAAAATAACCACTAATTTAGCTCAATTAGCTCAGAAGTGGTTGTTTTTTGGGGGGCATTTACCTCCTTGTTTTTTCCCTGCTATTATTGCAGATATTAGAAATGAAGAATCGTTAATTCTTTTAGATAAGACACCCTGGATTTATTCATCCAACTGGGACTATCTTACTAGTCCAGTAATAGTTGCAGGCAAAGTTTTGACTACAGATATGATAGTACCAGTATTATATAGATCCATCAAGATATCACCATTGGTAGCTACTGCAGATACTCTTCAATGTCTCCTTGGATATAATTCAAGTGACCAAGAAAGAAGCTTAAGATATATTAAGGAAGAATCCGAAGAGCAATCTTCAGAGTATATTGAATGGGGGTCAGTAGAATTAATTAGTGTCCCAGCACAAGTTCATGGGAAATCATTCTTTAGACTTTTTTCTTCACTGTTGTACTCTTCTGGAGCTATACCTATTGGTATCATGCGAAGTTTAGGTAATAGTATGGATATTCCTAATATTCCAGATGAAAATATATTCATATCTAGACCGGGTTTAAGTCATACTCCTAAATTTGACATGCAAAATCGTGTTGTATTATTGGCACCACATCCTAAAATGAGAGTCTTTAAATATGACTTTGTATATATCATTACTCCCATAATGCGGGTTTCTTAATTTTATTGGTTTTTAAAAAGTACTATATTACTACAAGATAGCATAATTAGTCGGAATTTCAATAGACTCAATGTATTGCATTGTATAGCACTTATATCTGAGCTATATAAATGTTCTGCTTGGAATTTCCGTTTTATATTGATATAGTATTAAGTTTTATTGAAATTAAATATATACATTAACTTGCCTTAGTTCTTAGCTCATGTAGTTTGTCAAAAGGATACTTAACAATATATGATTCTTGTGATACCGAATAATTTAATGTTAGGTGCTTTATTTTATATATTATATACATTTAACATCCTCTTGCAAGGAATTTATAAATAAAAGTGTAGCATTTCTAAAGGAGGATAAAAATCATAGACAAAAAAACTTCACCCCCAAAAACAGCATACTACAGCGCTTGGGTAGTTTGCATAATCATATCTGGTAAATTGAAGTATATTAAAATGATGAATACCAAAGATAAAATTTCGAATTTGGATCTCGTTAGGTAGTGCTTTGTTTCATTTAGAAATTGCTTTACGTTTTAATGATTGTGTAAAAACTGTTTTCTTTTGTACTACAGAAATTTAGTTGAGAATATAGCACCTGGTTCAGCATTTAGTGTGGTGTCACATTGTGTAGATCTAAATGCTAATATTTCTACTGCTCAACTTGAATCTTTGGTTCAAGAACACATAGAAAAGTATTCATTTTTGGTTCCTTTAGTTAATTTTACAACTGAATCTCAAGGTTTGATTTGGGGTCTTGTATGGAAAGATGCGAAATTTCCCTTAACTAAATTAGTCTCAATTCCTAATACTTCATCTTTACTATCGAATTATAACAGCATATCTAATAACTTAACATTACCAAAATATATTGATCCTACACTTGGTATCGCATTTACAATTCAGCCAAGTGTAATGGGAGTTGTAGATATTGAGAAATTTGAAATAAAACAAACTTCAAACTTAGCTAAAATTAGGATTGCTTTGGATAGCAAATTTGAAGATCCAGTTGTATGGAATTTTATAAACAATCCAGGAAGTGACAATTATATACCATTAACAGGGGAAGACTATTGCAAATTCAATGTTCCAGCAAGAAGAACAGTTGTTTTCGATTCGGAAGTACTACCAAAAATATCTAAAGACAATCTCCAGAGTTTAGTTATTGTGCGTTCTGCAATGAATTTGAAATTAAGTTCATTAAAGTAAGTAGAAAAAAGGCCTTTTTAATCAAATATTTATTGTTAAAATAATCATTTATATTAATTTGTTGACCGTTGCTATATTTTAGAAGTGGATCTTGGCATAGTGAATGGGTGATAAGCTTTCCAAGTGATGAGTCTCAGGGATTAAACTGGATTGGGAAAATTTTTATCCATAGTTTTTGTGGAGAACAGGGGAATTCTCATTTAGTTTATTCAAGAGAAAATATATACATCAAACTTGAACAAAACTTTAAAAAATTAAACTTCTCTGATGAGGTAAGGAATTTAAATTTAATAATATTTTGACTTTGTATTTAATTTAAGTTGATGTTTAGGACTTAAAAAATTTTGTTGAAGAATCTGTATCAAAAATAAATGAAGCTGAAAATAATTTCCACATATCTCTGAAATTAGAAGTAAATAAGTTTCGTGATGAAAGCCTAACAAAACTTCGAAGAATTGTTCCTGTAAATAAAGTACCATTTGATTGGACGAAGTTCTACACATCTATTAAAGATCCACTTTCAGATGTTATTTCAATTTCTACATCATTTAACAAGTAGATTAAAATATTTCTAAGTATTTAATTCATATTTAATGTTACTAAATAAAATAAATGAATCGGAATGTAGAATATTTAGAGTAATTGTTAAACTATTGCAAATAAAACTTTAAAATATGTAATATCAACTAATCTTAATATAAAATAAATCTTTTTTAATAGAAAGTACTATACAGATAATATTATAGATAGAACAAAGCTTGGAAACATAGTTTAGAATTTAGTGATGGAATTACTAGATATAACTAATTTCAAGTATCAAAACTTAATATTTATTAAATTATTAATAAATTAATATATTATATACTTTATATCTATTGATTTAAATGATTATTTACATATTTTAGTACTAATAGGTTACGGAACTATCAGTAGTTGTAGGTTCTGACATATTACAAATTTTCAATCTATTATAATATTTACTAAAAAGTTATAAAATAAGAAGTAGTATTATTCTTTAAAGTAAATTATAGGTTTATACTCATTACTATCATATTTCAGTTATCTGGAGTATATAGTAAATACTTAAATATCTTAAGTTCCATAACTAATTACTCAAGTATATATTTATTAATAAACATTAAAACATTGATTATTTATAAAGTAAATAACATTCCAATAGTATATTGAAACTTTATATCTATTCAATAAATAATTATTTGTAGCTAACACTATTACATGGAGTATATGCATTAAGCCTAGCGGTTTTGTAAGGATTTATACAATCTACAAATTGATGTTTGGAAAGTTATTAAAAAATTATATAATATATATTAGAGGGGTTAGGAACTTAAGTTTAAGAGTTCAGTTTACACCCAATGTACTACTTGTAAGATTATTATTAGTCATATACCTTTATATAGATTAAATTACATAAAGTTGTTTTAGAAACTCGAAAAAATAAAATCTTTAAAAATCAAGCAAGATCAACCTTTTAATCAAGAGAACCAGGATTACTATTTATATATTCATCGGCAATTAGGTGGATGTGCAGGTATGTTAATAACTATTAGTTGAAGATTTTTATCAAATATATGGTGGTAGTAAGGAGATTCAATGATAATCGTAAATTACAATAGATTAATATTTTGATACTCAGGAATGAAATTTACCTTTGCATTGTTTTCAAAGGATAAACTTAAAGATAACGCTGTGGTCCTCCTAGAACCAACTAGTTCGAGAGCTGGTGTTGCAACTGATAAAGAAAGTACTGAATACTTAAATAATACAGTTCTAGATTACTGTTCATTATCTTCACATTCTGATCCAAAAGCTTTAAATCTAAAATCAGAATTTACTATTAGGAGAATAGATTCAAGGTATACATGTGGCTGTGGTAAATCCTTTAATCCAAGGAGATGGACAAATAATTAACAATAAAAGATGTAATAGAAATTACACATTATCTATACATATGTATATATATATAATTACTAGTAGTCTACTTTTATCCCTTAAGACTAAAATAATTACATGAAGTTTAGAGATAAATTTCTTGGAAAATTTATTGTGAATTTTAAGTTTAACATAGAAAGTACTCGGTACCCAAAATACATGGCGCCAGAGACATGTATATTGTAATATGTACTTACTAGAAGGATAAATCCATGAAGACATCTAAACTCTAATCTGTAGGAATCTAAAAAATATAACTTTTTTGTATAAATTGATGCTATTAGATTCGAGGGATAATAATGGTTGAGGAGGCTATAAATAATGATCTTGTACTTAAGTCTGAAAGTTATTCAGCTGTAGATTGTATTAAAGAACAAGACAATAATATGTCTTTTGAAAAAGAAGAATTAAATAAAACATCCAGTTCTTGTTCTTTTAATACTATTGATACCAATAACGTGACTAGACGTTTTCCTCCAAACCAATTCTTGAAGTTTTCGACACTAACTTTGATCCCAGGGAAACCTAGGAAATGGAAAAAAGTACTAAGAAGAACTGGAAGTACAAGTGGTGCTGCATGGCTATATAGATGGGAATATATACCTGAAAGTATTGATAATGTCTTTATGGAGAATCTTGAGCTTGTAGCCAGGGGAATTATTGGACCACGTAGGACAGGAAGGACAACACGAGCAGTATCTTTTCAGCTTCGTGAGACTTCTGGTTCAAATATCAGTACTATGTACCATGAGTCAGATGGAAGTTTTGATTATACAAATCAAAGCTATTTAGCAAATTCTACAGATATGAAAGTATCTCTATAATTACTTGTTTCTTAGTAATTTAACTTGAAATGAGTTATTTAGTAGGCTAAATTTTGCTATTTAACAATATAAATAGAACTAAGAAGATATTAAAATAATTGATTGGGAATTTTGTATTTTTGAATTGTACTAATAGTAAGAAGTACTGAACTATTATATTTCGTAAACCTTAGGGAAAGAATGGTTATTTTTAATTTTTATGATGCAAAGCTATTTAAGATAATTTTTTCATTTATATATTCATTACTTTAGATGTAGTTAAAAATTACTCTAATTAATTTTTATATTAAGTGATATTTCTTACTGAAATGCTGGGTACTTGAAATCCGTAAATATTTAATTAGAATAATATTTAAGACGAGTACATTACTCCAAATCTTGTCACTTATTAAATGAATAATTGTTTATACACTATCTAAAGTTAAGTCTATCTTTATCTTAGGTATAGTTAACCTAAGTCTCCATAATATCTAGCAATAACTAGAGATCTTAAATTTTGAAGATTTAGAATGAGTTTTGACTTCAGATGTACTAGAATATATTTGCATCCAAAATATCAATAAAATAAGTTTAATATTGAGTACATATGATATTTTTGACTTTATTTTTTTATATTGAAAAGGTAAGTTAAGAGTACAATTACATTTCTAAATTATAACTAATATTAAGTATTGAAGTACTTGAGCAGGAATTAAAAAGATTTCAAATATTAGAAACGTATTCATTACATTAGATAGCAAGAACCAGATGTTCTAGGAAGAGGCTCTACAGTTGTAAATTCAGAGTTAAGATCATTTGTAGTAAAATTGCTTGCATTAGTGTTTGTATTCACAACAGATTGCTGCAAACTTTGAGTTGCTTCAATAGATCCTTCCAAATTACTGCCCTCAGTAGTTCTCTCTATACTACCATAATTTCCCACAGTAAGAGTTTGAACTGTTGAAGCTATAGAATTTGCCATTATAGGAAATTGATCTGTCATAGGACTAAATATATCTGCAATTGTATTACTAAGATCTACAAAGTTAACAGTAGTTCCTTCAGAATTATTTATTGAATCTTCGGTTAATATTCTCGTATCCTCATATCCCCTAGTCTCTGAATTCCTTCTTTGTATATTATCACTATCTGTTGAAGGTACTGATATTGTACTTGTGTTACTTATTGCTGCTATTGTTTGACCTGCTAACTGTTCACTTCTGCTTGTGTTATCCATACCATTTGGACTTAATACTGAATTTGTCAATTCAACATTTAAATTCTCTTCATTTCCCCTAGAACTATTTGTTTGCTGCTGATTATATTCCATACCTTCCATTGGTGTAATGTTACTCCTACTTCCATTGTTATCTATTTCTTGAGTTGTATTTATTCTAGATTCTGATATATAAGTAGAAGTTTGAGGAGCACTATTACCAGTATGAAAATCTCTCCGACTTTGTAATGATCGTCTACGTTCTTCATAGTATGCATCATCCGTTGGTAATTCAAATCTACATACTGGACATGAGTTATGTTGTTGTAGCCAAGGTAGCAAACAATTAACATGAAAAATGTGTGGACATTCATCTACATCTGTAGAAAGTCTCAAAACTGTATCGCCAATATTGTATTCTTCATGGCATATAGCGCAGGGGCCTCCACCTTTTGTTTGCTCAATATTAGATTCTGATAAAACTTCACGTGGTAATTTAGCTACCTCTTCAGCTGATGCAGGAGGATTTCCAAAATGATTACTCACATTATTTGTACTCAATGCAGTAACAAGAGCATTTTCCATACTCTCCACAATTTGAGAAAATGCATTTCCAGTCAAAATATCAGAAATAGAAATTTCCCTAACTTCTCCATTTGGACCCAAAATTAGTGTTGCACTACCAGATGAGTCTACATCTTCATTATTAGGCCCAGATACAAACATATTACGAGGTTGAGTATTCAGTTGTTGAATTGCCATAGTATCAGATCTTACTTGAGTTGTAACTTGTGTCTGTCCTAAAGAGTCTGCAATCTCAGTTAACATCCTAAACAATGGATTATTTACAGTATTATCTGATACACGTGGAAGTGTCATTATATTAACCCACTGGGATTGAGAGGCTGACTGTGTTTCAGTAGGATTATTATTATCTGTGATTATTTCCACAAACCCACAACTTCCACATTCATTGCACATAAGCTCGCCATCTGAATTTTCTGGTTCTCTTACAGATACATTCATCTGACATACATGACACCAGTATCTCAAAGCTCCTGCTTCATTAGTAGGTCTAACATTTTCAGAAATCTGCATTTCTCATATATGATCCAGTGAAAACTATCCTGTATAACTTCAGCCTCAGGTAATAAACAGCTCAAGGTTACAATTATCTAGCCGAAAGAAGTCAAATAAAGATAAGCTCGGCTGTCTATTCTGAGGTCCTTTTTTAGTAATCTTATTATAGTAAATAATAGGTAAAAAAGCAAAACGTGAAAAGCCTAGATAGTTATACCGCTATCTAATATCGATACCCCCAAACAACCCTCCAATACAACTCAAATCCCTTATCATTTGCAGCTTTTATCAATTTGGTTTAGCTATTAATTTTTCTAGGCTTGCAAGCTACCGAATTGAGAAACTGCATTCATCAATGGTAAATTATACTAATAATTTATCCATGGTGGTGGATAAGGAGTTAGTTCATGAAAGTTTATTAACCCCTGAGTTTGTATACCATAACAATAGTCAATTTGAAACAAAAAATATTCAATGCTCTGAAATTCTAGAGCTACCTACAGCATATATATGGGATAATGTTTTAACTGAAGAGGAGTGCTCAGTTCTAATTGAGAAACTAGAAAGTAGTAAATCTTATTCCTTCTGGAATCCAGCATCCCAATCCAAGGAATTTAGGAATGTAGATACTATTGAGAGTAATATGAATGATTTTGCAGAATTCTTATGGAAGAGAATTGAACCTATATTTAGATATAAGATACTCAATATAAAGGAAGATGATAACTTTAGTGAATATGATACCATTGGGGAATGGGAAGCATCCACAATATATCCAAAAATGCTTTTTGGACGTTACAGTGAAGGTGGCCATTTTGGACCTCATACAGATGGTTCTGTATCACTAGATATAAATACAAGGACATTTTGGACAATACTTATTTATTTAAATACAATTCCAACTGAAGGAGGGGGAGCCACAGTACTTGTTGATAAAAGACAAAAATCACTACCATTTTATAAAGATAAACAGGATAGGGATAGATCCTATCCAGAATTCATTCTGTCACGTGTACAACCTAAGTGTGGAAGGGTTCTTACTTTTTCTTTTGCAGATATGCATGAAGGAGAGCCTATATCTCCAGGATTTTATAAATATATAATTAGGACAGACGTGATTTTTAAGCGGAAAGATCCCATTTTAACGAGTACCCATGATCAAGAAGCTTACAAATTATGGTTGGAGGCACAAGAAATTGCTGAAAAAGGTGACCCGTATAAAGCTGTGGAGTTATTTAAAAAATCATTTCGTTTATCTCCTAAATTGGCAGAACTACTAAAGTGCTAATTTTTAATATTATGTACTATGGTTTAACTGTATTATTATTCTAATATCAATGTTATTAGCAAATAAGACATTATAACATTGCAATAATTATTAAATATCTTATAAAGAACTGGATTAAATATGGTATCATTTTAATAATTTAGTGTTTCTAAAGAATAATGTACGAATTATATACTTTCTTTAATAATTCAGTTTTATAAAAGTTAGATTTTGTCCTATTATCAACTTTAATTAATTATATTGATTATAATTTGCAATATTTCTAGATGTATCTATTGGTTTATTTATAATCTATATATTTTAGGAACCTATAAATAAATACTATTATTAATGTCTACCTAATATTACTTATAAACTTCATACATATTGCTTAAATAAGGTTTTGAGAAATAATTTACAATCAAACCTGGATTTATTGGGGAAAGCTAAACTCCAAATTTTTGCAGTATCTAAAATGTCTCTAAAAATGGGACCTTTTGGTATCTTTGGCAAGATACTCATTAAAATTTCTCCATTTATTAAAGAATTCATATTCCATACATTTTGAAGATCTAACTCAAATATTTCATGCATTAGAAGAGTGAAGTGATTTTTTTCAAAAGTTTTTGTAAGTTCTGCATCTGTCCAAATCTTGTGAGTATTATCATAATTTGAAGTGAATTTATCTTGAACTAAATCATTTGCTAAAGCAATAAACAGAGTCTCTAACCAAAATTTACCTGTATGTAGAACAAATAAACCAAGTTCAACTCTACGACGCTGAGATCCATTCAGTAATTGTTTAATATATCTCTGATAGCATGACCAAAGTGGAATTTTCTTATAAATATTATCAAGTAAATAAGGAGAGTTTTCTTTCTGGTTAGAGTCTTCCATTCCTCTACTATAGCTAATTTTTTGGTCCATACTTGAGTTTATCAATGTTTCTTTACTTTGAAGAAAAGCTTCTTTTGTAGGTATTTGATTGGAAAAGTTTAGTATCAGAGGCAAAGTACTAAAAAGAGATTCAAGTAAAGTAGAAACTGCATCTGAAATCCTATTAGGAAGCTTTAATGAATCAGTTAAAATCATCTTAACAAGTGTTGTTTCTTTATCTTTAGATGATATGCATCTGTATTCTGCTAAGGGTAGGCAAAAAGCTCCATATGTGGTTATTACCCAGTTCTCACATTTATCAAAAACTAATATACTTTTAAATGCATCCTTCAATTCTGAAAGTTCAATTAGTCTGTGACAAATTTCTACAACGAAAGGACCTAATTCATACCACTTCTTAGGAGGAATTACGCATATACTTTTATCATTATAGTGAAAAATTTTAGTATTTGGTAATTTAAATACAGAATCAGCTAATCCTGAGTTTGTGATCATTCTTAATCCAATTGCAGGATTCCCAATAGATAAATTAGTTACCATTTCATGTACTTCAGCCCCTATGCGCTCACGGCTTACTTTGGTAGCTAATGCCTCATTTAATGCTGGTTCATTACAGGCTTCTAATAGTTCATTATCTAGTCTAAAGTGTAGTCTAGCTGCAAATCTAAAAGCTCTTAAGACTCTTAATGGATCATCTAATAGGGTCTGAATAGGATTTAATGGTGTTCTAATTACTTGATTATATAAATCTTCTAAACCTTTCTTTGTGAAATCTTCCAATTTACCATTGTTAATGTTGTAAAACATGCTATTTATTGTGAAATCACGACGTAAAGCATCTTCTTCTGGTAACCCACACTTAATTATAGGTATTCTACTATCTTTAGTATATGTTTCTGTTCTTAGATTGACAATATCAAGGCTAAACTCTCCATATTTCAATGTTGCAGTTTCTAGATGTTTGCTTTTATCAGGATCTTTTGCAATAATTCCAATACTAATACGTGGATATGAATACTTCTGCTGTAACCATGTATCAAACTTCTCAGCAAAAGATTTACCACTCATATTATCTATTGCAATATCAATATCCTTCGATAATGAAACTGGGACAAATTTCGGAATAGAATGTTCTATAATTGCATTCTCCTTAGATTGAATATTGCCGTTATCATGTTGTAGATTGTTTAAAATATCCAGTTTATTCAATAGCTTATCTCTAACCCATCCACCAGCTACTCGCATAATTGTATTGATTGATGTTGAATATACAAATTCATTGAGAAGATTAAACAAATCTTGTTCTTCTTCTGTTAATTCTAGTTTGATCTCATTAGAGTTTAGTGACTTAAATGTATCACAAAGTTTAAATTCGTATCTATTATCACTAAGCTTTGAAATAAATACAAAATTGTCTCCAGCTGTAAAATATCTCTTTCGTTTTTTTTGCTTTGGTAATTCGTATTCAAAAGCTAAATGAGACCTCTTTTCATATTTTAGAGACATATTTAAGCAATTGAATAAAACAAAATACCTACTAAATTTATATTGTTAGGAATTCTTTAGATCTTTTAAAATCTTTAATATTAACTTGAGATTAGATACCAAGAAAACAATGTAGAGCTGCAAATTTCTTAGGGATGCAAATAACACCCAGCGGGAGACATGTCTAGATTTTTTTTTTTGAGCTGTAAAAAGATCCTCAAAATATTTAAAATAATTAAGTAGAAAAGCCATACTATTAATAATACCTGAACTACCTAAACAAATTTAATGAAATATAAGAGATCTGTTACTTGATATTATGCCATTTGAACTCACTCCATTTAATGATAAGAATGATCTTGCAGAATATGTTAGAGCATTCTCTAGTTTAACAGATCCAACAACTATTAGATATCTATGTCGCACTCATGTTCCAGGGTGGAGTAATATACCGGAAAAGTTCATATGTGTTAGTCAGATAGTAGCTGGGTTGACTAATCAGCTATTTGAAGTAACTGTTACACTTGAGTCTGTATCAAGCAAGTTAAAGCATTCAAGAGTCTTATTCCGTATATATGGCACTTATGTTGGTCGTCTATATGATACGAAAGTTGAAGTTGAGGCTTTTAAGTATTTAGGGAAAGTTGGGATAGCTCCAGCTCTAATTGCAGATTTTACTGGTGGACGAATAGAAGAATTTATTGATGGTGATCCTCTAACAGCTAAACAGTTGAAAATAACATCTGTATGTACAGATATAGCTAGTATTTTAGGAAGACTCCATACTCTCAATACATCTAGAAAAGATTTCCCATCTTTTTTTGACAAGGAACCAATAGCATTTAAAAGGTTGAAACTTTGGAGAAGTGAAGTTGTGACACAGTTGTCACATCTTGATTCTGATCTATTAACTAATATTTGGACATATTTTGACAAGACATTCCTAGAAGAAATGTTAAATGAAGCAAATTCCATTGAAATTCTTATACTAGGGGCTTCTCAAAGTCCTACTATTTGTTCTAAGTTGGCAGATATATCACTAGTATACAATGCAGTATTTGCTCATAATGATATACAAGAAAATAATTTGCTACAGGTTTCAACTGGTTTAAAGATGATTGACTTTGAATATTCTAATGTCAACTATGCTGCGGCTGATATTGCAAATTTCTTTTGTGAATTTATGTATGACTATTGTCATGATAAACCTCCATATTTTATAGAAATGAGGGATTCTTACCCTTCAAAGTCTCTTCGTAAAGTTTTTGTTGCTGTATATTTATCAAAAATCAAACAAGAGGAAATTTTACCTGATGATGATATTGTGAATACAGCTGTTGATATAATTGAGACATTCACATTATTATCACATTTGTCATGGGGATTTTGGTCAATTGCTAGGATATCTGGACATCATACAAATTCTCTAGCCTTTGATTTTATACAATACTCAAAAGTCCGCTTTCTTCATTATTTAGATAAAAAGAAACAATTAGTACAACAGGGAATTTTACCACTAAAATGGGATATATATTCTTGATGGTGTGGTCAAATTTCATATTTAATTGGTTTTCTATCTCATTTATTTAAGTGGGATTTTGAAATAAATATGAAAATATGTTGACTACTGACAGTTTATTTATGCTCTCATTATGTTAATATTTGTGTTATTAATTGAGCTTCTAGATATTCGTATATTATAGTTATATTCAATAAGAAACAAAAGGAATTTGTACTCAAAACAGTACTTCAATATTATATGTCTTAATAATATTTGAAAGTCTTCATTTAAATAGGATCACTTATTATTATTTATATTTGTGATATTTTCTCTCTTTCCTATAAAGTCTGTATTATTGGAAGTCCATTATTAGTATATAATATAGAAGAATTGAGAGTTGTATTTATATCCAGGATATCTATTGAATTGAAGATAAAATCCTCATTTTCTATATTTTAGTGGCAGGTAATGTTGTATTTTCAGTTGGAGTGATAATATTTGGAGACAACAAAGTTAACACTATTGCAGTTTAACTATAAATAATTACATCTGAAGACATTTTATTCGTTAAGAAAAAAACGAGATCTCACCAGTACTTCCCAGGAGACAGAAAATAAAACAGTATATTACAATTCAGTGGTTAAATAGACTATAATATGTAATCTAACCAAAAGATAGCTGTAAGGAGAAAAAAAGGAATATGGCGCCATATTAGCGCCATTTTTCTCAAAAGTAGCACATCAATATCCTCTCAAAAGAAAACTTTAGTTTATATTTCTATATAATTCTACAATATATTTGTATCCCTAATATAGATATATATATTTATATATATATATATATATATATAGGTATAGTGGGAGCTATATAAATATGGGCATGTTCATGACTAAACCTTCAACAGTGAAACACTCGGACGATGGAGGTGAATTCGAAAAAGGTCGAATTCGTTATGGTGTCAGTGGGATGCAGGGATGGCGTGTTTCAATGGAAGATGCACATATAGCATTACCTGAACTAACAAGATATTCTAATTTAAGTTTGTTTGGTGTTTTTGATGGACATGGAGGATCTGTAATTTCAGAATGGGTATCTAGGCATATTGAACATATATTTGAGTCTGAACTGGATAATATAGAATGTGATATAAGGAATGGATTGTTAGATTTGATGAAAAATGATAATAAGTTGCCCAACAAAATTATTACAATAGCAGAAGCTTTACAAAGGACCTACATTTTACTTGATGAACAGATGGCATCCCCAGCAGCTAAACCTGAGCAACGGGCCATTTATGATGATCGTAAATATTCTGGTGATAATAATCCACCAAGAACTTTTTTACAAGAACTTTTAGGTGGTGTTGATGGTCAAAGACGAGTATTACGTGTAGTAGAACAGAATGGTAACAGATGCCTTCAAATAGTTTCATTTGGTGATGGGAATAATACAGATGAGACTCAACATTCAGAAAATGAAATAGATTCTATGGAAAGGGAAGAACAAAGTGAAGATAATATGACTTCTAAGAAAGTAGAGGAATATATTGAAGCAGATAGTAATAGTGGTATAATCCCATTCCATAGTGATGTTGAAGAAATAAATGATCCACCTATTATAGATCCTGCTGATAACAAAAACTTAGATGAAGATATTGAGCAAGATGATAACTATTTAGATGATTTAAGTGATGTAGGTACTTGTAGTCCAGAACATTGTGGAACTACAGCTGTTGTAGCTGTATTTGTTCCTGCCAATGATACTGATATTTCTACACCTTATTTAGTTGTAGCTAACGCAGGAGATTCTAGAGCTGTTTTAAGTAGATCTGGCCAGGCAATAGCTTTGTCTCATGATCACAAGCCTGAATTACCTTTGGAAAATGACCGTATATTACGAGCTCATGGTGTTGTTGAAAATGGAAGAGTAGATGGTAATCTTAATATGTCAAGGACTCTTGGGGATCTTCAATACAAAAATGATGAAACTTTAAAGCCTGAAGAACAGAAGATAACGGCATTTCCGGATATTCGAATTATACCATTAACTACTGAGGATGAATTTTGTATTTTAGCTTGTGATGGAATCTGGGATGTTGTAGACAATCAGTTGTGTGTAGATATTGTAAGAAAAAAGATGATTCTTCAAATGAGTCAGAATCAACTTAATTGCTTATCTAAAGAACAAAGAAGAGAATGTTTTACTAATAAAGATTTTCGTGAATCTAAAGAACAAATTTGTTCATCTTCATGTTTAGATGGATCTACTCCACTACCTCCACTTAGTAGTATTCAACTATCGAAAATATGTGAGGAGATATGTGATGAGTGTTTGGCCCCTAATCCTGTGGAAAGTGAGGGAATTGGCTGTGATAATATGACTATGATGATTGTACAACTTGGTCCAACACTTCGCGAAAAGTCTACAGAACCCTCTGTTTCTTCAAGAATTGGGACTTTTATAGCTCGTAGACTAGAGGCTGCTACTCATGCTCTTGAAATTCAAAAGTCAGCATCATCTAGTGATAAGGAAACTTCAGATTCAGTTACTGTAAATGATTACCAGTCTAGAAAATCTCCAGATGCTGCAATCTCAACTACACTTCCTACTGTTCCTTGGATACCAAAGAAAGAATTTCATGTTACACTCTATGGATTTGGTATAGATGATGGAAGGTTTGATAATATACCTGAATCAAGATAATATCCTAGTAATGACACATATCGCTCTGTTTTCTTAAGGTTGTGTTTTAATCAAGGGATGGACAAGTTAATTTATTATTACAACCAAGTATCACAAAATATATCACATGATGAGTCATAATCTAATAATATCATTAATTGACAGTATTGTGAAGTTTCAATCCACAAAAAGTATTTCTCAATGTAATAATATACTAAAGTAACTTTACTGTTTTATGAAATATCACTTAATAAACAGGAGGGTTAAGAAATTGTGAACTTTCCTAACTAATAAAATAAGTAAATAGCTCAATTTTCTAATTTTTTATTTTAATAAAATAGTGATACTCTTGTTTTCTCCATATATACCCCCCAAATATTTCACATTAATATATCACTACGAAATATTCAGTTCGGTCTCAATATAATTGAAATCAGAGAGATTATAATTTTATTCAATTAATATATACCTTTAGTATTCTTATATATTGTAAATATATAAGGTTTGGTTTTATATATATAATCTAAAGAAAAAAAAAGTTGAAAATATATCTTTTATTATTAGGACTTATAAAATAAAATATTTAAAATATATAATTATAAAATCTCATCTAATATACCAAGTAACTCCTTTTTTTCATTTTCTATTACTTTTATATTGTTCGATACAAGTTTCTCAATCTCAAATAATCTAATTAGCTCATTTTGGCAACACCTTAGTGTACTGCCACAATGAATTACATTACATGATACCGGGAATGAAATTATGCAATTTGTTAATGTTATACACGTCCAAACTAGCTTATATATTTCTCTTGTACATCTTATTATTGCATACCCAAGTAATACACTATAGTAAACAACTAACAAAGTATTAACTCAAGTTTATCTTATTATTTTAAATTAGATAATAAGCAATGAGAACCATATAGAAATATATTAAACTTACCCTTTAAACTATAGACACTTGCTAACATTCCAAAACACTCTTCTAATGTACTTCTAAAGGAGTCTTGTAACATTTTCTCATTTAATGTACAATTAAATGAAATGTCACTCATTATAGAGACTAGAAACCATCTACTCTTTCTTCTCATATTTCCATTAAATTTAAGGCTATTATTCCTAATATAAATTAATAAAAGGTATCGAAATATTACGTGATATTATTGAAACACTTGCGGTATATTTTTGCGAGATTGCTTCTTAGTGCTGCAACACCAGTATTGGCATTGTTTTGTATATAATATTTAGAAATGGTTATATATTATCTGAAATTTATTATAAATATTATCTGATACAAATATAGAACATTACCTATTGCTGTTTTATATTGAATAAGTCCTATTGATGTGTGTATATATAGCTTAAGCTGCACACAGGGTCATATTTTGCATTTTATACTTAAATTTCTTAAGTCTATAAGAAAATTATATAAAATATAAAGTTTAAACAACTAATTCTGGCTTTTCTTGTCAAAGTTAATGTGAAGATAAGGTGTTTACAAGTACTTATAGGAATTTGACTGTTTTATATTATATGATAATATTATCTTTAACAAGTGAATGCTGCTATACAATTAAATATAATTGGTCAAATTATTAACAAAATATTAACATAGTGAAGCTGGCATTTCAAAGCTAGTTTATTAAAATGAAATTAAGGAAGTCTGCTCAATGGAGTGGAACTATTTTGTTAGTTACTTTATTATTGAATAACATATCTTATATTTTGAGTTTTGAACCATACTTTAATAAATCTATATTGACAGGTAAATTAGAATTTCAAGATAATGAATTAAATTTCGTAGATAGTGATAATATAGTAAATAACAAGATACTATCAGAATTTATTAACAATCAAAACTCTGATATAGCTGATAACAATGATTTTGAAGATACAATACATTCTAATGGGAATAATATTAATAATAATGTAATCATACCTGAAAAAGAAACTATGAAAGTTAAATCTAAGAGAGAAGATGAAAATAAGTCAAGAGCTAGAAAGGTTCATAAATATGAAGAATTAAATAAATTAAAAAAGTCTAGGAAATATAAGAATCTAAATAAAATGAAGGAAAATAATGAAACAATAAATAGTACTGAGATATCAGATGAATTTCAACATAATGAAGAATCAACAGAAGTATATTCTATTGATAAATCAGTAATAACAACATATTTCTTATTAAGTGGTTTATTGATCATAGTTAGTATAATAACAACATTGATTATTAGAGATTGTATAGTTAATCGTATAAGAAATAAGAAGGATTCATTTCTTCAGGAAGTAATGGACACTGTTTTTAGACAAGTAACATGCATATTTGTAGCACTGGCATTATCTTATTGCTTCTTAACTACTAGAATTGTAGATATTGTACGCAGTATATTACTAAGACTCCAGAATTTGAATACTCATGGAATAATTGATAATATGAAGGAAGATATTACAAATGTATTAAATCAGGGATCTATTAGTTGGACAGCAGCGAATTTGAGTGCAAGATTTAATGATGTGATGATAATAAATATTGTGATGTTTGTTTGGTACTGCATATTTGTATTATACTTTACGATTTGTGTGAAAATATTGGAGAAGTGGATTCGTTATGCTGATGATACAGACTTAGGATCACTAATTAAAGCTTTAGATAATATTAATCACATTTTTAAGAGAAGTAGAGAGATGAAAGTAGATGAAGCAGATTATTCTAGATCCAGTAATGGGGTATGTAATAATATACCAGTAACAATTTTAGGAAATTCGAAAGCTTCAATTGATATTAAAAGTTCTGTGACATCTGTATCACACAAGGATGAGAAATCCCAGAACTTGGATAATAGTATTGTTGATGAAACAAGGTTACCTTTGCTTAGATATAATACAAGTATGATGACAGAAAGCGACAGCTCTACAGATTTTGAGAATTCAAATATAAATGATATTGGATATGATGTAGGTATATTGAACCAACTTGAGGAGACAATTGATTTAGATATTGATAAGTCATCTATAGGAAGGAAGAAAAAGAGTGGATTAATTTTTTCAGGAAAATCTAAGTCAAAAAAGATATTAATAATGAAACCTCAGGAGAGTTTAGTAAAAAAAATATATTATAAAGCAGTTGGGATTTGGAATAATTTTTGGATATGGCAAAATAAACTATTTTTAACATATTCTAAAGCTCATTTTATAGCCTTAAGATATGACTTTATGGATGAAGTTGCAACTTATAACTACGGATCTTTCAGTAGCACAGTGAGTGGTGATACTGTATCTTCTTTTGATGGTCCTAATTCTTCATGGCTTGTATCTTTGACAGATCCTACAACTTCTTTGGTAGCAGGTGTTTATTTTACTGAATATCTGAGAGCTAAACTATTGATTCAAGCTATAACATTAATTAGAATTCCAATTTCGACTTTGTCATTTTTGCTTTTGATAGGTACAATAGTTTGGTCTATATTTACAAATAATTATGAAGAGAATGGTAAAACCAATAGTATTAGTATGTTCTCTTCGTCTTTATTTTCAGAGCCTATGATATGCTTTCAAATCTCAATAACCTTGTTTGCATTTTCATTAATAATTTGGCTGAGATCTTTAATAATTAAACATCAATTACAACCAAAAAATTTATTAGGATATTTAAAATTGAAATATAGTTTAGATGTTGGTATACCACAACAAGAAATTGAATATGAAGAAGTCATGCCACGTTATAAAAATAATAAAATTGATATGTGTATAGGAGAACACTCTTCATTATTTTGCAGGCTTAAAAGATATTTGAATTTTATATTATGTGGAACTGCAGCTCCTTCACTTCATGATAACTTGTTTTTATTTAAGCGAAATGGTCCAGATTTGCTATTAAGATGGTTTCAGGCTTCTTATTTTCTACAACTTTTGTTAATATCTATAGTTGCACATCTTTCATACATACAAAAGGATTTATGGTATAATCAACATCGCTATATTACATTTTCTATTTGGATTATTTTTGGATTACAACATTTTTGTCTAGTATTTATTATTTATCCTCTACTTTTATGTACTTCTGTAGGCCAAATGGCTGACAAGGCTGTATTGGATGAAGTTTTAAATATACAAAAAAGTCAAAATATAGAACGTCTATTGCAAGTTGCAGAGGCTTTAAGGTTTGCAAGTTTTATGTATAGTTTCACAAAAGGTAATGATGAATATAGAGAAATTCAAAGAAGACATTATAGTTTACTTTCAAAAACAGCCCCTTGGGATCTACAAATCAAATGTAGAAATACAATGAATTATCTTATTAGCAATGTACCAATTAAGACAAAGGTAAGTTAAATTATAATAAGATATGATAACAATAAGAAAACTTTATAAAAACAAACATTATATTTGGCACAATATTTTAACAAGTTTTGATTATTCATTATTTTCAAAACCTATCATTGGTATAACTAAAAGTAATATTGAAACTATTAATATTTTATATACAGATATGTATCATTACACAGAATCAACTAATACAATTAAAGTACTATTCCTTAAATTCTCAATATATAAAAGATATTCTAATTCAATATATATTTCATATTATAATAATTTTGCTGTTATCATATGTAAACTTAACAGCTCTTATTTCTAATATATATAGGCTGTTTTTCAATATATCTTAATTAACTTTTTTTTTTTCTTCAGGATATTAATAATTGGGCAATTGATATATATACGATTAAGTACTTTTTAATATCTGAAGGCTTATATTACTGTGCAGAACATGCTGAAGAAATTCTCACGATTTTTGATTATGATAAAGATAATTATTTAGATGATGCTGAATTTTCTGTTTGTTATTATGCTATTCAGCATTATTTTATGGGAGATCTAGATGTTTCTATACTATTGGATTATCTTGAAGTAAATTATGGTGTTAATCCAACATCTTCTACAGGTATAGATCTTCAAACATTTACATCTTTAGTTAAGAATCTTGGACTTGGATGGTCTAATGGGCAAATTAGACATGCTATGATATTTTTATCAGGGGAACGAAGTTTATCTGCTCTGTATCTAGCATCTATAAATCGACAATCACCTAAAAAAGAAACTAGAAACAAACGGAGATTTGTACTATCTGTTAAAGTTAATGATTTCATAAATAAACTGATAACCATAGGAAGTGGAATACCCAGTAATATTGCAAATAATTATTATAGAACTACTACTAGGGGTTCAATACAGTCATTTATTCATCCGATTGAAACATCCACTTCTCAAAATAAGGATACTCATATATATGAAGAAGCAGAAATAGAAAAGTACATTTATAGTGATAGCAATATAGAAGAAGAGATTACAGAGAAAGTTTGATTTGTCACTTTATATATTCACTTTTTAATTAGGGGCTAGTAAAAATAACCGCTAAGACTTAATAATCTTTCAAAACAAGCCTGCGTGTGCCAACTACACAATAATAAGCTAATTAACGTTATTAAATTAAAGGTATTTTGAAATAGTATGAATGTTTCCATGTGTATTCAGGAAATATATTGAAGTAGAAAAACTACTGAAATATTCCGATTTTTATGGTCTACCAGACCAAACTGAATTAAGAGCTCTTAGCATGTTTAGAGATTACAAGAATAAGTTTACTAATCTGAAATATAAAAAAAATATTACAGATGATAAATTTATATCAGGATATGCTCAAACAATTAATCATATCCATGGTAATGTTTTGGTTATGACATTTTCACAAAAAATATTGGATGGTGATGCACTTGCTATAGGAGATACTTCTGGTAATGTGTCTCTTTATAATACAGCCAACAATTATACAAATACTTCCCAGGACAGGTTTTTGCTCATTTCTAAGAAAATTCACAATGGAACTATTACAGATATAAAATTTCAGCCTGTATATAGCAATAATTTTGCCAAAGAGAATTATTTATATTCTTCATCAACAGACAGTTTCTTAGTAAAATTAGATATTGAATATACTAAAGCTATTTGGAAAACTAAAGCACACAAAGAATGGATTAAGCAATTTGCATTTGCACCTCAGAATCAGTCAATTATTGCTACAGTTGGGAATGATGGAGCTTTGTATATTCATGATGATAGAACTCTTTCTAATAAAGCCCTAAAAAGACTTGGATCCCTTAAAATAAATACAAACCATGAAATAGATGACAATATAGAATCTCAAATATATGAAGTTGTATCTAATCCAATATCTGAATTAGTAGGGATTCATAGCATCCATGATTTATCTAGTGCAAGTTCTATAATAAAGAAACATCGTACTTCAAAAAAAAGATTACTTATACAAAGTAAGGGAACATCAATAAGCGGAGTGACATTTTTAAATGGAAATTATTACATTGCTACAAGTGGGTGTACAGATGGCCTAATTAAGTTGTGGGATATTCGTAAAGTATCTTCATGCAATAAAGATCCTAAGGCATTGTTGACATTTTCTCCTCAAGTAAAAGATAAAGTTAGTAAAAGATTTAATAATAATTTAAATTGTGGAATTATATGGATGAATAGAGATGAACGCTTTCAAAAACTTGCAATTCAGACAACTCGCGGTGTTGCCTTAATTTATGATATACCTTCGTTGTTGAATTTGCAGAACTCTGTGAAATTGGCGACTTTATATCCTGAAGAAAGTGGAAGCAATTCAAGCATTTCAATGGATTATACTGAACAGTTTTCATCAAGAAATGTAGAGTATAATCATCGCCCTTCTTTATCTTCATGTGGATCTTGGTTTGCCACGCCAATTAACTCTGGATCAAAATTATGTATTTATAAATTAGAAAATAGTAAAGTGCTAAGATTTTCTACTTTGTGTTCTGAACAATTTAATTCATGTTTATTTCAATGTGTAGCTTGGAAAAAAAGTTTGCAATTTAACTCGATACCCGTGGAATTGCCACGGGTACCTATGAAAGCGGTGCATTATGAAAATAGCTTTTATAATTTAATAAATGTGGGGGGGCACTCTCCATGTTTAGCAATTGGTACAAACAATAATTTAATAAAAATATTGAATAAAGAAATTTTTACACCATTCATGAGTGATGATATATCAGCAATAGATGATATTAATATGGATATAGTAAAGGATGTGGTGCCTCTTGATAAAATTCTAAACTCAAAGTGGGTATCTAACGAAAATTTCTCTTTTAGCAGCTCTTATGATGAAGATGCTGACTTTATGAATCAGTTATCATTATCTTCTTCACTTTCAATACCAATACCTAAGTCTAGAAATAGCCTTGAACAAGGTCAGGAAAGTGTAAATTATAGTACTGAAAGTGATATCTCAAGTAATATGAACTCGTCTTCAAGTTCTGCAAAATCCAAGAAGACTGGATTTCTTACAATGACAAGTATTAAGAAGTCAACTATGGAAACATCTTTGGAGAATCGCGAAGTTGTAACAGTAGATAAGGATTTCCACTTTGAAACTGTAGAAGAAACTCCTTATAGACGCAGCATTCCATTTTTTAATTCATCTCAAGATAGTGTAGGTTATCCTGCTCCATATAGAGGTCAGAATGAATATAATTCAGCTTCTCAGGAAAGTCTAGAAACTCCAATACCTTTGGAAAGGTACTCCAGTTCTACTGAACAGGGTAATTATATTGAAGAAGAGTCACTGTATGAAAAAAGTGAAGACAGAAATAGAGTAGTTACTCACTCAAATGTAATTCAAATACCCCTTTCACAGCCGAATGAAGAATTTTATACTACTCCCTTATTATATTCAGATTCTAAATCAGAAAATAGTGGTTTTAATTCTACTTTAATTCAAGAGGTTATGGATAAAGATTTCTGTATGGAGAATTTAGATTTAAATCAAGACTTTCATAATAAATGTGAAGACCTATCTATTAATGGAAGTAACGATGAAAATTCGAAGGGATTTAAACAGAGAAAGTTAGATAGTTGGTTGCGTTCTAATCTTAAATCAGAAGATGTGAGTGTTAGCAATATTAGTAACGTTGGTAATCAGACTACTTCTGATTACACAAAATAATTAAAATATTTTGACACTAGTTAGGAAATTGTGAGGTCTTTGTATATAGCTATTGATTAATGATCATTAATATTTAAATATAAATATCACAAAGATATTGATGATATTTCATCCTACTTCAACATATAATAGCTTTGTGTATGCTCTTTAATATAGTACTTATGGATTCTGTAGACATACTAATTTGTCCGGATATCCTAATTTAGAAAAAAAGGTCAAATGAGAGGTTCTTAACTGTTTGATTAATTAAGTTATATTTTAACTTGTTACTTTCGTCTAAGTTCAATTATGCTGGTTAAGTTTTACCGCCAAGTGTGGCAACATTAGAATAAACTTGTATACTAGTAAACTACAATATTGTAGTTGTAGTAAGAATATAGAATGGATCCAGATAGTAGTAATATAGAATGTGAACAAGGAGATACTGAGAAGATTAAAGATTTGATATACAGGGAAGATAATATACCTTATGTGGAACCTAGTGCTGAAGATGATGCTAGTATAGTTGAAGAAGAGCTTAGTGATCATATGTCTGTGAATAACTCTTTTAAATTTCGCCGCGGTTTAGCTTTAAATATTGATATTCTGAAGGAATCGATTAGATTCACTGTTACAGATGACATTGGAATTCATGTACAAATTCCTACTATAATATCATTTAGAGATTTATGTATTGAAGCTTATGGGATACAGAATATTGAGGAAGAAAGTAAGCATACTACTCGTCATTTATGGGATGATATTTTAAAGGAAGATTGCATATCTGATTCAAAAAACTCCGATTTCAAAGATTTGAATGAAAATATTAAAGAAAATGCTAGTACCAAGACAACAGATATAAATGGTAATATTAAAAATTGTAATAATGAAGAGGATTACAATGAAGAAAGGACCTACGAAGATGTAACAAGCTTTTTAAATACAATAAAGTCTAGGAACAAAAATAAAATCCAAAGTAGTACAGATAATGCTTTGCGTAGAAGAGTTCAAGATATGTCTGCTAGATTAACTAAGCAAGGATTATTGTGTGATCCTCGTGATTACTACTTTAATCCAATGACAATGACTAGTGGAAATGCAGGAGCAAGGAGTAGAGAAGATTATTATGATGTTTTTGATGATTTCATTGATGATTCTGATCTTGTAGATGATCTTGGATTATCATTAGAAGAGCTTTACGATAGGTATGATAATAAAATAGATAATGATGAAAGTTCTACAAATACATCTACACGAACTTCGGAATTAATTCATGTAGAGTATTCACAGCCCACTGATTTTATATGTGATAATAATCCAATGAATGACTATAGTCAAAATTATGATGGGGCTTCAGCTTCAAGTTTAGGTTCTATTTTATATGACGATGAGAATCAAGTTAATTATAGTATGGATTCTTATGGTAATTTAGAAAAAAAGGAGAATTGGACTCTTAAGGATATTTTGAATAATCCTGTTGCTAAATTACTAATTCAGTTAAGATCTGATTGCTGGAATTACTCTTCAAAAAAAAATAAAAATGGAAATAGTGGTGCAAATAAAGGTGCCAATAGTATTAATAGCACAATATGTAATATATCTAAAAGTAATATACCAGTTTCAATACAAGACTCTCCAAAAACGACTTTAAACAATACACCTTCAATACAATGTGCAGACTTATCCTCATCTAGTTTACCACAGCAATCTGTTAATTGTAACACCTCCAATTTAAATGATGAAATTTACAGCTTTCCTAATAGAACACCGAAGATGGTTATACAATGGTTTAAGATTTTAGAAGAAAAGCTTAAGACATTTCAGAAGGCTTACAAAGATTGCAAAGATTATTATAACGAAAATGGAAATGTAAAGTATGATAAAATTGCAACTTTGCATGAGCTACATGAGGCCATTAGTATTATTAATTCAAATATTGAGCGTGATCCAATACTTTGTAGAATTCCATCACTATTTTCTTCAATATATACAGATTATAGTGAAGTTGCACCATATGATTTTAAGCTGATACAGATTTTATGGGATGCTCTATATATTTGTTTACCTTTAAATCTAAAGAAAAAACAGACCCATGGAGCTTTTGGAAGTAATGGAATTTCAACTACTATTTTGAATCTTTTACAAAAGTTCGACAATTTTCGTTCTAAATGGGCGAGATTGATACTTAGTCACAATAAGGAAGCCCTATATCAATTTAATTTTAATGCATATGAGGTAATAAAGACCTATCCTTGTATTAAAATGAAGTCTCCTGAGTATATTAAACGTATACTAGATGCTATTTCGGTCTACAATTCTGCAATATCTAATAACTCAAATAATTTACTTAAGGGAGGAGTAAATACAATAGTACTATCGTCACTATCAAATTCTAAGGAAATAAAAAATAATGAAACTCATTCATCAATAAACAAAAGCAAATTTTGTGAACATGAATCTCAAATGAATACTTTATCCATTGATAGTACTTTAAACCTGAACTTGGAATGCTCAAAACCTCATGAATTAGAAATAAAGGACTCTCAGAAATTTGAAAATTCTATAGAAATTGGTGAAAATACTTTGGAATATAATTTAAATTACGAAGAAAATTCAGATAATCAATTAGAAAAAATCGAGAATACCCTGTCCTTAGATAATTTACAAAAGCTGCAAAATTCTCAAATTAATGACAATTCTTCAAGATATCAAGTAACATGTAGCTTTATTAGTGAATATAATAAAGCTAATAGTGAAGTTACACAAAATCAAATGAGAGACTCAGGTATTAAAGACACACTAGTAACTCCTAGGCACCATTTAATAACTGATGGAAACAATGCAGAAACAAGCCAATATGATATGACAACTCAAGATGATATTGTAGCTTCTTTAAATGATACTAAGCCTGAATCATCTATAAATACTCAGCATAAAAGTATGTGTTCTTCTGAATTTGAGCACATATTAGATACTCCTATAAAAAGATCGGCTAATAAAGTCAAATTAGGGGTAGAAAAGTGTAGTCATGAAGAATCACATTTATCATATACACAACCTGCAAGTTTACCAATAAAGGAAGAAGGCCAGAACTGTTTAAAAACTATTCCATGTGACTTGGTATTTGATTTTGGGATTGCACTGTTAGATTATATTTATGGTATAAACAAGCTTCGAAATGTATACAAAGACCTAATCTCTGCAAATGTACTATTAAAGACTGTACAAAGAGAACAAGAAACAATACCTGCTAATGGAATTAAAGGACTTGAATCTATGATACGTACATACATTCTTAAACGTTTTCAAGGTGTACAGTATAATGGCCAAAAGCTTAAAGATATTCCATATAGATTCTTCCTCAATCAAGTACGGCTATTACAAAATAAGTACAATTATAGAAGAGCTACAGATAAGGCTATACAAAAGGTTACGAAGAATAATACAGATTTAATTTCTGAAAAAGATTTGAAATCTCAAGATTTACTACAAGACCAAAATTTAAAGTCTAGTAATTCGAGTTTTGATATTACATTACAAATATCTGATAAATCTTTTGAAGATACTACAAGAACTCCTAGTAAAAAAAGATCAAGAAAGAGTGCAATAAATAATGGTACTAATAGTAATAGTTTAAACTATGATATATCACAAACTGAACCTGCTGGAATAAATAGCCTACAAAATGAAAATGATCAGTCCTCATCAATTGCATTGAAAGATTCTACTGAGAAAGTTAAAAAACCTAGAAATAAAAAGAACAAGAAGATTGTTATAGAAGATTGCAAAGATATTTCACTGAACAATATTTCTATTAATAAAGAATCTATGGATATAAATGCTTTTTCTCACTTAATGGAACATCAAACACTTGGAATGAATCAAATGAAGACTTTAGACAGTAACTTTGAAGATTAACTTCAAATTAGTTTAATTTCATTAGTAATCTTAGTTCACAAGAAAATTCATAAGCATTCAAATATTCTATATCAAATAATTTCTCTGTAAATAAGTTAGATTAAACCTAACTAAAAAGCACCTAATATCTAGGTAATAAAATTAGGAGATTATAGAATAGGGTAGAATAAAACTAGCAAGATTTGGTCAGAAATAATGAATACCTAAGATATTTATAAGCCGAAAATGTAACTTCAATTGATTCAGTGTATATTATTTAGTTAAATACGGCTTATATCACAGAATTGCATTTATATATAGCCTGATAGTGTGAATTCCCAGTAGTGAGATATCTATGAATACACTATAAATAAATTGACAATTTGTTTAATAATGATAGGTAAAGTATATGTAATCACTAACAAAGTGGATTTCTATTTCTGCAATACTGATGGTAATATTAATCAGTAATCTCTTTAGGAATGTTAATTTTCCTAAAAATAATAATATAGATGAATATTTCCTGATAGAAATATGAAGCAGTATAGAAAGAGTATATGTATTTGATATTTATTTAATAGTTGACCAATAGTAAATTGATGATTATAAAATAGTTCCACTTATTATTACATAAATCACTTAAAGTACTTAGTAAATCCTGCATAATTAACACTTCACAAGATCTCCTTAATATGTTTACTGGCAAGCAGCTACAACCATTTGATGTGCATCTAATAAGGCTGTTTTAATTCCTTCAATTGATCTTTCTTTAGGAGAGAAATATTTGTATATAGTCTTCCCACTATCACAAGATTTAAGAGCCACTACAAATCTCCTTGTTTTAGGGTGCCATGATATATAAAGGCCTTTATGAACATTACCTTTTTTCACACCCAGAGAATCACGTAATTGTTGTAATAGTTGTCTAGCGTGATATGTTAGCTCCTCCTTACTAAGCCCAGTATCTTCAGGTTCTTCAATAATTCCCTGTCCTAAAAGTAGAGATGTTCTAGCTTTAAATGCTTTTCTTAAAGCTTCTTTAAGTCCCAATATTGTCCAAGATCTCGGGCCAAAGTACTTATAGTGCAATTTCCCATTAGAATAAGCACCTAAAGTCCAGCTTCTAGGATTTTGTTCATCCCTTGTAGTATATGTAACACAAAAACGTTGAGTGCAAGCATGCCAATTAATCCCTAATTGGGTCGGTGTTAAACTCTTTACAAACTTCAACATAGCCCTAGCTGAAATTGTTAGCTGAGAAGCAGTTAATATAGCCTCCCCAATAGCAGAAGGATTGTTTGGAACTGGAGTAGTTTCATCAGTAGTTTCAAATAAACTACTGGCTGTTTTACAAATTTCTATTGCAGCTAATTCAGCTTCTCTCAAACCAACACTATCCCAATCAACATCCAAATGATCTAAAGCAGCTGCAGCCGCTGCAGTTACAGAAGATGTAGCAGTACTTGAACGTGATGAATGACTAGGTCTATTTAAAGAGGAACTAGATGTATTCTTATTAATAGACTTATTATCAAACTCCAATTGATTATTAATGATAGAATAGTTTGCTGATGAATTACCAGTAGCATTAACAAGCGCTGCAGTAGCTGCTGCAGCTAGAGCTGCAGGACTAGAAGTTGTCAGATCTATGTTTGATTGTAGAGCTGCAAGTAATGACATACAATTTGCTTGATTTTGTGAATTTTGCACTGAAGTCATGTCATGAATATTTCTAGTTATTCTCGAATCATCAGTTCGAGGTGTATGAGATAAGAAGGGAGACTGTAAAAAACCATGTAAATTCAAGGAATTACTATTAAGAGCAGTTACAGCAGATGGAATATCTCCCGAATTTAGTAATGCCATAATATTATTATTTATAGGCCAATATGCCAAACTATTCTGTGTTGTATTTGGATTGTGATTATTCGCATTGTTAATACGTATCATTGGTGCAGTAGATGTACCATTATTACTAACTGAAAATTGAGAACTATCACAAGTTGATCCATCAGACGGAGTTGCAGATTGCATAGATAGTAAAATTGAGTTTGGACTTCCATTTATAGAGCGGCTTACATGATTATTAGTAAAACTTGGGTTATTTAAAGTACCATTTTGTTGTTGTGAAGTTGCAGCTAGAAATGCAGCAAGTGTAGCTGTATTAGCTACATTTGAGTTATTCATAGGATTACAATTATTAGATCCCATTGGCCAATTAAAATTTGCTCCCAACGCTCTAGATAAAAATGGATTAGTCAATAACTGTGCTTGAGTAGCTTGTAAAGATGGGCTAGAAAGTATTTGATTAGAAAGTAATTGAGAAATTACAGGATTATTATTTGGAGATGAGGGGGTTAATGAAGGAGATATTCCATTAATACTATCACCACTAGAACTATTACCACTATACATAGGAACAAAGCTAAAATTCTGTATGTGTTGAATATTATTATGTTCTAGTTGAGGTATTTGTGAGTTACAAGCAGCACCAGAAGAAACTGCAGCAAGTTGCAATAATTCATCAAATAAATGTTTTGTAGGAGAAAATAACTGTTTATTATTTGTACAGTCACTAGATTCTTTACAATTTCTGTGTTGATTTATTGGTGAAGTTGAAGCTGTAGTAGATTTTGAAGTAATAGCAGATGTATCACTATTTTGATGGTTTTCTTTTATATTAGATATAAATCTGCCTACATTATTATCACCCTGATTTATCGTAGTAAATTTAGTTGCAATCTCAAACCCCCCTTCATTAGCCTGATCCTCTGATATAATTTGTGATTTTAATCCTGGAGTTTGTAAAATACCAGATGGTGAAGTTCCAATAGTTGACCCTAGAGCAGCACTAATTGCTCCATATTGTCCACTCTGTAATAAAGCATTTGTAGAAAGTACAAAATTTGGATCCATTACTAGCATATGAGGTGATAATGTTTGAAGTAATGAATTTCCTGGTGTATTCGGAGTATTCATAGTTTGAAATTTTAGACATTGTGATTCTATCATAGATTCAGATGAAGATTCATCTTGCTTAATCATAGGACTATCAATCGCAACAGCTTTATCTGAATCATCAATTCTTGGTCGCTTAATATTACTTCCATTCTCAATAGGAGTCATCAAATCACTACCATTTGTTGTACAAGTCGTCACATCATCTATAGAATTACATTTACTAGCACCAGTAGGTGTAATAACAACGGATGGTGGTTCAGATCGACCCACACAAGTGTCAACAGACTCCTCATCTAGAGATAATGATGACGACTTATTAACCTCTTCCGTTTCCACAAAAGTCTCTTTACTTTCATTATGAATAATAATCATTCCGAAAATTAGAGAAAAATATAAAACTTTAGACCAACCTAGAGACTGCAGCAATAACAAAATTAAGTTCTTTTAACAATACAATTGTGTAAACCAAATTATTCAAATTGAATAGTCAAAGTAATCAGTTAAGCTCTGAAATCACTATACATAAGAATAGTCAAATGTCATTTAACAATATACTCAGTAATATATTTTACTTTAAACAAATACACAATTTGTGTGTGAAACCTTTATTTTATATCTTACTTACCAAGAATATCTTGCATATATATTTAATATTGGAAACTATAATTAAAGCAATAAATAAATAAAAAGCATTCAAAAATAAACAAATTCAGTTTGCGTTATAATAATATTCAATATCTTTAGGGGTAAGTCTTACTTCATCAGAAGAAATAACTAAAGATATATCTTGTCAATTAACCCCCTTGTGTCATTAATCAGCCAGTCATTCATCCAGTCAAATGGTCGATTGTCATTAACTGTGGCCCCCAGCAATCCTAAACACCCATTCGGATGTTGGAGGGGTCAGTTGTAACCATCCGCAGTTACAGATACTATACTAGTCAAATATCTATAGACATTTACGTGATGTTTCATATATTCCCCAAAGATCTCCCTTAAATACTCCAAAACCTTATATAACAAGTAGCGTGGGGTTCCATTATCCACTACTTCTATACAGTAGCTCAATGTCTACTAATTACCCCGCAGGGCCCGGTTTGATGAGATACTGTGACTGGTAATTTGTCCATTGCTGATATCCAGAATCTAAGACGAGACGCAAAATTTTAGCGGGATTAAAAAGACATCTCCTTTAGTTATATATCAGGAGGGGCAGCACGAAAATAAGATGTTTGTATAAAGGTCTTAAGAAGAAATGAATTTCTATATTACTTTATATATGTATACAAAACCTTTTTATTTATTCTAAGTCAATATATATATATATATATCATCAACTTCAGATATACTAGTTAGCTAATTAATGATAACACTAATTATAATGAGATATTTCATACTTCTTTTATAAGGAATATATATTCTAAATAAAAGAGATTCTAATATGAAAGAAATATTATGTGTGTTAATGTGTATTTATGTGAGATAAACATAATATTGAATTATAATGATGAGACTGGATAATTAAGAATATATATAGGTCTGATAAACAGTAAAATCATATAGAGAAGAGATTCTTGTGTATATTGATTTTAATTTATATCATGTATAAAATATATAACTGTATTTTTAATTGTGTATTATGACCACTTCTTTATATGTATTCATTTTATTATGAAAATATAAAAAAAAAAAAAACAATCCCAAATTATACGTTTTTATAATCTCCAAGCTCTGTTAAAAAATCTTCCATTATATTTTTTAGTTTAATACAATGATCAGTAAGCTCTTTTAAAGTCATATTACGAATTGAATGTGGTATATTATGCTGTTGAATAATTATATTTAGGCTTTGAGTTTCATCTCTAATATCTGACAATTTCTTTGTTTTCTCTTCAATAATTTGATTAAGATGAATTAATCTCTGATTCAATTGTTCTTCAGATATATCTAAGATATTACCAAATGATCTATTACTATTTAAACTAGATGATAATTCAGGATTTAGCATTAATAATAGTTGATGTGCCTGTAATTTTATCTTGTCATTCTCTATCTCTTCTAAAGATCTTAAAATCTCTTGAAGTTCGTGTTTATCCGCATTCATTACTTGCTTAAATAATATACTCTTCTATATTCTCTTTGTAATTCTTCTAAAGTCACTTTTTTTAGATAATTAAAGATTTCAATAAATTCAATATTATATCTTACCTAGATCTATAAAACTTCTCCATAAGAATAATATCAATAATATTTAAAAAAAGTATTATCTAACTTCAATCACTAAATAATGTAATTACAACTTTTCCTTTTAACATTATTTTAACTAAAATATTATAATAAGTTATTTTGTATTTATTACAGTATGAAAGTCTATTTAGAGGGGAATAATCACACTTAAGCGCGAAATAGTTAAACTATTTTCTTAAAAATTCGAAATACACAAGAAATTACACTTTTCCCTAAATTTTTGTTTTACAATCTTCAAAAGAAAACATTAATTCTTCTTATTAATGGAACTGAATGATGTTAAAATGAATGTTGTGGAGGAAAAGGTGGAAGAAAATATCCAAAATAAAGTACCAATTAAACTAGAGGATGAACAAAATAAATCAATACAAAGTGAATATATTCTTGGATATAATAATAATGTTGGATTAAATAATGAAAATTATAGATCTCCTGTAGATTTTACTAAGTTTGAACCAAGCTTTTTTAGAAGATATGTAGCATTCTTTAATGAAGATGAAAAAATTAGGAATTTAGATATATTAAAAGATAAAGAATATTATTGTAAAGAGATCAATGAACATTTTAGTAATTTGGAAATTAATCCTGTGGAAGTAATTCGAACATTTCTAGTATTAAAAAAAATTTCAGAATATTCAAATCATTATACTGGTGTTTCACCAGCTCCATCTCCAGAACCGGGTGTATTAATTTCAGAAAATGGTAAAAATCGTAAAGGTACTTCATGCAAAGAATCTATTGCGGATCCATCAATTATAGATTCAAATACAAATACTATACCTAATTCTCATTATAGTGAAGAAACATATAATTCCGTTATAAATCCTTTAGATTATGATAATGATAATAATACATCTACAAGAGTAAGCAGGAAATCTAAAGCAGGTGGAAGAGGAAGAAGGTGACCTCTATTTATTATTAAGTTGTATAAATATTTACTTTAATAATATTAATAATATAACTAATATATATTAATATTGGGATCAAATATTGGACAATTGTTTATTATTATTGTAAATGTTATAGAAATAAAGATATATTTGATTATAACATCAGATATACAAAAGTATATAAAGTGATTAATAACTAGTTAAATTCAATATTAAGTTTTTCTAATGCTTGTATATATATTTCAAATAAAGATTCATGTTCAATAAGAGATCTGGCTTCTTCGATATAAGCCCATGTATATTGATCATGTTCATGAGATAATACAACTGTTGTATTTGTACATTCGCCTGTAAATTATAAAATATTAAAATTAAATTTTAGGAAAAATGCAAAATCAGAATTTATTTCTTTTATTTATATAAAATATATAACATACCAAGAAAATATACTACAGTTTTATTTTTTCCCCATGCTTTATAATGTATTTCCTGTAAGAAAGATAATATTAAAGAATAACATTTAAAAGAAAGAAAAAAAAAAAAAGTTACTACAATACTACCTTCTTAAAATCATAAATTTTAATATTATCTTTTTTTATACCTGTCTCTTCATATGTTTCTCTAATAATTTACATAAACTCAATATTTTATACAAGTATATATAAAAAATTCCTTACCTAAATGCTGTGGTTAATAAGTTATCAACTTCATGCTCATCACAATGGCCTGTAAAGACAAACCTTAACTAAGGGAGATGTCTACATAATAATAAACTTATTTATTTTCTTACCCTTTGGTGGAGACCAGTGTTTTCCTTTTGAACATCTTAAAAGTAAAAATTTTGGTACATGGCATTCATCTAATGTAAATAAAATAATGCCAGCAGCTAATAAATCGCTCATTTTTATTTATTTCTTAAAAAAAAAAGGAAAAGATAAATAATATCTCTTAATAATTATAATTAGTATATTAAATTCTAAAAGATGCCACGATAAAATAAAAAAAAAAATGGGCGCGCCTACAACACCTTAACTATCATATGTCTTCTAACCTTTATAGGGGTTAACTTAATTTATTTTTATCTTTCTACTTTACTCTTTTTTTTTCTTTAGAAAAAAAAAGACAATATTATATATATTATATATATTATATATTTGTTATATACTTTTGGTTTTATAATTTTGTAAATAATAATAATGAAGGTTTATAAATGCGTTTTTACAGGGGATGAGGTTATATCTGATTCTTATAAGCAATTAGCTCCTTTTGGTAGAGATGAATTTATGGATATTGCATTTGAAGTTGAAAGTAAACGGATTCTAAAGGGCTCTGAAGATTATGGAATTTCACATAATACAGAAGATGGTGAAGTAGAAATTGGTACTACTGATGCAGAAACAGTTAATGATATTATTGATGCTTTTAAATTAGAATCTACACCATTTTCAAAAAAAGAATACATGTTATACATTAAAGGTTATGTTTCTCGTCTAAAGGGATATCTTGAACAAAATAATCCTGACAGAGTTGAGAAATTTATGCAAAATACTCAAGCTTTTGTTAAGGTATTATTAGAACGTTTTAATGATTTAGAATTTTATCTTGGCCCATCTCTTGATTGTGAAGGTATTATTATTTATGGTTACTATAATGATGGTGACTTAGCTCCCAGATTTATTTATTTTAGAGATTCATTAAAAGAAGAAAGATATTGAATTCTTTTAAATTGATATTTTGAAATTTGTACAATGTAGATATTAGTTATTTGATAATAACTATAGTATTAATTAGATACCAAGTTATTAAATAGTAGTTTTCTTTTAGATATTTAATTAATTTGTTAAATTGAAAATTTGGAAGAAATTGTATTATGAAAGTTATAATGTAAATATCTTAATAAATAATATAGATCAATATTAGAAATAATTAAATTTGTAAAATGAAAAAAAAAGAAAGAAGTTATCGAAATTTAACTAACGACTTATTATTTTTAATAAACTATCCGCAACTTCAAGACGTTCTATCTGATTCTTAATGTCTTCATTTCTTTTTTTCTTTTCAAATCTATATTGGAAGATAGCAAGAGATATTGAAAATATTGCAAATAATATACCAAGTACTATACAATATATAAAAAAACTTATTGATAAATGTATTGAAAACCCATTGTTAAATAATAATATTATTATTGGAGATATTATATATGAGATCTTTAAAATTGTAAAAAAACTTATTAAAAAGTTTAAAAAGTCTATTATTGGAATAAATACTTCATTAAAATTCCATTGTTTCTTTTTAATTATCCAAATATTTGTTATTAATGATATTATTGTTATTAATAATGATAAATATATAAAATAATTTATAGAAAACCCAAATATTAAAATATTATCAAATAATTCTTTATCATATTTATATTCTATACAATAATATATAGAATAATTTGTAAAATTATTAAATTCTTCATATATTAATGAATCTTTATATCCTTTATATTTTTGACTTAAATTTTTTTTAATAATTGGAATAATATGTTTTAATGATGATGATTGTTTTATTAATTGAAAATTATTTAGTATATTTTCCTTATTTTCCAAATTTTCTATTGAGTTACTTATAAAACAAATATTTGATAAAGATCCAATTACTTTTAGTCCAGATTCATTTCCATTGAACCAATTATTATATAATAATGATGTAATTAGACTTATAAATACGAGAACTTCAATTATAGACTTTATCCCAATAATTAATTTCTCATCTTTTTTTTTTAAAGACATTATTTTTATTATATATATTAAAATAACCACTAAAATCTTGTAATAACATTTTTAAAATAGACATGTACGTCCTAATAATGTCTTATACTGACTTAATATTTTTATGAAATAATGCAGTTTCTTAATATTTCACTTATAATATATAATAAAAATCACAATCCCCTTAATTATTTTAAAATTTTTGTAATATAAATAGTCAAAACTATTCAATTAATTCTTTTCTTTTTTTTTTTTTAGTTATTGAAAAATATACAAACATGCATGGATTCTAACAAAAAAACGCTCAACGGTAATACAAAATATTTTTTTTTTTTGGCGCCAATTTTTATGTAATATTTTCCAAAGTATTCCTTAATTAGGTACAGATTTATAGATATTATTATTACTAATAAAATTTAGAAATATAATTTAATGATTGAACAAATTGGGGATACTCGAAAATTATTTTTAATTAGTTCAATTCTTAGAAATCGTGTATTTTCATGTATATATTGGAAAAGTGAATGTTTTGGTTTAGATAGTGAGACAATATTAGATAAAGCTATACAATTGGATTATGTAGGTAGTACTTTTGGACCAGAAAGAAGACCTTGTACATTTTTATGCCTTTTAGTCAAACTATTACAGATTCAACCATCACTAGACATTATTTTGGAATATATTACTAATCCCGAATTTAAATATTTAACTGCTTTAGGAATAATATATTTGCGTTTAGTGGCATCTCCAAAAGATATATATATAAATTTAGAACCTTTATATAAAGATTATAGAAAATTAAAATGTCGAGATTTAGATGGTTCATTTTATATTTTATGTATAGATGAATTAATTGATAGATGTTTAAGAGACAATGTACTATTTGATATAGATTTACCATATTTACCTAAAAGATTAATGTTAGTTAAAGAAGGTATTTTGAAATTTCCTAGGGAATCAAATATTAAATATACTCCAATGAAACTTGAAAATAAGATAAGAAGAAAGAAAGTATGTAGGAGTAATCGTTCACTTTCTCGTTCTCAATCCCCTGAACAGAAAGATTTGTTACCTAATAAAATAAATAGAAATTCAAAAGAAATAAATTTATCTGTTGAAGAATGGAATAAATTAAGGAAGAATCTTGGTATAAAACCTTTAAAATAGATTATTTTAAGATTTGAAAGTATAAATAATATTTAAGATATTTTTTCTATATGTAACTCTTATTCTAATGACACAATATATTAGATATATATTAAGTATGTATATTATATATTTATATATATATATATAAATATATATAAACTTTAGAAATAGAAAAAAATAAAAATAATTTTTTTTTTTTTACCATTATTTAATAATCACTTCTAGGCTACTGTTTAAGCATGGGAGTTGTTCCTGACAATACCCGCCTTATTCATAGCTACTTTTTTTTTTTTTTCCTTGTTTTTTAAAAAAAAAAGATTACCTAAAAATAAACAGAATCTAAATTTAATAAAGGAATCTCTGTGTGTTAAATATATATATTTTTAATATATAGTTTTAATATAAAAAATTAAAAACAGAATCTAATATGCTACTAAAATTAAATAAGGAACATAGAAAACAAGATCATCAATCCTTATATTATGAATATTATAAATTCCGTGACAATTTTATCCGAAATAATAATACAGAAATATCAGCTATAGATATATCTTTAAGAAATATGTTAAATGAATCCAGAAAAACTAGACGTGAAATGTTTTTAAATGAAAAAAGGATAAGTCTAATAACTTCAAGAAATTTAATAGAAAATAATTTGAGAAATGAAAATAATAAAATAATAAAAAAAAATTCAAGATATATTAAAGAATGGAATTTAGCTTTAACATGGTCATCTGAACTTGTAAAATACAATTATTTAACACTTTTTACTTGGGATACATTTATTAAAAATTATACACCAGGTGAATGGTTAGTAACACCAATAACTATAGGAATTCGTTGTATTCTTATATATGGCAATGGATATTGTGAGATTCGTGATGAACATGGTTGGACTATTTTTGTAATTGATATTCCACCATTTAAACATAGTGGATTAACAATACTAGATGGTATTTATAATTATATAATAGATACTTTTATATGTTATGATGTTATAGAATGGAATAATCTTAAAATATGTGATTCATCTACAGATTGTCGATTGTATTTTTTAAGATCAAGATTTCAAGAAGTTGGTTTAGATGATTATAATAATAGAATAGAAATAGAAAATGAAGATATTTTAATTGATATAAGAAATGATTTATCTCATATAAAATATTATTATCCTTATAAACATTTAGATAATTGGAATAAAAGACATAAAAATAGTATTAAGATTCAAATGGCTAATTATTTTGAGATAACTAAACAAGTTATATCATCTTTATATCTTGGATCTATTAATGCAATTGAAAATAATGATATGAATAAACTTTTAAGTTTTTTTGCATTTGTTCATCGAGATTCTTGTTATACTTATGATTATAGTTGTTATTGGTATATATGGCGTGATTATAATATGAAACCACCTGGAATATTAGGTAATTTATTTATTGATTCAACTAAAATAAAGAGAAAAAAGGGTATGAAAAAAATAAAAAAGAAAAATCATGATATTCAACAAATTATTACTGATATGGATGCTGAAGGTGAAGATGAAATAAATATGGATTCAAAAAATGATGGGATATCATTTATTTTAGAATTAAGAAATTCAAATGATTTATATACAAGTGAAAATTTATATATGGGGAATTTATTGTCACTACATCCAGAAAATGTGAATAAGATTAGTTTAGATACATTTAATAAAAATTCTAATTTTCGATTAGTTAGAGTATTTGTTGATTCATCTCAAATAGAGATATTTATGAATAATTTTAATCAAAAGATCTCATTACCTTTAGATTCAAATATAAAAGGATCTACAGGTTGTCTTTTTGGGACAATGAAGATAATTGGTTTAAATAGCAGATGGCATGTAAAAGCTGATTCAATAGATTATATATTATTTCAATGTACAGAATTTTTTAAGAAAAAAACTGAGATTCATTTAGCAATGAATGACAATAATAATATTGTTAGAAATTATAGTGTTCATTTTGAAGAATTAATAGAGATTTTATAAATAAGTAATTTATATTTAAGATTTTAGTTATAATAAGATATTTTTGAATTATCTATATAATTTTCTTTGATATTTCTCTTTGAAATAATACTAAATATATAGATATTTTAAGAGATATATTAATAGTTCACACTTTTATTATATAATTATTAATTTAGAAGAAAAAAAAAAGTATTTGATTAATTTCTTTTAATATTAATAAAAATTATTACTAGTTATTATTATTTAAAAATTAAACAATACAAATAAAAATGTACACCTAATCTAAAACTAATCTTTCACCAATATTATTTCTTTCAATTATAGATGATTCATCACTACGTTCAAATGATTTTCTCCATAAAAGTAAATCACCTCTCATTAGACCTCTACTAATTACTTGGACTAGCTGATATCCATGTTGCCCTATAAATTTTATTGGTGAAGTACTCAAATTATTCGTATATAAATGTATTTCTCTATAACCATATTCTTTAGCAAAATTTTCCATTTGTGCTAATAATCTAGTACCTATTCTCATTCTCCTACTTTCAACACCAACAACTAATCTTAATAATCGTGCTATTTTAGGATCATCTCTATAAGGAGCTAAACCTAAACAACCAACAATAATTGATTCAGGTTTAATTGTTTGTTTATCATCATTTTCTTCTTTATTAAGTGATTTTGTAGTATTTTGTTCATTTGCAAAACTTCTACGTTTTTTTAAAGGTCTTTTTACTAATTCTGCAACCCAAAAGTGATATCCAGGTGATATCATATACATTTCATGAACATTTCTTAAGTCTGTACAATTCCTAATATATGATTCAACTTCCCATCTAGATCTTCCAATTAGGTATATAATATATAAAACTAAAGAATATAAAAGCTGTTTAAAACTTAAAAATACCTTTCCTATTAATAATAAAGCAATAATATCTGGGACATGTTGAGTTATATAAAAGAATACTGAAGGGAAAGTTAAAGAACGAAAATGTTTAAAGCAAACACTTCGTACACCATCAATATCTGCTGGTTTAAATTCCCGAATGTTTAAATCATAACCTCCATAGGGACTATTATCATTCATTTTGCTAAAATTTTAAATCCCAATAAAATTATTTATAGAAATCGGCTTCAGAATATTATCACCTTTTCATTACTTTTAAGTAGCCGCTATTCAGTGTACTATTAATAAAAGATAATAAACCAATCTTATTAAGGCTTAAATTAACTAAATAATTTATAATATCACTTATATTAAATTATTTCAAATAGGTTAATTCTACAATTTTTTTTATTTTAATATAAAATATAATATTATTTATGTATAATAAAGAAAAGTGCTTTTTTGTATAATAAATGGGATTTTATTTATATATAATAATAATTATTGGAAAATTTTGTCTATAAATTTGTATTATCTACCACTCTATTTTGAATTATATTTTATTTTATTATTTTTTTTTTTTAAAAAAAAAAAAGAGGGGAAAATAAGAAGACAAGTTTATTATTTTTAGAAATGTCGCCACATTACATACATGCAATACGTATTGTTGGCGCTGTAGTAATATTCTGCATGCAAAAGGAAAAAGAGAAAAAGAAGAAAGAACTAGAAACATGAATTAAAAGAATGTATACTAAAATAAATAAGACATACAAACTTTAGAACATATATATAAGATTAAGTAATTGCAAAAGTTAAATAACTAAATTGGAAATAGAGAATTGCCAAGATAATCCAGAAATTTTGAATCTCTATTAAGACATTTTTCTTTTTAAAGAAAAAAGAGAGAAATAAATTAAAATATACAATTAATAGTTTTTTAAAACCTTTTTTTTCTTTTTAAATTATAAATAGTTTTGACAGCTTAATTTTGATATAAAATTTTATTAAAAAGGGATTTATTAGATGGAAAATTTAGATACTATTCCAAGAAATAGTGAGTTTGAATTGCAACAACTTGATATTGTACAGAATAAAATTGACAATACTCCCTCATCTATAGTAAAAGTTGCAGGGCAAATAGCTTCTAGAGTTATTGGTAGTGCGGCTAGTCACTTTATATTAATTATATTATGTATAATTCAAGTTCTATGGTCAATATTTCTAGATATATATAGTTTCATATATAAAGGAATATCATTTTCAATTGCAATATATTGTATATATGATGCATTAACTATATTTTGCAATTATAAAAAGTTGGAAATAACTAAATGGCGTAGTGTATTTGATATTTTGGATGGTATAATTAGTATTATAATTGGAAGTATTGGTTTTTATGACCCTTTATTATTTCCAGTTGGATGTATAAAATTATTAAATTATGTTCTTAATTTTTCGAGGATTTTGAGATTATTAAGACTACAAGTTGGATTAAATAAAAGATTTTATGAAGATGGAGAATTCTGTCTCGATTTAGTTTTTATAACAGATAGAATTATTGCAATGGGATTACCAGCAGTTGATATAGAAGCTACTTATAGAAATCCTTTGGATGAAGTCTCATTATTTTTCTCAGTGAAATATCCTTTCCATCATTTAGTAGTAAATTTATGTAATGAGAGAGCTAATTATTCTTCTACATATTTTCACAGTATACTTACTTGTCCATTTCCGGATCACCAAGTACCAACTTTAAGTTCAATGTTTATCTTATGTTATATACTATTTGAATATTTGAAGTTTGATAAAGAAAATGTTGTAGCTGTACATTGTAAAGGTGGTAAAGGACGTACTGGATTAGTGGTAACTGCATGGTTATTATACTCAAAATTTTCTTCTAATGTTAAAGAAGCATTATCATATTATGCTACTAGGAGAACAGATTCTCTTTTACCTGGTGCTCCAAAAACTATAAGAAATCCATCCCAATTACGTTTTCTTGATTACTTTAATATTTTATTATCATATAAAGATGTTAAATTTAAACAAAAAGATTCAAATAATTTAATTAAAGAATCAAATGTTTGCTTTAAGAAAGATATTATAGATGGATTTGTTTCTGGATATACTTGGTCAATAAAAAAATTCCAGATTTCGAGAATAAATAAACAAAATGAAAGATATGAATGGTCATTTTCTGATTTGAAATTGTGTGACGAGATAGGATTACCATATTGCCTATTTGATGATTTATTGATTAAGCCAATACATTTAGAAATTTTAAAGAATGGTATTTCAAATGTATACGAATGGAAGATATATCTTCATTCAGATTGCAATATAAAAAATTATTTAATTAAAAATGTCTCATCTACTAAACCTTGGTCAATTTCCAAAAGTAAATATTTACAGCTTTTAAGTCAAAATAAAGATTTTGTAGTATATCAATATTATGATGAGAATGTTAATCAATTTTCTATTATTGATAAAGATCCTTTGGATATGTTAAATAAATTAGTGAAGTCACTAGATTTTCAACCATTTCAAGGAGATTTATTAAAAAGTTCAAAAGATAGAAATATAGAAGATTTTGAAGGATGGATTAGTAATGAATTTGTAATTAAGATATATCCATTATCAGAGGAAAGTTCTGTCTATGAAGATCCTGCTGAAACAGGTACATTACATAGTGAAGATATTTGTTTTGATAAAGATACTTTAAGGAAATCATCTAATTGCCTTCGACTAAATGAATTTGTAAGATCTAGTTCAGATTCATTTGGAAGTTGTATTACATCAGATTTATCAATAAATCAAGAAAATACTAATGAAGAAGATTATCTATTAAAAGAAATAAATTTTGATTCTGTAGATTCTAATAAAAAAAATAAAATACTTGACTCACTACAATACCCTTTAAGAAATATTAAGAAATGGAGCTTATCTTTATTTTCTAGTTCAATACCATTTGCTCATATTTGGTTTCATCCATCTTTAGTTCATATATCAACTGATTCAAGATATTGGTATTTTATAGTAGAATGGGATAATGAAGATAATTGTTGGATAGTTAAAGAATGTTTCTTAACAGTTCTTTTAAAAGCTCCCCTTAACATTGATTTAAGACAACCAGGATTTGAAGATATATCAGTTAATATAACATTCCAGTATAAATAGTATTTCGCATTAAATTTATGAATTTATTTCCTAGAGAGAAGAATTTACTTTATATTGTAATCTTCTATAAATATGATATGTAAAAATACTTATATATTGGTTAACTTCAAATTCTTACTACTTATAAACAAGATTTTCTACAAACATCTTTTTAAAGTCATCATTAGAAAGAGATTTAGGTTTGTCAGAATATTTGTAATTATTTTTAATTTCCATAACATTAGATTTTATGTCTGTATTACTGGTGATAGGTTCTACAGAATATCCAGATGAATTTTGTACAGAACTACCAAAGTTAGAGTTCAATATACTCTCTTTATTTAATAAATCATCTACTTCATCAACTTTCTTAATATTTGTTTGTATTTGTTCTATCCAATTTGATTTAAATTCAACTTTACGTTTACTTCTAGAACGAGGTTCAATTCTATTTATAATTTTTGGGGTTTTATTCATACTATTTTGTGGAATTGTTAAGGGACGTTTAGAGTTATTCACAGTGATAGATGTTGAACCTAGTTTCGTGCCATTTAACATATGAGCTGTTAAAGCATCAGAAGCATTGGAAAATTCAATAAATCCATAACCTTTTGATTTACCATCTTTATCTTTACAAATAATAAGTCGGTTTATCATTAAATCTAAAGATTCAAAATGTTTCATAAGATCATCCTCATTGATAGATTTGTCAATATTTTTGACAAATATAACCCTGTCATAAGATTGAAGTGTAGATTTCTTTTTTGTTTTATATCTACTTTTTCCACTTTTGCTTTTATCTTTAATTTTATTTGCTTCGTTTCGTCTTATTGGTGGGTTAGATAAGTAAATTTCTATACCATACTTAAGTATATTTGGAGAATTTTTGATTTTCTCAAGAATATCTAAAGTCATTTCTTTAGGTTCTATATCTATATAACCATAACCTTTACAGTTACCATTTGAATCTTTAATTATACGTATTTCTTTAATATTACTCTTGAAGTTATCAAAAATTATATTTAGAATTGCATCTTCAGAATCTATTGGAGCTTTTATAGGTCGGATATATAAAGTCCCTTCATCAGGGTATATTGTTTTTCTTTGTATATCTGCAACTTTTTGGATAGATCTTGAATTACTTACTGTTTCAGTTATATCTTCCTTATGAACTTTTAGTTGTAAATTGTCAGGAAGATTTATACTATCATTTTTGTGCTTCTTTGGAGTGTAAGAAGGTGGTGGCATTTTCTCACCATGACTTATATCATGGTTTAAATACTCTGTGGATTGTACACCACCTTGAACTAGAGGAATTGGGGGAATTGAAGAACTCTGAGATGACGAAGATAAAGAAGAACTTCTCTGTATAGGAGCAATTAGATATTCATTGGAAATTAATGGAATTGAGGATATAGAAACTAAGCATGGTAAAGGTGGAATTGGAGGAGCAATAGAAGGTTCAATAGCCTCTCGGCCATCCCAAGTACATTGAGTCCGTATTTCTATATCAGCAGGAATTAGTGATGATCTTGATCCACGTGAAATTGGAGAATTATCCTTATTATCCATAGATAAAGAGCGAAATGAGGCTGAAGAGGGGGATCTTGAACCTGGAAATACAGAACTTGTTGGAAATAAAGATACAATATTTTTAGAATTTACTGGTGTTCCTGGTGGTGTATGATATCTTGGTAATTTTATAGTTGGACTAGGTAAAAAACCGGATAAACTGTATTCTGAAGAACATTCACTAGATGTTTCAAAATCACTTTCAACTACTTTGCGATAAGTTCTTCTTTTATCTCTTCTAAGTCTTATTTCACTAAGACATACTAAATCAACCTTATCATTTGCTGTATTACATGTAGGATTAATGTGTGAACTAGATGGTGCACATGGTGATTCAGTAATACAAGATACTGGAGGAGAGACTTTTAATTGACTATTTAAATCATTACCTATTTCATTAATTAGTGAATATTCTGCAGACCCTTCTAAGCTTGCTGAAACAGTTGATATAGGTAATTTAAGGTTTACATTCTCAATACTATCCATACCTTCAGTTTCTGATATTTTTATTTTATCTAACTTTTCATAGCCATTTATAAATACACTTTTAAGAGGTTCAGCTGCCTTTTCAATACATTTCTTATATCTGGGTAATAAGATTTCTTTAGATTCGTTATAATCTAGCTTCCTTTTTATTGAATAAAATATAGATGGGCAAAGATGTAGAAGAACTCCATTATAAGAATTTATGATTTTGTCGCATATATCAACAAGATTTCTACATTTGTCAGTTGATCCTTCAGATTCAAATTTTATCCATTGTGAGAAAAATACGGTTGCTGCATTTACAGGGAATAATTCACTTTTATCTAATTTTAGATTTTGGGAACAATTAGTATTTCTATTTTTATTATCATCAAATTTATCAATAATGGCCAAACAATCAAAATATAAGGATCTTATAATATCGTCATAGTTTTTATTTTGTTGTAGTAATGAGATATTGTGGACTGAATCTACTGCTACTGTATATAATTCAATCAAGCCCTGATAATTAGTGACATGTTCCAAACTATTTTTAAGCTGTAAACAAATTTTACTGATATAATAATCTGCAATCTGTTCTCCTTGTAAAAAATTGCTATGTATAGGATACCAGGACCATACAGACCTTTTTTTATAAGCAAAAGAGTTAGAATCAGTATTCACTGAAGAATTTATTAGTCTATCTCTAGTTACATCTACAATGGAACGAAAGTACAATATCCAGAGTTTAATATGTTGCTGGAAATGTTGTAGAGCACCAAGATATACTGTTAGTAATAGGTGAGGACAATTACTTGTTGTTGCTATAAAGTTTGCAAATTCAAACCACAAATCTAATCTTAAAGAGCCTAGATCATCCAATGCACGTCTATAAACCATTATAACAGGATCTATAGAAGTAAAAGAATATTCCCTAAATAATAAAGATTCAGATAATTCAGTGTTTTTTGATTTATTTGTAATATTACTATTATCCTTCGAGTATTCTATAGATTGCATTCTGTCAGTTTCAAATTTAATATAAGATTTCCAAGCATCATATAATTCTTGTAAATTAGAAACATTATCAGTTTGTACTTTCATTTCATACGGTCTTCTTATATTCCATTCAGTATGCCCCTTATAGTGGTATTGCTTAGATAAAGACAAAGGTACCTTATAACTTTCAGGTAAATCTTCCTCCCAAAGTCTATATTCATCTAATAAATCAGGTAAACCACTTAGGTGTAAACCTAATTGTCTATAGAATAAATTCCTAATTCTCTTGATTCTAACATCTAGATCAGGAATTGTCTCTTGATATTCTCTATATGCACTCCATATTACTGGACCTTCTGTAGGGTGCAAACCACATATATATAGTGCACCTTCAAAAAGTTGTTCCATAAAACTTTCTGGCTCATTAATCTTATCATCTTCTTTAAAATAATCTATATAACGAAGGTGGTTATCAGCTATTGTTGGATTGATCTCAATGCTCTCAGTATATACATCTATTTTCAAATTTGTTTTTTTCAAGTCGCACAGACCAATATTTTCCCCCATAGCTTATTGCATTTAATTCTGCTACTTGAATGCCTGGTTGTTTATTTCTTTGCATCTATCAGTACCCCAGGAAAAAATAGTTACTTTGCAATTTACAGCTATATTCTGAAATATAGCGCCAAATAGCGGGTAATTTTTTATTTTATAGGTATCGGTATTTTTGTCTCTAAAAGTACTATAACTCCTTTAATGACAGAAATTGTTATATTTTAAAGCTTTATATACGATAATATGGAGCGGAATATTCGTTTTTGTCCAGATTGTAATAATATATTGTGCCCAAGAGAAAATACTGAAATGCGAAGACTATTTTATATTTGTAGAAACTGTGATTACTATAACTTTGCAGACCCAGGAAATCCCGAGGAAAATGTCGTCAATTGTCTTATGTATCAATATGAGGGTAAGGAAGATATTTTAGTTACAAAGGGTTTGCACCAAGATCCTACTTTGGGTAGAACAGATGAATGGAACTGTCGTGGATGTGGCCACAATGTTGCAGTCTTCTTTCAACTTCCAGAGCGTGTATGTTCAGAATCTATGACTTTAGTTTTTGTCTGCGTTAACTGCGGTGAATGGGTTAAGGAAGGAAAAGATAACAATGAAGATATGGAATTAGCTGATGATGGAACAGACTTATTGAATCAGCCATACTTTAATATTGATGAGATGCCATTTGATGCTAAAAAAGAAGAGTCCTAGTTAAAATATGGCTTTTTTAATTTATGTCAGATATTTGAATCAAATTAATTATATTATTTATATAAATATTACTAAGTTTTTTGTTTGAATATATTCAATATATGGAATCTCTAGGTTTTCAGTAATTTAAAATTATTTAATATATCTAATAAATAATAAAAATTAATTATATATTTGTAAATTCCCACGATATATTTAGTACATATTACTTAAAATATTATTTATTTTAACAGTACTTAACTATTTTGAGTATAACAAATCACTAATGGGAAATAAATTATACTTTAAAAAGTTAACTTTTTGTTCTAAAGAAATATAAATACCCAAATTATATACATTAAATATTTAGTAAATACTATTAAAAAGTGACAATTCGGATTACTTTAAATTGTGTTTTGGTGTGAATATCTTTATAATTCATAGAAATAATATTATCCTAGTAAGCTTTTAAGTAGTTAAAGTACACTAACTTTTCTGAAAGGTTTAATTTAATGATATTTTGTTTATAGTAAATCATAATTTTCAGTTATTTTGAAATATTATTACAAAAAAATGAATATTTGATGTTTCTAATGAAAGCTATAAATACTTTGCCAACTATATCTTAAGTTAGAATGTTTGAGTAATTGATCATTTAGTTTGACATATTAGCCACTTAAACAATCAAATATTAGTATTTCAAATGTTGTAAGCTTTTTTTAGTTCTAATAAACTTATCATAGTATATTCCTTTTACTAGTATAAAAAAGTATTATTATGTTTAATGATACCCACAAAATTGAAATGAATAAAATTAGATATTTTTAATATTATTATAGTGTCCTACAAAGTTGAATATTCATAATTTAAATTTAAAATAGATATGTTTAATATTCCCATATCTCTTAATTATTTTAAAACAAATAAAATCCGAAATAGTAAATAGATTATTGATTTATTTATATCGAATAAAGTCAACTTTGAAATAAATTCTTTGTTTTATTTCTTTTGTTTATTTTCATTATATCTGGAATAGGACTATTCAAGTTCTTCAAATTATCCAAACTTTGATTATTCTCAAATTTTATATTGGATCTTGAAAGCTGCATTATAGTAGGATTTTTTGGACATTCATATCTTCTAAATACATCGTTTCTTTTTGTTGCTCCTATACAAGTAAAACTTCCCTCAGTATTTTGACAGCAAGGATATTGTTTATTATACTTGCAAGGATTTTCAGGCTGCCTACACTCATCTATATCTTCACAAATTTTTCCATTGGAATTTAATTCGTATCCTGATGGACAGGTACATTTAAAGCTTCCATATGTATTCTCGCATCCATGAGAACATCCAGTAAGTTCTTTAGTTTCTAAACATTCATTTATATCAATACAAATGCCACGAGTTCCACTAGATAATTCATTGTCTAATCTCTCCACTTTATATTTAAATCCTGGGAAACAGTCACATTTATATCCACCTAAGGTGTTAATGCAAATTTGTTCGCAATGGGCTTCACCATTTTTACATTCATTGATATCCTCGCAAATTTTTTTATTTCTATTGTACCGATATCCAGACTTCAAACAAGAGCATGTGAAACTTCCAATTATGTTGATGCAATTAGTAGATTCTGGACAATCATGAGTCCCATTAAGACATTCATCTACGTCAAGGCATCCTTTTTCTTCATGGAAGGTATATCCTTTACCACAAACACATTTGAAGCTTCCAATTATATTTTCACATATCTGGCCTGTTTGATTACAAATATCTAATTTTTCTTCACACTCATTAATATCTTTACACTTTTGATTAGATTTGTCAAGTCTATACCCACTTGGACATATACACTCATAACTTCCAATTAAATTTCTACATTCATATTCACAAGATCCCTTCCCATCATTTTCTAAGCATTCATCAATATCTATACAATTCTTCTTATCAATATCTAGTTTATATCCTGTTGGACACTCACAAGTGTATGAACCTGGTTTATTAACACAAATATGAGAACATTCATGAATTCCATCAGCACACTCATCTATATCAAGACACCCTTTTAAATCTTTTGGGTTTAGTTTAAACCCATTCAAACAACTACATGCATATCCTGGTGTATAGTCTGTGCACATCTGTTCACATCTTGCCTCTCCAGTAGTGCATTCGTTAATATTCTCACATCCTGTACCTTTTGTCCTCCCATCTCCATAATATCCTGGTAGGCATTGACATCTAGGAAGTGCATTTAAATAATCAACAAAACTTTGTTGACCAACAATATCTGAAAAACAAATTGCTTCAGGTGAACAGAAATTAGGCATTAAGCAGCATAAACCATCACGATCGATATCACATGAGAAATTCCCTAAGCTATTTGAACCCTTAGATTTAATAGAGAAATCCTCTTGCATAGTATTGTTATTTCCTATTACCTTTTGTATAGTCCCTGCAGCTGATAAGAGCTTTGCAGCCATAATAAGTGTATCTGAACTAGCTACTGACTGAAAGGCTGTCTCCGTATATCTGAAGCCTATTAAAACTATCAGAATACTAGATAAAAGGTTCATCTTTTAATATAACTTAAAATAACTCTATAAAATAATTACCAAAATAAATATCACAGAATTTATGATAATTCAAGCATGCAGCGCTTTAAATGTCGCGATTTTGATATATAGAAAGTCGTCTAAATATACATAGTAGGGTCTAATCCTAATATTAGAGACACTGAAAGTCTTTAATATCATATATTTTAATTAATATACAAGTTAAAGACTAAAAAGAAGTTAAATTTGCGGAATAATATCTGAACCTGTCAAATCAAAACCATACAAACGTGTATTTGCTGCGCTTGAAATTTTTGTATTTTTAGTATCAACTTTATTCAAACTTGTAGAGCTAGAATTCAATGACATAGTTGGATGAATATCTAATTCATCATTTATATTTGAAGTTTCAGAATTCATTTGTTGTAAAGACTTCGTATTTATAGTAGTATGTGTATCACCCGCATCTTTTGTATCTTTTGTATCTTTTGCATCTTTTGTATCTTTTGCATCTTTTGTATCTTTTGCATCTTTTGTATCTTTTGCATCTTTTCTAGATTTATTTCTCAAATTTCTTGATATTGGCCTCGCTTTCAAAAGTTCACGTTTTGCTCTTCTTCCAAATTCTCCACAAATACCTTTTCTCTCAATTATACTTGATCTGTCCCAAATTCTAAATCCAAATATTCTAGGATAAAATGGTTCAGGACACTTTTTTGGAACAACTTCAGGATACGTTTGTAAAAAAATATGAGGAAATGAAACTCCAAAAAAAGCACCATCTATATCAACCAAACTGATATTCCTTGGATCATAAGCTTCTTGGCAATTTGGGCAGTATATACGTACTCTCCTACTTCTTAGTTCATTTGTAAGACCTACTGGAAGTGCTTTACAACCATTACATAAAACTCTTGGGCACTTTCCAAAACATCCTTTGTCATATTTATGTTTCATTAAGTGTAAACCCCTAGGAGTTGTAATATATCTAGCATGAATTAACCCATATAATTCCCCAGCTTCACGATGTAAATCCTGAATCGAAGGATTAGCCAACTCCTCATCATCAGGTGTATTTGAGGATAATATTAATTCGAGTAGTTGCTCATAGTTCTTTGGAAAGTATTGACGTATTCCATATAAATTAAATGCATCCCTTGTATATTCATTGGGAATAACCAGAAAGAAATAATGCTCCCTAAGGCTACAGTACCAATGAACCCAACCTTGCTCGCTTGTATCACTATCACTTCCACTATGAGCTCCAATCATATTATCCCAGTTGATTAATGAGTAGCCAGTGTCATCAATAAAGCTTACCATGTATTAGAGAGTATTTCTCATAAAACTACATATAACTTTCCTTATTTCACCAATATTCTAATATGATACCACAGGTATACTTAGCGCCATAAATTAGGGTTTCCTTGTGTCAAAAACTTTTTTTATTTCCTTAAATGTTACATTAAATTCTTATAGAAGATTTAACAGTTTCATCTGGAAACTATCAAACAAAGAATTTGCCTTATGAATTATTAAAAAGCTATATATCTACAAATTATTAGATAGTTATAGAAATAATTAAAACTTAACTAAACATAAATATTATAAAATGATGTAGACTTAAGGTACTTTTATGTAATTATAGTCTATTTTAAATATAATGTATTATCAAGGAATCTTAGCTTCAGATTTTTTTTTTTTTATAGTTAAAGAGTATTTAGGGTCTAAAGAAGCGCTTGTTACAAGCGTCTTTCATTAACCAATTATATACCTATCAACTATTCTGAAGTCTGTAGAATTTCCGGAGATTTCTCTTTGAAATGCAAAAGGATATTGATGTTTCGGAATACTCGGGTGGAACTAAGGTAAGAATAATTCTTTAAATTACATCTTCCAATAAACTGAGAATCCTCTTAAAACATTTTAATAAAAACCCCAATAACTTGTTACATACTACTTTGCCTATAGATCGTTCTTCATCAACTTTATAGTCTATTTGGAGGTGAAAATCCAGGTATTATAACTAATTCTACTCCACCTAACAGCACAGACGAGTCTAATACATTAGCATCATTGCTAGAACAATATAGCAGATCAATAAGTGAAGGTGGAGGAATTGGCTACATTGGTCTAGAATGGAAAGGGCCATTCTCTTTTCATCCTGATATTTTACAACATGCTAAACGGATGACATCTTTAACAGGAAGTGCTCCTTCAATGAATTGTGGCACTTTACATCATTTAAATCATGGATACATTACTCTTGAAAATTTACTATATATATTTCCACTGACAGAACAAGATGATACAACTAATTCTGCAATTCGAGGACATGATACTTTCAAAGAAGATGAAATTAAGAGGATATCTAAACCTTTAAGTATAACATTACCACTAGCAATTAAAGCAGTTTCAGTAACATTTCCTAAATTTGGAATGTTCTCAGAAAAAGTACAATTTATACTATGTGTACTAACTGAGAAATCAGCACACTTATATGGAATATGTTATGAGAAGAAGATGGATCACAATAGACTTCAAATTCCAAAATATGAACTAGTTACTACACCCTTAAATAGAGAAGGTATTGATGAGTCATTAACTATCCAATGCTCATTACCATATCGTAATAATCCATTAGAGTTTCTTTCTTTGCATGGAACACTGGATGGCCGTTTTTTCTTTTTATTAAAAAGTGATTGCAATATTTATGAAATAGTTTACCAGTCTAAAGAAGGATGGATTACTCCTTACTGTTATATATACACTCATCAAGTGCATAGTTCAATGCTGAAGCGCATTTTATTTCGCTATACTATTTTGAGATTTTTACCACTATCCCAACCTTTAACGCTTGTATCTTTTGCACCATGTGGTTACATTATAACTATGGACATACATCAAAATTTATATCTTTTAACATATAGTAGTAATTTGCAAAGAGATTGTTTATTAAATAAAATATCTCCTTGGGGCAGAATGGTTAACAGTTTGGGTTATTGGCTTCCTAAATCTGAAAGTAATTTATATGTATCTCCAACTCAATGGGACAATTTTTTGAATAGTCAAATAAAAGAAGATATATATAGCAAATCTAGTGAAATAAGGAGCAAATCTATAGATTTTGAGTCTAATAATCCAGCTAAAATTAAGATACTAGCAGTATTATCTAAGCAACAATTAAATTATATTTTAGAAGGAAATAATGTAAAGGGATCTTTAGAAGATAATCAAAGAAATAATGACAGATTTTTAATATCAAATATAGATCTTTCCTTCTCAGCAGACTATCATTTAATACTGACTGTATTTATGAAATGCGGTACAAGGCTTCTATTTAGGTGCTCCTGCAATGAAGATGAAGCTTCTTCATTCACTTATACACAAATTACAAATTCTAAGAAATCAGTTATATCTCCCAAGAGACAAGCGGAGTCTTCTAATCCATCAATTTTTGATCAGTTTAAACCAAGATATAGAACATCTTCAATTATATTTGGATTTTGGCTGATTGATATTTTAAATAATTCAGATACTAAAGTAGTAATTCAATCTTCATATTATAAGAATGGATTGACGATTATATCTTACCCATTAAATTCTATAGATAAAGAAAAGCAAAGTAAGAGCCTAGAAAGTACTATGAATAATATCAATAACCAATATCAAATTGAAATTCGTCTATTAAGCTCTGTTCCTGCAGATTTAACTACTTCATCGCATAAATTTAACAGTTTGGGGATACAAAATTCAGGAAGTAGACTAAGATATAGCAAGTATTCTAACAATCTTGATCCAAATTCGGATATAGGAGAACCCATTATTTTAGGAGTTAATGAGCCAATTATTGATATTTATGAAGTACCAACAGATTTATATAATAAAATATATCAAGATTCCGGAGGAACTACAAATGAAATGAATAGAAATATACCAAATATTAACCCATCCATTTTACTAGAATATGGTGGTAATTATTATGGTCCTAAAGCATCTTATGACTTACTGGGATGGTGCAAGGATAGATATATCATTTTAATGGGATATACACATTATTATGGTTTAACTATAGGATGGAATGGTTTACAACAGGCATTTGGATCAACAGGTCTATTTATGCAAATTATTCAAGAGGTTAAACAAGGTACAAACTTCCGTAGATTAGTTCATCCAGAAGATTCTTATTTATCATGTTGTAACTCATATCTCACATCCCCTTGGATTGAAGCTATAACTGGAGCTTTAGCCTTCTCTCTCAGAAGTACACTTGAAATGCCTATACTTATTTCAATGAATAAGGTCTCCTGTACATTTACTATTAAAACCCTAGATCACTGTATATATACTTTACAAAACATGATGCATTTTCTTAGTAGATCTCAAAATATTATTGGTACGGAGCTATTTAATATTTGGAATCCTCCAAAAAGCTCTTTTACAAAACCTAAATATTTCTTTGAAGTTGTGGAAGAAGTTTTTACATGCCAAGTACCTCTTAAGATGATTGAAATAACTACTAATATTTTAAAGTCTATAACTTTCATTATACATATGCTATTACAACTTTTTAGATTGTTATACTACTATCAAGAAAGTCCATTAAATATTCGAGATGAAGTTATACAAGAAATGAAAAATGAAAGAGCTCTTGATATAATTCTAAAAACTCCAACTCTATTTCTAGTAACATCTAATGATTATATCAACTGTCTGAGGAAGTTTTCTTCTTATTTCATAAATTCTTTAGTAATATCTATGATAGAGTCCAAAAGAGAAAATACTACTATATTTAATAATGAACTCTCTACTATACAAAAAAGTATTCACTGGTTATTATGTCCTAAGACAAGGAAATTCCTTACTAGATCTATACTTTCTTTTGAGTTGGGATTTTATAACTCTAAATATAGTCATTCTAGTATTAATTCAGCAAATTCAATTCTTGAAAAGTTTTTGCACCTAGCAAATCCATCTATAGATTCCACAAATCCATCAGTTTCTCAAAAATACTGGTTAGATTTCCTAAAAGACCCTACTAGACACGAATTACTTGAAAATGCTTTTTGTACTCTTACAGTGGAACCCCATAACAAATTTTATGATGCTACAATTTTATTAATAGAACTTATTCAATTTTTTGACAAGGAGATAGGAGGAAACAGGAGTAATTTTGAAACTAATTCACTGAATATGACCTCTCAATTAAATATACCACAATATGTCAATCTCTTAGTAAAATCTTGGGATTTCTCTATGTGTGATGCACTAATAGAATTTATTGAAAATAAGTTATCAAATGATGAAGATGAAGTTGTTCAGTTTGCATGTAAAGTTATTTCTGAATGTCTAAAAGCTATGACATCTTTAAAAATTGGTCTAGAAATATTTTGTATATTTTTAAAACACTTATTAAATTCCTTTTTAATGAAACTTTTTAATAATTTAAAATATCTTGTCTTTCGCAAGCATGGTATCTGCTTATGTAATTTTTTAATGAAGGATCTTGCATATATACTAAGATATTGTAATAATATATTACCAGACTATTCTAATAAAGGAGTTTTAAGTATTATTACAGACTCATTCATTATTGGTATTGATGGAAATTCAGCAAATGAATCATATATTGAAGCTATTTGCTCAATTTCTCTTGAATTAGCTATCCAAAGTAAATATTCACCATTTTACTTATTAGCAGTTATCTTTAACCTATATAATTCAATGAATAAAACTATGGCATATAATAATGTTGCTAGTATTCTCTGTGCACTTGGTCTAGATAATGAGATATCCTGTCAAGTGAAGTGTTTCAACCCTTTTACTAGCCTGGAATTATTAGATATTGTACAATATATAGTGAAAAATAAAATTTCTAAAGTTATAGAAGATACAGATATTCAAAATATATTTATATTGTTACCTGACAAAAAGTCAGCTTTAAATAAGTCTTATCTAAATTTAGAAGATATGTATATTATATTGACAGAGATTATAAATTCTCTCGAATATTTGCAACTACCTGTTTTAAATTACATCAATAGTATCACAAATAATACTGGTGATTATGATTACGATTATGATTGTGATTTTTCAAACGAAGGCTTAAAAAGAATAGACGATATTCAAGTATTACCAATTAAATATGTTCAATACTATTTAAACAATAATATAGTTCAATCATATTCTGAGATGCTTTCCATAATATATCGTTGCCCTCATATTCAATTGTTTTCAATTATTGCATCTTTATTAGAATCTACAACTATAATTCGAACTGAAGAGAATGTTGATGCATTTTGTAGTTTTTTATCAGATATGTTACTTCAAACCCTTCTTCCTCCAAAATCTCATCCTATATATCAGCTTGTATCTGACTATGACACAATATTCCCAATATTAGAGACTATATTCGGTTTCAATGGAGATAATCTTCTTGATTCCTTTCTAAAACTTTTAGTTTATATTGAAAAACCTCTGATTGGCATAAATGGGACTGAATTACTTGATTCATTAGCACTTATGAAGACAATTAACAAACAAAAAGATGCAAATTTGCAAACTCTATATATATTTCAACAACTCTATGTGTTATTAGCAGTCTTTGAATTTTCAGTTCACTATTTTAAAACCAAAAAGGCCTTGTATAAAAGAATATATCCTGATGAATTAAATACTATATCTATTAAAATATGGAGAAATAAATGGAATGTATCATATCACTTATTGCTAGATACATATGTTTCGCTTATTGAAGCATGTTGTACTACAAATATCTCTAATAACCCATTTAGCCTAATAGTTGATCGTTTAATATCACTTGAATGTCCTCTTGTGACTGTTAATATTGCTGATACATTTGAAGACTTCGTTCAGCATCTAAGACTTTGTGCAACTACAGTTATTATTATATGGGTTAAGGAAGATCTTCAGAACATTAGCTCTAATCAAAAAGATATTATTGTCAATTTTATATCTACGGTAATTCCCTTTTTAAGTGCTAATACTAACAAAATATTAGCGAATCATGAAGCCCTAATTAATACCTTACAAGATATAACCCTCAAACTTTCAAATAACAAGAAATCTTGTTAGTATAATGTTATATACAAGGATATTATAATATGTACTTGTTTTTTAAATATCTAATTGTCTATATTATTATACAAAATTTTTAGAATGTAACTTTTCTTCCAATTTCTCTAGGCTACTACTTTATGATGCAAATGTCACCTAGTGACGGCGCTAATTAGAGGCGGTTTGTGTGTTAGACAATTTTTGAAGATCCTGCAGGAAAAAGAAAGGGACTAACGGACAATAATGCTTCTATTTTACACTATGAAAAGAAAGTAAGACGTTCAAAATATTTTGGTTTATAATGTAGTATGTTCATAGTATATATTTGTTGTTTCAAGAGTAATAAATAAAAATTATAAAACTTTCTTGATATCTTTGAACTAATTTGTCTCAATTAATTAGATGTTGGATTTACTACTTGCTATATTTATAAAATTAGCATCGTTTCTACAAGTGGAATCTTATATTGTATGTAATGCCTGTACATTTCAGCCTATAGCAGCTGAAATAAATACTCACTATCTTGGGGCATTGGTACATTATTTGGACTTTGAATTTCAATTACCATGCGATTTTTATAATCCTATAATTACTGTTTCAGCTCCTAACAATTTTTTAATAAATTCATTAACTCTATTACCAACTCAAAATGTTGGTATATTTGATGACTTTTCAACTGAATGTGAAATGCAAAAAAGTATTGGAGATTCCGATAAATCTAACTTAGATAGTAATAATGAATATACAAGTAATTTCACAGACAAACTAATTAAAAGGAACTATCCAAATTGTTCATTATCTGCTGGTGCAGAAACGGAATTCTCAAGTATATTAACTTCTTTAGGTTTTTTATCATGGCAGATACATTCACAGGATACCCAAGAATGCATATTAATACCTTCATATAAAATATTGGATAGAGATGCTATAAAACTTAATGATAATCTCCCTAATGGTACATATATATTGAGATTTAATCTAACAAATCCCTATTATATTAGTGAGTATGGGTTTTGGAATTTAAGTATTACTAGCACACAAAATAATATGCCAACCATTCCATACTGTATAACTTCTATGACCCACGAGGATGTAGTGAAAGTAGTAGGGCCATGGATAAGTAACCTTGAAGTTGATAGCTTCACTGTAAATTTATATTTTTCTGGGAGTCATAATGCTGAGATAAATATTGGAGTACATACACCTTATGAAAAATTACAATTATTACTTCCCGACAGTTCAAATTCTAGTAATACTCAATCTTCAAAACATGCATTACAACTAAAATTGACTTTTCCACCATGTCAAATGCTTTCATGCTTTAATATTTCGCAAGAATTTGAACATAATTTTTGTATAATTGAAGATATAGAGATAAGTAAATGCTCAATTGAAAGACGAGATCCACAACTAGTACTTTTAATTGAATTGGATTCCAAAAGTATATTACAAAGTCAAAATATAAAAAATAATTCTTCACTAAATATTAAAATAGAAAATTTGATATTACCAATGAGTATTAGTTCTGAAAGAGATTCCTTTCTAGATATTGGATTTTATATTAGAACAGCTCCAATTCCTCAACCCTCTTTTATAAATTTTAATTCTTCAATTATAAGCAATGTAACTTTAGCTAATAGCTGCTTAGGTGAGTGGCTACAATACGTTGTAGAAAGCGACGATTTTATAAAGCATGATCTGTATTATACTCCTATTTCAGTTACAAAATATACCCTCCCGTCATTACAGCATATCGAATTATCAGTAAAATATAGAATAACAACATCCAAGTTTTTTCCTGTACTTATAAATGTTCCTCAATTGACAATAAGTAATACAGACTCATATAGTTTATGCTTAGCTCCACCACAATCTGTATCATTTGATCCAAATATTATCCCTGATTATGCTATATACTCCCCAGAATTACTATCTGAAATCAGATTTCAATCTTCTAAATTACAACCTTATATTGAGGTATCATATGAGAAGTCTTTAAATTGTATTTTAATTAAAAATATAACATCATCTAATCCTTTACAATGTGTTTTGGTTGCTTCAAGAACCGAGAATAATTCCATGATATTTAATAAATATGGAGAATATTTTTACCCATTGTATAACTCTTTAGGAAATTGGAATATTAAATTTTATAAAGGATATCAATCTTCAATGATTTATAGCAAAGATATATTAGGAGAGATTTATAATCCCTATAAAACAAATATTACTGAAATATCAGGACCAGTCATATTGAAAAATCAAAATTCTCAATATTATAATTTGTTGGTGTATTTGCTTCTATCTGAAGTTCAAAGAAGTAAGGTAATTGCAGTGAAATTGAGTTTACCATTTGATTCAATAAATTTAATATCTGATCAATGTGAAGCAAAATTATTCAGTCCAAAAGGAGATAATCAAAATTTAATTAATATCACTACATCTTGTGAAGATAACTCGATTATTTTAAATATTAATAGCAAAAGTAATATTGAAAAAGGCTGGTGGACTATCTGCACTAACATATCTCAGCCAGTTCCTTCTATTATGCAAACTACTTCATTTGTACATATTTCAGTAGCCTCTTCAGTTTCACTAATTGATTCTCCATATTTAACATCTACTCTAATTTTAGATTTGAGAAGAACATATCTTGGCCCTTACATTTGGCCAGTTCCTGTAATATTAAAAGATAATACAAATATTTATGAGAATATTAAATACCAGTCAATAGATATTGTAGTACAGCAGCAAGGCTCATCTTATCATCCATTTCCACTTCTACCAAAGCAGAATATATATATATCAAGCAATTCTCCATATAGTACTTTTTTAGCCCTTTCTGGTAAACCAAAATTTTTGCTTCTCTACATTGTTGACCAATATTCTATTAGTTTGGATGAAAAAAGTAGAAATTTTGTATTTCCCAAAATATTCCCAAATACAGATATATTATATGATTGTTTGATATTATTTTTAGGTAATACAAAATATAAACATCCATCATTTAGACCTTGTAAAAAATCCCTTGAATATATAAATTCATATAATACGTCAGTAATTGATATCGCAAGTAATATGAAGGTAATGGTAATGAACCTTCAAAAACAGCTGAAATATTATCAAAATTATAAGATGACTATAGTCAGCATAATTTCAAGTGTTGAAAATAGTGAAAATATTGACTTACAAATTACTAGTAGCAATCTAATAAAACCTAGAAATAATATTGTTTATTACATGATACTGAAATCAAATACAAACTTACCACCAGGTACACTGAAATTGAAGTTGGATCCTTTTCCATGGTTCTTTGATACAGGTTATGAGCTTGAAAATCTTTTAGCTAAAAGACATATTGAAAATTTATATATGGTACCTCAAAGCTTAAAGATTTTACGTTCTTGTTTTTCAGAACAACCAAAATTTTCAAAAGATGATTCAAGCAAGTTAGTTAGTCTTAAAACCAACCTCTCATATTTAGATGGTCCCATAAATACCATTGAAGAAAATATAATTCCAAGTATCCCTGGTTCTTGTAATAGAAAATTACTTGAATCATCCTCAAGATCATTATTTAATCCGAGTTTATTCTTAATAATTAGCTTAGTTTTAATAACCTCTATAGTTTGAAGTATATAGAATACAACAATATGAATAACAAATCACTAAATACCTTTAAGACTTCTGTATCCCAAGATTAAAGATATATATAAATTGCAGTGGTATAAGCAGTATCTAAATATTTGTATATATTAGAAATTATAATAAAATCTTTGTAACTTTTGAGTAGTGAAAGATTAATAAATTATTTACTAAATCTTATTGCAAATTATATCGTTCATATTCTAAGTTTTATATTATTTTATTTGCTATTTGAGTGATGTAAATAACTTCATAAATAGCTGAATTTACAGAACTATAAAATGAGCTACTTTTTTATAGTTATTGATTTATTCTGTATCTCGAAATTATTAAGATATTACTTTCAAATTTGTTTATTTGGTTATATTACACTAGATTAATTATATATATCTATAATATTACAAAATCTTGTTGTGAAGTTTCACAATATCATAAACTAATTTTAATTTAAAAATAATTATTTTATAATAATCTTCTCAAATATAACTTAGATTGATATTGGATCAACATATATAATAAACTTTGGTTGAATGATAATATATTAGATTGATATATAAGATCTTGTACAGTAATCTTTTAAAATTAAAAAAAAAAAAGAAAAAGAATTAATATTTCATAAATAGTAAATATATTGAAGCTTTGAAATATTTTGTTTGTATCCTGAGCTTTCTTTTTTGGTAGCCTTTTTTATAGCTTCAGATTTAATTACAAATATTATCTTTAATGATTTCTTTCATTATTTAATACTTATATAAATATTCGTACAAATTATTTATACTGAAAACAAATATCAATATTAGAAACTATAAGTCATTCCAAAATGTTATTAACTACTAGTTCCGACAAAGTTTTAGGTATTAGTAGTATATATGCAATTCTTTAGATTAGAATATATAGTATTATAATATATAAAACTTGTTAGTTGAGCTTATTAACTCTCTGATTTGTAAAAACTACTATGCTAAATATCCAAAAAGTCTGTCTAGTTGCTAATTTCCAATTCCTTAATAAGACTAAGGTATCACTTTCTATATTTACCAGCTCTAAATTTAAGATAAATAAATATAAAATTTAATTCTCTTAAATATTATAACCTCAATTTATTCTTAACAGTATCATCCTTGCTAAGGTTATACTAAGTTTAATGAAAATTTGTAGTTTTATTAAGAACAAAATATAGTCTCCATAAGTAGAGCAATTAATTCCCAAGAGTAAAAATGTGCGAGGTTTATACATGTATAGCCTAAAATGAAATATGGTCATATTTAAAGTAAAATTTATTCGAAATATAAATATTAAGATTTTTTCCTAACTTCTATTGATAAATAAATAATTGAGATTCCGCAAATTAATATATATACTAAAGTAGTTGTCCAACTTAGCTCTACTCAACTTTCTTTTACAGCTTAAATTACAGATCCCATTTTGCCTGAATTCCAAAATATTAGTTCGTTAGTTCATAAATTTCCTATTCTGTATTATATAAGATATCTTTCATAACTTTTGTAGTTAACCAGGTTATTTATACTGCATAAATAACAATTTCTGTTGGATAGTTGTGTTGAAAGTTTGTAACTATGTATTCGAAATAGTCAAAATTATTGTCTTGGCAATTCATCTCCTAATCCCATTAATTTTAATAAATCATCTTCTAGCTATTTTGGCTTCAGACAATGTAACATTAATTCCCCATCAAGATTGCACTGCAAGTTTTATTAGATGCTCCATAAAGACCTTGAGAGAAACATCATCAGTAATTACAATAGATCCATCAGAAACTGAATCGAATGTAGCTCCAGAAAGAGTGTTGTGAGTAGCAGATGGATTGACTTTTGCAAGTAGGAATCTTGCTTGAGAACCACCAGCATGACATAAAACAAATTTTGGTACTGGGAAGCGGTCTTGTAATATTGCTTTTGTATCTTCAGCAGGAGCTAGTAATAAATTTCTAAAATTCTCATATTCTGGATTTTCGTGATATCCTTGTTCCTTCCATTGATAAATCATCTCTCCATACCATACAACAACATGGAAGAAAGAGTCTAGAAGTAGAATAACATTTGGTTTCAGAGATTGCACATCCAGTAGAACTGGTTGAGGAGGACCTTCGTCAAATGAATATTGTAATAAAGCTGGTTGTATCATTACTAGAGAATTCATCACATTTTCTCTTAATAAAACAGTTCTATAGTAAGCTGTTTCATCTGGTGATGCGTTAAAGTCTGAAGAAAATGACTTCTACGTAAATGGTACATAAATTGAGGATATATGCTGAATTCAGAAGATAGATGGAATGAATTAGGATCATCTTTTTGATAATCCGCAAATCTAGATACCAGTCTAATGAGTTTTCTATCGAGCCATCTTAGTACATCTAAGCTATCTTCACTTTCAGTTCTGACGACAGCTAGTCTTGCCATAAGTACAGCTGCAGCTTCTTGATCAAATCCTGGAGCAAGATCCAATAAGTTCGGTTCAGAATATCTATATGAAACAGTAGTGACTCTAAGTCTTCTCCTACCAGAAGGATGATTATAAAGTGTTTGAAATTGTATAAACGATTGTTTACCTGGAGGTATTTGTGTAACGCTCTGAGCTACAACTTCAAAGTAAAATGCAATCGTTGTATTCTTATCTAATGCTCCAAAACTCCATTCACAAGTATTACTCTCACCAATAAGTGAATCCCCTACTTGTGAACCCTTTTTCCCAGTGCCTGTACAAGCTCCAATAGCTCCACATACTTTAATATCTTTCGAGCATAATAATTCAACGCGTCCATTAAATGCTTGTTTAATATATCCTGTATTATCAGGCTCAAAAATTTTTTTAAATGAATCTCTAAAAATATTCATACTGAATGAATCACTCATGACCATATTACCACCACTTCTATCGCATAAAACTCTCATTTCATAAAGCCCAACTTGATCCAAAGAACAAGCAAAAATATCAACAGCATGACCATTTTGTACAGCTCTATGAGCTAAGCTTGCATAGAACTTAATTGCTTTTTGTACATGTCTAGCTGCATTAGAATTCTTTTGTAAGTCCAAATGATGTCTTATAGATTCAGCCAATGGTGGGGATACAATAGTACCTGGTCCAATTGTACAAACACCTCCAACAAATAACATAATTCTTCCACTTTGCTGAATACAACAGGCCTCCATCAATCCAGTTGCAACTGTTAATGCAGCACCTGTGCAACGTTGAGGACGATTATCAGTAGGTATCGGCCATGAATCAGGTCTTAGATCCTCTAAAATACTTGTTAAAGCAAATTCACATTCAGGTACAGGTAGCAAAAAACTATGTATAGATACTGGATTACTAGAATAACGAGGATCATGACGAGTTGTAAGTCCTAGTTGTACCTGGACTTGTTGAGCCGTTACATCTTTAGTCCCTCTAAATACATAAGATTTGGGGCATTCTGAAAACCCCAATTCATGTACGCAACAAACTGTCCCAAATGTGATTAGACCAACGAGAGCATCTGGAGGCATTAATGAAATAACTTGCTGAATTGAATCTCGCAATTCATTTAATTCAGCCTCTATTAAGCAGGTATCAATAACAAATACAAATACTGGAGGATTACTTGTATTTCCTGGTGTAGCTGGCAAAATATATTCTATTGAAGGATGCATTAATTCAGCTGGCAAAACATTTTCAGATATATGTTCAGCATAGTGAGGAGGAAATGGAATACGCTGTAATGAAAATGGGCAAGTCCAAACTTTCGAGCGGAAGTCAATTGGGCAATATGGATTTAAGATACATCCAGATGCTCGACATCTTACAGGTTCATATTCAACTAATTGCAAACGACTAGTATCCTTGAGTGGAGTGAAAAGGCAACCTAGTGGCAATTCTATTCTTGTAGCTTCTAATTTTGTCGAAGGCCATATGTTCCAGTTAAATCTGACTCCTGTCTGATTCTCTTGCTCTTGATAATCCATCTACAAACTAAATCACTAAAATCCAAAGTCTGCAAATGATCAAAACTTCAGTTTCCCTTTTTATTTATGACCTTGAACAATTTCTGCTATTTTTTATTAACTTGTATATCGCGCTACTATTTATTTCTAGCTTAGTGAGTTCATAGATTTAGGCGGTAAGTGGGGAAAATTAGATTTTGCGCGTGTGTTGTGTAATAATAATAGCCTAAATATGATAAATACTAAGAAAACGAAAATCCTAAAATCCTAAATACTGAAACCAACTAATATCCACTAAAAAGATATATAAATATGAATAGTTTACATTAATGAGAGATTTTATTATCTCTATGAATATCTAGGTTCAGGGAATTAATGTATTACTAGGTATATTCTCCAAGAAAGTAGGAAAGAAAATATAAAGGTAAAATGAGATCAACTAGAATCTATAAGTATATAGATAATGAGATAAATTTTACTAATATTATAGAATATTAAGTATATGATCATTTCCGAAATATGTCAGCCCCAGAAGATAGTGATCTATAATTAATATTGAAACCTTGGAAAATATTCTCAATACTAATGAAAACAACATAATATAATTGGTAACACAAAAATAAAAAAAAGAATAAAATTTAGCTATCTTAAAAGCTTTTAAAAGATTTAATTCATCTACTGTGATATTAATGATAAAGAAATTTCAAGTTTTAAATATTTTAATACTTTGATAGATTAGAATACTGATAATGTAATCTAAAATTTACATATTTAACATGACTATATATAATCTGGAATTAAATATAGTGCTATTTATTATCGATTCTTTCTACTCTATTTAGAAAGGTAAAAAGATATCTTAATTTGCCTCATGAAGACTCATCTTTAGCAATAATATTGAATATTATATACTATTTCTAAATGTATAATATTTGATTTTATATAAGATTATCCATATTTTTATACAGTCTTATGTCATTTTATCACTGTTTTGTATTCTCAAAATATATTATATCATCATTTAAAACACTATTTACGAATATTTAACTGAATAATAGTTATAACTAATAGCTTCACATACATTTAATACTATTGTAATCAAACAACTGATTAAAATTTTTTCTTTTTTATTTATAAGCTTTAAGTATTAAATAATGTAATATTCAAAATATTATGACTATGTTTTAATATTTCATTAATCAAGTAAGACTTAGCTTGAATGAGCTTATTAAATGTAATATAAAATCTACTTTTTATATTAAAATAAAATTGATTTTTATGAGATAATTTCTAGGTCATATATATGCAGTTAAGTATATATAAATCCTCCTTTAGTTGATATTCAAATATATAAATACTATATATCTTCCTATAATAATCTGAACAATGTTTAATAATATTCTATTTAAAGTTGATAAATACAATAGCATATATATATATTTTCCCTTAGATACTATCCGAATTCTTAAGATTTGAAATAAAAAGTGAGAATATAAATATAACACTTTTTGGGTAAGAATAAATAATTGTTAATATCTATAAAGTATCTAAACACAGGTATATAATTTATCTTATTTAATACAATTAAGGTCAAAACATACCTCTACATTCATCTATGAAGATTTGGAGTATTTATTTACCTTATAACTCTGCTCATCTTTTATTCAAGATTGGTTAATACTACAAAGAAAAGTGCTTCTGGTATTGTCAATAACAAATCAATCCACTGCGCACTTTAAGAGGTCCAAATAAATAATAGTCACTTTATCAGCAGTGTACTGTATGCTTGCTCCAGAGTAAACTAATAGCTTAACCGAAACAAGAGCTTGTACAATAATATTAAACTATTTACTCTAAAATTCATCAGTAATAGTCATAAAATAAAATAATAAAGTTGCAGGTAGAATTAATATCTACCTTGCTAAACTAGAATTTAGACAACGATCAAATAAAAGCAATATAAATAAACTATTGGGAAGCTTATATAATATTACTGATAAGTCAAAAGTATAGTTTCAATATTAATCAGTAAACATAGTTTAAGGTTGTGTATTAAAGTTCCTTGCAAAAGAAGTATCCAAGTTTATAACCAAAATAATTATGGTGTCACTTAACCACTCCCCATTGTTCATCTTGCTCTACGGATTTCCTTTGATTTGCTTCTTCGTTGCTATTTATGCAATTTGGATGATTAACAGGTATATTTGCATTAGCACCTAACTGAGCAGAAGGAGAGCCACCAGAATCACCTTGTTGGCCTTGTACACAATTACCACTTACTACATTATTATTTACAGTTGGATTAGTAAGTTGTTGTCTTCTTCTATCTTTTTCTGGCTGTAAAAAACTCCAGTCAAAAATAAAGTCATATTGATAACCTTCACGAAAAAACAAGTCCTTAAATAAACGTCTTAAATAAGCATAATCTGGACGATCTTCAAATCTGAGTGCTCTACAATAATTTAGGAAAGTAATAAATTCAAATGGATGATGTTTACATAGTGTCTCAATAGGTGTTGCAATTTTACGCTCCATGATCTTATCATATTTATCTTTTTTAGATGTAGCCTTTAAACCTTGCCATGGTAATGTACCACGATTAAAATACATCAGTACATATCCAAGAGCCTCTAAGTCATCCCTCCTACTTTGTTCTATTCCCAAATGAGTATTGATAGATGCATAACGGGCTGTACCAGTTAGGTTCTTCCCTTCTCTGTATGGTATATGTGCTTGAGTTCTTGGGTCACGATATTTTTTAGCTAAGCCAAAATCAATTATATACACCACATTTAACTTCTTACCTCTCCCAATAAGAAAGTTATCAGGTTTAATATCTCGATGAATAAAATTCTTAGAATGTACAAATTCAACCCTGTTTAACATCTGATCAGCTAGCATTAATACTGTCTTTAATGAAAACTTACGATTACAAATAGTGAATAAATCTTCCAAAGATGGTCCAAGTAAGTCTAATATCATCACATTATAATCACCCTCAATACCATACCAATGAACTGTTGGTACACCTATTCCACCAGCCAATATTTTGTATAATTTTGATTCATATAATAGTTGTGGATGTCGTGATTTTACACTTTCTAATTTTATTGCAACTTCCTCCCCATTTGTAATATTTGTACCTAGATATATATCACCAAATGACCCACTTCCTATTTTTCTACCAAGTCTATATTTTCCACCAACTCGGACCTCCATTTAATTTTATGAAGGACTATGATAGCACCCCACCAAGATCCAAACTTAATTCCAATATTGTTTTTTTTAATTTCAAGATTCTTTATTTATTCAAGCCTACTCAGAATTTATCGAGATGTCTGTCAAATCCCGTATAGTATATAAATACGCGAAATATGTAATACGGCTGGCTAGCACGTAACGCCCCCTGGCGGTTATCACTTCTGCGGTAATACTGCCAAAATATTTGACAGGTTTCCTACTTCTTTATTTTATTAGTAATAACTATTTACATGAAATATTGAACAATTTTGTTTTAAATATTGGCTATGGATTTACTTTATATATATATACTGATATATCTAGTTACCTTTTTATTATTTTTTTAACCTTAGTAACTATTCAAAAATAAAAAGGACATTTATTAAGATATATAAAAATACTTGTATATGAATAGTCGAAATTTCACTCAAGCTAATAGTAATATTATACCTAATAAATTTAACAGAAATTGTTAGAGAATCTAATAATAATGGCGGTTTTTTTGCCGCTCAAGACAGATATTACAAATTAATTGAGTGCAACTAATCATGCTTAGTAATGACTTTTCTGAATCTTAGTAAAGCTGTAAAGCTAAAATGTTTATTTCTGATAATCAAGGCATTACACCACTTTTGTATAGTTATAAAGGTCGAAGGATCCCTCTTTATTTATGTTTTTTATTAGTATTTGTAGTTTCATGGCCATTTTCATCCTTTACATTGATATCTCCGTTTTTACTGAGCAACAAAACTGAGATATTCCCATTTTATATTGTTATTTGCATTGTTGAGGCAATTGTATATATTTTAAGTGGATACTTTTCAGATAATAAAGGGAGAAGTCGCATACTTTTATTAGCTTTCAGAATATTTATGTATGGTATTGCTATTATTATCATTACTACACTGATCCATGGACTAACTTCACTACATTATATTAGATTTGAAGTAGAGGAATATAAATCACATTACTCACTTGCGAATTCAACTGTATTTAGGACATATCAGAGATCATATAATGGTATACTAGATGGTATATCAGGAAATAAACATAATCTTTTGACTTTTGATGAAACACTACTATATAAAGAAAATAACATAAAGTATAGTGATAATCTATCTGGTAGATCTATAAATGGTACTTATATTACAAAAGAAAGTCATGATAATAAAGACTCAGATGAGTATAGTAGTTTTGATCATGATTCAATAAAAGATAACTTACTACTTTGTCCCAATATTATTCTCTCAATGGTATTATTTTTTGGCTTGTGCCTTGTTTATGGAGGTGCTAGCTCTGCTTATATGCTTATATTATTATATATAATGGAAGTTTCATGTAAAAGTACTAGCAGAATGCAATGGTATAAATTTTGTTTTGTTAGTAATGCTTATTGGCTAAGTTTATTAATATCACGTATAATGTCCATACTTATAATTAATATTTTTTTTAAGGAACAACCCGATTACTTCTTGAGTTTTTGTATTACGCTTTGTTCAATTTCAATACTATTCCCACTTGTTATATATGCATTATACATGTATCTAGAAGAACCTTGTTTGTTTAGATGGAGTAGAATAGTCTTTTATACAAATATAGAATATTTGGATTTACTTATAAAACATATTAAATTCCGAGATAATTATAATATATTTACAATTATCATATCTTGGTGGATAATAATGTTTATACAGAGGGGAAACAATTTCTATGAATGGATTCATTTAAGTGAAAACTTAACAGTAGACTTAATTTGGTGGAATAGTTTATGTTTAACTTATGAAAGCATCTTGGGTTTTTTGATTTCTCTAACAATTCCTATTCTAGTTCTTCAATTTCATCCTAAATTTATGCAACTATATAGCTTTACATTCCTATCTGTAGTTTCCTTTGGTCTTTCTATAAGTATATCAACAGTTCATCAAATACCCATCAAAACTTTTTCAGATTTTCTGGGAGCATTTTTTTTATGTCATGGAATCTACTATTGTTGCACAATTATTCCTTCAGTAACAGTGGTTTTATTAATTTTTGATATTACACATGTTAGGGTTAGAGGTACTATTCTGGGTTTTATGTTTGCAATTGTTAATACAGCACCTGTATTTGATACTTTGATTAATAAACTTGCCTTTGATATCTTCTCAGTAAGTTGGAAATTCCTATTAGATACTGTGCTTTTAATAATGGCACTTGTAGCTACAATGGTTCTTATATACAAAATACCTAATAAAAATGACATACGGAATATACACCCAATGTATACAAAAAATAATCAGTCACTACCTAGCAAACCAAATACATTTTAAAAAACTTAAAATGTGTATTAAGACAGGAAATATTATCTTATATATATTTATTAGGACTATATTAAACAAAACATTGTGCATATTACGCTTTATTGGAAGGGGGGTCTAAACGTGGTATCTAGTGAACTAGCGGTACCCTTACCCCTCATTATAGACCTTCAAAAAAAAGCCTACCTATTGGTAGACTGTGTCCTTGTGCTAAATTTATATTACTGATAGAATCCCTTAATATGTTACCAGAAATAGTATCACTATTAAATTCAAGTATCAGTACAAATCCAATTGAGGTAAGAACAGCTGAAGCTTCTTTGACTAGTAAAGAAGCTCAAGATGGATTTATTGAGACTTTAATACTAATTATTAGTAAAGGAGATATTGACATTTCTATAAGACAAATAGCTTGTATATACTTAAAGAATAACATTAAGAAAAGATGGGATATAGATTGTATGAATGGAGGGGTGAAACAAAATAATAGGAACTTTATCAAAGAAAATATTATAAAGATGTATATTAATACCCCTAATATTGTTCAAACTCAGGTAGCTGAAATCTTACTATATATTTCAGTAAGGGATTTTCCAAATTATTGGCCAGAACTTTTAAGTGATATCATAAAATGTTTTCCTGGAGATGAATACTTAAATGAATCTCTACTTAATAACTATGATAAGTTGAACCTATACAGTTGTACTCTAACTATGACAAAACTTGTTCTAGATAAATATAGATGTGCTGAGTCATCGAACAAAATACTTACTGAGTTGAAAGATATCCTACAAATTATATGTATTCCACTGTACAAAATTTTTATCTTTTCATCACAAGCACTACTTTCTGGAGTAGTAATCCATAAACCTAACAATACAGCTATTTTAAATATTTGTTTATTATGTTGCCAAATATTTTATAGTCTTCATTGCTGTGATGTTCCAGAATTTTTTGAGAATAATATCCAAGTATTCATGTATACATTTCACAGCCTTTTAGAATTACAACATAAAGATGATGGTAGTGAATCTTTATTTCTAATATTCAATATAAAGAGTCAAATATGTGAGAATTTGCGTATTTATTCAGATAGGTATCAAGAACCTTTTGATCCTTACTCTAGGAAGTCACTCTCTATTATTGGAATATTACTAACTAATATTATTGCGAACCAATATCTATACGAAAATGGAGACGTCTCAACTTATTGTTCAACTCTTATTGATGAAGGATTAAGGTTGATTGGATCTTTAGCTTCTACTCAATGGTCAGATAATCCTTTTGTAGATAAAGGAATATTAGAACATTTAATTGAGAATATTCTTATACCATGTACATTCATGTCAATTAGTGATTTATCATCAATAGAGGAAACCCCAAAGGAGTTTATATACAAGTATTTATGGGATATTAATGAAATATGTGATTCTACATCTAAAAGGTCAGCTGCACTAGGTTGTATTAGAAGCCTTGGTAAATTCTACAATTCCCAACTTTCTGCATTATTAACTTGTCACATTGTGAAACTACTAGAGAATCTTACTGATAGTGAAACTATTTTTGAATGGACTGAATTTAGTAGAAATACTTCACAACCTGTGAAATACAAAATTAATAAATCAGAAGTTATACGTGAAGGAGCTATCTTCTTATTTATTTGTTTATCTGTACGTTCTTTTTCTCGCTCTAGTGGTGTTACTCAACTACAACAAGATGTTGATTTGGTTGGATTTTATGATCAATATATTAAGAGATTCTCTACAACTTCATTATTGAGATGTTGTTCATTAAAATATCTTATAGTTTTTCGCAACCACTTTCCACCTGGTGTATCGATATCTTTACTTGAAGAAGCTTCTCAATGGATACCTGTATCCTCATTTATTGTTAAAATGATGGTTCTATTGGCTTTTGAAAAATTGTTTAGCCAAAGAAATTTAAATTTATCATCCAATGCAGGCATTAATTCTAATTCTACCTCAACACATAGAATTACTGGAAATCAAGCAAGTTCACTATGTTTGCAATTCCTTAATGATGTTTTGAAACCATTACTTGAGGAGACTCTATACAATAGTAGCAATTCTACATGTTTAATGACTGATAGCGAATTTGTACCAAGATGCATAGTTAGACTTCTTTCTTATTTGGGATTAGAAGGAAAGAGTTTTATATCTAGTATTGTACCTGCAGTATCAGCACACCTTAAATTAGTCACAGAAAATCCAAAAAATCCCATTTTTAATCACTTTCTTTATGAACTATTGGGAATATGTATAAGAAATACTACTGACTACGAACGTAATGCAATGGACCCTGTATTTTTACCAATACTTATAGATATTTTACAACAAAATAGAATAGAATTTATGGCATACTCACTTCAAATCCTTGCTCTAAGACTAGATACACTTGAAACTAAAAATGAATTTTATACTAATTTATTTGTACATTTATTAGATGAACCTATTTGGAGAAGTTCAGTATCTATACTACCTGGGATAGTTCGTTTATTATGTTCTTATCTTCGTAAATCTTCATTATTTGGTGAACTTATTCCAAGTAATTTGAAACAAATATTTAATCGCTTTCAGTTTTGTTTAAGTCATAGAAGATTTCAATCTAATATAGCATTTGATTTACTAAGAGATGCATTGAGATATCTACCCTATGAATCTTATTCAAACTATTTACCTACTTTAATAACACTTCTACTAACAAAATGTCAAGAGTGGAATCGTGCAGATGAAATAATATTAATTACTCAGATTGTTGGTGTAATGTTTTTAATTATTATTGAGAGATCACAAACTAGTAACTTACCTACTCTTATTATTTTATTGGAGAATATACAATCTGGTTTATCATCCCTATTCTTTAACAAAATCGTCTTTCCTAATATTAATAAGGCAGTATTAACACCACCATTGAGATTTCTTTGTATTGCTGGTATAACAAAATTAATTAGCGAGAATTCAAATACCATTACAGAAGAGTTGATACTTGAGTCCTTTAAATCCATAACTGTTTTGCTAGGTGGATTAATTAATGATAATAACTCTATAGAGAGAAGGAAGGATGATTCTACTTTGGATAATTTAGAATCTTTATGGGATCAAACGAATTATGCACAGGATGAATATGAAGTTAATTATCATAGACTTGTAACTGCATCTATCAACTATACTGATATTTATCCAAATGGTGGAGAAATTGCAAAAAATTTCCATCAAAATTTTCAGCAATTAGTTATGTTAGAAGATAGTAGGAATATGATAAAAATTACTTTTAACCCCTTCTTAAAAAAATTATGGGATTATTACCAGAATGACCCTACAATACTAGAATTAATTACGCACATAAAGTAATGCATCTTGTTTATCAGATATCGTTAGACTTGGAAGCACCACATCTTTCTTGGAATTCTGTAAAGTTAACTTATTTGTTTTTTTGAGATGCTGAATACCAAGTATACTATATTTCCTCACTTCAAATAATAATTCTAAGATTATCGCTTTATTTCAAGATTTGTACCTTTACCCTCTTAACTTTATGAATATATTATCTAGCAATTTATAATTATAAAGGTTTATGGATATCTTAATAATATTGTGCAAGTATTAACCTGAATATCTCTATTACTTTATAATTATCATTAACTTGCTAATATTAAGAGCTTTTATAGAATACTTCTGAGATATGGAATCAAAAAGAAGGCGTGCTGAGTAGCTAATTCTAAACTATTTCAATAGCTATTAAATTTTAAATTTATTGCAAATATTAACATTGGAAAATTGAATTACTAGTTCTTTGAAGTTAACACAAAACCTATAATATTATTCTAAATATTTGGTATAAATTTAAGTAATATTGAATTTTACTACTATAATTTTGCAGAGTTTATATTAAATATGGCAATATAGGAAATTACTTAGGATAAAAATAGATGAGACTATAAGTTGGACTATCCAGTTAGAAAAGGAATTCTGGTAAACAGAATTATTTCTTTAGTTAAATATTGTAAAATGTACAAGATTTTTTTATAGTTAAGAACTATTGTCTTTAAAAGAAGTCTATATAACCATTCTAATTTTTTTTATTGCTTTATATATCCTGAACTATTTGTGATTTATCAAAACCTAACCTAAAATTATCTAGGTAAAATTTATCACCTTAAGTCCTAACATGCACCTTTTTTTGTATTGTATAGTAAATAGATATTTAGAGATATATTATATCAACTTTTTTTTCTCAAAAAGTCCATTTAAAAAGTTATGTTTAATGCACATAATTGAACACTTTATCACCTGCACAAATTTATACTTGTTATTTAATCATATACTGGTATAAGGTTATTTATATTTTAATATTAGAAATAAATGATAACAATATAACTTGTTATTGAAGATTAAATTCGACTTCATTTTCTGAATAATATCAATTAACTAAAAAATAGAAAATTACAATTTTACTCGAAGATTATAAATTATCTCATGAAATATACTTAAAAATAATTTCAGATAAAATAAATTTATGAGTCTGATTCTTTAATTCTAAAATAAATTAACAATTATTTTTAATTTATATTTAGGTAAATTATACTGGATTATTGAGTAAATGTATTATATTAGTATACTCTATTATGCAAGTTAATTAACAGATAATTCATATTCAAACTAAAGTGAAAATGTTCTAAATACAATTTATTTTATTTTCTTTAGTTATTAATACTAGATGTATTTCGTTAATTACCATTTTTTTTTTCTTCACAGTGATAGGTTTTGATAATAAACAACTATTTTCTCAATTACTTTTGTATGACCAAAAATAATTATATAGAATTTATTACAAGTCATAATTTTTCTAATTTATTTTAGTTATTTATTTTTCTTAATAAATTTTTTACAAACAGCTAATTCTATTATTATCTTAACTTTCTTTTAAAAAATATCTTTAACTTTTTTTTCCAGATTAAAAACATTCCTATAAATAATAATTCATTTAAAAAAAAAACATATTTTGTTAAATGTTATTATTTCTTTCAAATAAAAACTTCTGTATTGTATAATTTTAAAATAATTATGTAATTTCAAAATACACTCTTTTTTTATTTCTGAACATATTCTTATTAAAACAATAGAATAAGAAGTTAACCTAAAAATATATTTCTAGATTAAAATTATTATTGAATATTATTATCCAATTATAAAATATTAGTTAAATTATAGTTCCAATCTTTCTTAAATATTCCAATAATGTAAGTTTCATATCAACAAAACACATTTTATAAACTTCTTGAATTAAATCTATCAAAATCAACTAATAAATAATGTATTCTTTCTAATATTCATTATAAGTCCAACTTTATACATAATCAACAATACAATATTAATTTTTCTTTTTTTCTTCTTTTATCTAAAGTCTAGGTATGTAGTTTGAATAGAATTGTAATATATTTTTTTCCAATGAGTAGTATAATTATATTCAAATTATAAATATTAAAAATTATTTATATATATTATAAACCTAGTTTAATTACACACAATATTATAAAATTTTAAAAGTTTATTTTCTTCTGCAATATTTTATTACAGAAGTTTAGATCTAGACATATATATATTTTAGTTTAATTATACTATATAAATTTTAATATTCTAAATTTTTCTTATCTTTAAACCTTACACTTTTGTGATGTTTTGGTTTACCTTCACTTTTCTTTAGTATTCCTTTTGGAATTTGAGTAGGATCTTTCACATCAGAACTATTATCACTATCAAAAGCTGTTATTTTATTACTAGATTTTGGAATTTTACTAGTACTTGAAACAGATAATTTGGTTGGAAATTCATATCTAAAATTATAGTTTGAATTATTGCCAAGATCCGGTTTTGTGTTGTAATCTAAACTAGTCACTTTTTCTGAACCAGTATCAGATATTCTATTTCTAGGATCTGAGTGAAGTTTAAGAGAACATGCTATAGAAGATTTAGTAGATATTGAATTTTTATTCGGGTGATGTTCTTTAAGATTACCCCTATGAACTTTTTTAGTCTGAATATTAATTTTTGAAAGCCGCTGCTGAGCAATTAGAAAATCTTTTTTACAACTTGGATTATCTTTGATACAATATAAATTACCTTTAGTGTTTTCATTTTTAGAATTAAAATGTTCATTTGGACTATATTTTGGAGGTTCTCTTGCAATATATTTTGGAGGTTCTGGAGTAAATTGTAAAAAACCTTTATAAAACAAATCTGTTTTTATTTGATCAGCATGTTTGATTCCACTATACAAACTAATTTTATCAAAATTACTTGAAATTTGTCTAGAACTGTCAGAACTATCAGAACTTTCAGGAACATCTAATTTATTATCTTTATATTCTTTTTCAACAAAACCTGACTTAGATTCATGATAAACTGAACTGTCAGACTTTGAAATTTTACTTGTACTAGGCTTCATATCCTTAGTAGATTCTACTATACCCCTGCCATTAATTGAATCGACACTAGTATATGGAGTATCGATTTTTTTATCTTTATAATCTAACTGGCTTTGAGTATAACCTAAAATATCTTTAGATCTAGGAATTATAGCTCCACTAGATTTTAAAAATTTTGATTTGAAGTTAGAAAGAGGTGTTCTGTGTGAAAAACTATATTTTGAACTTTGCTCACCAGGATATGGTATCCTCTTAGGATAAATTGGACTATGAGTACTATAATATGAACTACTGTTAGGTTTATGACCTTCAGAATTAGAATGGTATATTCTATAATTCTCAGGAGTATTCCCAGGTGAATGTGTATTCATATTATTAAGAAATTTTGAATTATAAGCTTTTTGTATTTGTTTATTATCTTTAATAGCTAATATACATGTATAAAAATCTTTTGATTCTTTCTCACCAGGATATGGTATTCTTTTTCTAGGTACAGTTTTATCTAAATCCCTCCCATTATTTGACTCCTCATACTTTTTATCAGGCTTTAAACCAGAATTAAAACCTAAACTACTTTTATAACGAAATAGACTATCCAAACCACCAGACTTTTTCATTTTCTCTTGAAATAAGTGATTTTCACAAGCTGAAACAAAATCTACCACTTTTTGATATTCTTCCTTTAATGAATCAAGCTTTCTTTTAGACTTATTCTCTCTAATATCTAATTCAATACACTGCTCACAAAACATTTTCTTTTTATAATCATATCCAGTACAAAATTTATTATTACGATGAACAAGTACCCTATGTATAGATATTTCAGTTATACTAATTTCAGCTTCAAGTAATTGAGACTCAGTCAATTTTTCTTTAAATTCCTCCAAACTACACTCTTGTGGTTTCGTCTTATTACTAGTAATATTCTGAATTCTATCATCTACAAAAATATATATACATTTATGTAGTAATGAAGTATATTGTTTAATTAATTTTTGTAACTGTTTTAATTTTACATTTGTTTGATCATACTTTTCACTTTTATGAAATCTAAGAAATGCTAATTTTGCAAGGGTTACTATTTCAGATCCCCTTAGAATTCCAATTATTTTTTTTATCATACCAAAATACAAATCACTACAAAAATCCACAGCTTCTAAATCAGCTATTAAACTACTAGCAAATGGATCACTTTTCTCAATATCAATATCTATATAATTATTAGCTAATGTTTCCTTAGTACTATCAGTATTATCATTTCCTTTATCATGAACATCACCACCTAATTGCGGAGATTGTAACTCATTTGTGTTCTTCGTTTCTTTGTATACTTTTCTATCATCATTAACTCCACTATCTTCCCTTCTATAATCTGTATCATCTTCTCCTAATTTATTTTTTTCTCTACCATGTAAAGTTTCCTTTATATATGAACTTGTAGAAATTTGTAAAAAAGAGATCGGTATTTCATATATGTTTCTACAATAACTATTAAAAAAAACTGTGAATATTATTAGAAAAAATATTTTATGAACAAATATTCGCGATTTTCGCATTCTAATAATAAATTAAACCTATTCTCTTCTTTAAAGAAAAAAAAGATGTGTAGATTCCATTGTATTGGTATTAATTAATTGAATGCTCTGCATACAATTGTGTGCACACCTTTTTTTTTAATGATCCTTTCTACTTTTTCTTTCAGTTATTATATTAAATATAAAACTACAATCTTCTTTTATTTCAACTTAATTATCTCAACATAATATTATCTGAGTTTATTTTACAATTACATAACTAAATTTATATAGCTACAATGAAAAATACATATCAATAAATACTATTTTAAGCTATATTTACTAATCTAAATTTATACTATAGTTAAACTATTATTATGGTAGTAATTAAAAGTATTATTATATGAACTATTATATATTAATAATATATCACAGGATAATTTTTATTATTAGATACTATTGATTAAATAATATATTAATAAAAAGATATTCCGTGAAGAAATAAAAATAATGAATTTAAGAAATATATTCCTAATCATATAATTTATTAAATTAATTTTTATATTAGAACTAATTTAGTAATATAGTGTTTTATATCATCAAATAACTCTAATGTATAAGTATATATAGCTATGTAATTTCTTTTTATTTATTTTTAATATTGTAGATTTTCAAAAATATCTAATACAGAATTAAACAATGTATAATATTTGAGGTCTAATACTATTATATTTCTATTATTTAAATAATTAAGCTATTGTATGACTTCATTTATATATATTATTAGAGTATTTATGTTGATGGATTTAATGAGAGGAAAAAAATTGGGATTATTTAGAAATAACTTTGTTTTTGTAAATTTCACTAAATAGCTATTTAATAATAATAATAATTACCATGGCTTGAGAAAATTTATAATCACTTTAAATGATATATTCAAATACTTTTTGATATAATTAAAAAAAAAAATCTAATTTAAATATTTCCCCATTTAGAAATTACATTATTCCAAATTTTACTAAATTAAAAAGGTTATATAAACATTGAGATATTCTATATGATATATAAAATAGATATATTTTAAAATATACATAATTTATAGTAAAATATTAAGGACTTAAATAACTTGAAAGTATTTATTTAACTAATTTACATACATTCATAAGTATCTTATTTAATCTTATAATTTGTAAGATTTATATTTGAGCTTATTTTTTCAGTATTCCTAATTTCAAATTTTCATTAGATTTGACTCTAATCGTGAAATCAAACAAATATTATCATTTTTTTTAAAATGAGAATAATCAATAAAAATATTTTATACCAAAAAATTTTTATCTCTCTTTTCTTTTACTTTTATTATCTATAATCCTCCTTTATCCTTTAAAATTAAACTTAAATATTAAGAGATTTTATACAATAATATAGTAGTTAAATGAATGTTTAGCATAAACTTGCCACTTAAGGTATTAGTAATGATTATAATCTTCATCTTAATAATAATTTTTGTATCTTTAATCATCTTTCCACTAGTAGCTACTATTTTGGTCGTAATGATAATTTTGGTAGTGGTGGAGGTGGAGGTGGTGGAGGTGGTGGTGGTGGAGGTGGTGGTGATGATGATGATGATGATGATGATGATGATGATGATGAAAACAATGATTTCGGTAGTGATGGTTTTGGTGGTGATGAAAACAATGATCTCAGTAGTGATGATTTTGGTGGTGGTATTGGTAATGGTGAGGGTAATGATGATGGTGGTGGTGGTATTGGTAATGGTGAGGGTAATGATGATGGTGGTGGTGGTATTGGTGGTGGTGGTGGTATTGGTGGTGGTGGTGGTATTGGTGGTGGTGGAGGTAATGATGATGGTGGTGATGGAGGTAATGATGATGGTGGTGGTGGTATTGGTGGTGGTAGAGGTAATGATGATGGTGGTGGTGGGGGTAATGGTGATGATGAAACCAGTGACTTCAATAATAATGGTTTTGGTGGTGGTATTTTTCGTATTGATGGTTTTGGAGGTGGTGGTGGTGGTATTTTTTGTATTGATGGTTTTGGAGGTGGTGGTGGTATTGATGGTGGTGGTGGTATTGGTGGTGGTGGTGGTATTGATGGTGGTGGTGGTATTGATGGTGGTGGTGGTATTGATGGTGGTGGTATTGAGAATACTGAGTCTTCACTTTGCTGAGATGTCTCAGAATCACCACTTCCCGGTTCTTGAAACCTCACTCTTCTTCCTGGTTTTTGGGCGTAATTTTCTGCTAATACAGCCAAATATTCGTTACATTCCCCCCTTAATTTGGATACTTGTTCAATTTCTCTATTTTTTTCTGTTATATAATTACTTGTTCTCAACATACATCTTTCATGAACTTGATATTCATCCATTTTATTTTCCAATTTAGCTTTAAGTGCAGTATCTTTATGATGATGAAGTAATTGTCCAAAAATTCCCCTGAAAGTAACCAAACTATTATATAATAATGATAGTTGAAGCCATTCCCTTTTTGTACACTTTCTTGGAGTATACATTCCAAATCTTACATATTTGTGTCCACTTATTTGATGACGGTATTGAATATCTAAACATCTTCTATACTCAGAACTATATATTGAAATAAGTTCTTCTAATTCTTTAATTTCAAGAAGTAATTTCATCAATATTTTTGATAATTTTGCATATGATATGCAATTTGACTCGGATAATAAGTATCTTTTCTTACATGTACCTTTCTTATTTAGTAACTTGGTTTCCATATCCTTTTTAACATTTAATTTAATATAACTTCCTATAATATCTTTTGTAAGCAGTTGCATTTTTAAATATTCACAATTTAATTCTTTAAGTAATTGATTTGTAGCTTCAATTCTTTCATTATAACTAGATTTTAATTTTAATTCAACATTGAGTTTTATAAATGATGTGTTAATATATTTATTACTTACAATGTTTGAGATAATAGATAGATGAAGTGATGATAGGATAAATACAGTAAAATATAATATAGTTAATTTATTTGAAGTAGTCATATTTTACTTTTTATTGTAGAAATATTTAAATATTATATTAATGCTACTTTTTGATAAAGTATAATACTTTTAATCTATAAAAAAGTATCTATTAATTTCACCCACTATAGATACATTTTCACCCAAAATTGGTAGATTATAAACTACCACATTATATAAATTAAATATATACTAAATGAAATATGGTGAAAAATATAATTATGAAATTATATGTAATAATAAAATATTAGGGTATATAGCTTATAATTTTAATATCTATATTTTGTACTTGGTGATATTAATAGTTTTTATACTAATGTGCAATAAAAGTATTAATTTTTATAAACTTAGAGTAAAAGACTATCTTATCAGAAAGTTTATTTGATTTAATAAAATATTAATAATTACATTATTTAATTACAGTTTTTTTATTTAAAAATAGTATTTAATTAAAGGTAATATGATTCTATTATTAATTACAATTATTTAGTATTAAGTTATTCTGGACTAGATAAATAAAAAGTATGTTGATATAACTTATTAGAACTAATTTGAGGTATTGATTTTTGTTAAATATTCAATATATATAAATATTTATAATTATTGAATGCTTATTTAGTTCTCAATCTAAATATATTTTGAATAGCTAGTAAATATTCTATATATTACTAATATAAGCTAACAAAATATTTTCTTTTTTTAAAGCCTCAGTTTAACAGTGAAATACTATCTAATATGTACCATAAAACTTATAGTAAGAAAATATATACTATTCTTTTTCAGCTCCATTTAAATAATTATAATAGATAATATTAATTAATTTCTACATTTAATTATTGATATAGTTGTAGAATAATATAGTCGAAATTAATTAATATACAAAATTAAATTATTTGAATAATAAAGATTAGATACTAACTTTTTTTTTTTTTTTGTAGATGTAATTTGCATATAAAAATGAGAATTTAGTCATTTTAATAGAAAAGCAATTTATTATAAGAGTTTATAATAATGAAAGCAAAAATAATAGTATAATTTCTTTTTTGTTTTCAAAAAGAAAGGACAAGTAATAAGAAGATTATATTTATTAAAATATATTGTTATATGAAACATTTGAGTAATATATTTAAAAAGTTTGAATATACATTTTTTGTTAATATTTATTGAAAAATACTAATATATATTAGATAATAGAATATTTTAAAAACAGTATATTCAAATATATATAAAAATCACTTTAATCTTTACAAAACTTTATGGAGAAAGCAATGATATTTGTAAAAGTTCTTAAATTTAATAGCTGTGTAATTTTTATGTACAATTTTTTTTATGATATTGTAATTTTAAATAAATAACATATTTTATTATATATTCCCTTTTTTGATAATTTGATTAAATATTACTAATTATTGTATAATTTTAGTGATTTATTATGAATATTATTTATATTACTTGGTAGATTTAATTCAAATTTAAATAAACACACTGAATACTCTGGTTTAATTACTTCATATAACTCCAAATTTATTTTTAAATAATGTTGTATTATATTTCTAACTATAAACAAGTTGTATTTTAATATTTACTTGACTTTTTTTAAAATATAATTAATAAGATTTATGAATATACTTTTCCATATTTGTATTATTATAAGAATTAAAATAATTATGAATTTTTTTTTTACTAATATCATCTATTGTAAAAATAAATTTCAAGTGATATTTGTTGATAATTATTATATTTATCTTTTTACAACATAAATGATCTTTTAAGTCATATTCTAATTACTTGTTCCAATAATTTATCTTCATTTTCAATAACTAATTCTTTGATTTTAAGTCTGAAACCTAACTTTTTTTCTTCTTATAGTAACTAAATTTAACTTAGAAACTGTACAAGATCTTACATAATATCCTAAAAAAACATTCTATCATTTGTTATATATTCCCTAATTAAATATGAATAAGATTGGATTATTTCCTTCCCGTATTTTTTTTTTTTTTACATTAATTTAAATATTTCTTATATCTAGTATAATTTTTTATGAGCTATAATTTTGAATAGTACATAACATGATATTTATGAATTAATTCTATTAATAGATAATTGTTTTTTGATGATCTTTATTAGATATTTAGATGACAGTAAATTTCTCTTCCAAAATATTGAAGATTTATCTTTAGGAACTTTTTTTTTATTATGTTGAGAAGGATTTTTAGTATCTATATCAATAGCATTCATATCCTGCAATATTATAGCATTCATATAATTTCTAATTTGGAAATTATTATTATTCAGAAATTTATGTTCATTTTATTCTTGTTATAATTAATCTTATAGATTTTTTTTAGTATTTCTATTGTAATATTTTTTATTACTTTGTTCTGTGTTATTTGAAACCAATATACTATAAAGGAGTACTTATATTAAATATATCAATATTGCAATTCTTCACCATAATTATATAACCTGTACTTAAAGACTAATATAACAAAAATTATACAATATTTTAATAATAATTTGAAATACAATACAGAGATAATATATCAATTAATTTAAAATATTTACAAGTAAATCTCAAATTAATTTATCAAAATAATAAATATTTAAAATTGATTTCAGTTGATTAAATTTTTAGTACTTTATAGTAAAAGTATTACTCGCAAATAAATTGATCTACTGTATAGTGATTTCATATGAATTTCTTGTAAATTTTTATTAAATACAATTTTATATCCTTTTTTTAAATTTCAGTTAAGAATTAGATTACAAAGTTAGAAGATGGATATAATTAAACAACTTTTAAATATAATTAATATAAAGAAATAAATATAATATAATATTAAGGATTATATGAAGTGAATAATCACTTATTCACATTAGAATACTAAAAGAAATTTTATAAATAAAAATTGACTTAGATATATAATTTTATTTTTATAAAATGAACTTAGTTACTCGTTCTTTGTAACATACAATTTTCTACTTCTTTTATTTTCATATCTAGTAACTCTTTTTGAACTTTCTCTGATGACTTGTTCTTTTCTTTTATTAATTTATTTCTTTCCCCTATCAATTTTTCAAGTTCAGATAATGTGCAATTAGGTTTAGGATACAGGGGTACACTCAAACCTTTTTTGGAAAATATCACTTTTGTCTGGTGATTTTGGACTTCAACAGGTCTTAATGAACGTGCAATTATTTTTGTTTGCTGAGTTCTGGGTTCAATATCCTCCAATGAATTTTTTAAACTTATTTTAGTTTTTTGTTCTTTTGGTTGAGTAAGTTTTTTTTTTACTTTATATAAATTAGTTTCTATATATTTTTTTCTTATATCATCAAATCCAACATCTTTACCTTTATATATTAGATCTAAAGTAGGTGAAATAGATTGTAATTTATTTGATGATTTATTAATATTTTCTTCTTCAACATTATCATCTATAGAGGTTTTTGATAGTTCACTAAGTTTTGTATTAGTTATTTTTGATTCATTAGATAAATCACTTTGAACTTCTGTTTGAACTGATAGTGCCATTTTACCTGTTTGTTTATTATTAGATTCAATCAAATTATTATTTCTTGATAATTTACTCACTTCTTTTAATACATCAGGCTCTTCATTTTGAAATAATATATCTTCAGGTAAATCCAATTCTATTCCAGTTACAGATTCCTTTATATCTAATTCTTTATAATTATTTACTTTTCCAGTATTATTATCTTCAGAATCTCTTAATTTTACACTTTTTTCTTTTGGTATATAAGATACTTTTTCTTTAGTTAAAATATTCTCATCTTTATATAAACTTTCAGTTGATTGTTTTAATGCTAAAAAATTTTCGCAGCCATGTTCTTTATTTCGTACTTCATTTACTTTATCCTTGAGGAGTTCTACTCTACTTAAAATATGTTCTTTACAATTTGACATTAATATGCACTTTTTGCATAAATTTTTATTTCTATTATCTCTACATCTATGACAACTTTCTAATTCTCTTGATATAGATAATATTGACTGTCTTAATATCAAATATCTACTTTTCTCAAGTACTTTCTTAATTCTTAACAAGCTTAATTCGTCAGTAGTACATTTTAATATTTCTACATTATTATGAATTCTATATCCTATTATTTTCGAACTTTGTTCTCTGCTATTGTATTCCATACAACCTAAGTAAATTTTCATTTCTTCTCTATATATTTTGATAAAATCCACTAATTTTTGAGATAGTTCATTTGCTTTTCTTGTTGATCCTATACATTTTATACTAGTTGTAGAAAAAAATTTATGTCTACCATGGCAAAACCTAGTTTTATCAAGATGTAACTGGATTTGGATCTTAGTTACTGTTATTTCTATTTTAAGCTTAACTAATTTATCTACAGTTTCTTCAATATGTAAATATGAACATTCTTTCACTTTATTTTTGTAATTCATACTTATATTATTTTCATTTATCTCATCTTCATCTATGACTTTTGAATCTATATTCAGATTCATATTTGAAGTTGTAAAATTTTTATTTGAGATATCTGTTATACCTTTAGATTTTTGTTTTAAAATAATAGATGAATTATCTAATTTTAATATATCACTTTTCCAATCTTGTTTATTATCATTAGAATTCTTATTACTTTTATTATATGAATCACCAGTTATTACCAAGTTTAATTGAATAAAGGAAGATAATTTTAGGTTATTGTTACTTTTAATATAAATATATAAATACAATATTTCTATTGAAATTACTATTTTTAACCAAATATTTATCATATGTAATAATATTATAATAAATTATTTTATAGTACAAAAAAATCTTAGTATATTCCATATAATATATTGCAAAAATATCACTCAATATTTGAGATTATGAACAAATTTATACTTACTCAGTATATTAAAAGTTTTAGAAATTATATCTTTTTATTCAAAATTCCATTGTTTAGATTTCTTCTTAATACTTGCACACTAATTTCACCCAATAATAAAAATATCAATATTTTCTCATTAATTCATTATTATTATATTTGTAAATAATATCTATATATATATTTAATTATATAGATAAATATTTAATATTTTTATCAGTTTATTGATTTATATTTACAAAGTAACAGTCCTTTTTTTATTTTATCCAAATATATAGTGCAAAGTATAATATTTTTAAAAATAACCAATTATAAAAAAAAAAAGAATTATAATATAATAATTCGGAGATTTATATTAAATAAATTATCAAAATTATAAAAATAATGTATTATATTCATTCTTAACTGATAAATTATCAATATATCTAAAAATTATAATATTTCCAAAGTTTCTCTGTACTGTTTTAATAATAACATATTTCTTCATTATTAAAATACAGTTATTCTATTTATAAAATTTATATTAATATTAATAATAATATTATTAATCAAAAAATGAGATATTTTATGTAAGCTAAATTTTTATAATTATCTAATTTTATTGGAAAAATTATATAAATATTCGAAATTATTGTCATTTTAATATTCTAAAATAATAATAATTATAAATATATATTTAAATTCATTACTAATAATATTTAATAATAGTAAACAATATAATTTAGATGAAATATCTTATATTGAAGGGGGGGGGGAAAAAAATTAAAGTATTTAAATTTTTATCACGCTGGTTAAAATAAATAGATCATTATAATAAAAAGACATTAATAATATATTAACTAATACAAATAAAATCTAAATAAATTAATAAAAGGGATTATTATATTATTTTTATTTTAAATATATCATAAAAATAAGTTAAATAAGTATTTAATAAATCTATTTATAAATTTAAAATAGTACTTTTATATATTAATAAAATAATATTGTATTAATTAAAAAATAATAAAATTGTCTCCATTCCATATTAAATAATAATATATATTTGTAATTATAAGATCTTTCTTATTTCAGGAATTCTATTGGAGTACTATAATCTGAATATTCCTAAATTTTTTGCACCCTAAAAATTTATTATTTATAGCGCTAAATAGATACTCTTAGATCTTAGAAATATTAATATGATTGGGGGTTATTGTAAATATAATATTACACAAACATTTTATTTATTATATATGAGAGTAAACTTGAAAATAAATTGAATGGAAAGTTTTCGTTATTTCCCTTTTTTTGAGAAGAATATAGTTGATAGAGATGATTTTTCCAACAAAGTTACTGACTTTGAAACCCTTGGATTAAGTTCATTTATAACTTGTACAGGTAATGAGAATTCATTATGGTTGGGATCTGGAGATGGAAATATTATTGAATTAAGTATATTAGATGGTTCTTTTACTATTTCTAGAATTTGGAAAGCTTATGAAATTACTGTATTTGATATAAAATATTGTCAAAATACACTAATAACTATTGGAATAGATAATAAAAGTATTTGGAAAATAAAAGTGTATGATTGTGAAGATGGTTACATAATATCTAAGAATATTGAGAAATATAATGAAATCCCAATTTATGAAGATTTAGGAAATAAAAGTATAACTGTATTTGATATTTGTAATGATAGTCAAATAATAGGTCTTGGAACAATGGATGACTTTGGGGTTTATATTTTATATGGTAATTTTTTTGGAAAATCAAATTATTTAAAATATATGATAGAACTTTCAGAACCTTGTACAGGTATACATTTTATTTCAACTAATAATGATAATAAATATTATGTTATGATTTGTACAAAGTCTAGTGTATCATCATATTTAATAGATGCATATACAAAAGTACCTAAATTAACTTTTTGTGATAATATGGGTGGATCAAAGCTAAATTGCAATGTTTTAGCACCTGGTTGGATTAATGAAAATGATGATATTCAGAGAATTCTTGTTATATTTCGTGATGAAGGTTTATTTTGTTACCATCCAATATATGGGCATTGGTCAGCATTACCTACAAGTTATAGTAACCCTATCTTTTTAGCTTCTTATAAATACTATTTAATATTAGTAAATGCTTCAATTTGTGAAGTAAATAATAATGATAATAATAATACGTCTTTGTGTGATGTAACAATCTGTCATTATTTACCAGATTTACGATGTATTTGTTATACTGGGGAATTTAACAATGTCTCTCATATTATATATGGATTAAATCAATTATTTATTTTATGTTCAGGAAATATAAAATCTTTAAATAGTTCAAATGATAAAATAACAACGACTCCAAACCTCCTTTTTTATCTTACTGAATTAAGCCTCTATGATAGAATTATGATGTTTGTTAAGAAATGTCTCTTTGATTGGGCTCTTATAATAGCAGCAAATGAAAAAGCACCTGAATGTGTGTATGGACAAATTCAGAGAACATATGGAGATTGGCTTTGTAATGTTAAACATGACTTTAATGAGGCTCTTTCTTTATATTTAAAGTGTTTAGATACTTTTAGTGGTGATACTAGTCATGTAATTTATAATTTTTTAGCTAATGATCGGTTTGATGAAGTTATTATATACCTTAAACATTGTATACATATATATAGATGTGAATCTAAAAATACTAAAAATAGGACTTCTTTAAAATCAAATATTACATTTCCTATTGGTAAAGATCATGTTAATCTTTTATATAGATTATTTTCTCAATTAGATAGGATGGATGAGTTATTTACTTTTTTGACTGATGAGAAACAAAATGAGGCAATAGATTCAGGAGAAATTGAAACAGCTATAGAAATGTGTAGAAATTATAAAAAATATGATATAGCTATCCAAATAGCAGAACATTTTGAACAACATGAGAAACTCATATCAATATATATAGAGGATAAATCTTGTCCTATAGAAGCACTTATATATCTTCAACAGACTTTTTTAGAAGATACACAGAAATTAGCTTTAATATTAAAGTTTGGTCCTACTTTAATTAATAAAATCCATAAGGAAACAACTGAATTTATAAAATCTTTAGTAATTAATCATTGTATGTCAATTGATGTATTCCTTCCAATATTTATTAATCAAGACAAATATTTACTTGATATGACATGGGATATTTTAACAGATAATTGTACAAAATCTGAGCTAAATATAGAAGATATGAATATTATATCTCAAGAAATGTGCATATATTTATTACAAGTTTCTTTAAGACAAAAAGAAATCAATGAAATATGGCCACAAAAACTTTTAGAACGACTTAGTAAATTTGATAATTTTTCAAATTGGCATTCAGTTTTATGTATTTGTAGTTATTATAATTATAATAAAGGTATTCTTTATATAACACAACATTGTGGATTATATCAATTAGCTCTTATTCAATATTTTAGAAATAAGGATTTAAATGGGCTTATAGAATTTTGTATGCAATTTGGTAATAAAGAAACTTTTCTTTGGTTAGAATCCCTCAATTATATTATTGGAATGATTTGTAATGGATATTGTTCTCAAGATTATCTTGATGTATTAATAAATATAATTCAGCAAATATATATAAATAAACTTCTTTCACCATTATCAATACTTGATATATTTTCAAAATATCTTTCGAATATTGAGAATCAAGATATCATTAATAAAATACCCTTAGGATGTATTAAACAACTTTTAATACAAGAAATTCAAGAATCACCAGATTTAACTAAAGAAAATCAGAGTTCAATAAATAGTGATCGTGAAGAAATAATCAAGATGCGTAAGGATATAAAGGATATGAACTCCAGTCCAAAAATCTTACATTCTACAAGATGTAATCAATGTCATTTACCTTTAGAACTTCCTACTATACACTTTTTTTGTGATCATTCATTTCATAGATATTGTCTTGTACAACAGGATCAATGTCCACTATGTACTCCAGAATATATTAGAAGAATCAAATTACTTAGACAAAGAGAAAGTAATCATACAAATAAGGATCAATTTTTTAAATTCCTTAAAGGAGATATGAATAATAATGGATTAGATTATATTGCAAAATGTATAGGGGTCTCTTTTAAATAAATAATAAACTATAATATTTATTATTTCAATATTATCATAATGTGTAATGATTATTATACTAGATTTTAAAATATATTCATCTCCTCTATTCCTAATATTATTCACTTTAAATCTTTAAATTTTTGAAAAATAATTAGATTTAAGCATTGAGGTATACTAATTTTGTATTAGCGCTTAAGTTTCTTAATTTTCTTTTTCTTTTTTCTTATAAATATTGAGACGAGACATGTTAGGGTACTGAGACATCAAAAAGGTTGTTATATTAATATTACTATTCTATCAGTAACAATATGAGACGTACTAAGGAATAAAGTTTATTATTCTTCCTAGAAATATAGCGGAATATTATTTCAACATAAAGTGTCCAAATAACTTAATAATATTTCTTTTATAGTATTAATAGGTAGGTATTTAATTAAAAAAATATAATGCGGGTAAATATTACTTAAAAAATTATGTCATTTTATTTTAGTGGTCAGTTTACTTTAAATTTCTATCTTATTAGGGGTAGAAACCGTCATATTCGAGTTTTTACACTTTTTTTAATAATACAGTAAATATGGCAGGTAAGTAATCAATATATCATTATTATTATCCAATCATTCTTAATAATATATTTTATAGAACGGGGTGGTTTTGGACGTGGTTTTGGCTCTCGTGGAAGTGATAGAGGAAATAGAATAAGGGGTTCACGTGGTAGAAGCCGTGCATCACCAGCAGAAGATGAATTGAAGAGTTGGGTACCAGTAACTAAGTTGGGTCGCTTAGTACGTGATGGAAAAATTAGTTCAATTGAAGAAATTTATTTACATTCATTACCAATTAAAGAACATCAAATTGTTGACTATTTCTTTAGCTCTTCTAATCCTTTATCAGAAGAAGTTATGAAAATTATGCCAGTACAGAAACAAACCCGTGCAGGTCAAAGAACTCGTTACAAGGCATTTGTAGCTGTTGGAGATTACAATGGACATATTGGTTTAGGTGTAAAGTGTGCAAAAGAAGTTGCAACTGCAATTCGTGGTGGTATTATTGCTGCTAAACTCTCATTAATACCAGTACGTCGTGGATATTGGGGTAATAAAATTGGTGAACCACATACAGTTCCAATGAAGGTTAGTGGTAAGTGTGGTTCTGTATTAGTACGTCTTGTACCTGCACCTCGTGGTACTGCCATTGTTGGAGCACCAACTACAAAAAAATTATTACAATTTGCTGGTGTTAAGGATTGTTTTACCTCATCTCGTGGTTGTACAAAGACTAGGGGAAACTTTATGTTAGCTATATTTGCTGCATTAAGAAGTACCTATTCTTATTTAACCCCAGATTTATGGAAAGAATATTCATTTACACCTTCACCATACAAACAATATTCAGATTTTCTTGCTTCAACTAGTTCCAAAGTTGTTGTTTAGATCTTGAAAGAAAATAAAATGTTTATTTTCAACCTAAAAATAGTTTTTTTTTTTTTTTTTTCTCTTCCTTTTAATCCCTTATTCAGTAATATTTAAGGTGAATTTATTTGGACAAGATACTTTGTCTTAAAGATCATAACTTATACATAGTTTATCTTAATATAGTGAGTTGTACATTTTAAAAAGATTGTAGCTTTTATGTTATTAATAATAAGATGATTTAGACTGTTCGTAAATTTGAAGTATTAATGTGTTTCTCCTAGTATTAACCGCTCCCAGTTGAAATTCTCAAATAGTGGCTACTTATTTTTATCAATATTTCTTAAAAATGCCAATTATTAGGTAATAGTTTTAAATAGTGTTCTATTATTGTGTATAAATATTAAATATAATTATCTTCAAATTTTAGAGGTCTTTCCGATTTAAATAATGAAGAATCAAACCGAAATAAAGATATAACTACTAGCTACACTGGAGGTGAGAAAAGGTAAGTTATTGATATATTTTAGTCTCTTTTTTTAGATCAAGTAATATTATGTTATTTTTAAAAGTCTAAATATAATACCAATATTGTGATTTTATTTTGTAGTGGAATTGCTATTGAAAATCCAAATGAACCCCATAATATACCACCAAATGCACATCGTGTAATATTATATAACAATGGATTTATATTAGACAATGGAGAATTTCGTAGCTTAGATGACACAAAGAATTTAGAATTTGTACGGGATATTAAAAACTCTATAGCTCCTGAAGAATTAAGAGGGAATTTAGTAGGAAACCAACCTCTACAAGTTGCTTTAGATGATCGTAGTAGTGAAACATATACAATTCCTACTAAACCATTAGAGATATTTGGGGGTTCTGGTTCATCTTTATCAGAAGCTAAGATATTATCGTCTTCACTAAATGTAAATCCAAATGCTGTATTAACAACAGTTGTTGATGAATCTAAGCCAATAACAACTCTTCAATTTAGATTCCATAATGGTCAGAGAAAAGTTTTCAAATTTAATGAAGATCAAACAATTGCTGATATACATAATGTTTTTATGGAATGTGCTCCTGTAGATGGAGAATATTACTTAACTTTTGGATTTCCTCCTAAAAAAATTGAATTAAATCTAGGGACAACAATTAAAGATGCCGGATTATTACAAGAGACCATTTCTCAAAAGTTAATTTAATAAGATTATTTATATTTAATAATATCATTGAGGCTATTAGAAGGATATACTACAATAAATGGGATTAGGCTATCACATATTTATATTGCATATAATTGAATTGAACACGTAATAGTTAATATATCTATTTATAGTAATTTTTTTCCTCAAACAAATGTTCTTGATTCTTGTAAATACAATTGAGGAATAATTTGAGTATTACTATGTAATATTAACTTGAAAGTCTATTCTTATAAGTTAAGGTATTGTATTATTGTATTTAGTACTCTCAATAGAAAAAAAAAAAATTAATTAGGTAACTTATGTGATATTAATATTAACATGATGATGATAAATGGTGTTTATTTTTACAGGTGATTAATATAGTTCACTAGATCCTATTTATAGCTATTCAAACAATTTATAGAATTTCTAAAGTGGTTCTTTTTTTCTTTTTAAACTGAAGGTTTGGAGATTTTTATTGGATACACTCATAATGAAATATTATAAAGTGAAGTTATATAAATGGAGAGGATTAATAAGGTTATAAGTTTATTTCCCAATAATATTTAATAATATTTTAGTTCCAAAGTAGTATTACAGATTAATGATCTTTACTATAAAGAATGATCATAAATATGAATAAATTAATGATTATATATATGATTAAAGTTTATAAGATAATTATTTAAATATATAAAATATATAGTACTATAGATCAAGATAAACCAAGACTAGACTTATGTTACATTAATATTATAGGGAATATATCAATATGAACAAATTCACACTTTTTCTTTTCTTTAAGAATATGTTATAGTTAAGTTATTTGTCTAATTTAGTTTCAGATCTTTTGTATAAACTTTGGTATATTCAGTGTTAATAATTATTTGATTTTCCATAAACTTTATATATAAGTTAAGCACTTTATAGTATTACTATTATTATATAATATTTAATTTTTAGCTATTTAAGATATTTTAGTAGGGAATTATTGAGATATTTATTTAATACCTTTATTAAGAAATATATTCATTTATAGGATATTCAATTAATTATATTATTTATAATTAGTTAATATTAAAATACAAATTTCAGTATAATACAAGCGGTGAGAAAATAGGTGTTAAGGAGACGATCCCTACCCGTGATGTCTGGATTATACTTTCCACTCCTTTTTTTTAAAAAGTCTAATAAACCTAGTATTATAGTTTATAGAAAATGAAGTTAAAAAGAAGTACAAGTAAAAGGGTTCCACTTGGTAGAAAGTATAAAATTCAAAAAAAAGTAGCTCAACATAGACGAAAAATTAAAAAAATAGTTTCAAAGTCTGTAATTTTAAAAAATAGGAAACCTAAGATACTTAAAATTCCTAATTCTTGGCCATTTAAGGAACAAATGCTAAATGAGATAATTGAGAAACAAGAGAATATTAAACTGGAAAAGGAACAAAGACGTAAGAATATGAAGGAAGAAGTTCAAATAAAGGAACAGGACAAAAAATTAAGTGAAATAATGCAAATAGACGAAGTAAAGAAATCGAAATTAACTAACTTAGATGATTTATATGAAGATGCAATTATAAGGCAAGGTAAATTTGAAGAAAATAGTACAATAGAAGATATAAATGATAATGAAGTGGCAGATTCATCTCGTCGTGTATTTCTACGAGATCTTAGAAAACTAATTGAAGTTTCAGATATTATATTGGAAATATTAGATGCTAGAGATCCTTTGGGATATAGATGTCATGATTTAGAAAGGTCTATTGTTGGACAAGGTAAAAAACTTATTCTCATTATAAATAAGGTTGATTTAGTACCTAGTGAAGTGGCTATGCGTTGGTTAATTTATTTAAGGCGTGAATTCCCAACATTAGCTTTCAAATCAGCTATAAATTCATCTTCTGATCATGGAGTAAATCAAGTTAAAGGAAATGGTTTAGGAGTATCAGAAGAATTTTTGAAGACAAGTTCTGCAGCATTTGGAACATCTGCACTTATGTCCTTAATTAAGAATTATGCTAGATGTGGTGATAAATCTAGATCTGTTACAGTTGGAATTATAGGCTATCCAAATGTTGGTAAATCTTCATTAGTTAATTCTTTAAAAAGAAGTTGTTCCGTCAAGATAGGTGCAACTGCAGGAATTACAAGACAACTTCAATATATTGATTTAGACTCAACTACACAATTAGTAGATAGTCCAGGAGTTGTATTTACTGGTAATTCTACAGATCCTATAAATATATTAAGAAATACTGTCCAATTAACCAATGTAAAAGATTATTTTGATCCAATAAATGTTTTACTGGAGAAAGCTTCTAGAGAAGTTTTGTTAAAACTATATAGGTTACCAGATTTTAATGATACACATGACTTTTTAACTAGTGTAGCTAGATCACGTGGAAAATTAAATAAAGGTGGAGTTCCTGATACAAATACAGCTGCAATGATTGTACTAAGTGATTGGTTTACAGGAAAGATTCCATTTTATACTTTACCACCTGATCTAGATCAACAAGAAAAATCCTCAATATCTGTGGTTTCTAATTGGTCTGAAGAATTTAAATTAGATGATTTATTTACAGATAATAATTTAAATGTATTATAAATAAATTTTATAGTTGATATATTTGTAAATTTACTATTTTGATTTATAAAGATTAATTTTTTGTGGAGCTAACTATTTTAGAAAGCCATAGATTCATAAAATGGTTGTTATCTTAAAGTTATCTATTAGATAGATATACTTAATTTTTTATAAATATAGCCTATATGATATAATTGGTACCTTTAATTAGTTTATGATTATTATTACCCTTACTTTTTTTAATGAAAAAAAACCTATTTGAGATTGAACCGTCTCACTTCCCGCCTTAACATGCACAGTTTAATTTTTTTTTAATTTCATTGCATTAGAAAATTGAGAGTATATAACGACAAAAAATTTAGGAATTGAGATCTTATTAGATCCAATATAATGGATCACATTGAATGTATATCACCTATGGTTGCAAGATGGATGCTACTAATTAGTATTAGTTTGGTAACTATGGGTATAATGTACAGTAATGATACCCTTCCAGCTATTGCTCCATTTATTTTCGATGTATTTGAAACTGTTTATAGTAAGGAGGAGTTTGAGTATTATTATAATTTATTATGTTCCTTGGTATCAGTTCCAAATACAATTTTTCCGTTATTATCGGGTGTGCTTATAGACAGTGTTTCATTATACTATTTGTCAAGTATATTTATTGGTTTCTTAATTACTGGACAATTTATTTTAAGTCTTGGATTTAGTATGAAAAGTTTATCAATAATGTTACTTGGACGTTGTATATTTGGCTTGGGTTCTGAATCTTCTCTAATTACCTTTAACTCCCTTTTAATCAGATATTTTCCTGAATGGGAGGTTGCTCTTGCTTTATCAATATGTTTGGCAATTGGGAGAATTGGATCTGTATTAAGTGATATGGTGTCTCCGATTATAGCAACTATACTACCAGTATATTGGACTTTAGTTTTTGGGTTAGGTATTTTGATAATAGGAGGTATCAGTGTACTAATTAGTTTGAACAAGTATTACAAAGAGTGTTTAAATATGCATAAAATTAGGAATAATTCAGAAATAATAGCAAATGGTAATAATTTAAAAAGACTTATACTAGATAATGGGAATTTAGTATCCCCAAATGATGAAATAATAAATAAAAGAAGTAATTTAAAATATAGAATTACTTTAATTACAAGAAAAGTTGGAGAATTGGGAAGATTATATTGGTATTTAGCAATTCTTGGTCTATTGTCATATAGTGTAATAATGCCATTTAATTATATTGCTGGACCCCTAATTGTAGAGACTAGATACAAAGATATTTCTACAGTTACAGCTAGACAGTATGCAGGTATAATTATGAGTTTATTATATGCAGTATCAGTTTTGGTTCTACCTATATTAGGATGGATTGTTGATCGTGTTTGTGAAAGATGTAAACTTTTGACAATATCTGTTGGTTTATTAGCTATTGCACATACTTTAATGCTTAAACTACATCCTGCAATTTCAATAACAATCCTGGGATTTGGTTATACTTTATTTGCAACAGTTTATTGGCCATGTATTAGTATAAGTGTCCCTAGTAATTTATTGGGTACTGCATTAGGAGTCGCTACTTGCATTCAAAACATTGGATTTATTGTAACACCCATTGAAGTAGCATTTTTGCATTCAACATTTAGATCTTATTTTGTTGTTGAGGCATTCTTTTTATTTATTTCTATAATGGCATTAATTATGTGTTATCTTGTTACAGCATTAGATAAAGAACTTTGTGGAAGGCTTGATTTTGCTGCAAATACTAATGTAAATATTTCTAATGATTTGGAACATTTAATTATACAGTCTTCTTACAAAAAGAATAAAATTAAACTTGGAGAATTGATATCATATAAATCAGGAAATAATTTGAATATAAATCGTACATCTATTAATTCACCTCTCAGTACAACAGATGATTCAGATTCTGATCAAAATGTAAAATCATCGGTATTTATAAATGCAAAGACAACATTACAAATTACAGATTATCCAGTAAATATATTAATTAAGGGAAATAGTGACTAGTACTTGATAATAGTTCAAAGTGAATGTAAGAATTAATATAAATATAAAAAAAATATTTTTTTTTTTTCATAAATTTACAGTTGATAATTTTACAATTAAGTCTTAAATTTGAATAATAGGAGAATAACTGAACATTAAAACTACAGGTAATTTTTTTCAATACTAGCATTTAACAAGAAGTGTAGAACTGTCTAAAGTTTCATCTACAGCTTCTTATGTATCTTGTATATATTCTAGTTAAGGAATTTGATTATTTTGACTAAATTCACAGTATACTAATGCTGCTAAAGTCAGGTATAGATATAATATTGAGGAATGTCACATTATTTACCATATCCTTCTACTGAAATTTGAAGTAGTCTTTCAAAGTATTCACATTTAATTAAGTCTTTCTCTGTCATACCTCCTTCTGGGTTTAGATTTTGGTTCCTTAGTGCATTATCCACCCAAATCATGTAATCTCGAATGCTATTCACTGCATCTATGCCTCTCTTCGGCATTCCAGCTAAATTAAAGCCAATAGGTGAATTTAATCTTGGTTTTATCATTTGCTTTTGAAGCCAAGAAAATATCTCTAGTCCCAATTTCTTATAACTTGCTTCTACCTTAGATATAGATAATATCTTAGGAGTATTATCTGATTTCCATACATATAGTGATAATGCAGAAATAGATCTCCTATAACATTGTATCCTTGATATTATATCGTCCTTCTTAGTTATTACTCCAGTATATTCCAAAATATCTTGATTAGAATTTCTGTTTTTGGAAACTGTAATTTTAGAATTAAGAACATTATTATCACTACTTATTGTGTTATTAATTAAAATTAAAACCTTGGTTAACCTAGGTATTATATAATGATTTAACAAGGCTTGACAACAAAATGAAATAGCTCCATCTGAACAATAAGATATTTACTAAGTTTAGACATTTGCTTTTATTTTTTTTCAAATGAATCAATTGTATCTATAATTCCATAAAATAAACCACGAATAGAATCTGGAATACTCCTCAACTCTATTATTGTAATCTGGTTTACAAGCTCTTCAATAGATTGTAGTATAGATTCCTCAAATTTAGCCAAACTATAATCAATTTCATGTTGGTCAACGATATTATCATTAGTTAGCAAATTATTTGATTCGCTTTTATTTATATTAGTCTTATTTAAATCAGATATTTGTTTATGTATCTTTTTACCAATAAACTTCTCTAGAGGCCCATCAGGAAGATTTAATATCTTGGATAAAGTTGTTTGTAGTTGCTGTGATAAAAATTTTCTATCTTTCTGAAATAAATTACTAGATCTAAATACTATATGAAACATATCATTAATTATAGAGGATGTTAGTAATAATGAATCTATAGGAATATTTTTTAAAAAGTAAATTTCAAAGTGCAAAATAGATAGATAAAAGTGATCAAATGATTGCATATAGATAGCTAGATCATAAAAATCTGATATAAGCTGCCTTCTTTTCATTGCAGGAGATGTATGTAATAAAGCAATCATGAGTTCATAATGATTGCTTATTAAATCATTCCAATAAACTTGTGCAATTTTACTTGGTTTTATAACATTAGGATTCCATACATCCATTTTATTTCCTCTATTTTTGCTGATAAATATAGACTCAATTCTTTCTTGCAAATATCTTTGGTTATTATCAATAATTTCACCATTTTCATTATCGTATAGTAAATCTAATAAAATCTGTCCACTTTCTTCACCCAAATTAGTATCAAAGTTATTTTCTTTGAGCTTAAGTTTAACTATATTTGTTGCACATGTTACAAATTCATCATTTGCAAATATAATTGAATCATTGGAGAATTCGTTATCGAAATTATCTACTATTTGCTTAGCTTCTGGAATAAGTTTTGATTTTTTTAGTTTTGCACAAGTTACTGGAATATTTTCATTTCTTTTCGTTGATATTGAATATATTTCAGGTAATTCACATAAATTATATTCTTCTGAGGTTAATAACTGTTGTTCTATAGGTGCCACATGACCATCTAAATTACCTACAGAAACTTCGTCTACATTATTAAACTCCAACCACTTTGCGCTAGTACTTTGTGAAAATTTAGAATATTCTGTATTTGTTTTAGTGTTATTTTCATCTTTCTCTAATAAACTATTTTCCTTTTTTTCAGTACTTTCTTCACAAGATGAATTTAATAGTGCTACAACTTCATTTTTTCTAGATTCAATATATAATCCACCATCTACAAAGAATCTTTCAGTAATCCATAATGGTATTACTTCATTTGATACCACAATTTTTGATATATCACCAAAAAAGTGACTACATACAAGATCATGCCTATGTGAATATACAAGGAAGTCTGATGGTAATAATGCTAATCTAAGATGAGCAAAAAAAGCTTCCATCCATTCTATTAAAAGCAGTTCAGTCAATAATTGACGTTTCACAGACATAAGAAAAGAAACTTTACGATCTCGTAAAGATATCAATTGTTTTAATAAGTTTTTTGATGCCAATTCAATTCTTTCCTGAATTTCATCATAGTTACATCTCACATTATTAATATGATCATTGCGACTTGAGAGATAATCAACTAATTGTTGTTTCCTTTTATATAATTCTAAGTCGCTTTGAGAAGAACCAGAATAAGCCATTCTAATTGCATCAGTCGTAGATATAAGAATATGTTCTGCTGCATCTCCTGAAGAATGTTGCCCTATAAGAATACAATGAGGACATAATGGGATATAACATTCCATACATACAGAGTCTATACGTTCAGTGGAATGATGAGGGCAAAATCCAAATTGATATGGGCTTTGAGATACTGGAACTCTTTGATGTTTTGAAAGTAACCTGGTAGAAGAGTGATGTGCTTCATCACAAGAAGAGCACAAATGGGCTTTATCCGACCCACAATATATAGTTGATAAATTTATTTCACACATCTCGCATAGAGGCTGTGAAATTTCAATTCTTAGTGGTTTAAATTCTATCTCCAATAAAATTGTAGGTAAAATTTGTTCACTGAATTTAACTTGGTAATTTGCTGAAAATGAGTAATTCGGTGATGGAACATAGCATATATTTGGATCCTGCCAAGTTCGGCACATATATCCGGATGGGAATGGGGCTGATGTCTTCGTTAAATCAGAACTATCAACTGTCAAAATAGGGCCTAAAGCTAATGTAAATATTATAAAACGATATAACCCACTTGGATTTGCCTCAAAACCATTTGGTGGGGATAGTGCACCATTTGTAAATACCATTGTATGTGGGTTTACAATAATGACTGATTCATTTAATATACTATCAAATCCTTGATCATGAGACAATTTAGATATATCAAATACACTTTGAATGATATGTCCACCCAAAGTTGATGCATACTTATTAAAGCTTTCACGCTGATCCCTAGTTATCAGTGACCACGCTCTTGTGACATGCAAATCTGGAGTATAGAAAGATAACTGCAATCTATACTCACACCTTGATAGTATAAATGCATCATCTATAAGTTCTGGAAATACTTGAATAGTTCTTTCTTCAGACATTTAATCTTCCTATAATAATCAATACCGTCCGTATAATTTTTAAGATCTAAAGTATTAGCAAGATATCAAGTTCCAATGACTTTTCAAGGATATAACATTTAATTAATGCTAAACTTTTCTAATTATTTAGAAATAATAATAAATACTTGATTTTCTTTTTTTTAAATGTACTTTTAGGCTAATTATATATATATAATTATTTAGATTTATTAAATTACCGCCTAATTTTTTTGGCGGTTTTGTGTTATATTAGCACTTTTTGTTAGTTGAAAGATTGTGTTTAATTACTATTCTTTTAAAGAAACAGACTTTCTTTTCTTTCTTAAAAAAAAAAGATTACTAGAGACAACTTTAACACTTTTTTTGCGTACAAATCTTGGATAAATGGATGAAGAATATGATGTTGTGATCTGTGGAACTGGCTTGACTGAATGTATTTTGAGTGTCTTACTATCTACATCGGGGAAGAAAGTTCTACATATAGATCGTAATAATTATTATGGTGGTGAGTCTGCATCTTTAAATTTAACTACATTATATAATAAATTCCGTCCCGGTATAAAGCCACCTGCTTCATATGGTGCAAATCGTGATTGGAATGTTGACTTAATTCCAAAATTTGTCATGGCTAGTGGAGATTTGGTAAAAATATTATTGAAAACTCATGTAACTCGCTATTTAGAATGGCAGGTTATAGAAGGTACATATGTCTACCAATTTCAAAGAGGAGGCCTCTTATTTGGTCCTAAATTTATCCATAAAGTACCTGCAACAGAGATGGAGGCAATTAAGAGTCCCTTATTAGGATTAATGGAAAAGAACAGTTGTAGATCTTTTTTTTCATTTATATTGAATTGGGAAGATGATGATAAAAGTACCCATATGGGGTTTGATCGTGAGGGAAATACAATGTCTGATATATACAACTATTTTAGATTATCAAATACAACTATTGATTTTATAGGTCATGCTATAGCTTTATATACAACAGATGACTACATAGAAAGACCATTTGGGGAAACATTAGATAAAATTAGGCTATATATGATGAGTATTAGTCGTTATGGTCAATCTCCATTTATATATCCAGTATATGGGCTAGGTGGACTACCTGAAGGTTTTTCACGGTTATGCGCCATACATGGTGGTACATTCATGCTAAATACAGATGTAGAGAAGTTCATATTTGATGAAAGTGGAAAGGTATCTGGAGTATCTACACAACATGGCCAAGCTAAATGTAAAATGGTAATTTGTGATCCTTCATATGTACTGAATTTTGAGAAGCCGAAAGTTCAATGTGTAGGTAAAGTAATTAGGTGTATCTGCATTTTAAATGCACCCATACAAGATACTAACAATGCATCATCTTGTCAAATTATTATACCTCAGAATGAACTCAAGCGTAAGTACGATATATATGTAATGATGATATCATCTACTCATGGTGTTGCTTTAAAAGGCAAATACATTGCAATAATTTCAACAACAATTGAAACAGATAATCCTCTGCTGGAAATTAATCCTGCATTAAAGTTACTAGGTAACACAATAGAGGAACAATTTGTATATATATCAGATATATATGAACCTTTAGAAATGAATCAGTCTAAAAATGAACATTTTGATAATATCTTTGTATCAAGATCATGTGATGCGACTTCACACTTTGAAACATTAACAGAAGATGTTCTATATTTATGGGAAACTATTACTGGAAGTGCTTTGGATCTTACAGATATACCCCCTGATGATATTAATGAAAAGTAAATTGTTAAAGAGTATTATTAATTGTTGAAGTCAATATAGATGACTATATTAACACAGGTAATATTATAAATAAGAATACAGTAGATATATTATCCAATATGAATTATTATAAAAATACTTGAAACTTTATTATGAATTAGTTTAATTAAATTATTTTTATTATTTATATTGGGAATAGCTGTAAATTATAATATATAATAATAAACTAAAAACTAAGATATTACTTTAGAGATAAAGAGGAGTTTTCAATACATTACATTTATTATTCCAAAACAATATTGAATTTTAAAGTCATTCATTTTATTTTTGAATAGATGAATTACTGTTAAATAGGCTACTTTAAGTTTACTAAGTATTTTGAACGTTTTTATTTCAAAACTAGCAATGAAGTTACAATTTAGTTTATTAAAACTTCAATATTAGATTTAATCTAACCAAAAAAGTATTTATTTTTATAATTAACTAGAACAAGATAACTACAGTATTAATAGTTTATATTGAATATGACTTTTGCACTATTACAATAATATTAAATGTAATTTAGTTGAGTACTTTATGACAAAGTGAAATGTAAATAATAAAAATAGAATATGATACAGTATACCTATATAGAGTATTCAATATTTGTTTTTTGAATGTAAAATTACTTAAATATGTAATTGATTATATATTCTAATATTAATTAATTAATAATAAGCTAATTCAGTTAGAAGAGTAAATTGCAATAAATTCAGATTTACTAATTAAAATTAATTAATATAATTTAAATAAGGTTTTATAATATAGCTAATTAAAATAACATATTAAATTTCAAGACAAGATTCTTGGATTAATAGTATTTATTACAGTGACTTTATAAGCTAGATTTCTTAAGATATATTAGAATTTTCAACTTTATAATCAGAATTTATCTAATATAATAAATATACTATATACTTTGTAAACAATATTATATTTTTCAACAAATAGTTGAAAAAATAATATTTTAAAAAATAATTTAGTATTTCTATTTAAATAGTATTTTATCATTTTAAGTCGATATACATCATAAATGGATGTTATTAATAAATTCAATTTTTCTGAGTAGTAATCCAAAAATTCATTTTAGTAATATTGAGATATTTTATATAACCTGAAATAAAAACTTCAAATTTTTATATTACAAAGTGATAGTATATATAAACTAAAAATTATTTCACTATAGAATTTTAATATTCCATTGAAACTAAATTAGTATTAATTAGTATATATCTTTAATAATTATTAATAAAATATAAGTACTGCATGATATTTAGAATAATTTATTATCACTTATTTTAGATAATACTTCTTTCCCAAATAACTAGACCCTACATTATTTTATTAACTAGGTTTTCCATTAATATAAATAATATTCAAAATTACAAAGTAAATGTACTATTATAGTAATATTTCTATATATAAACATTATTTATTATTAATTGACTTATTTATTGTAGATATTTACTAATTTAAGTATTATTAGATTTTGATTTAGAATGATAAGAAAGTAATATATATTAATATGATGATTCTAACCCAGGAAAAAATCAAATTGGAATAATTTCTTTTGCATAAGTAATATTAACAAATTGTTTAAGATTATGTTTTACTTTCTTTTGCCTTGTATTTCCTTAATTTTCTCTTAATTTTATGAGCAATACTTTTAAAATTTTTAGCTGTATTAGAGAATGAAAGGGGAAATCTAGAAATTGTTTGGGATTTTGAGTTTAGTTTTAAAGGTAGAACTGTATTAGAGTTAATCAATTCAGAGCATGTTGATTTTAGCATATTAATTCTTCCATGTAACATATTGCACAATATTCCAGAATTACCCCATCCATTAATAGGAGATGACATAGCAGAAGATGAAGATGATGATGTTGTGAAACCAATAGATGATAAATTCTTAAGTAATGAATCATGTGATATTTTTTCAAGGTCATAGTTACCTGCTTTAGAAAAGTGTACTTCAAATGGAAATTCTTTATTTTCAAAAGTAGGGTCACAAATATAAAGACATGTTTCAACAGATATATTGCAAGAATCTGGATATATATAATGAGACTTCTTTTTTTTATTGATTTCATTTTCCTGAATATCCTCAAAATATTCACTATGAAAATTATCACTTATCTTATTTGTACAGTTATTTAACTTTAAAGTAGTATCTTCATTTTTAATTACTGGATCATATACCGATTTATTTGGTATTGATGTTTCAATATTATCAATAGGTAAATCATCCAGTACTGAAATTGCAGTAGCAAATGAAGATATAGTTTTACATTCAGATTCCACAGATTGAGTCCTTCTTTGAAATTTATCAGTAAAATTATGTCCTCGTGTAAAATATTCAATATCTTTATACTCATCTAGTGATATTTCATTTAAATCTAGGTTTGAATGTACTTCACAAATATTTGCATCTAAAGATTTTGATCTATTATTCTTTATATTTATTCTAAAATTTTCTGTAGGAAAAAGTAGTTCATGAGATTGAAAGTGAGTTATCCTGCAAGATTTAGAAGAATTTGTATAAGTGTGGTCAACAATTTTGCAAGTATTCTCTGAAATAATTGGAGAATCTATTCTTTTACTTACTTCAATATCATTTATATCTTTTAAAGTTGCACTAGGCGATTTTATATTAGATGGTAATTTCTTAATAGAATTTGTTGATGGATATATTAAAGGAGTTTCAGTAAATTTATTTTTAGAATTTTGTTCTGATATTCCTGATATATTACTTTGAAGTGTAATAATCGGATTATATAAAATGTCATCTTTTGTATTGGGTGAACATACTTCTGAATCTAATTTATCTAGTTTCTCTATAGCATCACATTCATCATTAAAAGATTGATTAGTTTTCACTACAAAGTGTACAGTTTTTCCAGAAAATATACTCCATGAATTATCCCATTGTAATATTAGATATCCAGGTATATCAACTAAATAAGAGCCACTTTGTGCTTTTGATGAATCATAGCGTCCAAATGGTACTATTGTTATTTCATGAAAAGCAGACATTGAACCAGATGTCTGTAATCCACCTATATTGAATAAAGGTAAAGATAATTTATTTATATCACTTGTTAAATTGCTAGCATTAGATTTCTTATGATTGCTTCTAGGTGACTTTTTATTAATTCCATTTGATGGAAAAATATGTATTCCTATTGAAGAAATATCTTCTTTAGCACTAATTTTATCTATATTTCCATCCTCAGGATCCATAGTAATTGTATCTAAGTTACTATTTAACTTATTTTGATAATCAACTGTAGAATCATTTATTGGATATAATGAAGTGTGGGGTTGAGATGAATCTTTTAAAGTTTCTTCTTTTTTATCTAAACTTGAAGATGTCATTAAATCTGAATTATTTATTATATGATGTCTCTTTAAATTATCTATACTTTTCTTATTATTAGAATCATGATCAGCTTTTACATGATTATTTATATAATTATCTATATTATGATCATCCTTTTCTTTTTTTTTCCTTTGAGATGATGATGATTTACTTTTATTAGTTTGTTCTATTGTATAAAATTTAACAGAAAAACCTATATCACCATCTAATACACCCCAAGTCCAACAAACTAATGTAAATGGCTTTTTTACTGGGATTACCATTTTCTCTTTTTTCATCCTCTTTATATATAAAGTTTGTCTATCATCTCCCAGACCAAAGCTATCTAATAATAAAGTACCACTATTTGGAACACTCGCATATTCATCAGTGCTAAGACCTCCTAAAAATATTGGAACATTATCAGGTTTAATTATACTAAATAATTTATCTTTATAATCATCATCCAAAACAATAATTTTCTCAACTGTCCTAGCTGCTAGTAGTACTTTGAATGAGTTCCATACTACTGAAAAAAATCTGGGGGCATTAACAAATATAACATATGACATTCCTTCTGGATAATTATCAGATGTTAACTGAATCATTCGTCTTAAAATACTAATCATATGAGATGAATGGACTTGAGATATACTTAATCCATATAAATCCACTATGCAAGTAGCTTTGACAAGATTTTTATTCTCATATGAAAGTTTATCTAACAATATACATCGGTATTCCATATGATAAGCATACCATAATAATAGTTCTTCTACTTTTACAGCACCTAATAATCTTGTTTCATCTAATAGACCAAATCTCTCAATACAAATTATATTTCCAAATAAATCAAATAATGGAGTTTTTTTTGAATCATTTTCTCTTAATAACAAATTACATGGATAATATTTTACTATAATATTATGTAATGGAGCCATTTCAATATTATTATTAGGTACCATATTAGTTATCACATAAGGTCTTACTACCGAATCAAGATTATACTCTTTCCTCCAATTAATATGTTTAGAAAATGCATCTGTAGCATAATCAATTTTAAAGCCATATCCAAGTAAAAAACGGTATAATCTTAATGGACTTAATAAGGCTTCACAACAATTTCTTATTGTTTCTCTAGATATATTTGAGTCATTTTGATAATTATATATAGATTCTATTTCATGTTTGCATATACTATGAAATTTCTTATATAAATCTATATTTAGATCTGATGAAATGTCTGATAACTGAGTTAATATCTTCGGTAGGCTATTCATAGAATTATTACTATACATATGGTTATTACTATTTTCCAAGGTACTATATTGATATAAAAGTGATTCTGAAATACCAGATTCGAAACTATTTATAGTGTCTAATGTAGCTGAACCAGTAATAATCGTTTCAATCCTCTTATTTTGTTTATTATTATCCCCAAGTTTAGGTTTAAATGATGTATTTTTACTGAAATTTATCTGATCTCCGCTGCCTAAAAGATCTATCTCTTTATTATTGTTAGATGGGAGCTTATCAGTTCTTTGTTGATCTACATTATTGGTATCTTCCTTATTCGATGTTGATATATATATTTCTTTAGTATGATTATTATTTACAAAATTGTTTTTTACTCCTTTGTCACACTCAATTTTATCATCATGATCCAATGCCGCAATCATAATCTAATAAAGCTCGATCTTTATGTAGGGTTACGTGCTAAATCTATGTTTATTATTATTATTATACACTTCAATTTTTTTTTTTAAAGTATTGTATAAGCAATTCACTACCTACAAATTTATATCTATTTTTAATAGCAAACTTTACCAAAGACCATCTCTATTAAGTATTTTAGAAGGAAAATTTCCGTCTAATTTTTTATAATCTCAAATTATACAAAGTATTTTCTAAAGTCTTCCACTTTATTATTTATTTAAAAAATATCTTTAGTTTTTCCTCCACAAACTATAAGCCAAAGTATTCAAATTCCTCAATTTACAGTAGATAATGGTTCACCAAAAATAAAATATAAAATAATAATTAAGATTTTTTTTTTATTAATAATATAAATTTTACTTTTAATATTTATTGCACAAATTCTTATTTAGTTTTACTAATTTTTTTATAAATTTTTTAGATTGTCCTTAAGTGCATGGTTTGGTTTAGGCGGGTGATTTCTTTTGAAAGGCGCCATATACTCCAGAAATAGACGGTAAATATGCGCGGTCTAAGATATATTGTAACAATAAACCGTGTGAATAAAAATCCTCTAAATATAGAGGTAACTAAATAAATAAATACAAGTCTTATCTTAATAATAAATTATGAGGATCAAACAAATATTAATAACAGGATATAAAATTAGATTAAAAACTCTATGTACTCTCATTACAATTTAGAATATCTTAAAGGAAATATATATTAATACTTAAAATTATGCATTAAACTTATACTAAAATGATAAATAACTCGAAAATTTTCATATTTGAAAAGCCCTATCAAGCAAATTTATTTTCAAAACCTTTTCATGATTATTGTTTAGAATTTGCATTTCACTAAAGTAATGTTCTGCTTCCCCCGGTTTATTAAGAAAATAACAACATGATATAAGATTGCTCAGTGTATCTACCGATTTCGGGTTTAGCTTATAAGCAATTTTTAACAACTCCAAAGCTTCTGACCAATGTTGTCGTTGCATATGTATTACAGCTGTACTATTTAAGATAATACAAGATTGGTAATCCTTATCTGTATAATTTACATAATTCGTTGAATCTGACTTATTTTTAGTTAGTAATGTAGAATTTCCACCAAAATCTGTCTGTATATTTGCTAATGTTACAAATGCACTGTTATAATCACCTTTTATACATTGTATCCATGCTTCTGCTATCCTTACAACTACTGATTCCTTAAAATCTGACATTGATAGAATTTGTTGTGTTGTATCACTTACATTATCATTATATGTTTCTAGAATTTGATTAAATATATCATGAGCTAAATCATAACGATTCATAAGGCAATATATAAAAACCCTAAGTATTTTCGTTTCTGGAAGAGATTCATTTGTAAGTGATAATGCAGATTGAAAGTCACCATCTATTAAGTACATGTATATCAGATAAGTATCAATGATTGGAGATTTACCAAATCTCTTTAAATATAGTTGTTTCATTTTTGTTAATACTTCATATTTCTCATCTTTTGATACTTCAGGTGAGCAATATATAAAATACAGGCAAGTAGCAGCAATACCAACTTTATCCTGGTTTATAACATCCTCATATAGTGATTTAATATTTTCCATTGTATAATCTTCATTTAACTCAATTTTACTCATAAATTTCATCATCTCTAATATTTCAATAAAATCTAAATCAGTTTTGTTATTTGATTCCAAAATTTGAACTAAATCCAAAACTTTGCTATAATAGCCAGCATCAAAACAATTTTGTATCTGCAAAAATATATACATATATATATAACACGGTTCTATAATATCTATATATAATATTAATTAGTATTTTGTTACTATCATTACTTATAGTATTATAGGAGATCTAAGGTTTGATCTTAAAGTATTCTTTTATGTGTTATTAGCTTAATAGACCAAGCTATTAATATCATATATCTCTATAGTATATTTAAAAAAGATAAAAACATACCTCAATTTGTTCTCCATTAATTGCCATCTTCTTATAGGAGCTATATAAGATAAAAATGTTAATAATAAAAAAGAAAGAAAAGTTAATATCCAAAACCATAAGGGCGCCTTTCCTCTAAAAAAAAAAACAAACCGCCATAAATGTCTTTTAGGTATCGAAATTACTAGTAAGAAATCTTCCATTTAGGAGAATATCTCCAAATTATAAAAAAATAAATAACTTCAATAAATAAGGAAGTTTATTAATATATGTAAGAATGAATGATCTTGAATATCATTCCGATGGAGGTTTTAGTAGTAGGCCTTTCAAAGCCTCTATTAGATCAGTTAAAAAAAGAGCAGATATACAAACATCTATGCGTGAGTTAGCAGAAGACCCATGCAAACCAGCTGGTACAGTTTGGGCTTGTTGTTTTGCTAATGAGATAGACTTTTCATCCATATTACAGGCATGGAAGCAAGGAAATCTATCTAATTTACAAATTAGGATTGAAACAACTTTTAGTGAAGTTATATGTTTAAAGTGGTTACAATCCCTTCGTATTTGCTATATCTTTCGTTTTGGATGTGTTGTTGGTTGGGATCTTACAAGAGCTGAGAGAGTAGCCATAATCAATATTTTGAAATCATTCATTAAACAACCATTACCTACCCAATCAGAAGAATACCAAGATGACGATATGACATATGTATGGGCGGATTCACGAATTATTAGACACGATAATATTCATTTGGTTTCTGATAATATATTAGAGAGATTGGCATATAGCTATGCTATGAGTCAAAGTGTTAAACTTTCTGTGTTTGAAAATGTTGTTGATGGAACAATTGAAAGTACACGTTCTTTACCAGAAAGTCTTGCGAAAAGTGGAACGATTAAACATAACCGTGAAGATATAAGCAAGAGAATTGGTGAATTATTTATAAATCGTTTCTATATTAATTTACAAACTGACATACTTGATACACCTGATATATTTTGGGATTTACAAGAATATGAAACTTACTACTTATGTTGTAGGAATTATCTTGAAATTCCAAAAAGAGTTGAAATTTTAAACCAAAGACTTGATATTATAAAAGATTTGTATGATATGCTAAACAATGAATTATCACTGCAACATGGATATAAGCTGGAATGGATAGTTATATATTTAATATGTGCAGAAATTGTAATAGAAGTTGTATGGAACATCGTAATTAGAGATATATTTCATCTTGTTTAGTTAAATAAAAGGTGACCTTTTTTTTTCAGGTTTAAGATCCCATTTCACTAAGAAATTTAGAATTTTTTTAGAATTAGATATATTACAAAAGAGACTTTCTAAAATATTATATAATTACCTTTTGCTTCATAGCTTGGTAATATACATAATAGTTCCTTTTTTCTTATAGAGTGGAAAGGACACATGTTTATATTAGTACACTAATATTCTTATAGAAATATGATGACACTTTCTAATAGATATACAAAGGAGAAGGAAGAAAAAATGGAATTTTAGATCTATTGTTTTATATTCTAAGGAATTTTGTACTTTATTGAACTATTTGTAATGGCGCCTTAACTGAGTGTAGTCCACACAAAAAATGAGTCCCGCCTAATGTGCAGTTTTATAATTTAAATATATTTAATAAATTGGGGGATATAAAATTTACTATATTTCCCAAATTTAGAGTAATTAACTTGTAATAAGGAGAAAAAAAAAAAAAAAAAAAATTCTTGGCTCACATTTTGTGGGAATATGGAATTAAATGGTCATTATAAGCCTAAGAAGAAGGCAGTAATAGTTGGGATTAACTATATAGGGATTGATGGGATAGGACTTAGAGGATGTGCAAATGATGCTAAGTTAATGGCTTTGACATTAATGGCACATTTTGATTTTTCTCCAAGGAATATTTTATTTTTAACTGATTCTGAACCAGATTCTGGTTACAATATTTGTTTGGATGAAAATTATCAAGATATAAATTTGCATGAAGATTGGCCCAGGGATGAAATACCTCCAGAATTACACCATGATCATCGAATATATCCAAGTAGAAGGAATATATTAACTGCAATTAATTGGTTAACAAGAGATGCACAAGCTGGTGATGTATTATTATTCTATTTTGCAGGTCATGGGGTTCAGGTAGACGTATTAACATCTTATGAGGGGGATGGATATGATGAAGCTTTACTTCCTGCAGATTCAACATTATATTTAGCTGAAAGTGGGTCAGATGTTGATGAATACAATGTTCTATTTTGTAGTGAATTGAAAGAATTATTATTATGTGTACCAGCTGAAACTCAAGTAAACATTATTTTAGATTGTAATGGTGGACAAACTATATTAGATCCTGCAGGAAATATAGATGGTTTGTGGTATATAAAAGGTGTTGTAACTAAAGGTATTTGGCCTTTTTTATCAGCAACAAATAAAGTTAAACGTGCTCAATATAAAAGTTCAGTATTCAAAAATCCACAAATGATTCATAGATTAGTTCGCCCTAGATATGTACCATGTATTCAAGTTGGTAGTACTTATAGATTGAGAGATCCAAGTTTACAATCAACTCAATATATTGCTTTATGTTGTAAAGGTTATTGTTTTTCTGCAGCTCCATGGAGTCAAATAGCTGCTGAAGCATCATTACCTTTATTATCTGTTACAAAAAAAAATTCAATATCTAAATTAACAGTCGTAGAAAATCCAATATCTAAAGGTGGTTCTTATAATATAATTCATGGTGTATTTACATGGTCATTATGTAAAGCTATTAGTGATATTACAACTGGTATATTAAAGCAGGGACGATATTCAAATGAGATAACATTTAAAACAACTATAGCACGTGTAAAGGAATACATAGAATGTTTAAAATCATCAATATTACCATATTTAGATCAACAACCTGAATTAACTGTACATTCTGGTGGAGCTGGAGGTATATCTGAATTTTTTTGTTCTCCCTATGGTGGAAAATTAAATTTAAATAATATTTCTGATTATAATATAGAAAATGAATATTATATATATAATGATAATAATAATAATAATAATAATAATAATAATAATGTAAAACAATCAGACTTAAGATTTCATTTTAGAGAAATCTTATTACAAGATTTTTTAACACCTCAGGAAGCTTATCAACAAATGATGAATTCAATAAAATTTGATGAATTCAATTTTTCAACTGAGAAATTAATTAATAATAATGACCATCATCATCATAATGATGTTATAAATAATAGAAATATACAAGATAATAATCAAAATTCATCTATTATTAGACCAGGATTACATATAAATGATAATTTAACAAATCCTATTGATAATTTAACAAATCCTATTGATAATTTAACAAATCCTATTGATAATTTAACAAATCCTATTGATAAACATAAAAAATTATATCAAAATTATCTTAATAATGCTGAAAATAATGATATATTACCAATAAATAAACAAAATAATATAGATGAAAATAATCATTTGGTTACTTCTAGAGGAATTACAAGTGTAAATTGTGAAGATAGAAATATACCTTCAAATAAGTTATTTGAAACTAATCGCATATATTCTAATCCTCCAAGTTCTTTTAATTCAAATAAAGCGCTACCCCAACAAATTCCATTACCACCAAGTTCTGTTATTTTACCTCCTCCAACAATTCCAATTCATAATCTATTTAGTACACAATCATCTTATCCATCAAATATACAAAATAAGATATTTTATAATTCAGTATTACATACACCAAATACACAAGTCATTCTTCAAAATGTTCATGATAATTCAGATTATTTTAAGAAATCTACATATACAACTCCAACTAATAAAATAGCTTATAATTATAATCCGAATTTTGCACCATTTGAAAATATACAACAACCTATAAATATTAATAATAATCATATTATGAATAATATCCGTATTCCTACTCGACCATTATATCCCAAAACAAATAATATTTTCCCTAAATCTGATCTTGGTATACCTAAAAATCAGACAAGATATGTTACTATACCAAGTGGAGAATTTTTAAATGAATATAATATGGGGATTAGATTCAAAGATATCTATCAAAATTCCGTTAATTCTTATAATTATTTACAAAATCATCATATTGATAGTTCTTATATAAAATATAAACATGATTCTTATTCTTTTCCTGTAGGTGAAAGAAAATCAACATTTGACCTTCAAAACTTAAATTCTGGTATATCTATAGATTCAAGTACATATTACAATAACAACAATATTTCAAATTATAGAATGATGCAACAAACACAGAATTTTCCCCAAATAAATAATTATAATATTAATAGAGAGGGTTATACTCATTTTAATAATATTACTCCTAATAATAAACGACTTTTCAAATATCCATTATTTCCTAGATATTAAGTCCTTTATATATACTAAATATTTTATAAATAAGAAATATTATCTTAATAGGGATTACTATTAATATTAAAGGTTAATCAAAATTTACATTATTATATTTTTAAATACTTAATACTTAATATATTATAATACTTTATTAATCTAATAGAATTCTATACAGATTATATTTCCTTTTATTCTAATCAATGTATAGCCTTTATCACTTTTTTCCTTAATAGTATATTTCTATATATATAAGAATAAAGTAAAAAGTAAAATGTTCATATTTTAAAATTTATGGATATTTCTTAAAATTTATATAATAGTATACTTTAATTACTATTATTGTCACATATTATTATTAATATACTGTCATTTTATTAACCAATATATTTCATTTTTTTCTTTAATTATAATTTCATTTATATCTTAAATATATAATATAAAATTATCTTTACTCGAAAAGAAAGAATCAATATATCTCTTAATATTAAAATATTAAGATTAAATTTTAAAATTATAATTAATATACTAAAATATTATAAATAAATCACCTAAATTAAAAAAAATTTATATATTAAGGTTTATATATATATATACCTTTGAACTTGATTTAGCAATATAAAGTACATTTTTTAAGATGATACATTAAAATGGAAGTATTATTAGTTAATAAACTCAAAAAAAAACTTATAACTATAACTATAATTATTTTTATTATATTATTTAATATTCTATTCTTGAAAATATTTTTATTGTTTTTTTTAGCGCCTAAAAATATGGCGCTAACATATAATTTTACTATTTTTTTTTTAAATAAATAAATAAATTATTAAAATGTCTATTTAACAAATGTTTATGCTTATATAATATAAAAAATGGATCATTTGAAACTTCACAAATTATACAGTGATTTTATACATGATAATCCATTAAAAAGGACTACTCTTCTAGGTAATAATGAAATTTGGACATATATTGATTGTTATCCAAAAATTAATATCAATATTAATACACAGGAAAATATACAACATACTTCAAAAACTATCTCTAAATGTAATAATAATAAAAAACCAGATAATATTGATTGTCTATTAAATAACTTGAATTTATCCCAAGATTCAGTAATAGTTGGGGATTCTATAGTATTCTTACATGGTATAGCTGGAACAGCTGGTGAATTTTTTGGTGTTATGAAAATATTATTATCAAAAGGATATAGAGTACTATCTGTACAATATCCTATATATGATTCAATAGATGAATGGTGTAGGGGTTTTGATTGTTTTTTGGATATATTACAATTAAATTCAATACATCTTTATGGTAATGATCTAGGTGGTTATTTATCTTTACATTTTAAAAATGAATATCCTCAAAGAGTTAAATCATTAATACTTTGTAATACATTTATATCTACAATGAATGTTCCATTGTCAACTATTGCATCTACATTTTTACATTTATGTCCACATTTTATACTAGTAAAACTTATATCTGATATATTTAATAATCCAAGTTTTCATGATTATAATAATTATATTGATTATAAATATATTGGATATTTAATTGAATCATATAATTTTGTTATGGATCAAATTACAAATGTTTCACAAGTTGATTTAGCAGGTAGATTGAGCTTACTATTATCCAATACACCATTATCTAATTTTTCACGATTATTTTTTGATAAATATAAATGTTCTAATTCTTTAAATGATAGTAATACATATATAACAATTATAACAACTTCTGATTCATCATTAGATGAAAATATATATATGGAAACTATAAATTATTTAAAAAGTATATCCAGAGTTGCTCAATTAAAATATGGGGGAGATTTTCCTCATTTATCTAATTTTGAAGATATTGCTATATTTTGTCAAGTACACTTAAGAAATTGTGGTGCAAAAACTTTTCAATTTAATAAAACAAATACTTCATCTAATAAGATATATAAGGAGAGTAATTCACTTAAACAAACTAAACATATACCTAAAGCTTATGAAATGCCATATCCTGGTGTAGTAGCTGTACATGATACTATATGGGATATTTCTAAAGATAACTAACAAAAAAAGGCATCTTAATTTTAGTTTAGTTTTACTAATTTAAGTGATTTTATTATTATTATCATTATTTTTTTTTTTTTTCTTAATATATGATCATTGTTTCTAATATTATATATATAAGAAATAAGCTTGATTATATATTTTTAAAATATAACTAAATTTTAATATTTTATAATTTATTTTACATCATATATAATTAATAATAACCAATAAAATTGCTGTAATATAATAATAAAGTGATACTATATAATATTTTTACATATATCTAATATAATTTATAGAAATTAGAATAAACTAAACTATATTATAAGATATTCATTATAATATGATATAAAATTAAAGTAATTAACTTTTTTTATTTTTATATTTATTTTTATTTCTCTTATTATAATATTTATATTATTCATTAAGATGTAATATTTGACTATTATATAGATATAATTATTTTTTTCTATATAAATTAAATTTATATGATTTTATCTGATATGTAGAACTAATATTAATATATTGTAATAACTTCTAAAAAAAAGTAAAGTTTCATTGATATGTATATATTTAGTGACCTAAATACTATAAGCATATAAATATTGGAATATTACAACGATTTTATTTATTGTAAATATAATATCATTAACCAGAAAATACTTATTTCTTAACTTAAATTCCATTACTTCTCTTGTTATTCCTTTTTTATAGGTAATAAAAATAATAATAAAAAGAAAAAAAAAAATTTTTTTTGCATGCAAAATTTTGCATGTAAGAGCGCTAAATATATATGTTATATATTTATTAGACTCTAAATGTATTAATATTAGAACTTTGAATAAGATTAGATATTGCAATATTTATAGGTAATATTAAAGATATTATACATATAATTATAGTAATCTTCAGAATAAATTTATATAATTTCATTGAAAATGATGAAAGCCACATATTAGAAATTTGATTATATTGTTCATCAGATGCAAAACCAAATCTTGGTGAAAGTGGAAATGGATCTTCATTATACTCATTAAATAATATAAATAATTGATAATCTTCTCTAAATTCATGATCTTTATCATTAAATCTTTTGTTTACATTATTTTGTATATTAAGATATTTAATAATATTATAAATAATTTTCATTGGAGAAATTCCTTGAATATATTTAATAAAATCCCATATTAAATATATATTAAATAAATTATTTAAAATGCCTTCATTTTGATTTTGTTTTTTATTAGATAATTGACTTGAATATATAGTAGTATAATTGTAGTGATTTGAAAGAAATACTTTAGTTAGATTATTATTAGAAATTTGTTGATAATTTTGATATTGAATTTCATGATAATTATTAATTATATTTTCTTGATATAATCTGATACTTTGAGATTTATTTCTATAATCTATTAAATTAAATATATTATATATATATCTTCTATATAACCAATCTAAAGTAAAATTAACAAGAACAATAGCTGCAATAATACGACTAGTAACTTCTTGTTGTGATTGAATATTTGAAATATATTCATCACTCAACTTTTTGTTTTTATAATTAGTTAATTTTTGTTCTTTTTCATCTTCTTCAGAATGTATGTCTTCTTTTTCTTGATTATTTTTTGTAGAATTAAAAATATCTTCATTAATAGAAGATATAAAACTATTTTTTATATGATCATCATTTATTGAATTATTTTGAATAAATGGAGCAAATACATCTCTTATTGTATCTAATAATGTAGGTATATATTTTGGATTTGAAGGGATTGGAGGTAAAACTTCATTCATATTTTTAGATCCTTTAAATAAGAGATATCTTAACATTCTATATGCTTTTCCTTTATTAGATTTCATTCCAATACCCTTATGCATAAATAATATATATTGAAGTAATGATTTAGGATCTCGATTATTTACTCCTATAATTAAATACTCTAAAGCTTTTGTTTCATTATTACTTGCACCAAGTGAACCTTCTAAATGATATCTAACAATATCATAAGTTGAAGTAATATCACCTTGAATAGATGCTCGTACTGCATAATAATAACCACACCATAAACATATATTATATTGTTTTTTTATATCTTCATTAGAATTAGAATAATTATAAATATTAAAATATTTAAATATAAAATTTGGTAATTTAGATAATAATGGAAATTTCAATAATAATTTAATAATATATTGACCTATTTTTAAGCATAATAACCAAAAATTTCTAGGAGAAAGATCTTCACTACCATTATATGGACCTAACCAAATATTATACAAATTTCCATAATTAATCCTTTTAGGAGTAGAGAATTTTGTTTGTAATTCATATTTATAGTTATCTTTTATATGATCTTGAATATAACTTGTAAATATTTGATTATTTAATGTAAAATTATTATAATATGATGAATAATAAGATTCTGGACGAGTCCAACAATTTAAAAAATCTGCTGATATAGATTGATTTAAATGATCTTTTTTATATGTATAAATTATATCCAATTTAGCTCTTTGATCAATAGATAATTGATCAAGAGGATCAAAAAATAGATAATATTTAGATTCTATTATTGGATAATTATATTCAAGAGATTTTGATTGGAATTCTAATGTCATTAAAGATAAATCTATAATACATTGATCCAAATATCCTATTAATTTTCTCCATAATAAATTTGGATAATTTAAACAATGAGAACTTGTTGAAATTATATTAATTTTATTTAAATTATCTCTTAATAAATTTCTTGATATATTATTAAATTTTATATTTATTTGGTTATCTAATATATTTTCCAAATTTGTATTAATAATTTTACAATATTTTTTAAAGTATTCTGATATAATATAATATAAACTAATATTTTCAAAAACGGTAACTTTATTTGTTTTAATATATTTCATTATCTTATTATTTCTTAATTTATTATTTATCTTCTTATATGCTAAGATTTTCCATAAATCATGTGAATTAACATGACCTTCTAAAATTCCCATTTCACTTAATGTCATTTCACGTAATAATGATCCCACAATATCACCAGAATTATATGATTTCTTACTTAATGCATGTAATAATTTAACAATAGGATTTCTTCTTACTACTTGAAATAAAAATTCTGTTGCTACAATACATCTACTTTCTTCAGTTTTTAAAGACTTATCAGAACCTTTTAAAGTTAATATAGCAGAATTAAACAAAGCAACAGTTCTTCCATTTTTTGCAGACATCTTATAATATTTTAAAGCCATTGTTTCATTAATACCACCAGGTGGAATTACATCCATTTTACCACCAGCATAAGCATGTGCTAAAATTAATTGAGCATTACCATCCCCATTATCAGCTGCAGTTTTTAAATATTCACCGGCAACAGTCATATTCTTATTATTATTTATACCAAGTTTATATATATAATAATTTGCTAATGCTGAAGCTGGCATTTCACCATATCTTGCAACTTGTCTTAAATAAGGTCCTGCATCTTCTTCTCTTCCTAATGTTCCATCAAGATGAAGAAATGCTCTAGCTAAAGCTCCCTGTGGATCACCTCGTCTTGCTGCTTCATCCCATAATTCTGCTGCACGATTTATATCTCTAGCTATTCCACCTGCAGTATGACCATAATAATATAATTCACCTAAAGAAGTTAAACCTTCAGGATCTCTTTCAGCTGCAAGACTTCTTACAAATTGTGCATAATGACGTGTATCATGTTCTGGAATTTTACTAGGACGTACTAAATATCCCATATTATCTAAAAATGTCCCAGCTAAATCTCCTAAAGTTTGACTTGCTACTTGTAATAAAGGTTCTAAAGATAATAAACAACGTGTTGAAGAATCAGAATTACCAACATTAGATGTTATATTTTTTGGACTTCTATGTAAACTAAAACCTGATGATAAAGGTATCTTATCATAATTATATGAAATCCCTGTTAAATCATATCTTAAATAATAAGAAGATGCAATCTGTCCTATAATATCATTATTCTTTGAAGCTAAAGCATAATTTATATATACCATATCATAACCACCCCTTTCAATTGGAAATCTAAATTCAGATTTATCCAAAAAAAGTGTACTATATTTATATGGATTTTGAAGCATCAAATATATATTTTGATATATCTTATCAGTCTCTTTTATATTAATCTCCCTATCCTTATCCTTATTCAATCTTCTAAATATATTATTATCATTAATAGATCCAAGCCATCCATGTACTTGACTTACTATTGGAGGATATCCCCAAGCAGATAAAAGACCTATTAATGTATAACAAAACCCACAACGATATTTTGTTGTCCCTTTAATAGCATAACGTATAGCTATATCCATATTTCTAGGCCAACCATAAGGAAATTCATTTTTTCCTTTATTATTCGGAATTCCATAAAACCATAAAAATGTTAACATTCCATAAGCATCTGATATATTTGATTTATTATTTGATCTAGAAATTACATTTACCAAATCATTATGAATTTCTAAAAAATCTATTATTTTGTTACTTCCAGGTTCTAATAAATTATAAAGAATATTTATTACATTATTAGATTGAAATTCATTATATGTTATATTACTTAATATTGAGTCATTTGATCTTAATATATTTACATTTATATTTGAAGAATTCGTATTATTTTTTTTTATATTAGAAAATAAATTTATTTTCTCATTTTCTATTTCTTTCGATATATTTGAATTATTAATAAGATATGAATCTTTTATAGTATTATTATCTTCTAATATGAATGATATATTATCTCCATCATTTATTTCTATATCTCTAATATCTTTATTATTTAAACTTTTATTTAAATATTTCTTATCTTCTAAATTCCAATCTTTTTTAGATTCTATTTCTTTATTTGTAGTTAATCTACCATTATCTTTAATTATATTAGTATTATTTGATCCTAGCTCTTTACTTAATATAGAACTATTATTTAAATTATCTTCTATTATTTCACTTAAACCAATGGATAATAATGTAATAAATAGGAATAATAATAAAAAATAAGAGATATTTGTATTATAAAACTTTCTATTTGTAAATCTTCGATTCATTTACTAGTACCTTGTAATTAAATCTTTCCCAAATATAAAAAGTTTAAATAAGAATTATATTAATTATTCTTATAGATAAAGAGGATTTAATACTATTTTGAAAAATTTCTTGTCAAATTCCTCTAAACGGTAATTTTTAAAGAATGTCCAGAGACCCTAATAAGCGGGCAAATTATATTATTACCACCCCCACTTTTTTTTCTTTCCTTTTTTCTTCTCAAGATCCCTCCTAATATTTAATATTAAACCTAAATAATGTAAATTTTTAATTTTCTTATTTATCTATTTATTTATTTACAATAATATTTTATGTTACTATTATCTTTCTTCCTTCAATAAATAAATATTTATTTTATATATTCTATTGTTTATATTATTATATATCTAATAATAAATAATATAGTAATCTTAGGATTTTTAATAAATATATTAGGATATTTTGTGGATACACTTATAATTAACTAGATTTTAAAAATTTTAATGAATATATTGTCGTAATTATAATATATGATATTTTAGATCACTAGAATAAAAATTTAATTTTTATTATTTATTGATATCATGAAATAAGAACTTTATATAATAAGATATTTATTATCTACATTTTTAAAACTATCTATTAATACTAATATATCTTAAATAATAATGATACATACTATAATAATTTTATAAAATAATATTAAGGAATAAGTATTACGATTATTTAAGAAAAGAAAAAAAAAACATGCAAATTTTGCCGCCCATTTAAAGGTGTGAAATTTTTTATACTAATACATTTTTATAATATTTATTACATATATATTATGTATAAATAATAAAAAGAAAATGATTAATAATAATATGGTTAGTATTTGTAACATTATTAAATCTTTTTATTAACTAAATAATAAAATAAAATATGAATCTTATTCTTTATATATCTAATGTAGCTATATTTTGTATCTGGTATGTCTATATATTTTTAATTGTAAATTTATATTCCAATACATATATAATATTTTATAAAATGGACAATGGATAAATTCCCACTTTTAGGAAATAAAAATAAAGTTAAGGAATTAATTGATATTATTGGGAATTACTACACTATTAAAATTATTGATATAGATTGTAAGTTTTATCACATACTTATTTTTTTATATTATTAAATATAATAATTGAAAAATATTCTTTATTATTTAGTACCTGAGTATCAGGGAGAACGACACTTTATTACATTAAATAAATGTAAAGATGCATATAATAAATTAAAATGTCCTATTATAGTTGAGGATACTTCTTTATGTTTTAATGCATATAATGGTTTACCTGGTCCATACATGTATGTTAATTATTATATTTTCTATTTCAATAAAATTTTTTATTTTCCTTTTTCTAATATTAATTATTATTAGCAAATGGTTTTTAAAAGCTATTGGTAATATAGGTTTAGTTAATATGTTGAAACCTTATAATGATAAGAGTGCATATGCAGTTACTCAGATTGCTTATTTTGATGGTAATAATATGGATGAGCCAATTTTATTTGAAGGAATTGTAGAAGGTGAAATAGTTACTCCAAGGGGTAATACTACTTTTGGATGGGATTGTATATTTCAACCAACAGGATATAATTTGTAAGTTTTGAAAATAAATAATGGAAATAAACATAATTTAGTAATAATAGTAATAATGAAAATATATTGAATTTTTTTTTTATACCTTATTAAATTTTATTTATTATTATTAGAACATATAGTGAAATGGAACCTAAATTAAAGAATTCTATTTCTCAAAGATTTAAATGTTTAGAGAAATTAAAGGTAAGTAGATAGATTTAATTAATTATATTTCTAATAATATATAGAATATAAAAATTTGAAATAAAATAAAAAAATAACTTTTTATTATTTTAGGAATATTTGGAAAAAGGTTACCCCTAAAATAGTTTGGCTAGAGTTGCCCGCCTTATATGGTTTATTAAATATTTTCAGTATTAACTACAGATTAAATATTTTTTTGTACTTTTCTTTTTTTTTGGCTAATATATTATATTAAAATAGAATGTTAAATAACTTTTTAGAATGTACAGTTTTAAGGGATTGATTATTGTTATTTTTTATTTATTATTTAGGGAAATTATTACTGAATATAATAATGACAATCACTTTAGTTGGTTATATGGTATATTATTTTATAATATAAATTCTTCTAATTCTGAAAAGATAAAAAGAAACTATATGGAGACAATTTATAACCCTAAATTGATTAATAAAGATAATATAATTAAACAATTCAGTTATAACGATATAAATAATAATCTAAATATGTTATCTAGGAAATATTCAGATATAATGAAATTATATAGTAAGAAAAGTTCAGATAAATTACTTTGTGGAAATGAGACTTGTATATTTAATACAGTACAATTAACAGATTTTTCAATATTAAGAAATGATACTCCAGAGATTTTAATTCATTCTGGATTACATGGTGATGAAAGGTTATCTGTAACAATATCTATGGAATTAATTGAATCATTATGTTTAGCTTATAAAAGAGGTGATTTATTAATAACCTATTTATTAAAGAATAGAAGTATATGGATTATACCAATGGCAAATTCTTGGGGATATTATTATAATTTTAGATTAGAGATAGATATTGATCCTAATAGAGATTTTCCATATAATGTAGATCGAGATATTTCTTGTCTTAGAGGAGAAATAACAAGATATATATATGATCTATATAATGAACATTTATTTCAATTAGGAATTGCAATTCATAGTGGTTTAAAGAGTATTTCATATGGTTGGGGATCTTATAAACATTCTATTTTAAAGATGGGTAAATGGAAAGCAAAAGAAAGTCCTGATAATAAAGCTTTTATGAAAATTGCTAATGCTTTACAAATTTCATCTAGTTATATGTTAGGTTCTTATCCTAATAATATTTTTAGAACATTTGAATTTTTTTATAAAGAAATTGGTGCTTTAACTGATATTGTATATCCAGTTCATGGTGGATTTGAAGATTGGTCATATGGATATAGTTGGGATACAGATAAAGAATCTGTAAATTGTAGTAAATATTTTAAATATCCAATAAATTTATATTCTGGACGTTGTTTAACATTTTTACTTGAAACAGATATGAATAAAGATCCAAAACCAATATATTATGGATTAAAATCTGATATTATTAGCTCTGAACCATTAGAATCTTTAAGATTTCAACCAGCTCTGATTCCAAGAAATGTAAGGTTAATTTTAAGATTTATCGAATTAGCTAAGCCAGATATATTATTTCTTTCTAGATCTCCTAAGACTGTTTATCCAGGACAATCTTTTCCACTCTGTATAGCTTTAATTGGATGTTTAACTTATAATAATCTCAAAATAAAATTAATAAATTTAGGAGATAAGAAAGAACCAGATATAATTTTATATGAAAAAAGTGATATAAATAATAAATGTACGAAATTACCTCTTAATAAAGATATTAAAGATTTTAGTAAAATTTATTGTAGTGAGACTTTTGAGAAAGGGTTAAATGAAGATATTAATCATAATAATTTTAGATTTACAAAATTTGGTAATATTATTAATAAAACCCTTAAGAAAATAGGTTTTAATGGAAATATTGTTAATTATAAAAGTGAAGATAATTCATTTTCCCCAATAATAATAAATTTAACTATTCCTAATAATATAATAGATTCAAGTATACAATTTAAAGATTTTAGATTTGTTATTGAAGCTGAATTCGATAGAGATTTTGATGAACAAGAAAATCCTGATCCTTTTTTACCTCCACAAAGTCATATTGTTAATGCTAGAAGGAATGAAACTTATAATGCTCAAAATGGAAAATTTTATATTTTAGGTAATAGGATATTTCAAAGACCTTTTAAAAATACTAAGGATAATAATAAAATTATTGGATTACCAATAAATATTCAAAAATCTCCTGAATTAATGAGATTAGTATTTAATGATTGTAAAACTGGAATTAAAATAAAACCTAAATTTTGGGAAGAACCATGTAAAGTTTTGAATTCAATTATTGAATATTATATAAGAACTAATCCTTTTAAATTATATCAAATTGATTCTTCAATATATAATTCTAATATTTCTAAAGTTGTTGAATCTCTTAATAAAGCTTATAATAGTAGATTAAGTGCAACTATAAGAATTTCAGCTATAGATCCTAAACCATATCCATTTCATTTTATAGATTTTAATGAAATTCAAGATTATTTAGATCAAAATAATTCAGAAGATATTGGTATCAAATTTAATCCATTATATTATGATGAATATTTATCTAAATCATATTCAATTTTCCAAAATTTTACTATGGATATTTTTATAAAAAGTACTGATGAAATATTTTCAGATGGTATTTATGTATTATATTCCTTAAATAATATTTCTAAAGCATTTATATTACCTTTAGATAATTCAGATATGAAATATTCAACTAATAAAACAAATATTGATTATTCTTCTACAATTGGTATATTTTCTATATCTCAAAAAGATATTGAGACAAAACAATCATTAATTTATATGTCACATGATTCTATAATTAATATATTACTTAATAATAATAGTGTTGAGGATAAATCTTATATTAATAAAAATATTTCTACATATAATAATGTCAACAATAATCAAAAAATAATAAAATATTCAGAATATTATGTATTATGTAGATATATAGATAATATTTTAGTTTCAGTTTCAATTGGAAGAGTAGAATTTGATAATAATTTGAAACATCAAATTATTAATATGGAAAAATCTATAAATACAGATCTTATTAATTCTAATCTTATATATATTGGTGGAGATATAAATTATGATCATTTAAATATAAATCAATATACAGATAGTTGGGTATATCTTAATAGTATTTCAAGATATTTTATTTTATCTACAATATTACTATTGATATTATTTCCTATAATTAGTAGATTTTATAAATGGTACCGAGGTTACACGTTTATACCTTCAAAAACTTTTAAGCCTTTGTGGCGCCACATATTATACCGCTTAAATACAAAGACAAAAGTGTGTGTTATTGATATTTCTCCTGATGTTTCTTCAAATATACATAAATCTACAATTTATACTTTAGAAAACAAATATGGGGATTCTGATAATGAATTTGAAAGCCTATATGACAGATTAAATATAGAAGAAACTAGTAAAAAAAGAAGATTAGTAACATCTTCAAGTAGTAATATTGGGACTAATTTAGATTTTAATAATAACAATATTTCTAATAGGATATTCCCAAATTCTACTATTATGGCACCAGATATTATAGATTATTCATATTCAATACAGTCAACAAGACCTTCAAGTCAATTAGTAAGCCCTGATAATATTGAAGAACAATCTATTGGAAGTAACTTTGAAGATGAATGTATTTCCTTAGAAATGGAGAATTATAGTAAAAATATTAAAGACTAATATACATATCATATAATATTTATATTTATTTTTATTTATTTTAATAAATATTATTATTTTTCTTAGATACTTGTATTAGAGAATATATATACAAGTTAGTCTAATAAATGAATAATTTGATACCTATCTAAGATTCTCATTGCTATTTCACAAGGAGATATTATATCATTATCTAATATCTTAATATTAGCATAAATTTTTCTTAATTTCCTTATTGATAATTTTGAGAGATTACAAAAAATTTGTTTATTTTTTGTATCATTTCTTAATTGATCATATAAGGATTTTGTTCCTAATATATGATCATTACAACTAAGAATACCCCAAAGAGCTCGTATATTATTTTCATCTATATTTAATGCTAGTGAAAAATATTTTCTACTTAATAAAGGATCATTTATACCAATATATAATTCAGCAATTGTATTAATTATAGGTACATTTTGAGGATCATGTAATAATACCTCTTGTAAGCAATATAATGCTCTTCGTAAATCTTTTCCTTCATTTAATGCAATAAAAGCAGCATCTTTCCATGCTTCAGAATCTGTAATATATTCAGATAGATGATCCTGAATTAATGAATTAACTTTTTGAATTTGTCCTTTTGCTTTAAAAATTGATATAATACGTTTCCTAATTGTTAAGTCCTCTGGATCTTGACATAATATATTTTTATAAATATTCATTGCCTCTTGATATTTACCTTGACTTTCAAGTTGCATTGCAATTAATTTTTCGAATCTACTAGTATGATAAAATTTTTTTTTTAATTCTTCTAAGCAATAATGTTGCCATTTAAGTACTTTTGATGGAGTATTTATGTTATAATTTGCTAGTTCAAAAGATGCTAAAGCAACCCCTTCAATTATATTCCATATTTCAAAGTTAAGCTTTGATTTATATTTTAATATAAGTGTTGTTCCAAATAGCATAACTAGTTCATTTTGTCCAAGTTTAATAGATTCATTAAAACCACGTAATAAATCACAAAGATTCATATCAGATATCTCAGAAATATCCAAATTACTTGATATACACTGAATAGATTTCTGAAACATATCTCTGTTAAATTTTTTTAATTTCCGTATAAATTAGATCACGATTTTAAATATTTACCCAATTACTGTTAGTCTAGAATTATTAAATATAATTTGGCGGGTAATTACGTTACCGGTAGAATTAGATTAGGATATAATTATCGTATAAAAGTGTTAAAATTTTACTTTTTTTAAAACTTTACAAAGATAATGTTTATTAATAGATAAGGAAATAGAATTCTTTATGAATATATATGATTAAGGTTATTCAAACTTATATGATAGGGAGGATCATTTATGTTTTATCTCTATTATTAACTAATCTCATCTTAGCGTCATCTTCTAATGTTACAAAGTCTTATGGTAATATTTCTGAGGAAATAGATAGTTTAAGGAGATTTTGGGATTTTGCTGGAATTGACTATACAACCTTTGAGGCTCCAACAACTGATAAAATATTAGATAAAATAAAGAAGATAAGTAACCAAGAAGATAAAATAGATAGTTTATATAGTATACAATCACCAGACCAATCTAGTTCATTAAAAATGGAAGTTTTTCTTGATAAGGATCAATTAATACATGAGATATATCCTGAACAAAAGAAAATCAATGACTCTAGGATATTAAATAATAAGAATATAAAAGATGATTTTTCTGATGATAATAGGAATAATATAGTAGGTGAAATTAGAAAAAAGTTTACACCTAAAGACAAGAAATTGGAATATTTATCATCAACTCCTGATATACCAATAAAAGAGTTGAAGTTAATATCAGATTCTGCATTATGGGATAGAACTTCAGATAAATTTCCATCTATTTTGCAGCAATGTATAGAAGTAGATTTAGACTATAGTTTAAAAAATAAAGAAATTTTAGGATTACTTGTGATTGATTCAAAATATCTATGTAGATTGGCATATCAATGGGTAAGAAAATTACCAATTTATTTTGAAAGAATGAAACATATTAATGAGATAAAGAGAAATAATAGAAAAAGTGATAAAACTTATTTTTTAAGAAAATGGTTTGATATATTAAAAGAATCAAAAGTAATTAAAGTATATACTGATAAATTTAAAAGTAATATTAAGCTTATAAGGTATTTAGATTCATATAGAGATTCATTATCTAACTATAGTGGAGATATAGATATTGGAAGTTATATATATGCTTATAATATAGTCTTATGTCAAATATTTTCAGAATTATCTTATTATATTTCATTATTTGCATTATTTCCTATGTTTATAGAGCATAAGAAGATTAAAGTACTTGGTAATCCTTTAATAGACAATTTAGATAATATGAATGATAATATTGAAAATTCTAAAACATCAATTTCAATACGATTAAAAGAGAAGATTTTTAAGACAATTTCTACATGTGGCTCAGTTATTGTTAATTTAACATCATATGGTATTTCAAATGCTCCAAATGATATAGTTGCTTTATATAATCAGTTAAAACAGATTGTAGCAACACTTATTAATATTTCAGAACTTGAAACTGAAGATGATAAAGGTGAATTATTGAGTATTACTACTGATAAAGTACCTTTTAATGAGAATTATGAACAATATTTTGTATCTAATACAATTGGATTTAGTACTAACAAGATTTCTGGAGTCTTTAACTCTATTAATAGGACAAAAGAAACTTTATATGGTTCTAATTCAAGTTTTACTAATAAATTGGAAGATAGTGATAAATATTCACTAGATAGAAAGAAGATAAATGATATGGTAATTAAAATTGAAAATAATGATCCATTATTTAATATTACCTGTCCTTTAATACAACAAAAACTTCCTAAAGGTATTAAAGTTACAAGATATAGGCCAGATGGATTACCTAGCATAATTATTTATAAAAATCAAGTGATTCATGAAATTAGTACTATTCAATTTAAAGGTGACAAATTAGAAATGAATTTTAAAGATATGGCTTCATCATTAACTCAGAAAGTTACTAATTGGTTTTCAAATATAATAGATAATGATCAAATAGTAATAAAGTATCTGCAACATTTTAATAAAATAAATATAGAATTTCAGATAGGACTTATTTGTGTTTATACTATAGAACAAAATTTAGGATCTGAATCATCTCTTGGAGATATTTATGGGTCATTAGTCTTATTTGGTCGTTTACCTGATTTTCAAACAAAAGTAAGAGACTGGTCAATAATATCTCAGATTGGTAATTTCTCAAGTGATACTAAAGATGTTGCCTCATATATAAATATTTTGAATCCCTTCTTATTGGATGGAACAAATTCCATGTGTCCATTACAACGACGTTTTCTATTGCTAGATGAATTGAAATATTCTGAAAAAGTTTCTATTAATAAAGTCAATTCAGTGAATAGCAATAAATCTATACTTGTAGATTGTCTAAATTATGTACCTAAAGATACCAAGGTTGCTTTTATTCCTGCAAATAGAGATAATATAGATTCCTATAGAAGTTCCGCAATAGCTACATGCATTGGCCCAAATTTTACTCTTAAATATAATTAACTTTTACAATACCTAATTTAACCAATGAAAATAAGTAATAAAGGGGATACTAAAAGCGGATCTTTTTACTTATATATATATATATATAACTAAAATATAAGAATTTACATAATTATTTAATTTCAAGCTTTTAGATCATTTTTACAGAAGTATATAAAATACTCATAATTTCGAGAAGATATTTTGTCATTAGCCTGTCTTTATTAATATATAATGTATTATCATTTTCTGTTATATAATGCAGAAAATAATCAATAAATTGGTCTTCATCTACTTTATTATCTATCATATATTTTAGTATATAGTTTATAACTATTTTAATTGTAACTTGACCATTATAAAGATATTTGAGTATATCTTCGTAGTATGGTGTATCAACAAAAATTTTTACAATAATATCACTAGGGATATATTTTTCCTTATTATCCTTTATAAATTTCGTTCCTTCCATGTTTACTTTTAATAGGAGATGTCTAAAAAGTTTTATTCTTTTATAACTTGAATATGACTTTATTATATGAAAAAAACTAGATCTATTTAGAAATTCATATGCATTTATAATGGTTGAATCTACACACGTAGTGGCAAGATGCTTAACAATTTTTGATAAATTCAATATTTCCCATTGAACATTTAGGGGTAATCTTAACAATAATCTATGAACTGGCAAATATTTAGTCTCATCAGGAATATCCAATCGATCAAAATTAAGTGTAATATTAGAATTGAATGAATTATTATCTTTTAATAAATATATTAAATTATCCACTAACAAGTTATTTATATCTTTATATTCTGAATATGAATCTAGAAATAATAGTATTGAGCATAAAACTGAAATATTACTAATTTCAGATATATCATTGTAATTAATTTTACCTTCACTCAAATTTAGTAGTGATATCAAAAGCTGCAAATCATATAGTATGTATAGTTGATCATTACAACAAGTAGAAATTGAGATAAAATTAGATGTATTTATTGACTCATTTAATAATAAATGAATAATTAGACTTACAATATGATCTGATGGTAATAACTGCTCTACTTTACTGCTACCATTGATAGAGTTAATAAATGACTCTAGAATTATATATATGCATTCATATATAACCTTTTCGAATAGATTTATCCAATTAGAGCATTTATAAAAACATTTATTAGTATTACTAGTGATTTTATTATTGTATAAATAAATATTTGAACTTGTTTCTATTTGTTTATACTCACTTGTACATATAAAAAGTAATATTAGACGTGTAAATAATAATGATAAATTCATTTCTTTTGATTCACTTCCATCAATAAAAGGTAAATATTCACACTCTTTATATAGGAGAAATATTTGTTCATAATTAGATTTATTTTTATTACTAATTTGGTATTTATAATATAATTCCTTTGATGCATAATCCCAAATTATTTTAAAATGTTTTGAGGGCCATACTAAATTAAAATCGTTCAGATTAGTATTATCATTAAGATTTAGCTTAGAACTTTTATTGTTATAAGTTAATATATATATGTATTTCCAAAATATCAAATTAGTATGATAGCCAGTTAAATTATTATTTACAATGCACTTAGCTGATTTAAGTGATAAGAAAAAATTTCTATCTTCAGTTTTTTGAATATATTGGAAATTACTATTTTGGTCTTCAAAACTTTTATTTCTCACAAAATCTTCAGTATTTATTTTTATTCTTGACCCATTTGTTGTACTTTCTATATATTTACCTGTTTTCTGTGTGCAAAAACTACTTGTATTACTTCTTTCTGCTGTATTATAATTGATGTTACCTTCTAATTTACCAATATTCTTCTGCTCACTTGATATTAAATATAATGCAAAATGTATAACATTAATACTATTTTTCGATTTATCCATACATAACTGAACCAAATCTTTCGTTATTTTGGCAATTTTATTTGATATATCCTGCATACTATTTATATCAGATCCATTGAGTGTCTTATTCGAGGAATATTCTTCATTAGATAAAAATTGATATCCAATATTTAGTACAAAATAAATCCAAAGTTTTACTGATTGTCCTAAACTTAGTACCATATCTCCATTATCTAAAGATTTATATTTAGTTTCTTTATTTCTTGCACTAAAATTTCTATTATCACTCTTCATAGAATCTGTATCTACAAGAAAGTCAGTAGAATTCAATATCTGTTTTATACGTTCAGATAATATAATGAAAACTGACCATAAGTCTCCAATAGAGAATAAGCATTTGATAGATTGAACTATTAGCTGTTTAGATATCAAATACTCAGACCATTTCTTGTAAATATTAACAGATATTGGATGATCCAATCCATAATATAACCCAGATATATACAGAGCATCCAAATAAAATTCATAACTTAAATACATTTCGATAGACTTGTTAGCATTTCCATTAAGTACAGATAAGATACAGTATTCATGAATATTTAATAAACTGTCATTTGGATAATTTAGGGTAAAACATTTTCGTAGTGAATCTCCTTTATTAATATACTCCAAATTTTGTTTTTGTATTACTTCAATATTTCCAATTAAATTGTTTATTATATGGCTCATGATGATAGAACTTAAACCTTTATTTGATATCAATGAATTAACTAAATGCAAAAATAAAGGAGATATAGGAAAATCTTGTGATGATGTATCCTGACATTTATTCTTACCATCTTTAAAAGATTCATTTTTATTATGTATATTTAGTGACTTTCTATTTGTTATATTGTATAATACTGAAGTATTTGCACTCAAAATATTAAGTAATTGAGTTGTATGCTCTATTGTAGATCTAGGAGAATATTTTATTGGCATTAATTTGAAATATTTTGGGATTCTTCTTATTTGATAAAAATCTTTGTGAATATCTTGTATTTTTTCACCTAAACAATGTAGAAACAAAATATCACTTGAGAATTTTTCAGAATACTCAAATAATATAATATCCATAATTGAAATTGGTAATTTTAAAGTTGAATTATCTATATATGAAAAATTTGTACATAAAGTGCAATTTGAGGATAATAAGCTTTGATTATCAGTTGAAATAGAAGGTATTTCTAAGGATAATAAATTTGAAATATTTGGTAGTTCCTGGCTTTGTATAAATTCATTGAAGAAGAAGTCTAATAATTGATTTCTGTCTATTTCATTCATTACTTCAGTTTTAGCTGCCCAAAGATAAATTAGACTTGAAAATGATTCAATCAAACTTTGTTGGTATATTGTAGCAGAAGCAAGATATATCAAAGACTTGCAACCATCTAACCAAGCTTTCCTATTAAAGGATGAAATTGAGTTATTCAACAAATCTGTGAAAAACTCAATGCTAGACTTAATATTATTTATATTTGAATTATCAATTGAAGAACAAGTTTCATCCAGAAATGTACCTTTTTTGAAATTTGATTCCACTATACTCAGATCTCTTAATATATTTTGAATATATGCACTATTATTTTGTAAATCTTCATTAATAAGTTTTCTATTTTTATTATCTTTCTTTGCTAATTTTTTTTCAGTACTCTCTATACATTTATGAAAATCTACTTGATATAGGCATTGCTCCTGTCCACCAATTAACAATTTTAAATTTTTATTGGAGTTTTTAATATTTCCAATAGTGTATGTTAAGTCTCTATAAAAATTTATACAAGTACTATGGCCTTGTTTATTTGTAAGACTATACAAGTTATGAGATATATATGAACAAGATTTTAATATTTCAACTTTTAATTTTCCCATTTGAATATCTATATTTTCCAAATTATTTCCATTTAAGGTATTTAATGAGACACTGAAAATAGTAATAAAACCATCCATTGTACTTGTAACAACATAGATATTCTCCAGATTATCAATAGATGTGATTCCAGTACAAGGGCTTTTAAAAAGTTTGTCAAAAGTACATGAAGTATTTGATTTTAATATAGAATCACAAATTAAAAATTCACTTGATTTATGTTGAATATCACCTTGAGATTGATAAGAAGAATTTATACTATCAAAATCACTTATATTATTATCTATTCTTCGTATACTTGTATTATGTTCCTTATTTCCTTCCACATTTCTAGTAATAAATGATATACTTCCATCTTTTGTAACTATTGCAAATATGCCTAAATTTAATCCTTTACAGGATTGTGTTATTATACAATAGGCAGGAGTACTAGTTAAGCTAACTGTAATACACTTTCTAGGTATAAGCTGAACTTTACTGTTACAGTGATCTAATTTCACTTCGTCTTGCTTAGAAATATCTGATATATCAAATTTACAAATATAACTCCCATGGTTTCTATTTAAATCAAAATATAATTCTGAATATAAATTTACAGGTTTTAATGGATAATTTGAGTGTATCCAAATTGAGTTTTCATTGGAATTTACATGGTCATACTTTGAGTATGATTTTATTGGAAATATCTCTATATTTGAATTTATAATTCCATTTTTATCAATAAAACTGCATTCAAGACTTGTTTTATTATTTAAATTTGCTAAAAAGTAGTTACCTTTATCTCCAAATACGAGTATATAATGAAAATATTCTTGATCTCTAAATAGCCTTGAAAAGTAAGATTGATCAGCTGCTGGTGAATCACTCTGGATATTTGCATATGTATCACTCGTATAGATACTTAATTCATTATTCACATCATTCTTGTTTGATTTTTTGCTAGATATATCAAATTGAGGTATTATTTTCCAATATATATCCTTTATAGAGCCACTGAAACTAAATTTACTAGATAACATTAAGACTGAATGTCTGTCTGTATTGTTTGGATCTACATATACTAAACCAAGATTCCCATCTTTTAGCCCAAATAAAGAATACTCAGAATATTTTGGATGATTTATAAAGAATTCTAATTGTTTTTGGTTGACTTTAGATGAATATTTGGATTTTAAATCTTTGAATAAAGTCAAAGTTTTAATTTTAATGAAATTGTCTCCAGATATATCATTTATAACCACTTTGTCAGTACTTAAATTGGACTTATTAAGAGAATCCATAATAAAGATCTTCCCATCACCAGTAGTTAAATATATTAAATGAGGAAAATCCACAGGTGATGTTATTGAAGCTATCCAAGCTCCGAATGTAGAGAACCTATGTTCTATAATCCAATTATCCAAACTAACAATTACTATATTCCTATCCATTAATATGCAAAATAAAAAGTACTTATTCTTATTTGTATAGTATTCAATGTAAAAAACTGCATTATATGATATATTTAATTTTTTTTCAATATTGTGCAGGTTTAAATTATAATGTAATAAATCACCTTGACAAGTACCAATAATTAATAGATTTAAGCTAGAACTTAATTTCTTATTATTATTGCAATTATTTTCTATCCTTGGATCAAATATTACGCTTGTCCAGCCTCTATTGTATCCACTTCTACTATTCTTTTTGCTCAAATTATCTAATTTTTAATTTTTTTGGAATATCTGAATACCTTTTTGGAGATAGTTCATCCATTATATCCCAAACTGTGGTTGTATTATCAATACCAGATGTAACCATTAAACATGAATAATTTATAGCCAATATATTTGATGATAGTGTGAATTTTTCAGATGTATGAGGTAATGCAAAATTAGCTGTAACTTTTGGTATCTGGTTATGTATAGGCCCTTCTATGCTATGATATTTTAAATAAAATTCTTTATTCTCTTGACTAACTCTATATATAAAAGAAATACAAGTAACTTTATTACCAATAGTTGAGTGATAACCGAAATCTTTCAAAATATTTGAATTATAAATATCAATCATTAAAATTGAACCGTTTGAATAACCAATAGCTATAATTACTTTATTATCAAACAAACGCTTATCTATCTGTTTCATTACAGTAATTGAAGATTCTAATGGACAATAATCACAAATTAATGATTCTATTTGCTTTTTATACTTCTTACTATTTAATATACTCAAATATTCAAAAGATATTATTCTGCCTTTCTCATCACCCGTTATAACTAAATTATCTGCTATCAAAACTGCGTTGCAATTATACTTATGACTATTATTCCAAACAAGTAATTCACATCTTAAATTCAAACTTTTGTCCTTATCATATTCAATATTCCATAATCTTGTTACCTTGTCATTATGGCTAGCACACAAAAGTATTGAACTTGTCATATAAGTTGCAGGATATTTGTCACTATCTTCATCACTAATAATCTTATTCATATCTTGATGGCATTTATTATTATTAGATACTGAGTTCTTCTTTAAATTATGTTCATACCTCTTTTTTTCAATAATATAAACTGCATTAGGTCTACTTTTTAATCCACAGGGTATAGATCCATAATAATAGTTTTTAATATTTCCAATTATTATACTATTTTTTGTGCAAAAAGAATACCATCCAGACTTTGAATCTAAGCATATTGAATGATAATTGAACCAGTTTGGAGAAGGAGGTATTAATATTTTCCCTAGGTTCGTCATCTATATAAAGAGATTACAATCAAATATTATCAATATGAAAATTAGTCTTCTTATCTCAAAATTCCAAACTCATATATTAGAAATATGAACACTGATTCAATTAATATTATTGTATGTTTCTATTAATTATAAATCTTAAATTCTTGTGTTTAATATTCGTTTCTAAAGTGAAACAAACAGTACCATACTAGACAACTCTTTATACGGATTCTGTTATCTTTCTAATATATCCCCAAAATGTCAGATTTATATTTTTGCAAAAGTGGAAATATTATAATATATATGTCTCCAATATAATAGTCTACACTTCCAAAGTAATAAATATATTTGTATATAATACAAATTTTATAGTCCAAAACCTTTTTATCTAAAAGAAAATAAAATATAGTGATTTTCAATTTATTAAAGAACAAATTTAGGAAAAAAAGTCTTGTTATTTATAATAGTAAAATCATGACAATAGTGACCGCTGATCAATTATAAGGTAACTGATTCTTGTTATTGCAGGACTAACTTTTTATTACTTATAATATGTTACCTTATTATTAATAAATATGGACCTACATAAAAAGTGGATTCTTGGACCAATGGTCAATTTTACGAATCTTCCTTTTAGATTAACATGCCTTGATTATGGAGCTGGTAAGTATTCTTGAATATTATAATTCATAACAGTTATATACTTAGCTTCAACTTATTAATAAATAAATACAAATAATTTTCAAATTATTTTAATGATTTGTGATATATTAATCTGATATCTTTCCTAATATATAAATTTGTCAGTTTTATATTTGCTAATCTTTTTCTATAGATATAGTATTTACTGAGGAAATAATGGATTTTAATATATTAAAGACAAATAGGATATTTAATGAGAAATCTGGAATATATGGTAAGAAAATAAATAAAATATTCTTTTAATTAAGTTTATTAAATAGAGATTATAAAAAAATACATTTATATACTAATGATACTTTATTATATGTAGAATATACTGACGATAGAAATTCTGTAATATTCTCTACAAATCAAAATGAAAATGGAAAGGTTATTTTTCAAATAGGTACATTTTGTTCTGTAAATGCACTAAAAGCTTGCGAACATATTATTAACGATTTCTGTGCCTTTGATATTAACATGGGTTGCCCAAAATTATATAATATACGTCGTGGTATGGGATCTGCTTTGCTTCTGAAACCTGAAATAGCTGAAGATATACTTAAATGTTTGAATAGAAATCTTCCTAAATGTTCCATAACTTGTAAGATCAGATTACTCGATGACTTTAAAAAGGTTAGTATATTATTTATTAAATGAAGTAGATTATGTAAATTTAAAAAAAAAAAAGATAACTTCATAGATTTTATCTTCTTATATTTTTAATTTTTTAATTCTCACTTTTTTATATTTTAGACTTTAGACTTTATTAGATTATGCTCCAATTGTAATATTTCAGGAATTACAGTACATGCTCGTACTCCAAAAGAAAAATACGATGTATTTCCACACTGGGACATATTTCCACTAATTAAAAGTGAGCTTTCATCTTGCATACCAGTAATTGCAAATGGCGATTTTTCTTCTGCTAGCTTAATTAATAGTTTTGAATCTAAATTTCCAAATGCTGTTGATTCCTTTATGTTATCAAGATCTGCTAGGCATGATCCATCTATCTTTTTACAAAAGTTAGAATGGAAACAGAGGGTACAAGGATCAATTGGTGATATGAAGATAGATATAATTACTGATAAATATGACTGTATTAAAAAATTTTTAAAATATGCTATAATTACAAATTTACCGTTTAAATCTACTAAAAATATTATAGCTTATATGAAACCTGTCCATTGTCATAGTAATGCCTTAAATAAAATAAATGGTGCAAATTCTAAGCATAAACTATTGGATATATTTAATAATTCTAACCAATAAAATTAGAATTTTTTTTATTGCTTAAATCTAATATATTGTGTGCACAAGACTAAAAACCTCTTTACACACATACCGCTCTTTATCTAATATCCATTATGTGGCGCCTATATTTTTTATTTTATTTGACTAGTTAAAGTAAATTTTGACTTTAGATATATTGGGAACAAAAGATCAAAGCCCTAAAAGTAAGTAAACATATGGGCTAATATTATGATATTTTGCAAGTTTACATTTTTTAATTATATTGGCATATATAAATATATGGATTGTTAATTATGAGTAAGGGTACTGAAGATTTGCCTATAATCCAACATAAATACCAAATTATTTCTACTATAAAAGAAAATGATGTTATAATAATTACTGGGGAGACAGGAAGTGGAAAAACTACGCAAATCCCCATTTTTTTACATGAATCTGGATTTACAAATAACAGAAAAACAATTGCAATAACACAGCCAAGACGTATTGCTGCTATATCACTAGCAAAACACGTCTCAGCATTATTGAATTCTAAAGTTGGTGATATTGTTGGATACTCGGTAAGATTTAGAAGTGCAGTGTCTTATAATACAAGGATTAAATTTTTAACTGATGGGATGTTAATTAGAGAATGTATAACTAGAAATACAACATTCGATAATTACTCAGTTGTTATTATTGATGAAGCTCATGAAAGATCTATTAGAACTGACTTTTTACTTGGTATATTGTATAATGCACTATTATTAAATAAAAAAGTTAAGATAATTATTATGTCTGCAACTTTTCAATATGAGGATTTTGTGAACTTCTTTAATAAACAAAGTTCAGATACTAAAAGTTTTAAGATAAAGTGTTATAATATCCCAGGACGTCAATATCCAGTAAAAATTTATTATTTACCTGAACCTGAAATTGACTATATAGATGCTATATTAATAACTATTTTAACAATTCATTTTACCAAACCCAAGGGAGATATCTTAGTATTTCTACCAGGTCAAGATGATATCCTACATTTATATGATACTCTAACTGAAAAATCGGATCAAATTAATGAATTTTTAAAACTTAATGGACACGTAGATGTATATATTGGTAGTCAACAATCAAAAACATCCCAAATACTGAGAATGTATATCCAATGTTTATATTCAGCTATGACATCTGAAGAACAGTCAAGAGTATTTGATAAAATACCAGATAATCACCGAAAAATTATATTGGCAACAAATATAGCTGAAACATCAGTTACACTACCAAATATAACTTATGTAATAGACTCAGGACTAGAAAAACAAAAATATCATTTTGCAGAAACTGGATTAGATGCTCTAGTTGTTCAAGAAATATCGAAAACAGCAGCAATACAAAGAGCTGGTAGAGCTGGTAGAGTAAAACCAGGTGAAGTTTATAGAATGTATACTGTTGAAGGATACGAGCAAATGAAGATATCTCCAATACCTGATATACTGAGAACTAGCTTATCTGAAACTATTCTTGAACTTCTATCAATATTAGAATTAAATTTTGAAGGTGATGATAAGGAAAAACCAAGTATTACTGGTTTAAACTATAATATAGCAAACAAAATTTTCAACTTTCCTTTTGTTAGTCCCCCAAGAAAAGAATCTATTATGATGTCCTTACAATATTTATATAGATTAGGGGCTTTAGATAGATCTGGAGCTATTAATGAGTTAGGATATAAATTGGCAATTCTACCACTACCCCCTATATTAGGAAAGCTACTATATGATAGTATCTCACTATATTGTACTTCTGAAATTCTTTCTTTAATTGCTATGCTATCATCAGAGTGTCATATTGAGTTTAATATAAATTCTTCAAAAAAAAGTACCAAGAATAAAAATAGTAAGAAATACTCTTCAAATATTAAAATTGTCATGTCATTATATGGTGATCATATTGGATTAATTGAATTATATAATCAATGGATATCTAAGGGCAATATAAATATGAGTGGAGATTTTCATAAATCAGGTTTCAATAAATCTGCTTATAATTTAACTAAAGATCAAAAGTCCTTATGTAATGATTTAGGTATTTCCAACACATCCCTTATTCGTGCATATTATATTAGAAACCAATTAGCTGATTTAGTTAGATCTGTATTTGGTGTTAATAGTATTAGTAGCTGTTTAATAACAAAAAATGTAAATGATCATGAAAGTAATGTTGAATCTGACATATGGTTACCAGTACTTAAGTGCATAACAAAAGGACTTTGGATGCAGAGTGCTCGCCTTGATAATTCAGGTAAACAATATATAACTGAGTTAAATAAACAAACTATAAGTATACATCCATCTAGTAGTATACAATTTATGAAAAATAAACCTCAATGGGTCATTTTCTCTGAACTAATATACACAAGGAAGATGTATATTAGATGTATATCTCCAATAAATGCTAAATGGTTATCAGAATTATGTCCAAATTGGTTTGTAAATACAAACACAAAATAATTATATAGAATATTAAATAATAAAATAAATATTTTAAAATATATTTAGATCAAATGTAAACTTAAATGTTAAATATTTCATATCTTTAATGTTAATACACCATGAAGATATAGATACACATATTCAGTCTTCGATATAAGAACTTCAACTCTGACTTTTTTCTTATGTGTAAATTTTTTTTCAGTATAATCTTGGTTTATAAGTATTCTAAAACTCACTAAGTAATCAATAGGGTATGCTTGGTGAATATTATCTTATGAATTTAGTTATCTATTAAGCGTATAAGCTTATATTTTGAATCTATTATTTTGGGTTAGTTTTTCTGAATATTTATATTTAATCGTTCAACTATTAAAGTTTAAATGCTTTTTTCCAAAATTATTATATTGAATATATATTCTTAAGTATCAAACTCAAAAAGTAATGTAATATATTTTAAGGTTTTCCTACAAGACTGAAATTATATATTTAAAATTAAGATTGAATTTCTATCAAATAATTTTAGATTTCTAATATTTCCTATGAAATTTTAAATAGAATATATTTTATTAATAAGATGTAATTTTTTATATACATGACATAAATTCTTGATAGTATATAGGCAATAATAATATTAAATTATATATAATTTATAAGTACTTAGATATCTATTTGAATTATATAATAATATATTTTAATGTAAAAATATGTAATGTAATGACATATAAATGTAAACTTTTATTATATTTGGTATCTTAGATATTACACTTTCAATATTTTTAAAACATAAACCTATTAGTTTTTTTCTTTAGTGATATTATTAAAATCTTGATATGAAAAAATTTTTTTAGTTTATAATGAGTACTTTGTACTATTAGTAATGTTAACTATGAGGTAATTTTATCAATTTTAAAAATTACTAATAAATATATACTAATTACTCTAGGATTAGATTATTTTGAAGCTTATAAGATTCCAGATATCTACACAATTATTTTTACCCATTGTAACTTCTTAACCAATGATTAAATACAAATAATTACTTAAGTAATTACCAAAAGTTATAAATATTGTGATTTATCAAATAAATAAATTGGATAATTTATAATTTAGATTATATTCGAAGAAGCTTTTAATATAATCAAAAGCTAAGTTTATAACTAATTACAAAAAAATTACAATTTAATAATGAGGATATTTGGACATACTCATTTAAATTTTTTATTAAATACTTGGATCTTATTCTAAAACGTTAGATTTTTTTTTTAAATCGTTTAACATGTATAAAATATTTAACTGTTATATAATTTGTATTCAGAAAATAATCACAACTTTTTAATAAATATACTTTTAGAAGTAGATATCTGAGTATTAACAAAGTATATTAACATTCTTTTATATTAAACTGAAATATTGGATGTTTTAATAAACATTTAAATAAAAATAATATAATACTAAAGTATAGATTTAATAATAATTTTCCATAAATATTTTATTAATTATAATTAACAATTGAAAACTTGTATAGAAGTAAAATTTATCTCAAAAAGTGTTAATAAATTTAATATTAATATTATTTAGTAAGTAGCTAAAAAATTTCAGATATGTTATAGTATTTTATAACTATATAACTTCATTACATTTCATAAAACAAATCCTCTTGCAAAGAATTTACCATATTTTTTATAAAATATTTAAAGTAAAATATTTATCTACATTTGAATATATATTGGAAGTCTTTAATTTCATGCAATATTTTATTTAGTTATATACTAAATAAAAATTCCTTAAAATACACTTATAAAGCTTTTTCTCTAGAAAATACTATAATATTTTAGTAATAAACTAATAAATGGAAAGTTAAATTGATATATTTATGATAGTTTAAATAATAATTTGAATCTTTAGTTGTAGACAAAAATTATTCTTTTGATTTATTAAGAAAGACTTTATAGTAGTATAAAGGAAAGTTTAATTAAAATATATATACTTAGTGTCTATTTCTATTCTATCAACTCTAAAATAGGTCTATTTTCACTAATAATTATGCTTCTGACAAAAAGTAAATTTAAAATTTTAATACAAAGTAATTTATTTCTATCAAATAGCAATTTTTGATGTATACATTGTATATGTATAATATATTTATACTGTTCAAGCTTGATTATTTAAAACCACATTCTTAATTGTTTCACATCTCCCTGTGCAATAGATTCACTATAAAGAAATCCATATTTTTCAATTGCTGAGAAAAAAAAATAGAAATAAGTATATATTACTAATAAAATTACTGTATTAAACTTAAATTATACAGCTGTCCTCTTCTAGTTTCCTATATAATCATTGTAATCAAATATTGTAATATTTATATGAGGTACTTTCATTTTCCATGTACTTTTTAAGATCAAAAAGTAAAATGAACTGTTGCAGTATATAATTAAAAGCAAATACCTTGATTCAAATTTTGGATTACCGATAAAGTTAAATTTGAAATAAATAACTCAATTTTAGGTTATTTTTATTTTATCTTCTTTAAATATTTACGAAGCCATTTATTTATAATATTTTATAATCTTACTCGTATTTATTGAATATAGAAACCATTTGTAAATAACTTTACCAAAAAATTATCTTATTATATATACTATATAATTAATTTATTTTATTATAGGAATATATTGCTATTGTCACCTTAAGAGTTCAGCACTAATTTTTATTTCTTATAAACTTACTTGGATCATTTGGAAGTGATATTGTTGGATTTTCCTTTGTAACACGTACTAATCCAATATTTAAACAACATGTACAAATATATTTTTCAAGATTGCGTGCCATATATATTAGGTCAGGGTATATAATATCATTATTATGAGTTATATTTATAAGGTGTATCAATGAATGAGCATCTGCTGCAGTTATTACATGACAGTAGATATTTGCTCTTCTACATGCAAAAATTAGAATAATAAGAGCATAGAATATTAATGACCCTTCTGTTATATGGTCCATTGCAATTCTGATTATATCCTTCAACACAATTGGATCATTAATTACATAATCTTCCATTGTAATCATAACAGTTGCTAAAATGGCTAACAAACACTCCAATAGAAAAGAATCACTGCTTGCTTTTAACCTTTGTAGTGTCAAGTCAACTAATCCCAGATTACAATACTCTTTACATGTTTCTATATTTGACTTTATTAAAAATCTGAGTGCTGCAAAACCCCAACCTTCTGTGTACTCATCCAATTTTTGAGTACTTAAATAATTTATTATCTGATGTCCAATATTTGAATTAACCCATTGCTAAAATAAATATAGAAAATAAATTAATTTTTAATTTAATAAAATATCACAAAGAGTATAAATACTATTGTTTTGATTTTATTAATGAAAAAAGCAAATATTTAAATATTTCAAAAGAAATTCAATTGATTAAAATTACAAGTAAAAAGAAATATCTTTTTAACAAAAACTTTTCTTTTAATACTTGTAAGATTCATAATGAATTCTTTTTTTTTTTATTATCACTTACCTCAGCTACTCGTACTGAATCCGAAGAAGATACAAATATAAAACGCCAAATTGCAGAATATAGTGCAGAATTAACATCTCCCTTCCACTTTTCTGTTCTGATAATTTGTAATAAATCCAAGAATTGTGGTAATGTCTATTGTAATAAAAAAAATTAAGTAAGTTATCTTTTGCTAATGAATTTTTTTTTTATTAAAATAACTTTTTTATTTATTACATATCTTAATATTCATGTTATTTTTTTCATAGATATATTTAAAAATATTTCAATTTAGTATCTTACCTGCGAAACAATATCATAAGAAAAACCATCATTAAAAGTTAGGTGAGTTAGTATGTAAATAACGTGTATTATAATTTCTGGACAACCATTATGATGTTGAAGAATCTTAGAAAGTATTTCTGGTGCTCCTGCATCATATAATGTCTGTCTTAAAGTTGTATGGCCATCAAGAGGATCTTGAAGCTCAACAATTGAAATTAATCTAGCTAATAAGCAAATTGTGTCAATATTTGAACGAATAGGTTTTAGCATTGATATTAGCCATGCTGAGTGTAGTTCCATTGGTTTTGGACCATTTAATACCCATGATGAAATTTTATTTGTACCATCACCTAATAAAATATCTTTATCTGTAGTCCCAGGTAGTGTAAAGAGATGATTAACTAAAATTCCTGATCTCGAGAATATTAAAGAGCTTGAGTTTTTATCATGGGGATCAACTACTGACTCAAAAGATTTGACAGAATCCTTTAGCGAAGACAAACAGCAACCCATAACATTAATCTAAAGCTTTTAATGCGTTTATACTTGGTTTAATTGTCATATATTTGCATATATCTGGAAGAAATTTTAAAAAAAGGCAAAATGTCACGATATAACCACATGTATACCCACAATCAGCCGCCAATTTAAAGTGCCAAATAATTTTGCATTTCTAGTAAAGAGCTCTTTATAGGTAATAAATAAGAAAATTAAGGACTTTCAATTTCAATTATATGAAACACAGAAATTTCTTTCAGGTATTTAAATTAATATTTTCATTATGTACTTTAATATGGTCTTGAGTAAAATCCTTAAAAAGGATCAAGTTGGAATTTTTGTTAATATTTGTTCGTATTTGAGAATATCGAGAAATAGTATATACTTAGAGAGTCTCAGAAATTAATTTATTAATATTAGAAGCTTTATATTTTTTAATTTTGAATAGAATTTGGGACAATATGGCTGTACTAATTAAACTAGTTTTATTCTTTACATATTTAGCTATACTGAGTAATGATTACATAGAAATGACATTAGCATATTTACATATTGGAAACGTTCAATTTGACAAGTCAGAATTGGACTCCATTATTGATGATGAAAATGGAATACCTTTATTTACATCCTATGAATGCTTTAATGTAGTAGAAAATCAGATTAAAAGCTTTAAGCAATTCATGTGGGATAGAAGAGATCTTTTGGATACAATAATGACACCACCCGTATCTCCATTTAGAAATGATATAAATAATTTAAATAATAATACTCGTTATTTTAAGGTTTTAATGTTACAATCTAAGTCTAAGACTTATAAAGAATTACTGAAAATTTTTAATACTCTTCAAAATATCTGTAAATATGCATTTAATATTAAGAATACATTATTATATAAAGAACTAGTTGAAGTATTAGTTAGTAAACTAACTGATGATATAAATTATTTAAAAACAAAGGAAGATAAAATCAATCATATTTTTAATAGTCACTTATTTAGTGATTCAGAGAAGTTATTTAAGGAAGATCTTTATAAATCTAGGGGTGAAAAAAAAGTAAAGAGCATTGCTATTGAATTATTGAAACATATTTCAAAATTATGGGAATCATCAGACTTTTAAATGAATCGCTTAAATTACAATTTATCAGAAAATATGTGAAGGAAATATATTTATTATTATCTTTTAATAATTATTGATCAATATAAATTAATGTTAACAAATATACTGAAGTGGTATGTATTATATATTTTTTATCTGATAATTATAATAGATTTGACTAAAAAATAATAGTCAGGTTTTATATAAACTTCTATTACTTATTATGAGTATATACAAAATTAATAATAGTTATTTTTATTTTAAGTCTAATTTGGAATAAGTCAATATATATTTTTGATACTAAGGATCTATTTAATAAAGTATATGTCAAACTTAAAATATATGTTATTATCAGTTTTTAATTATATTCAATTAAGTGGTTTTTGTAAATACTACTTTCTATCTACATTCAATTTTGAAATTTACTAATATTTACATAATTTATATAATTTCAATATGATAATATATTATTATTAGGTTATCTAAATTGTGATTATTACTCCTTTACATGTTTAAGTTGTGAATGTTATAATATGTTAATAAGCAATCGACAAGTTAAAGTATGTGGTTTTTCGTGAAAATAAGAATGGTGAATATTATTTGTTAAGTCTTAAAATCTATTAGTCTATTTATCTACAACTCAAGTATGAATTTATTTTATTTTAAATAAGGATTTATATTAAATTACTTTTGTATTATCTAATACTTGAAAATATTAGTGAATGTTAAGCTTAAATGTCACAATTTAATTTTAAAATGAAAAGAATAAAAATGATGAGAGTGTGTGTTTCTTTATATACTTATAGATGCAATATTTAGTGTTGCCTAAGATTATATATATTATTTTATATAATTGTCTAAAGTTATTGTATTATACTTTAATATTTTTAGATTTGAAATATTATTCTACTTAGAACTATCCTTGAATAGGTGTCTAAATGTAAATTTAGCGCCTATGCGTTTTTTGGTGAGGTATCCGGTATAGTATAATTAAAAGATGCATTTTAGCGGGTAAACTCTTGTGGATTATTTTATAAAATAATTGGCTAATTAAGAAAGTTGATATTTTCTGCTTTATTTATAAAGATCAGTAATTATATCTAAAGATTTGTTAATTATTAACAGTATAGTAATTTACTAGAGATATTTCTATTATACTGGTGATATTAAGTACATGAAAGTAAATTTCTGAGTAAAGTTATTGAAATCTATTGTTATACATATACACTGGCTATATAAATGCTTAAAGATCATAATTAATTATGTTACATGATATTCTATTGGCTTTAACAGGATATGAGGGTAATGCAATTGATATACAGCCTTGTGAATTTAGTTACAATGGAATTGCACTATATAGTTACCGTTATAAAATGACTCTGAAAAAATACCTTAGTGAACATTTGACAACAACGGAAATTTCATTAATAGAGAGGATTTTACTTATTGCTAGTGATATATATTCTATTAATAAATTTTTGGAAATTACACAAAGTTGCATATATATAGATAGTAGTCATATAAATATTCATCAAGACAATTGCAATAAAAACAAATCAATTATAAGAAGACGACTCGTGAAAATAAATCCAGTAGGTCTATATATTCAAGGAATTTCTAAGTGTATTCAGCAATATATGCTAAAATATTTAAATTGTATTAGTCAATTAGAACGGGAAATTTTTTTGTCACCAAATTTACCATTATCTTATATATTATCATACCTGACAAGGCCATCACGTTTAATAACTATAATTATGAATTTTATAGATCAATGGTATAACTTATGTTTAGTAAGTAGGCCTGATGATACAAATAACCCATTTTCATTTTCTTCAATTTCATCATCTAAATTATCAGTAACATATAATTCATGTAATTTGTATATTAGTGTTCCTATGGGTAGTATTTTGGATATTTTATATGAGGGAAGTTGTAGTGGTGATCAATTAGAGGAAAATGTCTACAGGAATTTTTTACTAGTTTGTAGTAGGGTATTTTGTTATCAAGTTATAAATTGGATAACCTTAGGCCAATTGGTAGACCCTTTTGAAGAATTCTTTATAGGTAGATTTTCTATCCCTAATATAGGTGGATCGTTTGAATACATTACTACTCAAGATAACAATTCTAATCATGAAATAAATAATTTAATGAAATCTACTTTGGAAGGTATTTATATGCAAGATATATATCCATCATTTTATCTTCCTAATGACAGGTATGTCTTATATTTGTAATTTATAATAGTGAGTTATTAAATTTTATCTTAGTTGTATTGAGTTATATGGTGAATTTTCAAATGAGTTAGAGAATGAAGCAGATATTATTCATGGTGCAAAATTTGAATGGGAAGGTCTCTTTTATATTAGGCATGAATCATTAACTAAAAAATTCTTGAAACCGAAGTTATTATTAAAGATTTTTGGTACTGGAAAGATTGTAAGTTGATACTGATGTAGATGAAATAAACTATAATTAATATTCTTTTTCAGATTCGCTCCTTGATAAAAAGTCGATATTTTACAAGGAATAAAGAAGAATTTATAGATAAAAATCAGTTAATAGAAAATCTTATAGATGCCTTAAATTCATCTTTCCCTCATATTCAGGATAATATTGAAAACACTATTGAGAAATTTAGAGAATATACATCTTCTTTGTTATATCAGTCTGCAATGAACGTAGAAGGTAATATCTCAAAAGATGTGAATTCTCCTATTTCAATTTCTTTAATTGAATACTGCAAAATAATTAGAGACAAATATTTATTAGGTAATGAAGACTTATATGTTTTATTAAGTGATGGGATTTATGAAAAATTGGGGCAATGGTTTCTATCTGAACTTAGTCCAAGAGAACAAGAAGAATGGATTGAAACCATCTGGAGAAAATCTGTTCTGAACATAAATGATAAAGATAACACTTCAGATATAAATATAATGATAACATGTGATACATTTGATCTTTTTAATTGCAATGATAGTATAGAAAATACTATTGATAAGGAAATTGAATATATTAATTGCCTCTATACAGATTTACCATCCATTATTTTATTAGATAATAAATTGAAACTAGAATCAAATGTTTCAAGTAATTCACCAATAAATAAAGTACTTGATAAATCAAAAGAAATTATTTGTGAAGTTAATGAATTATCACAAGAACAACATGAAAAATTAAGTTTGAATTTAAATAATGGGAGTTCAAATAATAAAATTTCATATAAACCCACAAACATTTATACTTCAATCTGCTCAACAAAGTGGCCAGTAAGAATAATCGATGGTTTTAATCATTTATTGGAATGTATATCATCTTTAGATGTACCAATATCCTTGATATTTACCCCAAACTCAAAAGTTTCTAACTTTTCAGATTTACAGTATAATTCAAATAAGATAGACAATGAATTTCTAAAATTCACATGGTTTATTAAGATCAATATTGAAAAAAACATTTTGGAATTCACTATAAAGGCATATTGGTATACTAAAAATAATCTAAAAGATATTTTAAATAATAATAATAATGAAGTTATTTTAAAATCTAATAAGTTTGTATTTAGCATACCGTATTGCTTTCCAAAAGAAGCTGATGAAAAAGAGGATAAATTGAATTTATATAGAGATTTACTTTTATCCTATAAATTGAGGATTATTTGTAAGAAATCAACATTTTCAATATTTCTAGAGCCTTGTAAGATTCCATCTAAATATAAACATAATATAGTAACATTCATAAATAGACCAACTCAAATTATGTTAATACAGCATTTAAATCTTGGTATTTGTTTACCTTTAAAAGCATCATCAGTTTTTATACATATAATGAGACATATAAATACTGATAAAGATAAACAGCAGAATTATTTAAAAAAAGAGGAAAAAAAACCTCAAGATTTACAAGATATTAAAGGACCTATAATTTCAAATGATCTTTATAAATTCGAAATAATAAAATGGTGCCATATTAGCGTTAATAATAATGATATAATTTCAAGTATTTTACAATATATTGATCAACTCTCTTATCTAGCTGATAATAAACCCCTAAATATTTATTATAGTGGTATAAGTTACTATAATCATATATTTCGTATTAGATTAACCCAAAATTTGAAATGGCCCTTACCTATATTATTTACAAACAAAAATATGGAAATATATTATAATATATTTGATTTCTTATGGTTGCTACATATGACATTTAATTCTTTATTAAAAGTTTGGACTGAATCTTTTAATTTACGATATAGTAATAGAAGGCAAGGAGCTATACTTGCAATATGTGGTAAGTATTCATATCAATTTACTAATTGGAATCAACATTGGGATTATATCTTCTATTCAAGATGGATATTACAAAATATAATTGGAGAAATCTATAGATTTATTCATTCTAGTGTCATCAACCAATGTTTCGACGATTTTTTAAATAATTTAGAACAAGTAAGAGATTTTGAATTCGTTAGAAATAAACACGATGAACTCATACAAGATTTACTACTAAAATGTGCACTTTTATTACCCTCTATAATTAATCCACTTGGAACTATTCTTGTTCTAACAAACGAGTGGTGTCATAATACTATTATAGAACTCTCAAGATGGAATCATACTTTTGATAGTGATATTCATATTGAATATTCTAATGTAAATAATATACAAATACCTTGGAAATCTGAACAATGGTTTCATTTTATTAATGACACTTATAAATTTATGAAATCGTTTTGCCTTATCTGGAATGATTTATGTTCTGAACTCTCAGTTGTATCTCAAAGTATCCAATATCAACACTTTGCATATTTAATATCCTCATTTAATTATAATCAATGGTCTGTAATTGTACCCTTCTTCAATAATGATGAACCCTCATATTTATATGATAAAATTCAAATGTCTAACTCACTTGAATCAAACTCTGACGAAAGATTATCATGGATTGACGATGATGATGATTTTAATGATGAATATAGCTATATAGATGAACATTATAAGCAAGAATGGCAATATAATGAATCTTTACAAAATGAGCAAAATATTTATGAATATAATATTGAAAATGAGAAGTTTCAATATTCTCTAAATAATCATAATAGTTCTACAAATTTAAATACTTTCTCAAATAGGAAATATAATGTGAGTGAATTAGAAAACACAAGTGATATATCAGCATCATCATCAACATCACTAAAGCTATCTACAAATTTAGATCAGGATTCAATGGATTACCATTTAAATCAAATGTTGGAGACGAGACGACAGCTGCAAAGCTTTAGAGGTAGGAAGTAATATTATACTTCATATTTTAAACATATTATATTCTGGTTTTGTGGAGTAATTGAATTAGTCCATAAATTAGTAAATATCTAAATATTAGCTTAACTTTCTTTTTTTTTCTTGGAGAAATAAGTTCACAAAATTCCTATGATTATTTATATATCTCCTATAAATTGTAATAAATAGCTAAATTAGCTTTTTACTTAATAGTCCTATAATAATTGATTATTAATTAGATATATGTGAGAATTTTTTACATAGTAGACATTTTGTACACTCATGGTATTTTAAATATAGGATTATAACCTATTATTAGAAAATTGCAAATATGTGCACACAATTTGCCGCTTGTAATAAGGCGGTTATAGGGGGGTTAGTTACCGAGTTTTGTAAATTAAGTACTTTTAGAAAATCAATTTGCAACTTTCATTCTCCTGAGTTGTCGACATTACTATTATAAAGCTGGTGGTTACTTTTGAAATTATAAAATAAATATTCCAAACATATAAAGATATAGAATATAGACTAAAATTGGTATAGTGTACTCGTACTAGAAGAAGTTGTTTATAGATTTAACCAATTAGAATTCATATAATGAGTGATCGCCGCTACTTTCAGAGTACAAAACGTGGTGAAATCCAAGAATTGAAAGATGAACTACATTCAGCCAATAAGGATAGGAAAAAAGAAGCAGTAAAGAAGGTAATAGCTGCAATGACTATAGGTAAAGATGTATCGTCTTTATTTCCAGATGTAGTCAATTGTATGCAAACTGGTTGTATTGAACTAAAGAAGTTAGTGTATTTATATGTCATTAATTATGCAAAAGTTCAACCAAAATTGGCTATTTTAGCTGTTAATACATTTTTCAAAGATTCTATGGATCCCAATCCATTAATTAGATCACTTGCAATAAGAACAATGGGGTATATTCGTTTAGAACAAATTACAGAATACTTAGTAGAACCACTTAGAAGATGTTGTAGTGATCAAGATCCTTATGTCAGAAAAACAGCTGCAATTTGTATAGCTAAATTATATGATATATCTCCAAGCTTAATGGAAGAACAAGGCTTTTTTTGCTTATTAAAAGAAATGTTAGCTGATCAAAATGCAATGGTTGTAGCTAACACAGTTTCCAGCCTATTAGAAATTCATGAAATGTATATAATTAAAAATAGACCAATTCCAAAATTTGGATATTATGAGGATAATGAAGAAGTAGAAGATCCGGATATAGTTGATCAATCAGCAAAAAATTTATGTCAACTATTACTTAATGAAATTGAAAAAAAACAAATTTTAATAGCATTAAATGAATGTACAGAATGGGGACAAATTTATATTTTAGATATGATATCAGAATGGCAAGTGAACTCTGAAGAAGAAAGTAAATCAATATTAGAAAGAATAACATCAAGATTATCACATGTAAATCCAGCTGTAGTATTAGCAGCAATAAGAGCTGTTTTAAAACTTATATCTAATATTAATAAGAAGGATGAAATAATTATAAATACAATGAAGAAATTAAAACCTCCATTAATAACATTATTAACAACTTCACTACCAGAAGTTCAATATATTATATTAAGAAATGTTCAACTTATAGTTCAATTTAATCCATGCTTTTTACAATCAGAATATAGAGTCTTTTATTGTAAATATAATGATCCAATTTATATAAAAATAGAAAAATTAAATATTTTATTTAGATTAGCAAACAAACAGGACTCTACTGATCTACTTGCTGAATTAAAGGAATATAGTACAGATACAGATATAGATTTTGCAAGAAATTCCATTAGAGTTATTGGACGTTTAGCTATCAAAATTCAAGAAATATCTAAAGATTGTATTGACTTACTAATTGAATTAATAACTGAAAATTGTCAGGATCATATAATACAAGAGAGTATTATTTCATTTAGAGATATACTTAGATGTTATCCTATCTTATTTAGTCAAATTATTTCTTCAATTTGGGATATATCTGAAAGAATTATAGAATATGAATCAAGAGCTGCTTTTGTATGGATAATAGGTGAATTTTATGAACATATTGAAGCTAAATTTAAAGAAAATTCTCTAGATAATTCTCAATCAATTTATATTGAAGATTATCTCCAAAATTTTGTTAGTGTATTTCTAGAAGAAAATTTAACTGTTCAATTACAAATAATTACTTGTATTGTTAAATGCTTTTTAAAAAGTCCTCTTAAATATCAACAACTTGTTACAGATATTCTTAAAATAGCTACTACTCAAATAGAAAATCCTGATATAAGAGATAAAGCCTATATTTATTGGCGTTTGTTATCTTCAAATCCTGAAAATACAAGGAGAGTAATATTATCTCATAAACCAACAATTACTACTCAATCTTTTGATCTTGAACCTTATTTATTGAAAGAATTATTGGGACAAATTGGATTAACTTCATCTGTATATCATAAAATACCAAGTTTATTTGTTAGTGCTAAAATTACACAATCTATAAAAAATAATATATCTTCTGAAGATATAGATGATTTTGGAGATAATGATCTAAATATAAATAATAACAAAGTAAATTCAAATTTAGAAGTTCTTAATTTAGATTCTTGTGAAAATAATAACTCTCAAAAATCAATTACTCAATGCCAAGATGGAAATTCTAATCATATTGAAAATAATATAACGGAATTACTAGACTTAGAAACTACTATAAATACACCAATTCAGAAGTCTAATATTAATACACCAATTAAAGAAAACAGTGAAGTTAATAATAATACAGTAGATTTATTATCACTTTGATCATATTGGTAAAATCAAAAATAAAAAATTCAAATTTCTACATCAAATAAATAAATGTTTTAAATATATAAATATATTTATCTTAATATATAATGAAATCTAAATTATCTTATTAGTATATTTTCAATTTTTCTGAATATAATAAATTTTATATTCAAATAATCATATATTAAAGGTATAGATATATTTTATTTATTATAAATGGCTTAGTTTCTTCTCCTTTTTTTTAAAAAAAAATTAGCTATTACAAATATTATAATTAATTTAATTGGTCTTCTATTATCCTTAAATATACTCTTAATCTCTTTATTCTAATATATCTTAACTATGATCATTTAAATTTGTCTTTATTATTTAAATGATCTTCTAAACCTAAATTTCTTATAAATTCTTGGATATCAAGACTTGTTATTATTGTTGTATTATTACTATTCTTTCCAATCTTTTTGTGTAAAAATTCAAGAAATTTATCAGCAAATTGTCTATATCCAAGAGCTAAGCTAATCTTTTTTTCATGGGGTAATACATTAAATAGGTTCATTAAATTATTACTTTCATTGGAGTTATCACCATTAGAATCTACATATTGATCTTCTGCTTTTAAAATCTCTTCAAGAGATATTTCAATATCTTCTATTTTAGAATCCCTAAACTCTTCATCCTCTTCAATATCTATTTTTTTTCTTAATTCTTGATTATCTGACTCACGAAGAAATCTTAATGAAATATTTTCATAGTCTATATGTTTAACTCTTTCATTATTTTCAAATATGACTTTACATTTATCAGATTTAAAACCTTTAATTTCATCATATTCTAAGTACCAAATTCTTCTTCCTTTAGAATCTCTCTCAACATTATCATTAAAGCATACTTTACAAGGCCACCAAAATACATCTTCTTCATCAACATCATCCTCATTCCCATTTGATTTATTAGATTCAATACTTATAATCCATCTAACGAATAATTTTTCACCAATTGAAACTTTAGCAGATGTCCATAATAATGCAATATCACATGCATCTCTAATACTTAGAGTCTCATTATTTCTATTTCCATCTTCTAATTTCTGTATCTTAAGTCCAGAATTTGAATTATTATCATCTATTATATCATTAGTTAATCTTTTCATTATTTATTAGTAATATAATTTCAACCTTCCAAAATATCTGACTAGAGTAATAATACATAAACAAATATTTATATTAATTTTTTTTACTTGCAGAGATATAGAAAAGTATGTTTTTAAAGTACAAGTTTACTAGTATTATCTGTTGATAAGAAAAATTAAACCCCCACAGCAATGATATAAATAGGAAAAAGCGCAAATAAGGTGTAAACATAAGCAAATTTCTTAATTTTAATATACTGATACCATAGATATTTAATAGATTTTTTCAAATCAAGCCTATATTGGATTTTTGGAAATAATATAGAAGTTAACTATTTAAGCTCTATAAATATTTTAAAAAAATGTCACATTTCTTTAAATAATATCATTAAAAAAAAATAACTACAATATATCCCTATTATATAGAAGTTTTTATCTCATAATATCTCTAATATATTATTTGTTACTTAAAAACCCCTTTCTTATAAAAAAAAAAAAAAAACTTCAGGGTCTTTATCCATGGCTGGTACTCAGGATAATTAGCGCCAAAAAATAGATGTATTCTAAGTTTTCTGATATAGAGTATATTGAGATGCAAATTTAAGACTTTCTCAACTATGCAAAGTGATAATCATTTCACATATACAACAGATGGTATAGACCCTTCAGCAAGGGCTTATTGGAGAGAAAGTTTGGGATATAATAGAACTATTGATAATAGTAGGACTAGACGAAGAGATACAATGGAAACTACAAATTATAACTATAGAGATAATACAAATAGAAATAGAACAATAATTGAAAGGAATATTGTTAATACGTCTTCTTATAATAATATAAATAATTCAGGTAATATTGGTTCTAGATATAGTTTTTCTTCAAATAATAATGTAGAACAAAATAATATTCAGAATAATAATAATACATCAAATAACTCAATATATAATACTAGAAACTTTAATAGAATAATGGACCAATTTGATATAATACATGATGCAGTGATCCAAACTACATCTAATACAACTTTAAATAATTCACTTACAGGATTACTTGAAAATGTAATATTACCGACTAATATAAATCCAATCTTCAACAATTATATGGGAGATTTACCAAATATAAATAATCGAATATTGGGGAATTCTACAAATTTAAATAATAATATTCCATTATTTGAAGAATTTACCAGACAAAGACAAAGAATCAATCATGAACCATTCCAAGTATTAGTAGAAGTTAGTGAATTTATTAATATAAATCCTGAATCTGAAGAACCAAAACATTATGTACCTAAAAATATTATAGATAATTTGCCAGTATCAAGATTTGATATTAAAAAATCTGGTAACTTAGAAGAAGATAAGAAACAATGTTTAATATGTTTAGAAGATTTTCAACAGAATCAAGAAATACTTTGGTTACCTTGTACACATTGTTTTTGTAAGAATTGTATATCTCGTTGGCTTGAAGGAAGTACAACATGTCCTATTTGTAAAGGTGATATATTAGAACATTTTAAACATCAATAATAATAGTTTATAAATATTAGTTAATGTAATTACTTTAATTATGTTGTAAGTCCTGGAATTGTATATGGTATTGATTTTAAAAGTATTTGTTTTAATTGAGTAGATTCAATTAATAGATATATCCAAATACCCAATTCTGAATATTGACTATAACTATTTATATTATTTGAATGATTATAATTAATATCTTTAAATATTTTAATAATTCTACATTCCACAAATTTTTTAATAATTGATCTTAAATAATGAAGTGTTAATAAGGAATCTTCACAAATTTCTGTTAAAGATAGTATTGTTTTAAGTCTAAGTTCTAAACGTTCTAAAGATATTAGATGACAATTTAGATTAGAATTTGAGGAATTATCCTTATTATTATATTCAATTTCAAGATAAATAGCTGCAAGGAACATTCTAGGAATAATTGGAAGAGATTCTATAAAATTATAAATTGGATTTACTAATAATACTTCTTTACAAGCTTGTTGAACATGATTAATAGTTACTTTTTCTTCATTTATATTATTACTAGATAGGTCATTTTTAGATTTTTTATATTCTGTAACAGATATTTCCCAAGCTCTTTGAAGAATCTGTAAGGCTCTACGTACATCTGAAGATTGTTGAGCTACTTTTCTAGCACAAAACTCTAATGCTTTAGGACAAAATAAGTTTGATATATTTTGTTTGAATTTATCATAAGATATATTTGAAGATTCAAGACGATTTAATAAAATGGTTATCATTTCTTCAACAGTAAATGGTTTAAAATTTATTCTTGCATATCCACATCTAGATGTACATCTAGGTATTAATCTTTCAGGTAAATCCATTGTATTAGCAATAGCAATTATTATAACCTTAGTATTTTTTTGAAATGGCCAATCAATAAGATTATATAATAATGGAGAAGTTTTATAATCTGATGATAAGCTTGAACAACCATTTTTTTGTAACCAATCAATTTCATCTATTACTATTATTGTAACTGGGCTATTATTTGATTTAAAAAATTGATCTAAAGAAGCATAGCAAGAATCTTTAGTAGGAGCCCAATTATTACAACTATAAAGTTGTTGTAATATACTTATATATAAATGATCAGGATTATTTAAGTATAATACATTAATATAACACCATATAAAAGAATGTTTTTGAGTTATTTTCTTATTATTTGAATATAATAATTTTTGTTTTTCTTCATAATCTAACATATTTAAAACATTTAACACTGTTGCTGTCTTTCCTGTACCTGGTAATCCTGCAATAAATAATACACCACCACCTTTTGCCATAATAGAAGATTTAAGATATTTTGTAATTTCATCATGTTGAGATTTTCTACATGGTAAAATTTCTTGAGGTTTTTTGGACCAATGTAAATTATCAATACCAACTTTATTATAAAATTCTAAATCATATTTTATTTGAGAATTTCTTAATTTAAAATAATTAATATAATAACCATAATAATGACTACATTTCATTAAAAAGAAAGGTAAATATCTATTAGGATCTATTGGGATTATTGTTCCACTAGATGTCATCAAAATATAAATAGATATATAATTATCATAAACCTCAATAGATGATGGGAGAATATCTTCATTAAAATCTTTAATATAATCAATTAGTAAATCATCATGATATTTTAATATATTTAAAACTTTTTTTTCATTATTATTTTTATTCTTAATTTTTTTTTTTAAATTTAAACATTGTGGACCTGAATAGATATTAATTCTATCATTAGCCCAATCTAAATATTGCTCTTTATTATTCCATACTCTTATCATTCTTTTTATTACATTAGCATCAAAAATTTCACACTTATCACTTTCAATATATTCCTCTTCATATTGAAATAAATCATGAGGCCATTTAGACTTATCAATTATATTTCCAAATTCCAATATATCATACTCTGAATAAAGCCATCTAACTTCTACCCCTATTAAATCTATATTTGGATCATATAAAAAAGACATTAATTGAGCTGGTCTTTCTTTACCATCTGTTAAATTTATCATCACATAATCACCAATTGTAAATATATTTATACATGTTTCATCCTCAATAAAATAATACAAATACAAGTGATACCCTTGAGGTGTTATTATAGGAGATGGTAATAACTTTGGAAATGATAAATCATTATCTAGATCTATTTTCCTATGTTTTCTTCTTGTTTTAGAGTTATTAGAAAAACTGTCTAATTTTAAATCCTTATTTATATAATGTGAATTACAAACACAACGTCTTAAACCATCCTGTTTAGAAAACTTGTCATCTGAACAATCATTGTTTAATAGTATACCACCCGAATCCTTTAACTCATAATTTAACTTTAGTTTAAATTTGTTAAATTTACCATTATTCATATTCTAATATAACCAGTAACTTGACATTATTTATATAGTAATCATGTGGGGACTTTTATTATAACCGCCGGCTCATTTAAAATTATAATATTTTATAAAAGTTAAAGTTAAAGCTTTTAATATATTTTTATTAAACCTGAATCTATCTTATAGATGAAATATTAAATAATACTGTTATAATTTGATTTATATTTATTTAAGAGTAATAATCTTTTTATCCTGTCTTGATATATTAAAAAAAAAGTCATTTAATTTTTTTTTTATCTCATTTAAGCTAAATAATTCATTTAAATATTTGTTAAATTAACTTTTTTTTTATTTAAAATACTATAATAGATACTTATTTATTTTGTTAAATGTTCTAAATAATCCTAAAATATAAAATTATTGAAAATAGCGCCCAATTTTTGCCGCTATTTGTGTGAGAAAATAGCACATAGGTGCACTATACTGCATTGGGACGATTACTTATATATAGTAAAAAAAAAAAAATTAACTATTTAGAAAAATTGAACGCCTAATATGGTCATTAAAAATGAAAATAATCCAAAGAGGACATTAGAGTCGTGTTTTGAATGGTTTGAAACATTTAAAGCTATAGAACATGGTGATATAGTATGTACTAGTATATATGATGTACTTATTCCTACTAACTTACTTATTTTTATTCAAGAACTATCTCCAATGTTTTTTGCCGATTTTTTATTAACTAATGAACATATTGAAAGTAAAGCTAAGGGTTTACATCTTATAATGGATGGAATTAATGATTATTTAGATGGCCGATTTCATGAAGAAATAGATACATTAGATTATGATTTAATAGTATCTACAATAGAAGATAAAGATCAATCTAAATTATCAGCTTTAAATGAAGCATGTAAATTATTTGGTTTTATAGTTGTATTTGCAGTAGAAAGTGAAAATCATGAAGAAGTAATTAATAACATGATGAATTTAAGTGAAGCTACTCAGATTGAAATGCAACATATAATTCAAATAACAGGTCATTTTGGTGGAAATGAAGAAGGAAGTATATCAGATGAAACTGATAATGGAAATAAATATGAGATAAATAATCATACAAATTCACTATTACAATCTAGAAATTCACAAGGAATATCTCATACAGAGGATCTTGAAAATAGAATAGAATTATTAGAACATGAGCTAAAAGAAGAAAAAGCAGCAAGACAACAAGCTGAAGAAAATGCAAAAAAAGTAGCAGCTAGACCTATAAATGTTTTAGAAGAAACTGAAAAATTAGAAAATGAGGTTTGGTTATTACAAAATGAAAAGGATCAATTAGTTAAAGATAAAAGAGATTTAGAGGTTAAATATCGCAATGATATAAAGGATTTACAAAATGAATTGGAAATGTATAAAAATGAGGCTAGTAAAGTTACTGGTTTAGAACAACAAGTTAAAAAATGGAAAGATAAAGTAGATAGTTTATTAGAGGTTAAAAAACAAAATGAGAAACTTACAAAGCAATTAGAAGATATGGGAGATAAATGTGAAGATGATATAGATACTGAAGGTATAGGAGGTGGAGTAAAAAAAATGTTACAAACTTATAAAGATAGAATAAATTATTTAGAAAATCAAATTAATAGATTAAATCAAGATAAAGAAGATTTACAAGTACTTAATGATAGTTTAAAACAACAAGGTGATCAAATACAAAAAGATATACAAATAAGAACTGGGCAAGTTCAAGTATTAAGGAAAACTTTAGAAGATGCAGGAATACCTATAGCAGCTGATATTGAAGAAATAGATACAACGGGGAGTGATTTCGTTCCTGGTACAACAAATTTTTATATTGCACAGATAAGTATTTTGAAAGATCAATTAAATACACAAAAAGAATTATTACAAAGTGAGCAAAAACGTCTTAAATTGTTAGAATCTCATGGGGTAGATTCGACTGTAGTTGCAACACTCAAACAACAAATTATGATTAGGGAACAAGAAGCTGAATTACATCAGTCTGCTAAGTTAGATATTGAAAAAAGATCTCAAATAGAATTAAGACTATTATCTACTTGTTTACATGAAATGGCTCTAAAATATCATCAATGTAAATCAATAGTTATACAATTAGATGAGGAATTATCAGCATTAAAAAGTAAATATCAAACTTCTAACAAATATAATAATAATAATAATATTAATGATAATACAGGATATAATAATAATGATAATACAGAATATAATAACAATATAGAATATAATAATAATAATAATAATAATAATAATAATAATAATAATAATAATAATAATAATAATAATAATAATAGTAATAATAGTGATCTACAACCAAATTCTGTAATAGAGAACTATTCTGATTCTGATGTAGAAACTAAATCTGAAAAGAATAATTATATTAATTAGATCTTTTAACAAGAATATATAAATAATTTGATATAAATAAATAGAAATATATGTTAAATATACTTTAGGATTCCTCTTTTAATATATCTATTTTTATTTTTTATAAATAATATATTTAAATAATTTAATATAATTATAATAAATAAAGCAATTAATTAGGGGTTCTAAAAGGGATCTATAAAGGACAGTTTCTGTATGTCCTATACACACTTTGCACACAATATCTGACAAAGTCGCTTTTTTTAGATATTTAATAATTAGGGAAAACCCTGAATAATATTAAAGTATATATAAACGATGAATCAAATAGATTTTTCATCAAAAAGTAGTGATGAAACTAATTCAAATTATTATTGTTATTCAATCTTTTTATTTGTAAATCCAACATCTGGAGGTAACAAAGCTAGTATATTTACAAAAGCTGGAATGGAAATGTTTAAAATATCTGATCCTGTATCAGCATCTGTCTATATATATGATATTAGAGATGGAACAAAAGGTAATAAACCCGGATTTCTAAAAGTGAAAAAGATTATTGAGAAATCAGATGGGAGTATGCCTGTATATATAATTGCTGCTGGAGGGGATGGTACTGTTATGTGGTGTGTAAATGAACTTGAAGCAACAGGAATAAATTTTGAATATGTAGTCATTGGTGTAATTCCTTTTGGAACAGGTAATGATTTTTCTAGGGCTTTAAATTGGACAACAATATTAGATAATCCGTTTGATAATGGATTAGCAAGATTTAGAAGTATGATACAGGGATGGATTAAAGCAGAGATTTCAGAACATGATATTTGGACAATAACTGCTACAGTAGATGATTATGGAAGTTTTTATAAAATTGATTCATATTCTAGAAAAAAAAAAGTTGTTAACATCAATAATAATAATACAGAATATAATAATGATCAATATAAAGATAATGAAATAAATATAAATAATACATTAAATTTTGATATTCCAAAAACTTCTAATATAGCAAAAAAATTAACATTTCATATGTCCAATTATTTTAGTGTTGGTATTGAATCAAGAATTGGTATTGGATTTGATATTAATAGAACAAAGAATGCCTCTTTAAATAAATTTAGATATGGAATTGAAGGTATAAAAAGTACATTGAAAAGAACAACTGCAGTATGTGACTTAATTGATAAATGTACAGTAGTAGTTGATAATAATGAAACAAATAATGATACAAACAATTTAGCAAATAACCCTAATAAGGAAAAGATAATCTTTGTAACAGATAAGAGAAAAAAATATAGTAAGAATATTTGTTCTTGTATAAATTCTAGTATAGATAATATTTCAGCTAATCAGGAAATTGAAGAATTTCCATTAACACCATTATCATCTATAATTGTTGAAGATTCACCTCCTATATTGTTACCTTGCACCTCCCTTATATTTATTAATATCCCTTCCTTTGCATCTGGAAATGATATTTGGAAATATTGCAAAGGAAATTGTGGGATAAAATATAAGTGGAAAAGTAAAGAAATTGAATCTATGTTAATAAGTAAACAAAAAATGGGTGATGGAATGATTGAATGCATATCTTTTCCATCAGCTGTTTCAATTGGATTAGAAATGGCTGTTAAAGGTAATGGTAGACGAATTTTTCAAGGAAAAGGTCCTATTAAGCTTTATTTTAGACAGAAAAATTCCCATTCAACTTGTAGAAAGGTATATTTCCAAGTAGATGGAGAATATGTAATTGCTTATTATCCATTATATTTTGAAATATGTTATAAAAGAAAAATAAGGGTTTTACTTGGGAATTTAGGAAAATCTTCAAGTACTTTAAATATTTTCAAACATTAATAATAACATTTAATAGGGAAAAGGAACAGGGAATTTATAAAGATATATAATAATCTGGAATTATTTATAAATTAGAAATTAGGAAAAAGATATCCTATAACTTTTGAAATTTGAGGATCTAAAGTATTATCAAATGTATCTTTTAAAATATCCTTTGAATTTAATACTCCAGGTGTATATGCTATATCTTCATCAGATGTTTCCATTGAATAAGAAGTATGTAAAATATTCATTGTAACTGATATATATGATTTATCTTCATCTTTATTAAAATAATTAATATCTTTATAATTCAAATTTATATCAAATATAGGATTATTAATATTATTTATAACTCCACTTTCTGAATTTATATTAAGTCTATTTCTAACAAATTCATAAAATTCAACATCATCTAATATCCTTTCATAAAATGGTGAACTTTCAAAATTCCTAATAATTCTCATTAAATTATTAAAAAGACATTTACCAATTTGTTTTGCAATAAATGATGGTACTGCTTTAGGAACAAATGATGGTATTGGAATCAATGATTTAGATATAAATGAAATTCTTGTTTTTAAATTATTGCCACCAAATGGTTGAATAACAAAACATAAAGATAGTATATCCAATTTTGAAACATTATTAGGTTGATCTTTTGTCTTAATACCACAAGCAGAATCTGCCTTATCTGGAAATGATACAGCAGTAATAATTACACATGGTTGATTATTAGATGATCTACATATATCTACTGCTACACAATAAAGTGAACATTGGCAAAGCCCAATAGGCCATGGTAAACTAGATGAATGGCTAATAAGTTGACTATATAAACCGATATATGATATACATTCTGAATTAGTAACAAATGGAGCCCAATGTGAATGAAGATTACTTTCATTAACAATACTAATCACATTTACAACATTTGTATCAACTGTAAAATCACATAAAACTTTAAATTCTGAATTTGAATCCATTGCCCACCACATTCCTATATTAGAATCATCTAATGTATTCCATTCAGGATTTTGATTTCCTTTATATAATTCATTATATATATCAGATTCGTCATCTGAAATTTCACTAGAATTATTACTTTTATTCTGTAAAAAATTATGATCTTCTTGTTCATTATTATTAGTTTTTGAATATGATTGCCTAATTCTTAATGCAGATATTAATCCTCTATAACTCTCTGAACATTTAAATATTGTAAATCTTAATCTATGAAGGTGCATATCTGTAACTATTTGTTTAATAAAATTTGCCAATGGATTATTATTACCTAATCCTATACAATTTACTTTAGTTGGAAATTTTATATACTCCAATGCCAAATTTCTATGAGATGAATCAGCAAAACATTTATTATAAATAGATTGACAATTATAAGAAAATATTATACAAGGAAATTCTTCCAATTTATAAAATCTAGAATATGTATCAAAATTATAATTTGAATTAGGTTCCAAATTTAATTTACAAGATCTCTTTTTTTTATTTAATATTTTAGGAAATAATGGATAAGGTTCTAAATATATTTTTGATTTACTAGTATTAATATTTATATTATTATCAGAAGATTTTTGATTAATACGCCATCTTTTAGAATTATTATGTTGATAATTATTATTCACACTTTTAAATGGTATCCCACTTTGTGTCAACTCAACTAATTCAATAATATTTTTATTATTTGAAATAGAACCTAAATTATTTCTGTTCTGAATACGTTTTAAAAATGAATGAGTTCCTTGTTGAGATTGTGTATTATTAAATACTTCATTACCTATTTTTTCACCATTATTAATCAATAATTCTATTTCAATCTTAACTTTATATCCAATATATTCTAATTTTTCTAATACTTCTAATAATAAATATGTTAATTTCATAAATAATGAATATGCTTGAATAGATAAATTCTTATTTAAAGAATTATGAATTTCCTTGTATAATAATTCTAATTTATCCAAATTAGGAATTATCTCTAATAAATTCATATCTAAATTATCATAAGATATATTATATTTACAAATATCTGTTGTAGTTAAAATACTACTAATTGAATTACTTGGTGACATTGGTCGAATTATCCTATTATCTGAATTTATTGTCATATATTCATGTATAATTAAAGATTTATTATCAGATATAGAATTTAATGAAGTATTTGATAATACTTTACTTGGTTCCAATCTTTTACTTGGTTCTAATCCAAATGTACAAATATCTAATACATTAGGATCACAATCAAATAGATCATTATCTATATATTCTTTTGAAGTCATAAATAGAGTAGAACAAGTTATTGTTGAAGTCAATTCCTTCATTATATAAATACCTATTCCATTTTCAGTTTCTTTATTATATTTATTCCTTAATTTCTCCAAAATCGCATTAAGATATTTCATTCTTTAATTGATTTAAGATTATAGAACCTATTAAATAATTAAATAACAAGTCCCATTAGATTTAAAAAAAAGTACATTATTTAATCTATTTAATGGGGATATTAACAGAAAGTATCCAATAATAATAATTTCACTCTAGTCCTAAAAAAAAAAGGAAAGAGAAGGAGAAAAAAAAAATAAAAATAAATGTAGAAATAAAAAGAAAAAAATCTAAACCCTTTGATTTCAATAATTCTAATACTTTAAAATATTATATATACATGTAGCGCCTTAAAAAAAAAAAATAAAAGACACCTTATATTTTGGATAACTAATATTATTTAGGAAATAAATAAATAATAATAATAATAATAATAAATATTTCACTTTTTTTATTCTCTTAAATACATCCTATTTTGTCTTATTTAAAAAAAAAGTTGATAGTGACTGTACATTCTTAGATATTGGACGTTTTATTACATTCTTCCTATACATGTATGTCCCAATATTAGGAGATTCATTTGTATCTGATGATATATTAACTCTCCTATTATCTCTATCTAATACTTTTACTCTATTTATTATATCTGTAGAGTTTTTTTTTGGAATTTCTAATTTCTTATTTTCTTTATTTATAATATTATTTATAATAGTTTCCTTATTTATCCGATCTACTTCTTGGGATATGCAATCTAAAGATAATTCATCAAAATATTCTTGATTAATTTCATTATTATTATTAAAGTTATTGGATAATATATCTTTCTTATTATTATCCCATAAATTCCCTGTTAAACATTCATTATTCCTTCTTTTTAAAGAAGAAATCTCTAATTGTAATTTATTATATTGTTGTTTACAAAATTTATTAGATTCTTTTAATTGATAAAATTTACTCTTTATTTCTCCATACTTAAAACGTAATGTATCATAATGATTTTTTAATTTAATAAATGCTTGAGAAACAACTTTAAGAGATGTAAGCATATCAGAATTAATATTTTTATTATTAGAAGAATTACATATATATTTAATATCCTCTTGTTCAAATGGATTAAATCCAATTAATAAAGATAACTGATAAATACCATCAGTAGAATCAATTTGATCTTCATCATTAAAATTTTTTGTATCATTTAGAAATGATACTAAAGTATTTTGAGCTTGTAATTGAGTAAATTCTTTATTCATATCCATATATTTTTGATTAATTTCAGCTAATTCATGAGTTACTCTTGCTAAATCATCTCTTAAAATTAAATTATTTCTTTCTAAAGATTCTAATGAATCATTTAATAATAAATTTTTTTTATTTAATTTTTCCAAATTTTTTAAAGTATTAGAAAATTCTTCTTTAATTTGTTTATATTCATTATTTAAATCTTGAATTTTGAGATGACAATTTATATTTAAACATATATTAGTTGATTTATAATTTAAAGAATTATGATGATTTAAATTTTTATTTTCAATATCTAATATTAGATTATTATCTTCATTATTATCAACAAGTATATTATCAATTGTTAAATTTACAATATCACATAAAGTTAATATAGAACAAGGAACCCTACAAAGTGGGCAAGTCTGTTCTAAATGATGATTACGATTTAAATCTGTTAATCTAGATAAAACATTATTATTATGATTATCTGAAGTACATCTAGTAAACCACTTTTCTATACATATTTTATGAAAAATATGACCACATACAGTTATTACAGTAAGATTATGTGTTAAATATTCACGACATATTGAGCAATCTGGAATTTTTAATTTATGTATTTTATTTGGATTTTCTATTTGATGAGACTTAAATGTATTTAAATTATCTTCATTTATTTTAATTTCATTAGATATAACTGGAATTAAATTTTCAACTAAGGTCTCATTACTGTTAATATTACCATTTATAGAACTACTTGTTACGTTTATTTCATTATTTTGAGTTTTTTCAACTTTTCTATGTCTCTTCCTATTTTTTAAAGATATTTCATCAATATAATCATTATCTAGATGGAAACTCATTTAATTACTAATATTTTTTTAGATAGAATCAATAATAATAATGTATATAATACCAAATCCAGCACACATTATAATATAATCCATTTAATTATTAATGTTTTTTTTTTTTTAAGAAGAAAAAATAACCTTTATAATAATTGCATAAAAAAATAAACTAGTGCTAATTTTGGCGGTTAAAAAATGGCGCAATGATGGGGTTTTTTTTTTTAATATAAAATATTACAATTTGAAGTTACTTAAAAACTTATTGAAAGTAAATTAATAAATTATGAATATTTAGAATACTATATAATTATACAATTATACTATAATAAATCATGTTAATACGTGGTATATGGTTATTTGGTATAGACAAAAATGGTGAACTTCAACTTATATTAAGCCGGAGATATGAATCTGTCGAATATAGAATATCTAGAATTCTAGGTGAATTCTATACTAATTTACCAGTTGATAAAACAATAAAAGATTGGTTTATAACTGAAGTATTATATGAAGAAATAGCACCTTTTACTGCATCAAGAATACCACCTATATTCCAATGTGATATAGCAAATGGTGTCTTTAAATTAAAAGAAACTGAGAGATTAAATAAATCAATAAATGATAATTTAGAAAATGTATTAAATATATCACATGAAGAATTATTATTTTATATGGTTAAAGAAGATAATAAAATAATATGGCCATTTATTTATTCATTTAGAAATGGCTATTTTATATTAATATGTATATCTTTAGCCGAAAGTTTTTCTTTGAATAAAACACTTTTAGAAGATTATAAAATATATTGTAAATCTTTAAATATCAATAATAATAAATTTATTATGGATTTTTTTGAAATTAGAAGTTGCATACAATTTCTAGATGATTTGTTTGATATTCTAAATTTAGATAAGATTTCAGGTAGAATAACAAGAACAGAAATACTTGAAACATGGAGATTAATGTTTCCATTTGGTCGTCCTATAATTAATAAAGAGTATTTACAAACTTTAAGAGTAGAAGATCTTTCAATACCTAAAAATATGATAAACTTATTACTTGAAGGTAATAAGAGTAGTATAAATCATATGCCATATAAAATAAATGAAGATAAAATAGATGAAATATCTAAAAATAGTAGTAATAATATTATTAATATAGAATATAATAATAATAATAATTTAATAATAAAAAATAAACAAACAAATTGGATTCATGGTAATATAAAATTAATTAAAAGTTTTAATAATAAAAATAAAATAAATACTATTTCTAATATAAAGAATAATATAGATGGAATAAATGATATAATTGGTATTTCTAATATAATTAATTTTAATAAATTATCATCAATAAATATAACTAAAAAATCTTCAGATTCAATAAATACAAATTTATATACATCATATTCATTAAAATTAGAAATTTTTGAAAATATATGTTGTTTTATTAAAGATCATCCATTAATTACGAAAATTAATCCTTATTATGGATATAAATATTCAGATGAAAATATATTTGAAAATTTGTCAGATAATATGAAATCACAATATACTAATTTTGTATTAGGTAAATTTGAATGGTATAGTACATTACCCTCTTCTATAAATATATCTTGTGAAATATTATTACCATGGCAAAAAATATATAATTATAATAATTCTAATGAATTACAATTACAATATAAATATATTGAACCATATATTCTTGTAAATAATAATATAACATGTACTAAAATATCTACAGAATTTATTAATAATAATGGAGATATTATTAATTCAAATCAAAAAAATTCTAATTCATGTATAATTAATTGTCAATCTTGTAATATTAAGCCAATTTCACGTTTTAAATTACAATGGAATTCTAATCAATATAATAATTCTACAATTTGTTATTATTGGTATCCATATCAAAATAAATTACCAATTAAAGGATATTTTTCAATATATTCTGAAACTGAAAAACCTATAAAACAAATAACTCAAGCTCATAATCATTTTAAACCTATATTATTACATACTTTCTTATTTGAATATTGTTTATGTTTTTATCCAAATATTATTTTAGGAATGGAATTTTGTCAAATATCTATACCTTTATTACCTAGTATTATACGTAATAAGAATTTATATAATATACCAAATTTAACTATTAATAGCCATACATTGAAATGTACTATGGGTTATTTAAATATATCATCAGATAAAAAATCTATTTTATGGACTATTGATAATCCATCTGAGATAATTGGATCAAAATTAAGAAATGATGATAATTCTATTATTCAAACAAGATTATATGGTAGTATTACTATTCGTATATTATATAAATCTAAAACAAAAAATAAAGATTTAAATATAATCAAAAATAATAATATTATATCATCATATTGTATGAATATAGGGATTAATATTGGAAAACCATTATATAAAGAAGAATCTTTATATATAGCACCAAATTCATTTGATATTGGAATACATTCTTTATTTAATTATTCAATGCAAGATATTGATCCTATATGGCTTCTTGAATTACATCCTAGAATTATTAAATTTTTAAAAAATCTTTCAAAATATCCAAAAAGAGATATTTATTCACAATTAATAGATATAATATTCTCATACTCACTTATAACATTTAGTGTAATTAATCAAGATCATACATTTAATGGTATTAAAATACCACATGAATCAATTACTATTAATCCTAAAGTATTACAATCTGAAAAGATTAATATTATTACTAATGCTGGAAAATATATTATATGGAGAAATTTCTAATTATATTAGATTCAATAATATAAAGATTATCTTTTATAAATTAAATTAATTAAAAACTTTCCTTTTCTCTTTTTTTTCTATTATATTTATTTACTATAACTTCTATTTTTATTTAATTCACATTATTATATAATTAACATAAAATAAATTTTTAATAATAATATAAATAAAAAGAATTGAGATTTAAATATTTCAAATTTTAAAGACATCTCGAATTATAGAGTGGCAGTACCGCGGTTATACCGCCCTAATAAGGTACTACCACGGATATGTGGCTCGATATCCTATAGTAGTACACATTTCTAATTAAATTTCTGAAATATTTCTATTTCTAATATCTATTAAATATTTTATAACTAATTTAAAATGTCAATTTTGAATCTATTATCTACAATTTTAATTGGATTATTAACTTTATATGGTCAGGTATATTCTGAATATATTACTGAAAATACAGTAGAATCTCAGACAATAACAAAGTCATTATATAGAGGATCAATAAATAGTGAAAATTTAATTGAATGTACTGAAGGATTATTAAATTGGCTATTATTTTCAAAGGATATAATATCTAGTATATTAGTAAATAATAATGGAAGTCCAGAGAAATTCGATTCTATGGTATCATATTTAATAACACAATTTCAGACAATTAATGGAAGTTTTGAGGATTGTAAAAATCAATTATCAAGATATGGATTTATTGTACAAAATAAGGTATCATTATCTGATATTATACAACATCACAATAATACAATAAATAATATGGACAAATTATCTGAAAATCTTTCTACTGAGAAATATAATGAGTTAATGGAAGTTAGAAATCAAATTCATTTAGTTAGAAATAGCTTGGTAAATTTTAATATTGGTAATTATTGTGATGAATGTAAAGTTTTCAGAGCTCAATTAGCACTTATTAATTTAGTACTTAGATGGAATTCAAAAGTTGAGAATGAACTAAAAACAATTCAAGCTAGTATTGAACCTAAAAAATCTGATAAAAAAATCTCTAAGAATTAGTTGTTTTAGATTTTTATTATATGAAAATATAATATGTAATTTAGGATTTAAATAAAATAATTATCTGTAATTATTATTTATTATTTTCTATAATCTTTATTTTTATTATTACTTAAAAAATAAAAAAATATAAAAAAGAGAAAAAAAAAAGAACTAGCTTTAGATATATTACTATATTTCATTATTAGAATTTAAAATCTTCTTTGTTTTTCCATAAGGTTGTTCTACATTACCAATAATATTAATATTCATTGATTTCTTGTGTGTTAAAGAAATAACTGAGCATTTTGATTTCTTTGTTCTTCCTTCAAAATATTGTCTCATTAAAGAATTTGATGATTTATTCTTTCTAAGTTTAGAACTCTCAACCTTAACAAGATTTGTTTTAGATAAACAAAGACTTGATTTTAAGTCACTATTTGCTAATTTTTTTTCGAATTTCTTTACATTTTCTTCCTGATATCTAAGAAAAAAATTTCTAAAACTTTCATTGGTTCTTTTCATATTTAGAATATTTGGACTACTATTAAATTTTATTCTAACAGCTGTTTCCCATAAACTTTCCCATAATTTACCATTATCTTTTTTAAAAATTGTATCAATACCTGGATTTTTTGTCTCAGCTTGTAATAATTCATAACAAGTACATCCTTGATATATCATATATATCAAATGAATTGATATATCTTTTAGATGTAATTCACTTATCTCATTTCTAATACATCTTATTTTTCTTATACATAATTTAACTAGTGATGGAAATTCACGAGATCTATTTACAGATTCTCTAAGTAAACCTGTACAAGATAACCTCGGGTTAATTTTGACCATTTATAACATTCATTAATCTCCCTTATTTTCTTTTTTTATTTATATATTAATTAATACCACAAACTCCCTTTTCTCCTAACTTCTCTATTTATAGTTACTAATTTATAGTGTTTATTTCCTAATTTAAAATTGGATTCTAAAAAGTTTAAGTGGAAACCAAGCGCCTTAATGTAAAATTATACTTACTGTATTGTTGAGTTATGAGGTATTATCAGATATCCTTATATTTAAGTTTTAAATTATTTTCTTTCTATTATATTAGCCTTCTAACTTTATTTTATTACTATTTAATAAAAGTATAATTATATTTTAATAATATTATAATGTAGTTAAAGAACCTATTATAGTAAAACCCTAATTCGATATTAGCGCTATTTTAAACCGCTTATATATTTATAAGGCGGTTATATATTTTTGATTTTAGATCTCTAATAATATTATGTATATTATTAAAAGTATTATCGATCTCAATAATTTTTTTATAAGGGATTAATGAACAAAATTTTTAAGTTTTTATATTAATAACTTAATAGTGATCATTTTAAAGAAATCTTATGAAATTTCTTTAATTTATAAATCTTATTTATTAACTTTCCAAGAATACAACCAATAATTAATTTAGTGATATTATAATGTGGTATCCGCTTATTTTTCCAATACTTATCACATTACTATTTATCCACTTATCTCTTTTTTTCTCCTCTTCAATATCGAAATATTTAAGATAATATTGAAATTTAGCAATAAATTCCTTATTTATAATTATCTCTTGGAAATATATCAATATTGGAATTCTTGTTAAAAGGTTACTTTATAAATTCCTAGTTTCTCCTCGAAATCTAATCTAAGTAGTCTTATTCCTTTAAAATTAATTTCATAATCTTATATGAGATCTATATTTCGTATACCTATATATTTAATATATGTACTATACTTTAATCTATTATTTGAAATAAGTATTAACATATATAAATCATCAAGTAATAGAAGTATTGCTCAAATTACCCCAAACATTGATTATTATGATGAATATAATACTAATAACGAATATAATAAACTAATAGAAACAATGATTAATAATAATTATAATGAAATTGACTCAACACCTATATCTAATGATTTTTCCAGACATTCAATTACTCGTAAACCAAAAAGGATAAAAAATCGACGAAAAGGTAACATGTCAGAATATAAATATAATCAACTAAGAAGATGTCAATTGAATATTATTAATTGGTTTCAAATCCTTTCGGATTATATTTATTTCTCTTTCAACTCTTGTTTTTTTCCAAAAATATTTCATAGTGTTTATTTTGATAGCTTTATGTTATCTCTTAAAGTTTTGAATTGTAATCTGGAATTTTGTAATTATAAATTAAGAAAGATTAAGTCCAATGAAGATTTTATTCCATTAAAATCTCTTAGTCTTAATATTAATATTGAAGATTCTACACTAATATCATTTCCTTTTCAAAAAGGAGAATTTATTCATTTATTAAAAGAAACAAGAGTAGAGATTAAAAATAAAGTTTCTTCATTAAAATTAATCAAGACAAGAATTTCTAAACATCTCAATTACCGATATTGTTCAGAATGCCTTTATAATAATAATATAAATACATTATTGAATATTATATCAAATTTATTAAGGATTTATGAAATTATGGAGTCAAACTCCAAGTTAAGTTATTATAAATAGATATTTTTATCATAATTAGATCAATATATAGTTATGTAATTATCCATTTAAACTATATATACATTATTGATAATTTCATATTAGGAATTCTTAAATATAATGTTTATCTTTAATGTAAATAATAAAATGTAATTCTGTATTATCAAATATTTATAGTTTGTAATAAGTAGATATTACATTATTATATTCTGTATTATTATTGTTATTAAAGATAATTATTTACTAAGTATTTAGAATATATTAATATATAATTGTTAATTAAAAATTTTATACATCATTAATAAGAGTTCTAATATATCTAATAAAAAATAAATTAAAAAAAAAAAAAAAATAAAAAGAAAGAAAAGTTAATCTCTCATAACTTTATAATAATATTAGATACTGAATATTAAATTATATAATACTAAAAATAATTTTTTATATTCCTCCTTTAATGTTGAATATAAAATATTTCACTTACACTAAAGTATAAGATATATCTTATATGTTATATATAATACTTAACTATATAATTATCTTGATTTAATCTAGAGGGAGAGATACTTATTACTGTTAATATTATCTACTGTGGGGGATTTCTGTATATAAATTTATAACTTTAACTTTACTATCACTATATTGATAATTAAATTATTATTTATATATTTACTAATAATTATCTATAATATGATTGTGATACGAAATATTTTATATATTACCTTTATTTACTTTATCTTTGTAAATTATATTTTATTGGATATAAATAATCTTAATTATGACAATAAACATATTAAAGGATTTACAGTACAAATAATAATGACTAATGCTTTATCAATAAGTATTTCCCCAAGTATAAGATCTGTTAATAATAATGATAATGGTGATAATGGTGATAATGGTGATGATGGAGGTAAAAGTAAATCACCTAGATCTTTATCAGATCCTACTTCTAATCGTCCAAAAAAAGTAGATCAAAGGGCTTCTCAACCTATTAAATTAAACTATAATACTTATAGAAGCAGTGTTACTGATCTTCTTGAATGTATTGATTATTTACTTGAATTGTTGGAAAAGCTTATATCAATGTCACAATATCGTCTTTCTCTTGGTATGATCTCTCCTCAATTATATACATTATTTGTTAATAATATAGGGAATTCTATAATTAAGATAGAAGACAGTATTCAAGAATGTACTAGAGAACTAAATGAAAGAGATATTTCATTTACTACCCTAACAACACCACAATTATCTATACCTTACATAGAATTACCAACATTTGATAGTGTAACTGCTGGTGGTGATCCTAATTTAATTAGTAGTTCAATTGGAATATATACAAGTATTTTGCATGATATTAGAAAAGTTAAAGATGATTGTGAGAATGAGGAAAAATCAATAAAATATCCTGTTAAGAAATGTTTTGAATGTCATTATTCAGCTGCAATTTTAACATATTTATTATCTATTAAAAGATTAGTGTTTGAACTTAGTACGGCAGAAATTGATTACCAAGGATTAATAAATATATTAGTTGGAATGGATGAATAATTATATATGAAATAAGATTAAGATTGAATTTGATACTAATTAGTATTTATAATAAAATTCTTTTAATACAATGTGTAATATTACTTGGGATATTTTTTTAGAAAAAAAAGGATATAATGGGTAATTTAGTGAATATTTATACTTGGAAATACTAGGTACTATTTAGAGAGAAAAAAATATATTTGTTGAAAAAATAAAACAAAGAATTTATTGTTTTTTTAACATAAAGAAAATTGTAATATATCCTTAGCAAAAGCATCTTGTATAGCTTTATTATTATACAATAAGATATTTTGGATTTCTGTTTGTAATTCTTCCTCCGTGATTTCATTTAAATGATATTTCCTAACGAAAGTAACTAGTGATAAATATGAATTTGTAGGTAATACTTGGCTTATTTTATACCAAATTTTATCTTTATAAATATCTTTACTTACTGAATTTATTTCATGATTACTATAATTTAAGTGATTTGATTCTATTTTATGACTTAATAAATTACTGGATAAATCATTAATATTAAAATTATTATCGACTTTTTGATTTTCAGAGAATTCTATATTTTCATTTTGTTCAATTAATGATGGTGTTTTATTTGTTTCTTGATTTGGCAGTCCATTAATTATATTATAAGAACTATCAACAATAATGTTATTATTGGTATATGGTATATCTATTATATTATTTGAATTTATCAATTCATAATTTGAACTACTACTACAATTTATTTCACATAATTCTAATCGATTCTTTAATTTACAATAATCTTCTCTTATTGACTTTAATTCATTATGTGTATTTAAGATATTTAAGCCTTGTTTTTTACATTTATTTTGTAGATTCTTTAATAAAAAGATTAAGTCACTTTTTTCATGATATAATGATTCAATTAATCTATTATTAAGTTCTAACTTATTGGTTAATTCATTAATTTTGTTATTTTTGATTTCAATTTCAAATTTGAGATGTTTTAACTTATCATTATACTCAATTTGTAGATTATTAAAGGCTTCACCAGATAATTTTAATGCTCTTTCTTGAAGAGATAACCAATTATTAGGTTCTGTATCTATATTATTCATAACTCCTATATATAACTTGTACTTAGATAAGAAAAGTTAAGAGATTATTTAGTGATTAATATATATATTGTATATGAATATATATATATATATATATATATAATTCCCCAAGTTCATCTATTTAATATAAAGTAATTGTGTGAATAAATAAAATGATGTGTGCTCCTTTATTACATGTTTTTTTATAAGGGGGGTGTAACATATTGTCTCAATAATATACTAATTCTAATAGTTATGAAAATAGATACAATAATTTACATTATTATATAATCAAATAAAGTAAAAATAAAAAAGAAAAAAAAGATTTAATAGCATTAGAATAAATATATGTAATAATTTTTACTATTATGAAATATCCTATATAATATAAAAAAAAAATTGATAATTAATTATTTGCATTATAAAGTTTTTTATAACTCCAATTATTTTTATCAAAAGGACTTAACGAATTATCAGATGACTTAAATTTTCTTTTTTTTGGTGTTAATAATAACTGATTATTTTTAATTGTATTATTAATATTTTCATTATTTGTATAAGGTTTATTGCAATTATTATCCCCCAATATATGAACTTTTTTATTTTGTTGTTTTTCTAAAAATATTACTTGATTTCTTACCATTGATATAATTTTTGTTAATGATGATGATGATGATGATGATGATGATGATGAATTTGATGAAGAGTTTGAAGATAACAATGATAGACTTTGTTCATCTAAAATTTTTGTATATTGATTTGTATATTTTTCATTTAGATATATAGATTCATTATAAGGTTTTAATGAAATAATATTTCCACGTGAAATTGAAGTTTTTAAATTTAAATTATTTTGATTATCTCCATATATATGAATATTTCCATGATTGATATTTTCGTTGATTGTAAAATTTTTACAAAATGCATCATTTTCTTCTATATCAAATAATGGTGATGGTGATAAAGCTTTTATATCATTTTCATATTCATCTTCATTAATAATTTCTTCTATATTCTTAATTTGTTCTATTTCCTTTATTTCTATTATATTAGATGTATCAGATGATTCACTATATTGTGAACCTTCAAATATACATTGTTCATTTCTATTTATATCCAAATTATTTACTTTATAAGATGAAATAGATTCTTTTTTATTTGATTGATTTTTAAGAAAATCAAAAAATTTAGAATTACTATTATTATATGAATTTTTTAATTCGTTAATATTTTCGACTATTTCTATATTATTGTTATTTAATTTATTCATATTTGATGAATTATTTTTATAATTAAAATATTCAATAGAACCACAAGATTCTGTTTTCTTATTATTATTATATAAATTATTAATATGTTCTCTTGTATTATTTAATAAATTATTTTCTAAAGTATAAATATCATCATGATATATATAATTTGTCAAATCAACATATTCATATGCAGAAGATGATGTTTGTTGCTGTTCTGATTCAGTTTGATCTATATTTGTTGTATTTTTATCTTCAAATAAGATATTATTATTTTTACAATTATTTAGATATTTTTCGTCTATATTTATTTGTGAAATTGTATTAGATCTATCTTTTCTGTTATTATTCTTTATTTGTATATCTATATGAATATTAGAATTATCAATACTATTTAGTTGTTGCTGTTGTTGCTGTTGTTGCTGTTGTTGCTGTTGTTGCTGTTGTTGCTGTTGTTGCTGTTGTTGTCTTTGTCTTTGTTGTCTTTGTCTTTGTTGTCTTTGTTGTTGTCTTTGTTGTTGTCTTTGTTGTCTTTGTTGTCTTTGTTGTCTTTGTTGTCTTTGTCTTTGCTGTCTTTGTCTTTGTTGTTGTCTTCGTCCTCTCCGTTGTAATGCTTCAGAATCAGATTCACTACCATTATTATAATCACTATCATTAATAGAAACAACCCTAATTCTTGTATTCCTGTCACGAGTACTTTGTCTAGTATTCCTTCTATTCAATGAAGAATTATGAATATCTATTCTATATTCTGAACTATTATTTTGTACTCTTCTCGTACGCCTATTATTTGTTCTTCTTGGACGTGAACATCTAGGACAGAACCATTCACCACTAGGTACACTATCAAGAGGAGGATCTAAACAGTAAGTATGATATCCACAATCACAACCATCACATAATAATAACACTTCTTCATGATCATTTAAATGACAAACTTCACAAGCAAAGTCAGCAAAAGGATCATCACCATCTAATTCATCATTATTTAATGTCCGTCTTTCAACTGGTATAGTTATTATTGCAATTGAATTTTCAGTTGGTATATGATCATAACCAATAATTGTTTCAAATTCACGTTTACATAAAGGACATTGTGTTGCAATTTGGGCCCATTGTTTTATACATGACAAACAAAATATATGTTTACAAATTAAAAGACCACCAATTAGAGAATCCTGTAAATCCTGTAAATTATCATTATTACTTTTTATTGTCGTTATTTTTTTTATTAATTCATCTAAAGGAGTCAAACATATAGTACATTCAGTTATATATGATGATAATAATAATGATGTAGATGATGATGATGATGAATCATTGTGATCAACAGAATTTATTATTCTAGAATTAGAATTTAAAATTCCATAACGACTTCTAGTATTTGGAGTTTCTATTCCACGATTTTCATTACGTAAAACACTATTCTGTCTACATGTATATATAACTCTTCTTAAAGATGAATGAGTTTTTAATACATTTTGTTTATTACATTCTTGTTCATCTAATTTTTTATCATGGCTATATTCTATTATATTTCTAGACAAATCTTCAGATTCTCCTACACAATCCACACAGTTATCAGAAATAAATAATGAATCAATTTCATTAGAATTGACCAATATTTCATCAATAACATCCACATTATCAGATATTAAAGCAATATTATTATTTATTATAGGAGTAGTATTATCTCTAAAAGTCTCATCATCAAATTCGAGCATTCAGATATAAATCAATTAATATAAATAATGCAAATTACAAGTTAAGAATTATTTATCTTATCCTGTCATTAATAAAATTCCAAGTTTCTCCTTTTTGATATTTTTATTTTAAAAAAAACTTCATAATAAATTTTAAAACATTTGGCGGTGAAATTTTACCGCCATTGAACCAAATTATATTTAAATGAGCTGTTGTAATATTTTAAATTGTAGTATTGTTCATGTTTTTTTAATAATTAATTTTATATATTTCAAAATTATAATTGGATATACTGAGAATAAATATAAGCAACTTTTAGTATCTGAAGAAGATACATTAAGTAACAACGATTTATCTAATCTTAGTATTATTTCTACTATACGATGTGATTTAATAAGTAATATACATAGATATCAGGAAAAATTAATTACTAATCAGAATAATTACTATATTAACCACTTATATATACTAAATTCAATTAAGTACAATAGTGATACATAGTATCAGGAATATTGATCCTAATTTTTATTTAAAAAAATCCATATATATAATGAAATATATATAAAAGTAGGAAAAAAAAGGGTATTATAATAATGGAATATATAATGTAATATTTTATGTAAAAATAAAAAATAAGCTTAAAGAAAAGGAAATACTAATAACTAACTTAAATGAAATTAAAAATAGATTGGAATATTATAGACTATACCAAAAATTAATTTTAATATTAAAATAAAGAAAATATTTATTATAATGGAGAGGGATTATTCTTTAAATCCAAATATTAAAAAAATGGTAAACCTCTTATATTAAATATCAAGGAAATTTAAAGAAAAAAAAAGTTATTTCTATATACCATTAATATACAATATAATATAGAAACTTTTAATTTAATAGAAAATAGAATACCCATAAAAAGATTTAGAGAAATTATCTAATACAACTCTAATGAAAGAATTAAAATATAAAGTATAAAGATGTAATAGAATAGAAGAAAGTTCAAATGAAATATATTATTGAATATATGACAAAGTATAATTTAGAAACCAAGTTAGATTATTCTAATTCTATAATATTTGGTAAATTAGCTTATTATAATAATCTTATAGAAAGTATTAATATAATTACATTTGAATTGGATTCTAGTAATAGTATTTGCCAATTTTGTAATGATGGTTCATATTTAAAATATAGGAATGAGTTTTAAGGAATTAAACAAAGAATTGTTTATAAAATTAAATTTATATTCGATATTCTATAAATAAATTATCTGAAAAACTGTAATTATGATGTTACTTATAATTTAAATGAAAAAATTAATAAGAATATAATAAAAGAAACTATTAATGAATACTAAGAAATACTAATAAATAAATTAAAAATGAAAAAATAGAAAAATTTGAATATTTATATTTTAAATATTTAGAATATATAAGTGAATATAATTTTACTAAGAAATATAAAGATAAAATTGGTAAACTTATTGATAAAATAAAACAACGAATTTCAGAAATATAGAAATATAAACTTGATATATGTAAGAATAAGAAATTATAATATATTTTTACAAATTAAAAAATTAAAAGTTTATTAAGTTAATTATATTATTCAAAGAATAATGGTAAGGTAATTTTACAAATGGTGTAACGTAAGATGAAATGATATAGAAATAAGTCAAATTTAAAAATGGGTATGTAATAAATTAATTAGATTAATTAAAAAAAAAAACAAGATTAACATAATTTGGAAGAATTAGATTGTATACCGAATACTATTTTGAGTTTACTAATACAATACCTGAAAATATATAGTAAAATGGTCAAAATAAAAATTAGTCTAGTCTAAAAGGAATTGTCAATTATAATAATACATGAATAGTTCTTGTAAAAAATGTATATATATAAGAATAAAGGAAGAACTTCAATCAAACATAAACATAAAATATTACAAAGAATTACTTTATAAATGAATATTTGATAAACTGTGATTATATTGAATATAGCCCATCCAATTTACTAAAAGATATTTAATAATATTCAAAATTATATTGTAAATATATAATAACATATAAATAATTAAAATTATTTTATTTTAAAATATAAAATAATATCAAAGTATTTAACTAGTTATTATAAACTTAAATTTAAAGAGTTATTATTATGTATTAATACATTAAAATAATGAAATATAGTTTATTTTGAATTTAACTAGAAGTTATAAATATTGAATATACCTGATATTACAAAGTTGAAATAATAAATGTATTAAATTTGGAAATATGAATAATGGAACTATACCTATTGAATAAATTTAAATAGCTTCTTACTATAAAAGATATTACTAAAGGATTATATTCAAGAATATAAAGCGGAATAAAGTTTATAAATTAATGAACAATATAACCAATTTAATTATTTTTAATAAATTATTTTATTTATAATAATTATATAATTTATTGTAATATTATTTTTATTATAAAAATTTATTTTCCTAAATATTAATATTATTACAAAGTTATATATATATATATTGATAAAATTATTAGATTATAAAATAAGTTATTATTTATCAAGTATAACATCTTTCTGAATATATATTTAAATGATTTATTTTCATATTGTCATATAATTATATTCTTAATAATCAGAAATGCATACAATAGCTATTTTAAATTACTTATTAAGTCCAAAAATAAAGATATGCTCAAAATATTAAATTTTCTAGTTATATTATTATAATTTGAATATATGTTATATTATTAATTAATATAAATAATAGTGATATGAGATAGTGAATATAAAGTGAATTACTTATTATTCAACGTTTAAAATGAAATATTTACTGATTAAACTACTATACAATTTTATTAAATAGGGAGATATTCCATTAATACATATTGTTTATAGGTTGATAGATTCAGTAAATAGAATGATCTCAAATATTGTCTTTTAAAGTATAAAGAACAAATTAAAAACCAATTTTAGTTCTAAGCCAATGACGTCTCTTATTATTGTACCTATTAAGGATAACAAAAGATTATTTAATAAGAACATATTGGAATATTATAAGTTTTAAATAAAAAGAACTTACTTTATTTTGTTGTCTGTCTTCAAACGACACCAATGTGGAACTGGCTTATTTTGTTTCATCTTTTTACCAAGACGTCTCTTTAACATAAAACCTTTATTTGCACCCATTTATTAAAGTACAATTAATAATAATAAGATATTAGATATACTGAAGTTACTTTCTTTAAAAAATATTCTTAAATCTTGACCTTTAAGATTTCCCTCTCAATTTTTGCTTTATTTTATTAATAAGAGCAAATGTCTATTAGTACAGAGGTATGTATAAATAGATATTATATAATATTTGATTTAATTAAGCAGACAAATATATATGAATAAGGTAATAATTAAGCTATTAGACGTTATTGCGCTATTTAATGTAATTACACTAAATAGTAATACTTATTTAAGTTATAACTATTTTTATTAGATAAAATACTAGAAATTCTAATAGTAAATATTATTTTATATTGGATACCGCTTAATGGAGACAAGGAGGTACCTATTTGGTATTTTTGTGTGAGGCGCGTAGTTAATATATGATCAAAGATCTAGAAGATTTAGAATAGATATTTTAAAAAGTTAAATTAAGTATATTATTAATATCTAATAAATAATTTATCATTGAAAGGTACAAGTGTATATTATCAATATAATATACCTAAGGAATCACTTTATTAAATTAATATTTTATTAGTCAAATGTCCCTTTAATATGGAAAGTAGATTTGAAACGTAGATTCAATATAAATTATATCCACAAAGAGATCAAAATGATCAATTATTTCCAATGAAACTCAATTGTAATTATGAACTACAAAAATTATGATTATATTTAAACCTTCATATACAAAGGGAACAAAAATTGGAAATAGGATATAAAAATTCAAACTATCCTCAAATTGAAAATATAAGGATAATATATTTCTTTTAAATTCAAAAATGTAGACTTGTAATATTTCTTATTGTATATTAAATAAATAGTGTATATTTGAAGCTGATACTACCATCATATATTTAATAGTAAAATATTTAATTGGTAACTTTTTATTGTTATTTTATTACCAAAAAAAGTTAAGAAATCACTTGAAAATGAAATTTAGGGTATTTGGTTGTAATAAATTATTTAAGATATGATTCTCTATTATAAAAGTTTTCTTCTCTAATTGTCTGTTGCAATTAACTCTTGAATAGTTTCTATTTCAACTTCAATAACTTCCTCCTGTTCTTCCCATTGGAATGAATTAATAAGAGCCTCCTTAGATAAGAGCCATTCATGATATTCAGGTTGTTGAATCTTCCAAATATGAATCTTTTCTAATACTTGATTAAATTCATCTTCAATTTTCTTTCTCTTATTTAATATTGCATTACGTCTTTCAGACTTTATAGCTTCATCTTCAATATCAAATTTCTTGCTATAATCTTTAAGCTTCTTTGGTATTTCTTCCTGTTTCTCTAGTGATAAAAGTGAAGGTGGATGAGGTCTCCAAATAAATTGATAAAACATTTCCAATGGGGAATTGTATAATTGTCTTCCTTGGAAAGACCAGATAGTATACCCTGTTTCAGTACTATATTTATAAGCTCCTTCAGCAATTTTTGACTGAAAAGCTGTTGTAACATATCTTCCAGTAGGATCCCATTGTATTAAATTACACATAAAGTGTTCATCTTTTTGCAAAATATCAAATTTATTTTCACTTGTAAGTTGACAAAATGTTAGAGTACCCCCAGATCCTCCTAAAACAAAATAACTTCCTAATGGACTCCATTGAATTACATCAATTGAATTTGTTAAATTAAATGAAGTAACAAAATCAGTTTGTGTACTATTAACTTGATAAAATCTAAGACTTTGAGAATGGGTGTTATCATCAGAAACAACAATTGCAAATCTATTTGAACATTCCCAAGAAAAATAACGAACAGTTACCCCTTCTACATGAATAGTATCAACTGGTATATTCTTCTCTTTAACCCTAAATATTTCCAACTGAGTATATTCTTTTTTTGCCTTCTTTCCAGCTTTTCTAGATACAAGAGCTTTTAAACACATATAATGACCCTTAGGTTGCCAATAAACAGAGGCTTCACGGACATTAAACACATTCTTAATAGCTAATTCCTTTCTAGATGGAATAGAAAGCAATGTTAGACGTCCTGGAGTATCACCTCTCTCAGGACACCATACTGACAAATTATTCTCTTCAGGTGACCAATCAAAAAATTGTAATGCATATTTTAAAGGAGCTTTTCTACCAGTCTCTGGTTCTTCTATAAGATTCATTGTAGAAGATTCATATACAAATAATTCACTTTTATCTGAACAATAAGCCAAATAATTACCAGAAGGACTCCATAAAAAGAATTGGTTATCACTACCTTTCAGAGAAACTGAAGGAGTTGAAAAAGATCTAAGAAGTCTTCCCGATAAGACATGCCATATCCTAATAGCTCTATCATAACGTGTATCTGATGGTGAACCATCCCAAGTTAATAGATATTCTTCATTAGGACTAAAATCTATAAATTTAACATCCTTATGTTCAAATCTAACTTTTTTATCCCAATTATCACCACTCCATAATGCAACTCCTTGACGATGAAAAGTTACTAAATAAGATCCCATAGGACTCCATTGTACAGAAAAGTCAGTCCATACTCTTTTCCCTTCTTTTGCTCTTTCACCATCATATACTAATTCCGGTTTTCTTTGAATAGAATCATATGAATAAATTTCAGTAGAATTCTGATATCTAATTACAAAGTTCTCTTTACATCTGCTTTCCATTAACCAATCCCTAACGTCATCTCTAGCAAATAATGAAGGTGGTGGATATAAAGAGTGTAAATATTCAGTAGATACATCATCCTTACTGAGAATCTTCTCAATATCATCAAACATAAAAGTAATTAAACATGTTTGTTTATCAAAAGGAGCTTTTGATAATGCATGACAAGCAGCTTCAGCCTGGAAATTATTTTCGAATGTTAATAACCCAAAACCTAAAGTATTCCCATTTTCATCTTGAGGTATTTCTAATAAAAAATTTTCATTATATTCAATACGTCTCAATTTTAAAGTTTGATTCATAATTGTACGAACTGCTCTTACAAAACGATCATACTTATCTGCTTTTACAATAGGAAGGCCTGCTACAACAAAAGTTTTTGAAAATGACTCAGACAATACCAAAGGAGTTTCAATTTCCATACACTTGTTATTAACATACTCTTCAGAATTATTACCTACATCTGTAGAATCACTCAAATAATCAAGTAGTTCCACGTCTTCTCCTAGGTCCTCACGTGATACACGTAACATTGTACATCTATCTTCAAATTCTGCTTTATAACTTAAATGATCTAGACCCAATTAAATACAAGCAATATAAATTTACCAATGCTATTTCTACAAATTTAGCAAAAAAAGATCCTTATATATAATTCTCTCTATTACACTGATTTTTAAATTACCACTTAAATATGGCCTCCTAAATACGCTGAAGACGTGTTTACTTTTTACATTTGGCGCCAAATATGGTACCGATTATTTAAAAGGTTTATTTCTATTTCTTACTAACTTATTTTTAACTTATATAATATTTATTTATTTAGTTATTTATTATTATCCAATATTCACTTATTATTTCTTTATTGAATATGATGTTAATAAAGGCTCACTTTTTTTTTCTTTAATAAGTTATTCTAAATAGTTATCCTTTATTTAAAAAGAATAATACTAATATTGACTATTTTTAGTAATATTATACACTGAATTATTAGTGTCAACAATTATATTACTAGATTTAGTTTAAAAGTATGTAATATTATGAGCTATTTAGATCATATATACTATATAAATCTATATTGTTAAAACAAAGTCATTACTTTAAATTAAAATATAATATAAAATCCAGAATAAGTAATTCCTTTTAATATTATTATATATTAATAATTCAGATATTATTAAATATATTTTCAATATCTTATTAAAATTATTAAGATTTTAGTAATTAGTGTTAAACTAATTTTTAAAATAGAAGTTTAAAAAAAGAAAAAGAAGTTTGCATGCACACATGCAATACATGTATATATAACAGCTTTACAATAATACATGCAAAAGTCTTACTAGGATAAATACATTCGAGATTCTAAGGTTATTATATTAGCTTCAGTTTCAATAAAATATAACTAAAAATTAATGTATAACTTCAGAAATTATATATATATAATTTTTTTTTTCAACAGCTTGTTATATCTAAATATTATAAAGATTTAATTAAAAATAATCTGAAATTACAAAATTACTAATAAGAAAACTTATACATGCTATTATATTACAAAAGAACATTACAGGAAGCTTTTTATTTCTTATTAATATCACTAAGTTCTATATTAAATGTATTAAAAAATATCAACTTAAAAATATGGAAAAATCAAATAATAAACATAAAAAAAAGTCTATTGAATATTTATCTACATGGGAAGGCCTTTCAAAAATACAAGTTATAAGATTAATAATGCAAACTTTAGAACATTTAAACTTAAAGAAAAGTTTAAATTGTCTTATTTCTGAAACAACATTACATCCAATGACACCTTTGGTAACTAAATTTTACAATTATTTATTAAGATGTAATTGGGATCTAGCTTCTGAATATTTAACTAAAATTCCAATTAATAATATATTAAAACTTAAATGTAAATATATAATATTGGAAAATAAATTTATCGAACTATTTTTGATTAAAGGAACAATTTTAGAAAGCTTACAGTGCCTTAGACAACAATTATATCCATCTATATTTGATAATATTAGTACTAACAGAGTTCATAGATGTTGTAGAATGGTAATATATAATAAATCTAAAGAATTTTCAAGAATTTCCGAAGAATTAATAAAATTAAATATTTTAAAAGATGATAATAATTTTAATTTAAAATATATTACAAAAAAATCAATCAAATTATTTAAAAAATTGTTAATAAATAGAACAATAATTTTATTACCATCTTCTTTAATTATTGAACCAAATAGAATGGCAAAATTATTTAAACAAGCTATAGAAAGACAAATTCAATGCTGTACTTATCATAATGTAGTATTTTCAAAAGAAAATGAATTATTAAAAGATCACCATTGTTATATTCCATTATTACCAACTAAAAAAGTTTTGTCAATAGATGCTCATAAAGATGAAGTCTGGGGTCTTTCAATTAGTAATAATGTTTGTTTTTTTGCTACTTGTGGAAAAGATTCAACAGTTATAGTATGGGAAATATTCAATGAAAAATCAAATAATAAATCATATAAAAAAAAAATAAAAAGTGATAATGACTTTATATTTTTAACTAAATATAAACATAATGAAAATTTAATTTGGAAAATATCAAAAAAATATGTTTTAAAAGAACATAATAGTTCTGTTAATATTACTGTATGGTCTAATGATGATAAATATTTAGCTACTGTAAGTAGTGATAAGACATGTAGAATTTGGGATATTAGTTTAGGATCATGTATTTCAGTTTTAAAAGGACATCAAGAAAATGTTTGGTCTGTTTGTTGGATTCCTAATATTCAAAAATCATGCATTAATATATTTTCTGAAAGTGAAAAAAAGGTATTATATTGTTTATATATGTTAGTTACTGGTGGGTTTGATAAATCAGTTATACTTTGGGATGCTCTACAAGGTATTATTATATATAAATGGATTTTTTATGCTAATATACAAGATATTGGATGTACAATAGATGGATTTTATCTTATAATTGGATTTTCTAACAAAATCACTCGGGTAATTTCTTTAAAAAATTTTCAAGAAATATATAAGTTATCAGAAAATAATCTAATAAGTAGTATATCAACAAGTAAAATTACTAATAATGTTTTATTAAATATTTTTCATCAACAAAATCCATGTATTAAATTATGGAATATAGATACAAGGCAAAAAATTATGACATATTATGGTTATAAGCAAGGAAGATTTATTGTTAGATCTTCATTTGGTGGCCCTAATGAAATGTATATTCTTTGTGGTAGTGAAGATAATAAATTTTATATATGGAATCGTTCTTCTGGAATATTATTAAAAGTAGTATCTGGACATTCATCTACGGTTAGTGCAGTTATTTGGCCAAATACTCCATGGTTAATAACAGTTAGTGATGATACTACTATAGGAATATGGGTTTATCCAGAAAGTAAAAAAAGTCCTCAAAATAAATATAAATTTAAAAAAGTAATTAAAGAAGTATAACAAATCAATTTCAATTTAAAATAGTTATTAAATAAATTATTTTATAGTTCCTTTTTTTTTTAAATATTTACTAATCTATTTAGTATATAATAATATATTATTAAATAACAGATTTAAGATTATTGAAAGTACAATAGAATTTTTTTAAGAAAAAAAAAAAGTTATTAATCTAATTTATTTTTATAACTATTGTTAATATTATTACAAATAAATACATTATTTTATTAGAAAAATATGGAAACCCAAAAAATAGAAGAAAAAGAAGTCAATCATTCTGCTACTCTCGCAAGAAGGATTTCTGCTGCTTCAGATACATCTTTATTTGAACATGAAGCCAATATTTTCAATTTCTCAGCTACTCCAGCTTTTTTAACTGCCCTTGTATATTCTAATAATTCCTCATTTTGGTCAACAATAAAATCTTCAATATGATAAATGGCTTCTAATGGTGTATACCAACTTTCTGGTTTATCTATATTTTCTTTTGGTTTATTTAAAAGATTTATTAGAAGGGGAACCCCTCCTAAACGTAGAAATTCTTTTCTCTGACTATTTCCAAGAATAAATATATTTCTTGCAGTTTGTGCTGAAGCAGCACGTAATCCATCAATATCACTAGCCATACATTTAACTAAATAAGGTAAAACGCCACATTTGAACATTTCTAAACAACATCTAGCATTATTAACACTAAGAAATGAAAGTGCTACTACTGCAGCATCTATACGATCTTCTTCTTTACTCTTTAATAATTCTAATAAAGCAGGAATACCACCTTTCATTCTTATTTCATCCTTTAATTCAGGTTGACTATCTCTTGCAGCTAAGATAGCTAATTGGGTTGCAGCTAAAGCTCCAACAGTTCTAGGATCAGCAGCCCAAGGGTGCATTGGTTCATCTAATTTATCTATAGGTTGTGATGATTGTAATAATCCAATAAATGCTGCTATATCATGTTTATCATATGCTGCATCAAATTTAGATATATCATCAATATTATTAGCAGATTTCTCTATTTCTAATTGAGCCTTTTTTCTAGCTTCTTCATTATCTCTTCCAACGCAACACTCTCTAGCAAGTACATTACCCATTACAAAATTATATATTACATATGCTAATTTCTTATATTAATCCAAACAATTCTTAGGTATTTATATAAATATTAATATTATTAATTACAATAAAGATGAATCCTAATTCTAAAATTTTTAATACAAGGTAACAGAATATAAATTTAAGATTTATAGAAATTTTTTGCATTAAAACTCCTGTCGATTTTCCCGCCTTGCATGCAAAATAGCTTTAAATAAATAAGTGTTGAGAACCCTAAAGTTATTAAAACTATAATATTAGATTTTTAAAAAAAACATAAATTAAAAGCTTCAATAATAGAATATTTAAAATCTTTTATATTTGAATTATTCCATATAATTTTATCAGATAGTTTACATTTTGTTTTTATAGATAATTGAGAATATATCATTGAATTAGCTATATCTGAATCACAATTATCTCTATTAATTAAAAAATTATATTGCCGTTCTTCAGTAGTTGCAATTGTATATATAGGAGAACATATCCATGTAAATATTTTTGATTCAAATAGTAACGGTGATACAATAATAACATTAGATTTAAATAAAATTATTCTGTTCCAAATTAGGGTTTTTAGGGTTTCAATAAAAATATAATAATGTGTCATTTTATTTAATATTTTTCTTTTAGAATCATCTTTAAATACTATATATCTTAATTTTTGTCTATTTATTTCACCATTTTCAAGTAATATTTCATTACCAAATTTTTTAACAACAGATCTAAATTATATTAGAATTATATTAAATAATAAATATGAAATTAGAAAACTTACTTATATGCTGGATAATCTTTCATTAATATTTTGCGAGATATAATATCCATATCTATAATAGTGAAACCATATTGTTCTAAAAAATTTGTAGCTATTGTTTTGCCACAAGCAACTCCTCCAGTTAATCCTATAACAGATATCCTTTGGATTAAAAATAAAAAAGGAGTTACTAATATAATAATATTTAGATTACTAATAAAATATTTGTACTAAAAGTAAATTATAATATTTTAAAAATAAAGCATTAAAGATAATTAAAGGAATAATATATTTTCTTACCAATTGATATATAAAAATTAATATAATCATTTGACTTAATATATAATTAGGAAATCTCCTTAATTTTAAATTAATTAAATATACAAATATGGAGGAAGATAATATAAATACAAATTTTATTAAATATCCAAGTAACATTCAAAGAACAAAAGAAAAAAAAAAGATGTACAAATTGATTTAAGTAAAATATTGTGCTTTGTATCTACCGCAATATAATACTTAAAATTTTGCTTTAGAATTGTTCTCATTATTACAATATTACAATTAAACCTTTATAAAATAATAATAATAATAAATAAATAAATTATTTAAAAAGATCTTATATATTATGATTTTTACTATTAGAAAAGAGAATTCAAATACCTAAAATATTATGTATAATAATAGTACATTACTATTATCTAATTATTTAAAATTATAAGATTTTATTTACATTATTAGACAGAGAAGAAAGGATCGAATTTATTTGTTTGAAATTGATTCTTTTTTACTTTATTAAATAAATTAATATTTCTAAAAATTATATATATATATATATATATTATCCAGTCACTAATTAAATAAACTTAATTTCCACTAAAATAGAAAGAATAGTACTGTCTTATATTAAATTAGTATATATTCAATATTATACTATTTAAAAAAAAAATTAGACTCAATAATATTTTATTATAGTTCAATGTGTTAATAGTGGAATACTTAATTATACAAATATCTTGCTATTTTCCATCATATATAATTTACTATATAATACGGCTATAGATCATTATTTATAACTATTTGACTGAAAGTTATTTTCATATGAATTTTTTTTTGGGTTAATTAAGGTACTTGAGTACAATTGTAAAGATCCTATTCATATTTTATAATATTTCTTTATAGCTAACATAATTATATGAAACATATTGAACTTATTTAAATATACTTTAGAATTATTTTTGTATTATATTACAAATTTTATTGGAAATATCATATTACCCATTAATATATTTTTTAGTTAAATTAATAAAAAAAATAAAATTAATTATCTAACTCTTGAAGAGATTTCTTATAATACAAGTATAAATCACGGTGTTGTAATATGAATAAATACATTCTTTGTAATTTACTTTTTAGCTTTCTAACCCTTTCACTTTCCGTATTTTGATGAAAAGTAATAACTTTGTGATATTGGTTATAAAGATTAAAATAAGTACCAAATAAAGAATGAAATATATTATACTCTTCTTTCATAAATGTTCGAATTTTCATCTTGATCCTTTACACTTATTTTTTTCATACTCTATCTACTTTAGATTGACTCATAAACAGTGATTCCATAGTTTTATCTACTATTAAATTTTCAAATTTAACCATTTCTTCAAAGAAACAATGTGGATTAGGAGGTAAATTCATTGCTTCTTCAGTAACGGTTCTACCCGATTTCATGTGTGTATAACTACAACGAAATGGTACAAAGTCTAGTGTAAGAAGTGGATGAGGAATTTCTGAGGTAAGAATACAACTCTCAAGTGTTCTGTGACTATCAGGTACTTCATATTGAATAATCTGGTAGATCAGATAAATGACCGGGTTAATTATTAAACATTATGTTCTTCACAATAAGGGCTTCCATTCCATGTTACTTTTAATAATATATTGGATATCTCAGTATTTATATGAAGAGATAAAGTGTTATTGATACTGATATTGATATATAATACAAAAATTACGTACAGTTTCAAAAAGGTATACAATATTTCTACTAGAAAATCAAAATATAGTGACAATATTTTGGTTATTGAAAAAAAATTCTATTTATTTTAAAACAGAATAATATTTTGTATAAGGATTACAAATTACAAAAAAAAATATATCCAGTTTAATATTACCAATATTATCAAGATATTTCCGGCAAATCCTAAATTTTTCTTTTTCTTACTAAAATTATCAAAAATATCAAATTTCATTGGAGAACCCGGTATACAGTATTTCTCTAATTGGAAGATTTATTTATTTAGAAATATTATTTAATAAAGAATGATATATAAATGTCAATAAAAAAACTTATATATTTAATAATTTTATTTTATTTGATATCTGAAATAAATTGTAGTGAAACCTCAAATTCACCTATTAATAGTAACTTTTATCTAGGAATCCCATATATATTTGATAAGAGATGTTTAACGATTTTTCTTGAAGTATATAATCTTAATTTTGAGATATTTTCTTTAAGTAAGAGATTTAATTGGATTTTATCTGAACAAGCCATGTTGATTAATGTTGATTTATTTTCCAATCTTAGGAAGATGTACGCCTATTTACATAAAGCATCTCGAATCTATGACACAATGGCTGAATTTCAAGAATTAGGTATTACAAATCCTTTTGAATGTAGTATTGGTCCACTAAATAATCCAGCAAATATACTTTTAGAAAGTAATTCTTATATGATTCAAGCAGAAGTTGATAGCTTGGAATGTGCATGTAGATGTTTACAAACACAAGTACAAATATTAGAAGGAATAAAAGTGGGATACTGTATTTTCATACTTGAATTTATTCTATTTATTTCTGAAAGAGCTTGTTTTCTTCTTACAATTTTAGAATATATATTGGGTTTTTTACGAAATATTCTCTTTTATCATTTTGGTATTGGAGATGCTAGTTATATTAATACGCATAAATTAGGAGTTTTATTGGAATTACCTGGTATTATACAAGATGAATTATCTGCTAGTGAAGCTATTTCTACATTAATTGATTATATTTTGACAGGAGAGAACTTTGAACATTATTCTAATATGTATTATGATACTGATTTAGGTGAATTCGAATCTGGAATAAGTAGAACTCTATATTTACAACATAATATGATGTGTGAAGGAAAACAAATCGAAAATCCTTCTAATTCTGAAGACTCTAATCTATTTACTTCTCAGAAAATGGATATGGTACAAAGTAATGTAGATTCAAATGTTAAAGTAGAGTCTCCAGCGAATAGTGATGAAGAAATGATTAAAAAAAAAGTTAGTTCTGATTTAAATAATCGTAGGGGTCGAAGTCGTAGAACTCGTAGAACTCGTAGAACTCGTAGAGATCGTAGAGATCGTAGAGACCGTATTTCTAGTTCAAGCTCAAGTTCAAGTCCTGGTTCTGTTCCTGGTCATTATCCTTATCCTGATCCTGATCCTGGTCCTTGTAGTTCTACTTCTAGTTCAAGTTATAGTTCATGTTCAAGTCTTGATTATCGTAGTTCTACTTATAGTTCAAGTTATAGTCCTAGTAGTCATAGAAGTAGTAGTTCTATTTCTAGTTCAAGCCCTAGTCTTAGTCGTCGTAGAAGTTGTAGTTCTAGTTCAAGTTCAAGTTCTAACCCTAGTCGTCGCAGTTCTGGTTCTAGTTCAAGTTCAAGTTCAAATCCTAGTCTTAGTCGTCGTCGTAGTTCTGGTTCTAGTTCAAGTTCAAGTTCAAGTTCAAATCCTAGTCTTAGTCGTCGTCGTAGTTCTGGTTTTAGTTCAAGTTCAAGTTCAAATCCTAGTCTTAGTCGTCGTCGTAGTTCTGGTTTTAGTTCAAGTTCAAGTTCAAATCCTAGTCTTAGTCGTCGTCGTAGTTCTGGTTCTAGTTCAAGTTCAAGTTCTAGTCTTAGTCGTCGTAGTTCTAATTCTAGTTCAAGTCCTAGCTGTCATAGAAGTTACAGTTCAAGTTCAAGTTCAGGCTCAAGTTCTAGTCATCGTAGAAGTCATAGTTCTAGTTCTAGTCATCGCAGAAGTCGTAGTTCTAGTTCTAGTTCTAATTCTAGTTCAAATCCAAGTTTTGACCCTATTTGTCGTGGCTATAGTTAAACTAAAGTTTATGAAAGAGGTAGTTATGAAGATATCAGTAGAAATAATATGACTAGCAGAAAGTAATAGACAAATAAGAAAGTGTGTATTAAAGAATAAAGCAGTTTAAGATCAAATTATATAATACGTCAGTGTATTATTATGTAACTTGAGGCTTAATACCTAGTAAAAACCAATATATTGGAAGAAAAGGGAATATATTAAAAATACTTTGCTTTTTCTATCAATATGGTTTATATCAATATTTATTTTAATTCTCTTTTTTTATATTAATAATTACCCAACTAATTTTCATTACCAGTGAATAATTTTGAATATAAATTATATTTTCTTTTTTCTTTAATTTCTAAATCAAATATTTTATCTACTTAATATATATTTACAAAAATATTTTATACAAATAAATTTTACTTACTAATGATTGAAGTGTATACTATTTGCATTATTATTATAATAAAATAATCTATCTATTGGACTGAATAATATCATATTAACAATTATATTTCCAATATCTTAAAAGATGATTTATATATTTATCTAGTATTTGAACTACTATAGTATACTTTTTACTTTATATTAAAAATTTTTTTTTCTTTAAGAAAAAAAGTGCACTAATATAGTATTTGATCATAGAAAATTAGAATATTTATATATTAGAAATAAATAAAATAATTAATTTAATAATATTGTGAAATATTAAAGAATTTTTCTAGTATAAAGTATACTAAATAATATTGTTATTAGTGTTATCAATAGTACTTAATATTTTAAATATAAAATAGTTATTTAATAAGATATAAATTTAAAATAAAATATATATAACTTATTTTTATTTCCAAAATATAAGTTATTATAAATTTTCTTAGAAATAAATTGAAATAATACTAATTTATTCTATTTATTTTATAAATAAAAATTTAGAAAATATAATTCAAAATGTAATGAATCAGAACACTTTTTTATAATTTTTATCTTTTATTATATATATTCAATACTTATATCTTGTATACAAAATTAATTAATGGATTTGACGAATAATAATAAACAATTATTTAAATATTTAGTATCAAATTATAGACTTATACATTATTTTATTTAGTAACTTTATAATATATTAAATAAATATAATAATTGAAAATTATTTATCATCTATTAAATTAACAACACAACAATATCAATTTTTATAAATAAAAGTTTTAATTAAGTTTAATTAAATATTATATCTGAATAAATAGAAGTTTTTTTTTTAAAAGAAACAGGTTACTGAATTTTCAGAATATATATATATATATATATATAAAATGTTATAATATATTTATAGAGTCTTATAAGAGAAATAAAAGTGGATGATGAAGGAAGTAACTATTATGAGAATATTTAAAAAAAAAAATCATAAGAAGATTAAAAGGTAAAATTGACAATAATAAGGTACAATTATAAGAACTATTAGGAATAAGAGAATTATAAAAAAGATTATACAATGGATATAAAAATTTATGAAATAAAAAAAGTATATTACTAAACTTTAAATATAAAGTTAAACTGGATAATAAATAAAATATATAATAAAAGTAAAGAATGTTTTTTGAATTAATAGAAGGATTTAAAAGGTTATATTAAGAAATAAATAGAAGTAATAAACATTAAAAATACTTAATTATTTGATATTATATATAAATTAAAGTTAGATATTTATAATAATAAAAATAAATAAATTATAAGGTAATGATGAAATATTATTAGAATTTTGATAATATTTAGAATTGAATTATAGGGGATTTTAGGTTTAGGGGGGGGTTTAGT